CCACCCCAACCCCAACCCCAACCCCAACCCAAACCCCAACCCCAACCCCAACCCCAACCCCAACCCCAACCCCAACCCCAACCCCAACCCCAACCCCAACCCCAACCCCAACCCCAACCCCAACCCCAACCCCAACCCCAACCCCAACCCCAACCCCAACCCCAACCCCAATATAGAAACCATTAGTTTAAAATACATTTTTGAAATAGTTTCAGAGCTTGATTTTTTAATTTTTACTTATAATTAATACTAAGCATTTTTATTTACATTTTTTATTTCCAAAAATAATTCAAAAAAAGTATAAAAAATTTTTTAAAAAAAAAATAAATATCAATCAAAAAGTAATTATATAATTTTTACTTTGAGATATGCAGGCTTTAAAAAATATTTTTGTTACATAAATTCAACAAGCAGCACAATATTTTTTTCTTCAAAATTAATTGTAAAAAGCATTTAAATAAATTAAACACTTAAATATTTTTAGCACATAAATATTTATTAGCCAAATTTTAAAAAAGTTAAATTTATTAAAAATTAGTCTAAGCAATCTTTAACTTGCTTATAAACAAAGTATTCTTTTAAGTAAATAAATATTTTAATTTATTTAAAATTAAAATAAAAATAATCTGTTGAAAAGATATATTAATTATTATCTAAGTATATTTTTTGTTTTAATCATTGATTTTAAAATAATATATTATTAATAAAAAATATTTAATATTATATTTTAAATACTTATAAAATTTTTTTAGGTAGTTTTTACTAAACTTTCAAAGCTAATTCAAATATTTGTTTTTTCTTGTTTACTAAATATATAATGATATTAAATTATAAATAAATATATTTATTTAATGAGATTAATAGGTTTTAAAAAATATTTTTATTCAGTAATTAAATCAATAAAACTATAATTTTTCATAAAATATTGAAATGAGTTTTTAGAGAAAAAAATTCAAGATTTAAAAATTTATAATAATAATTTATTTATAATAATTAAGGTATAAATAGGTAGCTAAATAGTATATAAAAATATGAAAAAATCTATATTGAAATCAATACAAAATTTATTAAAATGAATACAACAAAATTAAAAATAATAAACCAATAATTTAGTATTAACGGATGGATGATAAATTGAAAGTAAAAAAAAAAATCTTTTGAATTAAAAAATATTTTAGCTATTCAAAATTAATTATTTGATTTATTGATTCTTTTTGAGTTACGTTCAAATCGATTTAGAGTATTATATGTTTGAACGTCAGTCGCTTTTTTTGCAAATTACAATATTTAGCAAGCAGAAATAAAATAAACAAGTAATTAAATAAATAAATAAATTTAAGAGCTTTCTGTTATTTATAAATAACATTGCACTTGAAAAGTAATGGCTCTAATTAAGAAATATTATTACATCTTATATTATATAAATAAACATTAAGCTTATTAGTTGAAATTTATGTTTTATTTTCAAATGTAAATTTTTTTGGCGAAAGCATTCATTTTTTTAATTAAAATTAATATTCAATCATATTAAATATATATAAGCTAGCTATATAAGAAAGAGTAGAATTAAAAAGAAGAATAACATTTAGCTGAATAAAAGAAATGATAGAAGAATCTAAATTATCAAAAAATATGTCATTCCAAAATTAAAAGAAAAGTAAATTTGAGCGCTATAACTAGAACTTATAGCCCATAAAAATTCCGAAAATTTAACATATTACTCAAACAACTTAGTATTCATAGTAGAAAAAATTTAATCTAAATTTTATTCTTAATGGTAATCTTATCTTTGACAATTTGATGATTGAAAATAAATTCCAAAAGAAAATTTAAAATAAATTTATATCTCTCAATAAATACTCATTTTGGAATTTGATTGCTTATTACTTTGTAAGAGTTATTTAGAGCTCTAACGATAATGAGAGAATAATATCTAATTTAGTTTATTACATAATTATGCTAGTCTCTTTTATAATCATTTAGTTAATCTATCACTTCAAACAGGAATTTTTATAAAAGATTAAGGTCTATCCTTTCATATTTGTCATCTCTTGTGTTGGATACGTCAATATTTTATTGTGGCAAGGTGTCTACTTAAACTATCAAATCAATACTTCAAAGTAACCAATCTAAAAGGTTTCCATTTAGTATTTAGATTTAATATTAAATGAGTATTAATTAATGTTTTTAATGTTTATTTGGATGAAATGGTTTTGGAAAACAACTACCGTAATAATGGTGACAATCATTCAAAGTGTATTTATTTTAGACGATAGGTACACATAAACACTTGGCGTTATTCTGATGCTTGTATAAATGATTGCTTTTTATTTATCTGAATATAACAATAGAACTGAATTCATTAATTAGTAGTAGAAGTAACGTGATTTAAAATAGCTTGTAGAAATAATGAAAACAAAATTACCTATTGGTGTAGCAATTTTCCAGAAAAACCATATTAATCAATATGAGCAGCAAGCTTAAAAATTTGCCTAAAAAAAGAAAGACAGCATTGTTTATCAATAAAGTATTTTACCCTTAAGCATCCAAAAAAATCATCATTATTCTTAATAAGAAATTAAAAACTTAAAAAATAATTCTGATAAGTATATCAGTTGTTCAAATATTCGTGATTAAAAGAGTTCAGTATTAATTTAGCAGTTTCCCAATTAGGAAACTAAATTAGATATAGATATTCGCTTTATAAATGATATTCTATTTTAGCAAGCTTTTAACATAACTGATTAATAACAACAATAGTATTCGAATAATTTTTGTTCTAAAGGACTTGATGATTCACAAATAAAGATGAAAAAAAGTAATTCATCTTCTAATTCAAACAGCAGCAGCGGTCAAAAATCTCAAAATATAAACATTGATAATAATTTAAGTAAAATTAGAGAAAAGGAATATAGCAGTGGAATGAATCATTCTCGTTTTTCTAATAAATACAATGTAAGTAATGATAATGTATTAGAAATGAAAAATCTTTATACAAATAATAATAATATCACAGAAGCAAATAATCTACTTCTTACAGAATGCTATGAAAAATAAAAGAGATATAATAATTTTAGAATTAAAGATAAAATTACTTAACAATCTGTTCATTAGTTTTTAGAATCGTTATATGTGCCTTAAAGATAGAATAATCCAAAAAAATAATATAACTCTAAAATGTAAAACTAAGACGATGAAGATTAAATAGGGTTTTACACTAATTTTGCAGAAGTAAGAAGACAACAGTAGGATAACAGATCCAGCAGCGGATAAAAAATAAATTTTAAATAATTGATAAATAACTTTTTTTAGGCTAATGAAGAAAGCCCGACTCGCTCGCAAAGGTAAAATTTATTCTATGAGTAAATGAATTAATACATATATTTTTTTAATAAATAGATTAAATAATTTTGATCGCATGTATTTTAATTGCTAACAAATCTTGGATAGACCACGCAAAGAAACAAAGGCAGATTTAGCTGCCAGATCTAATAATAATGATGATAACTTAAAATAATATGATATAAAAATTACATCTGTAATTTTGAATGGTGAGCCAGCATTAATTGTAATGATTAATGATTCTACTGACAGATTTATTATGTAGTAAATGAAAGTAATTTAATTAATTTGTTTATTATTATTATTATTATTTAACAGTAAAAATTTTATTTTTTATTAGGAATCATCGGAATTTAAATCCTAGTTATTGAATTATATTTAGCATATTGCTAAAACGCCGCTTAACTCTATAATTTAGCTAAGTGAAACGATGGAGTAGTGGTTCCCTCTCTCACCGAACAACAAATAAATCTGCAACGATATCAAAGATAACTTAGAAATAATAAAGAAAAATGGGCTGATTCTTCACCACTAAGTACAAAGTATCATAGATCTTTAATAGATAAATTGCAATTCTAAAATACAAATAAAGACAGATCTTATAGATTTATACACAGTTATTAGAGAAGTATTTAATTACTTATTTATTTATTTATTTATTTATTTATTTATATTCATTTATTAATTTTATGAAATTAATGAAAAAAATGTTTTAATAAATAATAAAATAATAAACAAATAAAGGTTTAAGAGCTATTTTAGACAGAAATTGAAGGTAAACACTTAAAGTTTGAGATTGATCTAGAAGAAGAAAATATAGAGATGCAGACAGACGAAAACAGATTAACTTAAATTTTAATTGAAATGATAGGAAATTCTGTTAAATTTACCAAAGAAAATGACTCAATAAAAATTCAAGCTTCAATATAAAAAACATACACAGTCAGTTTAATTTGTATAACGATTATTGATACAGGTTCAGGAATGTCTCCTGAGCAAGTTGCTATAATAAACTCAAGCGCTTCATTAGAAAATATACCTGTTCCTAATAGTCATTTCAGATAAGGTCCTGGAATTGGCTTAGAAGTATCTAGGAAATTAATAGGACTATTAGGTCCTTTTTCTAAATTTAACTTAAAATCTGCTGTTGGAGAAGTAAATATTTTTTTTAATTGATATAAATTAAGTTAAATATTAATAAAAGGGATGCTAATTTAAATTTTGGCTTTATATGAATTTGAATGAAAAAGAAGCTGCTGAAAAAAGCAACAGAATGATGAGAAAAACTTCAGATTTAATCTTGGAAAAGGATGATATTCCATCTTATGATAAATTTGTGATAAGTAATAAATTATAACACATGGAGATTATGATAGATCCTTTCAGCATAATTCCACAAGTTATGTACAGTAACAAAGATTTCAACCATTTCATACAATCTAGGAGGTCTTCAAAGTAATCAGGAGCTTCATTTTCTCCTAAATAAGCTAGAACTACAGTAGGAGGAGTCTTAGGTTACAGCTCTTCTTTTTCCAATAACAATTAACTTACTTAGCTTTAAAATTAGTTTTTATTGGAGCAGTAAACACTTTAAGCATAGATAATGAAAAAAAGAAGTCTTTATAGAATGAACTACTCTCCTTAAATTGTGATAAGAAAAAGAGACATGACTTTAAATACATACATGTAAGAGTAATAGAAAAATCCACTTGCAATTTATATCAAACCTAAAACTTCTTAAGCGAAATTAACTCCAAGTAATTCATAGAAAGATTTAAATAATGAATAAACCGAGGAAGATAAAATCATCAAAGAAAATTAATCAGAAAATGCTAAAAAAGATGACAATAGCTTAAGTTCTCCCAAAAAGCTTGAAGAATTTAATTAAAATAACAACAAATGTACCCCAGTTGCTTCTAAAAATTTGAATAGCTAATTTAAAAAAAATATTTCTAATTTTAATTAAGCTCCTTAAAATTAAAATCATTCTAAAGCAACTACTGCAATGAGAAAATTAAAGTCAAATGTAAGTTTAGATAGCTTGGACACTCTTTTGAGACCATTCAGGCACTTTAATAAAAAGCATACTTTACAAATGAGAAGTAAATAAGAGAGTAGCAAGTTTTAAAGATCAAACAGGAAGTTTTTATCAAACAGCTATCAGGCGAGCTAAGAATATCATAGTACTACTCTGTCACCTTGCATAAAAAAATCTACTCTTACTAATTAATCCCAACAAGTTGTAAATTCTCAAGTACTTAATGAAACAAAAAATTATTCCACTTACTTCACTTAAGCTTTAGATAATAATAATTACAACAAAATTAGAAGTGAAAGTTAGTTCAAAAAGAACCCCTAAAATTTTAAAAAAACATAATGTATTTATTTATTTATTAATTAATTATATTTAAATTTATTTAATATTAATTTATAAATAAACATTTATTGACACAATAGATTTTAATTAGATGATATTAATTGTTTTATTTTTATATTAGATCACAGAAACTAATCGATTGAAGATCCATTCACTTAGCTTCTAAGAAAACAAGATCATCTTTATAAAAGTACAAAGTTAAAGGATCTTTCAGGAGAAGAAAGCGAAAATGACGAATTAGATGAAGAAAATGAAGTTGACGATACAGTTAACAGCTAAATCGATGGAAACGCTAATTAAAACTCAATCATTAGTTAAAATTTAAAGAATAGCAAAAAGCTCTTATCTTTAAGCAAGGGTTTTTTGAGTCCTAGATCAAATAAAGAAGGCTAATCTGGTACTGAGAGTCATAATCTTGTTTAAACAACTAGATATTCTATTGATAAAAAACATTTACAATCGCCTCTTTCTGAAAATTTAAATACAGAGATAAGCTTCCTTTAGTTAGAATTAACTGATGAATTTGGTGGTTATTAACAAGAAAAAAATGATGTAAGAAATCTGAATATAAAATCAAACGAAAAAGTTTTTGTCAATAGAAATTAAAAAAAAAATGCTGGAACATTAAAATATGAGAATCAACAATAACAATTTACTTTCAACACAATAAAAAATTCTAATTTTTCTTAAATATCATTAAGAAATTTAGACTCTTGTATATAAATTTAAGAAGATAGACTGAGTATAGTATCCTTGCAATCTAATAATTCTCATAAATTTTCTCGTCCCCAGGAAAAATCGCATTATCACTCTCTAACTCACATACCTGATTCTGCTACTAATTAAAGTCCTAGAATGAAAAAGAGACATGAATAAAAAAGTAGTCTGAAAAAACATAAAAGACAAAGTCATTCACCAATAGAAGCTTTGCCAACATAACAAAATGATAATTAACTTAGACTGCCTGTGGGGAAAAAATGTATACTCAACACCACTAGCTTTGCTGATAAGGAAAAGAATAATATTTAAAGTGGAGCTAAGCATGCAATTGCAACTTAAGGAGTGTCATTTTTGCTTCCAGATTAAAACGAATACGGAAAAATGAATCAAAAGGAACCAAGGATAGTAAACATTTAGATAGAAAAAACTTAAATTTCTAAAAATGAAGGTGAAAGTACTTTTAGAGAATATATTGAAGATAAACTAACTCCAGGCAAAAATAGGAAGAGTCTGCAATAATCGAATAGGGGAAGTATTGATGGATAGAAATTTAATTTTATTTATTCATTAGATAACTTGGTACCCTTAACTGAAAAGGTACAATCGCCAAACAGTAAAGAATAGATTAATGAAGGTAATTAAAACTAGAATAATACATAAATTAGAACAAAAATATTAATTAAGAAAGATACTGCAAATGATCCTTAATTATTAAACATTTAAATAAATGCTTTGGATAATACTGAATAAATATATTCTAGTTAAGTCTTAGATGATTAAAAGTCATAAAATAAAATGTTTTTAAACACTTACTAGTAGAACATTCATTAATAACAAAGACAGTAGCAATTTACTGCCAATTAAGTTGTTAAGAGCCATTCATCTATAGGAAACAAACAGGTAAAGCCTACTATGAATACAATAATGAGTCATGATATTGATCAAGACATATTCGATACTCTATTTCCAGAAGATACCCTAATCCTTATTGTAGATGATACTACATTTAACAGAATAGTACTCAAATAGATGTTTAAAAGCTCATAAAATATAGTTATACAAGAAGCTATTAACGGGTAAGATGCTATAGATAAAATAAAAACCCTGAAAGAAACATAAAATAGAACTTTTAACTTAATATTTATGGATCTAAATATGCCAATCATGGATGGATTTGAAGCTCTTAAGCAAATATAAAATCTAATTCATTAAAAATATATCTCATGGGTTCCTGTAGTAGCAGTAACAGCTTATGATACTGAAGTCGAGAATTGCAGAAATAAGGGATTCGATGGATTCATCTCAAAACCTGTTCGTATCAAAGAAATGGTTAGAAGCCTTATCAGAATAATAAGTATTATTGAGGCTTCTCAAGAACAATAATGACTGATCAACCAAATAGTAATATTATAGTAAATTTCTTAATAAATTAAATTACTAAGTTTATATATATTAAAAATACATGCAAAATTAATTTATTCAGTTTTATGTTTGTTAGAATATTGCCTAAATTAGCATTTTTATTCATTATTATTAATTAAAATTGAAAACAAACACTATTGATTGATTAATAAATTTATATATTTATTTTATTGATTGACTGATCCAAGAATTAATTAATAAAAATACTACATTTTTGTTCATCATTAACATTATATAGACATAATATTCTAATATCTCATAATCAATAAGAGATAGATAAATAGATAAATTAGCTAAGTCATAAAATTAATAAATAAAATAAAATATTATTTAGCCTATCAAAATTATATTATGAAGATAGAATTAATTCTAGATTTGCTATGTTAATTTTTTTTTAATAATGTTTATTTTTATTAAATTAACATGGATTTATAAAAATTTATTATAAAGAAACAAACAAACAATTAATTAATTTCTGATATATATTTTTTTAAATTTTTGCTAAGTTGATAATCAAAAGCTTTTTTTTTGTTATTTGCTCTACTAAATTTCTTCTTCACCTTAATCATTAGCTAACTATTCTTGCTTTTGTTTGTCAAATCCCATAGTAAAGAAAACACTCTCTCTATTTATTTAATCTATTTTTTAAAAGCAATTTGCTTCAAGAATCTTCTCATCTGATTTATCTTGACATTCTTAGTACATTTACCAGTCATAATTATAATCTCCTTTTCTGTTTTTTAATGGTCTGTCGCCCTCATTTATTTCTTTTTGCAAAAATTTACAAAGCTATATTGCATATTTCCTAAATCCTAGGTTGCTTAGAGAAGTCAAAATTCTTCTGATTCTTAAAACATTATGCCCACAAACAGCGTCTTCGTATCTTTCTTTGTAATTCTTATTTCTTTTGAGTTCTCCTGTTATGTAATTTTTAATACTCATTCCATAAAAGTCAAGCATCATTTCATAACTTTTAACTATTCTTTTTGCTAATAGAGGTTCTACCAAAAATATTTCAATTTCCTCATCACTTAGCTCTTTAGATTAATAATTGAAGCTTGATTTATATTTGTTAGGGAATATCCATTAGATATAGGCATGATCATACTCAAGTATTTAATAATTTTAATATCTATAATGAATTTATTCTATCAATTCGCTTCTACCGAAGTTAGATTTCTTGATGCCTGCATAAAATAAAACGTTTGCATAATTGACCAGGACCGGGTCATTTTTTCCTTTGCATTTTGATAAAATTTTTTTATTTATTCTAGACTGATCTTCTTACTCACTATCCAACCCTTCTTCCTATTAATTTATTATTTATGGTTAGTAGCAAAATTTAAAAATACTTTTTAAACAATCCATAATTGATTTTTTATTATTTATTTTTAATTTAAAAAATATCAAAATTTTTTTATATTTACTTCCAAGATATTTTATGGCTAATTTGATGAAATCATCGCACCATTTTAGATTTTTTAAGAATTGCTTTCAGCCTATAAGTTATTATATTAATATTTTTAAGCTTCTTAATTGCTCTATTGTTAAGCTTTTTATTTATAACTCATATCAATCTTTTGAGTTTCAGCTTTAGTTGTTTCAATATCCATAGATTGATTTCTTACTGATGGAAACTCTTGCTTGGAGTTATTATCTCCTTAGTTAATATCTTAATTATTTTATTAGATATCAGTCTACTAGACTACTTAATTGATTATTTATTCTTCCACTTTTTGACTCTCCATTTTCTATTTTTTACCAATGATTTCAAAATATTATTTTAAAAAAATGTTTGCTTCTCTATAAAACTCTTAAAAAAATACTTTGATTTTTGAGATTTTTCTTCTATTTTTTGATAATAAATTAGAATTTATATTGATCAAAATCTGCAAAATGTTGTTATTAACAAAAATTGAAGAGATAAAATTAATAGAAATAATATATCAATCAATGGCTTTTGAAAAATAATCAATTTATTCTCTTTTTTTGATTAAATTATTATATTGAAAAATATATTTTATATATAATATAGAGAGATAGATAGATACATACATAAATACAAAAGCAAGCATAAATAATTTCATAATATTGTTTTATTTTCGAGCTTGAATTCAAGCTCATTAAAAAGTAATTAGTTGATAAAAAGGATAATTTTAGATAGTAAAATATAAGCAATCATCTCACAAGAAGCTCATTTAAGAATATTTGTTATTATTTATGACATAGTTGTTATCATACATAAATTAGTTTTCTTTTTAATCATCCTCAAACAAATTAATCTTTTGATTTTGAGAAAATTTTGTTACAGATTTCTTGTCAAATATATCAAATTCATCATTTTGATAATAGCTTCTTGCATTAGAAATGATGTTTTGTTTGATATTATTAACAGGTATAGTATTTATTATTAGCTTATCGCGAGATTGTAGATTATTTTAGTTTATGACCAAATTATTATGATTTTATTTAACTGAACCATTTTAATTTGATTCATGTTTAATATTTTAAACAAAGTTGTTGTTGTTAGCTTATTATTAATTATTTGATAGATAATTATTATATCTATTATCACTAAAATTAATGCCTTTATTACTAATTTCGCTGATTCTATCTTCATCAAAATTAACGTCTGTATCATCAATTGTTTTATATGATGAGAACTATTTCAGTTGTACTTCTTCATTTAAGTTTTTATTTGGTTGCTTTTAGATTTGTTCATCTTCCTTTCTGCTTTCTTCGAAATACACGAATCGGTTTTAAATTTTATTTGAATTTACTGATTCTTTAATTTAGAACTAGCTTGAAATATTTTAAAATGATTAATCAGTAAAAATACTTTCGTGTTAGTCGAAATCAATATCTTGTTATCCAAAACTAAATAACTCATTTTAACCATTTTATTCTTATTTTTTCATGTCTTATTAATTAATTTGTTCATTATTATCATCAAAGCAAGCTTTTTAAAATTCAAATTAGGAGAAGCTGTTTTCTTGTTATTAGTTAATATTTTACTCGAATTCATCTTCCAAGCTCTCTTCTGAACTATCTTCATAATTCACATCTTCGATTTCTTCAAGGTTGTTAAAATCGCTACTTTGAGCCATTATTCCCTCATACTGTCCAAATAAATGTTTTTAATTATTTTAAACTCCTCTTTAATGTTCAAAAGGTTAAATTTCTGATTCATCACTAAAAAGCTAACCAACTTATATCATACAATTTAAATGCTCTTAAATCAATTCTGCTGAAACACCAAATACTCTTTCAGAATAATTTTTGTTTTTGTTGAACTAAATCCTTTGCTATGATGAATGAGCATTTTAATAAAATTAAAATTAATTTTAATCATCATTTTAATATTTTTATTCCTCTTCTTACTCATCTTGATTATCGTCTTAATTTTCATTAAAATTTAATTAATTTTTACAATTAAACAAATTTTCATCAGTCAAAAAATCATATTCTTCATCAGGATTTTTTTCAAACAGTATGTTTTAAGGTAAGTTCAAACTTTCTTTAATTTGATTTTCGCATATTTTTTATTAATTCTTGTTAAAATTTATATTGTTTATGACTTCTTTTAAAACGCTATTCTTTTCCATTTCTGCATCAGTTGCTGAGTTTTTATTTGAATTATCTTCGCTGCTTTATTAAGAATTGTTAGTTTATACATTTGATTCACTTTAATCTTTACTTTCGTCTTTGCTATTTTTTATATTTTAATCAGGATTGACAGTTTCTGATGGAAGAGGAAGAATATTAAAATGCTAGTTGTAATCTTGCATGAAAATATCAATTTCTTTACTTTCCATTTCTTTCTTTAGGAAAATAAATGTTTATTATGTTCGAGGAGACAGCTAAATGAGCTCTCTGTTAAGTGTTTACTCTAAATTAGCCTAATTTTTTTGTTCATCTTTATTTTTGCTTTCTTTCTCTCCAGTAAAATTAAATTCTGTATTTTCAATCATTAAATTTTGAAATTTTTATTAAATATTTTGATTCTATTCTTATTATATTTTGTGTAATCTTGATTATTAAAAGCTCAAATATTCTTCCAAATCTTAGCTTTTACGACACATAGGACACTTTTGATTTTTGATAATCCATCTATCTATGCATACGGAGTGGAATATATGATTACATAATAGCTCTTTTTGCTCATCTTATTCTTTGAATTCTATGTAACAAATTGGACAATTATCTTCTTATCCATTAGAATCGCAGCAGTCAATTTAGGTAGAATTTTATTTACTCAGTGAAATTTAATATTTCTTTGAAGGAATCATTTATAACAAGAAAATACCTTATTTGTAATTCCAAACTTCATGTGCTAATAAAGTTAAATCATCATCAATATAAGACTCGTCGAACAAAAAGGCTGCTCTTTTTGATTAAAAAGCTAGGATTTTTAACTTAAACGATAGAATAAAATGCTCGTTTTCGTGTGCAATATTAGACATTTCAAGTGAAACTTCTCCAATCATTTACTTTAGCTCCATTTACAGTCTATTAATTGGATGCTCAGAAATATTATAAGCTTCCAAAATATAGTAAAAGCTTTACACATACTTTTTGAAGTACCAAAGAAGCTTTGAGATATATATTAGGCTCTTAGCTATGTTAATATCAAGAGTACCTAAAATTGATTTTCTTATTTAGCATGATTCATATTCATATTTCAAAGCTTCCTCTAGTCTACCAAGAAGACACAGAATACTTGACATTCTGTGCATAGTAAAGGCCACTTACTCGCTGTTATTGCCATATATTTTTTTGTTTAAAAATAAAATCTCAAATAACTTATCAAGAGCAGCAAAGTAGTTTTCATTTCTTATCAAATTGCTTAGATTATTTTCTAAGTGAAGAATATTTTTTTTTATTTCTTTTTTGCTACTTTCTTTTCTATCATTGAAAAATACAACGCTATTTATATTTGAATGTATAGATGATGTTTCTCTACTTTGATTTTCACTGAAAGTTTACCTCTCTAAATCATTTTCAATTTTTTATTATGATTTACTTTTTAGATCTTTTATTTGTGAACCTTATTTTAAATCAGAGGGATTCGCTTTAAGTTTTCTTCTATTGTCTGAATGAGCCTCGAGAGCTTCAAAAGTAATCAAGTCTTCTTCTAAGGGTTAATTATTTTGATGATATGTAAATGAGTTTTAAGGGTGCTATTTTTTGATTTCTTTTTCAATTTTATTCAACTACTCTTACTGATATGCTTAGTAATGGATTGATTTCTTGCTTTAAGAAGAAGTGCTTTTATTTCCCATGACGTTAAAGTGGCTGACTAATTATACTAATCTCTTAACAATAATAATTCTACTTACCAAAAAAGTAAATCTATTAACTTAAAGAGAGTGAAGATCTTTTTTATTTTTTATTAATTTTTTTGTTAATTAAATTTCTTTTTATAATTTTTTTTCAGTTTAAATGATTTATAATGACTTCAAAAACTTATATTTTTATGCAAATTTATTAATTGATTATAAACTTACTTATATTGTTCGTTCGACTTATTTTTCCTTATAAATTTAATAATTATATCTTCAACATCCCTTCTTAATATTTGATATGATTTAGATGGCATACATTTGATCAAACTATATATTCAAATTAAAAGAAAATTAGTTTTCTTAAAAGCTTTTCTAACCCTTACAAACAAAATATAACTTTATTCAAATATCTATCTATGTATCAATGTCTATTTTTTAAATAAAAAAACGACTTCAATAGCTTTTTCTTCAACAAAATTAATAACATATTTTGTATTTTTATAATTTCTAACTATTTAATTTAAAAAAAACTCTTAATCATCTTTGATTCTTTATAAATTCAAATCGAAACAAAAACTTCAGTTTATTTAAAAAAATACAAAAGAGATAAAAGAAATAAATAAATAAAGTAGTTTGCATTAAATTTTCTTTGGTATTAAAGAAATATTATTTAAATATATATTTCAGTAATTTTTATAATTTAAAAAAAAAATATTAATAGTTTGCTAGTTCGTTAATTTTATAATTTAAAGTATTTTTTATAAATCTTTTTTGAAATATTTTATATTTCATTTTTACAAAATTTTAACTTTGATTTTAATGGCTCCTACATACATAAATAAATACATATTCATTTATAGATTTATAATTTAAATGTTTCTTTAGCAAATTTTATATTTTCTATTTTAATTTTATGATGAAATGATAAATAGTTGATATTTAAATAATATTTAGTACTTATAATAAAAAATAAATTATAATATACCACATACAATACCAATATTTAGTAATATAAATATTTTTTATAATTTAATCAAATTTAAAAAACAATACTTTTGTACTATTTTTATTTTAATAATAAATAATATTTTTTGTAAATAGTAGAAAAACAATATTGAGAGAGAAAACTTTTTTATTTTTTATCAAGAGAATCAATATTCCACTAAATGTATTTTTGATAATTCCTTTGCAAACATTTTTTAAGAAATATTTGATAAATAAATAGTATAATTTAATAGAATTATTACTAAAAATTTATATAAAAAGAATATTTCCTTAAATTTTATTAATTAATTAATAACTAAATTATTAATATTATTGCTTACTAACTTGAATAGTATATAATTTTATAATATAAACTGTATTTAAGACAGTCATTTTATAGTGAGTGCAAAGTACAAGATAGATTGTTTAAATTTTAATATATTAACTTACTACTTTTTTATGCTCATTTATAGAAAAATTGTTACTATTTTTCTTGATTTTATTTTATTTGTAAATTAAAGGGATTGCTATTCACATAACCATTAATTCCTTTTTTATAACGATGTGATAACAAAGGATAGATTTAACTACCACTGTTTGATTCGTCTGTCTATTAAATATTATGATTTTAAGCAAAATTTACTGAATTATTTTCCTTTAAAAGTTATTACGATTTAAGCAATTAACTACTGTTTCCTATTTCTTTGTGGTGATTAATCCTTGATTTACTTAATTTTTTGTTTAGATTTTTTACAACATCCTAGAAACACTTTTTTGAAGTCTTGCTAAAATTAGTTTGTTTAGAATTATTAAAGAGAGATGAATCAATAGTAGACTCAATGTCTTAACCAAAACCATTAGCATTGCTTGAGCTATTACCTCTTTGAGTTAGACTCATAAAATTTTACTTTTTATCTGAATTTATCAAAGCACTTGATTTTAAGCTATTATTCAAATTACTTTAAGATAAATTTAAATTTGGTATATAAGGCTTTGAAATTTTGGTTTTTAAATTCTATTGACTTTACTCAGATTTTTGCTGTTAAGTTTGATCTTCCTACGTTTTTGTTAGTTAGACATAGCTTTACTGTTAAACAAAAGTTGATTCAAATTTATCTTTAAATTTACGTCTGTCATCCTCATTTTCAATTTGATTAAGGAAAAAGTTCTTTACTTAAGTTTTTGTTAACGAATTAGACTACTTAATATAATTATCTTGCAACTATGAACTCATCAGTGACTTTTCTTAGGCATATTCAAGGAATTCTTTAGGACAGTTGTTAGTGAAAGGATCTATTTAAGCCATGCTGCCTACTTAATTTTGTATAGACTATTTGTAGCTTTGTGTTGTTATGTATTTTTCTATTGTTGATTAATGGTTTTGTGGGGGTGATATACTATTCCTCTAAGTTTGAGATTACTTTTTACCTTAATTCTCAAACAATTTAAACTTCATCCCATGATTTCTCTCCAACTAATTTATCATTATGAGGTATTCACCTCCAGTCTAAAAATGATCTGTTGTTGATTAAGGTACTTTTTTGTTAAAATTAAAGATTTCTTTAGCTTCTTTTTTCAAAGTAAAATCATCTTTGTTTTAATTGATATTTTAATATCTGTTGCTTTACTATGAATTTAACTAGTTGGAACTTTGGAGTGGTTGTTTTTCGTACATATTTAGTTGTTTAGTTAAATTTTCTTAAGACTATGATTTAATTTTTTTATTGTTCTACTTGTAATATTATGATGTATAATATAACTACTAAGAACCTGGTAGTAGCTCTAATTAACTATTTCTTGCTTTTAAAACATTAGTTTAAAATGTGGCATATCCAGTTGAATTTTCAATCTATTAATTGCTTGAGTTAAACTTAACATTTGATTTTTATTTTTGGTCAAAAACATCTTAACCAGAAGGTAATGGAGAATTTTAGTTTTCGCTTAATTTATTGCTACTAATTTAGACAGTTAGCTGTCCTTATTTATTTTTATCATTTTTTTCTTTATTACTCAACTAATCTCCACTATCTATTATTAATACGGCTGGAGATGTAACAAATATGCCTTATTAATCTCCCACTTAATTTATTACTTATCTATTTGGTGAAACTGAATAAATCCTATTTTTTTAAATTATTTTAATTATTAAATAAATAAAATTTATATTATGTTTGGGCCTAAAAAAAATTATTTTTAACAAAATCCATATTTTTCAAATTAATTTCATAAATCTTTAAAATAAAAAATTTTTGTTAGGTAAAACCCACTGTTTAATTAAGGCCTTAGAAATATTTACTTTGAAAATGATTGCTGATTAGCTGAATTTTATCTGGTTCTTTAGTTGGTAGATTGTGATATCATTTGATTAGGTAGGTTTGCTAAGTTATTTCTACTAGAACTCTAAGGATTTTAAATTTAAATTTATGGTAAATTATGCATTTATGCTTCTTGTAAATGTTTTTATTGTAGGATTGAGTCTAACTTCTTTTCAAGAAAGAAAATTTAAGGATCTTTGTCTAAATAGTAAGCTTCATTGAATTTTTCAAGAACTTTTTTTCTATAATCTGGGTGAAAAAACGCTGATATAAATTTTTGTTCTTTATTTTTTTCTTCTTAACTTAAATACTGCTAGTACTCATCTGATCTCCTTAATTTTGTTCCTAAAAAGGAGTTACCTTAGTTTTTTGAATTTTCTATTCTCTTTATTTCTTGCAACTATTGCAAAGAGGGGCCTACTAATTCTTTTTAATATAAATGCTTTACTTTATTAAAAAGTAAGTCACGAGGAGTATACTCATCTTTCATTAATTTTATTATTTTTCTGCTATCTTCGACCTTTTCTTCTTCTTCCTCATTAATATTTAAATTGCTTTTTTATAAAGCAAGGTGAGATGATGCTGATCTTAATTTTTATTGCATTTCATCATTATTTTTCTTGGTATTATTTTTTTAAGGACTTTGTTTTTTGGTTTTTATATTTTTACTTTCTTGCAGATTTTATTGATTTAATATTTGTATTTAGGCTTCTTTTTACTCAATAAAATTTATTAAATTTTTGATGTTAAACTTTTAGAACAAAGAGAAGTCCATCTTATTCTTAAATTTTTCTTTGACTGCTTCAATTGATTGGATAGCAAACAACATTTTATTTCTATAAATAAGATCAAAATCAACTTTTAATTCCCATTTAATTGGAAGAGGATGCAATATGTTGAATGCTGCAATAAGCGTAATTTTTCCAAAAAATCCCCAAATCTTAATATAATTATCTGAACCGCAAGTTATTATATTTTCATTTTAATAGCTATGAATTTTTATAAACTCTAAGCTAGTCAATTATGATTTGTGTCCTTGAATAAGATCTATCATATTTTTACTTTAATTAAAATAAGGATCAAAAGGTCTTTCACTATCATCTTAATTTAAAATTAATCCTCTCACTTGTGAAATTTTGAGAACTGACTATTAAAATTTAAAGATAGCACTCGATCTATTCATATTATTTAGCACAATAATATCTTTAATTATGTTATTTTTGTTTTATTTGAAACATTAAATCTTATGGTTAGATAATGCATTTGTATAGTTTTCAAAATTCTATCTAAATGCATTATAATTCATTTTATTCTTGCAATGAGGCACCTTTATTAAACAAAAAAAACATGAATTAATTTAAATGAAAAATTTTTATTTAATCTCATTTAATATAATAAATATTACTAATTTTATGCCAGATTTCTTGAAGAGAGAAGAAATATCGTACTTTCTTATTTCTCCATTGTTAACACCTATAATTAAGGTACAAGATTCTGGAATAGCATTTTTATTTTTATCATCAAGTTTATCAAAGTTTATTTTACTTTCTTAATCCATACATAAATCAAAAATAATTTTGTTGGCGTATATGTTTGATTCTTTTTTAGTTTCTTTGTCAATACTTTTAGATTTATTTATTATTTTATTTGCTAATCCTAAATCAAACAAATCTTTATCATCTCCTTCTATTTTTACTTCATTTTCATTGTACAAATCAGTAATATCTATTTTTTTTTTTGAAATATCCTCCAATCCTTTGTTAATATTTGACTTTTTTAGGTCAGTTTGCTACAATAGTTTTTTTACATTTTTGATTTCATTTGGATTTATTTTACTTTCTCTACGCTATTGAATTTTATTATCTTTGATTTACGTTGTAGATACTTGGTTACCTTGAGAAACTAGTTCAGTCATAGTTATTTATGCTAAGTTAATAGGTTTATTACTATTATTTTGTTAAGGCTTTCCTTTTTATTTAATTTATTCTTCTTGAATTTATATTTTTTTCTTTTCCATCTTAAGCTATCTTGATTCCTTCTCTTACAATTAAAACGCCTTTTTTAACATTTTAAAAAAATTTTAATGATGTTATAGTTGTCAAAAAATTATAAAATAAAAAAGGATCTTTTGAGTGTTTATATATTTTAATTTTTACTCTTTTGACTTCATTGGCTACTAATTTTTTTAAGGCTTCACCTCTTAGAATTAGTGATTTAATAATGTTAATGTTAGCAATAATCTCTAGATCTAGATTATCATCAACTAATGTGAATTTTATAAAGTATATATAACCCTTTGTTGTTGCAATTATCATTATGCTGTATCCATTTATTATAGAAAGAGCAGTCGGTTCTTAATCTTATTCTAGTTCAAAAGAGGCCATCAGTCTACCAAACTCATAACTCCATATGAGTAATGTGTTATCATGAGAAGCAGTTAAAAATATATTGTGGTAAACACTGATTTCAACTAATGTTATTTCTTATCCATAGTGGCTATTGAGCACTTCTCTGTACTATTTTTAACAAATTGTTGAATAGGAAAATTAAAATTAAAGTTACCTTTTAGGATTACAACTTAGGGTTGATTTTTTATATCAAAATAGAGCTATCAGAAGAAGTTGTGATAAGTAATTTATTTAAGTAATCCATTTTTAAACCTGTTATTTCATTCGTATGAGCTGATATTTCTGAAAGTAACTCACCATTTTTTAGGTCGTGTATCCTCAACATACCTTTCTAAGTAGATACTAATATCTTTTGGCAAGAATCTAAAATTTAGAAGTTTGTAATATGATCTTCCTTTTTTAGTATAAAATAAATTGATTTAAAAATACATACAAAAAAATATTTACTTAGTTTTCGCTTAAGCTTGCAATAATCTTCTTAATCTTTCCATTTAAAATATCGAAGAACCTAACATCTCTTGTTGTACACACAATCAGTTCTTACTTTTTGATGTTTAAAAAAGTTCCAAGTGGCTAATATCCTTCTGCTAAAATTTATAAGCTATTCTATGCTTTTGCTTTCTTCTTAATTTCCATCTTTTGCTAAATATCTATATCAAATTCAAAAGAAGTAACACGCGAGCTCTAAAAAAATACTCTATCCATGGTGGCATGTATTTACTTAATAGGATTTCTTAAATCTATGTCTGTTTTTTTATTAATTTATTAAATATCATTGATTAAGTTTTACAATTTATATTAATACCTATGCTTTGAATGCAATTTGTAGTTCTTATATCCCATATTTTTACATTATATTTATCATCTGAGCTTACAATCATAGGTGTTCCTTCAATACCTTTAAATGCTGTTACAATTGACATATGACCTTAGAGCTCACCTACCTTATTAGCATCATTATAAGTAGGATGAAACTCATAAATGCAAATTTAATTATCATATCCTCCTGTCAAAATAACTTAGTAGGTCTAAAAATAGCTCATAATATTTAAGTGTGCATGGCTTACATTAATCTATTAATTTTTAAATTGCAAAATTATTCAAGAAAAAATAAATAAAATGAAATAATTTTGAATAAATTTATTTCTAATTTAATAAACAAATTTGAATTTATTATTTATAATTTTATTTAAATAATTTTGAAAAGAAATATCAAAATAAGATAATTTTATTTTATAATTTAACCTAGAACAAAAGCTTTTAGCCTAAGAAATCCCATATAGAAACATAATTATCACTAGAACCGATAGCAACAACTTTGAGATATTCAATTTCTAAGACAGCTATTATTCCTTTTTAGAACAATTAGGATGTAATTGAACTCGTTACTTCTTCTTTTTCAAGGTTCCAAAAATTAATTGATTTGCTAATCAAATATAAATTGAATAAAAACTAATTTATAAATTTGAAATAAAAATAGAATACTTGTTATCACTAGTAATCCATTTGTCTATGCAAGATATGTACCAAATTTTTGACTGTTCTTCAAGGATACTTTCGCCGATGTTAAAGGATTTTTCAAATTAAAAATTATCATTAGAATCCCAAAAGGCTAAAAAGTTATCTCTAAAAACACTTCCTATTCTCATTTACTTTTCAGACCAAAAAAAATCAATGCAAACTTGACCTCTTAGATGTTGACTTGTTGGCCTAAATTTAAAATCCATTTTACAGTTACCATCATATACAATAAAGGTATCACTATATTAATCTGATACAATTACTTTTTTAAGCTCATAAGCATATATGCTTTTCATAATTAAATTATTATTATGATGAACGCTATCTATATGAATTTTATCCTGTTTTTTATGTAATCATACATTTAATATTTGCATTCATTTAAATAAAAGTTAATATATAAAACATTTAAGCTCTTTAAAAATAAATAATTATTACTTTATTTAATCTGTATATTGACTCATTCGAGTCACGAAATATTACTGGTGCATTTATGTCAATTTCTCTAATTGTTCTTTAAGTTGTTGAATTGCCAAATTTTTTAGGAATGGGTAAAGATTTTGTAGGGATTTTGATACCTTGAGGTAAAATCTATTCATTAAAAGGATGGTGCTCACATAAAAAGAGTGTTATATCTGGTAACTTAATGTAATTTTTAGACTGCTTTATCACTTTCTCTTCAATTTAAAATTTACGAGAGTCTGTTTTTTCTACTTAAGTAACAGCTTCGAAAAAATCAATTATAGCATTCTATTTATTAATTTTTAAAAGTTCTTTAATGAATTAAATATACATTATAATTAGCTTAGGTAAAAGAATTACAATTAAGTATAGAGATTCATAAGAAGGAGTGTCGACTAATTTGACTATGATAAAAATAAAATCAACCAAATTCACTCCCTTAGTTATTTATCCATTTTCTAAAACAAATTTTTCATAGGTCATCTCAAAACTTATTAAATCTCTTTATAAAACTTATCGTATATATTCAATATTGTATTTCTTTTAAAGTAAATATCCATTGCTATCAGTTGCTTTAACTATGCTTTGTAGCAAATCTCGAGCTAACTCTTATTTAGATCCGAAAGACATTTAACTCATTAACTTGTTGTTTACATTTTAAAATAATTTTAATTTTTGTATATTGTTATGATCAAAATCCTAGCTTTATTGATGCAAATCTTCCTCATTTATTGAATTATATTGTTAAGAATCAACTTAATTATCAGCTTGCTAAACAACTAAATTCGTTTTATGATCAACAAGAATAGACTGTTTTCTCTTTTCTTAAAGCAATTTGAGGGATTGCTATTCTAACATTTAAAGCCTCTGCTATTCGTAGATCTGTACACAAAAAAATAAACTTTACTATAAAAGCCAGTGAATATTAAACTTTTTTGTTAAAGTTATATGGAAAAGATATTAACTTGTATAACAATAAGAATAATAATAAAAATTGCTTATTTTAAGAATAATCCTTCAATAATTAGTATCTATAACAGATAAAAACTCAATAATAAAATTGTAAAATTAAAATAGAATCAATTAATTTCAGTAGAAATTTAAAAGTGTTTAATTTGCATTTTCATTTTTAAAGTAATTAATTAAAAATGTTAATAATTAATTTAATAACTGAAAATAATTAAATTCTATTTTAAAATATTTATAAAATAAATTTCTTCATAGAATATAAATTGAAAAATATATTCACAATAGATTTAAATCTTTAAAATAATTACCAGTAATAAAAAGATTACCTTACTTCAATTTTACTTAATGATTTGAATTTTAAATTGCATTAATATTAATCAAATAGAAACCAAATAATTTCTAACGTAAATTAACATCTATTTACATAAACGTAAGAAAGAAGCCATGTTTGATCGTCATAAGTTATTTATTAAATAGCTGGATCAAAAGGTTTTAAAACAATATTTTTGTAATTTGTTGTAAAAAATGAAGAGTTTTCATGATAAAAGTTATTTATAAAAAAGTTGAGTATTTAATTAATAAAAAAGTTTGTATTAAGAATAAATAATTTACTAATCAAACAAACATATATAAAATAGCTTAATCTCTCATTAAAATTATTAAATTTGTAAGTAATCAAGAATATTATTAGAAATGGCATAGTAAAGAGGTACAGGAGCAAATAATAATTATAAAATATTTTCTCGAATAAGACCAATAGAGTATTAATCTAAAATGATAGAATGCGGTGGGGACAATTCTATCAGTATCCGCGACCCATCATCAAAACAAAAGGAGAAATAAGCATTTCAATTCAATGGTGTTTTTGATAGCAACACTAATTAAGAAACAATTTGGGCTCATGTTTGCGAACCTTGCATTTAAAAAGTAATTCAAAATTTAGATGTTAAAATGGAGTGATTGAATTAATTAGAAAATTAGTTAGTTTAGAAAGGAAAAAAATATCATTTCATTTAAAACATTTAGTAAATTATAATTCCTTTATTTCAAATGAAAGTTTCATAAAATATTATCAAAAGTAGGAATATTAATAATTCATCAATTAAAAATTAAAGGTTATAGAAGGACACAATAGCTGTATTTTAAGTTATGGATAAACAGGTAGTGGCAAAAGTTTTACTATATTTGGCGAGGATGAGAGATTTTCTATCAATTAAGGCAATTTATTTATGGACGGCAGAAAGGATAGAAGAGGTTTAGTACCAAGGACAGTAGAGCATCTTTTTAGAAAAGCATAAGAATTAGAAGATATTCGAGAATTTGTAATAACTTGTTCTATGACAGAAATATATTTAGACTAAGTAAGAGATTTAGGCAAAGCTTATTTTTAAAATTAGCAAGGTAAGTAATTGATTAATTAATACATTTTTTATGCCATTTACTTACTTAATTTGAAAGAGAAAGGAAAGCACTCTTTAAATTGATTTATTTTGAGATAGAAAGATAAATAGATATATTATTACATCTAAAAAATTTTCAAATCAAAAACACTCAAATAATATTAAATAGAAATATATTATAATAGATTTATTTATTTATTATTATTTCTTATTTATTAAACACATTTCAATTATAAAAGAGTCAAATAGAGGCAAGACCGTTCTCAGTGCAAGTAATTAAAGAATCTTTAATATGATATACAATACAAATTTGATCTAAATTTTATCAAATATTTAAAAAGAGTAATGTAATATATTTTATTTTTATTAAATAATAAATACATAGCTGCTTTAACTTCTAATTTTGAAAACGAAAATCTAACAATTTATGAAAATACAAATGGATAGATTGTCATAAAAGATTTAACTCTTATTCATATAAAGCAAATGAGTGAACTTTATGAAATGATATCAGCTGCAGTAATTAAAAGTTTATTGTGATATTTATGCTTATCTAATTTTTTAAAATTAAATAGTATTAATTAAGAGAAAAATTTGATACAAAAAGCAACTAAATATGGGCAAGAGCACACACAGTATGATAAACAAATACATTTAGTATTGCTCAAAATTAATTTCATTTATTTTTAAATAGATATTTACAATAAATGTGGTTCAAAAAGATAAAGAAAATGAAAACATTCCATTTATGAATTCTACAATTCAATTTGTAGATTTGGCTGGCAGTGAACGCATAGCCAAGAGCTTAACAGAAGGACATAAATTTTAGGAAGCTATTTTGATAAATACTTCTCTAACAGCATTAGGAAAAGTAATTTAAAAAGAAAATGAATTCTAATCTTTATGCTTATTTTGTTTAATAGTGCCTGCAAAATATAGCAAGATCAAATAAATCAATCCCTTATCGAGAATCAAGAATGACAAGAGTTCTTTAAAATTGTATGGGAATTAGTTGCTACGTTACATTAATTGTAAATTTAAATCCAAGTGAATCCAACTACGAAGAATCTTTATCGTCTCTATAATTTGCAGAAAGAACAAAAATAACTTAAAGCAAACAAAGTGTGACAGTAAATTCAGGAGGTCTTACTCCAGGAGCTGCAAGCAATGGAGGAAACTAAGAAGAATTTATGATGCAAAATATTGGAAATTTTGCAGGAAATGATAAACTAATAAAGTCTTTAAAAGACCAAATTAAAGATCTTGAGACTAAAATAGATTTTATCTAGAGAGTAATCAATCAATCAATCAATTTATCAGAAATGATTTCATTCAATCACATTTTATAAAATTATTTCATGAATAAAATTTAGGAAAATAAATCAAAGATGACAGAAGTTTAGAATATTCTAGGATTAGAAGTAGATTTAGATAAAATTTTATCTCGTTCTTCATAAAAAGATTTACAATAGTTTAAAATGTAAAGAGAAGCTGTAGCAAAATTAGAAAATATTTAAAAACAAAATAAAGATTTGGAAGAAGAAATTTAATAGCTGCATAAACACATTGAGAATATACAAAGGGAAGAAGCATTGAAGTAAGAAAGGCAATCATGCTAAATCATAGAACTTAGAAGCTAAGTTAGTAAGCTTAAAGAACAACTGAGTAAGGATAAAATGAATAGTGATGAAGAAATAAGGAAAATATAATAAGAAAGAGAGTTGGAAATTAAGTAAATGATAGAAAAATCTAATTAATTGCTTGAAGAAAAGGCTTCCATGATTTTAAATTTACCAAACAACTTGCAGAATAAAACAAATGAAAATTAAAAAGTGAGTGAAATTAAAAGAAATACCAGAACAGAAGTGGAAAAGGAATTTAAATCATAGATAGACAACCTGAAAAATGAATACACTAGATTGTATGATAACATGAAGACATAATATGAATTTCACTTGAAATAGAAAAATGAAGAAATAGAAAAATATTTAGATTAAATGAAAAAATACAAACAAAAGAAAAAGTAACAAACGACAATATAAAATTCTTCTACAAATTTATCCATCCATCCAGCAAAATCATAGATTTTTGCAAATTTTTAGAGCAAGATTTTTATAAAATTTTAGATTTATCTTTTTCAATCAATTTTTATTTATGATTAATTATTTTTATATTTAAATAAGGTCTGAGTCTGAACTATTAAGAAAAGAAATTTTAGAGCTTTATGATATTTGGTTTTAATAAAATAAAATAATATAAAAAATAGAAGTAAAAAAATTTCATCATTTTGTTATTTATTCATTTGTATATTTTATTTTTATTAAAAAAATTAAGATTGGTCATTACAGTGGAGGCAAAAAATCATTTAACATACCCTCAAGGGATAAACCAAATCAGCCAAATAGAACTTCATTTTAATTGTAAGTTATATTATTAGCAAACACCTACTTAATATAATGTTTAATTAAATAAAAGATTGTTTAAGTTGCTCGATTAAAGACTTTTAAAATCATCTGACAAGCTAAATAAAAGCTTTTAGAATAATAATAGTCTTTTGTAAACGAATGGAAGTAATGTAAATGTAACTTTTGGTGGCTTTGGAGGAACTAAGACAGAAAACTTTGAGGCTACAGATTTAAATACTAAAAAATTAGCCATGTCATAATATGGCTCAGTAAGTATTGTGGATCCAAAAAAATAAGCAGCATCTCTAGCATCGAAAACCTTTTAGTCAACTCTTCTAGCATCATAAGCTTTCAAATCTAGCTTAAACCCTAATTTTAATAGCAGTATAATAAACTAAGATAAATCGATAGTGAATAAAGATTAGCAGTAAGAAGGGTTGTCAACAAATAAATCTGTAAAAGATTTTAAAATTATCACAGATGTAAATGTTGATCTTTCTGTTAATCTTGCTAAAATAAAAACAAAAGAAGAATTTCCTTAACTTAAAGTATATGCAGAAAGACTTAAAGATTCTTTACAGTAAAATAAATTAATTTTAACAAAATCATAAAAGTATTAAAATTTTATATTAATCTTAGTGCTGCTTTGATGAGAGAAAAGGATCTTAAAGAAAGAGTTTAGGAATTTGAAAAGATAAATAATAACATAGATATTAAAGCTTTAATAAATGAGAGAGACGAGTATAAACAATTGTACATGCAAGAAATGAGAAAAAATAATTCAATGTCCAGAGGCTCAACTAGCTTCATGGAATCGACTTAAAGAAGATTTTTTGTAACAGGAGTTCCAAATTAACCAGCTAATGCAACTCACTCTAATGGATTTTTCAAATAAGTAAATGGTGCAATTAATATAGAACAATATAACTCCACTAATAATTTGAGTAGACCTTAAACAAATTAAGGTCTAATGAGGTACAATAAATCCTAAGACAGATAGCTAGTACCCCTATTTAAATGATTGATGTTAAAATATAAAAAATAGTAAAATAAAATTGAAAAATATGATTAGTTAGTTAGTTAATTAATTTGTAAAAAGTAAATTAAATTTTGAAATATTGGCTATTTATTTTTATAAAAATTGTTTTTTTGCATTTATTTTGCAAAATAAGTGAATTCAAATAGCTTGTGAATACATAATTAATGAATGAATGATCTTTTAAATAGATTAAATGAATAATTATTGCAATATTAATATTTATTTTTATATACTATTGTATTTTGTTATAATTAATTAATTATATTATCAATCTTATTATTTTAATCATAGCAAAAACTATTTAAAATCATTTATATTTTTAACAAAATTAACTATTTTCAAACCCAGCTTATGAATTTCAACATTAATTTTAACAAAGATTAACTAAATTAATAAAATATTGCTATTAAAATTCATAATTAATCAAAGATTTAAACATTTCCTTTATGTTATTGAAAATTTTATATAAAATTATTATTCTAATTTAAGCATACTAAATTTTAATAAAAGCATTTTTTATTGTAGACAGCTTTTTTGTATTATAAGATTAACATAGACTGTTTGAATCAAAGAATCCAAATATTATAAGATCCAATAAAAATTTTGCATTCAAATTGAGAGTCTACTATTAATTAAGCAATTTATTTAAAGGAGACGTCTATATCTAAAATTTTATTCAAATTTTGCAAATATATCTATATATCTATATTTTTAATGTGAAGTCTTTCTATTTATGCAAAAATGTATATATGTATGTATGTATTAAACAAAGTAAATAATGTTGCCAAATTTAAGAAGTAAGATACTAACTAAAACAAATGAAATCATTCATCCATTTTATCTTAAACAAAATAAACATAATAAAATTAATAGCCCAGAAAAAAATTATAAAAAGAGGTTTCTATTAACTTTATAAAGCAATTTATAATAATAAATTAATATAAGATATAATAAAACTAAAAAATTTACTAATAAATGTTCGGTAATACAGGAGGAGGTGGACTATTTGGAAATACTTAGACTTAACAAACCGGAGGAGGACTTTTCGGTTAACCTTAATAAACCTAATTCGGTTAAACTGGTGCCACCGGTGGTGGTCTCTTTGGTGGTGCTACCAACACCTTTGGAGGTGGTGGCGGCGGAGGTTTATTTGGTGGAAATAATAATCAATAAACCAACCCTACAGCTGGTGGTGGAATATTTGGTTAAGGTACCACTGGTAATAAATTTAAAAAACATATTAAAATAAAAATTAAGCAAATATTTAGGAATAGAATTTAAATAAAAACAAGAATTGCATTTATGATATGAATCAAGCAAGTTTAAAAATGACATTTTTAATTAATAGTCAATTTGTAAATTTTGATAGCAAATAAATGATTTTGATTTTTTAGATAATTTGAAAAATATGAATGTTGTATAGGCACATTTAAAACGAATGCCTTTTTATGAATTTAAAATAAAAGGGAAAATAAGCTAAATAGTTTGTAAAAAAATTTTAGCATTTAATTTTAAACTATTTTAAAAAATGTGTTTTTGAGTTTTTAATCTAGTGAAATACTTATTAGAAAATTTGATATTATATTTACTTAATAAAAATAATCAATAAAGTGGCTTTAAACAAGCTTTTTATTCATATTTTTATTTATTAAAAAGTAATTTAATGATATATTCTACTCTACCTAATAAAACTTGCTTTATTTTATATTATTTAGATAAGCAAAAATTTATATTATTTTATATTTAAATTAGGTCTTGGAGGAGCACCTGCTCAAACAGGAGGTGGTTTATTTGGAGCACCATAAAATAATCAATAAGGAGGTGGATTATTTGGAGGTGGAACAACTACTGGAGGTGGCATGTTTGGAAATCAGGCTAATACTCAAACAGGTGGTGGTGGTCTATTTGGTGGACCATCATAACCTACAACCTAACCACCTGCATTTAGTCTCAACAACCCAACAACTGGAGGAGGCGGATTATTTGGTAAATATATATTTAAATTTAAAATTAATTTAATATGAATATAAAATATTTATTTGTTTATGTTGATTAACAACTTGAATTGGCTGTCATCATTAGAAACCCATTTCAATTTAAGATGATAATTTTATTGTAGACGTACTTTGGTTATTTACGAATAACCTGTCTACACTAAGTTTTCAAATTAAAAGCAGATCAAGTATATAAATATCCGCTCTTTTTTCAAAAATATAAAAAATATATTCAAGATAAGAATTTAATAATTAGAATAATAAGAAACTCACTATTGATTAATAAAATAAACAAACAAATAAATAAACAAATATTAACTTTACTGCTAATTTTATTAAAATTTGACGACAATATTACTATGAATTAATATATGTATAATTAAAATAAATTAGGCTAACCTGCAAATACTATGGGTGGTAACAATGGAGGATTGTTTGGTGGCTAAACAAATTCTTTTGGAGCAAATAATAATATGCTTGGAAATAATAATAGACCATAAGGTGCTGGAATTTTTGGAGGAGCTACTACTACTGCTCCTACTGGAAATACAGGAATGTTTGGAGGTAAATTATTTATAATTTTTTATTTAAATTAACAAATTTTTATATATTAAGGTATTGGAGCAAACAATGGTGGTGGAGGCTTATTCGGCATGAATAACACTAATACTAATCCCACAGGTGGTTTTGGTGCTACTAATCCTACCGCTGGAGGTGGAGGCTTATTTGGAGGCGGTGCTACTACTACTGGTGGTGGTGGATTATTCGGAGGTGGTAATACTTAAGGTGGAGGCTTACTAGGAACTGCTAATACAACTGCTGGTGGTCTTCTTGGTGGAGGATTTAATATGAATAATAATACAGGTGGTATTTTAGGATAAACTAATAATTAATTTGGACTTGGTAGCTTTGGAACTAATAATAATGCAGCAGCTGCACCCTTTTAACCTAAAGCCTCAGCAAATGGTGTTCTCACTAAGCCTAATGAAAAGAATTTATGCTATGCTATTTCAAATGGAACTGATTTTTGTATATTTGAATTAGCTTTGACATAAAGAAAACTAGTTAAGGCTGGATAACTAAAACCTGGAGCTCAATAAGCTGGTGGTATGTTTGGTCAGCCTGCTTAAGGAGGTAATGGTCTTTTTGGTGGCGGTGGTGCTGCTACTACAACTCCATTTGGTGGTGCATAAAATGGTAATCTATTTGGAGGATAAAACACTCAAGCATAAGGAGGTGGTCTATTTGGTGCTCCAGTAAACAATGCTGCCACAGGAGCAGGTGGCGGATTATTTGGAGCAAAACCTGCAGCAACTACTACAGGAGGAGGACTGTTTGGATAAATGCCTGCATGTAACTCAATTAATTTATATATAATATCATATTTAAAAAAATTAATTTGATTGATTTATTTAAAATAAATTATCAATAATTTTGGAGAAATTTTTTTTAATTTTTTTTATATAAACATTTCTCATTTGGAAAATTTATATTTTAAGTATTATTTTTAACATATTTTATTACTTTAATTATTAGAGACAGGAGGTTTCCTTGGTAATACTGCTACTTAACCTGCCGGAGGTGGTTTATTTGGAGGTGCTACAACAACTTAGGCTCCAGGTGGTGGTGGTGGTGGTGGACTCTTCGGAGGTAATACTACTGCGGCTACTACTGGAGGTGGTTTATTTGGAGGAAATACTTAAACTGGAGGAGCTACAGGAGGATTATTTGGAGGATAACAACCTAATAACTAAGGAGGTTTATTCTTGAATACTGGAAATGCTAATAATGCTAATACTGGAGGTGGACTATTTGGTGGAGCTACTACTACACCTGCTACTGGTGGTGGCTTGTTTGGAGGTTCTACTAATACCTAACCTGGATTGGCTACAGGTGGCGGTCTATTTGGTAATAATTAAGGTGCTTCTTAACCTGCAGCTTAAGGTGGTCTATTTGGAGGTGCTGCCCCCTAACAAAATAGTTTATTTGGAGGAGCTACTGCTGGAGGATAAACCGGTGGCTTATTTGGAGGAGCTACAGGAGCCACTCAACAATAAGGAGGTGGCTTATTTGGCTAAACAGCTTCTAATCCTACTTAAGGAGGAGGTCTATTTGGAGCAGCAAATCCAGGTTTAGGAGGAGCTGCAGCAGGCACATAAGTAGCTTAACCTGGACTCAATGGATTCTAATCACTAATTTAACTATTAGAATAAACATAGAATTAAAATAATGATAAATTTGCTTTAGATGACGACACTGAATAAAATTGGGTCTATGGAAAGTTAAGAGATGGCTATTAAGGGGGTAGTTTAGGCTACTTCTAAGGTGGAGATAGCTACTCATAATCTGGCAATAAATTTATCTAGCTTGAATAATAGAGTTTATATGGATATTAAAAAAAGAAATAAGCTTACAATTAATTCAAGAACTTAGCTCATCGTGATGAAAAGGAAAAGAAAGACGAAATGAAAAAACTTCTCTCGTCTTTCTCTTCCTCCTTTGTAGGAATAGGTTCAGAGTAAAAAAAATAAGTTAATTTATCATCTTAAAGTTAAGCTTTACCAACTCGTCTACAACAACGTAAACTATCAGGTTCCTCTGAAATTTCTCATGTCAGTGAAAAGTTAAAATAGATAGAAAAAAGTGATCTTTGCATCGATTTCATTAAATCTAGAACAAGCAATCGTATCAGAATACCTGTTAAACCTCGTTATACTTTTGGAGATGTCAAACAAAAAATACTTAATGAATTAATTAACGACAATGAAATAAATGTAAGAAACTTCCGTCTTCAAGCTCGTCTGAAAGGGCCTAATAAAGCCCCAAAACCATTACGTGATACTGATCCTGTATTCTAAAATAAAAATTTACCTTTTGAAAATATTGACTATATTGAATTAGTTGAAAGATCAGGTAATATATCTAGTTTGAATGCCACTCTAAATAACAACAATAACTCGTTTGTGCTAAATAATATTCCAAATGATGAAATAGATGATAGAAATTCTCTTTAAAATAACTCTAGACCTATTGATTAAAAACCTTTACTTAAAGCTAGATCTCAACGTATAAATTTACCATTTAGATTCTCATCCATGCCTTCAGTTGACGAAATGGAGAAGTTTACTGAATAGCAGTTATCCTAGGTTGAAAACTTTGTTTTAGAAAATGAATATGCTAGAATAGTATTTTAGGAGCCTGTTAATTTATATAACTTAGATCTATCTCAGTTAATATTCGAAGAATCTAGGATTTCTTTAGAGTAAGTTCCTGAAAGTGATCGTTTAAATAAAAAATGCATAATTGAATTCAAAAAATTCGGTTTGAAACAGCTTAACTCAGGTAAATCAAAAGAAGAAGTTAAAACATAGGTTGAAAGGCTAGTCAAAAAGAAAAATTTACAATTAGTTAAGCCATATGATGTAGATAATACTAAATTGGTTTATATACAAGATAAATTTTATTGAATATAAAAATTAATTGTATTAATATTGTTTTTCTGAAAAGCAAATTAACTTTAGAAAGCTTTAATATTAGAATAGCTATTTCAAACCTTAGTTTTTTTTATCAAAAGGGAGATCTCTTATTTGAATAATAAATTTAAGTTTATTCTATTATCAATACTATGTTTTATTTATGTTATATATATTTCGTTTTTCAATTGAATATTTTACAACTTCATTAATTAAAATTTAAATTATTAAAAAGTGTTTAAAATTTCTAATTTTTATTTAAATATTGTAATTTTTTTACAAAAAAGCTAATATTTTGGCTTCATCAAACAATTAAAATGGCAAATTTTCAAATGTAATATTTTTAATTGACAATAATTAATCCAATAAAAATGATAAAATATTGAAATGGTTAAATTTTATCATTTAATTTCAAAATTTATCAATAATATTTAAAGCTATTTTATTATTAATAATTAATAATGAAAAATTTTAGAAAAATTAAATTGGTAAAAAAAATTTTTTTAAAACTTAATTTTATTAAACACTCATTATTAGTTTGTAAAATTTATTGATTTACAATTAATTAATTTATTATTAACATGGTATATAAAAATATAAAAAGATTTTCACTTTTAAATCATTTTTGAAAGGAAAAAAAGTTATGAATTAAATTTGCATGCTCTTTTTGCTTTATATTCACTTTGGTAAGTGTAGAAAATCCTATAATTTCAAATTTCGAATTGAGATCACAAATTTAAAAGTTAAGAGGTATTTCTTTTGAGAAGTCTTGGTTTTAGCTTAGCTTATACTTTATCAACCTAAAAGAAGGGACTTACTTATCAATGTTGTTTTTTAAGCATTTTTAAAAATTTTAACTTTTGATATTTGGTAAGCACTTCAGATCTAATATTTAATCAAAATAATGCAGTTGTTGTCTATATTTTTCTATCTTTATTTTTTTCTTTTACTAAATTTGTTATTCTAACATCTCTTTTCTACTCATTAATCTTTTTAACTCCTTTTATTAATACATCTCAAAATTTTAATGATTTAGAATTGAGTATTTTTTGAGTTTAGAGTCTTCCTTTAAAAAGAAAATTTTTTATTCTAAAATATTTATATTAGATTCCAACTAGAATATTGTTTTGCTTTAACTTTACTCCTCTTTTTCATCATAAAAAAAATGAGACGTTAAATCAGGTAAGTCTATTGGTATATCATCTTCAATATCTTCGTCTTCCTCAACTTGTTTAGACTCTAAATTTTCCTTATTTTCATATTAATTTAACTTATCTATGATATATCCTAAGTCTTACAATTCCTCTTATTCTGTTAGTGAGGAATCTAGCATTAGTTAAAAAGAATCATTGTTATATACACTATTTTCTTCTTATAATGATTCATCTTCTCGTTAATCAAGGTTTCTATAGTTTATTTTTTTTTATTTTTACTAAATATTTTTTTTATTTTTGTTTCCTTCTTCAGCAGAGCTTTCTAGGTCATCAAATTTCAAACTCTTTTCACACTTAACTTAATTTTGATCATCTTCCCATTTAATTTTTTTTTTGGGTTTACTTTTTGAATAGAAGTAATCGCTTAATCCACTGTCTTCATCATTACTTTAATAGATATTTTTATCTTCTTCATCGTTGGAGAAAATGTTTTCTTTAGATTTCTTAAATTTATTCTATTTCTAGCTATTTGGTTTATTTTTTGTTTATTTTTATTTTTTTGTAGATGAAGAAAACAGATTTATTTCTTCTATTTGCTTAGTATCAGAAGAGGATTATTTGGATTCATTACTTGTCACATCTTTCTCTTTTAGTGAGGATTTCTTCTGTTCATAAATAGTAAATATATTATTATCAAGTGAGACAGGTGCTCTTTTCACTCTACTAGATCTCCTAAGCTAATTTTATTATTCTTATTCACTATTTTCACTGCTACTTTCTCTTGTATTTTGAAAACTTTCATCTGATTATTTGCTCTCATTACATTTTTCATTTATATTCTTTTTATTGAATTTTTCTCTCTTTGCTTGCTTATCTAATATTCTCGTTTCTATTTCGGTTTCTTAATTGTTATTTCCTTGTAAGAAATCTTTTTCTTCCTCTTATTCTTCATCATCAGAATTTGCTTTAAAAATTTTTTTTTGTTATAGTTTTTTCACTTTCTTTTTCTATGGGGAAGGCAAATCTAAGCCAAGCTCTCTTTTAAGTACATTTTATATATTCTTTTGTGACTTAGTTTGTTTTTGCTGTTCTTTTTAATTTAATATTTTTGGTTAAAGATTTTCCAGTTTTTCATTGCTCAAAGATTTTTTTTAGGTTATTTTGTTCTCGAATTCTTTTTTCTAGTTCATAAATTTATCTAAAAATATTTTTTCTAACTCTATTGCTTTGTAGTTTACAATTTATTTTTATTTTTCTAAAGAATTTTATTTTATGTTGCTTTAAAATTGTTATTTGAGATCAATATCATTTTTTACTATAAGCCTTTATTGCTCAAATATATTTAACTTATAAATGTTGTCTGTTTCATCATCTTAATTGTTTTAATCTATTGCTTAAAATTTATCACATTTATTCTCATCAGACTATACATTTTTGAGGTCTTAGCTTTTTTATTTTCCTTTTTCATGTTGACTTTCAAATTTTAAATTAGACTAATTCCAATTACTAAAATGAATTGATGCTGGTTAATTTTGGTTTTAGTTTTATACAACACTGTTATTTTTTTTACTCACTTCCTATTAAGAGCTGTCTATGCTTGAGCTAGGTTCTTTGCTTTCTTTTTATCTTTTAGGGTCATTTTTTTGATAATAAAACTATTCTAAATTTGAAATCCCAACACTAATATCTTGAATTTTATGACTTAAAACATCTTTGCTAATTTATGAATCTTTTATTTCCTTATTTTAGTTTAGTTAGACAGACATTTAATCTTTGTTTTTGTTTTAAGGGCCATATTCATCTATCATTTCTATTTTTACATTATATAGAAAAGATAAAATATATTCAGAATTCATTAGTTTTAGTTATTAATTTAATAGAAATAAAGGATTAAATTTTACACTGTATCCAATCATCGTAATTCTTTTGTTCTTCTTCTGTATTCATTTTTCTATATAAATAAAATAAATTTACCATATTTTCTATATAAAATGAATATACAATTAGCTGTAAATCTGTTATTTATCATTAAAAAAGCCATAAGATTATTTTTATTAAAAGATCTGAGCAATATGATTATTGCATATAATGTAGTAATAAGTAATATTTTCTTCTTTATCTGAATATCTCACAGATTAGTTTTAATGGATAAGTCTCATTCCTTATTGATAGTATATCATTTTTTTTTCTGCTGCACATAATGGGTGGTAGAACTGTTTGCATGAGGGAAATTATTTGTTTTGGTGTTCACACTTTATTTTTATAAAATATTTCTTAAATTAGGTTACTATGTATGTGTCTGGCATCGTAATTTTATCTATCAGAATGTTAATTTTATTGAATAAAATTTTAATTTGTATTAAATTACTTAAATGAGAAGGCCATTTCCTTGATTGCACTAAGAGCATTTATACTTCTTACCTTAGTTACTTTTTTTCTTATAATCCTCTTCATCCCAAATAAGTAAGAATTTAAAATGGTAGATAAAGAGACAAGAAGAGCTATTTATACAGAGGGGATGTGCAAAAACTCTTTTGATATATTTATTGTTTTTTATTTGTTCCTCATTTAACAATAGCACAGGTGTTTTATCTATAAAGTATTCGTAGTCTGAATATTGTTTATTTTTCTTAGAAGAAAATTTTACTCTTCTAGAATCAAAGTAAAAGCATTTCATCATACCTATATCTCTTTAACATATTAAGCATTATATATCTATTTCTGGGTTTATTTCTCTTTCTAAACAGCTTTCACACTTTACAAAAGTAAAATTGCACTCATCTTCGGTTTCTTATTCTTAAAATTAAAAAAATAAATTAATAAGCTATTTAAATTATGGTTATGAATTAATTATTTGGTAGTTGGAGAAATAAAATGGATTTATTTATAATTTAAAAATTGAAAAATCAAAAAAATGTTTTCTTCTTCTAAATAATTTAATCAAAGATTAATGAAAAAAATTTGTGCACATTATTTGATAATTGCTTACTATTTATAAGATCAAACTAGTCTTAAGACACACTATAACAAAGCTTATGTAAAAAGGAATTGCATTCTTCACAATAAAGCATTTCATTTTCTTCTGTTATTTAACTATCAAAGCAGTTGTCACACTTTCTGGGATCTTTTTCATAATCTTTGCAATGGAAGTAGTTAAAATAAGGTTTGCTTTTTAAAATACTATCATTTTATTATATTTTTCTGTAAAGCATTTTTCTTTAAATATCTTTAAAATTATATTTGTTTTATATATTTGACGGTTAATCTTAGCTAGTAGGCTAATTTTGAGAGATTTTGCTAATTTTCTGCCTAGGTGTGACTTTTTTATTTTTCTTAGTAATGTACTTGGTCTTATTTTACTTCTTTTGAGTGTTAATTCTTGAAGACGAAGTTAATTATTTAGCTTATATAACAACAACGTTCTCTTTTTTATTTTTATTTACTTTCTAATTTTTTGAGGGTAATTTTTTATAAACACTCCTTGTCATTTTATTAGAATGATTTTATGAATTTAATTAATTTAATAAATTTTAAAGAAAAGACATCATTATATTTTCAAAATTAATTAATAACATACTTGTAATTAGTCATTATAAATAGAGTGAATTTTTCTTGAGCTAATTGATTTATTTATATGTAGCAAACTAAATATTTAATAATCTAATTTTATTTTTTTAAAAAAGTAAAATAAATTTTTAAAATAAGTAAAATTTAACTATGAATTTTTTAAATTTTTTTAAATTTTGAAAAAATAAATTATTTTTTAATCATTTTATTTAATAGAGAAAATAAAAAAAAAAGTAATCTTATTTGTTTCTCCTAAAATTTATCTACTGAAATCGTATAAAGATAGAGTAAAAATAACCTTATCTAATTAAATTTAAGAAGAATAAAAAATAAAATTGCTTGGGGATAATAATAATAATCAATGAAAATTTCCATTTTAATTAAAAAGGAGATAATTTGAGATTTTCCCTCTTTATTTTTCTTTTCACATTTACACTTATCATAATAAGTAAAAATATTAATTGTAAGACTCAAAATTTACCTCTGCTTTTTTTTGATTTCTAAAAAAACTGAAATTTTCCTTCAAATTTTATAGTTATTTTTAAAGAATGCCTCACATACAAAAAAAATCATGAAAAAATAATTTATCACCAAAAAAACTAAATTGCTTAAATGAAGGAGTAATAGGAGAGGATGCATTGTAATAATTGAATAATAAATAAATTATTATTTAGAAAACTTTTCTTTCTTTATTGCTAGATAAAGCTATTATTTACCTGAATTTCCACCCTAATAAGCTTTTGTCAAAGTCTATGAAGTAATTCTGAGGAGTAAAATGTTTAAATTCAAAATTTGAAAATTAAAATAGAATAGTAAATTTGAATAGTGTAATCTACACGTTTAATGTTTTGATAAAAGATATTGAAGGTAAATGGATGATATTTTATTGAATAGATAAAGACTGCAAGGAATTATAGACTACAAAATTCGAATTCAGGATGATAATCAAATTTACTATTTTATTCTAAAAAGAGAAAAACCTTCTATTTTATTTGATAATTAGAATGCTTTTCAAGTAAAATAATAATCTAAAGCAACTATTATTTTTATTATATGTGCAAAGGGGTAGGAAATAAATGACTAATTATAATAAGATTATGAAAATTAAGATGAAAATTATTGTTTTAAAGTTGCATTCACCTTCTAAAAATACACTCCGCAAATAAAAAAATTATTAATAAGAATCGATGGAAAATAAATATGTTTATAAATCATTTGTATTTAATGTGGATAAAGTATAAAAAGATTATTGCGTGTTTTGTACTATTAAGGTATAGATGAAATTGTTTTATTCAAACTAATTGGTGCTTGATTAAAATAAAAATATTTGATCTACAGATTTTCTTAAAAACTATCTATTTATTTTTGTATATAAATAATTTTCCGCAGGTAAAGTATCATCAATAATATTGTTAATTGTAGTAGCAGTTTAGTTCTATTTTTCACTTATATGTAATAATTTATTGATTGATTTCTGCATTACATATTTTACTACTTTATATTAACTAATAGTAATTCTTTGCAATAGACGAAAACCAACTATAAATAAATTTCAATACAAAATTTCTACAAAAATTAGTGTAAAAGAAGCTTTATACTATCATTAGATACGAATTTTAATCTATGGAAATTGAAGAATTTTTATATTAGCTATTTTAATATAATCTTTAGTATCATCCACCATTAATTAACATCACTCTAATAGAACCAAGATAATAATTTAAAAAATTTAAAATAATTCGCTGTTTAATGTCATATTAATCAGTGAAGATATACTTAATTTACTTGCGTTCTGTTATTTTAATCGTTTAGGCTTTATTTTATAAATGGGTAAATAAATATTTTTGGATATTTTTTTTCATTTTTTTACAAATGTTAAACAGCAACAGTAATAGTAACACTTCTTGCTTTTTGTTTGACAATCAAAGTAAAAATAAATCTTACATAAAAAGTGAAACTTTTTTTTATCAAAAAAGAAAAATTAAAAGCAAATATTTTATGAAACTGATAAATATAATATAAAATTAAGTTATATTTAGAAATATAGAAGGAATGATACTGTCATAAAAGAAAATTATGACGACATATGAAAAAGTTATAAACATTAATACATAATGTCTGTTAAAAAATGATACAGTTGTCAAAATAAATACCATAAGAGCTTTTAAACAATTGTAATAAAAGCATGGTGAATTATTTAAAAATAATACAATTTAATTCTCTTTTCAATAAATTATCTGTGGAAAAAACAATTTCTTAGTAAAATATTCTAAAATATTAATCAAAGATAAGTGTTTTCTTAAATTTTTTGAGTGGTGAGAGTACTTTATATCTTTTACTTTATGTATAAGAAAATATGAGTTTGTTGTTGACTTAGTAATCACTCAAACCATTCTAACTTATTTATAATACTCTCAATAGAGGCTTTATGTTTTATATGCAGTTACAAAATTATATATATAGATAATTCTGATTAATATACCCTAACAGAAGCAAATATACTATTTCGATCCTCCCTTCCTTACTTTATTTTTAGATCCAAAAATCAAAGAATAGCAATGAAGGGTTGTAAACTAAAAATGATGAACTATTAAAAAATAATAATATTTGGTCAAAGCTGATTGACCTCTATTTTTTTAATTTTGTCAAGCATATAACGAAGAAAAAAATTCTTTAAGTTGCAAAAATTAATTGGTTAGAATAGATAATATTAACAAACCTACAAATGTTAGAGTAAACACTAAGCAAAACAAAAGAATGAAAGACTGAATAGTACTATTAGAGATAAGTATGTAGATCGAATAAAATTAGTGGAAATTATTAAAAGTAAGAAATTCAGATAGATTTTTAGTAAATTTGTTCTTTCTCAAGTTTATATAATTAGTATGAAGATATTCATTAAAATAATCTGCTATCTTTTTGCAGTCATCTGTAAATTTTTTTGTAAAAAAATTAACTTTATATCTTCATAGATAAATATATGCTTTACAGTAGATAAAAACCACTTTTTTTGTTATTATTTTTTAGAAACGAAAAGTTCAAAGTTTTCTATTTCTAAGATGAAAGAAGGAGTATTCGAATTTAGAAAATAGAAGTACTTCAATAAAACTCGAATTTAACATACTATAGATAATGAAAATTAGATAAATTTATTACTTCAAAGATCTTTTAAATCATTTGAGAATGTTTAATAGGTTAATAGTTTTAATATTCCTACCTGCACCGAACTTCACTGCTTTATATAATTTGTATTAACTTTACTAAAAAATTTTTTATATTATAAAATTTCCACTTTGAATTCAAATTCAGGCTTAAATTGCCTTCTGAAAATTTATGAATAAATGTTTTAAGTTAAAAAATATAGTTAAAAATTGAAAATAACAATAATCCAATTAAAATTCTCCTAGCCATCCACTATAACGAATGATGAATTTTCATGAAATTCGAATAAATCTATTTATAAATGAAAGAGTCAATATTACAATATTTTTCATTTGAATACATACAGTATTAAAGAAAAAAAACTAGGATCTTAATTTTTAATACTTTTTGTTGTAACGTATATCAAATATCTCCTAACTCAGACAATATATGTTTACAGTTGTTAGATAAAACAAACCCCAACGGTGTTGTGTTTTATAGAAAGATTTCTAAATTAAAGAAAGGGAAATTACTATTTAGATAATATCTATTAAATATCTGATTGAGAGTTTGTTTAATTAGCTTTTATTCAAACGTACATACATACATAGATAGATACATAAATATTAAAGAAGTGAAAAGAAATATCTTATATTGATTAGCGAGAGATTACAATTAATTAAATTATCTATCTTTTTTGCATTTTTTGATATACAATAATACAAGCCAGCTTGTTTGTAATTAGTATAATTGGGAAATAAAAAATAGTTTGTTATACTAAAATACCTACTGCTTTTTTATTATTGATTTGTAAATTATTTGAAGTCTCCATTGAGTAGATAGATAATTATTATAATTAAATCTTATTTTTTTATTTATTTTCTCTTATGAAGTTATTTAATCTCCTTATCTTCATTTGCTTAAAGTGAATAGATAAACAAACACAATTCATACATAATATTTGCTTTAATTATTAAAAATTGTTTAGCTTTTTCATAGTTTTCCCATGTTAAATTTTAAAAAAAATTTGATTTTTTTATCTATTACTTCAGCTCTTAACACAAAGCTGGCTGATACTTTTTCCTCATTTATTTTTTTGACTTTTTCCATCAAAAGTCTATAAACTAGAAAATATTTCAACTTATGATAGATAAAAATAGATAAGCAAATGATCAATAGCTTTATGAACACAGAGTAAAATTTAGAAATTGAATACGAAAAATTTAATAAAAAATGATTAAGAGAAACAAAAAGAATATTTTGAAAAGATTAAATTTAAAAGAAATATTTTATACTTAAAATTTTGTAATGGATTATTTACATGTTTAATAAAATATAGACAAATATGTTAGTATGTATTATAGAGATTTCATAATTGTTATTTAATATTAATTGGTTGATTTTTAGTTAGATTGATTGATTGATTATATATCCTATTGAAACTGTAGTATTCTGGTTTATGACTTTTTAATTTGGGTAAGAGGGAAAATGGTAAGAGATTGAGGGAATTTTTTATATTTTAGTTATTATTTTTAGAAGCATTCATTCATTCATTAATCTATTTTTCTTTTGTATCACAAATTAAGCTTGCAGTTGGCATCTCTATTTCTGATTCTAAGATTAACAATTTTAGGAATATCTCTAGGATTTTCAGCAGCTCTTATGTAATCTTTTAAAATGGCTCTGTGAGCTTCCTTGTCAAAAACAGAGCTGTTTTGGATCCATTTATCTGCTTCAGTTTAGAGAAAGTGCTAGAAGATATCCTTATATTCAGAATAAATGATGGCAATGATCATTTTATTGTTGTATTTCATGCTTTTTTCAAGCTTTTCGTAGGCAAATTTATATTTCTTTAATTGATCTCTGCTTTAGATTTATGCAATATTCATTACTAATTGATCATTGTGAGAGTCTAAGAAGAAACTGTCGAAAGCCTTGACAAAATTTTTTACAACGTTTTTCTTGTCAAATTTGCTCTTTTTATTATTTTAGAATTCAGTGCTCTAGGATTCTTCGCTGTTATTATTGAAATTGCTAGAAGAAGACACTTTAGATCCTTTTCTTTGTCTAGCAAAAGAGGTCTCAACATTATCTTCGATTTTCATTTAATCTTAGATAGTAGTTCGCGTTTATGTTGTTACTGTTGTGGTAGGAATAACTTAAGGAATACAGTAATGACCATATAACGTTTCTTCTTAAATAGGAGAGTGGGATTTGGTTGAAAGAGCTTCATCATTTTAATTATGATTGTGATCATTTAAAGGAGATTAAGACAATCTTTTTAAATTTTCATCTTCTTATTCATGCTTAACGATGAGATCGATTTGTTATTACTATTATTATTTAAGAGGGAGAGCATTAAATTATCCTAAGTAGAATGTGTAAGAGTAATCAGTTCTTTGGTTAGGAGATTCAATTTAAAAATTAATTGAGAAAGAATCTTTTTCCTGATTAATATTGAAGAAGTGATTTACAGAGTAGTAATTTAAGGAGTTAGTGTAAATCTAAGTAGAATTAATAGTTTTAACTTCTTAATGGAAAACTACGTTGGAGTTAATATTGTTAACACCGTTAATACTCTTTACTTCCAATTCAACAGCGGGATTTTTCTTTTAATACTAGAGAGTGAAGCTAGTAATTTCACCACCGTATTGATGAGAAAAGCTTATATTGACAATATTATCTCCACAGGACTTAATAGTAGGGTGAATCTAGAGAGCGTTGCTGATAAACCCAACTTAGTTGTTAGATTTTTAGGTAATACAAAGTGTGAAGTTTTTTAAGTCTTCATAGAAACCAAAACTCTTAGGGAAACTCATTTTCGTTTAAAGAAGTTATTTTTATTAGAAAGAATTTATTTTTTTTATAATGTCTGTCTGTCTGGATGTTTATCCTTTTTTGTTGTTGTTTTTTTTTTTTAATTTAGTTTTCTTCTTTTTTTATGAAAAAGATTGATTTTGATTTTTTATCACAATTTAATAATTATAAAGATTAATTAATTTGCGATTGACATTATAAATTTTTATAGAAATTATCATTAAAAAAGAGAAAAAAGATTTAATTAGGCGAATGTTTAGTTATTTGTTTTTAATACATCAGCAATTTTTTAATAATATTAACGCAATTATGTAAAAAAAATATTGTCAATCTATTTTAATCAAAAAAAGGTATATAAGCATAACAAAAGGCAGATAAAAAGTTAAAGATATATTTAGCAATCTAAAATAAAATAAAAAGTATTTTATTTTAAATAAGTTTATTTGCTTTATTAAAAAAATTCATTTTGTAAAATTAAATATTTTTATTTTTTTAATTCATTTTCTTTTGTATTTTTGATTATTTCTGTATTATTAATTGATTATTTATTTGTTTATTTATCTATTTGTCTATCATTACCCCTTTATCTCACTGAAAAGTAAAAAGATAAGTAATTCCTAACATTATCCAGATATTCAAAATTTCTTCTTTAATTTCATAAAAAAAGTCTTAAAGAATCAATCAATCTAGATTATAAATCAAATAAATAAATTAAATAAATGAATATTTCAAATCAATTTATAGATTAATACTTAGATAGATAATTTTTGTAAAGAGGAATTTAAGATTTAATGAGAAAGGATAAGAAATAAATAAATACATATATATTTTATATATTAAAGCTAATTAGATATCAATTTAAATAGAAGGGGGGAAAATATCAGCTAAAGAGAATATTTTAATAATTAATTTAAGGTCCTTTACTGGACATTCAAAGAAGCGAGACAAGATGCATTTTATATGTTAAATAACCATTTACTTTTAGATTTTAATTAGCACTAATAGTCTATTACATATTTTAAAAGCGAAATATTCTTTTGGTAAATTTAATACCTTTTTCACTTTTTCAATATTAGTTTATGTAAAGGATTATAGGGTAGTTTCTTTTTATTTCTGATCTATGTCTATTTAAAGTTTATATTTCAAAATAATACTTAAATTAGCTTTCTAATCTTTTTTTTGATAATTAAATTTAATGCTTGTATCCTTCCTTTTAAAATTTAATTTCCTTTTTATAATATTTTAGTAGATTGTATTTTATTTAGTGCCTACCCCGATACTCTTTTTTTCCAATTTTTAGCACCCTACCTCTCTCCTTTTATTTTATTTGGTATCTAGTGTTTTTTACACTTTTACTTTATATTTAATTTCTGCCACTTTTAAATTTCAAATAATCTCTCTCTAGTCTGTCTTACGCTTAAAATAAATTAAAGAAATTCTACAAATTATTTTTATGATTTAAATACTCATTTGTAGACTTATGGCTCTATTTTAAATCTGTGGTTTCCAAGCAACTATTTTATTCAAGCATCATCATTTGTTTTTTATTTAAACAAAAAAAGAGACTATTTATTTTATTTTATGAAGACCCTTTGTAATTAATTAGTTTTTTGCATTATCACTTACTATTTAGAATATGTGCATTCAAAATGTTAGGATAAAACTATTTCTTTCTAAAATATATACCTCTTTCTCAAAAATATGAATGGATAGATTATTTGATAATAAATAAGACGCTTTTTGATAAGATAAGTTTAATACTTCGATAATTTTGTTCGATAGTAAATCAGCCTAGATATTAATAGCTGATAAGAAAAAAATTAACACTTATCTGATTTTATAATAATTCTCAATTTTTATCATGATATTTCTGCTCGCTATTTATCTTTTACATTATTTTTGAAGCTTAGGATCAAAACCAAATACTTTTTTTGGATTGTAGATTCAAATTAATTCTTTTAAAAAGAGAGATATTTCTCTCTTACAAGTATCAGAAATGAGTAAGTAATCTCGAATGTAAAATTTTGAGTAGAAAAAAAGAGTAGAAATTTGATTATAATTAAAGAAAGTTATGAAAAGAACATTAGAAGGTATATCAATTATAACTAAAATTTTAGTAACTTGGATAAATATTCCAAAAATGAAGATTAGTAGATTAAAAAACACGTAATTGATAATAAGAAAGGGAAAAAAAATTAATTTCAATCCAAAACCAAAGAAAGAAGCAAGAAAAAAACAATCAAACCCTTAAAAACTAATATAAGTAGATTCTATCTATCATAATAAAATGCATCTAATTTCGAATACAGAGTAGATAGTTATTTAGGTTTTTAGTTTGTTTCCTAACTGGATTGATAGCAATATTAGCAGCAGAAAAAAAAATAAATTTATATTAAATTATCCTTTTTAATAAAAGAGAAAGTGTCGCAAAAAAAAATTGTAAATTTCATTTTTGAAGGAGATGCCAAGAGTTAATAAAATATATGCAGTTCGCATGATAGATAAAAATTAATTAACAAGAAGAAGTAAGACAAAGAGATTTTGAAGTTGAGAAAATAAATTATTAATTAATTAATTAAAAGAAAAAAACAAATAGCACTTTTACTTTTAATTGATCTCCTTATACCTAATAATTACAAAATGATAGCTCCTTTAAGAAGGGGAAATAAACAATCAGAAAAATCATAATATTGGAGGGAATTCTTGTAATTTGTCTATTATATAAATAGACAATTTATTCTAACATAATGAAATGGATACTACAATTTAATTCATAAAAAAAGCTTATTTTACTGCTCGCATTTTTGAATTAATCTAGAGAAAATCATGAATAAAAGCCTTCCATAATAGAGATGTTTCTAGATAATTTTTATGAGCAAGAAAGAATTTCACAACACCATAGAAAAGTTATGAAAAGGAGTTTATAAGAATTCTGGATTTTTTATAATAGACAATTAAAAGCAAAACAAAAAGCTATTTTTTATGTTTGAATCCTCTCTTTTTCTTTACTTTCGGACTTTATGTTTGTATGTATGGATATTTCCTACTTTAATATCTTGAATAGATTGACTGATAGATAGATAGCTAGCTAGAGATGAAAGAATATTTATTGCTTTCTTATTTATTCTAATAGACTCTTTCGTTATAAGATTTTGAAAGAAAGCTATTAAGAATGAATAAATAAATAATTTTCGGTTCACTAAGCTGCCTACTGTCTACTCATTAAAGATTCGATTGATTCTGACGTTTTTTCTCTAATTACCCAATAATCTCCTTTAATTATTATCAATTTTTTATACTTGAGTGAGCAAACAGCTCATATTTAATATTTTTTTGTAACACAAGTCTGCCTTAGCTTGGCTTAAATATTATTTTCATCTTAATTAGACTTAAATTTTAGAAAAGATTACATTTATTAATATTAGATAAAGTATGTATTTAGTTGCTTGCTATCTATCCATCCCTTGTTAATCTAATTTAGAATTTTATTATCTTCTCTTATTATTCAACCTATTGATAATGAGAAAATTAGTTAGTTGATCATTAATTTTTAAAAGTATTATCTAATCGTTGGTGAATTTATATTCATTTTTATCAAAAAGTACATTTATTAATTTAAAACTGTAACTTAGACATTTTTTAAAAATTTCAATTAAAAAAACAAAGAAATATTTGAACTCATTTAGTTTTAGATGATTTTATTTTTTCCAAAATTTTTTCAAGTAAAAACGAATATAATTGAATCTTTAAAACAAAAATAGTATTGATTGATTGATTGATTATTATTATTAATACTTTTTTTCTTCCAAATTTTTACTTGCGATATTTTTATCTACTTTTTGAATTATCTACCCTTATAAAAATAATAAAGTTTGTTTTTTTCAAATTAAATAAGATAAACGAAAAAATCATTAATTTTCTTAAATGCTTTTTAAAGTTTAATAATAAAAATTTATCTATTACTAAGAAAATAATTAGACTAGATACTAAATAAAGCATTTTAAACGTTATGAAGGTTTTTAACTTATTAACATATCTGATTCAAGTTATTGAACATTTATAAGAATCTTACTGAAAATACTATAAATTTTATGTAATCTCTCTTCCTTTCCTCGAATAAATGTTCTACATAGAATTTTATTATTTTTTTTAATGTAATTTTTTAAATATCACTGATTTTTCTTAATTTTTACTGGCCTTACTAGTTTCTTATTTCAGAAAGATTTTAGATTCTTTTTCTTTTTTAGTAGGTATTTTATTCGATTATGATTAATATTACTAATAGGATTATTATTTTAAATTTAAAATCTACGATATGAGGCATTTAGCACTATTTATCAGATTTTTTGCTTTTTCCTTAGTCAACTCTAATATTTTTATTTTAAAAAAGGTGATCATCTTAAAAGCAGAATTTAAAATATATTCATTTATTTTCAAATTTATATATGCATTTTTGAATTTTTCTAATTAATATTTTGACTGTGTAATAATCTACTTTTTAAGGAAAAACCATAAAAGTACTAAAAAATGGAAAGAAAAAAATGAGCCAGATATTTTTAGCAACATAGCTTCAAATTGAAATCAATTTATTTCAAAAGATGTTATCAAGTATTAAATGCTTTGTAATTTGAAAAAAAAGTAATGAAAATAAATAAATATCAAAGTAATCAACATAATTGAAAAGTAGTAAAATTTATAATTTATAACATATAGAAATATAATATCTAGATTTTTTATTATATAAATCTATTTATGGTAAAATATCATTAAAAATTAAATTTGATTCATATCTATAACTTTTATGTATTATTTAAAAAATTATAATTAGCTTAACGATGGATAGATAGATAACCCATTTTTTTACTTTTAAAAAACCTTAAATTAACCTCAAAATAATAAAAACTATATTACAATATTATAAAATAAATTTCTACATGCAAATAAATTATGCCAAAATTTAAAATTTATATTATAAAATGAAATGAATTTTAGAAAAGCAAAAAAAGTAATCAAGTAATTTAAAATAATCAACCAAACATTTCAATACTAATTTTATTTATTTCTTTCTATTTTTAGATTCTGATGAACCTTAATTTGAATTTAAAATTTGTTCTATATAATTAATTGATAAATGTTTAATTGATTATAAATAGCTTATAATATTTCTAAAGTCATTATTATGTATATTTGCTTATATATTTAATTATTTTATATTTTAAATACATATATATCAGAAGAACGAGAAATAATTAGTAAGAAGATTTATATTATAGTAGATTGATTATACATTTTATTTTTTTTGCAACATATGACTAATTTATTACATAATTAAAAATTAATAGTTTTTAGTTAATTTTTGGATTTTTTTAGATATTTAAAAAATTGATTAAATATTTAAAGTCTTTATTTAAATGGGTGAATGAGTTGCCATTTAGTACCAATTGTAATCGATGATTTCTACACTTACTACAGATAATTTATTTTATAATATAAATTGCATTGAATATTAAAATGCTTTGATGTGTTAGTATTGGTACTAAGTAGCAACCACCCTTTATTAGTTTTAATCATTTACTAACTTTTTCTTACAAAACTTAAATGAGTGTTTACTTAATAAAATATAATGTCAAATTTAAAATGGACCTATTTTATAATAAAATATTAGACCATATAATGGCACATCTATATATTTTTTTTATGAATTTATCAGCTAAATTTGACATAAAATTGGTTAAGCTAATTTAAAAATAAAAGTAATGTCATATTATTTCTTTAAATTTTATATTGGATAAAAAAATTCTAATGTATTTTAAGTATTATAATTTTAATTTGATTGAGTAATTAATTTATTTTATTCTCTCAATATAAATAAAATAGATACAGGTATTTATTTTTAACTTTTTACAGATAAATTATTAAGTTTATTTTAAAATTAAAAAAATTTCTTTTGTCTTAATTCAAGTAACATCTCAAATAGTTAATTTAAAAATAGAATATTTCTTAAATCTAGCTATAAAATAATAAATTTTATAATTTTAAACTTTTAAAATAAATCTTTACTATTGATTTCCTCACATGACCAGTTTCGATTGTAATTCCTCTTTTGCTTTTAATTAATTTTATCAATCGTAACATTTTTTAATTTGAATGTATTTTTTAAATTAAAAAACTAAATTCTTAATATTTAAAAAAGTTTCTTAAAACTTATTTATTTAAGGCAATTGATTAAAAATTTTATGAAAATAAATTAAACAATTTGAAATTAATTTTATCTCTGAAAACAAGTTCAATTTTAAGCCTTAATTAAAAAATGCTACTCTTTCGACTATTATTAATTTATTTTTGATTCAAATAAAGATTATAAAATAAATTATTTTCATACTTTATATTTAAATTATTATAAAAAAAAAGATCTCTTTTAATTTTTTATTGTAGAATAATGCTTTTAGTTTTATCATTTTTTTTATACATATGAATATATTTTTGTATATAGGTTGGTTAATTTAAAATTTTTACTAAAATAAAAATTAAATATTTTTAAAAACTTTCTAATAATTTACTAATATTTTAAATTAAATAAAAAATTTGCCAATTAATAAGTTGATATAAAAAATTCAAATCAATATTTAAGGACACAACAAAAAAATTCAATAAAAAAATATAAATAAAAATGGAATATATTTCTGATTAAGCTTTAGATTCAGATAAATCTATATTCACTAAACAAGAGCACTGTGATAATCCAGAAACCCACAATGGGGCATACAACAGATTAAAAAATGGAGCTTTCAATTATTAAAAACAAACATTGATTTAAGGAGAAGGCGAGTAAAGAGGATAGCCTTAAAACTCGAAACAAAATTTACAATAAAAACAAATCAACAGTACCAATGATTAATCTATGAATAATATGTCATCAACTTATGATAATTCAAATCATAACTATACCCTATCTTAATAATAACAAAACCACATCCATAATGATCTAGATTATTTCAATCATTAGTATAATAGAAATTAGCAAGAAAATTTTTAAGATTTTTAAGAACCTCCGAGAAATCATACAAATAAAAACAATTTATCACAAGCTAATGAAAGTCTAAATGAAGAAAAAAACTTTAATAGTTAAGAATAAGCAAAAAACTAAGACTCTCAGAAATAGCCTTTAACTGAAAAAGTTTATAATATTGCTACTTATGAACTATAACCTGAAATTAAAGGTATGATAGTTGCTTTGAAATATATCGGTGTTCCTAATCATAAAGTAGTAGAAGAAATCGGAAAATTAGGATTCACAGTTTCTGATAGTAACGTTTTTATGGTATGGGAAGAATGGACTGAAGAGAGAAATAAGTTAGGAAAGTCTATTTTTAGAGATTAAAGCTAAGCTTTAAAGGCTTCAAGAGGACAATATAAAAAGAGTAATAAAGTAAATAGAAAATTTTCTGGAAGATAATCAAGTGATGAAGATGAAGATATAGATTATTAATACGATGACGAAGAAGAGGATGAAGAAGATAGCCTCAACGATTATAAAATTCCACCTAAAAATAGAGTGAATAAATATCCTAATGACAATAGAAAGAATTACCAGCAGAGCGAGTTAGAAAGTGAAAGCTATGAGTTTAATGAGAATACAACTCCTTTAAAAGGAAAGAAATATTCTCAGCTCATTAACTTTAAAGAGGGGAAAAATTATTAACCATCGCTTTTTGATGGAGATATCAATAGATAGGAGAGTGAGGAGATTGATTTTGATTCTGATTATGATGAGAATTATAAAAAGAAATTGAATGAAAGCAGAAAGTAGAATCTAAAAACTTTTGAGAAGCACCCAAAGAAATAAGTTAAGATGCATGGAGATCATATTCTATTTTATAACCTTGAAGCTGGTCAATGTGTATTCTGTGCCTAGAATAATAAAGAAAATGAAGTTTATACTACCTGCATGGAGTGTGAAGGTTAAGGAGAAAATAAATTTTTTATATGTGAAGAATGTTTTGATTAAAATCACAGCAAACAAGATTAAAACCATTAAAACTAATAAAAGCAGTTTGTTAAAAACGAAGACTAAGAACAACCTTTCATTGTAATAAAAATTTTTATATTTTAAACCTTTTATTTATTTTACTTTTAATTTTATAGGATACTGAAGACTCAGAAACAGAAAATCATTAAAAGAATCTCAAAAACAAAAAATCTCATGAAAATGTCGGTGTTAATGAAGAAAATAATTAAAATTAAAACAATTAAGGCAAATCTAATCATCCAAATAATTAAGAAACTGTTTAGAAAGAACAAAAAAATAATTTAACCAACTAAAAAGAAAATATGTAATAAAAATAAAAATCTGATACTCTTGCAGACGAAGATAAAGAAATTCTATAAAAATAAGAAACTCAGACAAATGAGACCAATTATGAATTAAATCTCATAGAAAGAATTCAAAAAAGTTAATTAAAAGTTAGTGTAACTGATGATTTTGCAAAATCTATATAAGATAATAACGATTCACCACTAGTAAACAAACAACCAGTTGAAGGAATAGCCCAAAGCTAACAAATGTAAAATAATTCTAAAATTTTTGCTTAGTAAAAAAAGATTTTGAAAATTTATAAAAATCCTTAATCTATTTAGCAATGAGTGCTCTTTATATAATTAAAAACAATTTGATAATTTTTATCAAATGGACTTGATTTAAAATTATTAATTATGTAAAATTTATTAAATGAAAATGAGTAAAATATAAACAAAATTATTGATTTATATTTGTTTATTTATATGTCTGTTTGCTTATCTGTTTATTCAAACATTCTATGAAATTTTCAAAATATTTTTTTAAATTCTTATACATTTTTAAGCAAAATTTATTAATTTATTTTTATTAATAATTTTTAATCTCTGCTTGCTATGTTATTTTTTTTCGGATTATTTTAGTGATCAATGTAAAATATTTAGTATTTCATAACAAAAAAAAAAATCTATAAATTTAAAAAAACAAACAAAAAATAGATTTGCATTCATTTTTAGTTTATTTATTTAATGATTTAAGTAGTTTTTTAATTATCAGTAAGTCTTTTCGTAATATATTTTTTACATGTTTTTGCTGCTTTGCACTGGCTGATTTTTATGATTCTCTTTTTTATAGTGAAAATTTTTAAACATTTGATTTAAATAACAGCTATCGATAGCTCAATTAAAATGAAAAATTGTACAAAAATAAATAAGAATTATAATTAGATATTTATTTGTTAAAACATTTTATTAGAATTTTTAAATATTTTGATGTTTCTTTTGTTTTGATTTTATAATTTTCAAAATCTTTTTGATTTATATGAAATTAGGAATAAGTATTGAATTTTTTAATTCATTTAAAAAATAAATAATAACATCATTAATAATAGTCTTGAAAGTTAAAATGAGTTTATTAATTAAAATTATAATTTTAGAAATTTACAATTTTTTATTTATATTTAATTCCAATTCAATTAATTTGTTGTCTAATCTAAATTTTATTTAAATTTCTTTCATTTCAAAAATAAAATTTCGATTCAATTTCACATAAATATTTTTAACAAATGAAAATATTTACTTAAGAAACTAAGTATTATTTTTTGGAAAATACCCATCATAACAATTTTACTAATCATCAGTCAACATTTTTTAGAAGATACTCAAACAACTCCATTTCTTTGTAGTGTGGAAGAAAATTTTATAATAAGCTTATTACCTAGCCTAGTGGCTTTCCTTAAAAAATTGTTACAACTTATTAAGCATTTTTTAGTTGGGGATTACTAAAAGTGCAATAAATAACCTCTTTGTTATTTAGAGAAGCAGATATCCATTATATGGCTAACTTAAGCTGGACATCACCCCTATATATTCCGCAACCCCAATTCCCTGTGATTACTGGTATGTTTTTTTAATTTTTAAATTAATTCTCTTTTTAAATTAAATCCTAAAAGGTAAATTAAATGTGTCCATCTTAAGAATTTTTAAGAAGAGAAGTAGTAAGATTATCTCCGATGTGATTAAATGCTAAATAGGCTTTCTTGAGATCTCTTAAAATGTATTACCATTAATATTGATCACTTTCTCTGTTTCTAAAGTTAATTGCATCATAAATGGTTTAGTGAGCCAGTTTAATCTACAGCTTTTAGTCAACTTAAACTTGGCTAATGTAATTATCTTGGTATTAGAAGCTTGCTCCATAGCCTTTATATGAGCAATATTATTCACATCCCGAGACTTGTATCACCTCGTTATCGGCTAATCGTTCACAAAATAAGATAGAGGGTATTAATTCAGGTGAAACTATAAACATAATTTCTTCCTAAACACATCCCTTGTTAAGTACGCCTCCACCTACATATTTATCAGCAAAATCGCATTGAATACATTCAATTTTATCTTCATAAGCTTGAATACTGATTTGTTAATCTATCTAAATTGATTTGAGGAAAATTTTATTTAAATTTGCCTAATAAATTTAATCTTTAATATCATCAAATATAGATTGATTCGATAATACTTTTCTTTAATAAATAACATTTAGTTGTGATTCAGTTTCAGAGAATATCATAGCTCTTCTAAAGTAATTTACAATACAATAAATTTTTTAAATATTGCATTAATTTTCTAATTAACCATCAACTCTAGTCAAGATATTTTTCAAATTGACATAATTTGGAAGTTGTAAAGGTTTTTCGACTTATTCAATTTATTAGCTTTAAGATTCAGACTGAGTCTATGCTTAAATTTGTTAAACCTATTTTTCAATAGTAAAAAAAAACATATTTGCCAGTAGACAACAGATTTCTTCTTTTGTTAAGGTATTATTTTCTTCTGTTTATTACCTTAATATTTTGATTCTTCTTTTTGAAAACAATTACTCAATTTTTTGAGCCTAATTGCTAATAAAAGGGAGTATTTTTTCCCAAAATTCAATGATTTTTTCCTCATTTAGTTAGCTAATGAAATATTAAAGATTAAAGAGTTCAATTTTTTCATTATATGCTTCACTTAGAAGATTTTCTAACTCCAAAATGGAGCATTTTTATTTTTTAGTTTGGCAGAGATTATTTACTTTTTAAAGTAGCAACTTTTTTCTTTACCATAAATGGAAATTATCAGTTGGTAAATCTAAATATTATATTTTTTACATTAAAATAATATTCACTAAAATTTTTTAGAACTTACTTTTTTTAATATATTACTGAAACTATTATTTTTAAAAATTTTATGATTTTTTATTATTTAGATTAATTAAAAAATAAAAGTTATTTAAAATAAAAAAAATATATTTTATCTCTTTTGAATTAGATAATGACTGAAGAATTAAAATATTTTTTATGAGAATATATCATTTGTTTTTTTAGATTTTTTTTTTTTTTGAAATAATGTAAAATTAAACATTTTTTAATTGTATGATATTTAGTATTCAATTAATTAAAAAAAAACTTTTTTAAAAAAAGAGAAATAGTAAATATAATTCTTTCACTTATTTCACTTTAAAAGAGGAAAAAATACTAAATATAATTATTTCACCTATTTCACTTTAAAAGAGGAAAAGTACATAAAAGTAATTATTTAAAATATTTTTTGTTTATTGACAAACTTTAGAGGTCTCCCAATCTTTTTTGGTATATTGATTTTATAATTTTAGATAAATAATTTTTTTATTCATTTTTTGTATTAAATTATAAATAAATTCTATAATAACTAGATATTTTATAATAACAAGTTCATTTGTTTCTTGCGGGTTCTGAATATTTGGACAGGTTCGATTTAATTTGCAAAATACCCAATATTATTTCTAAATTTATTATAAAATACTTTGTAAGCTTACAAGTTTAATAGATATTTAGACCAAAAAATTGTTTTTATTTTTAATGATCTTAATCATTATTAAAAATGGTTAGTAATTTATAAAAATGAAGTGTAAATAGCAGTTTAAATACATAAATTTGATTTTTTACTCACTAAAAGCTTTATTCTATGAATGAAAGAAACAAAAAAGCAAGAAATATAAGAATTTTCGATTATAAATGGCTTCATAAAACACAAATATCTATTAACTCTACTTTTAAAAAAATTAATTTGCTGTATGCTTGCTTTATTTTTTTTTACATGAAAATAAATGTCTTTAATATGAGAAAAAATATAAATATTTTTGATTTCCTAAAAAATTATTAGATTTTTGTATATCATAGGATATTTATAATAATTTATTTATTTATTTTCTAAATTTCATAAATATTTATAAAAAATAAAAGCTTTGACATTTACAAACAAAATATTTAATTAATTAACAAATTCATGTAAAATGGCTAGAAGAGGTAATTAAAACAAAATAAATAAATTTTTGAATTAAAAAAAATATTAATTAAATTAAAATTAGGATAAAATGACATCTATTTAAATTTAAATATAGAAATACCTGCATTAAATAAATATATTCGATTTTAAATACCATAGTATGCTCTTTTAATTGATACTGAGCCTTTAATAGCTTAAAATGTAGAAATCTGCCCTTTTGGATAAGAGATTTAATTTTACTGTATTTAAAATAATTGCTAATTGTTTTTAAATAAATATTTATAAATTAGAGATTTAACAAACATATAACAAGGATAAAAAATATATTTATAAATTAATTCTTATGGAGCTTGAAAATATTTATAATAATACTTCTTTGAAGATATAAATTTAGAAACAAATAATAATGAACGATGGATTAAAAATCTAAAATGCTATCCTAGAAGTTATTTTGCTAGACTATTTAAAAAATGTAATAGGATAATTAAATTAAATTACTTAGTTATAAATAAAAATTATTATATTTAAAAAGTGTAAATATATATTATTAATTTAAGCTAAAATATGTATTCATTTTTATGTTTAAATTTTAAATTCAAGTTGTACGAAAAATAAAATCTTAGACAGATATAATTAATACAGATATTAAGTCTACAAAGATTATTAATTTAAAAAATATAATTCAAGAATTTGTATTCTAAGAAGAATTGAAAATATCAAATTATGATGTTATTTAATTTTATAATTAATTAATCATTCAGATAATTTGTTTACTTTTAATCATTTTAGTACCTTCAGAAAATATTCAAAAACAGTTTATTTTTAGTTCTTTTTTGTAATGCTTTTAGAAAAATCCATAAGTCCATTATAAATTGTGTTAATTTATTATTTTTTTATCAAATTTATAACTGATTAGTAGCCTTCTAATTTCTTTTCTTTAAAAGTAGTATAAAAGATCTTTCTTGAAAGTAAAGAAGCACTTAGCCATTAAATAATCAACTTTAATTACGGGTCACCTTTAAAAACACCACATCCCCAATTTCCAGTTATGATTGGTACAGTTCTTGATGATTCAGAAAAAGAAGAACCTTAGAATCCAATAAAAGATTTATTTAATTCACGATGTATTTTTTCTTCAGCATATTAATCTTAGGGGTTTTATTTGAAGGAAATAGCATTCATTGCAAGTATGTAAGCCTTTTTTCTGTTAAATTTATCTACTTCAAAATTAGAATCATGAGGACCTACAAATCTGAAAGAATCACAATAGCCTGCAAATTCACAAAATCTCTATGCTCCCGTAATAAAAAGAGCATCTTTATCATTCTATTTTTAACAAAACAGCATACCTGCTATTGCTTCTGGAGTAACTGCTAGCATAATCTCTTCTTAAACACAGCCTGTCCTAAGTACACCTCCACCTAAAAACTTATTAGCAAAATCACAATGGATGCATTCAAAATCTTCAAATTCTTCTATCCCTTTATCATCAACAATTTCTATATCGCTCATTTTATTTTCATTCATACATATTTAAAGCAAGAGATCATTCTTTTCATTGACTAACCTTTCAAATGTAATAATTTAGCTTTATAAAGTATTTTCTTTACTCTCAAACTCCTTCTAAATCCTCCAAAAATAGTGGAGAAGGCATATTAGCTTTTATTAGTTTGAAACATTACGCTTTTTGTCAACTATAAATGTTATCCATTTTAGGAAATCAAATGTATCTGGCAAGGCATTTAGGGTAACTTGGTTTTCGAAAGTTAAGAAAAACATATTAGATAACAAGCAAGCTACTTACAATCTGGTTAAGTGATTAGCTTATTTTTTTTCAGTTTCGAGAATCAATATTTCATTTTCTTTGAATAAATTCTCAACACTCAATGCTAAACCTGCAATGAAAGGAAGTACTTTTGGTATGAAATCAACAATCCATTCCTCTTTTTGCTTTAAAACAAGTTCCAGATTATTTATTTATAAATTGTTCATTTTATTTAGAATTTCCCACAAATCTTTTACATCCTTAACACATCCTGATTATATTTACAACAAAAAGCTCTTGTTTTTCTCCCATAGTTTATTTTAATGGGGTAAAATGAAATATATTAATTTTTCTTTATCATCCTGAAGCTTAATTTATCTTATATCTTCTGTTAAGCTATCCATTTTATAGATTTGTTAATTTATTTACTTTAAAGATTTATGTAATTTATTTATTAATTTTTAATATATATTTATTCTGAATAGTTAGTTTCTGATAAATATTTAACATCAATTATTCTAAATTGATAGAGGCTTTATTTTTATAAGAAATAGTTATTGGCATTTTATCATCTCCATTTAATTTCTACATGCAAAATAAATACGAATGTAATGATAATCAAAACTAAAATTAAATAAATAAATTTATAAAAAGTTTTAACTACTATTTTACTTGAAAAATTTTATAACTTTCAAATATAAATATTTTAACATTTAACATCGATCAGAAATAAATTTTTTATTAGAAAGATAATTAATTAAAGAAGAATTTTTTTATAAAAAAACATATATTTAACTACATAAAAAATTAATTGATAAATTTAAGAGATAAAATTTTAGAAAATCTTTTATAATAATATAACAAAATATTATTAATGATGATGATTAATTTAAACAAGGAATACATTTCACAAATAATATCTTTAAGTTAGACAATTTTATTCAATTAAAAACAAAAATATGCTAAAATATTCTATATTTAAGAAGTAAATATTTATATAGCATCTACCTATTTAATTATCTATCTATTTATCTATTACTTTTTGGATGTAATCAATTTTTCTATAAAGTGTCTTCTTCTAGTAAAAAAATAAGTATTTTTATAGATAATTATAAAGAATATAATTTTGTGTTGTTTTGTTTTGTTGTGTGCTAATGTGAGTGTTTATTTCTTTATCAAAATACCTCATCAAATAAATTTGATCACACTTGTTAAAAAACTATTAGACATACTTTTATTTTTAAGTAATTAACAAAATTTATTACTAATTAAATTATCTTCATTCAATAAATTAAATTTTAATAGATCTAAATAATTAGGTAATAATAATAAGTATACTTAGAAGTCTTTTAAGGATAATGCAGCTTTAAGATGTACTAATCCACTCAAGCGTACTACTCGCCACTAGTAGCACTGCTTACTATTACTATTATAAGTTATAGTCATTAGCATTTTTGCTTTATCTAGTAGTTTCATCTACAACTTATTTAGCAGTATTTTACATGATTCCTAAAATAAAAAAATTTACTCTTAATGCTGGTTTGTATGGAAAAGATATTAATAAAAAAGGTACACCAGAAGGTGAGTTGCAAATACCTGAAACGCTAGGAATAGTACCTGCTACTATATTTATCATTTTTAATATGGTAGGTGTTTTATATTCATATAAATAGCACTCTACAAGTCATATTGCATTTGAGCATTGTGCAGGAATGCTATCTATTTGTTTTATTATTTTCCTAGGATTTTGCGATGATGTTTTTGATTTACCCTGGCGCTATAAAATTCTTCTGCCTAATTTAGCAAGTCTACCAATCCTTGTAGCATATGAAGGAGTCACTCATGTTGTTTTACCTATATTTTTGCGTCCATATTTAGGAAATTATGTCAATTTAGGTAAATTTTTAGCATAAATAAGTTTAAACATAGAAAAAATATTTGAATAAAAGATTTAGATAAGTTAAATAAATTTTTTTCAAGATAAATGAATTTACTTTTTAAAAAATATAAAATCTATTTTAAAATTGAAAATTTAGAATTTTGTATTTCGTCAATCAAGAGAAAAATTAAATTTAAATTAAGTTTATTGAAACAAGAGTTAAATAAATTATAAATAACATTAAATTAAGTACTATTTCTATATAAAAATAGGTATTTTATATTACCTTTATATGATGGCTGTTGTTACTTTTTGCACTAATTCTATTAATATTTATGCTGGCATTAATGGGTTAGAAGTTACCTAAAGTATAATTATAGCCTGTAGTATTTTACTTTACAACCTAACTGAACTGTGGCTTGGTGAATAATAGACATTCTCACACACTATTAGCATTTAAATAATTTTACCTTTCATCTTTTGTACTCTTGGTTTATACTACTATAATAAATACCCTTCTTAAGTATTTGTTGGTGACACATTCTGCTACTGGAGTGGAATGGTCTTTGCCACAGTTGGAATTCTGGGTCACTTTTCTAAGACACTTTTATTATTTTTCATACCTTAAATTTTAAATTTCGTTTATTCCTTTCCTTAGTTGATGAAAATAATACCTTGTCCTCGTCATAGACTTCCTTATTACAATGTAGAAACTAAAAAATTGGAAAAAGTAAAAACCAATTTAAATCTAATTAATCTTTATTTATGGATTCGTGGCCCTCTCTCTGAAAAAGATCTTTGCAAAGAATTAGTTATTTTATAAATTTCTTGCTCTATTTTAGGTTTCTTTATTAGATACTATGGAGCTCATTTGATGTTCTGAAATAATATCAAAAATATTGTTTATTTCTATAAATTAATAAATATATAATAAAATGTATGATGCATACATAACATACATATATACCAATTTCAACTCTAAAAAATATATTAAATTCTTTTATGATAATATTTTATAACAAAGTAAATTAAATTAGCAATATTAGTGCAAATTTATTAAAAAATATATTTGATAGAAAATTTATTTTTCTCACAATTATTTGTCATTGATGACAAAAATAAATAAATAAATAAAAACTTATTCTTTTATATCAATCCAATATTTAAATACTAGATTAGTATTTTATGAAAAACTAAAATTTAATAGATTTATTTATAAATAAAAAGTTGATATCCAAAAAACTGTTTACCACATCACAAAAATTTAATTTACATAATATATTTAAATTTAATCTATTATTTTTCATAATCTTGGTGTTTATTTTTATTATTCATTAGCCAATTCAGTGAATGTTTCGGTTAGGTATGCCTCGATATTTTATGATTCTTTTTCAAAAACATCAACGCTATTTGAATTTTAGAATTCTTTTATAGGATTTTCAAAGGAATCAATTAAAAACTTGTCATTAATTTGTGTGTAAAGCTAGTATTTAAGATTAGCAATTGGGGCTAGTTTGGAAGCATTAGATAACTAATATGTGAACATAAGTACTTTGTATAAATCTACCATACTCAAAAGGTAAATGTGGAGTAGTGTTTAGAGTGTTTTTTCTGTTTTGCTTTCAAAAGAATTCTACAAAAGATAGGACCTACAAAATCTTACGTTCATAACATGTATGAAAAATTTACTGTAATTAACTATCCTGTCTTGGTATTACTCATTCAGTAATTTGTGAATCGGCTTTTCGCCAGTTTTTATTTCTGAATAAATACTTTAAGCAACATCCTAAATGTATAAAAATAAGGTCATTTCAAGAGCCTTCATTACTGATTCAAAGTCATTCATATTTAAATTATGGAGAACATCAACAGCTTTTCTCTAGAATGCACAATCTACAAAGAATGAAAGTTCTCCTCCAAGCATGAATTTTTCTTTATCAGAAAGTGATTCCTTACTCTTTTTAGCTTTTTAAATAACCATAAAGAGTTTCAAGAGGTATTTACCAGTTTGTTGTAGAAGGACATGATTATCTCCTTCGTATGTTGGAGCTGGAATTGAATCTCCAAGCCTCTGTGGTTATCCACTCCAATTCAAATGACCAATAGGATCATTATAAATAAGGTTTTAGCGAACTGTTTAGAGCTATGCCCAAGAGCTACAAGCTTTGAACCCTGCTGATAGTATATGAATTTCAGCAAGAATAGAAAGAATATTTGGATCATCCTGCTATATTGCTTTTTAATATCTTGCATACATTTCCTTTAATTTTAGTGAACTCATTAAATATGAAGTCATTCTAGCAAAATCTTCTTTGAAATAAATATCTCGAATACCTATTTACTTCTTTTACAGATGATAAGTTTCTTCACAATATTTTTTTGCTAACTCTCTATTATGATAAGCTAAATGGGTTGAGCTTAAAGCTCCAAAGCAAAACGAAGCTACAAGTATAACTCTTAAATTTAGCATGCTACCATATCCTAATTTGATAGCCTTTTTTCCTGCTATTTTAAAGCTACCATCCTTTGAAACTTAACAATATCTCATTAATAAGTTTTCTCTAGGTATTCTGTAATTCTTCAGATATAAATAACCATTATCAGTATACTAGAAACCTATTTTATTATCAAATAATAAATGTTATTTAGTTTATTTAATATAAAATCAATAGTTAAACTAATTTAATATTTATAAATTATTACCAAACTTAGGACCAATGTCTCCTGCTTCTACTCCTGGATATTATTTCATTTGATTGTTTTTATCTCTAATAGGCACTACAAAAGTTTATACTCCAATATATTGACCTTTAAATTATAATTTGAAAAATGAAAACAACTAAGGTAGATGTTTCTAAAAAATATTGACTTAATTAAATCAATATTTATAATCAAAGAATTTTTATTATAAGAAATCTGATCATATATATATTTTTTTTACCTTTAACAAATGTTTAGGCTTAAAAGACACAATGGGTACAGTTAATACCCAGAACTCCTGGCCAATATTTGCCAGATTTAGGATCTTAGCTGTTTAGAATAAAAGAATCTGTTTCTAAATCATAGTCTGCCCTTGAAAGCAATCCTTAAACATCAGAACCATGACCCATTTCTGTCTATGCATATGCTCCTAACACTTAAAAATTAAGAGCTAAATTTTCCCAATATTTGACCTGCTCAGGAGTACCAAGCATCTAAATTGTAGACAGAAAAGCATTAAAGTGAAGGAATAGTACTCCTATTTCTGTTACCAAGTGCATGTTTTGGATAAGCTATTAATCTTTTCCTTTCATAATAGCTGCCAAGTTTTTAAAATTTTTAGCTAATTTAATAAATCCTTCTTTTTGATTCATAGAAAACATTTTGCCCACAAAAGGAGTTGAGTCAGGATACTTAGAATACAACTCACTTCTAGCTTACTTTACTTGCTAGTATAGGTTCTCCCCTAAAATAGCCTTATTATAGAGAGTCCTTAAATCCATAATTTAGAAATATTAGCTAATATTTATATTTATTGTGTATGTATGCCTTTACTAAATCTTAAACCTTTTAATTAATTACAAATTTTATTAATAAAAACTCTTTTGGAAATTAAATTTTGATGTCTTTTTTATACAATAGTTGTAAAAATGACTTGAAGTAAGTCTTTATGAGTTCATCAATGATGTCAACATAAAATCTAAATGATTTTACCTCAAATATACAAAATTTAGCTAATAATTGCTCGTATTTTATCATAATTCACATACTTTATAAGTTAAATTTTAAATTTGTTGTAAGGAAACAATATATCTTCAAAGATTTAAAATTAATTTAATATTATTTCCTGAAACAGAACAAAAATTGAAGAATCATCAACTTTTTTTAAATTTTACTCATTAAAAAAATTTGATTTATTTTTGATGCTGTTTTTTGAATTTAAGTGAATAAATATATTTTATAAATTGAAGTATAATTTGTTTAAAACTAAAAAGTAAGTAAGTAAGTAAATAAGTAAGTAAGTAAATTAATTGTAATAAAATAAATATATTACATAAACATAAATATATTAAGATTGTTAGTTATTATAGGTTGAAAATAGTTTATAATTAATTTAATTAGTGATGTAATTTTATTTAGTAATTTGAAATAAATGAATAGAAAATATTTTCATTTATAACATTCTTTGAGCAGTAATCCGATTAGTTATTAATTATATAATTATATAATGTTTATTCGTATCTAGTAACATAGCATACCATAATCAATATTAGTTTATATCTGATTATAAATGTTAATAAATAAATTATTCATTTATCTACAATTATCAATTTGTTTTTCATATAACATTTATAATTTTTTTGATGCAGATAAATTTTTCAATCATTTCTTTTTGGATTTATCTCTTGAGATACACCCGAAGGCAATCATTATTTTGTCAAAGAAAGTTTCTTCTTCTTCTTATTACTATACTTTTCTATTGTTCATTAGCTTTATTTTTTCATAGACACCACTGTGCATAAGAGAGGGCTCCTCTACTTCTTATATGCCTTAGAAAGCATAGCCCTTTTATCTATTATTTGAAGAGTAGGTACGCTTTTTATCCGTTTAGTCGGTATTCTACTTTTTATAGTCATGAGAATGGTTAGAGTTATTCCTTGATCTATCATTATTTAGTGTTTAAGCTCTGTTGACTCTTTCTTTAAGAGTGGTATCTAAATTTCCAAAGCTACTAAATGAATTCATAGAGCTCGGATGGTTGATTCTTGCTTCTTATTATTAAAGCACTTGATTAATATCAATATTCATTTTCTTATATTGTCTCATCATCCATGGGTGGTCAAATATTTATGCCATTGTAAGTCTATACTCAGGGTTAGGCTGTAAAATATTTTTAATCAGATCTACCAAATCGAATTCGAGGTTAGGTCTAAATTAGATAGGCTTATTTTTGCTTATATTATCTAACTTTTAGTTTTGGTTATTTCCTTAAAAAGGAGCGTATCCATGAACTAACTCAAATAGTAGAACCCCTAAAGACCAGATATCAATACGATGATCATAAGTCGAGCGCTTAACCATTTCAGGAGCCATGTAATCAACTGTCCCACAGAATGTTGTTCTTATTTAATTATTAGAATTTTCAGCACTCCATCCAAAATCGCAAACTTTAATATTGTTCCCTTAGTCTACAAGAAGATTCTCAGGCTTTTTTAAAATAAATTTTTAAATTATTTTTATTTGAGCCAAGTAAATAAATAAATAAAATGAAACAATTGCATAAATTTTTAATAACAATTTATTTTGTAAGGTAAAGTTTGATATTTTTTTTAATTTTAATGAAAGGATATTCTATTTATTTACATTATGTACTAACTCAATATATCTTTAAAAAACCTATCAAAATTGCTAAAAAAATGAACAAATTAATGTTAATATTTTATAAGAGTCTATTTCTTTTAATGGTTTATATTGTGAATCTAAATTCAGTTAATTTAAATTTTGCTACTATTATTCTCATATCTTTGTTAAGGAATTATTTCTGGAAAGAAGATGAAATATTTAAAGAAAATTAAGTTTTTGGCATTGTGTTAGAATCGAAAGTTATTCGTTTTAAATAATATAATATAAAATTTATTAATATTTTTTATTACTTTTAGATCTCTATGAATAATTTGGTTGTGATGCAAATGGTCAATAGCTAAGCAGGTCTAATAGAAATACCAGAAGGCTACAGACTCATCCATTTTATTAGCTTTTTTGAGAACGCTGAAAAGGTTGCCTCTTTGGGCATACTCCAGTACAAGATAAACATTTTGTTTATCTTCAAAATAATGAAATAATTTACAGATATTAGGATGGACCATTCTTTTTTAAATTTTGATTTCTCTTTTCAAATTATCAATGGTGCAGAATTTAAAAATTTAAGACTTTTGCATCTTTTATTAAAAAAATTAGAAATAATTTAACTTAACAAATTCAGTGAATTATAGATTCAATTATGAAAATAAATAGATAAACTAAGAATTAAATGCTGCATTCTAATTAAATAATTTATTTGTTTTCTTAATTTAAAAATGTTAAATAATTACAATTTTTATAGCAAATCTCTCTTTTGTGTATTTATCATATGCCAGTCTTACAACACCATAAGACCCAGCACCTAATTATCCAGGGTTAGCCCACTCATAATCATTGAGAGTTTTTCTCAAAGGTGATTACCTCGAGGAAACCGATTAAGAATCGGAATGATTAGCACTATTTTGTCTTTATGTGTTTAACTTAAGAGGCTATTCATTTTATGTATAGAGTTTGTCTGTTTAGTAATAGGTATCATTACCTGGGGTAGGAGTGACATATTAATATTCCTGTTGGCTTTTTATAATTATTCAAATATTTAATATTGACTCAAATTATCTATAAATTTCTTTTTAGCATAGTTGCTTTGATATTGTTTGTGCAGTTAATAGTTTGTAAAAATTTAAAATACAATATTCCATCATACTTCTTAATGCATTTATTTTAAATATTAAAAAAATAATTTACTTGTAAGGAGTTGCAAAAGCATTATTGTATTAATTGTAATCATTTGGACTTAGGTATTAAGGATTATACTAATTTTCTTTGTTTCTATTGACCCTCATTTATTATAAATTTTTAATCTTAATTACTATTATTCTTTCAAAATGTTGATTGGTGCTATATCTAATCTTTTAATTGAAGTTAATTAATTAGTTTTTAATAATAATAATTATAAACAATATTTACTTTTTACTATTGAATATATTATTATGTCAATCATTCTTTTATTTCTAATTGTTATTATAAAGGCTTAATTATGTTTACATAATCTCTTTTTTCATTTTGTTTCATTTCATAGGACCCTTATTGAAAAGTAATACAAAAATTTAAATGATTTGAAAATTCAAAGATAGATTTAAGCTAAATAAAGAGAAAGTAGAGTTAGTTATTAAGCCAGTACTGAAAGATTTTGTTAAAACTTTTATTGAGCAAAGAAAGAGCAAAAATTATATTAGTAATTATTTTAAACTAAATGCTTCAAATGAGTTAATTTCATTTAATAGCTATTATTTCACCCAATTAAGTTTTTGTAAACATATTTGTTACTAAGAGCTTTATGTTATTGTTTTAAAAAAATTATAAATTCATAATAACATTTTTAATTTACAGTTTAAGAGCACACATAAAATTTGGAAAAATTTTAGAACTTTTTTATCAATAAAATTATCTGACTATAAATTAAGGTTATAATCTGTAAATTACTTTTTTTTAAGGAATAAGCTTAAATGAAGTTACAAGCACAGATTGTTTTTATTTAATTTCTTAGCTAGTAAGTAGATATCACTAAGTTAAAATGATTAGAAAGACAATTTATAGTATATTTTAAACTAAAATTAGTTAGTTAGTTAGCTGGTCTCAATTATTCTGATTTTCTTCTTAAAAATACTAAGCTGAATATTTGATGGATTTCTAAAAGCGAAATAAACTTTCTGTAAATTTATATATCTTTAAATTTTTCCTATCCATAATATTTCATAAAATATAATTTTAAAAATATTTGAATTTATTCATTCTGTAAAGAATAAAAATATTAGTCTTACCATTTTATTTAGTATTTGCTTCTTGATTGATTTATTTTAGTGTTCTACTAAAATAATCTTTATTCATAAATAAACTGTAAATATTACAATTTATGTTTTTTTGTAATTATTTTTAAGATTTATTTTTACAAAATCATATTTTTGGAAACATAAAATAAGATTTTTTAAGTCAGTAATAAATTCAAATAGCCAAAAAAAGGAATTCATCAAATTGTAGTTATATATAATATTATACATTATATTAAGCAAATATGAAAATACTTTATCTTTACAAATCTAATCATAAATATATTTTAAAAAATAAAATTATATTATTATTTTAGTTGTTTTGGTCTGAAATTAAAAGATAAATAAATAATTTTGGTAAATAGTTGTTAATAATGGATTATGTAATAGAAAATTAATGATTAAGCTATTAATTAATAACTTTATAAGACTAAATTTTGCTAGATATAATAATATTTCTAATAAATTTTCCAATAGTTTATCAAACTACTATATAAATATTACAAATCTATTTTATAAATTTATCAAATCTACTTTATTATTTTATCATTGTGATATATACCTCTGCTAATTAATGAACCTTTGCTATATAATTCACCATATCCAAATCTTTTATTATCTTTCCAAAATCCATGATATATTTCACCATTTTTGTAGAATTTTTTTCCATAACCATTGGCTTGATTATCATCATGTTCACCTATATATGATTCTTATAAGGGCCACTCTCCATATCCTTGATAGGCATCATCTTTATTATACCCTTAGTGAATTAATCCAGTAGAAGATATATAGTATCCCTTTCCACAAGCCTTGTCATTTTTAAAATACCCTTCATAAAAAGCACCTAAGTTAATAATTAATATGCAATAAAATAAAAAAATTTTTATTTACCTGAGTCAAAAAACTCAATTCCTCTTCCATTTCTCTACTCATCTTTCATTTAAAAATAACCACAACAATTAGTAAACTTTTTAAAAACTAATGCAGGAGCTTCAAAATTCTCTAATTCAACATTCTCAAAAAAGAAATCTCCTCTTTACTCTAAACTAGCTCTCACTTACTTACTTAATTTTTAAACAAGCGATTTTATATCTTGCGAGTTTTTTTACTTTTCTTTTTTGTATTACTCTTCTGCCACATTAGAAGAATCAAAAAATATTATACTTTTTAGTTTGTCTAATTAGTTATTTATTTGATTGGATATAAATAAAAAATGATTTTTAAATCTGTCTAATGATATTTAGTCTTTCGAAACATTTTATTTGATTTGTTCCGTGAATTTCTTTATCTATGTCAGTAAGTTTTCTTAAAATTGATCCAAGTCCATGTTTTAAAAGATAGTATTTAATAAATTAAAATCTAAAATTAGTGATTCTTCTAATCAATCTATTTTTTAAATGTAAACTTTTAAATCAAAAACTGTAATAAAGTATTTTTATTACCATTTATTAATTAAAATGATTAAATTGTTAAACCTTTATTCAAGTTTTTAAAATTATTTCATTTAGAAGGAATAGGTTAAAATATTTTTTATTTTAATGAAATTTTTAATTTAATATTAATTCCTTAATTTATCTAAATATTATTTGTAAAATTTTTATAGATTCTTTTAATAAAGCTAAGTTAATTAACAAAATTATTTTTTATCTAGATAAAACACTTAATTAAATATATTATTTAAATTTGCATGAAAAATAATTTTGAATAAAATAAAATTCTAATTTTAGAAGTAGGATTGATTACCTAGTTTTTTAATAATTTAAAAAAAATGTATCTAAATAATTTTTTTTACATACTTCAAGCTCAAATAGCTTAATTATTTAGCAAAAACTTGTATTTTATAAATAAGATATTAAAAAATAAATCCAGATATCAAAACAAGAATATTTGTATGAATCATCAAAAACTCAAATTCTTTTTGTAAACAATATCCCTAAATAAATTGGTTATTATTTATGTTTGTTTGTTTGATTAATTAATCAGAATTTAAAAATAAATTCAAAATTTAAAAAAAAAAATTATTTTTTGAAAAAAGTTAAATTGAATTTCTTTATATTTTAAAAAATAACAACATTTATTTTAATATTTACTTTGCAGTGTACAACTAGAAGAAAAATGCACTAAAATATGATGAATTTTATTTAAATATAATGAACAATTTCAATTATTTAATTGATATATTTTAATAAACTTTGATTGTAAATATTGAGTGTAGTATGCACAATTAAATAATTGAGATAAATAATTAATTCCTACTTAATCAAAATAGTTAATTGAAATAAATATAGACTCTGATTAATAAATGATTAAAATGTAATTAAGATATTACATCATCTTTTATTACTAATTCTAATCATTTTTTTTTGTTATTATTCAAGACATATTGTAGTAAAAGTATATAGATATTATTAGTTTATTAATGCTTTATTATTTGTGTGTGTGTGTGTGTGTTAATAGATCAATATTTTATTCTGCCATCTTCTTTTATATTATTTAATTTAATTTATTTGCTTATATTATTTATATATTTGGTATTTAATTTATTGTATTTTCACTATTGCTATTATTAATATAAATTATTATTATTACAGTAATTATTTATTTGTTCATTTTAATAGAATTTATTTTGTGTGTATTAAACAATCCATTTTGTAAATAAAACTTGCTTTATATTAATCAGTTTTTATTTTTATCTCTTGTCATACAACCAAAAGCAATCAAGAATCTGTCTAAGAAAGACTCTTCTTTATTTTATTTTTCAGCTGTATTGTTTGGGTTTTATATAGGTTATTATGGAGCATAGTACATAGAGTTACTGTCCATGTAACGAGGATAGATATTTTAATTTGAATTTTAAGAATAGTACATATTAGATTAATATTAATTTTTAGGGAAAGTCTACATTTTTTAGAATGATCTATCATTTGAAGAAGCAATGCTATCGTTAACTGAGTTGATTGATGGTTAATCAGCAACAATATGTTTAGTGTGTATGGATCTGGAGCCAAGAGTATTTTAGTTTTACTACTTCATTACTTCATCAATATTGATACCAGTTCTTTTGTAAAACTTAACCATCCATCTGTGTCTAAATATATCATCCATTGATAATCTGTGAAGAGGATTATGTTATAAAATACCACGAATTAATTCTTCCAAATCTTTTGGGACAAATGGTTCAAAGACTATTTCCTAGCGGTTGCGGATATTTTTTAATTTTGTTTAATCATCGTGACCCAAGAAAGGAGCATATCCATGGATAAGTTCATATAATAAAATTCCTAAGCACCATATGTCGACTCTGTGATCATGAGGTTGATTTTCGATCATTTCGGGTGGCATATAATCAACTGTTCCGCAAAATGTTTTTCTTACTATACTATTTCTTTATTCAGCACTCCATCCAAAGTCACATAACTTTATGTCTCCTTTTCCATCAATAAGTAAGTTCTCAGGCTAAATAATTTAGAAATAAAATTAATTTTGAATAAACAAACAATAATAATAAATCATTTCATTAAAAAAAGTTTTAATCATATTTTTAAATTGAAAGTGAGTAATTGAGATGAAATTCTGTTGAAAATTGAAAAAAAATTTTTAATAATTGTTGATAAATTAGATTTCCCTTTGTTTTTCTAACGAAAATAGTGCTTTTTGGTGGGATTAATAATATTGTTTGTTACTTTAAATTTTCTATTATTGAATCTATATTTATTTATTAACTCAGCAAGCGTTTTGCTATTAAGTTAGATAGACAGAAAGACGGTGGGAGGAAGGATTGATTAATTGATTTAAATTGAAAAGTAATAATCTAAAACTAATATATAAATTAAATCTATAATTATAATAGAGAGATGAATTGATTATTAATTATTACTATTTTAATTAACCAATTTTTTCTCAACAGTAATAAAGTATCCAACCGTCATTTCAATCAAATATTGAAGTAGGTTTTTATTTTTTTTAAATTTTGATTTTATTTCTAAAATTAATGTCATGCTTGCTAATTATTTTTCTAATTTACACTAATACTTCTGAAAATAGATTTGATTAACTTTGCTAATAATGTTCATGCTTTGATTTTTAGTATAATAGCTTTTATGATACTTCTTCCCATAAATTTTTCATAAATTTAAATGCATTAAAAATCATTTAAGTAAGTCTGATGGAATTAAATATTATCCATAAAATCAAATTTTTATAATGTTAGACTGTTCTAGCACTTATTTTTCACTCAATAACTCAACTTTTAAGATTTCATTTCATTAAAATAGAAAAATTTTTAGATAAACAAGTACCTTTAAGTCACGATGGATAATACTATTTTTATGAAGGTGATCTATTCCCAAGCAAGTTTGGTAAAAGAATCTGAATGCAAGTTCTTCAGAGAATTTTTTTACTTTACGAAGGTTATGGAATAAGCTGCCTTACTCAGCGTATTCGAGTACAAGATAAACATATTGCTTATCCTCAAAATAATGATAAAGCTTACAAATATTTGGGTGATTCATCCTCTTTTGAATTTTAATTTCCCTCTTCAAGTTATCAATCGTACAATATTGGAAAATAGTAGATTTATGCATCTAATTTATAAATTAAATTCATAAGACAATTGTATTTTATTACTGAATTTGAAATTAAAAAAGCTATTTTAACATAATGTAATTTAATTATTTTTTCATTTATTATCTCAGTTCCATTCAAAAATATGCTCAAATTCATTTGTATTTATAATGCATTTATATTTTCTAAGACTCTAAATTGTAAATACATATTAACTCAATAATACTTCTGTCCAAATAAACCTAAATTTGAGAATTAATATAACAATTATCTACCATTTTTATTGCGTATTTTTGTCCGTCTGATTTATCAATAGCCAATCTCACTGTGCCATAGGAACCTTGACCCAAAAATGCCTTTTTATCTTTTTGGTCTAAGAAGGTATAATCATCAACAGTTTTTCTAGACTAATTTCTAGTGCTTGTGGAAGACTAGTCATCTTTTGAACTGCGACTTGCTGCATAATTAGGTTTTGCTGCTTATTAGTTGTCTTTACTCCTAAACATTTTCAAAGGAAATAAGGATTAAAAATTTAGTATTCCATATAAAAAATTAGATTAAATCCATTTTCATTTAAAGTAAATAAGCAAAAATAAATTTTTTAGCTCCAAAAGTTAATCTTTTCTTATTTGGTATGCTTGAAAAATAAACAATTTCTACTGTAAAAAATAATTTGTTAATTACCAATTTATATCTGAAATCGGCCTATTTTAGTAATCGCTATAGCCTCCATAATTATTTGGCTGTTGCTAAAGTGATGAATACATTTGGTTATGATTCAAGTTTACTATTAACTCTAATTTTATTTTAAACCTGCCCTTATTCCTAGGTGCTTGTAGTTATTACTATTAATTTTTTACTTGCTTCCGTTTTGGATATATGATAAATTAATTGAATAAATCAATGTATAAGTTAGACTTTAAGCTTTTAGGTTTGTTTGTTTCTTATTTTTTTCTTTGTATATTGTTTTTAATTAATTTAATTTGTTTATCAATATTTTTTATGTGATCCTTTTCCTTTTTTATCACTCATAAAAATTCCAATTAAATTAATTTTTGGTTGAATGTCTGATCCATCCCATTTAATTTCTAATCAATCATCTCTACATTTTACTTTAACTCATATGTACTTTGCTATTATCAATATTTTTTATTTCCAATTCTAACTTAATAAATAAGGGTTTCTTTTTTTGATTGATACTATTACTTTTTTTAAGACAGCGGATGAAGTAAGTCCAAACTCGTAATTTAAAATTTACCTTGCTTGATTTTTTTTTTTCATCAACATGCTAAATAGATAAGCAATTGTTTTCATTCTCGTATTTAAAATTATTCTTCTGCTTTTACTAGTAAATTTTTTATGCAAATTAGCTAATTGAAGTTTAAAATGCAATTCATTCATACTTATTTTGTTAATTTTATAATAAATCTCGTTTTTATAAAACCAAATAGTATTTATGTTGTTGTTTTTTACAAATATTTACAATTATATTTAGCTAAATTATTATTAAATTTATGTTTATAAACAAACGAATACATTATAAAGTTAATTATATGTTTTTTTAAAAGAAAACCCTTTTTATTCAAAGTTTGCTAAAATAAATTATTTATATATTTCATGCAAATGTATTTATAAAATTCATGAAGAAGATACATAATAGATAAAATATAATAGCTATCTTAATTAAGCTTTTGCATGAACAGAATTAATTTTAATTTTCGAATTCTGTCTTTAGCGTTGAGGCTAATCAATCAGATTTATTAATAGACCTTCTATTTCTGTCTATTTTATTAAAAAAGTAACAAATAAGCTATTGAGAATGCCTTTTTTTATCATTTTTATATGAATGGTTTATTATTATAATAATTTTTATTTAAAAAAAGAAAAAATTAAAAATCAAAGGTTTTAAATATTTAATAAATTTGAAATAACCTTTGATTAAAACAATTTATTATTTTTTTTAAAATAATGTCAGAAAAGCGTTTTTTATTTGAAATTAGAGGTTTATTGCTTTCAAAATAATTCATAATTATAAAAAATTAAATAATAAGTTTTTAATCTTATTAAATTAGCAAGTATTTATTATTATTTTTTTACTTATTTTTCTACTCATCCATCTTTAATTTTATAAATAGGATTTTTGTCATAATTTTTTTTGAAAATTAAAAATATTAAATATTTGTTTGATAAATTTATTTTAGAAATGCTACTAAAAAATTTGAATATATTTCTATTCATTTATAATAAGATCCTTTATTAAATTTTTTTATTTAACTCAAAACTAAAATAGATAGAATAATTAATATAAATATAGATAAAGATTTAGTTAAAAAAGTCATATTTATCAAATTAGACTATTGTAAAATAGAATATAAAATTATAGTTGAAAGTGTAAGAAACAATTGACTTTTGTTAGAAAAATATTCAAAAGTAAAACATGAGCTTAGAATTATATAACAGGTATAATCTCTCTAAATTTGCTAGAGTATAGTATTATTCATACTAAGATGATGGCGCATAATTAGATTTCTAAAATTATCTAGATTTATGGAGTTTTAATCCTAAATACAACCTCATATCAATTGAAGATGATCAAGCCACAAGTGAATAACTAAATAATTTAAAAAATGCATAACATATAGCTAAATTTGCATCTTTTTTATCAATGGGACTTTTGTATTATGTTGGTAATGGGTTCTAAACTAATTTACCTTGGTATTTTAAATATCCTAGACATATTATCTGCCTTACTATTGGAACAATTATTCTACCAAAATATTTAATAGGGAATCGATATAATGAATATTTTATAGGCTTTAAAGAAAAATAAAACAAATATAATTAACAAATTTTATCTTAGTAATAAGATATAGAAGAAATAAAGTAAAATTTTAAAAAACCTGAATATTTAATATAAATGATTTAAGCTGATCAAAACTTGCAAAACTAACAAAATGCATCAAGTGAAGATTCTAATAATTTAGAAGATATTTTAAAAAATTAAAAAAGTAAATGAGTTAGATTATCTGATGAGAGGTTTAATTAGAATAATTCAAGTTATTTAAATTCATTATTTCAATAAAATTTAAAAGAGCGTTATGTGCCTTTTAAAAATAATAATATTTTAGTATTTTTCAATCTTAACTTTATATAATTATATCATATTAATCATATATTTGTGTAAACCTTTGCTAGATAATTCTTCATTATCTTCCCTAATTGTCTTTAAATAATATTTGTTACTTAATTAAAATAAAAATTTTAATAAATGGTTAATAACGCTTATTCTTCTTTATAAAATTACATTTTTCATATAAAAACTCAATTTGAATAAGGTGGATTTATCTGTATTATGCTATTTAAACTAAAGTTGGTTGCTTACAAAAATATATTTTGATTTTAGTTTTAATCATAAATTTTTCATTTCCATTTTATACAAAATATTTACATTGAATTTGATAAAAATATAATTTTACTATAATTTGGTTTTTTAAAATGATATAAATATAATTAATTAAAATTTAAAATAAAACCTTAGATTTTTAAATGATCAAGCTTATTTATTTTTAGATTTTATTTTTTAAATGAGTTGATTAATTTAGTTTTTAAAATTTATTTTATCTGTTATTGGTTTTTGAATATAAGAAAGTATATTTAGGTTTTCCATTTCTTTTATGTAATAAGATTCACTTCCTGCAGATATCAGAATTATTTCAGGCTAACTTATACTTTTTTCCATATTTCTTACTAATTACACCAGTTAAATACCGCTGATAATGGGCATTTATATGTCAGTTAATATTGCATCATATGAATCGTTTTTTATAGCATTTAATGCTTTAGTAGGGTCAACAAATTCATCAATTTCTATTTCATTTGAAAATTCTCTGAGATTAACTTTCAGAGAAAGTATGTTAAACTGAGAATCATCAATTAAAATCATTTTTATCATTTTTTTTATATTCAAATTTTATATTTAAATTTTTTCATTATTTTCTTAGAAAAAAAGACTTGCTTTTTTGGTATTTCCTTAAATAACTCTCCTTAATTAATTATACTCTAATGCAGATTGTTCATCTAAATATTGATTGTGGTTTTCCAAAAATATTTATATACCTTCTTAATTGTTCTAGTCTGAGGTATGTTTTGATAATTTAAAAAGCTTATTTAAATTCTCTTAAGAATCTATAAAAACATAATTGCTTTCACTTTTTAAATAGTTTGATTCAGGAGTGCTATAGCTTGTTTGATTATGAAATACATTTTTATTTGATTCACACAAAGTATTTGAAGGATCTTAATTTTCTATTATTTAATTGTTTTTCACAACTTATTACTTAATATATTTGTTTAACTCAAAATAAAATGTTGTGCCCTTTCCTTCTTCTGACTTCACTTATATTTAACTGTAGTTACTCATTATTTCTATAAATTTTTTGCAAATAATTAAGCCAAGACCTATCCCTATTTATTTATTTATATATATATAAAAATTATATTTATACTACTATTAAATAAATAAATAAATATTTAATTTCATATACCATTTGAATTTAAATTGTACTAATTAAAAGTTCCAAATTCCTTAAAGAGATTTTTTTAAATTGTAGTATTCATGCCTACTCCTGAATCTTCTACAGATATTCCAATTTTATTTTAAGATTCTTCAAATTGTTCTATATTTATCTTAATGAAACCTTCTAATGTAAATTTTAATGAATTAGAGATGAAATTCATTAAAATCTATTTAAGCCTATTTCTATCTGTCTATATTATGACTTAGTTTTCATTTTATGAATTAGTACAGATTAATTAAATATTCTTTGCTTGAGCTTAAATTTGGAAAATATCAAAAACTTCTAAAACAAGCTCTATTAAATTAAACTTTTAAATATTTAATTTTATGCTATTTGCTGACTTATTTAACTGACTATAATCAAGAATGTCATTTATCATTTAAAGAAGCATCATAGAATTTGTGTATATGATTTTTAATAGCTTTGAATGGCTAACATTTATTTTATTTGAATACTATTGGTCTTCATTTTTAAATTATTTCAGATTTTTTTTTTTTAAAGGATAAAGCTAGTTTGTTTGTGATTAACTTTTAAAATGATTAAATTAGTTACCTAATGAAGAGTCCTAAACAGAACTAAAATTAAATTAATTTTGAGCAAAATTCTTTGGTGAATTCTATTCTTCTGATATTGTTGAGCAGGTAGATTAAGTTAAATCATTTTACAAATAATCAGTAATAGAAATAATACTATTTAGAGGAGTTTTTAAATCATGAGAAACTGTTGCTAACAATTTATCTTTGTATTCATTTAGTCTCTCTAGTTACTAGTTTCTCCTTTCAATTGAATCATTACTCAATAGGACTAGAATTGCGAACTTTCCTTACCATATACAACTAGCATACTTAGCTATATAAAATTAATCTTTAAGACTAAAGCATTTTCTAGATTCTTTTATGCTAAGAATTTTTAATTCAACATTTGAAGCTTTAGAGAAATCTAATGAATTTTCATTATTTTTATCATAAATTTACTATCCAGCTTAAAAATTTTCTTACAGGATATCTTACAAAATAGTAATTTAATTTTCTGCAATTTATACTTAAGGTTAAAGAGTAGAATTCATTTAAATTATGTTTTATCCTTAACAATCATTAGACACCATTTAATTTAGTTTCTATTTTAATTAAAACTCATCATTTATTTCAAAAAGCTCTTTTGTTTTATTATTGAAGTGATTTATAATTACATCATCCCATTTGTAGATTATTTTTTATTGTGGTTAGTTTTTTTATTCACTTACTACTGTTTTACTGGTTGGATATTAGCAAGTTTTGTTATTGGAGCTCTGATAATTTTAATTCACTTTTTCGAAAGAATATGGTGGAGTGAATATTATCATTGAAGAAGGAATTAGTAAATCTATTATTTGCTGTTGAATACTAAACTTATTTAATTGATTGTAGTTCATCACAAATTAATTTTTCCTTTATTTTTCATCATAATATTATATAAATATTATTTAAAATTCCAAAAAAGCTATGATAAAAATATAAGGCAGATAATATATATCATGATAGTGTATCTAAAAAATTATTGTACAGAAGCCAATTATCATTGCTTTGCTTACCCAAGACTAATAAAATCTTGTTATAATGCAAAGACAGCAAGCTTTTGATAAAGGAAAAGGTAAAAATAAAGCTAAATTTTTTTAAAATTAAAAAATAATTACTGTACAAGCGCCAAATAAAAACATTTTATTAAACTTCATCTTCTTTCTTAACATATAAATTGTACATAATTAAAGCCATTTAAATCAAAAGGATAAAGCACATGCCTTAGTAGGCCTATTTGAAATATTTCTTTTCTTAAAATAAGATTAATTTTAAAATGATTGAATAGTGAAGTCAAAAAATATATGAGTTAAAAGTAAAGTAGAATCGTTTTTAATGAAAAAGCATTTAACATTTAATAAATGTTAGTTAACTTACTAATAACACAGATAAAAATGGTACACAGCATTAAAATAGACATGACCAAAAATTATTGAACGTTTTTCAAGATTAGGGCGTTTGAGATCAAGAATGAAATCCCAACTAAAATTTAAACTATACAGAAATAGTTTAAAATTTTTTATTAGAATATATTTTAGCTATTTTAAAAGAGATCTGCTATAATTTTTTCTTTAATAGTAAGATAAAAACTACTTAATTAGCTTTCCTAGTTCTTGTTAGAATCCATATTTTAAAGTTTTAATATACAGAGTTTATTCTCTTCTTTCAGTATTTAATTAATTTTACAATTTAAAGAAATTTAGTTGATATGAATTATTTTTCAGATTTTTTTTTCTACTTATCAAATTAGATTTGTTTTAATCAAAAACTAATAGGAATAAATTAATTTTAACGTTAATTCAATTAGTGTGTTTAATTAAGGTAAAGTTTTACTTAATTTTTTGACTTTCTAAATCGAAAATAAAAATCCTTTTAATATAAATATTTGATTTAACTAAAATTATTTGTTTATTCTGTTTAAACAATTATAATTTGGCCCTATTTAATTATTCATACTTGAAGGTTTTTTCATTAGTCAAATAAAGTATCTATATTTAATTCTTTATTAATTTCTTTGTTTTATTAAAAATAAAATAAACAATAAATTAAAAGATAATTTTAATTTATTTTTTAGATTGTAAAAATAAAATAACTTTATGACCATCCTAACAAATTTATTTTCATTTACAACTTTCAAAGAATTATTTAAATTAATTTTATTTATAAATTTAAATAAAAAATATTTAGTCGTAAATATTTAAAAAATACAAAATTGCTTTAATAAATTTAATTAATTAAAAATACTTACCAGTATTTTTTAAAATGGGTTAATTTATTTTATTTTAAAAGATTTTTATTTATTTTAATTAATTAAATACAAATAAATATAAATTAATTTTTAAATTAAAAAATTTAATATAATTTTATTTGCTTATTATTTTTTATTCGAAAATTAGAAATTATAATAAAAATAATTCATATTAAATGCCTTGAAAATAGCTTTGTTTAGTTTTTATTTTCATAATTAGTCAATTAAAGAGTAGATCATATTTTGAAATTTAGATTTATCTACTATTGGCTTACTGATAAAAGCAGAAATAGAAAGTCCTAGCAATTCATTATCATATTTTTCTTAGGTATCTGCTGAAACCATTATGATTAAAGGCTAGTGAATACTTTATCCTTTTTCTCTAATTTTATGAGCAAACTAGATCCCATCCATAATAGGCATCTGCACATCAGAAAAGACAATGTCATAGTCTTTATACAAAAATTGTTTGAGAGCTTCTTCTGCAAATAAAAACTCATCTATACTCACACAACTAATAGGATTTAAATGCAATTTTAGAGTAATTAAATTATATTAAGAATCATCTACAATCATTATATTTATTTTCTTTTTTCTTTACTTCTTAGTATCCCTAATTTGCTGAGAGTTTTTGAAAATTTACTAAAAAGTATTTTTATGCTATATAATATTTCTCTACATAATAGCCTAACTTAATGATGAACAATCTATTTAAGCAAGTTCAGTAGGAATATCGTCTTCTTATTCATAGTTAGAAGATAATTTTCTAATATTATTTGCTAAAATCGATCCCTTTTTATAAGATTAGCTAAAATTCCATTCTTAGGAGCTTGGAGAATTAGGTTGTTAATCAATAATTTTAGACAATTCAATATTCTATTGTTGTGATAAAATGTTGTTAATATTAAATTAATTTTAATTATTTTTAATTTAATCTTAGCTGTTACTATCTAAAAAATAATTATTCTTTTAAGAATATACTGTAGTAGAGTTTAGATTCAATATTCGAGGTTTTTCTATCTATTTTAATGGTGAGTCCATACCAAACTCATCTTTTATATAATGATATATATCGAATTCATTTTTCTCACTATCATGAGTGTAACTTTTTAATATTTCAAAATAAAACTTTGATCCTTAACCTTCTGCTGAATCTACCGAAAATCCCGTACCTTTTCCAAGCATTTCAACAAATTTTTTACAAATCGTTAATCCCAGTCCTATCCCTAATTTAAAGAAATTCCATTATAAATATGTAAATAAATAAGTTAATCAATAAATCAATCAATCAATTTTTATAATAAATTATCTACCGTTTTGATTTAAATTTTCTTGATTAAATGTCTGGTAATCTTTAAAAAGTTGTTACTTAATTTTGTCTGACATTCCTATTCCAGTATCCTCAACAGATATTCCAACAAGATTTTATTCTAAATTTTCTACTGCAGATACTTTAATGTATCCTTAAATTGTAAATTTTAAAGAGTTGCTCACTAAATTCATTATTATTTACTTTACTCTATTTCTGTCAGTGTTAAGTGTTATATTCATGTTTGAATCTAGAACCAGCTTTACTTATTTTGATTAAACCTAAAATGAGAAAATATCATAAACCTCCTGAATGACTTCTGATAATAGAAATTATGATACATTTGGTTTGATTTTAATTTTATTGTTAAATTTAGAATAATCTAAAATATCATTAATCATATTCAATAACATCATAGAGTTATTATAGATTAATTATAAATACTCAAGTGATTGTTTTTTCTATTATTAATGGTTTTATTTGTTGCTACTCATTTTTTAATTCTATATTTAGTTGCTCTCAGAATTATAAATGCAATTTGAATTTGTAACTTCTAATTTAGAATCTAATAGATTTTAGTTCTTTTAGTTCTTTTAAGAAAATAGCGAAAGTTAATTTGGATATCTAATGTAAGATCCATTAATATCGGATTAGTTTAAATATTTAGTTGACCCATTAGCATCAGATTGATTTTAATATTGAGAAGATTATTCACTATATGTTTGCATTTCTTATTATAAGTTTGTCTTGAGATAATCAGTAACTGAGATTATGCAGTTCAGAGGTGTCTTCAAATCATGTGAGACTGTTGCTAGTAGCCTATCTTTGTATTGATTTAGCTGCTACAAGTGATTATTCTTTTTTTGGAGAGACTCATTCAAGAACAAAAGTAGAATGCAGGGTTTTTTGCTCCAGATACAAATAGCATATTTAGCTCTAAAAAGTTGGGCATCAATTATAAAATGCTTTTTTGATTCCATAACATCAAAAATCTCAAATTCTTAGTTTTAGTAATTGTTTTGTGCTTCCTAATTTTATTTAAATAAATCACTTTTCAGTTGGCATTATCCAGAAACTAGTTCTTAAAGGATATCTTCTAGGAGATATTAATTTGTTTGCTTCTCTTAGAAATTCATAGATCTTTCAGCAATTTTCTCATATGTATTGATTGTTTGGAGCTTAAATTTAATTTCAGACAAATCAGATGTTTTAAACAGCTCAGTACATTTTTAATTGGCGTATTCTATTTTAATTTCATCCCATGACATAACAGAATTGTTATTTTCAAGGACACTGTTCTTTTTTTAATTATTATTTTACTGAAAGTATTATTTACTGCCATTTTAGCTTTAATTATCTGTATTGATCCCATTTAGTGTTTATTTATTTAAGATGTTCAGTGAATTCTTTGTTAAATAAGATTATAATGACTACTGTAGATCATCTTTGGAAAGAATTATCATTGAATAAGGTATTAACTTATCTATGAAATTCTATTGCAAAGACAGTTGCTAATATTTAAAATGAAACTAAATAAATTATTACTTTTCATTTTTATCTTTCATATAAAGTATCAAAAGAAGAGTTGCTTCAAAAAAGAGAGCATTAATATTTTCTTATTCTAAGAAATAACTGTAACCAAGGACTTATAGTACTATCATTGCCCCAACAATCAAAACAAATTTAACAAGCCAATTAGAAATATAATTTAAAATCAATATCATCAATGAAGCTTATTTATTAAATACAAAATAATTTTTAATCAATTAAAAAATATTGTTTTTTGATTGGATATTTGTAATAAATCGAGATAAAAAGAAATTTTACCATATCTTCTAACATCAAGCAAAGTTTGGTTGAAAGAACATTCCATTTTTATTAAAATATTTGATAGTACAAGACCGAAAATAGTAAATATATATATATTCGTCATCCAATAAGATGTTTTTGGAAACTTTTTATCTATAAATAAATTATTTTTAAATTATTTCAATAAAATATATTTAATTCAGTTACTTATAATTATATTAATTATGCTAAAAATTAAGCTCAGAGAATAGATAACCCAATTAATCACATTTTTATACTATAATATAAGATTGACAACAAGACAAAATATACTATAAAAAAGGATGAGCTTTGAAAAAAGAACGGTAAACCCTGCTTGCAAATCAATCTAGTATTTATTAAATAGATTGTTCATCCTCTTATCTTAAAGCTTCAGAGAATAATTATTTATTACATCTCTCATTTATTCTTTTCCTTCCAACATTTTATCTAACAATTAATATAGGCTATCAATTAATATTAATTTACTTCTACTATATATATATAGATATACTGATTATTTATTTATTTAATAAAATCAATAACGCAAAAACTCCAAATATACTATTCTAATAATTTATTAACTTTTAATTCATTATCATATTTTTTGGAAAATAAATTAGCTTTATTCAGTATTATTGAACTCTTCTTTAAAACTTAATAAAAATGTTCTCATTATAAATTCCTTCAATCAAAATAAATTATTTTTTATTTTTAATTTAACTTAATTATTTTTTTTTGTCTTTTTTCTCTTTTAAAAATAATCATGCAAAATCAATAGGGCTATAAAATAAGAAAAAATTGACTGTGTAATTAAAAGTCTTCATTTTAATAAAAAATTTAAATTAATTAGAAACCAAATGTTAATTTATATTATGGATATCTATCTATCTTTATTTCTTTTGAAACTATTATAATTTATAGAATTAATTATATTTAAAAATACCTTTGAAATAATGTGCATTAAATTAAGAATAGAAATATTAATAACTCAATTTTTGATTTATCTATTTTTGTTTAAGGCATTTTAGAAAAAGATTGTCAATATCTATCCATCAATCTAATCTGCAAAAATTAGTTTGGATGATAATTTAGTTTAATTTTTTCTAGCAAAATAAATTTGATTAAAATCTATTAAAATAAATTAAATAAAATAGCTATCAAGATAAGTAAAAATATCTTTTTTGTATTATTTCTAGCAAATATCTTTATATCAAAATAAGCTACCAATTGATTATGAAGTTATTAAATTTAAATTTTTTTTGAAAAATGAATGTACTCCTAATTATTATTTTAATAAAACCTAGAGAATTTCTGCTATTATATTTTAATTATATTAATAATTTATTAAAATTGATATTATTTTAATATAAATTATACTATGAAATTTATTGATAGCAAAAAATGATATAGAATTTTTTATTAATTTTCGAAATTATAATTAAATTGAATATTTTACCTCTTAATTTTTTATAAAATGATAATAATAAAAAAATTAAAATGTATTTAAAAAGATTAAATTTATTTTATTTGATAATTTTTATATAAATTCTCAAACTAAAATAAAGAAGATATAATTTTATTGATGTCATATTAATGATTATATTTTTAAAAAAGATTGTTTCTTTTTTCTGTAATCTAAACTAGGAGTTCTAATAAATCAGTAAAGATACCTAAAAAGTCAATAATTGAAGAATAATATATCTTAAAAAATAATTGATCTTTTTTAGGAATAAAAAATACAATCAGTAAAATTTCTGATTATAACTTTTCTTTTATTTAAAAATCTTATTTTTCAATTTAAAAATATTTCTTATAAAGAAAATATAGTAAATGATAAATGATAATTGTAAGCTATAGTTATAATTCTTAAATACTATTAAATAATTCATACTAATTAATTTATCAAATAGCAAAAACTAATGGTTTAAAATCTAAAAAGAAGATTATTAGAGAGTAATACACATAATTTATATATAAATATAATTGTGGTTAAATTATAAGTATTCTAATTAGTGAGTAAATAAATATTAAAGTAAAGATTGTGGTTATAAATAATAGAAACTCTATTCAATTATTATTTAAATACACCGCATTACATTTTAATTTTTAAATTTTGGTAGAGTACTCAAATAAGACGCAGATACAACAAGATATTAAATGTAATACCTAAAAATTAGTATTGGCAAATACCATAAAATTTAATAGAGTAATTATTTTTCTGAATATATATAAAAAATACAAGTATACTTTCTTTCCTCTACAACTAATCATATCAATTAAATAATAAAAAATATAAAAACAAGCACTATACACTTTATATATAAAGTAATACACAATACTAAATAATAATTATACCTACTGTTGGATAGAACTTGTTCTAATACCATTTATCCATGCGAAAACTTAAGAAATAAATTTTAATTACTATTTTATACTTTTTAGTGTAATGCTTTGTTGAAGTATTAACAGGTTTTCTTTTTTTCAATTTTATCATCATTTTAAATGATCAAACATTTTTAATTATTTAATTAGTTGAGGTAGTGGTTGAATAAAGTTTAATTTAAGACTCAAGTTTTGATACAACTGGTTACTCAAGTTCATCAACTTAATCCTGTAGTAAAACTTCTGTATCTGAAGTAAATCATAAGTTTTTAGGACCAATTAGAAGCTCGAGCCCTGTAACAAAAACGTATACTAATCTTCCTCAACATTTTTTAGCATCTGTTAGAATTGATTTTGTTCTTGTTGATAATTGGTATTAAGATCTATTTAATCTATACTTTGATGGTAAGTTGATCACTGAATAAAATTATAGTGCGGATTCTGGCCGTGATTTTTGCGGTTCTTCTCCAGATGATAGGTTTTATAGAGGTAAATTGTTAATAAATTGAAATTAATTTTTTATGGTATGATATTAAAATAACAATTTATTGATTTTTGATGCTAATCAATAAGAAAAATAAATTATCACAATTTCAATAAAAATATAAAAGGTTATTGGTCTATGCCACACACAGCCTCTACTCTTACTCTTAAAGTAGAACTTTAAGATGTTAATGGTAATCCAGATAAATATATTTTATTTAGATAGATCTAAATCTCCCTTGATACTTGTGACTAAAGCTGCTCAACTTGCTATGGAAGTTAATATACCAACTGCTTGACATGTCCTAATGGAGTGACAGATGGAAGTGATAGATGCTATTGTCCAACTAATCAATATGCATCCAATTAACAATGTGTAGCTAGTTGTCCTACAGGATAAGCTCCTGACATCAATGGATTCTGTCAACCATAATGCACTCCTCCTTAATTTTAATTTTAAGGGATTTGCATTACACCAGATCCTAATGTTAAAAGTAAATTTCTTTTAAAATAATCAAAGTTTTTTAATGAGTTATCTTAATAAATTAGATATTTAATATTAACTAGCTTATGGTTTGTTTTCAAACAACTTTTCTGCTATAACTATCTTTAATATGGGTTGGAAAATATATAATATGGGATAAGTAGGAGTTTTTTCTGATTGTGGAACCAATAGAATATTCGGAGGTTTTGCCATCGTTAACAAAGGTACATACATGGAAATTGTTTTTGCAAATCTTCCTAAACATTATAACGTAAAAATTATGCTTAAGGCTCTGATGATTGATTGGGATAGTAATGCAAATGTTACAATAAGTATAGATGGGACAGTTGTAGAAACACTTACTGCACCATCATCTGGTGGTACATAAATATGTGGAAATACAAACAAGAATGACTATGTTTATACTTTAAATAAACCTGCATATACACATTCTAATGCGTAGCTAACTGTTACGATTAATACTAATTACTAAAATACAGATGTTTACACTTTTGGATTTGGAATTAGAGAAATATAAATATATTTAGATTCGGTAATCATTTATTTATTATTTTAAATGATCTAATAAAAAATTAATAATTTAAATAAAGTGTCCACAAAACTGTTAATAATGTGATGCAACTGGCTGTATTAACTGCTTCCAAAATTTTTTACTATACAAAGGTAAGTGCTATTCTCCTTGCCCAGCAAAAACATTCCCAATTGCAACATTAGCTATACCTATTTGTTAAGACTGTTATTCAAACTGTGCTTCATGTTCAATAGGAAACGCATCCAATAACTGTGATACTTGTAACACAGGTAACTTTTTACTCTTAGGAACTTGTGTTTCAGATTGTGGAGATTATTATTATGCTGATACCAACAATGTATGCCAATAATGTGATTAAACTTGTCTTAGATGTTCGGGTCCTCAAGCTGATAATTGTACAAAGTGTTCATCACCTCTCTATTTAGATAAAACTAGTAACAGATGTGTATAGGGTCCAAACTGTCCTTCAGGTACATATCCAGAAGTTTCTAATAGAACTTGCATGCCTTGTAATGTAGTTTGTCTAACCTGTAATGGAAGTTCTAGTACTAACTGCCTTACTTGTACTAATTATTTAGATGTTAACACATGCGTCTCATAATGCTCAGTAATATATAATTTTTATTTATTTAGTATTTTTTAACAATATATTTTTTTTAAAAAAAAGGTTGGAAAATATGCATACAGTTTAACAAAATCTTGTAAACCATGTGACCCTAATTGCTACGCTTGTAATATTTAGGCTACAAACTGTATTCAATGCAGTGCTCCAAATTTTTTAGATAATTCCAAGTGTTCACCGAATTGCTCGGCTGGCAAATATGGTGATACTACTGATAGAGTATGCAAAGTATGTCCTAATAACTGTACTAATTGCTTATCAGGATCTCTTTCTGATTGCACTGGATGCTCTTAGGGTTATTTTTTAACTATCCTAAACACAACATTAATTTCAGGTACTTGCGGATTAAGTTGTGCTAGCGGTTTTTGGACTGATACTACATATAATTAATGTAAGCCTTGCTTTAGTAATTGCGCTACTTGTAATCCTCCAGGAACATAAAACTCATGTTTAACATGTAATGCTAACTTTTATCTTACTGTCTAAAGCAGTTGTGATGCTAAATGTCCAGATAGGTATGTTAATATTTTTTGTATTCAAAATAAAAAAAATATTGTTAATTTAGATTCTTTCCAGACACTACTAATTTAGTCTGTAAACCTTGTCATAGCACATGTCTTTAATGTACTAACTCAAGCAATTAAAATTGCACAAAATGTGATACAGGAAGATATTTATTGCTGATAACAACAAAAGAAGGCTCTTGTTATATTAATTGTCCAGATTCTTATTATAATGATGGTGTATCAAATTCTTGTTTAAGTTGCTTTGGTGGATGCAGGACATGTTCAGGACCTCTTAGTAATTAATGTGCAGCTTGTTTGCCTGGTAAATTTTGTCTAGTTTAATCACTTTTTCTCAATTTTTATTTAAATTAAATATTAATTACCATCAAAATAAACAGGTTTCTATTTTTATAATAATTAATGTATAAAAAATTGCCCTGATGGAACATATGCAAACACACAAGCTCTTGTATGTGAAGAATGTAATTTAACTTGTAAAACATGCAATGGACCTTTAGATAATAATTGTGCTAGCTGTGGAGGTACAAGATATATGCTTAACAATTAATGCATATCAAATTGTCCTGATGGTCAATATAATGATATACCTACAAATACATGCAAAAATTGTGATCCAACTTGTAATACATGTTATGGAGGTTAGCCAAACTAGTGTGAAACATGTACTAACAGTAGGTTCTTGAATACAAACACTCATACTTGTGACACTGTTTGCCCTAACGGCTAATATTCATAAAAGACTCCCCAGTAAATTTGTAAACTTTGTAATCCTATTTGTAATACATGCTTAGGACCATCAGATTAATAGTGTTCAAACTGCCCAGATAATAGGTTTTTGTGGAATGGTTAGTGCTTGGCAAACTGTCCTATTGGATATTTCCGTATAAATAATCCAAATTAATGCGTTACTTGTGATTCAACATGCGCTCGTTGCAACAACAGCCCTTTACCAACTTAATGTATTTCTTGCAATCCAGGAAGATATTTGTATAATTAAGAATGTCTTTTGTAATGTCCAGATCACTACTATGGAGATACCACTTTAAATATTTGTAGTTTATGTGATAAAACCTGTAAAACTTGTACAGATGTTAATTATAATAATTGCTTGAGTTGCTATAAAGGAACATATCTCCTTAAAAACACATGTCTAACTACCTGCCCAGTGCACTATGTTCCAAATGATTTTTCTTAAACTTGTATAGAATGTCCTAAAGAATGCGCTACTTGCTTAGTAAGTGACCCAACCAAATGCACTAAGTGTTAAGTAAACTTATTTTAAAATCTATTAAATATAATTTATAATAATTCTTTGAGGAAAGAAAACTTTGATTTGTAATTTTATTTAAATGAATATTAAAATTAATTAACTTTTTACAATTTATAAAAAATCATATCTAATTAAATAGACTGGATGGTATTTACTTGACATGCAGTGCCTGTAAAGATGTCCTAATACATACTATACAGATTATGATACTTAAACCTGCCAGCCATGCTGCTAAAACTGTGAAGTATGTACTGGACCTAACCCATAAGATTGCTAAGTATGGTTTAGATAGAGTATATCGCTGTTAAATTTGCTAATATTTTGGATTTTTATTGGAAAAAGCGCATATTGTGCAATTGTTTTCTTATTAGGTTATTACTTAGATTCTAAATTTAAACCCAAAGGTCCAAGATTACCATTTAAAGATCCAAGAGAAATTCTTCCATACACTAAAATTGCACCTTTACCTTAGATTGGAGCAAGTGGTAATGAAGTTGCAAATCGAAGAGGAAGAAATGGTACTTTAAACCCAAATACTATTTCATAAAATCCAAACGGATAAAACCCAGAAGATTAAGATTTTTAGAAGCCGCCAAATTTATTTGTAAAGAGCGGTGGTTTATTAGATGATGAAAATCATGATGATGATTTCAATAGCCCAAATAAACAAGGAAAAAATAAGAAAAAACCATTCAATCCAAATACTCCAAAAAACCCTTAAGATGATGAAGATGATGATAATGATGGTAGTGATGATGATTAAAGCCCTAATAAGCAAAACCCTAACGAAGATGATGATGATGACGACGACGATGATGAAGACTAAGTTTAGCCTAGAAATGCAGGAGATACATAAAAGTCAGAAATGTCAAATGGAAATCCAGAAAACTCCAATAATCCTAATAACCCTCAAAAGAAAGGAATGAAGTTTTTAAGAAAAGTTATACTCCGTCATGGTACTTTAATGAAATTAAGAGGTGATATCCGTAAGAAAACAGACAAAGAAGTTCTTGATTTGATTATTCCAAAAGGTGAAGAATCAGAAAACAAAAAGAAGAAAATTGGTGCAGATGGTATGGTTGTGGAAACTATTGATATGGTAGAAGGTGATGACAATAATCCCAATGAAAATATTCCAAAAGCTTTCCAAAGAAAAAAATCAAAATAAGGAACTGTTACTTTTGATAATACTTCACCAAATAGCAAAAATAAATTAAGAATTAATAAGAAAAAAAATTCTACCATTCCTATGATAGGAGGAGGTGAAAATAATGAAGATGATGATGAAGATTAAGATGATTTTGGACATCTCAATAAAAATCCTCGAAATGGAAGTAGGTAAGGAGATTAAAATAAAAACGATAGGACATAATCTACTATTTTTAACCCTCATGCAAATGGTACAACAATGTTAAATCAAACTACTAATACTCGTCCAGCAACTGCTAATAGTGGAATTTCAGATAATAAAGAATTATTACAGAATTAACCTACTTTAGGTATTTTAGCAGAAAAAGAGAGATCAAACAAAGCTAATCTTAAATTCCCTAACGGAGTTGGGTATTTTAGAACTCTTCTGGTAATTAAATTTGAATTAACTTATAAAAAATTAATTATTTTTTGTAATAGGAATTCTATGAATTAACAACTATATTTATGCATTACGACTATGATTTAGAAAGACCTCTAAGAGCTCTTATTTTCTTTAGCAAGCTTCTTTTTATCTTTTGTATAACAAGACCTTATGATAATGATGTATGTTATTATTTCTATTTAAATGCAAAAAACTTAAACTATATTCATTTTTAGGTTCCTTTAGTTGGTATTATTCTCTGTATGTTTGGTTTGAAGATTGTTATGAACTGTTTGGAAAGAATCATGACAAAAATATCCAGATTTTTCGACAAGTTACTTTTCATATTCTTTGCTAGTGCTGTCATATATTGCTTATTTAATACTTTTTATCTGTTTTTACCTGCCTTAGTTTGGGTTAGCCATTCTTAAGATTGGAGTTGGAGTTTGAAGTATTTGATTACGTTTGGTGTAGATTTGCTGTTTTTCTAAATTGGCTATTTTACCATCTAATTTTATGTTACAAAGCACATTACTTTCTGCCATTTCTTAAGTTTACCAATGAGATTATTAGGATATCTCTTTTTCAAAGAAAACATTTCTTAGTTCATTTCGTAAATTACAAATTTAATTATTATTTTATAAACATTATTTTTTTATATAAAATAGAGTATGAAAATCTTTAGAAAATAACTAAGAAATGAGTTAACTAATAAAAATAATTTAATTATTACTTAAAAACTATATTAATACATATATATTTTCAAAATTATAGTTTGATATAAATTAACTCATAATTAGAACTTTCTTTAAAATTTTTGAAAATAGAATTTCTTTTAAAATATCAAAAACAAAAACTAGAATTGGAGGTTTATTTTGTTTGTATTTTAAATAATATTTTTCCAACTCCAAAATTTTGATAAAAGTTGAAATAAAATTTTACTTTTATTTTAGATTGAGCCTCCCTCCATCGATGTGAGAGATTCGATTCTCATATAACTAAAATTTTTGAAAAAAGGAAATATTTTGATAATTTATTGTTTATTTTATCTAAATGAAAATACAATAGAAAATTTATAAAATTTATTTAATATTTTTTAATCATATTTTATAATTTTTACTAACTGAATTTTATTTAAGTATTTCAAATATTAAATATTTGAAGTATTTTTTTTCTATTTTTTTGCTTTTTTTATAATTGATTAACTGATAAACATTAAAATAATTAAATTTTAATAAATACTTTGATGAATTTAATAAAATAATAATAATTTGAAAGGTTAGTTATTTATTTATTAAGTAATATATTGATAGAAATTTATAAAAGAATACACTTATTAAAATTTTTTGTAATACTCTATTTATTCTATTAATCAATCATCTTTTTTATTTTTATAAACATCTGTCTCTTCCTAATAAGCTTTATAATGCTTAGATTTCTTCTTAGTTTCTAAAGGTGAATTTATATTTTCATCAGAGCTGTTATTTTAGTTATTTTTTAACTTTATATTATCTAAACTTTAGTTACTTAGATTATTAATACCTAAAGTAGAGGCATTTTCATCGTTGTAAAGCTACCTATTTATAAGCTGTTTGTAATAACCATTCAAATCTAATAATTCTTTATGAGAACCCTATTCTACTATTTAACCTTTTTACATTACATAGATTCTATCACAGTTAACTATGGTGCTAAGTCTATGTGCAACTACAATAATTGTCATTCCTCTTTTTTTAACAAGTTAATCAATGTACTGTTATACTTAGAACTCACTTTCAGCATCTAAAGAGCTAGTTGCCTCATCAAATATCAATATCTTAGGTCTTTTAATTAATGCTCTAGCAATAGCAACCCTCTATTTTTATCCTCCACTTAGTAGTAATCCCTTTGATCCAACTAAGGTATCTAATCCATCAGGGAATCTTTCTCTATCAAAAACAAATTCACTAACTCCTGAGATGTCACATACTTCTTTGACAATTTCCATGCTAAAAGCATCAACACCATACACAATATTTTTTAATATAGTGGTATCAAACAATACAGGTTCTTATTGCACAAGGCCAATTTAAGTTCTTAAGAGACCAATGCTAATATCTTTAACATTTTTACCATCTATCAATATTTAACCTTCATTGACATCATAAAATCTTTCAATAAGTTTGATAATTGTAGATTTACCACTTCCACTTGTACCTGCAAATGCAATAAATTCTCCACCTTTAATCTAAAGACTAATATTTTTTAATACATATTCATCTTAATTCCTGATATTGTATTTGTAGCAGACATTTTCAAATTCAATATCACCTAATAAATTTCTTCTTTTATTTTAATTATCTATTTAGCTTATTTAATTTCTATCTGAGCTAACATCACTGTTTGTTACTTCATAACCTTAAATTGAAATTGTATTGTCATCCTTTCCTATTTGTAAAAATGAAGGCTTTAAAAATAAAAATTATGAATAATATGTATTACTTTCTGGTTAAGTAACATCAACATATATGTACTCAGACAGCCCTTATTCAGGTTTCTGATTGAAAAGTTTTACAATAGCTTCTACCATAAGATACATATTCTAATCATCAAGTCCTATAAGCTCTTTTATTGCATTATAAACCTGAATAAATGAATTAGAGTATTACAGAAGAGTTGTTATAGTACTCACTTATGCAGTCTTCTATTCCTAAATGAAATACATAGATCCATAATAAAGCACAATAATTTTTTGCAGCCTATCTAGAATTTCGCTAACTGCATCCATTTTTGAGTTTTAGTATTAAATTTTAATACTTTGCTCAGATATTTTTTCTAATTATTTTTAATAAGTTTATATTTCTTTTGACTCTCTACCAAAAGCCTTCACAGTCATTACATTTTACATAATATCCTAGAATGTATTATCCCTATCTACCATATCTTTAAAATTATCTTTCGCTAGATTCAATTTCTATTTATTAGAATAGTGGTTCCAGAAACCTTTTAAAGCACAAAAGACCAATAAGCATAGTGAAATTTTAGTGCTTTTATAAAAAAGGAAGTAGCAATGACCTATTGATCTAAAGATAGATTTAAGTTATCTAAATATTCTATCACCACAAGCTAAATCCATAACTGATCTAGCTCCTTAATTTGCTAATTGCTATATATGCACAAACTTAGTCATTTCAAAAAATGAAATATCTTTTGAGAGTATCTGCTAAAATATTTCAGATTGAATTTTTATTTCTAACCTTTTCTTAAATTTTGAAATAAAAATCTCTAATAAGGGCTCAGAGACGATTAAAAACAGATTTTAGTAAGCAAATACTTTGATGAGCTCTACCATCTCATCTGTTTTTCCTTAGATAGCAGCTTCGATAAAATCTTAAGTAAAGAATGGCTAATAAATATTAAAATATGTTTATACAAACAAAACAACTTAAGTTAAAAGAATCATCTTCCATTCAGATAAAAAGTATCTGAGCAAGAACTTCCTTATCTCAATCTTAGATACTTTATCAAACTAAGATTCTTTTTTTAAATTTTCTTTTTTCAATTCATTGTGAATCTTTCTATAAATGTGCTTTTCTGGTCCATAACCTTTTGTTTTCATTTATTGCAAATAACTTATTAATTAATTAACTTATATTTTTAATTACTAATTTTATTGGAAAAAAAAAAATTATTTATCAGCACAAATTAATAAACTCTATTAGAAGCAACAAAAAGATATGATCAGAAAAAAGAGTAAAATTTATCAATTAAATGTTTACAATACGATAACTTTAAAAGGAGTCTTTATAGCCTGAATAATTTACTGAAAAATGTAAATAAGTAGAGTCTGCATATCATTTCATTTATTTAATACTAAGAGGAAAAAAATTTATTAAAAATTTAAAGTAGTTGCTCAATATCCATAAATTTTAAAAATGTATTGTACTTAATATTGAGAAATAAATTAAAGAAATTTAACATATTTAAATGTTAAATTGTAAAAATTATTGTTAAATGAAATATATACTATATGTTTTTAAATGCTAAGTCCACTGTTATCAAGAGATTGAATATATATTTAAAAATGAATAAAAACAAATTTTAAATATAAATTATTACATTTCTAAATTTTTCAAAATCATTAAAATTTACATTATATATTTATATACAAAAAGTATGGTTAATCAACAATAATTAAATTAATGATTTTTTCCAATATATTTTGTATATTTAATGATAAAAAATTTGAGTTGGTTTTCTACTGTAAATTCATTTCACTGCTGAAAGAATCTCACCATGTAGGAAAGCATTTTTAAGAGAATCATGTTTTTATATAACTTCAACAGGAATCATATTTAACATTCCTTTTGTTCTCCAAATTTTAATATTTATTCTAGCCATGTAAGGAAGCCAAATAAATATAAAAGCAGAGAGTATAACTGTTATATATATACAGAAAACTATAATCTCTATAGTAGTTCTGTAAGATAGATAATTCGGAGTCTATTCAATTAGCAGCTAAGTTAATTAATCCATCATAGGAATCATAAAAGATTATTAAACTGATAACTGTTAAAATGAAGTAGATGTTAAAAAGGCTAGCTTTTATTGATCTGAAAGGTTAGTGGCCATAAAACTTGTTACAGAAGTTCTAAGGCCTTCTAAGAAATAAACAACAGCTGTAATAAAACCACTTTTTAGTATGCCTTTTAAAATTGTAGTTAATTTAATATACAAAAATATATTTATCTTAATTATAAAAGTAAAAATACTAAAAAATATTAATATATTACCATTATTTACAGCAGTGCAAGTGGCTTAATCATTAGAATTGATATTATTAATTAAGTTACATATGTTTTAGGTTTAGGCCTACCTAAACTAATTTTAGTAAGTAGACATTTATCCTGGGAAAGAATAGCTATAATAATATCTTATAGAATTTTATGCAATATAAGTTTATTAGCTATAAAACTAAGCTAAATCTAACTAGGAAGTATTATCTAAGATGGCTCCGCCATTCTATATCTGCATTTATGAAAATAATTGAAACCATCTTTTATTTTACAAAAATATCACTTAAAAAATAACAAATTTAATGTAAATAAATAATTTTTTCATAAACTGAAAAACTGAAATGAATGAATGAATGATTAATATTTTGGCTTGATAATTAAATATAAATTATTATTCAATTTAGATTAAAAAAAAATAAAAAATTATACTTTGCATATGAAGGATAAAGGCAAGATATTTAAAGGGTCGAGTAGATAGTTTATACTTTATCTATGTATTGCAAATCTAAAATAAAGTGGATGACATACTACAAAATAAACAGAGCAGCAACGAATCCAAATATCAAAATTACTGATTTTTTACTTCCATCCTTTTGATTCAATAGCAAATTACTACGGTGATCTATAAACTCATGGTCTTCATTCTATTTATCTGTTTTATTTTCTTAATTATTTTTATTATGCTAATGATTTTTTTCTTCCAAACTTTTCATTCTTCCTTATTTTTTAAAATCTAAAGAATGAACTGCAGTATTATTTTTATCAGTTCCATTATCAATGCTTTTAATGTATTCAGAATTATTTTAATTATTTTCCCCATCAATCACTTCCTCTTTAACTTCATTTTGATTTTCATCTTTATCATCCTAACTATCAACATGCTCTTATCCTCTAATGCTAATATATTCTTAAATATAGATATCACACTTATCAGCTAATTATCTAATTTCAGGATAAGGTATATATCCAAAAAGTGATAAAACTTTATTGTTTGTTCTGTTCACCTAGAATACAATAGGTATTAGGATAAATAGAGAAATTACAACGAATACAATAGCAATTATAAGAACTACAATATAGTTTATTCTAAAATCATCCACTTTATTATAGTAATAATTGTAGAAATCGTTTGCTGTTTTGTTGCAAGCTTCTCTTTAACTTTAAAGCCCATTTTAATTTATATAATAAAAGCTACTCGTTGCTTAATTTACTTGGCCTTTCTACAAAATAGATTATTATAAATAAAATATTATGAAAAGTATATTTATTAAGAAAGTAACTTACAACAATAGAAGCTAAAGGTGACATTTGAAAGGTTGAACCACTGCTGATAAAAGTTAGTAAAGAATCAGTTAGTGTTTCTTAATCAGATGATAAAGTTCCTTAAGATGACATTTTTTGAATAGTAATTGTGAAATTTGGAGGACTTGTATTTTTATCATTGTACATAGATATTTGGTGTTTTATCATATTGTACATCTAATCTTTTAAAGTGTTTAAGCTTGTACTTAACTATTTATTTATATAGATAATTACAATTTTTAGAATAAATAAAGGATATTTTTTTATTTACATTAGATCTAAATCCATTTGCATATGATTCTGCTGTCTAACCAGAAGGTGGCGTTATTAGATTACTTTTTAAAAGTTAAAAATAAATTCAAAAAGATAAATTTTAAAGTAATATTTTGAATTACTTGGCGAGTTCATATAACATGTTTGAATAATAAATTGATGTACTTAATGTTTCAGATAGAACATATCCAGATTAAATTGCTTGTAGACCTTCCTTAACAGTACTTTCATTGGAGACTTTAAAGCCTAAATCATAGGCAGATAAACCGCATAATATTAATAGCAAGAGCAAGGCAGTTCTGTTTAAAATTTTAATTTTTCTAGGAACTGTCTTTTCAGAAATGAGAGTTTTAAAATCTTTTAATTGTCTCTGATCATCATTTACAGATTAACCAGAAATGTTAGAACTTTCATCATCATATTCACCATTTTAATGTTCTCCCTTTTTATTTATTCATTTATTTTAAAATTTTGAAATAATTTTATAAATTTGATTATAAAAAATTTTTATGTTTCCAAACAAAAAAATACATTTTATGATTTTTGGTCATCTTTTCCAAAGGTAGTTTCACCTTTAATAACTGTTTTGTTATTGTTATTGAAAATATGCTCTTCTATATTGTTATCTTAGGCTTAGAGTGTACTGTTATCTGTTTCAGTGAATGTTATGACATTTATTTTTAATCCTAAATCAAACTCTTACTCTATAATAAGGTTCACCTTTATTTAAGCTTATCTAAATTTTTTAAATCTTTTTCTTTCAAAACCATTTTCTAAATCTTAGTTTAATTGTTAGTTATCATCTTTTTAAGCTTAACTTTCGAAATCTGAATCCTAATATCCATCTTCATCTTCTATCAAATAATTCATTTAAACATATGTACTGTCAATAGTTGTTATTAATCCTTAAACTGACATCATTTCTTCTCTATTTGCTACATCAGCAACACCAGGCATTATCTAATCGATAGTAAAATCAGAAATATTATTTGAATTTCCATAAACTAATTAAGATGGTATTCCAAAATAATCATGAATACTTTGTGATATGCCTTATATTTATAAGTTGTCTTCCCTTTATTTAATAAAAATTCAAACAAAATAAATTTTATAAAAATTTTTATTTAATTTAAATTTTTTAAATAACTTTTGATAGTTGTTTCTTTGTGTAATTTATGAAAGCTAAATATTAAATTGAGAATTAAAGTAATTTGCAATTTTACCTGTAAATAAGATAGTGAATAACTTAGTCTTTTTCAATTTAGCTTTTAGATTCTTAATTATCTATTTCTTTCAGAAATCCAACAATTTAAATTCCTTAATCTAAGTTAGGAAGTACTTTAACCATAATGGAAGTTGGAATTATATATCCATTTTTATTTAGACACATCACTGTTCTTTCCACTCCAATAACCTTAGGTTATGATGTTTCTAAAAATCTGTGAAACAAACTATCGTGAATATCTCCATATACTTTAGGCATAATTTTGTTTATATTTTATCCTATCACATCGCTTTTTGAATAACCAAGTAATCTAATTTTAATAAAATTTGATGAAATAAAACATTTTTCTTAAAATATTACTGTTCGATTTCATTGTTTGTATTAACAACCATTCCAACTTAATTTAAATTTCCTGAAACACTAATAATTGAAGTCTAAGAATTCTCACCATATTTCAATTTTTCAACATCTACAAATTGCTTGTTTGCTTAATTACTCCTTTCAATATATTATGCTTTCTCTAATAATCTATTACCATCCTGCTCATCGTTAACAATTTCCTTTAAATAGTTTCCATATATTGTTAAGCTCTTAATATTATTTGAGTTTATTTCTTGTAGATTTTCAAAGATTTATGAATTGTTTTCAATAGAATTAGTAATTCTAGTTCCCAAAAGTAGAAGTTTATCTACATCAGGTATTTCTTCTAACAACTTATTCCAGAATTCTTAATAGTAGTTGACAGATTTTTCAATTGATCCTAAGAAATCAACAAATAAGGCTTAAAACTAAACTATGCTATTGACTTCAACTGTTTTATTTTCTGTATTTCTTAAATCATTTTCTTTTAATTCATCTTCAATTATATGATTATAGCTATAAATAGAAAATTCCTCTTAAATATTAGGTTTTAATTCAGATGTATACATCAGCTCTAACAAAGACTTGAATTTGTTACTTAACTTTGCATGCTAAATATATGAATTAAATAAATGTAAACGAGTGCTTTTTTAAAATTTATCAAAACTATCTAGCAGCAAGAATTTTACGAAATTATACCATTTAGTGGTACTGTTTAAGTTTATTTGATTCGTGTTGTTTTAATACGTTTAGATGTCATCTTCTTTATCAAGGATTAAAGATTAACAATTGCAATTCACATCTTAAACTTTTGTGCAATATCTAGCATGAAATTTAAGTGCCCCATCTAGTTGAATACAATCTTCAGGATTGCTTCTATTTTCAATTAATCCAATAAGTAAAATTAGGTAGTATTCAAAATCAGTATCCTTCTTAAAATTCTTCATTGTTTAAGATAACACTTTGTTCTCTTTATATCTCATCAAAAAAATAATGGAGATAGATATAAAGGGTATTCCAGTAAAAATGTAGAGGATTGAAATACTTCCTGAATCTATAATAGCACAAACAAAAGAAATCCAAACTATCCATAAAAGCGATGAGTCAATTATCAAAGTAAAATTTTGAATGCTCTTTGAATAATAAGGTAAAGAAAAAAATCTATTAGAAACCATGCAAATCAAATAAATTCCAAGACAAATTATGAAAGCTTTACCATAAACTCCTTCAGGGTCAAAAGTAGTATAAATAGGTAAAGCTGTTTTCAAAACTGTTGAATAAGAAATAAAAAAATTAATACATTTTATAAATAAACTGTGTAAAAATAATTAAATAAAAAAAACATTTTTAAAATAATTTTTGAATTTGCAATTTGTATTTAAATAAATTTTAACACAAAATAAAAATAGTCAAAAGTTAAAATTATTAATGTGTTAAAATAAATAAATATTAGGATATTAAAATTTTGATTTAATTTTTTAAATTATAGTGGCGATGTTCAGAGTAAATGTTTTATTACTTAAAATCTAAAATAATTCCAGTTCATATAAAACTTTTAGGATTTTATGTGACTTTGGCTTAATTTTAGAATTTTAGAATCAATATAATGTAAAGTCTATATAAGCATTAATTCAAATTCAAATTTATTAAAGTAGAAAAAAACTATGTTTTGATTTTAAATGATGAAAATTCATATTTTATAAGACTAAATGTGGATGGAAATAAATTTAAATTAAATAGAGACTTTAAATTTATTATTAAATTTTACCTAATTTGATTATATCATTTATACTCTATGGATGGGCGTAAGGGATTTTAGAGCTAGGATTAAGATCTATATATAGCTTATAAAAGACAGTTTATAGTATTGAAAATATAATAAAGCCAACAATAGCAATAGAAAGATGGATAAAGTAATTTGATTTGTAACATCCTAAAGATACTCCAAGATCAGTTGATGAGTTACAATAAAAAGTAGAGAGATAAATATTGATCATAGGAATATAGCCAACAGTGTTTGTAAACAATCCATATAGCCATAAGTATTTTATGAAATAGTTAAAGAGACTTGATGTTTTTTTGTGTTTATGAGCAACACTATAAGAGCAATATATGGCTATTAGTAAAGTAATTAAATTGATAGATATCACTATGTAAAGTATCATTAAAAATACCTATTTATTAATTTAAAATACATTTATTAATTTTGATAAATTATTTAAAAACTAAAATATTTTTTATCTCTTCAATTAAAATTTTTTAATTTTATTTTATTATAAAATTATTAAAAATTTATTAATTTTTGACTATTTTAATATTTACTCTAACAGAAGTATCATTATTAATATGCTTATTATTTTATTATGGCTGGCTTTTTGAATATCCTTATAAAATTTGTTAATCAATCATATTTTTTTAATATCTCAATAAATGAGAAATTATATTTAATTGTTTTTGGTTGTTGAATTTTAAATTATTTTAAATATTTTATATATTGCTATTTTTTTTATATATGAAAATCGAATTGCTTTGTTAAAGTTCTTTCTTAACTTCAAGATAATTTTAATAGTGCTTAAAATATCAATAAAATTTTACTGTTTAACCATTTTTTTAAATGGGCCCGTTGATCTAGAAATACTGTATAGCTTGCTGCATAACATTAGTCACAGAAGAAGACCACAGAAAGCTGAATGATGTGTTTATAGCGAAGAAAGCTATTTAAAGTGCTTCTATCAATAATATTATTTTGTAGATTAAAGGAGAGACTCTTTGTGAGTGCAAAATTTCATGAAATAGAGAATAGAGAATTCTCCTAACAGCTTTATCCGTTTAAGACCAGAAAGAATCTTCATATTAATTATCAAACATTTTCTTTTTTATTTGAAATATGTTAAAAAATGATGACGAAATTCAAAGTAAACAAGCTATAATTTAATAGTTTTTACTTAATTTTGATTTGATTTTTTAATTTGTAGATTTTACTATCAAGATACTTTCTAATTTCTTTTGTGATTAATATTTATGGATTTCTAGATGTACTTTTCTTAAATATTATTTCTTAATGAAGTAAAATTAGTTCGTTGTAAGCTCTAAAGATTAATCTAAGTACTCAAAAAATTTTCATAATAAATTACAAATATTTTCTCTAGAATACCAAAATATTACTTACAAACATTTAATTAATACAGTTCAGTCAATGTTTATTAATCCCTTCAATTTTTTGTAACTCTAAGTTTAATTTATATATTTTAACAGACAATCGCTTTTAATTTTGAAAAATAATTTTTATCACATTTGCTTCAATAAAACTATATAATTAAAATATAGCATTCAATAACCTTTTCTCCTTCCATTCTAAATTTATAAATTTAATTAGTATTTCTTTTATTATCATAAATATTACTTATTATAGATAACCTTTTACTGTATTCAAGTAAATATATTCAATAACCTTGAGAAAGTAAATTTATCTCACTAAAAATTAGTAAATAGTAATCTAGCTATCGATTAGATTTATTTGAAAAATTAAGAAAATAAAATCAAAGTTATTTAAGCAAATTAGAATTTGTTCAAAAATTATAATATAAAATGTGAATTTTTACAAGTAAAATTTGTTTTGAAAAGATGCGTGCTACTTTATAACTTTTAAACCTAATAAAATAATAAATATTAAATAAAGAAACAAATATTTTAAAATAAAATGCTTAATATTATTGCATAAAGATTAAAAAAGGTTTTTAAATTTACACAAACAAATTTCTAATTTATGTAATTAATTTTGATTGTATTAAAAAGTTAACAAAAAAAAATCTGTTTCTTTATAATGCTAAATTTAATTCTACTATTTAATATTTATTCTTAAAATTTATTTTTAAATTTAAACTTAAAAAATTCAAAAAAAATAATCTGATTTTAAAAATTAAACAATATAATAAAGATTTATTGATAAATTTATAATACTATTGAAGATATTTTCTTGATAAAAATATTACAGTTAAAATACAATCTCAAAAGAAATAATTAATCTTAGACTTAAAAATTTTTAAATAAAATATTCTGATTAAATCTAAAAATTATTAAATAATATAAAAAATAAATTTATGAATAATACTTTTAAAGATACTTTCTTTTAGTCTGTAGTACTGATTTTAGATAATATAAACTAAAAAGAAATAATTAATCTTAGACTTAAAAATTTTAAAATAAAATATTCTGATTAAATCTAAAAATTATTAAATAATATAAAAAACGTTTTTATATAAATTTATGAATAATACTTTCAAACATACTTTCTTTTAGTCTTTAGTACTGATTTTAGATAAAATATAAACTCAAAAGAAATAATTATTAATTAAAATACTTTTTTAATATTATGATTTAAAAATTATTAAATAATTTAATAAATATTTATTTATTATTTCATTTATTTATATAAAATTTATTTTAAAAAATATTCCTATAGTAGACCATAAATAATATTGAGTGTAGATAAATACAAACTCAAATATATTAATTATTAATTAAATGTTAATTTTTGATTTGAAAATTATTTTATTTTCTTTATTCATAGCACTTGCATTTTAAAATACTTTTTTTAATATTATGATATAAAAATTTTTAAATAATTGAAAAAATATTTATTTATTTTAAAAAATATTCTTTTAATAGACCATAAATAATATTGAGTGTAGATAAATACATATAAACTCAAAAATAATAATTATTAATCAAATATAAATAATTTATAATTTATTTTATTTGACAATCATTTTCGTTTATTCATAGCATTTATGCCTCTTTGTACTTTTAAATCATGGTTGTTCATAATTTTTTACATCATAGCTTGTTCTTTCATTCTCTAATCTTAGTCTACCTGTTGAGCCCTTTGTATGTAACTTTAATTAATAGCTAATTATTTTTAATTCATGTGATTTTAAGGGCTGTAATATTCTGGGGCAGAAGCATGTACTCTATGGAGATTTCCTACACTTGGAGAATATCCGTTTTTACCATAATTGGGGTCATGTTTTTATAGATATCTTAAAGATGGACGAACAGGCTCTTTAATTTAACCATAATTTTCCTATCCTTTTTTATTTACCATTTGCTCTTATATTTTTCTTTATCTGTCTTCTTAAAGGTTATATTCAGCCAAATAGATTTTGTCCTCTTCGTCGTCATTTTCATTGAATAGGTCTGTAGGTCTAAATTATCCATTATTTAAATTTTTCATGTCTGAAAAGGATAACTGTTCTAATTATTACCAACTCACCCTATCAGTTTTATTATTTAAGTGTTAAAATAAATTATTGAAATCTTAATAAATTACTTTCCACCAGCATCTAATTTTCCTATCTAGTTTTTAATTTTCTTGTTAGCATAGCTACCTATTCCCCCAGGTTAGCTATACACAGATGACTGTTAAAGATTAGGAGTTGATCTTCTATTATTCTCCATACTTCTTGGAGCTAATTTGCTTTGATTTATATTTTTTTAATCCAATTGCATTATTTAGAGTGCTTACTGTGATTTCTTAAATTCTTAAAATTGCTTTACTTTTTATCTCACAACAGGATCAACTTTTTTCAAGACAATATCTCTTCCTTGATCGAATGGTAGCAATCTAAATCCATCTTTTACCTTTTAATAGAATTTTATTAATATTAATTAAGGATGTTAAAAATATTTTTTTTAAATAAAAAAAGTGAAATAAAATTTTAACGATTTTAATGAATTAAAATATGAAAAAAAATTTATCAATAATTATCGAAAATAATTAAAATATTTTAATCATAATCTTAAAAAAAAATAAAGTAATAATTACTTAAATATTAAAAGGCTGATTGAGCAATCCAAATTTTGAACGAAATTTGTGAATATTATCTATTTCAATATATTAGTAAAGCTTTTCTACTCTGTCTATATTACTTAAGTTTTCTTCCTCTTTATAGAAAGCAATTGCAACCTTTTCAATCATAATCTTAAAGTGATCAAGATCTAGCTCTTTATAATTCAGAGCATATTTTTTAAACATAATTTAAATTTCCCTTTTCGTTACGTATTTATTCTTATTAAGAATGTTAAACTATTTGAGGAAAAGCATAAAGCATGCCAAGTTTATTACGTTTTATTCATGAACTATTCTATCAAAAGTGAAAGCAACACCGGTTACATTTTATTACTTGCAGTAAAAGTTAAATGCTTCTTTTAAGTTTTTCATTCTTATTTATTCCTTTGTAAGATTTTTACCTTTTTTACCTTAATCCTTATCTAAATATTTTAAATAAAAATATTTATTAAATTTAAATAAAGGCATTGTTTTTTAATCATTTATTCATTAATTTTTAAATTTATATTGAAGTCAATTTTTAATAAAAAATTAATTGAGTATGGTTAAATGTACTATTTATTTTGTAAAAATTATTTTTCTATGTTTAAATATTTTAGAAATTCTTTAAATATCAATTTAAATTAAAAACTCATTTTTTTAAACTAACCTTAAGATAAATTTTTTGAGTTTAGCGTAATCTAATCTTGATTTAAATAATTTATTCACGAATTTTAAATAACTTAATATTTATTTAAATGAAAATTTAAAAATAGAATATACTTAACAAAAGAGTTAATTGCTACTTCAAGTTCTCAATAGTATTCTAAATAATTAGCTTTTCTTAAGGGTTTGTAGTCTTTTTAAGCATGTTTTCATATTTGTCTATATTTTCTCTTAACTCCTTCTCAAGCTAACTTTCTTATTGTTGCTATATCCACAGTTCCTCTTTTCCTTACTGAGTAAGAAACAGATCATCGTTGTTTTCAATAAAAAAATAAGAGAATTCTACAAAATCACTGTAAGTAACCTTTGTTTCATTAGGATCAAAATTTCTTATGTTCCTCCTTACAGCGAAGAATTTTTGAAGTTGATCCATAATTGACTTATAGCTATTAGGCTTGTTGAATAATTCTTCTTAGTCGTTTTTTGTTGGATGAAAGGTAATGTTATCATAGTAAAATGATATTCTTAAAACTAGAGGTACATCACTTGCTACGATGCTGACCTCTTTTTGACTTTGCTAGTTATTTTGCTTGGAGTAGAAGTTATTGTTTCCATTTTCTTAACTATCTTAAATCTGCTTTTACTAAAACTCGTTGAAGTAATTTTAAACTTCTCCTTAGTATTATTTAAAGAAATTATCTAGGATATCTTTGTTTCTTAGATAATTTTCATTGTCATCAGGCTTATTAATCACTCCAAAATTAGATCCTCTCTTACTTGAAGATTATTAATCTTATTTATCATTTCTATTGCTGCCACCACCAGATAAATAATCATCAAGCTCATTGCGCTTACCATCCTCTTCCTCGTCATAGTTATTGTTATTATCATTATTAACATTTTCATTTTGCTCACCTTATTCTTCTTCATTAGCAGGATCATGCTCTTAATTTTCATCATTATCGTGGTTAGCATAATCTACTTACTCTTACTACTCATTATCTTCATTCTCTTCATTATGATTATATTAATCATCATCATTATACTGATTCTCTTAATTTTCATTATTTTCTTCACTATTTTTTATTTTATTTAAAAAAAAATCATTTTTTACATTAAAACGCTATCATAACTTGTGAGATTTATAGATAGTATTCTATAAATTTCAAGTTTTTTATTTAGATAGATACACATCAGTAATTAAATGAATGCTATTAAATATCTTCTTAAATAATTCGAATATTTTACCTCATTTTACCTAATCACTATCAAATTTATATTAAAGCTATGGATAATTTAGAGCTGCTTTTAAAATGCCAATCAAACTTTGTTTATTTTTGAGCTTGTAGCTTATTTATTATTTTTACTTTTTTTGGATTATTGATTTAGTTTCTTAATTTATGTGGCTTGGTTGCCTATTTAATTAATTTAAAGCTTAATGTATTTTTATTTTTTTTGAAAGCAGCCTTTAGATTTCAAGAGATTTTAATAACTTATTAAATCATTATTTTTTATAAATTATTAAAAAAACAAAGTTTCATTCATTCATATATGCATACAAATAAACAACTCAACTCAAGTCAAGTCAGTCAGTGGTTTTAAGAATTATCTAACTTTAAAATCTAAGATTTTACTTATTATTAAAAATTTAACATGCAAACTTTTGTTTGTTTTTTACTCTAATTAGCGTGGTTTTAAATCAATTGTTTCATTAAAAGAAATAGGTATACTTATTATAGATAAACATGGCTTTTTAAATATCTTATTTATTTTTAAACGTAGTTAATTCCTTTTAAATTTGTAAAATTTGTTTGTTTTAGCAATCAAACTTAAATATTAATTTTAAAAAATTTATATAAAAAAATATTTTAAAAATTATAAATATTTATCATTAAATAAATAATTTTAATATCTGTATAAAGTACAATGAACAGACATCATTTGACATTTTTAAAAAAATATAATTTAAAAAAATTTTGTTTATCATGAGTGAGAATCAATAAAGATTTTAAATTCATTTTTACAGATATTTTTTATAGATTGATTGAATAAGACATATTAGAACTAGATTTTTTACTCTCATGTTAAATTACTATAAAAAAGAAATAAATTTAATAATAACTTGTATACAAATACAACCACAAATTAATTATATAGATATGATTTTTTCTAAAGTATTTAATGTTTTTATGGTGAATTAATAAGATATAATAACATTAAAAATAATTTGTATTGTATCAATTTACTAAAAAGAAATTTAAAACTTATTGCTGTTATTAATAAGTAAAATATAGTAAAAAGATGTCTGTTTATACTCCTTCATTATAATACTTACTTGAAAAAGTCAATAAGTATAAATATCCATTTTGCTCTAAACATGCTGACCAAGATCCTCTTAATATGATATGTTTAGATTCTAGATGTGAACATGAATATCAATTAGAACCTATATGCTCTATATGTGCTGATAATAACACACACAAAAAATCATTTCATATTTAGCACAATGTTCGCCAAGTTCTTAAAGATTTACTCTATTAATGTGAAGCCTTCCCTATTTCCTCTTCTGATTATACAAGTAAAAATATCATCTATATTAATTAGTTACAAATTAAATAATATTAATATTATTTTTTAATTAAAGCAAGCGAATGTGAAAGCAAGTTAAATTGGCTATAAAAAGAATTTCATAGACTAGGAGAAGAATGTTTTTAAATTGCTAATTCCATTACCAAGGCTATAGAATAATATAAAATATCTTAAGAGAGTGAATATGTCGAAAAATTGAAGGTAAAAAAAATTGATAATTAAAGTAGAATAAACTTTTTCACAATAAATTTTTAACAATTAAAACAAAATAAATAAATAAAACTATTAAAGATAAAAAAACTAATTGAGGAAATTTTGGAAGTAGAGACTGAGAGAACACTGAGAAAAAACATGCAAACGATATGGTCTTTATGCAAAGTTGAAAATGAAAAAGCAATAATAAATTAGGTGAATAACTTGATAACAAAAAGAAATGTAGAATTGAATACTATGAAATATACAGAGAGACTCTAATATACTATCAATAAAATAAATGAGTTAAAATTGGAATAACTCATAGATATTCCTTCTTTTCATAAAGACATAATTAGGAAAAAGCTTGAATTCGATATGGATGGTAAATTTAAAACTAAGACCAATTTATTATAAAATAATTTTTAAAATTAGAAACTCTTCTTTTAGAGCAAAGAATTAAGAGCAAGGCAGATTAGGCTGTAAAAGAATCGCTCTTAGTAAAAATTTATGTTTTAAATAACTAAATAAAGAGTTCTTTATTAAAGTTCAAAGGTAATACCTATCTCAGCCCATTGCTTTCATACAAGTAGTAGATAGATGTAATTAGCTGTTTCAATATTTTTCAATATTTAATGTTTATTTTTTTATTTTTAATTTTAAGAATGCCAAAAAGAGAGCAGTAGCAGAAGCAAACGATAAAGGAAATCATGTAATTTTTTTAATCTTAAAATATTTAAAAAATATTTTTTATTTTTAAAAAAGCCAACTTCAGTAAATTGATTAGTTCTTTTTCAAATGATATTAAAAATAATTTTTGAAATAGTTGGTAATTTAGCACATATGAAAAAATAGCAATTTAATTATTCTTTAAATTGGGCAATAGTTTGTAAAATTTTAATTTTTCCATTTTAAAAATTAAATATTTTTTAAGTGGAAGGTAAAAAAGTATTTATTTTCAGGTTTAAGAGAAACTTTAAATATACTCATGTAAAACTTAGGACGTAATTATATTTAAATTTTGGAGAATGGGAAATTTAAATTATTTATTCAATTAAATATTTTTAGTGGGTAATTAATATTTACTATTATTATCTTCATTTTTAATTGTTTTTATCTTATAAATAAATAGGAATCAGTAACATAAATTTAAGATTTAAAGCTTTTTATTTAAATTATTTTTATAGTTGGTAAAATTATAATTAGATTTTGGAAGTATTTTAACTTTATTTAATTATGAAAGGCCACAAACAACGGAGTAAATATTATTGAAATATTTTTATTTTAACATTTCATTAATTAATAGCAAGTAAAATTAAATAAATCTCAAATTATTAAGTCTATTTAAAATCTAAAAATGCTAATAATATAGAAAGTAAATTAGATTAAATTAGTGTAATTTTAAAGTGTTTTCTTTTAAAATAAGTGGGTAAGACATTTTATTAGCTTTCATAATGACTATAATTAATAAATTTTATATAAATAGGGGATTGAGGTAAAGTATATAATACATTTAAAGTATATTTATCTAGTAATATCTAATAGGGCGTAATATTTATATTTCATTAATTTAAATTTATTATTTTTTTTAATATAGAAAGTAAGTTATCTTTTTCACTTTTTAACAAAGTAAATGAAATCGTTTTTATAAAAAGCATGTAAGGAAAGCTAAAATTTATAATTTTAATTAATGAATTTCTTTTACCAAATGAAATAGCAAGTAACTTTGTTTTATTTATTTAACAATTATTAATTTTTTTTTTAAATAGATATTTGTAAGTTTATTTTGATGATAACAAAAAGATGAAAATTTATTTAAATTTAAGCCGGTAACAAATTTTTTGACAGAAACAAAGATAATTTATTTATGACAACTTGTATAAAAAGACTGTATTAATAAATATATTATTTAAATGTAAAATATCAATAAATATTTTAATTTAATGCAAATAGTCAGTAAAATAATTCACACTTGAATGAATCAAATTAAAAAGTAAAAATAAATCTAATAAAGGGAGTAAAATAAACTTGAAGATTAAAATATTAATTAATTGAATATTTTATAGTGGGTAATAAACATTTAATTTATTTTAGAAAAATGGTTAATTATTTTGTTTAAATAGTGTTACAAATGTTATCCTATTTACTTTGAAGCACTGAGAGAAATAGAAGTTTTAAGAAAAGAATAAAACGTAAATTATAAAATATTTTAACAAGTTTAAAATTTCGTTTTATGCTTTTAGTTATTAGAAGACTCACCAAAAAAGTATTGAAAAAAAAAAATTAGCTTAAAATAAAGAAGAGAAGACACACAGCTTAAGCTAATAAAGTGAAGGTAGCTTTTTAAAAATATTTTATTTATTATTTTTTAATAAAAGAAGTAAAAACATATTAGAATTACAATTAAAAAATAATCTAATTAATAATATTTAAGTTGTATTTTTATGTAGAAATATATGTTTTTGTGATGTTATTTTTATAATTAAATATAATTTATATTTAGTTTTTTTTAAATTATTTGTGATTTTTAAAAAATAAAAATTTTGTTTGTTTTTAAGTTAAACATTTTTATCATATTTTATTTAATTTATTCAATTAGTTTTAATATAAAATTTTAATCAATTATTTATTTTTGATTTAAATAAAATTTATTTTTACATTTTTATTGTATTGAAAATTACAAGAGTTTTTTCAACTAATTATTAAAAATATTTAAAAAAATTAAAACAAATTCATAAGCATTTTGTTTAAATTATTGAAAATTCTACTAAATGTATATTTCTAACTCAAGAAATAATTTTCTGAAAATAGCCATAAAAATTTAATGAAAATAAATTTGTAAAAAGATATGAATTAAAAACATTTTGAATTAATTTTTAAATTTGGCTATTTATTTGAATAAAATATCTTTAATTATTAATATTTGCTTGAGCCATAATCAACAAAGAAATAAATATAATTAAATGCAATAATCATGATGATAAATAACTTGAGATTAAATATGTATTAATTTTATATTTGCCTAATTTTGTGCTTAGTTCTATAATCATATCTTTGGTTATTTTAGATTTTCTAGTAAAGTTTTCGTCAACGTATAATTTACATATTTAATTTGGTAGAAAAACATCTATATCACTATCCTCTGGAATGTTTTGCTTTTTGATCATATCTATTGCTTCCTAGAAAGAATGGAAAAGACTTAGACTATAGTTTTATTTTATTTCCTTAGAAAATAAATAGCATTAGTTTACTATGTTTTTAAAGTTTTATTATTTATTCATGATAATATAAGTATAAATATATTGCTCTTCTTCTTTTTTATCACTCGATTCAATATTGTAAAATAAGAAAATAGCATAGTCGCTTTGAAGTTCGCTATTACAAGAACTTTCAATTTTCATTTTATTTTTTTCATATTAATCTTAGACGTTTACTTCTTCGGAATTTTAGTCGCATTTTCTAGATATATTTATTAAAATAAATTATTAAATAAAAGCTAATAATACAAATTTACTTCTTCAGAAAACTAGGTTCTTATTCTATTGATTAATTGTTCAAAGTTGATGATCTTTGTCTCTTTTAATTTAAATCATTTGGACTATTAATTTGATTTAAATTATTTTATTTGTCTGATGGAACTTCTAAGCTATTTTATTTTATTTAATTATTTAAAGGCTATTGGTTTTATTATCTATGCTGCTATTCACTAATTTCTTTTTAGTTTAATATATTTTCATCATCTTTCAGAACTTCAATTGTCCGATTTCGCTATCTTCTTTCTGTATTTATATTTTGTTAAAACTTTTCTATATTATTTTCAGGATTAAGCTTTATTTAGCCATTTAAAGCAGTTTAGTTTTAAGGATTATCATTAAAATTAATTTCTTTATCTAGCTTTTAAATAGTCTCGATTATCATCTCATCAGCTAATGAATTATTCTCCTTATTTTAAAGGCTTTATATCCCTTATTAAAGATTTTCTCTAAGCTCTTCAAATATCTTTTAGTTTTTCTATTCATTAAAATTTTATAATAATTATTTAAAAAATTTAATTTAATCTTATTAATTCAAAATTTGATGAAAAATTTACGCTCAATTCGTAATTTATGTCATATTAACTTTGAGCTGCTAATAATGTTTAATCAATTTACTCTTTGTTTTATTGATACTAAATATTATTAATAGACTGCTAGCTTATATTATTTTTAGAATTGTTGCTGTCAAATTCTTATCTGTTATTTTAAGCCAATCTTTATTACTAATATTGTATTTCTTATTGAATTAATTATTGTGTAGAAAGTTATTATTTTGGCTATTTAAATTAATTTTATTAAATATTCTATTAATATAATGGAGGTAACATTAAACTTTTTTATTATTAAATTAACTTTTCTTGAAATTAACTTCTTTGATTTAATTGCATTTGATTTAATTATTACTATTGTTATAGAGATAGTTGTTATGAAGTTTATCTAGGTAAAGACTGTATATTTTACTATTACAAACCTTGTTACTAGATCTTATTTTAGGCCATTAAGCCTTACATTTAAATATTTTATTGCATTTATTACTGTTCTAACTAATTTCGTGGAGTTATTTGTGATGGAGGTAAGATTTTAGAATCACTATTTAAAAATTAATTTTGAGCAGATTACTAAAATGTATTATTTTAAACATTTTAAAGATTATTTATTGCTTTGTTTTGCATCTAATTTTTAGCAATTACATGGTTTTCTTAAGCTTTGATTAAGCTTTGACTTCTATTCTGTAAATGTTAATCAAAATTAAAAATGTTTTGATAATCAGATTTATTCATTGCAATCAGCTTTTATTACAAAGGATTCTCTTGATTAAAATTTTATGGTTATGTTTTAGTGATATTTTAGTTTAAAATTTAAGTATCCTACTTTTATTAAAATTCTTTGGTGTTTGAGGTACTACGTTATAATTACTATGATAAATCTTAATTACTAAGATTTACTCTCCTATATTAATCTTATTTTGGGATGGAATTAATATTATTTTGTTGATTAGAAAAAGATGTTACATTTGTATTTACATCAATTCTTGAAATATCTTTTTAAGGTAAATTAATAGTATTTGTTATTTTATTTAAAGATTATACCCCATTAAATTATTACTAATTAGTATTAGCTACTTAATTCTTATTTATTTCTTGAATCTTAGCATCTCCTAAGTTTTAGATTTAATTTACTTGCTATTCAGGTGCTCTATAGACAGAATTCTATTACTATTACTACGAGCTATGATGTCTAATATTATTTTAGAAATATTATTGAGGTTACTATTTCTAGGTTTATTATAGCAAGATATTTTTTTATTGCCAAAGCTCTTTAATTTATCTTTAATCATTATTATCAAAACCATTTTAAATTATTTTAGCTTCATTTTAGCATTAATTAACATTTTAATTATTTAATATAATAAAAGTATTTTATTAATCTGATGAAGGTTATTGCTTTTATTGTTAATAAATTTAAGTGATATCTTAGTTTTGTGATACTTTAATCTATTGAATTTATTATGGAATATTTTAAGTTTAAACTTTACTTTGTGCCTGTAAATTACTTATTAATGGTTATGTAATAGCTTGTTATCCCTCTTTTTAAACCTCAACATTTTATTTGCTTGTCTCTTTTATTTAAGTGTTTTCATTAGCGTTTTACAAGGCAATATTTTGTTAAGATTCTAATTATGTTTATAATTAAGATACATTATTGGTTTTCTCTTTTATTTCTATATTATTAATAGTATCCTTGATTTATTTATTATCACTTAATGGAACATTATTATTATTTTCCTACTAAATAATTAGAGTGTCTGCTGTTTCATCGTTCGAATCCAAATTAATCAATTTACTAACTTCTTCCTTCTTCAAATTATAATTACTGCTTTTCTTCTCTTATCTAAGTTGAGTATAATCATTAAAAATAAATTTTTAATAAATTGCAATTTAATTCTTACTTCTCACTAGCTATAGGGACACTTGGAGCCTCTTTTTTTTAATATATTTATTCACTTTATGTCTAGCTAACTTTAATATTATCACCTGACTTTTACTACTCTTATTATATTTTGTAATCAACCACTTATTTCTAAATTTTTGTTTTCTAATAAAGTAGAGCAATCTCTAATTCAGCTATCAAATAAGGATTATCTACTTAATTTAAAATATAATGAAATTGTTTTAGCAAGTGCTGGTACTTTTCATCAGCCATTTACTTATTAAGCTTTTTTGATTAGGCTTGTATCTATTTATATTATTATTACTAATATTTAAGCTATATGTACTTTTTATCTTTGCCTGAGATAAATTAATTTTTGTAAAGTTCTATTTATTAATAAATTAATATTTTTTACTAAAAAAGATTTTTGCAAATTAAATCTATCAGAAAAAAAATTAAGAAATATTTAATATTAAATTAAGTTCTAAAGGATATAATATTTTCCTTAAATTAAATTAAAAATCACATTTAAAATCTAAACATTTCTATTAATTGTTCTTCTTTTAGTACTCAATCAGAATTGAAAAAATTTTCTTTAGCAGAATCATACATAATTCTAAAATATGTAGGAAAAAATGATTTAGTTTTTAATTTGTTTGTTAAAATGTATTTTTTTCAAAAAAAAAAAATTAGAATTTAAAAAAATATTTTGAACAAAATTTTTGATTTTGAAAATCCATTAAAAAAATAAAAATTTAATTACAAAAATAAAAAATATGTATTTGAAATTTTGAGATAATTCTTTTTAATTATTTTATCATTTAAGTTGATCAGGAAATATCTATAAAAGATCTTCAGGAGTGATTCTAATGTCATAATTACAACATTTTTCTATTAAAGCTTCTATTTAGACGGGTAACTTGTTTGTTTTATTCTCTTCATTAATATGTTATTTATAATGCTATAATATTGTTTTCTTTTGAGACATTACCTTTACTTATTGATATTCGCTCAAACCACTCCAAGGAACCTTTTTAAAATAAAAAATAACTTTTAAATACTCAAATTAAAAATATGCTTCAAATTAAAAAAATCTCAAATAAAATTTAGGGTTTTTTTAAAATAAAGAATTCCTAAAATTAAAATTAAATTTATTAATGAAAGGTTTACTTCTCCAGTAAATAAATGTAATAAAATGCATCCAAAGCTCCATGTATCTGTAAATTTATTAGTCTAGCCATCGAATATTTCAGGACCACTGTATTTAGGAGCAAATCCATGGACAGATGTACTTTCTCCTTCTATTGTAAGCCATTTAGCTAGCTTAGCAATTCCTAAATCAGAAATCAAAGGATTTTTATACTCGAAGTCCATAAAGAGGATATTAGAAGGTTTTAAACCAGCATGAATAATTAAATTTCTTTAAAAGTATGTCAGAGTAATTAAAATGTCCTTAGCAATTTTTAAACATTGAGGGGTGTTTATGCTATTCCTATCTTTAACATATTAGTAAAGATTAGTTTAAGCTATAGGCATAAATATATTTGTCTTCATAATGTGGGACTCGTTTATATCAAAACTCATTCCTACTAAAGGCATAATTCCTTTATGGTCCATACTGCCGACTAAGGTATTCACTTATAGATATAGTGTTTATAAATCTTGCATTGCATTCTTTGTTTTTACTAAATCTAATTCTATTTACTTGAAAGCCATAACTCTTCCTCCAGCATAAACCTATTTTAATTTAATAATATATCACATATTTACTTATGATTAGATAAATAATTAACTATAGTAAATTTAAAATATTGGATTCAAAAATTAGCTCTATTTAAGATTTATTAATTGGTAGATGCACAATTTAAAATGAGAGAAGTATTATTTGAATTAAATTAGTTGAGAACAAATAAATTAGATATTAAAGAAGCTTTACTTGATAAACAGGACCAAAAGAACCAACACCTAGTTGTTTTTGGATTTAATACTCCATATTAAATGGAAGAAGTAGGCACAATCCGTTTGCTTAAAAGTTAGATAAATTTATATTTTATCCTTAACCTGGGGGATATATTTTTGAAATATTAGAAAATGCAAGGTCATTATTTTAGGCATTCTGATTAGGGAAAGGTTTTCCTTCATTGCTAAATTATGTATAGCCAGTTTACCTCATTCCTTTACTATTATTCATCATATTTCTATTTGCATCAACTTACATATCACTGGTATCTAGTAAATTTATTTAATTCATGTCAAACTCAGTTTCATTAAATGTTATAAAATTTCTCCAGAATTCTGCATTTAATTCCATTGTATCACTAAATATTAAACTCAATTATTCTGGCTTCAAGTATTCTTCATAATTACTTGCATAGCTTCTTAAGCTAAGCATAATAGCTGAGTCTTCTAAAGGAATTAATTCTCTAGCTACCTCACTGACTCTGGAAATATAAGAGCATAATCCTGTATTAATTAATAAAATAGTTGTTTATAAACAATAAAACTGAAAATAATACATACCAATCGCATTTTATACTTTCATAGAAGTTGAGTGAAGTGCTCTTAAATTTTTGTTTGGTCCAAATTTATACATGTATCCTTCCATTTGTATTCTTGGGAAGACCTTTTTCATATCTTTCAGTAAATTTTAGAAATCTCCTGATTAAACCTCATTTTTTCTTTTATATTTAATAGATTTTTAAAATAAATATTAACATTTTCGAGTGTGATTTACGTAATATTTAGCAAAAGTAATCCAAGAGATGTCAGTTTTTTAATTGCACTATTTAGTTTTTATGCTGAATTGACTGTCATTCCAACGTCGCTAATAAATATTAAGTTTAATATAAAATTAAATAAAATTAATAATAATGCATACAATTAATTTTACTCGAAGTCTATCACTAATTTTTTGATACCATTAAAATTTGTGATCATATCTGTTAAGCTATTTACACCTTCCTCTTTAAGTGGATTATTGCTAATAATTTTAATAGTTTTTATTTCATTTCATCTAAAAATTGAATTTTAAATTATTTTGTTTACTCGACAAATAAATAAAGACTTGTGAGTTGTTTTCCAAGCTTAGAAATGTGCTAAGAAATTGATTTGCTGCCAATAGGTCCTATTTTATTCCACCCTAATTCTAATTTTAAGCTTTTTAAGTTACTCAAGTTAGAAATATTTTCAGCTATATACACAGCTCCATCGTCTCCAAACTAATTATGACTGAAAAAAATAATAATTTAAACATAAAATTCTAATAAAAATCTAATATTATACGCAATATTTACTGCTAAAGATTAAAGACATTCAAGTTTATGAATTTAAGAGAATAAAGATTTAATGCCATCACTGCCTATTTTATTATAGCTTCGAAAAAATTATTACATTTAAATAGCTCTAAATAAAATCAGTAATAATACTCTAAATCAAGATTTAAATGAACGATAGTAGCTAGTGATTCCATAGCCACTGATAGCTCTTTAATACCAACTTCAGTTATGGAATTTGAACTATTTAAAAAAGAAAATATTTTTGAGAATAATATTAAAAATAACAATTAATTTACTCTAAACATAAATGCAAGAAATTTATATATTAAAATTTAGCAATAGATTGAGAAAGTGTTTTAATTGAAGCATCAGTAACATTATTTTTCCTATTTTTATTAATAACAAGTATTTTTAATAGAAGTTTGCATATTTAACTGCTATTTATTACACTACATTAATTAGCAAGCAAGTCAGGGAAGATAAACCTTATAAAGAAGTAGAAATATCATTAACTCCTTTATCACCTAGTTAATTGTTTCTAAAAAATAAAATAAATATTTTACTCTTATCATTTATTTTAAAATTAAAAATTTATTTTCATTGTAAATCTCAATAAAATCTTAATTTTTTTATGTTTTGTAAAATTAATTACTGAAATATAATTTCTGTGTATCTTAGACAATGTTTGCTTTTTAGAAATAGTGTTTTTATTGATTCACCGAGCTTTGCATCGTACTCTATTTTATTTGTGTCAAAGTTAAGAGTTAAGACTTTTAATTCCATATTTTTTAATTCGTTGAAAAGCAAAGATACTGATTACGAGTTCAATCCGCACTTTCTAAAAGATAAACTTAAATTATTCAAAGATGGGCAGTTAATCAAAAACCTTGCTAGATCAATAAATCCATCTTTTGTAATTTCTAAGTTATTATCTAAAATTAAATGCAAAGATTTAATTTTGTTCTAAAATTGCTTATGGCTATCTAAAATCTACTTAATCGCTTGATTATTGATTGCACATCCACCAAAATTGTAGAAAAGAGTTTTTATGTTAGGATATTATATAAAATTCTTCATATTTTTTGCTAAATCTGCTATATTCATCTTCTTTTTGAACTCATAATCCAAAACTATAGTGTCAATAATTGAAATGTCACCTAAATTTAAATCCTTCTACAAATTTTCAGGATTTCTTGAATAAAATATTGTCTATCTATTATACATTTTTTTCCTTTTAATAAGTCCTATTTATTTTTTGAGGTTTGTCGATTTGTATCTAATTTTTAATAATATCAAATTTTTATATTATTTTAAATTTATAATTAATTTTTTTGGTGGCTAAAGAACACTGCTAGATTTTATTTACTTTGAGGATTTTATTTAATTAGTAAAAAATAATTTATGGTGAAGCACAGAATATAAATTTATTTAATTAATTAATGGTAGCAAAAATACTAATCATCAGCTTCGAATTTTCATAAAATTAAATAAAATTCTGGTAAATATTTGAAAAACTTGCATCATTATTTAACTAACTTACCAATATTGTTAAATGATTATTTCACAAAGTATGATATCAAAACAGAATAATTTTTCAAATATTGTGAAAAACTTAAAAGAAATATCTAACAAATGCTGAAATCATTTTGATATATTAAAAATTTAAAAAAATTAAATTTCTTTAGTTTTATTTTTTAAATTAAAAAGATATCTCTTACACTAGAAGGATATAAGATTAATTATTATTTTCTGAAATTTTTATCAACATAGTTATGAATCAATTAATTGATTTATTAAAATAGCAATAGTTACTTACAATGGATATAATCCAGATTAGATTGCTGTGAATAAATTTATTAATTTTTGCTAGTTTTTTTTTTCTTATATTAGTATTTTACTGCTTATTTGTTGATAAAAAACTTAAAAAGTATTTTAATTAAATATAAAATTTATGAAAATAAGTAAAAAATAAATAAATAAATTGTAATATTTAAAACATAAATAACAACTTAAGGAAAGAAGACAAATAAATAAAAGTGCTTAAATTAAAAATAATGCATTGTAAAGTGAGTAAGCATAAGTAAGGCATTCATAAGAACGATACATTAAACAAAAACATAAAAAGATATTTGTTTTTCTTGCCTGTATTTTGTTTTAAGTAACTGGAAGTATAGAATACCCCTTTTTGTAATCAATCTAAATTATTTTTAAATGCTCTTATAGCCTTCCTGCTCACTTAGCTAAGAACAAAAGAGCAGAAAAGACTGAACATCCAAGACCAAGTAAACTATAGTAACTAGCACTTTTGTTGAGGTCCCAGTACATTTATCCAGGTTGTTATAAGACACCACTTCTAGTGAATTTGTAAGGATAGTCTTCTTTATAGTCTGAGCAGATATCAATATGTCTGCAGTCTCTTTCGTCATTAGGAGTTTCAGTATTTACGTGTTCTAAGATGCAGCTTCTGACTTATTCTTAGTTAACAAAGCCTATTTTGTTTTATTATTTAAAAATTTTGCATAAATGATTTGCTATATTCTTGATACATAAACCTAACCATAAATGAATTAATTATATATTTTACCAGTGTGCTTGGCTAATTAGTCAAGATCAGCATATTCCCATTAGTTTTCGCATGGTTTGTTGCTAGCGAATAAACCACCTTATTCACTTAAATGCTTGCCATCAGTAACAACACAAGTGAAAGTTTATTCTTCAACATTTTCAACTCTAGCTCTTGCCCAGATAGGAGCATATTCTCTAGGGATGAAACCTTTTTATTAAAAAGATAGTTTTTTAATATAAAAAAAATGCTTTTTATCAAAGATCTATCAATTAGAAAAAGCTATAAAGTGTGCTGTTGAGATAAAATATATGATAAGCAATATCAATTCAATGAATAGCTTACAAGAGGGTAATTAAGTAAATTATATCGAGGTTTATAATATAATAAAATATTTATTAATTTGATTTGATTGCTTTGCATTGTATTGTATTGTATTGCTTGATTATTAAACAAAGGTAGTCAAAATAATTATATATCTTCAATAAAAATATTTAAGATTTGCTTTATGAATAAATAATCTTTTCTATTTAAATATAGGGTTTTGTTGTGTAGGAAATAAATGGATTTCATTCATTATTTTTTAATAATGTTAAATGGTTAATTTAATTTGCTAGAGTAATTATTGAAGAAACAAAAATCATTTCCAAAAGCTTGGTGCCATTTTTAGTTTGCTATACTTCAATCTCAAATTTTATACAATAAAACCTGCTTTTTTTATTTTATTTTTTCCTGAATTTGAGATTCAATTAAAATTAACAATACTCTTTTGATGAAGATATCGCACCTATCATCCTACTATTTTAGATATTATTTAACATTCAGCTTATCTAACCCTTATTCAATCTAACCATGCTATAATTTAAATCACTTTTATTGTTTATCGTTGAATAATCCAAATCAAACGAAATGCCTTTTTTTCAAATATCCTTATATCTAAAAGTTTATTCTTCTTAATAACTAACACATACATATAAATATTTTCTCCTTTTACTTATGAATATCTCTAACAATATAGCTTTTTTAGAGTATCTAGTGATAATAAGTTTGCAAGTAAATATGCTTGATGACAATATCTCAACCAAACTTTAATCGCAATAATAAAATAAAATTTTAAAAGCATCTTACCTAAATTCAAAATAAGACCTTCCTAGACGGAACCATCTTCATTTTCCTTAGTGACAAAAGGAACGAGGTATTCAAAACCATGGAGACCATATGATTTAGCAGGAATCATCATACCCTTACCATGGATAGGACGACCAGTAATGGAAACGGTCTTATAGAGCCAGTCATTAATGTTCTTTTCAGTAAAAGGAGGATTTTAAGAATCAGCACCAGTTAATTAAATAGTGGGCTTTGCCATTCTTTCCTTTCTAGTTTCAGTAGCAACCTTATTTTCTCTGGCCTTGGATGATTAATTGGCTCCGTATAAGAGAGTACCAATACCAATACCAGCGAAGAAGAGCTTAGCTCTAGGATATTGAGAAGAGAAAGCAACCAATCTATTGCTAAATCTTTAAGCTTGAATTTAAGAAGCTAATTTTTCAGCTTCTTGAGCTTTATTTAAAACCTTGGGAGTTAAGTGAGAGTTTGTAACTTCACCTCCTTTTGACTTGCCAAAAACCTATTGAAGCATTTTTTTCTCCTAAGTGATATACTTGATTAATGTTATTCAATATTTTATTTTAATTTATTATCCTTTTTTCTTTTTACTTCTTTTTTTGTTTTTGCATTACTTATTTGCATTCATATAAGAATGCATACATACATACACATTATCTTATCTTTTTTACAATTTATTTTTCTTCTTTTTCTCATCTAATTAATAATCAATTGACCCTATATTTTATTAAAAGACATCTTTATTTTCAATTATTTATTTATTTATATGTTTGAAATCAAAGATGTATGTAAAAAATATATTTCATCAATCAAAATATTTCTTTCAAATTAAAAGATAAATGATAGATACCTAATAAATATGTGAAAGATATTTATTTGGCATTAATTACCATATTGTTAACTTTATTTATTTTCAAACTAAAGCGATATTTTTTATTTGAAAAATCTTAATAAAATATAAGTGAAATGATATAAAAATAAATATGTAAAATTTATTTTAAATTAAATATTCTTTAAATTTATTACTTTTTAATTAAATTTTTTCAATATACTTACCATAAACAAAAATTAAAATAATTTCACATAACTTAATTAAATTTAAATGATAAATTATATTGATCTAATTTTCAAAATTTATATAGATAATTGTTAAAAATTTTTTCAATATAAGAAGAATATTAAATTCTTTTTCTGTTTTCTGAAGTAAATTGTAAATAATTATTTTATGAATAATTTTAAAAGAAAAATCAATTAATTATTCGTTTTAATTTTAAATAATTATTTTTTGGAAAAAATTACTAGATAAATTAACCCAAAAAGGATTTAAACAATAAGTAAATCAGTTATTAGAAACATAAATATAAGTTATTACTTCTAGCTTTAAATGGATTTTTAAATTGAATTTTTTTATTTTTAATATTTAATTGATTTATAAATTAAAAAGGTAATATCTTTAATATAATTTTTTGCTTTAACAAATATTTTTTTAATTGGTTTTGTTAATTATTTTAAATAATTTTCTTTAAATAAATAGCAAGTAACTGATGTAAGTGTAATTAAAGCTAAACTTAGTATTACTTGTAAGAATAGGTTACTATTTCAAAAAATAGTGTTTTTAAATTAATATCACTTATCGTAACCAATACAAAAGTAGTGATATTTTTTTCAATCTTTAATTAAATATTTCCAGTTTAATGATTAAGTTAACTAAATATGTATTTTTTTAAACAAAAAAATGTAAAGTTTTGAGAGATTTAAGAAATAATTGTGCTGTTCAAAAATCTGTTTAAATCAAAAATTCACTGCGTAAATCAATCAATTTTTTACCTCATAAAAAGAATTTAATTTAGTGTAACAATACTATATTTACAATCCATAACTCATTTATTATTTTCTAAATTAGCAAATGCAGTTTATAAGAAATAATTATTAATTGGAATTTACTTTCTTTCTATTTTTTTTTGAAAAGTATATTTTAACTTTGTTATTAGTAGAGCTTTCAAGATAATCTAAAGAGAAACAAATAAATACTTTCAAAAATATTTAACATTATGATATAATTAAAGAATGACCATGATGAAATCTTTTAAAGTCCTAAAAGCTTAGATATAGATAGCGAAAGTAAAATAAGGATTGGAGCTGCTTCAAGAGGAAAGCTATTCTATGAAGTGGATTAAACTCCCTTTTAAAGAAAAATAGATATGCAAGAAAGTTTGTATTGGAGTGATAAAAACTCAAGTATTTCGATGTCTAAAACAGGAATAAATATGAATTAATATATTAATTAGCATAATGAGTATGATACATTTTCAAAACCTCAAATAATGGAATTAGATATTAACTATCAAAATAAAACTAGAAGCAAATCTAATATTACAATAAATGCAAACCAAATAACATCGCAATAGTAAATTGTGTAAAACTAAAGTCCTAACAATAAGACATAAGAGATTAAAGTAATTAATACACAAAAATCTTTGAACTATTAGGGAGAAAAGAAAGAATAGCAAAGTCCATTACCATAAAAGGATTAAAAATAGCTAAGATCTGAGAAAACTATTAGAAATTTTAGAGTTATGATGCTTGCAAAAAAGTTTTAAAAAATAATGTTAAATAAATCACAATCTTATGTATTTAGAAAAACACTAGATGATAGATATTCATTTTAACTTTTGGGTGATAAAGCTTTTGTATGGGAAGATTTTAAAAGGGAAATCGCTTTGAAGCTTTCAAGATATGTAATTTATGTTTATGATTGACATAAAATGCAAGTTTTATGCACTATTTTCTTTATTAAAAGATGACTAACGTTTTTTTATATAATATCCTAAACAGAAAAAGCTCCTAAAATTATAATTTCTCATCTCAGATATAGTTTGTAATATTTTTTATTTAAATATTTCATACATTATTAAAGAATTTTTTATATAAAGCTTACATCTCAATAATGTATTGTACTATTAATCCTGTAAATTAAATATTTAGTTCGTATCTAATTAATAATTTATTAATATTTCTATAATTAAATAGTTCTCCACCACAAAATTTATATTTGACGTCTTAACATTTATAGTTATTTTAATAAATATTGCCTATTTGCCAATTAAACATTCCTATGATGAGATATTCAACTTATTTTCTGAAGGGTATGTTGAAAAAATTACTTTATATTTTTTGCTTCTTGAAGTTTTTGTTAATATGAGCACTCAGTTTTATTCTCGTGGTTTATTAGTAAAAGATTAAATTCCTGTTTTAAAAAACTACTTACAAGGCAGACTGTGGTAATACATTTTTTAGTTTAAATTTGAAATACCATTTCAAATAAAATATTAAAAACAATGAAATTATTACTTAATATTAAACTTTAATTTTTAATCAAAAAGGATTGATTTAATTGTTGGAATCCCTTATTTGCTAAGTTAGCTCCATTCTAACTTAAAGATTTTAAATTTACTATACTTAATTAGGTTTTTAGACTTTTTGATAATTTTTAATAAGATAGACGATAAGTTTCTTAAAAACAGTCATATTGGCGATGCAATAAAATGTATCTTCCTTATATTTTTTGTTGCTCATCTTTCTGCCTGCATTATTTATGAAATTTCAACTCTACCAAAATCAGACATTGAAAAAACATATCTTGATTCTATCGATGTAGATAGGACTTAATGGTTATAAGTTTATATATATTCTTTTTATTGGAGTATAATAACGATGACTACAATTGGTTATGGTGATATTCACCCTTATTCTTACAGTAAATTAATCTTTTATAAATAATTAGCAAAGAGCACATTAATATTTTAATTTAAATGTATGAAAAATAAATAGGGGAAAGAGTTTATGCATCTTTTTTTGCTATTATAAGTTGTGTTGTATTTGGTTTTACTTTAAATTAAATTGGTTCAATTATGTCGAACCTCTATATGAATTCGAATATGGTTAGAAAGAAATTAGCTATCATTGAGTCATATTTAAAGAAAAGGAATGTTTCTCCAGATATTTAAGTAAAAGTAAAGAAAAATATAGAATATATTCTTATGGATAGTAACTAGTAGGATAAAGTCGTTGAAGAGATGTTGAATAGTTTAACTATTTCTTTGCGAAGTTAGCTTAAGATAGAGCTCTACAAAAATATTTTAAAGACAATATAAGCTTTTAATATTAATTTCAGTGATAGTTTTTTATCAGAGCTGTGTAATCTGTTTTAGGAGTAAACTTATAGTTAAGAGTAGTATCTCTTTTATGAAGGAGATCACCCTGATAGATTTTATTTTATTATAAGAGGAGAGATTGAGTTATATTATTAATCAAATAAGTGTCCTTGCACTATTTAAGTAAAATCTTTTTAAATATCAATTATTTATTCTAAGCTTAATTAAATATTTTAGTATTGCAAAAAAGGTGGGTGGGGGGGGGTAAAATCCGGGATTTTTGGACTGGAGTGAGAGGAAATAAGGATAATTTATCAAAATCCCTTTTATTTTTTAGTAAACCCAGATTTCCATCCCCCTCCCTCTCCCTTAAAAAATATTAAAACGAAATTAAATTTTCATTTAAATAATGTTATTAATTATTTGTAAAGTGAATATTTACTTACATCAGTCAGTTTTAAAATAGTTAATTTAGAAACACTATTTAAAAATTTCACTTTAAAATAAAATTTTGAAATATTTTAAAATTTAAAATTAGAAAAGAGAAAGTTTAGGTGTTGAGGAATTTTTTTCTTAACAATGCAGAGTCCAATCTGCGAAGGCTTCTAGGGTAACAACTGTAGCATATATCTGTTATGAAGATTTTTGTTTATTACTAAAGAAATATTAGCTTGATCTAGAAAAATATAGAATGATTTATGATAGTTTCAACATAAATAGATAAACTGTTAGAGTATTTGTAAGATGTTAAAACTGCTAGGGTATTTCGCATGTTACAAGTGATTGCCCTTATTTATTTTACATTAAAAATTATAAGAAAAACACTTTAAAAGATATAATTTAGGAGGCTAAAAAACCTCATATTCAAACTGAAAGATAGAAATTAGATAAGCTAAGACATGCTAAAAAATTCAACAGCAGAGACCAATAAGCTTATGTTTGGAAGAGACTTTTTGAGTATTTATACAAAAATTTAGATGACATAGTTTAATTTTACGATGATATGGTCGACATATATAATAATTCACAATAAGAGAGTTAAGATGAAGATGGAGAGGATGATGATCCTGAAAATGATGATCAAGAATAAAATGATTAGTAAGGAGAGGAAAATCAAAAGATGAAATAAACAGCTACAACTCTTTATAATGACAAAAGCGGTGAAAATACTCCTTACAAAGCAATAGTTATGTTTAAATCTTAACATCTGAACAAATAAAATAACACCCTTTCGACTAATCTTAATACTGAATTTTCTGATAAATAAAAAGAATAGTTGGCAAAATTTTTTTTTTCATAATAAAATAAAAGTAACAGTGCTATTGATTTTTAGCATCTTGATTAATTTACTCATGTTCCAAGCTAATAAGGATAAGAAATTAAAGATAATCCTTAAAATCTTCCTTCTGTAATTTAAAATATGTTTGATGTTTCATAAAAAAAAGATCTGAATCAACCAAACATTTTCTTAATGGAAAAAGATAATCATTTATATTATGATGGAAAAGTTACTCCAACTAACGCTGATTAAAAAAATCTGCTCTCAGTTAATCACCTTCTTAGCAAAGATAACACTTCTTTTTCTTTTGCTTAATAGTCATCGTTTTAAAGAGAAGAATAAGAAAATTAAAATTAACACCAAATTCGACTACATTAAAACTCCTCAAACTCATCAGATAAGAGCAACGTCACATTTATGAACATGAATTAGATGTAAAATTCTAATTTAAATTAAACAAATAATATCATGAATACTCCTTAAATTGATCATAAACCTCAAAGCATAGCATTAAATATACCACCAATAAATTTAGATTAACATAAAAAATAAGATGAACACTTTTAATCTAAAAATATAGCTTCAACTGAAATAAATTAAAATAACAATAATGCTATATATATTAGTAATATCAACCCTAGTATCAGTCATAATAATTAGTAACCTTAAAGCCATCCTGAAATTCAAAAAATAGAATCAAACTTTACAAATTTGTAAAGCAATAGCAAAAGTTTAAGCAATATAAACTCTTTAAGTAATTAAAATAGTAATAACACTCCTTAACAATCTTCAGCAGTAGATACATTTAAGCGTAAGTCAAGCTATTTTTCTGGTTATAATAAAAGAAAAACAAGTGAAATTAAACGCGATGATCAATCTCATTCAAAACTTCTAATGCCAGTAACAAATAATTAGTTTTCAGCAACGATAGACGATTCAAATCCTTCTCATCAAATCCCTCACGGAACATCTAATAATATAAGCTTACTAAATTATTATGAGGGAAAAGATAATAAAGCTAGTAATTCAAATAATCTCTAGCCCTCTTCAGGATAAAGCAATATCAATCCCATGTCAAATCTACTTTTGGAACCAATTTCACCAATAAAGTAGCAAACAAAGTAAGAAAATACAAGTCCTATGCTTTCTATGAATAAAGAAATATTTACTCATTCAGAACTCTAATTCGACATTTAATCTGATCAGCTTTCTCCAAGAAATAGAAAGTAGCTGTAATTGCTTGAAAAATAAAACCACTAATCTCCTGCTAATAAATTAATTTAGCCTTACCAAGTTTAGAATTCGTATGATAAAGATAGTAAGAGAAGATAAAACCCTATTTAACCATCTTATGCAAACCTTGATGAATATTTTTACCCATAAAATAATCAAAATAGATCACAATAAAATGCTTTAAATCCAGATAGTAACTCAGTTTCAATTAGACTAGATGAATAAGATCAACAATAATAATAATAATTTTAAGACAAAAGTATAGAATAAACTCGTTATTAAATCTTATATGAGAACAGTAGTAGAGGTCAGTCAACAAGATAGCTTTCAATAAGAAAAGGTACACATAAAAACAATACATTATTAATATTTGGTTAACAGCCTCCTGAAATTGAATAGTAAAATTCTCTCTAGTAAACTTAGTAAAGCACAAAAAACTATGAAGAGAATTACAATACTAGCTAAAGCTATTTGTAAAATTATAATTTTCCTGAAACAGCAAACGATTACCATCCTTCTCACTAAGGAAGAAAAAAATCTAGCAAAACAACTCAAAATGAATTATGGAATGAAAAAATAAATTCTCTTCAAAATGATTATAAAAAAGAACTCATGTAAAATTATTTACAGAATAATAGGAGCTCTTAAAGAAATATAAGGTCTCAAAGAAACATAGAGATATAAAGTAGAAAGAATAGGAGAGATGATTCGATTACTAAGACCTAGATACAATAGTTGTAAAGTGAAATACTTAGTCAGAGCTAAGAATACCCTAAAGAAGCTTTGCCTGGTCTGTATAAAAACTAATCTGCTAAAGTAAAAATGCCAACAGCTATTCATCCACAGTCATAATTTTAAATTTAATAAATCCAACTTTATGATTAAAAAATTCATAGTAATAAGAAGCTTTTACTAGAAACATTAAATCATAAAAATTAAAGTTTATCAAACATAAGGCTGAATACAAACCATCGCTCTTCCTCACATTATACAAAGCAACATAGTATTATAAAAAGTGGAGAGCATTAGCCATTAGACTTAGAAGCAAATAATAATCAGTCATTTGATAATAGGACTTAAAGATTCTAAAGGAAATTTACAAATAAAAAGATATCATTTAAGATTACTGAAGATCCAAATATGCCTCGTGATAATTAAAGAAACCATACTATTTAATCTAATAGCTTAATTCAAACATAAACATTAGCACCTTAATATAACTTAATGGATGAATAAGATGATGAATATAATCACAATTCTGAAGATGATTAGTATAAATTCTCATTAATCCTTGAATTTGACAGCATGAAATCCTACAATGCATATTTCCCATGGAATAATTTTTCAAATGTAATCAAATCCAAATAAGGTTTTAAGAAAAAAAAGAAGAACGAAATGCTTACTTTGTTTAGCACCAAACAAATGACAAAAGCTGTAAGAACTAAGGTATTATCAAGGGTAGATAGAGATAATAGCTCAGCAAATATTAGTAAAACATAAATTAAATGAAATGCAATTATTTTAATAGAACTTATTTGAAATAAATTTTACATTTGTATTTTACCAATTAAAGATTTTTTGTAAACATTTGTAATTAATAAAATCAAATTCTCATAAAATCCATAGATAAATAAACTTAATCAATCATTAAAAAAGTAAGCATACTTAAAAAAAATTTATCAATTTAAATTAAAAAAATTATTTCAAAATATAAATCATATATTAATGTACAATTTTGTGTCAAGCAATTTAGAAACTTTCAAAAAAAGATTCTTTATTTTTTTTAGTTGCTATTTTTCAACTTAGCTAGCTAACTACAAAATATGATATCTATATAGCAGTTTTTTTTTAAGAAAATTGAATATATAAATACCTTGCTAATTCATTCTAATTAATTAAGATTCTCTGTAAGTAAGCTTAAATATAAATGGCTACTATTGGCAATCTATCTCTTATTAAGATTATTTACTATCATTTGTAACGACACATAAAAATTCAAAAAATTTGCAATTTTAAACCTAAAAAAAAAACTACTAATTATTCAATAAGAGATGTTAGTAAATAGATTAGATTCTAATTTAAAAAATATGATTTCCATATAAATGGAAACAAACGAGGGTCTCCTAAAGCTTAAGAAACACTTTTAGATAAAAGAGTATTTGAATTTTAAAAGGTATCCATGAAATAAAAATTATAAATTATTATTATTATTAAATTGGATTTTTATCATTTTATGTTATATAGAGGTATGTTTTAAAAATAATTTAATATACTTTAACAATATATTCCTCAAATTATTTTTATTGTTATCTATTTCATATAAATAACAAATAAAGCATCTTTATAGATTGAAAGAGTATAAAATTCATTAAAAAACTAGTTTTTATCATTTTTACAAAGTAATTTTATTTCAACAAATATAAAGTTGAGAATAATAATAATAATTTAAGAATTTATAAATTTAATTTACATTTGTTTAATTGTTATAACTGAATAAATTAAAAGTAGATTAATTAATTAAATTTACAGCTTATTTAAATATTTTGTAAACTATTAGTTTAATAAAGATGGCACTTTGTATTTATGTAATAGCTAGTCATTTTTAAATCTCTATTTCAAAATTATTTCAGAAAATCATCTTGATACAAAACATACATAACTCAGTACATAATATTTTTTATATTATTTTCCTAAACTAATTCATTCAACATAAATGAAATAAAAAAAATTTAATTTTTTTTATCAATTCAAACAATAATTTGATAGTTTTAGATATTTTCAATAGATAATTAATTCTTAATATTTTATTTTAAGCCAATAACAAGAGTTGTGGTGGGATCCCTTATCATGCAATCAGTAGAAAGAGTAACATAGCCATTTTCCCATCCAATCATTTTCTTTAGTTCGGTTATTATTTTTTCTGTACCAAAGAAATCATGTTTTACGATTTCTTCTTAGAAATTATGAGCATAGGTTACACATTCTATTCCATTAATCTCCATCGAATGGCCGCTTTCAAGTAAAAAGCTATAAATAAAGTCACATTCTCTAAGTTCAGTTGGTTTTAATTAACAAGGGAATTACCAGATACCATTTACTCTTATAGGGTGGTATGGAGTAATTATGAGTCCATCTTCGAATTCAACAAAGTAAGCTTGATTGTTTAAGCATGGTGTTTTCACTACACAAGATACTTTTGCTTCGACTCCATTAATGGCTGGACTAGCTATGAGATCACCTTTTCTAATATCCATAACTTTTTTGATATCTCCGTTTGCCATTTTGACTAAACAGTTACCATCAAAGCAAGGAGCGCTATTATTATAGTAAGAAGCCATATTTACCGACTTTGGTGCTTAACCTTACTTTTTAATTGAAGGTTTAGGTGGAGGTATTTTTAAGAAAGCTTCATCAGCTTTATCTCTTATTTAGTTAAATAATTTTCCTCCATAATGTTACACACCAGGGTCTTTAAAGTTATTGCATTGTTAAATTTAATGAGCTCTAAGGAGTGAAGGGAGGTAGTGACGGCCCCACTTTTGATAATAATCATTTACAGATATGGCCTCTGTTACTTAGCCTGCTAAATCTTTAACTAAATCCTATATGAATTTATTTTACTTGCTTAATTGATGGCTACTTATGTTATTTATATGCTATTTAATAATATTTTATGATTCACCTCTATTTCCAGTCTTAAAAAGAGTCATCGCTTTTCTAATTGCTTCTACTGATTCAAGTCTGAAAACGTCAACCATAACTTCGTTTTCTTATTAGCTGATATCAGATGAGGATGCTGATATTTCTTCAGGTTATTTGTGTGTTGATGAAGTCCTATATTTTAAGGTAGCTGTGATGTAAGGTTTATTAGAGTTATTATTCACATTCTTCATAGTAACTACTATATCTTTTGATTGTCCATATTATAAAGTACCTATATTAATATTTAAACCCCACGAACATCTTTAGTAGTCGTAGTTTCCTAAAACAGTTTCTTTGTTTAAAATGTTTTTGGCTTATTCTTCTTCTATCAATACTTCTTCAAATTAAGCTCCATTGCTATTCTCAATACAAAGTACTGCATCTACAGCTAAAGTTGTCATTAAATTGCTTAGAGCATTTACAAATACTGTGCCTACAAATTATCCATCTGGAATAAATGCAAATGAGCCTCTTCCTTCAATAGCAAGCTAATCTAATAGTTCGCTATCTAGGTTATAACCAAATCCAAATGTACTTATAGAACAATTAACATCATTTTCTTCTTTGTACTTTTTAAGCATTGGCAGATGTCCACGAGGAGGAATAACATTAGGCTAGCCATCAGTGAATAGTAAAATTTATGAGAAAGCTACTCTTTATTCTCCCTTCTATATACTCTACTATTATCCAGCTTTAACAACCTCTAAAGCTTAGTAGATACCATCCCAAATATTAGTGGAGTCCAAGGGAATAAGCTTCTCTAACTCTTTAATTGCATGATTTCTTCCATTTTCATTCATAGGAGTTAAATCTGTTATTTTGTAGGCGTTAGTGTGAAATGCTACTAAAGAAAGTCTATCTCTCTCGTCTAAGTTATTAATTATAGTCTTTACTGAGTGCTTTACCAAGTCAAGGATAGTGAGGCCATTACTCTCAATGTCACCTTTAGAGTTCTTAATTTTAGCCTCATCAGACATAGATCCTGAAACATCAATAACACAGCAAATATCACAAGCGGAGCGTTATTAACCTTCAGGGGTCTTAATACTAATTTTAACTTAGTCATTGAATCTATTGATTTGAAGTTTTAGTTGAGAGGAGTTGCTCTAATTGTTACTTCCTTCAACTTAGATATTGTTGTTATCATTTTTATTTTCTTCTTCAGCAACTAACTTAAGATCCCTGAATCTATTTTCATCTGTAATTAAATGTCTTACTTAATCGATTTCTTGTTTTAAGGCTATATTATCTTGAATTTGATTATGCTTTAAAGGTTGCTTTGTGATTGGTGAATGACCCATATCCATAACATACTTTATGATACAAGATTTTTCATAATTATATCCATCTTCGCATTGAGCTGGTTAGTACATAATCTGCTTATTTAAAGGGCAGAAATAACGATCAGGAAACTCCATTTTATTGTGTTAGGTAATTGATTCTTTTTTATTTATGATTATTAATTTATGATTATAAGTTTTTAGTTGTTTGATATCTTTTTGTTATGTTTATATATGTAGAAGAATCTTATCATAAGCTAATTAATTCTGATAAGATTTATTACTAAAAGATTAAAGGCATCTACTTGAATATAAGAATAGAAAGTTAAAAAGTTGTGAATATTTATTTACCTAAATCATTATATAAATTCATATAGAAAATTTTTTATCTTAATTTATTGAATCCGTAGGAACATCATCAAAATTTATACTTTTACCTTTCAATAATATTGAGTTATCAAAATAGAAACAAATATTTATTTAATTTAAAAAAAACATGTAAAATAAATTTTTAAAAGTAGTAAAATTTGATAAAATTTTAAAGAAGAAAATAAATAAAAGAAGAAGATTCTTCAGCTTTGAAATATCCTTTCAGTGAATTAATTTATGCAGGTTAATCATTTACAAATTAAAATTTTTAATTATTAAATAATAAAGGATAAATCAAAAAATAAAGAAAGTATTTTAAATAATTATTTTTTTAATATTAAATTTAAGTTTTCCTCACATCTTTTTCTAGAATTTGTATTTTTGAGTAATTTAGGTAGTTTATTTTCATTTTACTTTAATAATATTATTAATTTATTAATTTGTAGATTAATTTACTTTAGAGAGGAGAATAAAAAAATTAAGTGAACAAATTTTATTTAAATTTTAAGAATAAAAGCATAAATAATTATTTGCATTTTTGATACAAAAATACATAAAAAATCAATATAAAAGACTTGTAGATAAATAAAATTTTAGATTGGGTCTGGGGCCCATTCAGGATAAGCAGCAAAAAATAAAATGTATAATTAACAAATATTTAGATATCTTTTGAATGAAAAAAATAAAATATTTTTTTGGAATTGTAAACTATCTTTTTTTTGATCTTTTCCTTGAATTTATGTTTTTGAATAATTTAGATATTTGTTATAATTTTATTATCAATTTATTAATAAAAGAAAATAATTTATGAGTAGGAATTTGTGATTTAGTAAAATAAAAAAAATTAAATAAACAATTTTTTAATAAAAATTAAATTAATAAAAGCTCAATTATTTGCATTTATGATAAAGACTTGAATGAATAATAAATTAAAAATATTTATAAATGAATTATTAGCTCAAAATAATGATCAAAAAATAATAATTTTTAATTTACTAAACAAAATTTCAAATTAAATTAATTTATTAGCAAAAAAATTAATAGAAAAATACTAAAAACATAGCATAAGTAAATACTTTAGCATCATCAATAAATATTATATTGTCAATGATGTTAAACGAAAAAAAATATAATCAAAACATAAAATAGATTTGTTAATTATATTTGATTAGTGTGAAATATTTTATTTTTCTCGATGATTAATAAAGTATTTTATTTAAAGTATTTAAAAAATGTTTAATTTTATTAATAAAATTTTATGATTGAGTTAATATTAAAATAATCTAAATGCATACATTTTGTAAGTTTATTTATTTATAAAAATAATTTAATTTTTTAGATTAGTTAGTTGTGATAATAGTAATCTAATAGTTAAATATAAACACTTTTTTCTTATGTTATACATAGTAAGAAATTATTAATATTAATATTTTCTTCTTAATAATATTTATTCCTACTTGATTTAATCAATTAAATATAAAAAGTAGAACAAACTAGGTTAAATTAAATAAATATATTATGAGAACACTCTCAGTAGATTTTAGTTTGAATTAATAACTTGAAAATAGCCTATAAAATTTGTAAAATTAACAAAGCAACTTAAACACAACAAAATAGATAGATTATAATAGTCCTGATGATAAAAATAACTCATTTATATAATTTAACTAAAGCAGATATTTCAATATTAGTTAAGATGTGCCAATGATTGGATAGCTATAAAAAAACTCTTTATTAAAAAATTAAAAAGAACATATGAAAATAGGTTTAGAAGGAGACGCCCCACTAAATTCTAACTCTGTTATAAATAGCATAGATTAATTTTCAAAGACCAAGATTGGTGGTTTTTAAAATAAGCCAATACACAATGTTGCAAAATCTTTGCATTAGTTTGAAGAGAATTAAAATTTAGATGCAGAAATGGCAAAAAATAACGAATAATAAAAAATATAAATTTCTAACTCAAAATTAGATAAAGTTGGAGGACAGGAAAAAATTCAGTAAATATTAAAATGTCTCTTCACAGATAAAAAATAAAAGACCGCTAATTCTGTAGTTACTAAAAATTTATCATGGAATTAAAGTTTTTTAATTTCAAGATTCATATACAAAATGAAAAAAATGATTTAGGGCAGAACTCTTACAAATTTGACAATAAACAAACTAAATATGATTGGAGATGTCTGCACATTAAATAGTAATTAAATATCATCATCCATATGGTTATAGCAAAATGTATTTTCTTAAACATAATATTTAAAATATATTTATTTGTTTATAAAAAAAGAGCCATATTCATAGAAGCTACTTCTAATTTTGGAAAATAAGTAAAATAGTTAATTAATAATTAAAGTAATGAATTTTATTTATTAATTTACTTAGTGGATTTGTTACAAACCATTGAGATTCAAATACCAGTTATAGAGCCAGTAAAATTTCAATTTATTATAAATAATAATAAATTATATTTTTTTCTAAATAAACTAGGATTCCTTTATTTCGCTGATTACTTCTTTCATATTTTTCATATCATCACTTCTACTTATAATACTAACTCCAATGGAAGTCGCTTTCGAACCTTTCTATTAACAAAACTAAAATTTTTTGAACTATATCCATTTATTTATCTATGCAGTATTAATTTTAGAGATATTAGTTTGCCTCAACACTGTAAAATTGAAATTTTTTATAGGACATTGATCAAATATAATTTATTTGAAAAAAGGGTATCTACAAGAAAGGAGCAATAATTATGAATAGAAAAGTCATTTTATAGAAATACTTATCTTCGAGATTTATGTAAAATTTTTTGAGATTTTTTATTATAAATTAAAATAAATAAAATATAAATAAATAGAATAGACTTTTTAATATTATTTATTATAACTATGTCTCTGAGATAAGAAAATTTGGGTGAAATTAGGCTTTTACTAATAGTCAGATTAACTAATCTAAAATAACTCTATGAATAAATCGAGTAGTTTTATCAGCTTACTCAAAATTAAATTGCAGTTTCATAGTTTATTAAACTTCTATCTTTTATCATTATGGCAAGCCATATCTTTGGATGCATGTAATATTTTTTTATTTTATTTTAAACTATAAAATTTTTGTAACTTTAGGTTTTATATTATTGGAAAAGATAATCAAGATTAAAAAAATTGGGTCACCATTACTGGAATAAATCAGCTCTCTTGGTTTGAATAGTATATAGCTTCTGTTTATTGGAGCATGGTAACTATTTGTACTGTGGGATATGGAGATATTGTACCTACTAACGCAAGTAATATTAGATATAAAATTTAAAAAATAAATGCTAAATTTAAAACAGGATTATTAATAATTTATACTCAATATTTTAAATGACTAATTTTTAATAGGATAAAATAAATAAAAAAAATATTTTAAACTTTTTATTGAATATTATTTAATCCAAACGAAAATTAAAGAATTTTTATTAATAGGAGAAAGGATATTTGTTTATTTTGTTATATTAATTAGCTCAACAATTACTGGCTATGCAATCAATAAAGTAGGTGAAATTTTGGATTAATTTGATATCCATTAAAGGAAAGTTAAATAAAATATGATTGAAGTCAGTCGACACTTAAAATCTATTAATATATCTAAATTTCTCTAGCTCAAGATAAAAAAATAACTTGAATTTCTATTTCAGTAGTAATAAAAATAAAATATAGAAGGTTAAATGATACTTGAAAATATTAGCTATAATTTATAGTGCCAATATAAATTAGACGTTTATAGCAAGCTTTTAAAAAGTAAAGAGGAGTTGAAAAATATTTTTTCTGACTAGTTTATTGATGAGATTAGTTTGAAAATTGAAGAAAAGACATTTATGCCTGAAGAAATTATTTATACCAAAGGAGATCCTTCAGATAAGTTCTTTATTATAATTGAAGGAAAGGGTATTAAATAATTAATTAATTAATTAATTAACTAAATTATATAATATATTGAAACTATTTTTATGATATTTATATATTTAGTTGAGCTATTGCCCATAGAATCTTAATTAAAGTAGCAAATATCTCCAAGTCTAATTTAATTTTTACATGTAACTTAAGTCAATCAATTAATTTTTTTAAATCCAATTTTTTCTAATTTTTTTGAATGAACAGAAAGGAGATATCTTTGGATATGAAGATTTTATTTGCCAAAATACAAGAAAATTCATAGCAGTCTCGAAAACAAAAACATATGCAGGGTTAGTTTCTTACTAACAATTTTATGACATCCTGAAAAAATATTCAAAAGAATATGTAATTTATTTGAAATTAAATATTTGCATTTTTTATCAACCAGGCTTTTATTAATAAATGAAACTATTTTAGAAAAATGAACATTTCTTGTTTATTTTATCTCTTTATTGAATCTTAAACTTATACATTTCATTTTCATTTTAAAACTATCTTTAAGATTAATTAAGGGTGATACTTAAAAATAAATGATGAAATAAAATTGTTAAATATTAATAGGAAATATTTTGTATGATTAGAGATAATGCAAATCATCAAAAAATATTAGATACATCTGTAAATATGAAATGTCTTTGCTGCCACTAGAAGGATCATTAAATAGTATATTGTCCTTGCATACATTTTACTGCGAACACTAAAAGTTTAATTAATAAATTTAAATATTGCAAAGACTAGAGAAGATAAGAGTATTCTAAAAGAAAGTGTAAAAAACTTAAGTCTACTTAGCTGCTTAAAGAATTAATAAAAGCCTAAATAAAAATATCTTAGAACACAGAACTTTTGAAAGAACTCAAAAAGGGAATTGAGAAAAAAGAAAAAGATTAATAAAATATAAGCTCTAACTCCAGCTTATTAGAAAACTCAGATAGTTCTACAAGTTCATCAAATTAAACTATTAATTAACAATAAGGTGATATCTGCGGCAGCTAAAAAAATATTAATGAAATTAAGTCTCACACTAAAATATTATAAGAATAAGAATTATAAAATCAAGAATAAATTTAAAAGTCTATTTCAAACGCTGATACTAATTCTATATAAAATAAAACTTTTAACAGCATTAATTTAGAGGAAAACATACTTAAAAAATCTAAATAACTATAGTTCATCAAATAAAAAAGTAGAGATTAACTTAAATAATAAGTGTAAGCATAAATACAAAATAGTATTTTAATAAATGAAAATATCAGCATACATGAGCCAACTGAAGGCTCAACATATCAAAAGTAAGAAGAGCAAGATTATATTGAAGGTGTATTAGAAAAAAAAAGCTAATAAGAGATTTTAGAATACAACATGAACTGCTTAGATTTAAAGAGTTTTAACAACTTCAATTAAATTTAATTTGAAGAAAAACCTCCTTCATCAACATATTTTCCAGATCAAAATAACAAAGCAATAAAATTCTAAGAAGACAGTTAAAGCTAGAATTCAAAGTAACAATAACAATTATTATCTCATCATCGCCAAAGTGTTTCAAAACAACATGTGAAGAGAAAAAGTGAATATTTTAAAAATAAGAAGGCCATTTAAACAATTCAAGAATTGCAATACGAAATTATTTAAAATATAAAACTATAAATGTCTCCTAAAATTTAAAAATAAGATGAAGATCCTGGTCTTTAAAAATTAGATAAATTTTAATAATTAAACGAATACTAATTCGCTTATCTTAATAAAAGGAGAGAAGATATGAATTAAAGGTTTTAATAAGAACGACACAGCAAATTATTATTAGAAAATAGTTTTTTTATCTTTGACTCTCTAAAGAGTTACAAGCATTATTTTCCTCATAATAACTTAAGTCAAGTTTTATCTTCTCTAAGTTAATATAAGTTAAAGAAAGGTATCCAGCAAAAAAAATTACTGATAAAAAAAGCATTTAAATCTAAAAAAATTATTTGATTCGTTAACTTTATTTTTTTTATGCCTAAAATATATTTTTGATCTTGTGGAAACTTAAAATAATTTATTTAAAGAATAAGTTAGAATATATTAATTTTTAAGAAAAAATAATTATTTTAATTAAAAATATCAAATTTATTTAATTTTCACTCTCTTTAAATTTGAGAAAAAAAATATTTTGTTTGACTGAAAATAAATTAATGATATAAAAATTTTAAACAAAGTAAATGAATTAATTCCTTAACATTATTTTATTTTAAGTTTATATAAATATTTTAGAGATGTTAAAAATATTTTATTGTAAATTTTAATTATCTTAAAGACCAATTTATTGAATGATAACTGAAAATAATAATATAATTAATAAAATTCGGTTAGAATTTTCAAAAAGCAGAAACTCTAAATGCTGAGCTAATATGATATTACTGCCATAAAATACTAATTTAAATATTATTTATCATCAAGCCATTATTAAAAAATTTTGCTCATTGCTATTAAATTTTACAAGCTTATTGGTGATTTTTATTATATGAGAAATTTAATATTAAATAAGTAAAATTAGTATTTTATTTAACATACATACTTAAATTTCAATTATTTTTAAAATTTATTAAATAGTAAATACACTTTTAGATTTTATAAAACGAATAAAAAGAGAAAATTATATATTTTTTGATATTATATTTTATTTTAAGTAGATGATTTAAGAAATTTCATTGTTTTTTATAAATATAAATTTCCAGTTGAAGCACTTGTTTTAGTTTTTTTATTTTTTTACTATTCTAAATTTTGAACAATATATAGAAATATCAAAATTAATTAATAAAACACAATTAAAAAAGTCTGAATTTTGGGGGTTAATAAATAAACAAATAAACTATCATAAATATAAATAATAATCAAATAACTTTTTTAAAGTAATTTGTTAATATAGGTTAAAAAATAAAGTCTTATTTACTTCTACTATGAGAAAAAATGAATAGCAGCAACTCAGCTATTTTGCAGAGAGCAAAATTTAATCTTAAGAACTGCTAGAATAGTCCAAATTAGAAAATTTAATTTAAAATAATAGCCCAATAAATAGATTTGATCTTCAATATTATCAAAAGAGAAGTGATACATCCGATATAGAAAATATTATGGTGAATGATGATTTATTAAAAGGAGCTAAAAAGCGCCAATAATCTTTATTTATGAAAGAACCTTTAAAATGTAACACAGCAGGTTAAACATTAGTATTTTAATCAGATTTCAATTTAGAAAATTAAAAGTAGCAGTAATAGCATGTATAAAATAAAATTTTATCCTTGTAAAATTCTAAACAGACTATTTAGCTAGAGAATTAAGATTAGAAATGCGATCAATTATAATTATCCTTAACTAAACAGCAAGCTAAACATGCTGAAAACCCTTAAAATATTTAAAATTAATTTATTTAGCTACTGCATCAAAAGCAGTAAAAACGAAATAGTAAGATTGGACTATGGAACTAAAGCTTTTTGATAACAAAATTCATGAGAGCTATAAAGGGAATGATTAGTGGGCGATTATTGAGTAGCTTAAATATTTAAATTCTATAGGCTATACAAGATAATTCAATTGATCTTAATTCTTAGATATCATTTTTAAAATAAGTAAATATAAAACTTTAAATTGTATTACAAAATGATTTTTGTTAATTAAACTCATTTTTGTAAAATTCAAAGATTTCATTATTCATTTTAACTATTTATAGGATTAAAAAAATAAGAACTCTACTTTTAAAATAAGATTAAATAGTAAATTTTTATTAAGGCTAAATTAAATATTGATCATGTGTAAAAAATTATTCAATAGAGCTCCTAAATTGCAAAATTTTCAAATTGTGCTCATAAACCTTAGAACCAGTAAAATTGTTTTTTAAGCTTCACTTTTTATTTAAAAATTCATTTTAATTAAGGATGGTCACTTCAGTTTAGTCTTCGACATTATTTTTTTCTTTTCAACTTTGACTACTATTATTACTGTGCCTATAGAAATAGCATTTTTTAATTTTCTCAAAAATGAAATAAAAATAATAGATTACTTCTTCATAATTTCTGCCTTTTTGTTCATACTTGAAATTCTTATTTCTCTTAGTAAAGTAACAGTTAAAATTAAAAAAATAATTTTTTCCCTTTATATAGTATCAATAATTTGTTATTTCTTGTCAAATACAAATTAATATTTTATATGTAAAATTACTCACCTTAATTCCTCATTAATTAAGGCAACCTTTTATTAAGGCCATTTTAGAAAATTTTTGGTATTCTGGTGGCCTTTTTCTTTTTTTTTGAGAAATTAAGGATAAATAAAGGCTTTACAGTATTTATAAATATGAAAACTGTAGAAAATTGAATAAACGTTTGTATTTATTGATAATTAAATTAACTAATTTAATATTATATTATTTTGAATTAGAAAAAAAATAAAATAAATTATCAATTTATTGATTTAATAGGGAATTTATGAATATGGTTAGGTTATTAAAGATAGAAAGAAAATACTGGTTAACTATATGAAAAATAGATTTAAGTATTGTATCTATTCAAATCTAATTTTTTAATAATTTTTATTTTATTATAGGATAGACTTATTACTTCTTATTTTAATTTGTTTTTTCTGGACCAATAGATCTCCTTTTAAAATAGTTGTTGTAATCTTGCGTATCCCTGCTTTAAAATAGCTATCTGAAAATATTGAGCAGCAATTACAATTAAATAGGTAGTAAATCACAATAATATAGTATTTGAAGCTTGTTTCAATTATAGTCATTATGTCTCATATTTTTGGATGCATGTATCTAATTTTAATTTAATAAATTATAAAATCATTGATTTATTCAATTTTTTTTTTTTTCCTTAATTTTGAAAGGTTTTATTATATTGGAGCTTATTATAATCCTTCAACTGAAAATAATTGGGTCCATTCTTAAAATCTAGAAGATAAAAATATGGTAGATGTTTATATTGCTAGTTTTTACTGGGCAATAGTAACTATGGCAAGCATAGGATATGGAGATATTGTGCCTATGAATATTTGTATATTTTATTTACTTAAAAAATAAAATTTAATATTTTTTTAATTAAATAGATGAAAGAATTTATGTAATTTTTATGGTGCTAGTGAGTAACTCAATAACAGCCTATACTATTAACAAAATAGGAGAAATTCTCGATTAATATAACATACATGAAAAGTAAATAAAGCAAAAAATGATGGAAATCACTAAATAATTAAATTAAGCAAGCATTTCCAAGTAGCTTTAAATTAAGATAAATAAATAACTAGAATTTTTATTCTTTCATCAGCTGTAGGAAAACTATTCTATTAGAGATATTTTATAAACTCTAAGCTTAAATTTGTAGTGTCAATATAAAATAGATGTTTTTGGTAAGTTTATTAAAAACTAACAAGTTTTTAATCAAGTATTCTCTGAAGAGTTTCTATAAGAAATATCTTTAACAGTTGTAGAGAAATCTTTTATGCCAGAAGAAATAATATTTGCAAAAAACTCTGAGCCAAACTAATTATATTTAATTTTGAATGGTGAAAGTAATATAATTATAAACTAAATTTTATTACTTTTAAAAAATATTACTTTAAAAAGTTGAACTCAATATGTTTGAAATGCAAGGAAAACAAGATAATTGGAAAGGAAATATTTCAATTTATAAAGTAAGATAATCCTTTTGTATATAACTTGCTTTCATTGCTAAAATAATTAAAATAGAAAGGCGATATTCTTGGATATGAAGAATTTATAAGTGGCGATTAAAGGAAAAATAATGCTACTGCAAAAACAGTTACTAATGCCGGCTGTATTGATTAAAAATAATTTTTAGAAATAATCTAAAAATTCCCAAAAGATCATGTAAATATAACTTTTTATTCTTCATTTGCACTATGCATTAAAAATTCACTTTTATTTATTTTATAAAATTTCATGAAATTAAATTTCAAAACTTAATAAAATTGTAGGAAATTTTTTGTATGATGAGAGATAAGTTGGTAATCTATAAAGAACGAAATAAATTGCTATAAAGATTAAAATGCGCTTGTTGTAAATAATCAAACCATGATACTTAGTTTTGTCCACTAGTTCACTATATGCCACGTGAAATTTCTTTGATATTGAAAAGCCAATACTCAAAAAATTAAGAAAGGAAATTTTGTAAAAGGAGAAACTAAAAATAAAAAGCATATACCTAAATAAATGAAATAAAGTGTTTTATAAATTAATTATAATAAGATAGTGATATATATAACAAATTGTATTTCGAGTACAATTCATAATTAGAAGAAAAAAAGTAAGACTCTCTCCAAGATGTAATAAAAGAATTAGACAAGAACTTTGAATAATAGGGTATTAAGTTTAGTAACAATTTTATTGTATCAAGTAAAGATATAATACAATATGAAGATCAAATTAAAGTTTTATAGTTTTAAAAATACAAGAATAAATAAAAGTAACCAGATAATAATTAACAAGACAATCAGAAATTAAATTATAAAAGTAATATGTAAATCAAAACAAATGATATGAATGATGATTCAGGTACAATCAAATTTAATACAGAAAAAAATATAATTTTGCAATAATAACAGCCATAAAGTGATTTTAATGAAAAAGATTCTATCAAAATTTCTTATATTAATTTAGAGGTTTAAAATAGCAGCTTAAAAGCTATTGAGGATTCACCTAAAATATAATACGTTTAAAATACTCCAATTACATATGATTAAGACAACCCCATTTCAACAATATTAAAAAATGGAAAAGGTCAGACTATTTAATCAAATGGAAAAATATATATTAAAACTATATCAAGTGATTAAAAAAAGGGAATTTCAAATGATTAAATCCTTAGCAGTCATCTTATAGTTGATGATTAATGTAAAATGGAGATGAATAATTAATAAGATGAATTGAATGTTGCCAAAAAAGTAAACTTCTCAAACCAATTAACATAAAACTATTAAAACTTGAGATCAAAAGATTTAAAAGGTGAAAAGTTTCAACCATCTAAGGTTGAGTTTGAAAACGAAGTTTTTATTGGACTTGATATGTATAAAAACTTTGTTTACTACTTTCCTCATAATAATTTAGAATAAATACTTATTATATATAATAAATTGAAAACTAAAAGAATTTTTAAAAAGATTGTTAACAAAAGATTCTAAAAAAGATGATATTTTTATTCCTCAATATACTATACTTCTTCTCTACTTCTAACCTATTAATATGACCCTTTTTACAGTTTTTGAGCAATACTTAATAAAATTTAGATTTATTAAATAAATTAAACAATAAAATGATTAAATGATAAATTAAAGTAAACAATTTTTAAAAAAGGTGAAATAATTCTCTATATATATTGATTCAAAATTTAAAAGTAATCAAAGCATTATTTATTGTGTAGAGTATTAATGTACTCTATTTATATTTATTTGCTTTTTGTTTTGTTAAATATGGCTGTATTTACAATTCAAAAATATATCTTATTTATTTATTGATGTCTATTATTTATTTAAGATCTCTTTATTATTTTAAATTTTAAATACACTCTTCCTTTCTAGTTTAATTTAAAATTCTTAAATTTAGTAAATTAATAATAAGATTTAAACAAAATATTTTATTGATAAATTATTTTTTTAATTATTTTTCTATTTTTTGAATAAATATTAAAAGGTAGAGACATATTATTTTAAAAAAATAATGGCAATTAAATTAGTGATTAAATCTAATTTGATTATTTATATTGTGTAAATATTAATTTATACTTTAATAGTTGATATTACTTATTATATTTTATGATAAAAGTCTTTGAAAAAATATTTTATACTTAAATTTTTATTTAATTAGAGAAAAACAAAAGGAATAGTGGAAATTAATTTTTTTTGTTTCAGTTTATTACTATTTTTCGTTCGAATCAATTAACAAAGAAGTTAATTTATTAATTTTTAAAATTTTCATGAATTAGTTATTTTGTTTAGATCTGACTTTTAACATAAAAATTATGTACTTTCAAATAAATTGCTTATTTTTAAACAAATTTTTATTTACGTAAACTGTTTTGAGCAATTAATTCAAGTAAAAAAATAATTTGAGTTTAAAAAATTTCGATTTTTAAAAAAGGAATAGCTTAAATAATTGGTTAGAATGAGCTACGCAATAATAATATTTTTGCTTATCTAAAATATTTTAATCAAATTGAATAAAATGATTATAAATAAAGAAATGTTAATCTAATATATTTGCTATTTTACTTTTAATATGAATAAATGCTAGATTTTGAAATAAAAATAGCATTCAAGCAGTGCGTTTAAATGCAGATTTAAATGTTTTTACCATGTGATTAGCTTTGCAAGCAATTCATTCAATTTTTAATTAGAAATAAATGTATAGATTGAATAGAATTAATTTAATTAATTTTTTAGAGTAACTAATTTTAATTATATGTTAAAATAGAAAAAAATAGTAGGGGTTAGTATTCAGCCAAAAAAGCAGTCGGTATAGATTGCTATGTTAACAATTCAACAAAGGAGAATCAGTATATTTTATTGAAATTGATAATTAAATGTTTGTCTGGCTGGATCATTCATTCATTAATTATTTAATTAACTAATAAATTATTTATAGTTTTTCCTCTATTCAATATATAAATTAGTATTGTTACTTTGTAAAAAATTTGATATATTAAAAGAATTCATTTCTAAATAATCAAATTCCTTAATAATTAATTAATAAAGAAAAGGAATAATCACTACTAACAAAAAGTAGCAGTAATTCAAAGATATAAATACTAAAAAAATCTCTATATAGATTTACAATTAAAAACCATATTGCAGGTAAAACTAACACTACGAAAGTTTAATACCCCATGCATAGCATAGCAAACTCTAGCAAACATGATTCTATTTCCATGTTTAATATAAAGAGTCATTAAGAGCTAATGGGAATAAAAAGAGATGTAGATTATGATTTTTAACATCAATATTAGAATGATAATTATAATTAAACTAATTATGGAGGAATTTTTAAAGGGGAGAAAATTGATCCTAAAATAAATAACAGCGAATTACTTATAAATTCAATGATAGAAGAATAAATTCACAAAAACAATAGCAATAACTAAAGCCAATATAATAATAACATGCAAGAGTTATAGAGTCCTGTAACTTTTAAAGAATTCACTATTATTTCTCCTTAAAATACTAAAGACTAGATAGTTAGTAAATATTAGTAAAGCTATTAAGAAGATATCACCAATAGCTATTAAAATAAAGATGCGATAAAGGTATTGGATTCTTAGAATGATTTCAATATAAAAAGTAATGAAAACTTAAACCATTTAAGCAATATAGAACTTAAAAATAAAAGTAGTTTTGAAGAATAAACTCATGAGTACTAGAGTGAAAAAACAAAAGACTTTCATTTATAGGGTTAATTTAATTCGAAATTGTAAAATAGAACTTCTTTAATTAATAATCACATAGGCATCTCATCTCCATTTAAATAAGATAACTAATCATAATTAAATGGAAAATTTATTTATAGTTTTTAAAATGAACCAACAGATGAAATGAGTAACTAAAATTTGCATTTGGCTCAGAGAATGTCAAGAAATCCTTCATTTAGAATTGATCATAATTCTATGGTTGGAAGCTAAAAACTGTTAAATAAAAATCATGCTTCGAATATGAATATAGGATAATTGAGTGAAACTTAGCATCATTAAAAATCAGAATATAAAAAAAATAGCATTACAACCACTTAAAATACAAAAAATATACAAAAATAATCTAATATTTATATCCTTTCCATCCTTTGTTTGCGTGTCATTAAATTTGCTAAAAATTTGTTTTATTTTTCCTAAAGATAGCAGTTCAAGCTATTGAATTAGATGAAAATTAAAATAATTGGTGATTCTGCTTCATTCTATAAGTACTTCTACTACTCTGGATAACTAAAATAGGTATCAATTCGTCTCTTCTTTAACAAATTATGATTATAAACAATACTTAAATATAGCTGATAGAGTTTAATTTTCCCATTTAAAACTTCTCACATATGAAAAAAGCTATTTAATCTAAGCAAAAATCTCATCCATTAATTCTTTAAGATTACAAATAAAATTTTTTAAATCAAAGGACTTTATCAGAATTTAAGCAAAATGAAATATTGTTTATTTTGTAACAACTTTACTAAGTGTAAATAAAATAAAATCTAAGTAAATACAATTTAAAGAAAAATACACAAAAATTATAAATATGAACAATCTATCTCTTATTTTAGCTTAATATTTTCTTTTTGAGATTAAAAATGTTTTAAAATAGAAAAGAATTCAAATAATTCTGATACGCTTACTCAGAATATTTAATAAAATTCATCAGCTTTAATTAATTATTAGATTATCTTCTATACCTAATATAAACTTATTTTTTTAACAATACTAATATGAAGAAACCATCTATACTTGAAGTAGTCAAATATAAATTGAAGCAGTTTGTTTCAATAAGAAAACTAAATTCTTTAATAAGTCGCTGTCTATGTTCTAAGACTGAGGTTTAATTCCTTCCCGTAATTTTTTGAAATTCATTTATTTTAATAAACTTGATTTTATGATTAGTTACATGTGTTTAGTAATTTATCATCTCAATAAAAAGTGTAAATCAAAAATTCCTTGAGAGCAATTAAAATATTGATATTATTTAATTTACACTTTATACATAAAATGTGAAAAAAATCAAAAGCTTATTAATTCAAGGGTATAAATTTAAGTATTATCAATTTTGAATGAAATATAAAAATACCATAAATTCTTAGAAATTGATTATAGTAAATCTTTACTTCCTTATTAAAATTTATACTTAAATGAAAAGGACTTCGATGAAGGCTCAAAAGCTAAGATAATTTGGGATATCTTTTTATTGCTTGTAACAATATTCAACATATTTACTTCTCCTCTTCGTCATTCATTTGAAGCCTATCAAGACAGTTTGTTAACGACTAACTTTATTAGCACAGTCTTTGCTTTAGACATATTACTATAATTTAGGACAGTAAATTAAAATACCATTTCATTTTTTTTAAAAATATTTTACTTAAGATTCAATTCATTTTTTATACCAATCACTCATTAAAATATTATATGGCTACCAGTTCCAAAAATAAATAAATTATATCAAATTTTTACTTACTCTTCAATAGCTTATTTCATATCAATCAAATTTATTAAGTAAAAAATTAAAATTTTTATGAATGGTGTATTTGATTAGAAATTCAGAATTTGCTTCTTTTTCTAAGCAAGGAATGGTTGTAAAAAATAAATGCATTTAATTAATATTTAACATATGAAATTTTTATTAAATTATATCAAAATAAACTAAAAAAAGTTAAATAAAACAAAGAGTAAATTAATTAATACAATTAATTGCAATTACTTACATTTCAATAGAAATATGTGCTTAGATAAAATAAATTTTTTTGATATTTCATAACTTTAAATGTCAAAAAAAATCTTTTTATGCTAATAAAAACCATTATTATTACAAAGTGTTTTTCTCAAATTAATTAAATTATAATTTTTATCCAAAATGGTCAGGTATTGATAAGAAAATTTTATTTCTTAATCCAACTTTTACTATTATAAAATAATGAACTTTGGAAAGTGTAGCGAGCTAAATTTATTAACTTTATTTTAATATAAAAAGAGCTACTTTGAAAATGGACTGATAATCTCGAAGAAAAGCATGATTGTAATGAACTATTTAAAAGGGAAATTTATGTAAATCTATTAAACATTCAATAATATTAAAAATTTTATTTACAACAAAAATAACAAATTTTCATTGATATTTAAATTTTATTAAAATTAGATATGATTTTTTAGGGCTAATTATATTTATATTTTCATATACTTTTGAAGATCTACTATTTATGAGTTATCTAATGATTTACAGATTTATATCTGTTCGTAAGATATTTAATGATATGGAAAATAAATTTTAGCTGAGAGAAAAAGGACTGGCTTATAGCACATTTTTTTAATTAATTTTAAGTATCCTACTGGTCTCACACTATTCTGCATCTATTGTAATTAATTATAATCTGAATTATTTTTATTTTAAATAAGAAGATTGAGCATTTCCTTAACAAATTTTGTTAGAAAATTAAAAATAATACCACAAATATACTAGAAGAATTTATTTATTGGTTATTCTAAATAAAATTTTCAAACCATGCAAAAGTATCTTGGCAGAATTGATTTAAAACCATTAATTTTATATTTTTCTACTTTTCGATGGTTTTATTTAATTAATTTTAAATATTTTACTTGTTTGTAAAACTACTCCCAAATTATTTAGTAAGGAAATTCTTTTTATTTCTTTTAATCTATCTAATTAAAAACAATCAATCAAACACCTTTTTTTGCATGAAGTTAATTTTTAAATATCTAACAATTAATAAGTGTAAATAGAAAGCAATTTTTTAACATAAAAACTAAATTATTAAAAAAAGACTTTTTTTAAAAATGGTACACAATGGCAATAGAATAATATATTTTCATTTTCATTTTATAGTTCACTAAAATATCTATTTATTTTAATTGAGGGCTTTTATATAATAATTATCTTATTCTATTAAATTTACCTAACTTTAAAATATTATTTTATTAAAATTAAAAAAATTCATAGTTCCATTATTTAGCACAAGTCCAGCACTAAAATGGAGTAGAATAGACTTGGCTGATACTTTAAACCACATATGATAGCCCATGGTTAGAAAGGTATATTATTAGCTTGTACTGGAGTGTTATTACTATTATAACTATAGGGTATGGAGACATCACTCCTAGGACAATACGTAATATATATGAATTTTTTTTTCAAAATAAAATTTAATTAAATTAATTAGTTGAAAGAGCCTATGTAATAGTTTTTGCTTTTGTTGGTTGTGGATTATTTGGGTATTGTATTAACGTAATCGGAGAATAAGTAAGAGAAATAGGAAGAGAGAAATCTATATTTAAAAGAAAATCTGCTAAGCTAAATAAATTTATGCATATGAGAGCACTTAACAAAGACTTACAATAAAAAGTTAGAAAATATTATGAATACTTATTTTAAGAGGAGATGAATGAAGACGAAGAAGGATCTAATGTATTTAATAATCTTACATCGCTTCTCAAAAAATAAGTTTGGATAGATGTCTATGGCAAATTGCTTTAACAAAATAAGATTTTTTCTACTAATTTTTCTAACGAATTCATAAATATGCTCTCCCTGAAGGTTAAAGAGAAAAAATTTGGGCCTGAAGAATATATATTTGTTAATGGAGACTCTGCAAATTATATTTTTATCATAATATCTGGAGAAGTTGATCAGGTACAATCCCTTGTTAAAAATTTGAAATAAATTTTTCTTCTTTAAATAAAATTCAATTTTTTTATCAATTCATAAAAGTCTTTCAAAAATTTAATCATTTTAAATTAGGTATTTATTTATTTCTTTATTTTTAAAATTATTTAAAAAATACTGTTTTAATATGGTTAAATAAATTTTCCGCTTAGCTAAAAGTTTTTTAAAATATGAGGAAACTTTTATTTTAAATTTCTTACTATTACTTTCATTGTTTTCTTACGCTATTATCCTTTAAAATTAGTAAATCCCAATTTGTGTAGATCCCTTTTTTGAAAAAAACTAACCAATTTTACTATCAGTGTTTAATAATTAATCCAATTTTTATTATTTTAAATTTAAGGAGATTTGGATGGAATTTAATTTATTCAAACTCCTTTGAATATTTTTATTGTTTATTTAATAGTTTTTTATAGAAAATTTAATCAATTTATCAAGTTAACTATCTACTTTATATTATCAAACTAAATATTATGTTTTTATTAAAAATTAGTATTTACAAAGAGAAACAATAGGAGATTAGTACGAATCCCTTCCTACTTTGCATTTCATAAACTCTTATAAGGTAAATACCTCATACAAATTATATTTAAATCAATTAAATACAAATTATATTTTTAATAAATTAATTAGAAAGGAGATATGTTTGGTTAGTTAGAATTTTTTTCTTAAACAAAGAGAAAATCAACATTAAAAACTAAATGTGTAACTTCAGTTGCTTATTTGAATTACACTGATTTTATAGAAACTCTTGATAAATTCGAATTAGATAAGGAAGTTTACTATTAGATAAAAGATTAGATAAACATATACAAAAATTATAGCAATATAGATCTTAAATGTCCCATATGCTCAGAGTATCGCCATAAAACGCATGAGTGTAACTCAATTAACTTTATTCTATATAAAGAAAAGTTAATTGATTTAGCATAAAAATCAGAGATTTAAAATCGTTAAGACAAATCTATAGTAAGTAAGGAAAAAATGGAGTACTAGAAAAAGAATAAAACTTCACACTCTTTTAGAATGATTGAAACATGTAAAGAGATTCCATTAAGAAGAGGGGCATAAAAAAAAATAGCATAAGATAAATATAATGCATATGTCAATAATTTTGAAGTCAAAACTTAAGGTTTTAAGATTATAGTTGATATATTAGCAGAACAAATCAAGGAGACCTTATCTAAAGAGGAAGAAGAAACCATTCTGCAATAACAGTTTGGTAGTTCAGAAATAAAGGAGGCTGAGAGCTAAATACAAGATGATAAAAATCCTTAATAACAAGAAGAAATATCTGTTAGCGAAGAATAACAGGAGGAAGGATCTAGCTTTTAAAATTCTAAGCCTCATACATTTTCGCATAGTCACTTTTACAATAATCAATAACAACATATCAATAATTTAGAAAGGCGAAGAAGCAGTTTTTTTTCATAAAAGCAAATTCACGAAGAAGTAATTGCTGAATAAGAAGAAAGTCTGTAAAATATGACTTCATTAAATAGAGATAGTAGAAAGTGCAAAACTGTGGTTCTTTTACCTAAATCTTCTCAAAAAAGTTTACAACACTAAGATTCCGATAGGAGAATTTAGATTTGCAGAAGCTAGCAAAAAATAGATTACACTTATGCTCTACAGTCTGATGTTAATCCTTTTTACATTCCATAAGCTTATGTTGCAGATGAAATATTTAATTTTCCTGAAGACATTGTTACTATGGTTTGCGGAAAAAATTAGAAGACAGTTCAATTTTAAGGATCTCCAACAAGATTTTAAAACTAAATATCAGGAAATTCAATATATAATAAGCAGTAATCTAAAAATTCAGATTTAAATTCTTAGGTTAGCAGCTCAAATAGCAGTATATCTCCAACAATATTTTAACCTTTATCATTAAGGCACATTGATTCTAAGGTTCAATATCCTAATTTCAACTCTTCGAGTTATTCCAATTCCAATAGTTTTAATATTCCTTCTCAGTTTCCTATCAGTCCTGTTGGTTCACAATATAAGAATTTTAGCTAAAATATCAATAACTCAGCTAATCTGAATCCAATTAATGTCATACGCACAAGCACAACTTACAGCCTAAGCCCTTCTAATACAAATTGCTAAACAAATCCTAATTCTATAAATTCATTTGGTAATGCTATAATAAACTTAAGTGCTTAACAGCAGCAGTAAATATAGGACTATAACTAAATGATTACATAAAACCCCTTTGCTGCATAATATAACTAACCTAACTCTCCATATAGCAATCGTTTAGGAACTTATGGAATATATCTACCAGCACTATAATAGTTAGAACCTATCAATGAAATGTAATCTAAAGAAATTATAAGTTCGAGTTCAGAAGAAAATAACGAAGAAGATATCACACCAGCAAGAAAATCTGATAAGGGAAGCAAAATTTTATCAAATTAACCTCTCCCTAATGGTCGCAGGTAGAGCAAAGAGCCATCAATAAAACTGCATGTAAAGTAAAAAGATTAATAATCTACAGGTAATTCTCAGTTTATAGGAAGTAACGGAACAATAGGATATCATCATATGGAAGCTATATCTCCTATGAAAATTTAGTAGCCTCCTTCATAGGAATCTATACAAATATAAAGAGGCTTTAGCTCTGAATAAGATACTACTAACTAAGATGATAAAATGTAAACAAATACATTAAACTATAAATCGAGAATACCATCTTCTCAACATGTTTAATTTGCCGAAGATGAAGATGAAATACTATAAAATAATAGCGGAGGAACTTTAAATAACTAGAATACACTTTAGACCTTTGAACAAGCTTAATAAAATATTAAAAATAGTTAAAAATAAAAAAAAAGTAAAAGATCAAATCACAAACCTTCTAAATTTTCTAATAACCAATATACTTATAACTCTTTTGTGAGTCAAATGTCATAATTAAATTAATAAAAAGCGAATATTTAGAATCTAAACGAGCAACAAAAAAATGTTTTATTTACAAGAAGCTTATCATAATAAAATTTAAACTAAATCAATAATGCTACTAATAATATTAATAACATTTTTAATCAACACTAAAATACTAACTTTCAAGGAAGTGGCACTGTCTTAAATAGTATTAATGGTAATAATAATATGAATAATAATATACTTAATAATGCTGTGGCTAATTTCTAATAATAGCTACTAGGAGCTAATAATGGATTATCTAGTTAATTTTCTTGGTAATATGATCCTTCTAGTCTCTATTCAAAGTTAATGTCAAGACAAAGCATTCAAATGAAGTTCAAAAAAGACTAAGATTTTTGTGCCTTGATTTATAAGAAAAGAATTAATCTTAAAGGCATTGATAACATTTATGAAGAAGTTTACAATAACTTTGATGTGATGAGGAATTATACTGTTTACTTCTGGCATAATAATTTTTCTTACATATCACAAATAAACAAATAAAAATTCTTTAGGAAAAAGTATCACTCTTCACTAGCTACCACAAAGCTTAGAAAGTAATCAAAAACAAATGAAACTAACTAAAATAAAAATACAAATAGAACATCTGTATAATTTCATCTGACTAGGGCAAACACAAATCTAATTTAATAATAAAGTACTATTAGAACAACAAATAGATTATCTTAAGGTTCAATATTTTAAAATCCTTAATTATTATATGATAATAAATTTGGAAAAAATAAAATAATAAACATATGAAATCTTATTCAAATAAATTCATTTTTACCCAATAATTAATTGTTTTCTCAAAAAAATCACCTAATTTAAATAGAGGATTTAAGTTAAAGTTTTAATTTTCAAATACATATATTTTTAAATAAAATTTGTATTATTTGTACTATTTTTAATCCTATAAATAAAATATAACCAATTGTATAGGTAAAAATAGAGATATTTCATTTAGTTTTTATGATTTTAAGCTAATTTTAATTTTTCATATTTTAATATTTTTTATAATTAAGTTTTATCATATTTTTAAAAATTTATTATGAAATTTAACGCCTTTCCTCAAATTTTGAAGGTAAAAAAATTTATACACATTTACGAAAGTATTATAGGTGCAAACGTGCTGTTGATTATTCACTCTCAATCAGAGGATTTTTTACAAAAATCATAAATAAAATTAATTATACTGAGCTCATTAAATTAATTATTACATATTTTTAATTTAAATAATATGCATAAAAAATTGAAAAATTGAATAAAATTAAGAAAATTATGTTAAAAGTTAAGGGTATGTATATTTATATTTTATTAATGTTTTTGCTATTTACTTAAAAAGTTTTTTTATTTTTAAGTTTTAACTTTAAAATTTCATTTGAAATAATAAGTTAATTATCAATAAAAGTAATTTTAGAAAACAAAACCAAGCAAAGTAGAAGAAATAATTTCGTGAAAATAAATATACAAAATTATGAAGAATTAAATATTTTTCTTAGCAATATTATCATCTTTTATTCTTAAATTAACTATTTCAGATTAAATAAAGTAGATATATTCATCATCTTTAGCAAATTAGTTAAACTAAACCAGTAATTGGAGACCATTATCAATCTAAATAGCGAAATAATTGGATCTGGTATATGTTTCATGCGGAGTAAATGGTATTTCAATCATAGATTATTTAGGAACTTAGGTGCTTTATTAAATTAACTTTAACAACACTTATGTTTAAATATTTCAAGTATCTGATAATGGTCAAATGTTGTTTTTAGCTTAAAATTCAACAATCAAAGTATATTAATTAAATTTTACATTTAAAGCTTTTGAGTTTTTCAAAATGGCAGATGTAACCCTATTATAAACTATCGAACTTCCACAGTTTATCACATAAGCGATTTATGCAGAAGATATTGATTTATTAATTATCTCTGGATTTAATGGTTTAATTAGCTCATTCAATACAAAAACGGTGACTAATATCTACAAAAGTGGTTCATATTAGTTAGAAATTTAATCTATTACAGATATTTTTCTTTCTCAAGATTATTAATATATCTATGTAGGAGCATTTTTAAGTGGAATGTTTGTATTGAAAATCAATTAAGCAGTCGATAATATAAATAATTTATAAGATGAAACAATCTTTATCCTTGCTGGAACGGGAATAATGGGTGACACGGCTTAATCTTGCTTGTAAACAAGAGATTTTTATGTCTATTGCTATGATCTATGGACAGGATTATATTTTGCAAATGCTTAGTAACTAGCACAATCAAACTAAAACGAATTTCCAATAACATTTACATTTACATATTATTGGCCTTAAGTATAGCCAATTCCATCAATCCAAGCTCTTATAACCAACTCTGCAGAGACTATATTATTTTGTGCAGTAAGATCTTTTGGGATTTATCTGTTTGACATAAGATAACGTGATAAATTATAATTAATTTAGCTAATTAGCTCAAACTCTATCCCATTCTCAATTTAGCTTTCAAGAAACGAACTTTATTTGTATATGTCAAACAATCAAAATATTTATTCATTTAATTAAGTTTAAGTGAATTTGAATGATGATTTTCCCAATCTATTCAATATCCACTAATCAAATTTTAAAGAGATTCCTTTTAATTATAAGTAAAGGTGTTATACAGATTTATCAGACAGTTATCTTTTTGGAGCATTTGATTATGATGGTATCTATGTTTTTCCTATTTATAGAAACCCTTATAGACTTAATATAACAAACTTTTAAGTCTATCCTTTTTATACTGACGAATTGTTATTTGACTTACAAGGTAAATATATAATTTTCCCTCAGTATTTTAAAGGTCCAGTGCTTAGCATTTATCAATATTATCCTTTAGATAATAGCTTACAATAAAAAGATATTTCACCAATGAATATGAAATTAATTAAAAATTATTATTACAATACTTCTGATTATACTCCAAATATGGCTTTTAGTGTTGATAGAACTTTAGCGATTTAAAGCTTTTAATCATTTCTGATCCTTTATAACACAACAGACGTTCTTGATTTTCAAATTTTGTCTACATGGTAAAAACCAAATTATTTACTAGGAGATTTATACAATTCTATTATTGCTTAAAATAATAAATGGATATTTGGTATTTCTTTATAGTATGGGTATTTTCTATTAGATATTTAAAACAAAACAAACCCGTATTTAGCAAATTATTCTATTACCCATAGTGGATTTTCTTTAGTGGCTTCTAAATATTATAATTTAGCATATATAGCAGAATGTACATAAGGTTTTTCTATTTTAGATACAGCAGCCTTTCCTTAATTCAAATATATGTCAAGATTAAATATACCTGGATGTACGTTTATGGTATTACCCATTCAAAAAGATGAGTATATTTTGGTAACTTAAAACGATAAAGGTGTGCTAACTTTGATAGACATTAGAAATAAGTACAATCCTGTAATAATAAATTAAATATATTACCAAAACCAGTATTCTTAGGCTGTTTGCTCATGTAATACTATGAAGTATATTTTTATAACTATTTCTAATGGTATTCTTACGATGCCCTTTTTTAGCGAAGTTAAAATTCATACAGATGTTTTTTTAATGAAACACTTTCTAAATACATAATAACCTTAAAAACAAAAATATAGTAGGTAGAATTTTACATAGTCGGATAACAATTCTAATATTTTTAATGAATATATCTTTTAAGTTGGTTAAAATATAGTTTTGGATTTTATAATCCTCTATCCAATAAACTTAGGTATGAAAGTTTCTAATGTTTATTTTTATTAAAATGGAAACATAGTTAACATACCACAATATTTTACATTTGATTAATAATAGCAAAGTCTTTAAATGCAAATTAATTCTCAATTAATTGATAATAATTAAGCTATTTCAAACTTAAAAATAATATTAATTAAATCTTATACACCTTTGGATGCGACTTCTTTCATTTATTTTGCTGAAGACTCAGCTGACTTAGGAATAACTAATTCAACTTAATCTTTCCTTATTTATTAATATTTGATTAATTTAAATATTATTAATTTTGATGGGATAATAAATGAAAATTATAATGTATAAAGTGCATTCAATTTTGATTAAAAGCTTTAAAGCTAATTATTTGATTAAAAAATAATTTAAAATAGTTCCTACGAAGCGATACTCTAATAGATTACATAAAAAGTTAGTTTAACTATCAAGAAATCTTACTCTTACAACCCTTTTAAATATTATGTTATCTCTTCACTAAAGTTTGATAACTCAAATAGATTCTAGTTTATCTCTACAAATTCCCTCTAATCTATTTAAGTAATTTTATAAATAAATAGCGAAATTGGAAAATTAATTCATAAAAACCAAGATAGTGTAAATTTTTAAATTTCAGAATCACAAGACTAACTTCAAATAATAGGAACTTTGTAAAATGTTAACAAAGTGTTGTCATAGTAAATCATATTTGCTAATTCATCTTCGGTTAATCAAAACAGTTTATCAGCTATTTAAATAACAATAAATGACAATATAAATTACCCTTTAACAAATTCAATAAGGATTTTCGAATGCAATTTTATAAAACTTAAAAATTAAATTCAAGTGAATAAAAAATTCAATTTATAAAAGTAAATTGAAAATCAATTTAAGGAAGGAATTATCGATATTGAATCAGATATTGTAATACAATTTTCTTCAAAATCTTTTTATATAGGAGATACTCAAAAAATTACCTATTAAACATATGTTTAGAATTCAGATGGTGAATTTGTACTAATTCCTCCAAGTTTATGGCTTTAATAGCAAAGTAATGATAAACTAAATTTCAAAGGAACAACTACTTCTAGTATATATCGTAATTATTATAAGTTTAAGGTAAAAGCTACTGATGGATATACAACTGCAGCTGACTATTTTGTTGTATAAGTGAGTGGTATTCCCTTTACCTATGCTATAAACTTACTAATAAAAATTTTGGGCCCACTTCTAGGAATCTTGGGTTTATATTAATAAAGACACTTTTTCTACAACATTATATTTTAAAAATAAGTGACTTTCTCTAATGAAGAAGTTGAATGTGGATAAGAATATCAAAAAAAATTAATAATTATTGGTAAATAGAATGAAGATGCAATTTTTATAGTAAGGACACTATTCAAAAATGTTATGTAAAAACCTTAATAAAGACTTTCAAAAGGAGAAGTAGAATTACCATGTCATAGAGCTTCAGTTGATTAATAAGAAAATATGGATAACTTATCTGAAGAATAAAATAAAAAAAACCAATAAGATGAAATTAAATTCAAAGATTTTGAAAAACTTGAACAAAAAAACGGATTTAATATCTTTTTAAAAAAAGCAAATAACTAATAATATAAAAAACTTTTATCTAATTTTTTAAAAATTAAATCTAAAGGTGAAAAATCTAGTCTTGAAAAGAGATACCTAAATAAATCTGGGAGTTTAGTTTTATCTTAAGCAATTTAGGATATTATTAATTTTAAAATAAAACCTAGCACTTATTAAAAATAATCAAATGAGTAATATTTAAATGAGCTATAGGATGTGAATTCTGTTCTATAAAGGGCTATAAGGGCATAAATTTCTCGAAATTTACTAAAACATGATCAAAAATCTTAAATTATTTACGAACTTATTAAAAACTATTGCTTTTAGAATATCAATCAAAATAAAAATGATTGGTATAAAGCTATTATTAAGATATAATACAAAAGTAAAAGAAATTCTTAATAAAATAATAATTATAGTTCGTTTGATACTTTCCCTTCATTAGATTTTAAGTATGATCAGTTATTATTCATATTTTAATAGATTTTAAATATTGAAAAATCTGAAATAACAAAAATACCACACTCATTTAATTCGTTTAAAAAATATATTAACGTATATTTTAAAGATATAAATTTATATCTCTTTAGAGAAGTTATTTTTGCTGATGTTTTAGGATTTCCTCAAAAAAAACCTTCAGGCTTCCAGCCTTCAGTAGGGCAATCTATTCATATTAATTCATACAATTTTAGTTAAATTATTGCATTTAAAAAAAGAGAAATATGTTCATATCTAAGACCAATTTATTAATTTCTAAATATGGAATACAGTAAATACGGCTTTTCTAAAAATATGAGATTACCAGCTTGGCTCTAATTTGATTAAAAAAATGGCTTTATTATCTTACATGGAATTCCTTAATAGCAAGACATTGAAGAAATACTAATTAAAATTTATGATACTAATAAATACGTCATATAGTAATTTATAATAAAAATTAAATTTAGCATGCAAAGTGATAAATAATAATAGTAAATAGATGAAATATATACTGATTTAGAAGAGTCTAAGTAATTGATAACTTAAACAAAATATTAGCCTATATAAAAGATAAAAAAACCAATGATCTTATAATAAAATAGCCAAAGTAAATATTAATTTTTGAAAAATTTTTCTGATTCTTTATCGCCATCATCTCAAAATTAAAGTAGCTTTCAAAATGAATTAAAAATCAATAAATCAGTAATTCAAAATTTAAATTCTATTTAAAAAACTTACCCTGATTAAGATGATATTATTTAGGGAAGTATCGAATCAAACATAGGAGAGGAATTGAGTAAATCAGAAACAATTGCATTTTCAGTATTTACCACTCACAGAAATTCTATTTCTGAAAAGTAGGAACAACAATTTTTAAACTTTTAGCAAATATTCTAAACTGATGAAATCAATGAAAATTTATGATTGTCATACTTATCATTATATATATTAAATATAAAATTTTGTTCAAAAACTAAATTATTTTATTGAATTTATAAATCGAAACAAAAGTAAAGATTATTTTATAATATTTAGTTTTTTCTTATTTTTAATTTAATATATTTTTTGTGTTTTAAATATAATGAAATATTTTTATGACTTTAAAATACAAAAAAAAATGTTAAATTAAATCTTAAGAATAAAATTTTTTTTTTAATTTAAAATATTCTCCTTAAATTTAATTTAAATTCATCTAAAATAAATTATCATGTTAATATTTAAAAAAAAGAAAATAAAAATTTTGAGATGAAAATTATTTTTTTAAAAATTAATATTCTTCGACATCTCAACTTCTTTTCACTTTAGCCAAATGCCTAATTAAAACCTAGTGGTTTGTCTATTTTTGAGTTTAAATTTGAATAAAATATATTTGAAACTGTTAGTTGTAATATATAAATCATTGAAATATTAAAAAATTTTGTGCAAAAATTACAAAAATTTTTGAGAATAAAATATTTTGACAATAAATACTGGAACATTTTCGAATATATTAATCTTCCATTGCAAAAATAATATCCAAGTTTAAATAACAAGTGTTTTTCTTGATTAGCATAAATCAAATAGCTAGGATAAATAATTATTTTTTTATTACAATTATCTTTTAAATAAAAATTTTGAATGAGCCCTTTTATATAAATTATATATTATAGTATATTAATTTTATATTTTATTTTGACATTATCTTTATCAATTTTTAAATTAACTTATCCTAAATATGAGTTTTTAAAATTTTTATTAATAAGATTAGTTTAATAATCTTTAGCATAAAGAAAATTTTGCTTTCATAAAATAAAGTTTCTTTAAAGTAAAATAAATTATTCAACAAATATACAAAAGTAATTTATTCATTTTTTTTTAAAAAGTTAATTTTACAATAAAATAAAGTATGAGTTTATATTTAAAAATCATACATTATACTTCTTTCTATTTATCAAAGTTATTAATATAATTCATAGTTTATATACTAGAAACCTTGTTTTTTTATGTAAAAACTGCATTTTTTAAAATGCATTATTAATTAAAAAATTATTTAAAAAGCAAGAGAGATTTATAGAGAATAAGTCTTTTTAGGTAAGTAGAAATAAATAAATAATAAGATAAAAAAGATAATAATTATGAAGAGGTTCAATTTTAAAAAAATTTTTTTAGCATTTTATATTTTTAAGGAAGTTGTTCAAGTATAAATATAGCAAATTTATTCATCTTTTTTTGCTAGTACATTAAATTAAGAGTATTGTTAAACTCCTCTATCAATTTAAATAGCAAAAGAATCTGATTTAGTATTTGTATCATGCGGAGTTGATGGTATTTCCATAATTAATTAACTTGGAACCTAAGTTCTACAAACAATTAATTTTAATAATACTTAAATTCTAAATTTTTAAATCTCAAGTAATGGTAAGGTTCTATTTTTAGCTAATAATTCTTCACTTTAAGTCTATTAGTTAAAGTATATGTACAAAGCATTTGAGTTTTTTAAACTGGAAGAAGTTATTTTAGAATAAACAATTGATTATATGTAATTTATTACATAAATGATTTACATTAACGAAATTGAATAATTAATAATTTCAGGATAGAATGGCTTAATAACTTCTTACAATACAACTTAAAAATCTTAAATTCATACAATTGGGCTATTTTAAATGGAAGTCCAATATATTAGCGGTCTTTTTCTTTCTATAGATTATTAATATCTATTTGTAGGGGCCTATTATGATGGAATGTGTATATTAAAACTAAATTTGAGTCTTGACAGTAAAAATAATTTGCATAATTAAATTACATTTAATTAAGTTGGTACAGGAGTAGTAGGCTTTTCAGCTTAGTTTTGCTTAGCAACTAAAGATTTCTATGTTTATTGCTATGATTAATGGACAGGCCTTTATTATGCTAACACTTAATAATTAGCATAAAAAAATTAAAATGAAAATACTTATCCAATAAACTTTTAATTTGTATACTATTGGCCTGATTAATAACCAAATCCATCAATAAAATCACTTTTAACAAATTCTTAAGAAACTATTTTATTTGTTGGAGTGAGATCTCTTGGTGTTTATCTATTTGATATTATGCATCGCAATTAAATACAGCTAATTTAAGTTATAAGTACAGATTCAATCCCCTTCTCTATTTAACTTTCTAGAAATGAAAATTATTTATATGTAACAAACACATCAAGTGTTTTTGCATTCCCTTAAATTTAAACTAATTTGAATGATAATTTTCCTAATTTATTCAATACACATTAATCAGCTTTTAATGATTTGAAACTTGCTATTAAGCCTCGGTGTTATACAGATTTTTCAGACAATTACCTTTTTGGTGCTTTTGATTAAGATGGGTTTTTTGTTTTTCCTATCTTCAAAAATCCTTACAGACTCAATACAAAAATATTTAAAAATTATCCTTTTTAATTAGACACCTTGCAATTCGAATAAGAAGGTAAATACATTATAGTGCCAGAATACTATTAGGGAATTATTCTCAGTATTTATTAATATAATCCTCTAAATAATAGTGAGTAGTAGCAGGATATATCTCCTATGAATATGAAAATCGTAAAAGTATATAATTATGATACGAATTTTTATTCAGCATATATGGCTTTTAGTTTAGATAGATCAATTGCAGTCTAAAGTGTTTAAGAATTTCTAATAATTTATAATTCAACAAACATACTAGATATGTAAATTTTGTCTATTTGGTAAAAACCTAATCCTTTTATAGGCGATTTATCTGATGTCTGTATTTCACCTAATAATAAGTGGATTATAGGTATTATATTAGATTAAGGGTATTATGTATTAGATATTTCAAATAAAACAAACCCAACTTTAGTAAATTATTAGGTTTCTTTATCAGGAAGTTCTATACTACTTTCTACTTACTATAATTTAGCTTACGTTGCTGAAGGTGGTAAAGGTTTTGGTATCTTAGATTTAACCTTTCTTCCTTAAATTAAATATATGTCAAGATTGAGTATAACTGGATATTCATACATGCTATTACCACTTCAAAAAGAAGATTTTATCATAATAACGTAGAGTGATAAAGGTTTAATAACTCTTGTTGATATAACGAATAAATAAAATCCAATCATTATAAATAAAATTTTATATCTTAATCAACATGCTTAGGCTGTTTGCTCTTGCAAAACACTCAATTATTTATTTATTGCTATTTCAAATGGCATCTTAACAGTCCCATTCAAAAGTGATTTTCAAATTCATACAGAAGTTGCTTAAATTAAGCAATTTATTAATCCGAAATCCACTTAAAAGTTAAGATATAACAGGTAAAGTTTAACTCTAGCATCCAATTAGGCTAATATTACTAACGAATATATATTTTAAGTTGGATAAACTATTGTTCTGGACTTCACAATTCTGTATCCAATTAATTTAGATATGACAATCTCTAATATATATATTTATTAGAGTGGTAAAATAGAAAACTTACCAACATATTTTATGTTTGATGTTGAATAAAGCAGTCTCTAAATTTTAATTCAAAAAGATTTGCTTGGACTTAAAAATATAATATCTGATTTAATTATCATATTAATTAAAACATAAATCCCAATAGATAGTATTTCTTTTATATACTAATCATAGGATTCAGCTGATTTAGGAATTACTAATTCGACATAGGCAACACTTATTTACTAATATCTCATAAATCAAAATATTATCAACTTAGATGGTACTATTAATGATAATTATGACGTTCAGAAATAATTAACTTTTGATAACTAATTTTAAAATTTATTAATCGACAAATCTGTAATGTAAGAGAGTTTATACCTTGATGTAATGTCTTAAATTATATAAAAAGTAAGCATAACACTTAAAAAATCATACTCATATAATCCTTTCAAATTTTATGTAATTTCATCATTAAATTTTGATAATTAGAACAAATTTAAATATATTTCAACAAACTCTCTAGATACTATTACAGTTACTTTGCAGATTAATAGTAAAATTGGTAAATTAATCCATAAGAAGTAAGATAGCATTAACTTTTAAATATCAGACTCATAAGACTAGCTTTAAATTTAAGGCACTTTAGAAAATGTAAATAAAGTTTTACAATAACAAATCATATTCGCAAACTCTAGTCAGATTAATGAAATTAGCTCATCCACAATTTAAATTACAGTTAATGATAACATCAATTTACCCTTAACGAAATTGTTCAATATTTCTGAATGCACTTTTATTGTCCTCAAAAAATAAATAGCCGTCAATAAACATCTAAATTTATAATCATAAATTAATCAATAATTTGTTAATGCAGTTGTTGATATAGAAACTAATATTGCAATAACATTTTCTTCCAAAACATTTATAGTAGGAGATACTTCCTTAATAACGTATTAAGCTTATATTTAAGGATCAGATGGCGAGTTTATAATAATTCCTCCTAGTTTATGGCTTCAATAGTAAAGTAACGATAAGCTTAATTTCAGGGGTACAACAACTTCAAGCTTATATGGATAAATTTACAGATTTCAGATAAAAGCTACTGATGGTTATACTACAGCTGTAGATTAATTTACAGTATAAGTCTATGGAATACCTTTCACATACGCTTTAAACTTACTAATAAAAATATTAGGACCATTGATAGGAATTTTAGGAATATTTAAAGCAAGATATCACTTTTTTAATATAATATTTTCAGAGAGGGTGACTTTTTCTCAAGAAGAAGTTGAATGTGGTATTAAGTATAACAAATAACTAATAATTATAAATAAACAGTATGAAGATGGGATGTATATAGTGAGGAATCTTTTCAAGAATATTATGTAAAAAGATGTATTATTATAATAAAATAAATAATCTGGAATTAAAAAAAATAATAACATTTCTGATATTTAGCTAAAAAATATGGATAATTTATTTGAAACCAATATAAAAACTAATTAATTAGGTGAAAATTATTTCAAAGATTACTAAAAATTTGAGCAAACAAAAAAACTTACTATTGAAAAAGAGGCAAACTAATAATATATCTAAAAAGTACTATTAAATTTATCTAAATTCAAGAATAAGTGTAGCAAGTCAGATTTAGAAAAAAGATACCTTAATGAATCAGGTGGTTTAGTTTTATCTAAAGTTATTTAAGATATAATAAGTTTTAATATCAGACCTGATACTTATTCGTAAATTTCTGAACAATAATTCATAAATGAGTTGGTTGATGAGAATTCTTTAATTTAAAGAATTATTAGAGCATTAATCTCAAGATATTTACTTAAATTAGATAAAATATCTTAAATTATATATGAATTTATTAAGTTATAATGTTTTAATATAATCTAGCATAACAAAAATGACTGGTATAAGGCTATTATCAATATTCAGTATCGAAATTATCCTTTGTAAAATGAAGATTAAGAAGATCAGAATATTTTCCCTTTGTTGCATTTCAAATATGAATAGCTTCTATAAATACTTTAATAGCTTAATAATAATAATGATCACAAATTACTATAAAAAATTCCAAATTCATTTAGTCAACTAAAAAAATACTTTGATAAGTATTTAAATGGTGTAAATATATTTCTTTTGAGAGAAGTAATTTTTGCTGATGCTTATGGATTTCCTTAATATAAACCTTCAAGTTTTTAACCCTCAATAGGTTTATCTATTCACATTAATTCTTAAGATATCAGTTAAATCATAGCATTTAAAAAAAGAAATATTAACAAATACATTAAACCTATATTTAAGCTTTTGAATCTTGAATATACAAGATATGCTTTTTCAAAAAACACAAGATTGCCAACTTGGCTTTCATTTAATCTAAAAAAAGGAGTTATTTTCCTTTATGGAGTTCCTTAAAACTAAGATATAGAGGAAGTTCTTATTAAAATATATAATGATAACAAATATGTTATCTAATAATTTATTATCAACGTTAGTTTGAATGAATCTTAATTAAATAAAAAAATAAAATAATATGATTAAATAAACAATTAATTGGATTAATCTAAACTGCTACTTAGTTAGAATGAATAAAGATTACCTAAAAGACCTAAAATGAGAAGAAACATTTATAGTAGCAGTCACATCAAAGATAGCGAAATGTTATAAAGTCATTTTACTTCTTAGAAAAACTTAACCGATATAATGAAAAATAGCTTTAAATTAGAATATCCTATTAAAACCAATTAAAATTAAACTCTACAAAACGAAAATTTATAATTGATGAGCGAATCAAATAATATAGGAGATGAATTAAAAGAATAAGAACTAAAATCTTTTTTATTATTTTCACCTCACTAAAACTCTCTTTCTTCAAAAGAATCATAAACATCGAATATTTACATAAATGTTATAGCAAAAGATGAAGTCAAAGAAAATATATGAGAAATAAAGAGTTTCATGTTAAAATTTAAATTTATAATTATCACATAAATAAAAGTTGGATATATTGATTTTACATATCTTGTAAGGCTAGCATATATATAATTAATTTCTGTTACTGTTAAATTTATAAATGATAATTATTTGTTTAGAATTTTGCTTTCTAGAAAAACAAATATTAATTAAATTCATTTAAAATAAAAAATAATTTTTTTCAATTTAAAGAAAATAATAATTAAAAATAATTTTTTTCTCAAAATTCTATTTAATTAATTGTTTTTTTTTTTGAATATAAAAAATTATTTAAAATGCTTTGTTTTGAATAGATCTTATTTAATTAATATAAGTATTTGAAATTTGCATTTTTTTTAATAAAGAATGTAGAGAATTATATTTAATGTATTATATAAAGGGTAAATAAATATTAATAAATTAGCTAATATATTTTTATTGATAAATAATATTAAACAAAGATACAATGAGTTTTACTACAAGTTTTTCTGACATTTTTGATAATCAAAAAGGTATCTGATAATAAAAATAGTATCCTATTTAGCTTAAGAGAAATTAAATATATATTAATAGGTGTTTTGCAAACTGGTTATGTCCACAATAACTTTTCAACCTTCTCATTTACTAATTAAATATAGAATTAGTTTGTAATAAGTTGCAATCATACATTTAAGAACGAAAAAATAAATGACACAGAGATATAATAATTATTTTTTCAGTAATCATAACTTTTATCATTGATCGATGAAAAAATAAGCATTATTCAATCTCTTGTTATAATTCTAAAACTTTTTATTAATCCATTTTAATTTTTTTTAAATTTTATGAGAGTAGAAATTAAAGGCTAAGGTTTATTAGCGCATCGAAAACAATGGAACAACTTCTGTTCATAATAACGGTTTGCTTGAGCTTGATTATAAAAATGATGAGTGGAGATTTTCAAAAAAAATTGATGTAAATAGAAATATATCTATGAGAATTGATAAGCTCCTTTAACAAGTAATTGATAAAATAATTAGTTTATTATTTCTTTCCATAGAATTTTCAGCAGAATTACAATAGAAGTGTATGCTTGCTTAGCATAAAGCTCAAATCTCCTTTGAATTAATAATAAAGCTAATTTCAAAATATTAAAAATTTTTAAAATAAAGGAATTTGTGAAAGGACATACAATTTTTGGTAAATTTGATAAAGATTCTGACTCCTAAACTGAATCATAGCACAATCCCTGCATAGGTGTTTATAAAAATTTTGATAAATATGCATACAAGGTAAAAAATAATTAAATTACTTATTTATTAAACTTGCACTTACTTAATAAAATGTAGCATTTAGAAATTAATAAATTATAAGTATAAAGCTAATATTTAAATCTACTGTATTTTCAGTGATAATCGTTTTAAGTTTAAAAATTAATTAGGATAAAAATAAAATGTTAAATAAATTAAAGGTTTTACATTTCCAAGATAATTTATCTAACTTCTATATTGAAAGTTTATATTTATACTATATTTATTAATTTTTAAACTAAAAAATTAGGCAAAATTTAATATAGAAACATTAGTTGCATAACTTAAGGGTAAAGCAGTCTATGATAAGCATAGCAGTGAAGATAAAGAGTAATATGGTACTGGAGTTTCAGCAAGCTTTGATTTCAAATAAAACTTATTTTCTAATGCCAAGACTTTAGTCTATTACAATAGCTTGAATACATCAATGAATATGCAATAGTAATAAAAAATTACTCTAATTTAATTTTTCATTGTACTAGTAGCCTTTTTTTTAAAAAATTGATTAATAATAATATTTAAATTGAATAAGTGTAAATTAATTACTAAAGCAACTTTTTAACTTTACTTTTATTTTAGCTAAATGAAAAGATTATAAAGGGTCGATGACCATGAAGCTTCAAGCAGTTAAGGAGGAGAAATCTACTATACATTCTTGTATTCACTTTACTAAAAGTTAAATGATCATTTAAGTATTGCAGTTGAACTTAATCATGATTCTAATGAGAAAAAATTCGGAATGGTATTTGGTGGAAAATATACAAAATTTGATAATGTAATTTGCCGTGCTAAAATCGATGATAAATTTATCGTTAATTCCTCCTTCGAAATAGACATCAACAAAAATATTAAATTCACAATATCAAATATGGTAAAATACCCACATACATTTTCTTTTAATTTAATAAATTTAGTAAGTTAAATGGCAATATATGGTGCATTATAAATTTAGATTAAAGGCTGATTTATGTTTCTAGAAAAGAGCTCTAACCAAAAAATAACTTAAATAAGTTTTATAAAGAGTTTTAAGCCATAAATTATTATTTTAAATGTGTAATTTACAGCTAATAAAATATAATTGAGATTAGCTTAAAATATTACCCGAAAATATTAATCTATAATATTCAATTTAAAAAGATCACCACACCATCAATAAAATAACTTTATTAAAATAATTCAAAAATATTTAGATTGATTTGAGTCTAAGAAACAAAAAAGATGCAACAACTACTTCTTCTCATTATAGCTTCCCTATCGGTTTCTAACTTGATATCTAATAGTGAATATTTAATTCAAATAAAGTGGCTATTCATGCAAAAAATTTTATTAATTTTATTAGATTAATAACACTAGAAAGAAAGTACGTGTTCTTTGTTTTTGATAAAATTTATTTATTTTGTCTTTTAAAATAGCAAATTCACTTTTTTATTAATCATAAATATATTTATCAAATACAAAAATAATAGAGATTGTAATTTAATATTTCTAAAATAATTAAATAGTCTTTACTTAATTATAATCTAAAGGGCTTTGCTTTTATTAAAATGTCAGTCAGCTTAAATTTAATTAAATCATCTATTACAAAGTTAATTAGAAAGTTTTCAAAAGATATTTTATAAATTAGTTTTATTTTAATATAGAAATAAGAAAAATATCAATTATTTATTAAAAATTTATTTAAGAAATATAAAAATATTTTATTTAATTTTTTTTCTAATAATAAATGTTGGTTATAAAAACTTAATCTGCTTAATATATTAATTTAAGAATATTTCTTTTTCTTAAAATATTAGTCAGCTTAAGAATAATTACATCATCTATCAAAAAGTTAATTACTAACTTTTCAATAAAAATTGATAAATTAGTTTTATTTTAATATAGAAATAAGAAAAATATCTATTAATTATTAAAAATATATTTACAAAATACAAAAATATTTTATTTAATCTTTTTCTAATAAATAAATACTAGTTATAAAAACTTAATCTGATTAATATATTATTTTAAGAATATTTCTTTTTCTTAAAATATTAGTCAGCTTAAGAATAATTACATCATCTATCAAAAATTAATAACTAACTCTTCATAAAAATTGTACCAATTAGTTTTATTTCAAATATAGAAATAAGAACAATATCTGATTATTTGAAACTAAAGATATTCAGTCTGTATTTTTAATTATCATTCAAGCACATCTTTTAGATAGATTGAAATTTAATTTTGATTTTAAGAATGAGATCATCTAATTATTATTCAAATAAAAAGACAAATAAACAAACAAAAAAACTTAATTAATGATCGACTTTTTATTTCTACGCTTGAATGGATTAAATATAAAATATTAAAAATATTTTTACAAAAATTTATATTTTTAAATTGACATTTATGACTATGGTTAAATTTTAAAATGCTCTAAAACTAAGTAAATTTAGCTCTTTGAAGTTCAAATGGTATTTATTTATTTTTAGTATAGAAAAAAGAGATAAGACGCATAATTAGAAATTTGAGCTAGTATTAATTAAAAAACTTTTCCTTCAGTTGCATGGAATTATTTACTTGGAAGGTTTAGAAATTCTATTTTAATTTAAAATTAGATACAAAAAATAACTTATTATTCTGGTAGTTATTATTTTAAATTAGAGTATTTACAATTCCCCATTTGTTCTTTAGAATTTTTTATGAGATTATGTTTTTTTCTAAAATTTTTTGTTTAATTAACAAATTAATTAAGCCAGCGGAGTATTTCAATATATTTAAAAAATCACCTAAATTTCGGTTTCTCACTTAATTTTTTGTCAGTAATAAAGACAAATAATCTGAAATTGAAAAAACTTACCTAAATTTCTTAAATCAGATATTTTTTAAAAATAAACTTACAACCTCAACATTATTATTAAAAATTATAATCAAATAGATTTTTTTTAATTCTAGCAGCTTTTTCGCAGCTATGATAACATTTAGATTCATTATTAATCTTATAAATTAAAACGAGGACGGACAAGATTATTATTGTATAGATTCTATCATTTACGATACATAAAAAATTTGCAATAAATTTGTTAATTAGTAACTAATTGAAAATATGCTTAATTTATCTTTGATTCCTTAAAAAATAAATATTCTTTTTTAGATGAATTTTAAAAATTACAAAATAGAGGATTGAAAGATCTACAATAATAAAATACACTGCATGATAGGCTACAATATTTGTTCAAAACTATAATAGAGTAGTAGAGTTCAGCTAAATATACAAATATAATAGATTTAAATTTATAATAGCAATCAAAATTTTGTTAAAAGCTTACTTTTATTTTGTAATAAAAATTTAATTGGTTTTCAATAAGTTGAAATAGAGAGAAGCAGCAGATAGATAGATAGCCGTATTAGAAACACATAATCTATGAATCTTTTTTTAACTTTTTGATTGATAAAAATTACAAATTTATTTAAGCAGAGTTACCACTAACTTTTCTTATTAACTCATAAAAAAATGAACTATGCAAATTTTATGAAATGCATTCTCATGTGTTTGTAAATTTTGCATTAATTTATTTATTAATATTAATTAATTTAATAAAAGTTTTGTAAGTAGAGAAAAAAAAGTAAAAAGAAACAAAAGGCCTATTATATTTATATATATAAATAAGCGCTAATCACTATTAATTAATTAGCTGATTGAAATCAGATTTCGAATTAAAAAGGGAATCTAAAAGCATACAACATAGCAAGCATTCTTAGGAAGGGAGCCTATTTTCAAATATAACAGAAACTAAGCAGTGATTATTATAAAAAAGTATAGTAAAAGTGAGTCGAAGAGATATGAATACAACAAATGGTGGTGCTAGCACCTCATGCTCCGAAGATACTCCACATGAAAGAGTTTATACACCGCAAACATCGCACATAGTTACATAAGTCGAGCCATCGTTTTTCGATGATCTAGCTAAGGACTCGTAACTCTGGATTTCAAATCCTTGGGAGCATCCAAAAATCCGTAAGATGAATTTATCCAAGGTTATTCTACACGAAGGTCACCTTTTGAAGAAATCTAGAGACGAATAGCATATGTTTAAAGCCAGATATTTTGTGCTTTATGAAGATAGATTAGAAGTTTTTAGAGTAATTTAAAATTATTTTTAGTTGATTTAGCATTTTTAGTTTATTTGACTAAGGGATCTTGCAAAATTGCTATTTATTATTTGATAAAAATAAATATCTGAGGAGAAAAATCAATTTTTTAATTTAAAATAATTTCTCATACTAATTAGTAAACTTTACTTTATTTTGTTTAATTATGAATTGGATTAAAGTAAACTCAAAGTTTATAAATACTGACTGAGTATAGATTATAAGATAGTTAAATTATAGAATAAGGCAATTATATACATATCTCAGTAAAGCTGATTAGAAAATACTATATTTAACAAAACAATGACAATCTGAATCAATAATTATTGTCATTTAATTTTCCACTTTTTCCATTTATTTAGGATTAAACTATTAAGAAATAATGTAATATGCACATTAACCTTTTAGATATTGATAAGCATGAAAAATTAATTAAAAGTTATTGGTACTAAATTATAAAAAACTATCAAAAAGCAATATTTCCAATTTTAAGAAGGCAAATAAACTAAATACATTCAAATAAAAATTGGAATTTTATTTATATCCAAAATATGACCATTCCTATAAATTAGTATTTTCATAACCTCAGAGTATAGTGTAAAATTTATGTATTATCTATCTATCTATGCTAATACTTAAATAGTTAACTAAATAGATTTCTAGTCAAATACACTAATTATACAATATTTATTAAATATCTTTTTTATTTATTTATTTAATTTGTAAATAAATAGGACTAGAAAGAAATGAAAACTTAAAGGGCTTCTAATATAATGCTATTAGGAGCTGTTAGATTAGATTTGAGACCAATATGTGAAGAGGATTTAAGATAGTTAAATGAGCGAGAGAGATACTTTTTAATGTTCTTAAGCTGTAAAATGAGATTCTTTTTATTTGCAAAAGATTAAGAAACTTATAATGGATGGGTTAAAAACCTAAAAAAGACATGCATTCTAACAAATTTTTCTCAAATGTATGAAAACATAAAGATTCTTGGTAAAGGCACTTTTGCAAAAGTAAAAATCAATTATTTTATTTTTCTGTTCATTTAATAATCTAAATAAATTAAATTAATATCAAAAAACATTAAAAAAAATGTAATGATGAAAAAAAAATGTCTATAATTGAAATCCATTTATAATAATGAGTCATTCAAATTTTCTTAAAAAATATATTTTAGGTATTTCTAACAAAGATGGTAAGAGGAGGCTAGGAATTTGCAGTCAAAACATTTGATAAAAGAGCCCTATTGACAAGTAAAAACTCAGAAAAAACTAGAGTAAATTATAAATTAATTTGTTAATAAAAATACAAATATGAGAATTTTAATAAAACAAAAAAATAAAATAATAAAGAGTAACAAACACCCTTAATAATTTTAGTTTAGGATTTAGCAATATTAATTTTTTAAGAAATAAATAACTAACTAATATTCAAATGGCATAGAATTTGTAAAGCAAATAGTTTTAGAAAAAATGACTAAATAAATAATTTTGATTTACTAGTAGTGTGTAAAAGCTAGGAGTAACTTGCCTTTTTAATCATAAAAACATTTAAAAAGAGGATAGATGTTAAAATTATACTTTTTCTGAATTAATATAAAATGATAGAATTATGATTAAACCAAAAAATCCAAATGTTAAACATAGAAAGAAATAAAATATTTATGATCAATATGTTGAAAAGTATTTATTATAAAACATAAGGTATAAACAGATGGGAAAATTAAAAACAATGTTTGGATTTTGGTAGTATTTATCCTTCGTTGGTTTAAGAAGAAACAACAATTTAATAATTTTAGTCGATTTGAATATTATAAAATTTACCATAAATTAAATTATTGTATTTTTGATATTGGTTTACTTACTCTATTCCTTTTTAATTCTAATAGCAATTACAAATATAATAGATTGTAAGTAAATTAAAATATACTGACTTATAAAGCAAATAGCTATTATAAAAGATAAATTTATAACTTTTAATTTTATCACTTTTATTAATCAAACGCTGCTATAATTTTGCTTTCTATCAATCCTCAATTTAAATAGAGCTGAATTTATTTTATTCAGTCTGTCTATTTTTAATAATAATATAAATCAATAAAAGCAACCAGCCAACTGGCTTATCTCTTAAATTTAATCAATTTTTATGATTAAAACCAATAAAATAAATTTAAAAAACAAACATAGAATTTACTTTCAATTTAAAATTCTCAAATAAAATTTTGATTTTATTTTTCTTGTCTCTAACTTTAAAATATTTTTGATAAACAAAGACTGGCCTCTTGAATGAAATTTAAATATTGAGAAAGTGTGACCACCCTAATATAATCAAACTCTACGAAGTTTATGAATCTGACAATTATATTTATTTGGTTTAAAATGTGTTGAAGGGAGGTGAGTTATTTGATACCATAATAAAAAATGGTAATTTTTCTGAAAAGAATGCAGCAAAAATAATACATCAATTGCTAAGTGCATTAGAGTACATACATGCAAAAAATATAATGCATAGAGATATTAAACCTGAGAACCTTATACTAGTTGATAAAAGTGATGACTTCTAAATTAAACTAGCTGATTTTGGTTTAGCAGCATTTACTAGTGATGACCTCCTTTTTAAAAGATGTGGTACTCCTGGCTATGTAGCACCAGAAATTTTAGAAGATAAAAAATATGATTAAAAAGTTGATGTTTTTAGCTCTGGAGTCATCCTATACATACTGTAAAATTTTAGTTTATTTTAATTGAAATTAAAAATAGAATATCTTTATAAAATGGTTCATTTGTACCATCTATCTTATAATTTTCCCTGATTAATATTTAATAGATTCTTCAAGAAATAAAAGAAATTAAAATATTAAATTTTTCTAACTTAATTTTTTTATTTGAATTAAGTCTTACAGGTTGTTCACCATTTTATGGAAAGAGCTATAATGAAATTTTGTCAAAAAATAAAAACTGCCAAATTTCTTATGATTTCAATGAATTAGGTGTGAAAGTTAGTTAAGAAGGTAAATAATTTTAAAATGAAAAATCTTTTAAATTTAAATAAAAAATAATAAAAAGCTACTGAACTTCTCAAAAAGATGCTTGATGTAGATCCTAAGACTCGTATAACTGCTTCACAAGCCCTCAACGATAGATTTTTTACTAAATTCTTTGGAGAAAGAAATTTAAATACAAGTTAAGACGAATTTGATACTGGCAACGAAGAAAGTACTGCCTATGAAAATATGCGTTTATTCTAGACTCAGTAAGCTTAATAATTATAAATTAAAATTGTTTTAAAAATACTTTTAATTTAAATATTAGATTTAATGTGCAAAATATAAAACCCCACGAATTAAAGCCTTAAGATTCAAAAGGGCTAGTAAGTATGACTCCTATGCTAGGAGGTAGAAATCTTGATAATCCTCAAGGAGACGACATTCGCAATCCGACTGAGAGATGGATGTCTCCTCAAAAGAAAGTTAGACCAGGAGATTATGTAAATATTCAAACTGCTGTTACATAAAATGATTATATGTAGAGATTAGTAGCTAAGCCTTCATTAGAAAAATACGAATTTAAGTAAACAGCTACTATTCCAGAAACTCCAATTGTTAAAACAGATAATCGTAGGACAATATAACCGATGAATATCTTTGGAGTTACTTCAAATAACAACAACAATAACTTAAAAGAGCCAGTGAACTAAAATAGTAACAACAATAATAATTCTACAAACAAACCTTAAAATAAAGATCTACTAATAAAAAATACTTTATCTAAATTAATATGATATTTTATATTAAATTTAAAATCAAATAAATATACCATTTGAGAAATGCTTAGTTATAATAATTAATTGTTGAGTACTATTTTAGAAATGCAATTAATTAGAGTATCTCAATTTATAACAACAACAACAAAAATAAATAAATAAATAATTACAAACAACCAATTTCTTAAAAACAATATAATTTAAATAAATAAATAACCTTAAACTAAAAAATTTGTTAATCTTCAACACTAAATTTATCAAATATATTTCTTTGGCAATTTCTAATATTTCTAATATAGTTCCTTATTTGATCAAATAATATCTATAACATTTATTCTCTCTCTCAACATAAAAATAATTAATAATAATTTAGAACTACTTAGTAGTCATTTAGCAAGCAAGCAAACAAGCAAGCAGTCAGTAATGTGTAGTCAAGTATTAATGAAAAGACTTCAATTTAAATTAAAATTTATTACGAAATAAATAGTAAAAATCAACAAAAATTAATTATATTAAATAAGTTAATTATTTAAATGTGAAATCTTAAACTTAAAGGAATGAATAATCATTAATTTATTCGTATTAAACACATATCAGTTTTTATATCTATATGAAAAGAAGACCTAATTTATCAATCAATCTATATATCTATCTCCATATCTAACAACTTCTAAAAGTCTCATCTATAAATAAGTAGTGTATTTATCTTAGTTATTCAAATACTTGTTTGTATTAACACAAAATTCACTTTTAAATAAATAAAATGTAAATAAATTTAAAATTAATTAAAGTAAAATCATATTTGAAATAATATATAAAAATTTTAAATTAAAAATAATTTGCCTTAAATTCTTATTAAAATGCAATTCGATTCACATCAAAATTTTAAAAATTATGATAAATACCATTTTAGGTTTATAGTAGATTAGAATGAGGGATGTATTGACTTATGAAGATTTAAGGTATGTAAATATTCATAATTGTATCTATAATAAATATTATAATTGTTGTAAGTTTAATTTTTTATCAATTGAGTGAATATTTTATTCTTATTTACTCTAAATAAAAAAAATAATTATTTTGAAAAAATAATTTAAAAATTAGTTTTTGAAATATTGATTTAATATATAGTTTAGTCATTTTAATATAAATATTAAATTATTTAGTAATTAATATTTATTATAGATTAAAATAATATTTTTTTTGATTTCAAAATTAAATTATTTAATTAAAAATAATTTTAATCTAAATACTTATTTAATATATCTATGGATGGTATGTATTCTAAGTAATAGGATAAATCTTTGCCGAGTATATATAGATTATTATATTTTGATTTGCTCATAATTAATATATATTGAATGAACTATTGAATAGGAAAATAACTGGATCGATTATTTTCATTCATTTATTCATTCATGCATTAATGATTGATTGATTGATTGAAAAATCAATGAAAAATAAATATAGTATATTAAAAGATCGGATGTAAGAAGAACATAAGTAATTCATCAATTTTATAATATAAAAATTAATCATAAATTTTTAAGAAGTTATAAAAAGAAAAATACAAACAATATTATATTTGAATAAAAAGGAATAGCAACAATGAAATCTAAAGCTAATAGATAAGGAACTGGAATGAACGAAGTTCATAAAAATATAGTCCACACTGAAACTATAACAAAGGAAATGAAATTTTGCGATAAAAATTAAATGGAACATTTCCAACTCAACCCTCATAACAGTAAAAATTTATTTTGAAATATTTTATTTAAAAGACTTTAATGTTTTAAATTAAAATAGTGTTTATACTTGCTGAAAAGCCTAATTATGTAATTCCTCAAGACTTCAAGAGATAAAAGGGTATATAAAATTAAAAAAAGTCAGATGCAAATGAGATTTTCGGTAATCATTTTACCGAAGATCCTGTAGAGGAAGCTTTCTCAAATGAAAAACTAGATAAAACATTAAAAACAGTTACTTTGGTTCCAAGGTAAAAGTATGATTTACCTTAAACAAGAAACCAAGAAATAGGATGGTTCACAAATTAACTGGTATACATTCCTTACTAAAATAAAATCCCATTTTAAATCAATTTTTTATTAAAAATTTATAAAGCATGTTTAAAAACCTACTAAAAACCACTCAATCTAAAAATGCGAAATTACTAAATTCGTAGATGACTACTACGAGATGACTAAAATAAATCCTTTCAAATTAAGATGAATTCTATATTAAATAATTACTATTTATCTTTGCTTAATATGTTCATATAAATTTTATATTGTAAGTTAAAAGAGTTTTATATAAAAGAGCTTTTAGAGGTTTTCTCAACTCCACACTCACTCTAAAAACAACTTTCAATTTTTTTAATAATTACTTAAAATTATTAATTTGTTATCAAAGTAAACATTATCTGATGATGATGAGCTAAATGAATTAAATAATTAATTGAATGATCACCAATATATATTTTCAAATATATCCAATTAATTAATAAACTTGTATCAATCTTCTTAGATTTAGATTGAAATCAAATATAAAAAAAGAAATATGCCAATTTTTCATTTAAAAGTTAAATTTTTTTAAACTACTTTTCAAATAAAATACATCTTTTTTATATAAATATCATTTAAAATTTTAGACATTTATTTAAATAAAAGACAAATTTAATAATTTTTATTAATTAAATTTTAAGTCAATTTAAAAAATGGTTATCGTATTTCTTTCTATTTATCTTAATTTCAAATTGGATTTCTTAATATAATTTTCAGATATTTAAGATAAACATATATGTTGAAATTTAAGCTAAAGCATAATTTTATATCATATATATTTCTTTATTTTTTAAATTAAAGTTCATGACTTCTCTCATATATTGACAATCCATATTTCATAATGTAATTTTGAAAATTAAATTTTTTAAAATATAAATTTCTAAAATATAAATACTTTTATGCTAAAAAAATATTAGTTTTATTTTATATTGCTATAATTTTGTAAAGATAATTCTTTTTAATTATTATTCAAAAAAGAAATTATCTCAAATAATAGATTACTCAATTTTCATTAAGGAATATATTTCTAAGAAATCTAACTAGTTCATATTTTCAACATAATTAATATCTGAAAATTATTTTAATTTGATTTATTTTAAAAAATAAAATTTGAAAGAATAAGATTATTTTTTTAATTTTATTGATAAGCCATTATTTTATTTAAGTATCAATTGATAAATTCAATTTTATATTAAAAAAATATACATAGAGTAATATTTGGATTTAAAATATCTTAAAAGACTATTAAAAGCTTATTTGAAAATAGAATTTAATAATAATTTTAAAAATTTTAATTACTTTATTTATAAATTATTTTTCTATAAATGATAATAATTTTTATTTGATTTAGTTGAAGAATTGCAATTGCTAATATTGTAAAATTTATCATAAAATATTTTTATGAAATCAAATTTTAAATATGACAATTGTGATCAAAAGTATAAGCTGGAAAAATGGAAAAAACAATATAAATTTTTGAGAAGACAAGTAATAGTAGAGGTTTTAGTTAAAAATACGATTGACAGCGAGTTATTTGATAAGTAGAAATCATAAAAATATTAGATAAAGCAGTTTGAGATTTGCTCCAAATAGTGTTAATTTAATTTTATATTTTCTTAAGATTATCTTTCTATTGTTAATTTAACCCATGTTATTAATATACATGCATAGATAATAAATTTATTATATTAAAGATCAATGAACGATATTAATTAATTTAAGACTTGCTTGCTTGAGTATTTATTTATATCAAAAATAGTCTTTATAAATAAAGAATAAAAAAAGAAGATAGCATTTTCATTATTTTTTGTTAATAAAAATTTGTATATCTAAACATAAATTTTATAAAAAGCAGCAAAATTTAATATCTAACAAATAGAAATTTTAATAATTAAAAAATCTAGTTTTATATAAATGGAAAGCTGGTAAGAAGTTAAGGCAGCGATAAAAAATGATTGGGAAAAGTTTAAACCATATTTTACTGGTGAAAACAGATTCCTCAACTAATCACAATTTTAGTAGTCTTCTCCTTTATTTATAACACAAGTAAGTTCATACCCCTTTTATATAAACATAAATTATAGTCAATTGTAGCATATTGTATGGAATATTGTTTTAACAAATATTTTTTATTTATTTATTTAGTTAGCATTCAACCTGATTAGAACTAATGCAAAGAGCTGCGGTTGGTATTTGCTTAAGTGTGGCAAAGGCATCCTAGACATTATTGATCATGCTACAAATAAATCTGATAGCTTTATAGCTGATAAGCAATCAAGATAGAATGTCGATTACTTCTTTTCTCAAATACTTTACTCCTCTCTTCCACTAGCTCGTCAATAAATTATTTCTTATTACAAAAGTCTAAAATCTTAATACAATTACGATCTTATTCAATAAATCAGAGGTAAATAATAGAATTGATTATTTTCGAGATTTTAAATTCTTAAAGTCTACATTGAAATTGATTAATAATAAAGTAGAAACAATAGATTTGTTAAATCGTTTATTTTATTAACAGAAAGCAGCGATGAAGCAGAAATGATTGAAAGATTAGAAAACTTAACTGTTTTATTTAAGTATTCTTTAGAAGCAATGAGAGAAACATTTGATACAAAGGAATTATTTGATTATTATGAAGGCATACTCAAAAACAGCAACAACTAGTAGTTAAGAGCACTTTATATTAATTTAATTATAAAGCTATCAAGTGATTTACATAAGGAAAGCATATTGGAAAAAGTATATGGATCAGATCATAGCACTCCAGACTATTTTTAAAATTTAATTTAAGATTAAGCAGTTGTTTAAAAGCTATTTGAAAAACTATAAAAAATGAGAAACAATGTGATAAGCTCTGTTGTAAATACTCAATCAGAATAGCAAGATTAAGAAAGTTAAAGTAAAGAATCTAATGGTTAGTTAAACAAAGATGACAAAAGTTCTGATGAAGATTTTATAGTTCCTAAGCGCTTGAAGGTATAGGAATAGTATGAAGGAAAAGCAAGTGCATCAGAGGAACAATCAGAAGAGTTCATTCTAGTTTCAAGTGAATCATAGAATATAGACGAAGTTAAGACTGCCCTTTTAGAGAATAACTTTGTTGTTCTTGATGGCCCCATAGGTTCAGGAAAAACAATATTATTAAATAAAATAGCTTCTGATATGAAAGAAACAACCATCTCTTTATTTATTGATTCCACCACAGATTTAAAGAGTTTAATTGGTAGTTATGTCTGCACTGAAAATATTGGTTAATTTGAATGGAAAAATGGTCCACTCATTAAGTGCATGGAAGAAGGCATGTGGCTTATTTTAGAAAATCTCTCTGAAGCCTCAGAAGAAGTATTAGATGGACTTATAAGATGTGCTCATGAAGGAAAATATCTTCTCACTTCTCAAGGCAGATCTATTCTTGCTCATTACAAGTAATTATACTATTTTATAGGATGAAATTATTTAATTTTAGCTGAAAATGATTATGAAATATAATTTTTTAAACAAATAAATAAATGGTTTAACAATTTTAATTGTTTTCTTTAAAAAATAGATTTAAAATCATCGGGCTAGGTAACTTTAGTACTGCTAAATATGAAAGCAAGAAAGTCTTCCTCATGAATAGCTGTAAGGGAGGCTATATTAATAAAAAAGAGATAAATGAAGAGTGTTTAAAATAAATTTTAAAAAGCAGGTTCCCTAACGTTATGAAATAGGAAGAACTTATTTATTAAAAAATTAAAAATATTATTAATTATCTTAAAAATGACAAAAATCTTGTAAAGAAATATACTTACTTTTCTAGAGGATTGTCAGCTGATAAAATTATTAAACTTTTTAAACGTATTAATTTCCATTTATTAGAATTGTATGGTGACAAAGGTATTTAAAATAACATGCTCGTAACTGAAATGAGAAAGAGAATTTTCCTTGAAGTTATGGAAACTATGGTCTTTGCTGAGAAGGAAGCTATTTATGATGAAAAAATGATTTATGATATCCTTGAAGTATTAGAATTACCTAAAGAGGAGCATTAATTAAGTGTTCTCAAGCATTATCCTGAGATAGAAGCCACTCAAAAAGCTGTTAAAATTGGTAAGCTTGGAGTTCTCTAAAGAAGCTTTTTTGGTAAAAATTTAGACGAATCAGAAGCTTAAACTTTCCGCTCGACTTCTAACATTATATATAACGCCTACAGTTCTAGATTAATTGAAAAAATAGCTTCTTGCTTGGCTTTTAATGAGCCTTGCTTACTTGTTGGTGACACTGGTTGTGGTAAAACTACTATGGCTTAGCATGTTGCTGAATAATTTAGAAAAAAAATATACATTTACAACATGAACTAAGGTTCTGATGCTATTGATTTAATTGGTGGTTTTAAACCTATTGATGTTCGTCTATTACTTAAAAAAATTTTAGTCAAATACATCAAGCATTTTGAAAAGGTTGCTAATTTAGAAGCTAACAAAAGCTTTATAGATTCATTAACAAAACTTTATTAAAGTAAAAATTACGCTACTTTGATTAAGGGTATGCTCTCAAGTATAGATGGAATTAAATAAAAAATAACCAAGAAAAATCTTGGAGAAGAAGTCAATTAGAAATGGGTAAATAAATAACTATTTTTAAAATTTAAAATTTATTTTAACTAACTTATATTTTTATTAGATGAACTTAGAAAAGAAGCTTAAGAATTTATATGCAAACAAAGACAAAATAGAATCAAATTTAGCTTTTCATTTTGTTGAAGGAAATCTTATAAAAGCAATTAAATAGGGAGACTGGGTATTAATAGATGAAATTAATTTAGCAAACAATGAAGTTTTACAAAAATTGCTACCCATCATTGAAGGAAAATCTCTTGTGCTCTATGAAAGAGGTGACTTAAAAGAAATTAAGAGACATCCTATGTTCCGTATTATTGGTTGTATGAATCCAGGAAGTGATATCGGTAAAAAGGAATTACCTGAAAATGTTAGAGCTAAATTCACAGAAATTTATGTCCACGATATAAGTGAAAGAGAAGATATCTTGACCTTAGTTAAGAAGAAATTGGGCAGCATAGTCGAATTTGATGTTTGTTAGAAGATCGTTGATCTTTTTATGTAAATCAAATACGATAGCGAAAACCACTAATTAGAAGATGGTTATAATCGTAAGACTCACATTTCTTTGAGAAATTTAGCAAGATCACTTAACTACATAAGATAAAATATTGGATTGTATGGTCCTGACAGAACTGTTTACGATGGTCTCTATTTGGGTTTTGGAACAGCTTTGAACAAAAATAGTTAAGTCCATTTTGAAAAACAATTAGAAAAACTTTTAAACATTTCAACACAAAAGTATTTCGATTAAATGCTTAAGGCTAACATTAAAATGACTCAAGAAACTGTCAATATATTTGGTTTTTAAGTTAGTAAAGGTACACTTATTCCAAAAAATCCTGAAGATTGCGAATTTTTAGTCACTGATACCTTCAAGAAGTATATTGTCGACTTGCTTAGAGCTATATCTAACAGTGATCTTCCTGTCTTATTGGAAGGTCCCACATCTGCTGGTAAAACTTCTATGGTCAAATATATAGCTGAACTTGCAGGATATAAGTGCGTAAGAGTAAATAACCATCATCACACAGAAATTGAAGAATATATTGGTACATACCTTCCAGATAACAAAGGTAAATTAAATTTGATAATCATCGATTAACATTATTTAAAATATAAATGTATTATGTTATAAAATAGGTAGATTAGTATTCCATGAAGGTGTTTTAATCGAAGCAATGAAGCAAGGCCATTGGTTGATTTTGGATGAGTTAAACTTAGCAAGAAGTGAAATTTTAGAAAGCTTAAATAGACTTTTGGATGATAACAAAGAATTGTTTGTAAATGAAACATAGACTTACATCAAACCCCACCACAATTTTAGAATTTTTGCTACACAAAATCCTACTTCTTATGGTGGTAGAAAGGAACTTTCTAAAGCTTTTAAAAATAGATTCGTTTAGATCTATTTTGATGACATTTCTGAAAAAGATCTTGAATAAATTCTTCAGAAGAGATGCGTTATAGCTCCAAGCTACTGTAAGAGACTCATGAGTATCCTAAAGGATTTGAAGGTATTCCGTTAAAGAAATAATTTCTTCTTAGGAAAAGAAGGTGTTATTACAGTAAGAGATTTAATTAAATGGGGTAACAGAGAAGTTTAATCTCTTGAAGATTTAGCTATTGAAGGTTATTGCTTACTTGCTGAAAGACTTCGTACAAACGAAGAACGTGAATTTATCTAAAAAATTATTGAAAAGCATTGTAAGGTAAAAATCCATCCTTAGCAATACTATGAAAGCTATTCCAAAAAACATTTTGAGCCTTTAATGGATTAGGAACTACCCTTTTACTTATAATTAAATTAAGGCTTCAAGAGAATGGCTTGTCTTGTCCTTAAATCTTTAGTAAATAACGAACCTGTTCTTTTGATTGGTGAAACAGGTTGTGGTAAAACAACTCTTGCTCAATTAGTTGCATTTTTACGTAAATCTCAACTATTTTCAATTAATTGTCATTAATACACAGAATCAAGTGATTTCTTAGGTTCTCTTCGTCCTGTTAGAAATAAAGAGTAAAATCTCCATAATCTAGAATAATTTTTAAAAGAATTGAATTTAGAAGCCTCCAAAATCAATCCAATTTTCGACTCTACTCTATCAATTGATCAAAGAGTCAAGTCCATTTCTGACCTCTCCCCTGAATAAGCAGAAAAGCTTGAATATTTAATTGTTGCTTATGAAACTCTTTTTGAGTGGCAAGATGGTCCATTAGTTGAATCTATGATTAAAGGTGGAGTTTTCTTAATCGATGAAATGAATCTTGCTGAAGATTCCGTACTAGAACGTTTAAATAGTGTTTTAGAACCTGAAAGATTCTTACTCTTACCAGAAAAAAGCAAGTCAGAACAAATTGTTGCTGCTTAAGGTTTTATAATAATTGGTAATTTATTTTATTATTTTGAATGAAAAAACCAAAATATTAATTATTTTTTGAATGAAAAAACTAATTTTTTTTTTTTTAAATAGCTACTATGAATCCAGGAGGTGATTTTGGTAAAAGAGAACTCTCACCTGCTTTAAGAAATAGATTTACTGAAATATGGGTTGAGCCTCTTACAAATAAAAATTTTTTAAATTAAGAAGAAGGCCAAAAAGACGTAGTAGAAATGATTGGAAATTTCTTAAAAATAAAGAAAGTATATGAAAGTGAGCAAACAAGAAACGAAATTGCCATGAAATTATATGAATTCCTCAGATTCTATAACGTTAACTTTTGTGAAAAATACTCATTAGATAAGAAAAATTTAACAATGAGAGATATAGTTGCATTGATGGAATTTATTTATAGATGCAAAAATAATTGCTCAGTTAGAGACTTATACTACCACGCTTTAAATATGGTTGTTATTGAGCCTATCGGATTTATGTAGCTCTCACCTTCTGAAAAAAATAAAATGACATTAGAAATCGAATCTTTTATTTAAAATTAATTGGAACAAATGAACATTGATGAAAACGAAGATGAAAAAAATATTGAAAAAGTTAGAAAAGAGAGTGCCATGGAAATCGAAATTCCTGAGTCTATTCAAAGCTTTGTTGCAGGGCCTTTTAGCATACCTATTAACTAAAATTCTAAACCTGTTGATAATATTGCTTATTCTATTAGTTCATTAAAAACATAATCAACCTTAGAAAAAATAGTTAGAGGTCTTTAATTGGATAAGTCAATTCTATTAGAAGGCATGCCTGGTGTTGGTAAGAATTAAAATTTATTTTTTAAAATACAAATTTAACAAAAATTTATTTAATTTTAGGTAAATCGTCAATAATTGAATATATCGCAGCTAAAACCTAGAATAAACTTACTAAAATTTCTCTATCTGAACAAACTGATATTGTAGATCTCCTTGGTAGTGATTTGCCCGCTGCTAGCTCAAATGAAGATACAAGCTCTAATAAAACTATGAAATTTAAATGGTATGATGGTGTCTTGCTAGATGCTTTAAAGAACGGGTATTGGATCCTCTTGGAAGAGCTCAATCTTGCTTCTCAAAGTATTTTGGAAGGTTTAAATGCTATCCTTGATCACAGAGGTACTGTTTTCATACCTGAAATGAATATGTCTTTTACCAAACATCCACGTAATTATATTTATACTCTTATCATTTAGAATTTAATAATAATTTTAATATAGAATTTAGATTGTTTGCTACACAAAATCCATTAAGCTTAGGAGGTGGCAGAAAGGGTCTTCCTGCAAGTTTTATGAATAGATTTACCAAGATTTATGTTGAAGATTACACTAATTAAGAATATGAAGCTATTCTTAAAGATATCTATGGTGAAGGAGAAGGTCAATAACAAATTTTAGAAGGTTTGCTTCGTTTCTCTAAAGTCATGGAAACCTAATACTATAAAAAAATTAATCTCCGTGATTTACTCAGATTCTACGAAGTGTATCAAAAGAGTGAGAAGAACATTGAAGTAGCTTTTGAAATAGCTTTTGGTCGTAACGATGTTGAAAAATACTTTTAATCATCTATAATAAATAATGACACTTCTTTAACTATCTAAGAGTGCCATGCTAAAAAGAAAGCTGCTTGGGAAATGGATTTAAGAGTTAAAATTCCTATTTCTTACAGTTATATAGACGAACACAACGAGCGTATTGGATTATTAAACTCTTAACGTAAACCTTTGAATTTCTTGCAAATGATGATTGAAAGATGCTCAAAATACTGTAGCAGCTTTATTGTTTAAGGTAAATCTGGAAGTGGTAAAAATCGTTTAGTGAGATTGCTAAGCTAACTTAACAACAATAAAAAACTAATTGAGTTTAGTTTAAATTCTTAAACAGATAGCAGTGAGTTAATCGGAGGATATGATTAAGTTGACATTAAGCGTCAATTCTCTACTCTTAATACCAGAGTTACAGCTTTGTTAAGAGCTTACATTTCATCAAATATCTCTAATAAAAATAATATAACTGATTTATAATTAATGACAGTATTAAAATAAATTGAAACTCTTACTAAAAATGCAAATTCATACAATCAAAAAGATATGCTAGTTGGAATTAAAGAAGCTTTGGATTTATTAACAAACTTAAATGTTGGTAATATGAATGATGAAGATTTCCTTTAAGAATATTAGAAATCTATCTAGTTATTAGAGGAGCTAAAAAATAAAATTATCAATGATGAAGAACAATAAAATATTAATTCTAAAAAAGGAAAAAATACAAGCACAAGTAGTGGACATTTTGAGTGGTTCTATTCTTAAATTATTGAAGCTGTATAAAACGGTGATTGGTTAGTACTTGATAACGTTGGCCGTGCTAATTAAGCAGTCCTTGCCCGTTTAAACCCACTTCTTGAATGGAATCTTAACGGTAAAAGAGAGATTGTAATTACTGAATGCCATAACGAAGATCAATAAGGTATAAGTGGACCTGAAATAATTCGCATTCATCCTGACTTTAGAGTATTCTTCTTATTCGATGGAGAAAATGATACCATGAATGAAGCTATTAAAAATAAATGTGTTGAAATTAAAATAGACTAATACGAAGAAAGCAAGTATTATAGCGACTTATAAAATTTGTTCGAATTGAATATGGATAATGAATAAGTTCCTAATAGAGTTAGAGAATATATCTTGGAATTGGCAATGACTTTTATGAATGCTTTATTCGTACACAGACGCTCAATGGCCTATTCAGATTTTGGTACTTTTGTCCATTTCTTAAAACTAATCCAAAGAGGAATAAATATGAACATGATAGATTTAAATTTAAATAACATTGTTACCACTTCTTTCAAGTCAGCTTATGGACCTAAGAGTATCAAATATGCTATAAATCTAGATGGTATTCTTTCCAATATTATTCTCAGCAATAGTGACGAAGACTAGATTTCTTCAAATACCTAAAGATAAAAAGCTTTCCTCTCTAACATTCCAGAAATAGTTCGTGACTCATTTACTTAATAGCTTGAACAACTCTTAAACTCATGCTCTTGGTCTTCTTCTCTAAATTTCTCTGAATTCCCTCTTAACAGAGAACTCCACAGATACAAAGCTCTAGGAAAAGCTTTATTTTCTAACGACACTTAAAAGTCTAACTCAGCTGAAAATGGACAAAACAATCTTGATGCAACTTAAAAAGCAAAGATTTAAGAAAACTTTGCTCGTGTAATTTTACAATAGTGCTTTGCTGACTATATCATTTAGTATATTTCAGGAGTAGATGCAAGTGTCTTGCGCCAAATTTCTCAAAAGAAATATTCATCAGAAGCACTCTACCAATAATTAGTTGATGAATTTGAAGCAATTCGTATTCGTCGTAAAGTTTTTGCTGCAACCTAAGAATTTAAGAAAACAAAAGAATTTATATTGAGCAACTTTTAGAAAGCTATGCAATCTTTAAATAACTTATCATAAAATATAAATAGTTCCAATGAATCTGCTTTCTTACATGCTTAAAGTGTTGTTCAATGTGCTATGCTTCAAGCTATCCGTAACATTTAATAATTACCCAAAATTTACCAACTTGTTAGTCAAAAGTTAAATAGTATAATCTCTTAAGTAACTCAAAATTCTAATGACCAAAACAATTAACTTCCTGAATAAGCTAAAAATAATATTTAACAAGTAGAAGAGAATATATTTGTTTGTTTATGGCGTGCATGTGAATACTTCGAAAGTATGCCTAGAAGTAAAATATAATATGAATAGAGAGAAAAGGTTCACTACTTACTCTCTAGTAGAAATGTATAATCTATAGATTTTAGTGATGATCTATAAGAAATGATTAACTTAAGAAAGAGCTTCAGAAATATGTATTATCTTGAAAATAGTAAAACTCGTTTAACTTCTATGGAAATTTTAGCATTAATTTACAATCTTAAGAAGACTTAAAATGATTAAAATTAAAACGAAGAAAAGACTGAACAGTAAGAAATTCTTGAAGAAAAGTAGAGAACTGAGCAAATATTCAATGCATTCAAAGCAGAAGTATTTAAAATTTTAGATTCTCAAAACAAGGCTTAATAAGAAGCTCAAGAATCATAAAATCCAGAATAAGAAGAAGTTGTAAAAAAATAATGCGCAAATGAATTTGAAATTGTGATTGAAGAAGAATATTCTAGGACAATTTTAAAAACTATTCCAGTGCTGGCATCTGACAAAGGCATTCAATACTGGGAATTGAAAATGCAAGAGCAAATAGAAAATTATGAAAGTTCTTTCTTTGACAACCAATGCTTCAATGAAATGCGTGAATTTTTCGTTTTTAAGGGAATCGAAAAATTCTCTTTGGCTGATGAATCCTAAAATACTTTAAGTACTAGAGAAAATGTAAAATTAAATATCGTAGATCACATTGATAGACCTGACTATTATGTTATGAGAATATTCCAACTTTTCAAGAATGAAATTACAATCAATGAATTAGTAGAAATCTTTTACTTAGCTCAGATGAAAAATAGAAATATTGACTCTTTCCGTCTCAAGCGCTGTGCAAAAGTAATTTAAGATGTCAAGTTAAAGCATTTACCTCTCTTAAATAGAGAAATTAATCTTCTCCGTTCAGCAATAAATTTCTCTCTTTCTATCAAAACTGCTGAATAAGATCAAAATGAAGAAGAGTAAGAATAAAAGGAACTTAATGACTTGTTTGTGTTGGCTTATGTTTGGCTATTAAATATCTTTTAGAGAGTTAACAAAAATAAATCTAAAAAGTAGAATGAAAACTAACAACCCGAATCAACAAGCAATATTGGCAAAAACTTATACAAGAAGATCAGCTAATTTATTCAAGAAAATAATGTCGAAGGCATTATTACTATTTAAGAAGAAATTCTTTTGATAAATGAACATAACAATAAATTTTTGCACTCATTGTGCTAAAGAGTTAATGATGAACTATCAATATTGCTTAGACAAAATGAATTACTTAAGTTAGGTTTGATCATTATCCGTCTCTTTTCAATTAATAAGAGCTACTTTGAAATTGAAGGATTTGAATAGCGTGATTGCTTGAGTGAATTGTTAAAAGAAGACTATGAATTCTAATACGAAGAAGCTAGCTACTTAGATAAATTGAATGATTATGTTTCTCTATGCGTTATCGAAAAGGCTTTGACAAATACAATTGATTTTACAGAAACTACTCATACTACTCACATTGACTAACTAAAAGCCCAATAACAAACACTTAAAAATATTAAAAAGCGTATGATCTATCGTGGATATTAAGGTGATAACATTACCTCCTTCAGTGAATTCTTTGAAGAAAGTATACCATTCATCTAGAGAATAGAAAACTTCTTACCTAATCTCTAGAGTCTTCATATTTCTTCTGCTTCCACTCTTTCATTTGAAGACTTAAGATAATTCATTGAAATCAAAAAGCATATTGATAACTGGTTGCATATTTCTTTTGAAAAGTACTATGCACCTTTCTCTGATTTCCTTATCCCTCTTCACTTTGGTCTTATCTTGGTCAAACAATACATTTCCTAAATCTTAAGCAAGTAAACATTTTTAAAATATTTATTGTCTTAACAAAAAAGTTTTTTAAATTCAATTTATCTTTTTTTATTGTTATTTTCAGTAATTTATTTGCTTTTAATTTTTAAATAGGAGTAAAATAAAGGAAGCTTAAATCAGTCTTATTAGTGAATCTACTCAAGATAGAATAGATCAATTTAAGAGAATTCTTTGGTAGAAGAAGAACATATATAAGCTTAAAAATTGTGATAATATCTTGAAGAATATCAGATTAAATGACTAACTCTTTGAAGACACCGAAGGAATGAAAGAATTCTGCGCTTAAATTATGAGCGTTGCTAGTGAAAATTTAATGTAAAAGGAAGAAATAGATAAGTTAGCTGAAGATGATACAACCAAACTTATCAAGGCAACTCGTTAGTTAGAAAAAATGATTGTAGATGAATATAAAAAAGAGACTATTGAAGAATATAAAGAAAAAGAACGCTAGGAAATTTAAGAAGCATTCAATACTTTCTCAAAGGATTATATTCATTTATTGCAAGTTGATTTGACTATTTAAGAAAAAATAGAACTTCAATAACAGTAACAATAAGGTGCAAACAATAATAATGAAGATAATATTGATGAATATGAAGAAGATTTGGAGGAAATCAAGATGGAAGAGTTAACTATGGGTGAGTTAAATGCTATTAAGTAGCGCAGTTTGAATTCAATTATAGAAATCTTAAATATTTATGACAATTGTAGAAACAAAAAGAATATTTTATATTCTGATTAAGCAACTGTAGCCGCTGTCACAGATAACTCTGAAAAGAAAAGATCTCTCAAGTCTGTAAGTTCATGGAAAGACTTTACTTTTGGTCATAAGATTGAATACATCAAAATCAGTCTTGTTTAAAATCTTTTCCCTCATGATCCTTTGAGTTAAGTACTAGAATACTCCAGTGCTTTCGGATAAGTCTAAAAGACTAACTAGTTTGAAGAATGTATGAAAAAGAAGAATTCCATGCAATAGCTTGATACTTCATAAGTATAATTCAACGTTTATAAAGATATTATTCCAAGCGAGAATGTGAAAATATTTAAACCCGTTATGAATCTCTTAAACTCTATAAGAAGACTTCTTCATGAAGAAGAAATATTTGAGAATAACGCTGTACTACAAAATCTTGCAATTTTGTGTGATTACACTTTGGAATAATCTGTTTTAAACACTCCTCTCAACAAAATTATCACTGGTCTTCAATTTATTGCTGAAAAAGTTGAAGAATGGAATCTTTCAACTGCTAAAGCTTACTCTCTAATCAATGAAATCAATCCTATAGTCGAACTCTTACTTTACTGGAGAAAACTTGAGCGTAGATGCTGGAAATTTATGCTCTCAGAGAAAGACAAGGAAATTGAATTATTAGATGTTGTCATGTTCTTAAAATTAAGAAACTTAGTGGTTAGCTCAAATGGAAACAATGCAGAAAATAGAGAATCCTTATTTAAGATTGTAGATCAATTTGTCCGTACTTCAGTTATGGGTAACTTTGGACTACGTATGAAAGGTTTGTATTACCTTAGTTACTGTGATGTTGAAGTTTAAAAACTAGGACTTTAAGAATTATTGTAATAAGTCTATAAATATTATATGTAATTCTATGCCTAGTATTCTATTGCTTTGCAACAAAATCGCTCTGAACACGAAAAAGATTGCGAAGAATATGTTACTCTAGCAGGTTGGGAAAGCAAAAATTACATAACTTTGAAAGCAACTGTTGATAAATTCTAAGGTAAAGTTCATCGTATTGTTAAGAGATACAGAGATTTCTTATAGGAGCCAATAAATCGCCACATTTTTGATCCTACCAGAAACTTAATATTTGCTGAAAACTATGAATCTTTCCGCGTCAAGTACGAAAAGGTATTCATTGAAGAAGATAGCGAATATCAATAGACTGAGCATCACATTATGAAATATCAAGTCTAAGAAAATGCTGAAAAAGTAATTTAAATTGGTCGCAAGTTACTCTTATAAAATTGTCTTTCTGTTCCTCCTATTAAACACTACAAGCAATGTTAAGTAGTAGAAAAACCTGATGAGCTTTGCGCTTGGTTATACAAGGAGCAAATGATTTCATAAGTATTTGAAAGAGTAAAAGATCTAACCCAAGAAGAAGTTACTCGTAATATGAAGTTTAAAGCTGTATTAGATATCTTTAAATACTTAAAATCTCTTGGTTTTACCTCTTATTTCTTAAACACATCTTAACTTATGGGTGACAACACCGTTATATATGATATGCGCTCAATTAAGCTTGATACTTCACTCCTTGGAGCTGAATTGACAAATTACTTATCTCAAGATATTCACTACATAGAGAAATGCTATTATACCACTTTAGATAAAATTTGTGTCCTCCGTTTCAATACAAATTATCATGAAGATCTAACAAAAGATAACATTCGTCGTGGTAGTGGCTTTTTAATTGAATACTTCTATTACATTAAGCGTATCTATTTGTAATTAAATTCTCTTTTCAAGAATTCTTCTTCATTCATCTCCTTTGTTGAGAATTTGAGTGCTATTTCCTCATCTTCTGATATCCACCAAAGTAAAATTATTATTCTCAAGAACTATGAACAAATTAAGGAAGAAGTTGAAAATTTCCTAAACAAAATAATTTTCCTCTGCTCTGAAGTGAAATAAGTAGTTAGCTTCATTCCTACTTCATCAGATATGGAAATCAACTCATTAAGAACTTTATGTGAAACTACTTTAGCAAGCCTTTCATCAACATTTAATGGAAAATTAGTTGATATCTTTAGTTATGAAGAGCTCATTTCTAACATCAACAAAATATCTGAAAAGCTTAGAGCTAATGCAAGTAAAGCTTCTAAACTTGGGTTCAAAGACCTCTAAGTTATAATTTAAATTAGCTTTAGATAAGCTAGCTCTACTCTTTTAGTTTTACAGAGATCTCTTGAACAATCTATATAGGAAGCTAATAAAGAAGAAAATGGTGAATCTCAAAACCTTTAAGAAGAAAAGATAATTAAAGATTTACAGCTTTTTGCTTAAGGTATTATAAAAACTGTTTAATCTTACAAGAATAACTTGAAGCTAATTATTGAAGATGAAGAAGAACCAGAAGAAGAATAAGCAGAAGGTGCTGAGCCTAAAGAGCCAGTAAATCACTCTGATGATGCATCAACTGCTTCTGTGAAAAATCATATAGAAAGTGATGAATCAGCTAACACTATCTAAAAAGATTAATAACCTGAATTCACTTTCATTCAAAATGAAGAAAGAATATTAAAGAAATTAAATAAATCCATTGAAGATTTTTGCTACAAGCTTACCTAATTGTATGAATCTGAAATACTTAAGTAAATATCAAAAAAATCTTACAATACTATTTATTAGATGTTGATAATTATCTAATTATATCTAAAAAATACTATCCTCTATCATACAAAATCAGTTAAAGCATAGTCTAAATTCATGAATCTCTTAGGTATAATCTTTTACAATCTTGTGTACAAAGGTTTCTGTTAGCCTAAAAACTAAGGTGATGAAGGAGCTGGATCTGATGATGAAGACGGTAAATATGAAATGAAGGACGGAACTGGTATCGGTGAAGGTAAAGGCCAAGAAAATGTCTCAAAAGAAATAGAATTCGAAGAATAGGTTCTCGGTAATAAAGATGAAGAAGAAGTTCCTGAAGAAGAAGAAAATCAAGATAAGAAAGAAGAATAGAAAAAAGAAGATGATTTTGAAATGGACTAAGACTTCAAAGGAACAACATCAAAGCCAGAAGATATGAATGAAGAAGAAGAAGACCAAGCAAATAAAGTAAAGAAAATTATTATTAAAATAAATAAATAAATCATTTATTATATTTTCCATAAAAATAGGATGGTGATGAGTAATTCAGTGATGTTGATGAAGATGAATTAGATTTCAAAATGTGGTAGGGAGATGATAATAAAGAAGATGAAGAAGAAGAAGAATAAGAAGACAAATAGGATGATAAACAAAATCGTAAGAAAGAAGACATTGAGTTTAAATCCAAGGATAAGCCATAAGGAGAAGAAAATGACAGAGCAAAAGAAGAGGAAAAAGAAAAAGAACAATAGAGAAACATTGATGATTTCGAAAAAACTGAAAGAGAAGAAAAAGAAGATGAAATAAATGAACAAAAAAATGCTCCTGAAGAAGAAGAATAAAATATAGATAAGGAAGATGAGGATGCAGGTAAAGAGAAAAACAAAAATGATTAGCAAGAAGAAGCTGAAGATGAAGATGAAGAAGGTGAACATGATGGTAAGGAAGGTGAATAACTTGATCCTGAACTCATGAAGTAACAAATGGAATTAGAAGAGGAAGAAGAAGTTAATGATGATCGTAATATTTTATTTGGAAAAAAAAAATAGTTTTTAAACATTTTAATATAAAAGATCAAGATGGAGGATCTCAAGAAGGAGATTTAGAAGATGATATGGAAGATGCAGAAGATGGAGAAAATAATGATAAAATAGACCCACTTGAAAACGTTAGTGACTTCGAAAACGAAGAAGATGAAGAAAATCTTGAAGATGAAAATAAAAACACTGCTCTTGAAAATGATGATATGGATATTGAAGAATAGGATTAAGATGAATAAGATGAAGAAAGAGAATATCCTAAAGATATAAAGAAAAATTAAAAGCAAAAGCCAAAGAAGCAAGAAAAGAAATTTGGTGTTGAAGGTGATGATGATCAAATTCAAATGGAAGAAGATTAAGAAGAAGCTGAGGAAAACAAAGAAAACAAATAAAAAGGATAAAATGAAGAATAAGAAGACGATAAAAAAAATAGAAATGACGGCTAAGATCAAGATTAAAATAATTCTTCAAACTAAAATAAATTTTCTTTAGATTTCCTTCAATAGATTATCGAAAAAACTCAGCCTAATGCTAAAGATCTACAAAATTTCTTTAAAGATCTCAATGTTGTTCAAGAGTAAAAGGAAGACTAACAAAATCAACAACAACAATAATAGTAACCTTAAATGAAAGAAGACTAGTTTAATGAAGAATAGGAATTCGAAGCTTTTAATCCTCAAGATAACATCGATCCTGAAGAGCTAAAGAATATGTTAGCTACTAATGTAAGTGCTTAAGAAATGAAGAACGCAAGTAATATTCCTCAAGAAATGCATAATGAAGATTAAATAGATTAAGATATGCCTTAACCTCAACAACCTCCTAAACCTGAAGGAGAAAATCAAAAGAAGGAAGAATCTTCATATTAACAACCTAAAAAGAATTAAGAAAAGGATAAGAAAAATGATGGACTTAACAAAAAAGAAAAGTAAGAATAAATAGATTTCTTAGAAGAATAAAAAAATATGGAGGAAAAAGAAAGGGCAGAAAAAGAAAAGAAAAAAGACAAAAACAATGCAAATCAAGAAAATGATGAAAACCTTCAAGAAAGTGAAATCCCTTAACAAAATTCCCAACTCGAAAAAAATAACCAAAAGAAGGACGAAGAAAAAATTGAAGAGGAAGAAGATGAAAATCTACTTTCATTCCTTGAAAATGAAAATGAGACAGTTGAATAGAAGCGTGATAGAATGCTCAAGCTTATTCAAGAATGTAAAAATAACCCTGAAAAGTTCCAAAAAGGATAAGAATTATGGTAAAAAATTGAAAATGAAGCCAGATACTTTAGTGTCCAATTATGTGAAGAACTCAAGGCAGTATTGGAACCCACTTTAATTGCTTCTTTCAAGGGTGATTATAAATCAGGTAAACGTCTCAATATGAAAAAGATTATTCCATACATTGCATCCAATTTCCGTAAGGATAAAATATGGCTTAGAAGAAATGAACCTTCCAAGCGTACCTACTAAATTTTATTGGCTATTGATGATTCCCTATCTATGTCATAATAAAATGTTGGTTACTTTGCTTTGCAATCTATGACTATACTTTCACTTGCTATGAGTAAAATGGAAGTTGGTTAAATAGGTATAGCTGCAATCAAAGACGGTCTCTAGCTTCTCCATGATTTCAATACTCCTCTCACTCCTGCTGATTCACCATTCATTCTTTCTCAATTTAACTTCACTCACTCAGATACAAACTCCTCTGACTTGGTAACTATTAATTAGATAAATTCATCTTATTAAAAGCCTTTTGTTTTAATTTTATTAGGATTTGGTCAAATTTATGAAATCTACAATTGAGACATTCAAAGAAGCTAAAGGAGGATCTAAAGATACTCATTAAATTTGCTTTATAATGAGTGATGGTCGTTTCAATAAAAAGGTATAACTTACTTATTTATTTTTAATTGGAATTTATATTTTTACAAATTTTAATTAAAAGCTTGTTAAACCTTTGATCTAAGAAGCTGAAGAAAACAATCAACTTTTCGTTTTCATTGTTTTGGATAAGAGTGAAGACAAGGAATCTATTATGAATATAAAATCTACCAGCTAAAAATACGTTAATGGCAAATTACAAATAGAAATGAAACACTACTTAGAAGATTTCCCATATAAATACTACATTATTGTTAAAGTAATTTTATTAAAAAATCAAATTACAAATTTTATTTATAAAAATTTAATTTTTATATAGGATGTTCATGAATTAAGCAAAGTTCTTGTAGACATCTTAAGATAATATTATGAAATGAAGAGCAACAGCTGAAAAAAGTGAAAAATAATTTTATTAATTTTAAAAATTAAAAAACAAAGATTAACTAACTATAATTTAAATCTACTTTCAATTAATATTTTGTTATTTTAAATTCACATGTATTCATGTAAGTTTGTATATATATATATATCAACTTATATAAAAAATTTTATTTTAATAAAATTCCTTCTTAATTTAATGATTAGTTATAGAAATAGATATAATATCAATTATCTTAATCTGATGACATTCATCTATAGTTATAATTTTAGTTTAATTTAAATGGTTATTTACTATAAATTTGTATCTAAATAAAAATTAATTTTATTTTAAATTAAGGATAGATTATTTAACAAATTTTATTGGCTTAGACACTTTTTACCTAACTTAAATGATAACAACTACAGCTTAAATTTTCTTATTTCAAAATTAGTTTAGAAAATGTTTAGCTCACAAAGATAATTTATTTTTGAAATTTCAAAATAGTCAAAAAAGTTTATTCATAACACTGAAATAAATAAATCTAAATTATTTTTAAAAAAATAAAAATACAATAATATTATTGTTTATTTATGTATTTTGATAAATGCTCACCAAAATTTTATAAAATAAAAGTTATACAAATGCCAAAAATACTATATTTAAAAAAATAAAAAACATTTTTTTAACTTGTAATTAGTATTTTATTGTTATCATAACCACAAAATTAAATTAATTTATATCTTAATTCATCAGATGTTGTTTAAGTTTTTATTTTATTTGCGCTAAAAATGTTATTCTTAATTGACTATTTAGAAAGATATATTTTATAAATAGCATCAAAAAGCAATAAATAAGAATTAATTTAGATTAAAAGCATTGTTTAAATGAAGAAAAATATTTATTTTGATAAAATTAAAATTGAGTGTAAGCTTCATCCAAAGGAAAATGTGATTTCACTTTGCATGAATCCATACTGTAAGTTAAATAAGCTCATTTGTGGTGTTTGTTTAAGCGAATAAAATCACGAATGCCGCAATAAGATCCCTATTCACAAATTGTACGATTTCTCAGATGAAAAAACCTATACTTAGATATAAGTTGAAAAAAGTGACAGTGAAAGGATCGATTACCATAAAAATTAAGAGAAAGAGCTTTAAGAAGCTTTGGAAAGAATGAAATAACTTTAAAAACTCAAGGATATGATTGTTGCTAAACTTGATTAAGTGATTGAAGGATAGTAGAAGATAATTGATGGGTTTGTAAACTCTTAATAAAATGATAGAAAGGAGCCTGAAAAAAGTCAGGAAGAAGAAACTTAGGAAGATTAAAAAGATTAAAAATAAGAAGAAGCAGACGAACCTAAATAAGAATAGCCCTCAAATATTGAAGATAATGAAGAAGAAAATATAAAAGGAAGAACATTATCTTAAATTTCCTAGCCTAGCTCCTATAAAGAAGCTTAAAAAGCTCTATAGCATAGCTTGATAAAATATCTTGAAGAATTATAAAATGACTAAAGCAGAGATATCAATAGAGTCATTATAGATTTAAGCACTCTATAGCTCTAACATAATAGCTTTTTAAAATAATTAAAATAATAATAGGCAAAGCACTTAGTTGCTAAATCTCAATAAGATTTATTTTAAATGGAAGTTAATGCAATAAAATCTATCGATTGTTTCAATGATGTGGTTAAGATTGTGCATAAATACGATTAAATACAGCTGGAAGGATATGATTCTTATTCTTAAACTAGCATTGAAAATATGATGAATCTTTATAGAAATTCAAATCCTACAGTTCGCTCTTAAATACTTTGTGAGTGTGATATTCTCTCAGTAGATATCAGCTAAGATCGTCGATTCTTACTAATTGGTTGTGGCAAACCAAAATTTGTAGTTTTGGTATTTGATATCTAAGACAAAAATCTTTAAAAACCAAAACTACTTGCTTCTCTCCCTCATTCATCAGCTGTACAGATTGTTCGTATTTCTCCAAACGGACTCTTCTTTTGTTCAGGTAAAAATATTGATTAAAAACATTTATTTAGTTTAAAGTTGACATATAGATAGATTGATTGATAGATAGATATAATAATTACAAAATTTGTGGTTTTTGAAGAAAGCCGAGTTTTTTTATCAAAGAAATTAAATCTTTTAAAAATAAATTTAGAATTTATATCAACAAAATAAATAAATGTAAGCAAGCTTAAAATAATTCTTTTAAATAAAAAATTTTAAAAAGGTTGTGAATCCTCTGCTGTAAGAATGTATTGCACACAGTCTATAATATATAAAAACAAGAACAATTTACTAAAAACATTTATGGATCATTAGCAAGCAATTACGGGTATATAGTATTCAAGAGATAACAAAATACTAGTGACTTCAAGCTTAGATAAAAGCTTGATCATATATGATGTATCTGCTCCTGCAAATAGCAGTATTCTTCATAAAATAAAGTTAGAACATCCCATTGTTTCTTTTGATCTAACGGTGAGGTATGTATTAGCTGTAAACACAGCAAATAATATGTGCAACATTTACTAAAATGCTAGAAGTAAAATATCTTTTAATCTAACACAAAATTTATAAATTTTTTTTATTAGCAAATCCAAATATAATTTATCAAATTCCTTTTACTGGTTGTATCAGAGATGTCAAAATATCTTTAAACGAAAGATTTTTATGTGTAAATGATTACTACTCTAATTGCTACATATATGATTTAACATTTTGGCCTCCAATAATCTATGATACAATCCCTTTGATACACACTAATTCTATAGCTTTCCATTAAGATAGTAGCAACATTTTAGCAATTTCAAAAGGAGGTACTAATTTTGATATTTACTAATTAAGTACAAATGATCATCCAACTCCTTCATAACTGATTTACTCTTCAACAGATCATACAGATACTGTTTTGGCTTTGAAATTTTACAGTAACTATATTATTTCAGGAGGAAAAGATAAAAAGTTATTAATAACAGAAGTTTTCTGAGAACTAATTTTCTGATTTTGTATATTTATTTTATGTTTAATAATTTATTGATAAAATAATTAAATATTAAAATATAAGCTTCCTTTTTTTTAAAAAAATTTAACCTATTGATAAAAAATATGGGAAAACGAATTAAGTATATTTCAATAGATCTTTTTTGAAAACAAGACAAATTAATTTTATAAAAAATAGAGTTTATCAATAATTTTAAATTAATAAAAGGTTTTATTTTAAATATATTAATATGAAATAATCTTTAAGTTAAAAGCCAAATCTAAAGAGATTAATATCTTAATTTATTATTTTTTTTTTGAATTTTTAATGAAATTTTAATTAAAAATGTATTTGGTTTATCATATATTTCTATATATTTGTGGTACAAATATTTAAAAGAATAAAGAATTAAAAATTTCAGGTAGTAATTCAATTTAAAATGAGGTGTTTATCCTTTATCCATTATAGATAGTTGTTAAACAAATAATTAAATTTTAGCATATATAATAAATAATTTGTTTAATTTTTAGATGATATCTTGATAATTTAGTCGAAAAAATACAATCTGATTTTTGAAATTAATTTTAGTTATTAACTCTCTTATTTCTGAAAATGAAAGTAAGTTTTTACAACATTATTCTCGCTTTTAACAATGAAAAATAACTTAATATTTATTGTTGAATTTATAAATACTAAATAGGGAGATATTTTGCATAGAGATAATTTTTTTCTCACCCTTTTCAATAGAGTAAATTTGCTTGAATACAACTAAAGTTTTACAGATGAGAAGTACCTTCAAGAATTACACAAATCACAAAGAAAGCTAAGTATTGAAAGGGAAAATGTTTTGTCAAATAATTTTAAATTTTCTGTCGGAATAGTAACAACTTTAGCACTAGTGGGAATAATTCTGTAAAATATTTATGCTGCAATTTTGAGCGAAAACAAACGTTTTATTGGACTTGCTTTAGTTCAGACAAAAAATGATAATATCTTTTTATTTTTAATGCAATTACTTAATTATTTCGTAAATACTGGCATGATTTTAGGGACTTGCTACCTCAATATATACTCTGAAGGCATGATTGATGATAAGTATGGAACAAAGTTGCATAAAAAAATAGGAAAATTAATATATAAGTTTGGTTTGTTCTCATCAGTACTTTATTTTATTGATGGATTTAGTAAAGATATCAACTTCTACATTATAACAATAGCAATTATATAAGCTTATTTTTTGATAATGTGTGTTTCTACTGCTTGTCTAAAATAATATCTCTCACACAGAGTGTGGTCTTACTGTTTAAATACACTGTTTTTATAAATTGCTTTAAATACCTATTTGAATTAGCTTGCAAATTATTTTGAGCAAGAATACCTAATCTCCTATTGTTGCTGTCTCTCAAGTATATTTTGTATCTTATATTTGTATAAATAAGAACTTTCTATAGATAAAGTTGTTCCTAAATCTAAAGCTACATTTTAAGTAATCTTTTATAATATATTTCTATTTAAAATTTATATAAATTAGAATACCTCATTATTTTGAAATAAATCTCATATATGCATTTAATAAAACTTTAAACAATAAAAAAAGATTTCCCTTGACTCAATATCTTAGAGAGTGATAATTGTCAGTGAAAAAATAGAAGAAAATCCTTTTAAAACTGTTTACTTTGATAAAAATATTATTAAAGCAAATTTAAATTATATTTAAAAGGCTTTTTAGTTATTTGCAATTTTTATTTCAATCACGTGGATTCTGCTTGATCAATTCGCTGAACAAAAAACCTTTGAATTATTTAAAGTTATAGCTATAATATTATTGTCAATATACTGCCTTATTGTTTTTATTCCACTCAAATTAAGACTAAAATAAATGAAAAAGATTAAGAAATAGTTAAAAAAATAAAATAAATTGAAAAATAATAAAGTTGATTGAATTGAAAGTAAATTAGGAATTAACAAATTAATAAATTGATATCAGTTAATAATTTTAATACCTAACCATATGTATTTATTCAATTATTTAATATCAAAAGTATTTTTACTAAAATTATATTAAATATTTCAAACTCTTTACTTTTTAATTTATATATTTGCCCACATTTCGCTTGTAAATAAATAAATTAATTAATTAAAATTTATTAAAAAATTTTATGTATTTCTTTATTTGATGAAATATGTATTATTTATGCAATATTTTCTTAATGAATGAAATAAAATTATTACTTTTTAATTTTTAAAAATCCATTCATTTTTTAGGTAAGGGATTAAAATTTTATTTATACATAAATAATGAGAAAGAGTGTGTGAATTTATGAATTTAAATAATATTAATATATTAATCGGCTAGATATTCGTTAAATGATTTTATAAATACTATCTAATTAATATGATATCTATGGGTTTTTAATAACTTTATAAATATCCAAACGTTTGAAATTTTAAATTAATCATTTATGTTTATCAATGCATTTAAGGATTGAAAAAAAATAATATTAAAATTGTTTGTATGATCAATTATATGAATTTGAATCATATATTTAATAGTTTTTTTATTAAACATTCATTAATATTTTAAAAAATAACTCTTTTCAATAGATAATTTTTAAGTAAAGATATCACAACTTCATAATTAATTTGCATAATAGAGTACTATAATGGATTCTTAAGACAAAGGCACTCTTTAAACTCATGAATAAGCATAGTTTAAAGATATTAACTCTTCTAATTCTCTGGATGAAAAAAAGCAAGAAGAGACAACTAATACTGATTAGGATACACAGGAAACTTATAATGATAACTCTAAAGCATTTCCTGAAGGAATGCAGTTGAATTCATTTCACAATGATTATAGATATAACTATCATCCATATAATTTGTATTTAACTCCAATTACTGAAGAAATAGATCAGTAGGCTCTTTTAAACAAAGTTATAAATAAGATAATAATGATATTTTACTAATAAATAGTGAAAAGACCATAGTAGGATTAAAAGAATAAAATAAAAAATTAACAGATTAACTGAGATTTCTAAACAAAAAACTTACTGATATATTAGACAAGTAATAAAAAAAGGTACAGGCCAAATAGGAGCTAGAATAAAAGTCTAAGGATATAAGTAGATAAATAATTTAATTATTCATCAAAAATTATATATGAAAACCTATATTTTAATTTTAAATAGCAATCGTACAGAAAGAATTGGAAAATGCGTACAAAAAAATAGAATATTTGTAAAAGCAGAATAAATTTTTATAATAGAAATTAGAAAAGCTCTCTCCCTCCATGTAATTTTAATAAAATATGCAATGCCTAATTCAAAATTTATACTAAATAGGATATAAAATTTAGAAGTGTAGCTGAAAGAAAGGGAGTAACTTATACAAAAGTAATAAGATGAAATAAAAGCTTTTGAGAACATAAAGAGAATGCTTGAAAAAAATAATAGTTTAGAGTCAAAACAAATAGATGTCATTACAAAGGTGTGCTTGAATTATATTTAAATATTTTCATTCATTAGAGATAAAAATTTTTATAAATTTCATCTCAGAATTATTTAACCAATTTATAAATTTATTTAGATTGACGATCAAGAAAAAAAGATTGTTTGCTAAAACTCAGAGATAAAGAAGCTTAAGTCTTTGTTAGATAATTAGTAGAAATAGATGCTTAAAAAACAAGAATATCAGGTTGATTTAGAGTAGAAATTTAGAGAAATTTGTGAATATTTAGGAATTTCATCAAGCACCAAATAAAATTTAAAAGAAGAATTACAAAAAATCCATATATCCAAAAAAGTAGAATCGAACCCATAAAATGTTTTAACAGAAATAAATAAAAATTCATAAGATAATTCATAAAATATTTAATCTCCTCATAAAAAAGTTAACTATAAGCAATATGAAATATAAATTAAAGAACTTAATGCAGCTGTCAAATTGAAAGATAAAGAAATAAGCTAATTAAAATTATAAATCTAAGAATTAAAACATCTTCCTAGATAAGAAAATTAACCTATTATTTAACATAAAAGAGTAAATAAATCTATTTCAGTCATTAAATCTTAAGTAAATTCTCATTTTGAAAATTAAAATAATTAAATAAAATTTAAACAATAAAAACAAATTTAATTTATTTCTTAATGAGGAATAAATAAAATAGTTTTAGAAATAAATTAGCATTTAATAAAGATTATTATATTAATTATTAAATATGAAATAGGGATTACTAAATTTATAACCAATCAGCAATATCGAAAAAACTTAAGATAACAGTTTAACTGAAAAAAGAGATAAAAAATAAAATATCATATCAAAAGATATCTCATTTTAACATTAGAAGGAAAATTAAGATCCTAACATAATTAGGCTAAGTTCTGCTAAGGTAAACTCTAATTAAAGCTAAGCATAGTTACTACCATTAAAAGAGGAGAAATAAAGAATAAAGAAAGAAATTATGGGAAAATAGCATGGCTGTACTAGAAGTATAACTGATAGAAATATCTTGAAAGAATAACTTCATTCAAAAATAATAAAAGTGATTGTTTGGACAAACAAAAGGACTATTAATGGTGTTCAGTTTTTTTATAAGGTGAACGAAAATATAGTAGAAGGACAAAAGATGGTAGTTGACAATAAAAACGAGTATAATCAAGTTGTTTTTGATTTTAATAATAAAACAGATAGCAATAATAGCAACAGTAATAAATAGCTATAAGTAGACTATCTGAAATAAGTAGAGTGTATGATGTCTTCTTAAGGATATATTGATAAATTAAAATTTATTTCAGCAACAGGAAAAGTTTATGAAGCTGGAGCATAATCAAATCAGGGTAAAATTGTTTAAAAGTTCAATTTAGATTAGTGTGAGTATCCTGTTTGTTCGTTTGGTGGGTTGATTACTTTTGTAGGTATTAATTTTTAGTTTAAAATATTATTTATTTTTATTTTATTAAATTTTAACTAACCAAAAGGTGAAAAAGAATAAGAAGTAGGTAGTATTCTATCTTTTTTAGGATTTGAAGTAATGGTTGACAGATAAGTGTTATAAAGATCAAATTCACAATATATTCCTAAAGGATTCTCCACCTTTTATTTTGATAAAGAATAATTTAAATAGCTATTAAATGTATAAAAACAATGATAAAATTTGTTCTGAAAATAATTAAACCAGTTAATTTTTATTAAAATTTGTAAATACCTAAATCATTTTATTTTGTATTAAATATTTAATTTAAAAAATTAATTTACAACTGAATTTAAAAAGTGGATTAATTATTTGTAGAAGAATCCAAATTTATTTAAATTTTTAAAAAAGATAAAATATTTAAACTATTGCAATTTAATCACTACAAACTAGCTGAAGTGACTATTGTGAAATTTAGAGCAATAATTTTGACATAGATTAGACGAGGCTGATAAGTGATAAATAATTTGAATCTTGTTTTGAAAAAAGAACATTCATTTATTATAAATAGTTAATCTAAAAAAATAATTTAAATCAAAAAAAAAAAATTTTTTACAAAAGAAATCTATTTATTTAAAAATATTTTTAGTATATTAAAGTCTTTAAACAAATATTTTTTATATAGAGACGAATTTATTTACAAGGCAAATGCAATTTAATTATTATAGATTATGATAAAATTAATTATTTGTGTATTTTATAGCAGAAAAATATCATGAGAATTTCATGTTCCAGAGCGAGAATTATGATGTAGATTAATCTAGAGTGAACAGTTATAAATTGCTTGAATTTTGGTTTTAGATAAAGAAAGTTGAATAATTGTTGGATGAATATTCTTTAGATATTCTATATTTAGAATTTGTAGATATTATATCGTTACTATTTGATATTTTAGAAAATGTAACTAAATCATCATCTGATTAACTTCCAACTATTAAAATATAGTTGATATTTTAGTAATTCTATGCAGGGTGTTCAACCAAAAGCAAATTTTAAATTTAGGATAAACTTACTTTGATAATTTTAATCACGTTTTCATCATCAATATCATAGATTCTTATGATACCTTCGTCTGTGCCACAAGCAAGCATATTATTAGAAGAAAATTAAGTATTAATTGATGAAATATTTGAGCAAGTTTTAATTATTTTTTCATTTCTTATTTCACACAATCTATTTTTAGTTTCATTGAAGAGCAACTGATATATTAAAATTTAGTTTGCACTATCGATGCAGACGAGTCTAGATAAGTTATTCATAGCAGACATAAATTTAATCTCATTTTTGTTTTGCTTTTTATGAGTTATAACAAAATCTTACCAAACTATCATGCATCCATCAGAGCTTGTAGAAACTAATACACTTGGTTAGATAAAAGTCATCTCAGTTATATTTTCATTATGTCCAATTAACTGGAGAGAAACATCCAGTTTATCGATATCAAATAATTTAATATTTTAAGATTGCTTCGATGACAACGCTATAATTTATTCGTTTACTCTTACCATCTTATGTATTGGTACTTTAGAAGAGAATTTTTTAAGAGATAATTATTGTTCTTATAAGTTTTCACTATTAGCTTTTGAAGTATCGTAAATGAGTAAAGTATTATCTGTTGTAGCAAATGCAAATATATTTTCTCTTACCCATAAACAACTTATAACTTGTATTCCTTTTGAATTCAACTCTTACTGCAATATATTTTCTCCATTTTAAAGTGAATATGTTTTTGGCTTAAAAATGTCAATGCTCTAAATGTCTCTTTTGATGAATTAATATCCATCACTAGAAATAGGATTAAATTCAAGATATTTTTGTGCTTCTTCTTCCATGTTAGATTAAGTGTTTCTTGGCGATTAAACTGAATTAATTTTTTCTGCTCTGGAACTCTATAAGGAATTCATTCTAAAACTGCTACGCTAGAAAGAATCAGTATGATTTTGCTTTTATTTGACATATCCTTCAAATTCTATGTTATATGAGGGATGAGGAGGTTAAGATTAGCTATTCAAAGAGTTATTTTAATTTTAATGATTTCGAGTTAAAGAATCAAACCTTCTCTTGGATGTCATTATACTCATGACTGATTAACCTTCGAAATTGCTAGCATAAGCGCTTGATACTTAGGTTTCTTTAGCAGTTAGGCTTTAGTTGCTTCTTTAGGAATCATAGTCGCAAGAATATCCTTTTCTTGTTTGATCTACAGAGTTGTATTCATTATAATTTTTTTTAGTATTTTAGTATTATGAAGGAGGAAGCATTTCCATATGAGAATTTGTCCTATAATTTAAAATATTGTTATTATTTTTATTAAATTTATCTTCTAAGTTATTTCTTGATTCTAAGTTCTTCTAGCTATCAATTTAAGTCTTTTAATTTTGAGATAATTTTTTATTTTATTCTGAAATATTTTATTACAATTCTTAATTTGTTTCTTTTTTTACAGAAAGAGGTAAATTTATATGAGCAGGATCATAAATATTCATTTTTTATTCAGTATAAAGCTATTCTTATTTTGGATTTTGTTAAGTAGAATATTAGCTGGATTCTATCTCAGATGTATCATCATTATTATTCTCTTCAATTGTCTTGGAACTTGGCAAAGAGATTAAATTAACTCTGGAGTTTTTCAGTTTTCTTTAGAAGAATTTTGGATTATAAGCTGGGGAATCTATATTTTTTTTACTGTAATTTTCATTTATTTATATATCATCAAGAGAATCGTCTTTTTTTAGCTGCTCTCTTAACTTTTTTAACTCATTTTCACTGAATATAGTATTTTCCTCTTGTTTCTTTTAAGTTTATTTTTTATTGCCATCAATTGCTTCTTATTTTAAATTGTTATATTATTTAGGTGGTGGAGGAGGTGGATTTTAGTTATTTGTTTTTTGATTGTTCATATTTAGTTATTGTGCTAATTATAAATTTGTCTAGGCTAATAATTGTTTTAAGCTTAATCTATTATTACCATTATTGTTATTTTGATTGTTGTTATTGCTGCTCTAGCAATTATTCTAAGTGTTCATAAGCTAAAGATTCATAAGCGTTTCATTAAGGTTATTGTTTTAGAAGGATTCATTTAGTAATCTTAAGTTGTTAATAGTTTCATTCAACTAATCAACTTCTTAATTACTTATTCTAGAAACACTAAGTTAAATCGAATAAGTATTGTTAAACTAATCCTATTGATCGTCGAACTAGAATTCTTGTTCTCTATCAGTAAACAATTAATTTCGGTTACTTCCATTATTTGATAGGCTACTTAACTTTCCATTCCTAGAACTATTTTTACGTGATTTCTTATTTTGTTAGCTTTTTTCAGCATTTGGTTGTTAAACAGAATTGTTTGAATCCATTTAGCTCTTTCCATTTTCATTCAAATAGTTTGAAATAATATTTTCACTTGACTCTAAGACAGCAATTTAATCTTCATCTCTAAACATGTATGGAGCCTTGTAAGAATCTATTCTTTCTACAAAATCTTATGCAATTATTTTTAGTGATTAGCGTTCAGTGTCTCCTAAATTTGAATTTTCCTCTGTTTTATTATTATATTTTTCATTTAAATTTCCTTAACTATTCTATTCTCCATACTTTTGTAATTGTTATTTCTACATTTTTACTAATTTGTCAAACGGAAGAGAATCTGTTTATTCTTCTTCAAATTATTTGAAATCTTTTTTTAATGCAGATACCAGGCTCTTTTCATCAATAGATGGTTTTCTTGATTAAATCTATGTAAATATTTAGTTTGTGTCCCACTTTTCAACATCTGTTTTAGTTATTTTAGAATTAACTTCGCTTAAATTCATTATATTATTTGTATTACAAATATTTTTCTATGTTTATCCATCAAAACATAGTTAGCTATCAGTATTTTATTATGTTTTTTATTACCTGAAGCCCATTCTTTCAGGAGAAAATTCAGTATTAATAACAGCATTTCTATCAAGAGAGTTATTCTTAGACTCCCTTAGATTTTACTTTTTATTATCTAATAAGTGATGTGGATTTAACTATCCTTGATTGCTTGTAAAATTTTTACTTTATTGTGGTTTCATCAAATCAACAATATTGAAGAAAATATTAAGTGATTAATCTTTAAATTAAGGAACTCTATTAGTTTGCAATTAAGAATATATCTGTTAACAAATGCATTCTGTTTATAGGAGCAACTCTTTTTGTTAAAAGTAAATTTATTAATATTGATGTTATTACTATTAATGCTAGACTTTAGCCTTAAGACATTCTTCCCAATCAATCATATCGTAGAGATTATTATCTTGCAATTTGTTAGAGTTATTATTGAATCCTTCTTGGATGTAATTATTAATATTACTTAATATACAGCTGTTCCAAACATTTTTTAAGTTTGATGATAGTGGAGGAATCGAAGTTGAAATATTCTTATACTCAATAGCATGACTTTTAAATTTCTAAAATAAATCAGTAAAGTCAGCAATTTACTTGTCTAACTGACTAAATTGTTTATTCATTTCTATGGATATTTAATCATAAATGTGCTTCATTATGAAATCATAGCTCTACCTTATGCTATTTTTTTCTTGATCTACTTTTACTTTGAACTAATTTATAAACTCTTCTTCATGAAGCAAAAGATTCATACTGTCTTTACTGATGAAATCTTCATTTATTTAACTGATCACACTCTTATACATCATGCTTTAATCCATATTATTATTGCTATTCCCATTATGAGGTTTGTTTTGAGTGGTTTCTTCCTAAACATTTTTTTATATGATTTATTATTATGAACTCTATTATATATTAGGATTGTTTGTCTAAAATTATTTTTAAGCTGATGAATTGCTACTATTATTTAAGTTACAGAAGTTTGATGTTTTTAATTTCAAATTAGAATCATTAAAACTCTAATTTTCAGATTGGCTCTAGTGGATATTATGAGAATATATATTAAATTACTAATTAGGTTAATTTTGGCTAATAAAATTATTTTCCTACTGTTTTATTTGTTATTATTTCTATTATAAAGGTTATTGTTATTATAATTATATTTATTATTGGTGTTAAAGAGACATTTAATTCATTATAGCAGGGGTAATCCTTAAAGATTGCTGAGAATTTTATGTAGAGATTATAGATTAAGTCATTGAATTTGATCTTTTTTTAGTTAAATCCTGTTATTATGGTGGATTTTGAATGGGAATTTAATACAACTGTTGTTGTTATTATTGTTGATATTAAAGATATTATTATTATTATTATTATTATTAGAATTACTAATTTAGAGGAGGCTTTTCAGTTATAATAGCCCTTGACCCATTTAGAGATGAGTTTGAGTGGAATGATTAATTTAGTTATTGATATGATTGCTTCGGGATATTTTGTAAATTATTAGTGCTATCTTTTAAAATTTGAGAGATATTAAAAGAATCTGTAAAATTTAGATTTTTGGCTATTTTTTTCTTGTCATTTGAATCAATTTTTACATCATATCTTTATTATTATTACTAATTACCGAATTAAAGCCAATCTTAGCTGTTAGGTCTATTACTAAACTTGCAACTTTTTACTTCAGCGCTAAAAACTTGATAAGGTTATTCAATTTTTGACTTTAAATCAAGTTTTTCATAGCTAAAACTATTATTCTTTTTGATAGATGAACTCTTTTGAGCGCATAAAATTGAATCATTTGGATCTTAAGAATTCTATCTATCTTTATTGATGTAATTCTAATTTTAAAAAGCAGATGATTCTTTTTATCCGAAAGTTGCTCTCTCTTGCATTTAAATGTTACCACAACTTGTGAAATTTTACATCATTTATTGGTAATTAACTTGATTTTAGTTCTAAATCTTTTGTTAGTTAGCCATTTACTATGAAATTTCTCCTTACCGTTAAAACTTTATGTAGCTTTCAAGCATCTGATTTTCTTTGTCTTAACCATTTAAATTTAGATATTTCTCAACCCTGTACTTTGGTATTTTTCTAGCTAAAGGGTGATTTTACAGCTATGTCCCTTACTCTGATTATGGAGGAGGGTTACTCATTTAAATTAAACCTTTTTAATAGAATTAATTTTAATCCAATTCTCTTAACATATTATTTCAGTCTGCTAAATTAATTAAATAAGATAAATTTAATAGATACTTATTATTTATTTGTTTTCTTCTTCAATTTAATTTATTTACTTTGAAATGTTTGAAATTTAACAATCTATTACTTTGAATTTTACTATTTTTATTGAGTGTAATAATTAATAACGGTCATTTTTTTATAAAAATTCAATCTTTTTCATTTTAACACTAATAGTTGATCAACAATTTCAAGAAAATTAATTAACAAAATAATTTTAGTAAAAATAATTTTCAAATCATAAATTAAGGTGTTTAAAAATAGATGAAATAAATTTGTTTGATCTTTCTAAAAATATCCTGAAAAATTTCCTATTTTCATGCAAATATTTGATTGTTATAGTTATAATAAAAAATACTCACAAATAATATTAAATTTGATTAAATATTAGAAATCTAATTAATTTTGAATTCTCATTTTTGTGGAGAAACAAAATGCATTCAAAGAATATTAAAAAATGTTTATGGAATGATTTAATTTAAATTATGAATCACAATCATTTTAATTTTTAAAAATCTTTTATTGGTTTTAGTAATTGATGGGAAATAAAAAAAGTTAAGATAGAATCAACAAACAAACAAAATAATTAATTAAAATAAAATAATTTTTAACATACTTGGATTAAATACAAGATATTTTTAATATGTAATAATAATTCATCTTAGCCTTTGAACAAACTTTATTTCAAAGTTATTATTGGGATAGACTGAAAGGTATTGACAATTAACAAGAGGGTTTATATCAAATGTTAAATAGCTATTACTTTTTTACTAGATCATCTTTTGCTGCTGTTAATAGTTATTGATTGTTCATTTAGTATTAAATATTCTATTAAAATAATGAATTAAAAATAGACCTCTTTAATTCTAAATTGACTTTTTCTTATTAGTCTACTGAATAATACTTCTTTTATTTGATATCATTTGTAAATCTAATAAATTTAATTATTCCTTCACATGGAGTATTTAGCTCAGGTTCCTCTCCTTGAGATAGTATTCCTACATAGTTCATGCTGCAATCTTATTTTTCCACTAAATCTGGTTTATAATTAACTAGATATTTATATTTGTTTCTGTTTTTTGCTTGCAATTTTTAATAAAGCTAAAAATACTTTTCTTCAACTTCATTGCTAAAAAGAATGAAATCAATCTCTGAATTTTTAATATTATATGTATCAAGCTCTTCAATAAACTCAATATACTCATCTTTTAGAGAATTTATTACAATAGTGAATTTGTTTAAGTTAAAATGCTTGCATGTATGATATGTTGCATATCTAACATGAAATTTAATCCAATTTATTGATTCGTCAGGTGATATATAGCTTATTGATAAATGGTAAATATACGGTTTAATTTAAGGTAATTATTTCTAAATATTTGAACTATTAAATGGATGATTATAAATATTAAGATTAATTTTAATGTTTTAGTGATTAAAACCTTAAAAGTAGTCTATGTAATAGTAATACAGATTGTAAATTATCTAATATTGTCTCACATTAGGGACGAAGTAAATAGTGGTGCATTTATCGGATAAGGTTACTTATCCATATAACTCAACTAGGGCATCTATCATTTTGATACTGTATTGGTTGATTCTTTTAATCAAACATTAATAAGCTCCATTTTAAGTTTTTATTTCTACATCTTTAATAAATTTGATATCTTCACTTAGATCTTTTTATAGTAATTTAATAATTTTGTCAGTTTAAACGAGATTTTTCTATTATTTAACAAGCCCTAAAAATTCAAATAGAAAATCAAGTAAAGTTGAACAATTATTTTCATTTCTAAATCTCTAAAATTATTTCTGCTTAAATATATTTCTACTCGTTTAATCTGAGCAGTAAATTATGTAGATGCATGATAAAACTAATTGCATTCTATCACAGTAAAATATTTCTTCTACACTAGTAAAATTATGCTTAAAATATTCAGTGCTTCCTTCTTTTTACTCGTAAAACTACGCTACATTGTACAATGGAGTAAACTGCTTCAAGTAATCTTTATAATTTTAGCATTACACAGCTCCTCCAAAATCAATCAAATAAGGTTCATTATCAAATCCAATCACTATATTCTGAGGTTTAATATCTGAATGAGCAAAACCTAGAGAGTGCAACTTATCCAATTTCATAAAAAGTTTCACTAAAAAGAAATCAAATAAATGTTAATTTTGATTTTTAAAATCTTCTTTTAGCATTAAAAAATCTTTTTATCCAGCTACTTATTCATAATAAAACTAATTTTCCTTAACTCCATATCCAACGATAGGTAATGTAATCCCTTAGTTTTCAATAGCTTTGATTATACTAACTTCTTTTTCATAAATTTCTTTCTACTCTAATTTAAAGAATTTTGTGATTGTTAGGCAATTAATTTCTTTGTTAAATGAAATAATAACTTTATTATTTTTATTATCTAAATATATATTATGCCCATGGCCATCATTTTCTTGTTAGCCCTTATTAATAACACTATTTTTATCTTCCAAATCCATATTCTGTGTTTTAGCGACTAACTTCTCAGGATTTTATTCACCGACTTCAAGACATAAATTTTCAAATTATTCTATAATTCTTAATGAAGCTTAATCATCGTCGTAAAGATCATCAATCTGCCTGAAACAAGAAGGAATTTAAAAATTGTTTTAAGAGTCTTAATCTTTATTGAGACTTTAATTTGATTGCTAAATAATTTAATTCTAATTATATTTTATAGAATCCATAGTATTATTTTAGTAAAATCTTAGTTGTAAAATTTTAATATGATTTTCTTTTTCTCTTCAGATACAAAAATTTAGTTTTTATAACTTGGAAATTAAAAAATTAATTATTTTTCCTTTTGGTTTAAAGAGAACATATTAGCATTAAAGAAATCTAATAAAAGCAGATAATTTTAATTTGACTCTGTATATTTCTAATTATTTTATTCTTTTTATAAATATTATCCATTTAAATTAGATAGATTTATTTGTTTGTATTTGTTTATTTACTCTCCATAAAAATTTTATTATCATTTTATATTAAGAAAATCTGATTAATTTTGATAGAGCAAATAAATTTATTTAAATCAGAAATCCCTCTAATTTTTTCTCTCCAATACGATCTATTAAAATACCTATTAATAATAATTAATTTTTATTTTCATTTTTTTTTTTTAAATTAATTTAATATTTTTAACTTTTATTATAATTTTATTAGATTTTGATGTTTATTATATGTTTTATGAAACTCTTTGTTTTTCATTTATTATTTAATAATTAATTTCAATAAATAGTTGGTAATAAATATATTTTATAAGAACAGTTTAATTTATCATTTAAGTATTTAAATACCGTAATACCTCAAGGTCATTCATCCTCCAAAGTTTTTTGGAAAAAAGGCCTTAATTTCCAAAAATTTTCTAAAATGGCCTTAATCAAAGGTTGCCTTAATTAAAGAGGAATTACGGTATATTTAATATTTTATAAATTTGGCTTGTTATTTTAAATTATTAATTTAAACATTTTCTCATTTAATTTAATTCAATAAAAAGATTTTGAATATTTTAAAAATAAAAATTTTTAATTAATTTTTTATATTTTAAAAGTAATCAAGCAACATATTTCTAATGAATACACCAATCGTCAATCTTTTTTCATAGATGATAAGTATTTATTAATAACTTACTATTAGCAAAGTATTTTTCTTTTTAAATAATTTTATTTTTTTATGTTATTATAAAATCTTTTTTACATTAAATAATTTGAGAATTATCAAATACATTAAAATTTAAATCTTAAAGATAAAGAGTGCTTTATTTTACAAATTTTTTAAATTTTGATAAAAATCACTTTGTTGAAAGTATATGATATCTTTACAATAAAATTTTTTTAATTCTTAGAATAAACTGTGTTTACTATAAGTATAATTAAATAAATTTAAATTTTTAAAATCATAATTTTATATTCATTAATTCTACTCTTATTTATTATACCAGACTTATTCATACATAATGTTAAGAAAAGGATTATTTTTTTTATTTTTTATCAGATTTAACATAATCACCAGTTTTATATATATAAAATATAAAAATATTTATAACAAATTTATACTAATTTGTGATAATTAGAAAATAAAATGAATTTAACATAATTATCAGTTTTAATATAAAAAAATTTATTACAGATTTATGTTAATTAGTAATGATTAGAAAATATTAAAATTTAAATTTTAAAAATAAAATATTAGGATTTTATCAGAAATTATTAATTTATCTTTTTTATAAATAAAAAATTAAAGTATTATTTTATTTTCTTCAAATAATTTATATTTTCTCAATTCAATTTTGGTATTTGCTCAGTTTTAAAGTTAAAAATTTATAACCATTTCGTTAAAAATATTTATTTAAAATGTTAAAAAGGTTATATGATAATTAAGTTTTTTTTAGCTTGAAACAAATTTAATTTTATTCTAATTAATTTGAGGTAAAAATTGTTTAATATTTTACCTGATTTATGAATAAAAAATAAAAAAAGCTTAAATCAGTTATAAGTCATTGTAAATTTTATTAATTTACAAATAATAATTCCGCTTTTACATAAAAAATAAAAAGTAATTATTAATTATAGTACCCTACTTAAAAAAAATAAAATGAAATAGATAACGAAACTACTAGCATTTAATATTTCTATTATATTTGTATTAGCTAGATAAATTTAAATTGAAACAGTAGAATATCTGTTGGAATTTAGCAAATGGAAGAGTGTGAATTAAAGAAAATATTTTAGTCAAGAAGAAGCTAATTTCAGGCTATAAATTTTTCTATTAAACATAAAGCAAATGAAGTAGCATAACCAAGAAAAAAATAATAGTTATTAGATAGGTATGAATTAATTTTCGGACCTTACAATAGAAGAATTTCAGTCTATTTCATTAAATCAATAACTATTTAATAGTGAATCAAGAAAATTAGAAAATATAAAAAATGAAAATTAATAAGCTGATTTTTACTTGCAACTTCTCAAAACTAATGCAAGTAGCTTACCATAATAATTTGATTGGAGAAATTTAGGAAAAGTTACTCAAGTTAAAAATTAAGGTAACTGTGGTTCTTGTTGGGCATTTACTATAACTGGTCTATTTGAAAGCATAAATTTAATTAGAAATAAAACAGTTGAACTATATTCTGAATAAGAACTATTAGACTGTTCTTCAAACGGCATTTATAGAAATTCAGGTTGTTAAGGAGGTTGGCCACATTTAGCATTTGAATACTCCAAAAAAAATGGAATATCTCTTTCTTCATAATATCCATACAAAGGTATATAAGAAAACTGCACAGTTAATTAGCAAACTAAAAAGGCTTTTTATCCTAGTTAGCCTATTTAAATTTAAGCTGATTAAGAAAGTAACAAAATACAAATTATCAAATAACTACTTTTAAATTCACCTCTAGCTGTTATAGTAGATGCCTCTAATTGGTCTAACTATAAATCAGGAGTCTTTTCAAATTGCACTACATAATAAAATCATGTAGCTTTGCTAGTCGGATACACTAACGAAGGAAATTGGATAATTAAAAACTCTTGGGGGTCTGCTTGGGGTGAATCTGGGTACATAACCTTAAGCGCAAATAATGCCTGTGGTTTAGAAAATAATATTCTTGGATCTACAATAATTTGAAATGTTTTATTAACAAACAAAAGTACGTATAGTAAGAAAGTATATTAATTGATTTTAAAGCTGAATATATTCCATGAATTTATTTTTTAATATGAGCTATAATTACATTCATTTATTCATAAATTAAATATAAAATTTGTTTTATTTTTTTAAAGTAGATTTTTTTAAAAAAAAAATTATTTGGAATAGAAAAAATTGTTTTAATTTATTTTTAATTATCATTTAGCATCTTTTGGCTTTTAGCATGTCTTACATGAAATATCACGTAAAAAAAATTGATAATTAAAGTAAAATAAACTTTTTAATTCAAAAATGATTGAAAATATTTATTAATTTGAATTATATTTAAGTGTTTTATTAAGATGTTGAGATTCACTTAGTTAGTTTTATTTGAAATAGAAAAACTTGTATTAAATAAACTGACCTTTTTAGATTTATCTATTATAACTTGAATGAATAATTTTTTATTTTTAAAGCGCTATTTTTATAATTAAAAATCTTTAAAATCCATCTTAAATAATTCTCCTTTATTATAATACTGTACATAAATTTATAATAGACTAGTTTCACTTACTATAATTAATTAATAAAATTTCTCATTTTTAATAATTGTTTTAACTTGTTTTAGATAATATTTAATAAAAGTTGAGATATATTTTTTAATATAAATAATACTCATAATTGTTTTCTTTTATTTTTAACAAAAAATATAATTTTAAATTTCTTCATAGATTAAATATAAAATTTGTATTAAATTATTCTTTTTTTAAACTAGATTTTATCATAAAAAATTATTTGGAAAAGAAAAAAATTGTTTCAATTCGTTTTTAGATTCAAACATATTGGAAATATTTTTTAATTTAAATTATAGTCAAGTGTTTTATTTATTAAGATATTGAGATAAAAAGGATTATCTCGAATCAATAATTTCCAATTTTTTAAGCGCTTTTTTTATAAATCTTGAAAATTCATAATAAAATATTACTATTTATTAAAAATTTAGAAATGTTTATTTAAAAATTGATGACATTTATAATAGAGCAACAATTTTCACTTACTAGTATTTGAAAAATTATTAGTCTTAAATAATTATAATAGTTTGCCTCAGATTAGATTTGGCATAACAATAGAATATATTTATTAATATAAAAGATATTCAGAATTTATTTTTTAATTTTGATATATTTCCAATCAATATTTCCTAATTATTAAGGGGAAAAAAACAGTTTTTAATAATTATATAAATTCCTTCAATTAAATAGTAAGTAAATTCATGTGTTGTTTGTTCTTCTCAAAGCATTAAAATAAGCAATTAAAAATGCTCAATTCTTCCTTACTTTTTATTATTATTTGTTAGTTTTTAAACTCCATTATAATTATTAATCAATATGATAGCTTTTTAAAACTTTAAAATATTTATTTGTAAATTAATGTAGCTTTTTCTATTTCATTTTTGTTAAAAAGGAATTTTTTTTCATTTAATTAAAATAAACAATCTTATTTTTTAATAGAGAAAGTATTTTATTTTCTATTTTACGCAAGTTTCAAAGCTTTTTTTTTAAAAAAATGGATGAAATTTATTTGCTAATATATTTTAGTTTTAGTTTTTCTTGGAAATAATTTTACACATTAAAATTATAATTTATTTTGGATTAAAATAAAAGTGATTATTGCCATTCATTATTCATAAATTTTCCGTACACAGTGACATATTTTTAATATATATAAATTAATTAAGAAAATATTATATTTTTATAATAATTATTAAGTAAACACCTCTAAAAATAGAAACCTTAGATTAAAAATGAACAAATAAAAGATATGGAAGCTAAACATGTAAGATATTAGCAATAAAACAACCATAGAGATAAGACGTAACATTTAGAGACTATACAAAGAAGTGAATTTATTTTTCACGATGGCCTAAAATTTTTATTTATTGTTTATCTTTTCCAGGGCGTTGATTATAAATATATAATGCAATAGTATGGAATCTCCAAAGCTCATTTTTATCGTATGATAAAAAATCCAGAACCAAAAAGTAGTTATTATGTTTTAAATAAACTCTTATGCATTACCTAATAACTGTTTAACATATAAAAGAATAGGGCAGGAGATAAAAATACGATGATGAGCACAGGAAAGCTATTTATGATGAATGTAAAAATATAAATGGGATTGATGTACCTGTCAAAAGGAATATTTTTATGTAAGTAATAAAGTAGATGGAGAATAAGAGACAAATACCAAAAGCAAGTAATCATGTAAAGTATCCTGAGTATAACAAATACTTGGAAAATTGTAAAAAAATATTTCTTTCAATAAAATATATTTTAAAAATTAAGTTATTGGCAAAGTTAAAAATGCCAACAAATCATAATATTAATCTAATAATATGCAATTATTTACTTTTAATAAAGAAAGGACTATAATACAAGAAGAATATAATTTAAATTACTAGTAATACAGCCATTAAAATTATTCTAATCACCCAACAAATTCATCAAAATCGATCGACTTCGAAATAAAGAGTTTTTCTTTTGAGTGTAGGTATACATTTTTTGATCTATATTAATAAGATGATCTCTCGAGTAATCAAAGTTTAAAAAAGTAAATTTTAACTATAAATTCTAAAACTTAAATTTATTTTATATATTTAAAAGGCTTTTAATTGAATGAAAATAAATAGAAAATTAATTATCTTGTTTAATCGATTCATTTTTTTATGTTTAGTTTCATTAAAATTTTGATAAAATTTGTTGAAAAAATATCTTTAATTTTGAGTAATCATTTTTTGTGATTAAATTTGTTATTTTCTTTCAAAAAAAAGGTTTATTCAAAAATCAGAATATAATTTTATTGTTAAAAATTATTAATCAAATTAAAATATTTTTTAGTTTAATTATTTTATTTGAAAAATTATTTACTTTTACATCTAACTAATTTCATAGTAAAAAATTAGTTTATTAAACCTTGCCGCAAAATTTGTATTAAAATATAGAGTTTTATTTGCTAAAATTGCATTCTAATTGTAAACAATTGTTATTATTAATGAAGCATAATCTTAACCAAACTTTCTTTTTATTCTTATTCTTATGACACTTTAACCAATAATTTTTTAGAAAAGCATATAGATTTAATTTATTTTTTATTTGAAACATTGAAAATTATTACATAAGATAAAAATTCTAACATAAAGAAAAATTAACTAATAAAATAAATAAATTCAATCATCAAATATTTTAAAATATTTTATTCATTCATACTCTTTTTAATATTTTAATGTAATTTATTTTTCTTATTTTTTTATTTAACATTTAATTTTTAGAATAATGATTTGCTAAAAACCTAATGTTTATCAATCTAATATAAAATATTTTTTACAAATAAATTTATTTATTAACCAAATTATAAAAAATATAAAAAAAAGAATATAGAGGTTTAAATTAATCTCTATATACACATGAAAAGATTCTAAACTTTTTAAATCAATTAAAAATTTATTAAACTTATTATTATTAATAAAATATAAATGAAATTTTATAGTTTTCAAAATATAGGGAAGTACGTATATTTATTAAAATTCGAGCTAGTATTAGGAAAAACTATAAAAATCCAAGAAATTAAAAATATTCATTATAAATAAACTTTATATATAACAGCTTAATTTAAATTGTTATTTAAATATAAATAGTTTTATTTTTTAATATATTTTCTCAATTATTTACTTAAAGTTTAATTAAAAATTAGAGGAATGACAAAACAATTATTTTAATCAAATCATTTTATAAGTCTTATTTATAAACAAATAAATATTTTTTTATTTTTTTGAATGGCATTTACATACTTGAAATAAAAAGAATCGTTTGATTGTTGTATTTAATTAATAAATAAATAAAGCAAAAGTATATTAACAATAAAAAATAACAAAAAAACAAAATAAAACTTTAGGCTAGCAAATAAATGAACGATAGAGATAACAACAATTTAAAGTACACAGATTGGAGAGCATCTATTAAAGGGTTGATTAACGAATAAAAAAACAGTGTTAGACTAGAAATAATTAGACTTAAATAATAAGTAACTTTTTATTTTTTAAAAGCAAGCTAATGCACAATATATTAAAACATTCTACAATATATTAAGGGAAACACAGTATCATAACTAGTAAAAAAGTTTAATATATCAAAACCATAATTGTATAGAATATTAGAAAACCCATGTTTAAAAAGTATGAAAAAGTTGAATTAATTTGTATCATTTATCTTGGTTTACTTTATAAAAAATAAAGAAAGAGGCAGGAAAACAATCATAAAAGAAGATAAGAGACGTGATCTGCTTCAGTAATTAATTACAGAAAATGGCAATTAATTTCCACAAAGAAAGAAAAATTTTGTGAAATTTCTAAAAGAGAAGCAACAAATATAGGAAATTCCACAAATAACAAACCATGTTAAATATCCTGAATATGATAGATTTAGAGCACTCTATGACTAAATAAAAGACCAGTATAAAAGTCGACAGGACATTCAGTATTATTTCTATTAAATTATATTTTTTACTTAAATACGAGACAATATTTTAAATAAAGTTCCCTTTAAATCCATGAAAATACACAAGAAGACTCAAATAAATAAAGCACTATTTATGATTGTGGTAATATGTTTTATCAATTTTTAACATTTTAATTTATAATTATTTCTTTAACTATTCACTTCACTTTACATTTAATTTCAGTTACTAAAAAATAATTAATTTTTTTATAAAATTTATAAATTAATCATGTTTTTTAGCTTAAAATAAAACTATTTTTAATTTTTTTAGTTGATCAGATAAAGAATAATTCATTTTTCATTTATTTTATTTTACTTATAAGATTCTGATTCTGTCCATTTTCACTTATTAAATTTGTTTTAGTTTTTTTATAAATTCAATTTTTAATTTAAAGATAAAAAATTAACAAATTTTGCAAATAAAACATAATAAAAACCAATTTTTGTAGAAAATTTTATTAAATTTAATATTTAAATTAATTGTTTGCTCTCTTTAAGAATTTTAAAACTTTATTTTAATTTGATGTATTAATTTACTTTGCAAAGATTTATTTTTTTAACTAATTTTAATTTCTAAAAAAAGACTCGATGTATTTGAATCTTTCGATTTGTGAATATTAAGAACAGTAAGATTAGTTTTTTAATGAATGAAAACATTTTTATTAGTTCTATTTTTAATTGTTAATTCTGAACTGTTACTACTTATAAAAAGAAAATTTAATCATTAATATATTAATTATCTTTATTTATCCTAGATAAGTCTTTGTTTATTGCTTTTAAATGTACTTGATATAATAACATTAAAATATTTAATTATTATAACCTATTATTTAAGATTTTTTTATTTTTTAAATTAGAATAATTCTAAATGTACATAAAAAGTTTTTATTAAATAAATATAAAATATCCAAAACTATTTTATATCTATCTATCTATCTATCTATCTATCTATCTATCTATCTATCTATCTATCTATCTGATATTATCTAAAAGTTTTCAAAATTTTAATAATACTATTTCATAGAATTTTAGTTATTATTATTATTTATAAAATCGAATTCAATAAATTAATTTCTTATTGTGTAAATAAAAATTAGGATTTTTCTTTATTCTAATATTTTAAATTATAGATTATAATATTTTTATCTTTGTTAAAAATTAAATACCACTTTTTTATAGTTGGTTATTTATTTATTTTAGTTCCCTTATTTTTAACTTTTAATTAGTAAATAAGGATCAGAAATTTTTTGATCTTTTCTGATTGTTTTTATAATCTAATTCAAATTATAATAGAAAATATATATATATAATTTTTAAAGTTATTTTAACCACTAAAATTGTTGTATAAAAACATTTTAAAACTATTTAAATTAATTTATTTCAGTTCCATCCAACAAGTTAAATTGTTTTTTTAATAGAAAGGAAAAAATAAATTAAAAAAAAATGTTAGAAACTCATAAAATTTGAATCCCTATCAAAAATATACAAATTTATTATTTATACAAAAATATTTAGTTATTAAAAAGAAGAAATTAATTAAGCCCTTTTTAATAATTTAAGATAAATAAATGTGTCTATACCAAAATGGTTTGAAAATTTATTATTATTTGTTAATATTATTAAATTAATTGATTATATATCAATATTTTTTTTAGTTGCTTCATTAGAGCTGTATTTTATAATTTTTCTAATTGATAAAATTCTTGATAAATATCTATAAATAATATATCAAATAAAAATATTATCTTTAATACGAATATAATAGAGATATAATAAAGACATTATTTTAAATATTTCTATTAGTATACTTTTGATTATACTTTTAAAAAAAATTATTGATTTAACTTTTTTAAAATTGAGAAAAACTATTTTTCATTTCATTTTTAAATTTTATTGAAATGTAAACTCAAAATTATTTCTGGAAATAAATGATAAAGTGCTAAAACTCATATTTTTTGTCAGATTATATTAATATTACATATTATCAAATTTAAGAGATGATTCCAATATAAAAGAAATTGGTATTTCAAATCAAAATATTTATTGTTTTAAAAAAGAAATTTTTTAAATTTTTCAGCTTTTGCTTATTCTATTTTAAAAATATGTTGATTTTTACTTAGATAAGATTTACAAAATACATTTATCCATTTCGTTTTTGGTTTTTATTGAAAGTTAATAATTAATCCTTAAATCTATCTTTACTATAAAATCTTTTTTTAAATCTAGAGTTGATAGATTGATATTATAAATTATAAAAAACTCAAAAATAATTTCTGGAAAGAAAAAATAAAGTGCTGAAAACTCATATTTTTGTCAGATTTTATTAATATTACATATTATCAAATTTAAATGATCATACTAATATAAAAGAAATTGGTATTTCTAATCAAAAATTTACAAGTTTTTTTGACAGGATTTTTTAGTTATTTCAGTAAATAATTAACTTTTGCCTATTCTATTTTAAGAATGTATTGATTGATTTGCCGAGATAAAATTTACAAATAATATTTATCCATTTTATATCTTACATTTTTATTGAAAATTTATTTTTTAATCTATACTAAAAAATAATTTCAAAAATCTAAAATTAATAGTTAGATTTAGTTTGTAAAAAACTCAAAAATAACTTCTAGAAACAAAAAAGAAAGTGCTGAAACTCATTTATTTATCAGATTTATCTTAATATTGCATATTATCAAATTTAAATGATAGCTCAAATATAAAAGAAAAATAATAATAAGGTTAATAAATAATTGTTTAAAATCAAGCAAGGATGGGAAGCTTTAATTAGTTATATAATTAATAAGATTTATATTTAAATAAAAAATTTTTATCCAAATGAATAAGATATATATTCTCACTCTTATTGCTGTGCTTATGGTTGCAATTACTTCTGCAACTCCTTTACCACCTCATTGGCCAAATGTTTTTGCTAAAGATTTTGTTGAAATCTCAACTAAAGGAAATTAGACATTAGCTGATGTTGGTACATATTACTATAACTTTGCCGAAAATACATAGCTTTTAACAAGATCAAATGGTCAATTTGACTTTTTCTGTGGATTTAACGATGAACCTTTAGCTTGTGATCAAATAATTGTTGAAAACAATAGATATGTTTATTTCCCTGAATAAGATAGCTGCTGCTATTGCTGTGGATAGGATCAAGGATGTTCAGTTCTCAAGCCTGATTGGTTTATAGACCCTGAATATCATGGACAATAAGAATACTCTGGAGTCTAAGCTTATTGGTGGGTAATTTATGAATAACCTGACTAAAAAGGACCTAATTATTACATTGAAACCACTGAAGAAAATCCTATTGACAGAAAACCTTTACATCTAGCTAGAAATAACTATGAGTTAAATTTCGTATCTGACAGCTACAGAACTTAATTCCCTCAAATAACTCTTCCCACTGCTTGTAAAGCAACTAATTTGGGTAAATGCCCTGGTGTATGTGCTAAAATAAGAGGTGATAGTGTAACAGAATTTTGAAACTAAAAATTCAATAAAATTAGTAAAATAAATAAATATGTAATATATATAAATTTATAATAAAATATATTTAATAAATAAAAAATCAAATCAGAAAAATAAATGTTTATATTTAAAGTTAACTTTGATTTTAAAATTTATTTATTTGTTTAAGAACTTAGCAATTTTAAGAATTAATATTTTACTAAAAATAAATTTATTTATTTAAACCTATTTTTTAAATTAAGACTAAAATTAATTTTTCTATATATAATAAATATATAAAAGCCAAATTATATTAAAGGCCTGCTTTTAGAAAATTTTAAATTTTCAAAATTTCATAATTTTTTTAAATCTTCACAAAAATCAATAATCAAATTTACTTAATATTTATCTATAAATATTTAGGTATTTAAAAATAAAAATTAGGTTCTTTCTAACAAATTAAATAAATAAAAATAATAAATTATATTTTTATAGGTATTTTTAACTGATTTATAAAGTAGTTCATCATTTTTACAAATAAAGCTTATTACTTAAAAAGTAAGTTTTAATAAATTTATAGCTGATATATTTATAGTAATGCATTAAATATTAATATTAATTTGTTTCTATAATTAACCCATCAATAATAAAAAAACTTTACCATTAAGTTTTAAATTATCCACAAATTTATACTTTAAGTACATAATAGATTACTTTTAAAGATATAAATCATTTAATATTTTTAGAGACTATATATGATGAAAAATAATGTTTCTATTATTGGCTACAAATATTAATATACAATAATTTAAAACATAAATTATGAACTTTATATTTATTTCTTTAAAGTTTATTACCAATATGTAAGTTTATTAATTTACATATTCTTAACAAACATAATTATATAAAATTGGCTCTAGTAAAATAAAAAATCTTCCAAAAAATATCATAATTTACTATTCAATTATTTTCTAATAATTTATTAATTGTTTGTTTAAAAGATTTCTGATAAAAATTTCTTGCAAATAAAAAGAATAGATAGATAAGAGATGAAATTAATTAAAATTCGTATTTTCCAAATATTTAAGTAAACTAATAGTTATATATTAAATTCTGGTTCTTCATTCAATAAAAGAATATAAAATTGAACTAATACTTTGTTTAAGTGTAGACATAAATGATTGTTATCTTTATAATAATTAAAAAAAATAGTAAATATTATTAAATCAAAAATTAAAAAAAAACCATGAATAAAATATATATTCTATCTATAATTCTTGCCATTTAAGTTGCTTCAACTTCTGCTTAAATTCCTTAACCACCTGTTTGGCCTGACGTTTTCGCTTAAGACTTTGTTGAGACAGCTACTTCAGATTAGAATTAGACAGCTAGAGATGTTGGTACATATTACTATGACTATGCTAACAACAAATAACGTTTAACAAGATCAAATGGTCAATTTGATTTGTTCTGTGGATTTAATAGTACTGAATAATTAGCTTGTGACCAAGTAGTAGTTGACGATAAAAGATATATTTACTTCCCTGAATTGAATGACTGTTGCTACTGCTGTGGGTTGGATGATGGATGTGCAGTCCTCAAACCTAAATGGTTTATAGATCCTTAATTCTTAGGAACCACCGATTACTATGGAACTCCTGCTTATAAATGGGTAATTTATGAACAACCTAACGAATAAGGACCTAATTATTACTATGAAACTACTGAAGAAAATCCAATTGATAGAAAAACTTTATATTTGGCCAGAAATAATTACTAATAACATTTCTTCCTAGATAGTTTCAGAAAAGAATTCCCTTAAATCACTTTACCAGAAGCTTGCTAAGTATAAAGTTTAGGCAATTGTCCTGGTGTTTGTGCAGAAGTAAGAGGAGATAGCTTATCAGCTTTCTGATATAAATATATAATAATAGGATTACTAAGCTTTAAAAATTCTAAATATAAAAAAAATGAGATTATTTGTATTTTTTATTTATTTACGTAAATAGGTATAAACAAACAATAATTTTTAAAAAACAAACAAAATAATTAAAAAATTGAATTTTCATAAAATAAATTTGTAATTTATTTGTATTTATTTTATATAAATAAATGTATTTCTTCATTCAGAAATTTGATCTGAATTTCATATTCAGATTTTTGTTTAAATTCTATTAGTAAGTTATGAGTTAATATGCATAAAATCCACATTAAAAAATGGGATTTTTTAAAGAGCAAAAGATTAAAAACCATTTCACTAACTAATGATATAATGAACTTAAATACATTTTTTTATAAAAAATTGTTATAATATTTATTTTGTTGTGAAAATCTTTAAAATAAATGAAGGATTTCATAATTATACTTCTCATTTTTATGATGTTAAAATAAATAACAATTTAGATTAGCTAAAAAATTCCAACAAATCAAATTAGAAATCATCAAATTAAAAAGAAATAGAGTATTCTTTTGAGTGTTTCAGATTATGTAAGAATTTTTTTACATATGAAATTCTTTTACAAACCTTTATGACATCCATACAATTAAAAAATAACATTCATGCATAAATTAAAAAATTTATTTGTGTATTTTTCTATTTTTATTTTTCTCTTTAAACTGATAAAAATAAATAAAACATTTGTTTAAATTACTTTAAAATATATTTTACTGATTTTTCTTTTGATAAAAGTAATGAAAATAATTTTTGAAACAAAATGTTTTTATATTTTATAAAAACTTAAGATTTATTTATCAAATTTGCTTTTAAGCATTTTTACTTTATTTTTTAACGTTTTCTTCTTCTTCTTCATAAATATATATTTTATTTTTTTTATTATTTAAATTTTATTTATATTTCATAATATCTTGATCTATCTATTAAATACTAGCCAAATTTCTATTCTTTTGCATTTTTAAAGTTTAAAATGAAAAATTAACATACTTTTTAATAAATAAAATGAATAAATTTTATATATCCATAATAATATTTTTAAAGAGTTTTTTTCTATAATTTTCAAACTTTTATGTGTTGCCCGCCTAGCTCAGTCGGTAGAGCGCAAGACTCTTAATCTTGTGGTCGTGGGTTCGAGCCCCACGGCGGGCTAATTTTTTTGGAAATTTAATGATGATTTTTATTAAAATTTTAATTATTTTTAATACAAAAAATAAATTTTTTCAAGAATGAGTACTAAAAGCCTTTCCTGTAGAACCAGCTTTAGGTGAAGGCTTACTAAATTTCTATGCTTAACTTTATGTATTTCCACTACTTTTATTGCTTTATTATGAACTAGAACCTCCTCCATAGTAACCGGTTCCACTTCCTGTAGTTGATGAGGTGTTATTTTATTGATCATTGATTGAATTATTTGTAGAACCGGGTTGGAATGATTAAAATTATTAAGAAAAACCTATTAATAAAGGATTGTCTTTTACCTCTATTTATTCCTCAGTTAGCTCTAATTCACTGTAATTCATAATTTTTTATTTCTGCCCTTCGGACCAGTTATTTTGTTAAATGATTTATTGTTTAAAATTGCCAAATTAATTATTTTCAAAAGTAACCTTCTCAATTAATTTTATATTTTCATTATTAGAATCAAATCTTTCTAATCCATAAAGAGATTTTCTAATTTCAGATTATTATTTATTTGTTTTTAACTCGACCTCAATAGGCTCCTCTTCAGTATTTTTTCTTTGAATAAAGTATGGTACTACTGAGCTACCTGTTCCTATGATAGGATTAAGATCTTCTCTTAGCATGACGCTACAAGGTTTTCCTTAAACTACCCAGCAACTTATTGTAATATATCTGTTTTTATGCAGATCGCTTTAAATAAACTTTTAAAATATTGGCTTATGCACATACTTGATATATGAATCAATTAAAAAATATTTGAAATATTCATAATTATCAGAGTAATTGATATATTCTCCTTCTCTTGCATATTTCTATTTAGATAGCTAAAGTTCATTCTCACCCAAAGGCTCTAGGCTAGACTTAATTAAGTGAGGATTGGAGGGAAACATTTAATACAGTAAAGCACTTATAGCTTTATTGGACATAACTATTTTCCAAGGAGGTTCAATCATAGTCTGAGAATTAATATTGTAAAACTTAGGATCAGTAAAGTAACTTCTGGTTGTTTCAGATGCAAGCCACTCAAAAGGATATTATCTCCAGATAATACTTTTTTTAAAGCTATCTTATTTTAATTCATTTTCTAAGCATTCATCTATTGATTCGATATTTTGACACTCAATTTTAGCCTGTAAGAATGGCTCCAATATTGAATTCAAATAACTAAATGTACATTTATCCTCAAGATCTTAATTTTAGAACATTAAAAGCTTTGTTTTCTTGTTTTATTATAAAATATTTTGAAAACCTAATTTTATTTAATTTTCTATATTATTAAATTAGAGTAGCTTAAACTCTTCTGCCCATATTTTTTATGCAGGACCTGCTTCAATAATACTGGATGGAGTATCTCCATTAACTTCTAAAAAGTATAATTCTCCTTCTTTGCCTAAAAGAAAATCGTAGCGAGCTAATAGATCTAGTTATCTATCTTACCATGACTTTCTTATAATTGGAATCATATCTTGAGGAATATCGAATACGTTTTGTAAAATCTCATCATCTTTAATAGCTTCATCAGTTGCTTATAGGCACATATTGTGGAGTTCATGGGTAGTTTAAATTATTTATTTGAATTTATTTTCTGATATTCTATATCCAGCTCCATCAATCCAATAGTTATCATAGCAAAATCCGAGCAAATATCCACACCATTTAACACCATCAATATTATAGAAATCAAATTTTATTTTTTCAAACTTTTCTTATAAATTGCTCAAAGGTTCAAATTCTACCCTCTATAAATCTTCATTTCTATCTTAGTATTTGTTTACAATTTTTCTTCTAATATGAGAAGTTATAAAATCAGCTGCTAGTAATCCTACACCAGCTAAAATTGCTTTATTCATATTTTCTATAACCTATTTTATGTTATTGATACTAACTAATTAATTAGTTGAGAGTTATTTTTTGGTTGAAAGTCTAAAAGATATTATTTAATTTTTGCAAATCTATTGAATTAATAGTTAAATAAAACGAATAAATAAAAAGAGGAAAGTTGATTTACTCAAATACTACAAAGATATTTATTTATTTATTAAAATTCAAAAATATAATTTAATTTGAATTAGGCTTTAAAATAAATATACCTTCCATTCTCAAACAAAATTTGATGAAGCTTTTTCAATATTTTTAATACCACAATTTGAGTTATTAATTTATTAGAATATCTTTAGAAATATTAAATTTCTTTATACATATTAAATTTCAATATTTTATTAGTAAGTAAACTAACTAAAATATAAAACAATTTTTCTATTTATGCATTTTAATTATAATCTATTTTCTAATGTAAGGTAATTTTCATAACTAAAACATTATTAATTAAATTATTTTCAATGATTTTAATTAAAAATTAATTAAAAAGGTAAGCATGTTTAATAATTGGGTATTTAATTTTGAATTTATTTTATTGAAGTTTAAATAAATAATTTAATATAAAATTATGATATTAATGAAATTAAAAGTTTAAAATAAAAAAATAATTTTTAAAATATTGAATATTGATGAAATGTAAAGAAATATTTAACAAAATTATAGAATATCCAAAATATACATAACTATATGATTATTATTTTATTTATATTCTATATAATGCATTTGATTAGATTCTTCTTTTCTTTATAACATTTTAATTAATTTTTAATAAAGTTGATAAATTTAATCAAAATATACTTTTCTAAGCAATTTGGCTCTGCATCAATTCTGAGAAATTAAGGTATTATTTATGTTTTTTGTATTCAAAGCATAAAATTAAGTGAAAGAAAACAAAGTAAAAAGTAGATTTTAAATATAATCTTGCTAAAACTAAAATAATAGTTTAATATTATTAATTTTTAGATAGAAGGTATTAAATTAAAAAATATATGATAATAAATATCTATTTTAAGTTTTTTAATTGTAAATAAACTCTTTAGTATTTGTTCCTATTTAATTAAATATAATTTTGAGTTAAAATTTCTTAGTTAAAATTACATATTATTTAAATAGGATATTAAATAATTAAAATTTGTAATCAAAAGTGGGTTAGTAAATTATAATGATATGAAATAGACAATATTTAAGATTAAAGTTTTTGCAAATAAACAAATTTATTAATTCCACCATTACAACTCAATACAAATGAAAATGTTATACTTTTGAATAATAATCATGAGATACTTGTTTTAAATTATTGAATTAAAAATATCTTTTTTGATGATTTTTATAATTTTATTTATTTTTCAATAAATTATTTGCTTTGTAAAAATTATTTTTCTTTTTTTTGTTGATAAATTCATTTTTTTTATACAACTTCAATCCATAAAAAATTATTTTTTTCAAGAAAAGGCTTTTAAAGATTTGAACATTAAAAATATTGAATTTTAACACTTTAAAATTGAAAACAAAAACCAAGAATTGTTTTTTTATCCATAAATCTAAAATTTCTTTTAAAATGAATAAGAAATATAAACTATTTTAGAAAATATTTATAAATTTAATAATAAGATTTTATCAATTTTTCAATTAGATTAGGCAGGTCTAACTTTGGCACATGTTCCAGGACATAAACTTTTACGGTTACAAGTTTAAGGAAGATCAATAGATCCGAAGTCAGTTCTTAAGGAATCTAAAAAGTAGTTTTATTCATAGTTTGATCTAGCAAGATAAAGCAATTATCTTTAAGTAGGTTCTTCTTCAGTTGTTTCAATGTAATAATTAGGGTTAGCTTCATTAGGGCCTTCATAAATTACCCATTTATAAGCAGGAACTCCATAGTAAGAAACATTTCCTAAGAAAGTAGGTTCGATAAACCATTAAGGGGATAATACACCACAACCATCATTTTAACCGCAACAGTAGCAGCACTCTTAGGTATCAGGGTAATAAATGTATCTCTCTCCATTAACAATAATTTAATCGCATTATTAAGCATCAGTATGAAGACTTTTGCATAAAGGATCATATTAGCCATTTGATCTAGCTAAACGGGTGGTTCCTTGAGTGTAATCATAAAAATAGGTACCTACACTTCTATGAATAGTGTTAGTAATATTCCAGGTTTCTACAAAATCTTAACTAAATCTGTTAGGCCAAACAGGAGGTAAGGGTTGCTAGGCTTATTAGCATTAGCAAACAACAACAATAAGAGCAAGTAAAAGATATTTTTACATTGTATATTTTTTTATTAGTCAATTTTGGTTTTAATATTTGATTATCAATTGTTTATTAGGTTTTTGGTTGCATATAAATTATTTTTTATGTGAAAAAGAATTAAATATTGTAGTTATTCCTGTAATTCTTTTATTAAGCAAACTCGTCATTCAATAGAAAAGCCAAATATAATTAAAATAATAATAAATTCTGAAATTAATTAGTCTTTATTTATAGATTTCTTTTTTTCTTTTGGAAAGGATTTACACTTTTACTAAATTATCAATTCCTATTTTTAAATAAATCATTTTTAATCAAAACTTATTTTATTTATTTTTACTGAATAAACAAACCAAATATTTAAAAAGGACTCTATAATCTAGAAAAAAAATATTAAAACATTAACTCAATAAAACTAAAAGCCTTTTATCTCAAAATTAACGCGCACGATAAAAATATTTTTAAGTATATTTTTTTTAATAGATACATAAAGTTCATTAATGATAAGAATTGTTTCAGAATAATTGCTTAAAAAATTAGCAGAAAAGCATACTTTTGAGCATTTATCTATGATGGATTTAAATTTAGAAGCAAAAAAGCCATATTTATTTATTTTTTTTTGTCTATCATTTATATGAATAAATGAAAAAATGTGGAATAATTAGAATTTTATACAAACTGTTATAATAGAATTTATATATTCAAATAAATAAGCTCTTTATTGATCATTATTTTTTTATTTTTAGTACTTAATTCGACTTTTAGTTTTGATTTTTTGACATTTAAATGTTTCATTGATTTACAATAAGTAGAATCTATTTTTGATAATTAATCTTTAAGTTATTGAGAAGCAAAGTTAAATAAATTATACTGTTGAAAATTTAATTATCTTTCAAATATTTATTTATTATAAAAAATTTACCTAAATATGATCACATTAGGTAAATTATAAAATAATCTTTCTATTTATTGAGATAAATGTACTTTATCTCAATTTTATTAAATAAAACAATTAATATTTAATTATTTTTTTTCAAATTTACTTAAATATGAACAATGAAGTTTATATATATGTTTTGACTCTATCCAATTAAAAAATATAATAAATTTAATAACTAATGAAAATTAATTAATGAGGAAGCATAAAAAACAAAACTTAGAGACTATTAAACGTCTAAGGGATTTATCAAAAAATATGAGTTCTGATGAATTAAGATAATTCATTCACAACGAAACAAATAATGTATAATAATTAATAATATTTCAATAATGATTTACTTGATATAATTTTAGAAAACAAGAGTCCAAGACGTAGTTGATGCTTTTAACACACCAAGGGCAACTGTTTACAGAATTAAAAAAGATCCAACTTTGAAAGGTAATAAATTAATTCATTTTAATTTAACTGCTAATATATTTTTCAAAATAGAAAAAGGAAGAAAATAACTAAACAGCAATTAAAATAGATTGTTTATACTTTATAAGTTCTTGAAGCTATATGATTTTTCAGAACGCAAGATAAAATTTGTGGTACTTTTAAATGAGCTTATTGAAAGAAAAAAGGTTTAAAATACTACAAAATAATATGATGAGTATCACAAAACCTTTATATTATATATAAAATTAAAAGAGTATTTATAAAACGAAATAAAATAATAATCAATTGATTTCTAACTTAATAAAAACTTTTTCAGACAATTTTTAAAAATACTGATTGAATAAGAAATTGATTTTATTATTGATAACAAAACATCTAAAATAATATTTAAAAATCAAGAATATGTATAGGAAATCTCTCAAAAATTTATTCTAAATTTTTATTCGTTGTCTGAAAACTAAGACTCAAGTCATTAAATGGATAAAGGTATAAATTGTTTTATTATATAATGAAAAATATTTCAATTTTTAATTTTATTATTAATAAATTAGATAAATGTACTGAATAGATAAAAATATACAGAGAGTAGTAGCACTTGTTGATGAATTCATCAAATTAATTATCAAATAATTTTTCACCTTATTAATGCTAATTTTAGTGGATTAATCAAAATGAAAGTGTAGACAATATGTAACAAAACTAGCAATAGTAATATGGGCATGAATCTAATTTATATTTTGAAAATAGCCTATAAGATAACTATTATAATGAAATTGAGTAAAATCACGAAAATTAAATCATAGATTTTGAGTAGTCTAAGACAAATATCTATGAATTAAGCTAATAATATTTAAATGGTGAATCAAATTTTAATTTTCATGATATTAATCTATATTCTTACTATAATTGAAAGAATCTATATTTAGTTTATTATTAAATATTTTTAATTTTTGAAGTCAAAATATACTTTGTTTTTAAACTTCTTTCTTTTTATGAATACCTTAATTAATTTTTATTAATTTAAAGTAAAAAAAATTTTGTAGAAAAAAATAAAATATTTTGGAATTAAATAAAAGAAATTTATAAAAAATTATCAAATTTCTAAATTTTTAAATGATTTCTGCATTCATTTAAAAAAAATTAAAAACAAAAACAATTTTAAAAATAAACTTAAATAAAATGTTAACTTAATTTAAAAAAAATAAAATAATGAATGAATAATAATTTATTAAATTTTTTTATTTATAGGTTATTCGCAAATTAAATTTTTACATCTCAACATCCACAAAAGTTAGTTAGATTAAAGGAAAATTGTTATTAAATTTAATACAATAGCATAAAATAATACAAGTAACTATTAAAATTGATTATATTTTTAATAGCCATATTTATATAAAGATATTGTATTCTTTTTTTGTTAATTATCATATTTTAAACAATTATTTTAAAATATATATTGTGGCTTCATCTTAAAATTTATAATAAGGAATTAGAGTTAGTGAGAATTTCAGAGCTTATACATCTCTTTTAGTGTATTTATACAGTTTTAGAAGTATAAAATAGAATATTATTACCAAGCAGGTACCTCCAATAAGAAAATACAAGAGACAACTTTATTATACTTAGCTAGTTTCTGAAATTAAAAATGAGCCAAAAAGATTTTTTAACTCATTGAAAGCTATTAAAGGCATAATAAACCCGTTTAAATAAAGTACTTCAAATGATTATTAGTCATAAAAGCTTTGCAATAAGTCTTTATATTTATTTGTAGAAGTGGGTTAATTTTGTAAAAATTAATCATAAGTTTATAAGTAAACAAAATATTATGTAAATATTCCTTACAGCCCTTAATAATAAAAAGCGCTAACATTTGAAGAGATGTCTGAACAGTTTTAGTAAACAGGAGAATTTTCGTTACATAGATTAGATTTCATTATGTACTAAATCTATTATTACTAGCTACTCCCTTGTATATCGTCACTAAATTATTATTAGCTTATCCAGTTATTAAAATCTCTTAAATTGTTTAAATTTTAATTGTATTAAGTGTAAATATAATTAATATCTAAATCTGGATAATAAATTTAATGTTGACTAAAATATTATTATGAATATAAAATACTTGATTATGTTAGTATTTGGGTAAAAGTGTTTAGAGCTTGATCTGTTGATTTAATACAGAAAAACAATCTTTGCATTCGCGTAATTTCAAAATAATTCTTTAGAATGAATCCACAATAGAAAGCAATGCTTGTAAATGCTATGAGAATATAGGTAATAACATAGATTTTTCTACTTATTTTTTAATCAAAAATGAGTGAGGAAGCTTGAATTTCTTTTCTTTTGACACCTTTTTAGTTATAAAATTTTGAGTGCTAATATTTCAATTCGCTTGATTTTTTAGTATTTGTTATTAGTTTAACGAAATCGAAAGAAATCCATGAATCCATTTAATCCATCAGTTATTTCATAGAGTTTTCTATTTTTATTATTTCAACATCAAGCTCATCAAGTGATATCCTTGAGATGAGCAACAAAATTCTTCTTTTAAATTAAATGAAATCATTTAATTTCTTTAAAGAAACTAAATTCAACAAAGTAAAAATAGATGAAGCTACTATAGACATTATTATAAAAAAATTTATGAGAGAAGCTATATGATCACTGAGGTATGTTGTTATGTTTGAATATAATTTTTAACTTAAATTGATTGTTTAATTATAATTTTTTAACAAAAAATAATATCCATCTGAAAATGATTATCCATTTTAATACACATCTGCTTGTAATTTACACTCATTTAAGATATAATAAGAAACCATCAATATTAAGTCTGCATTTGTTTGTTGGCTTAGATTTTATTAACTAAAAAAATTATTAAAATAAATGAAAATTTATTTCAAAATAATAATATTTGTATTATCAAAATAATTTGTTTGCTTTCTTTTAAAATTTAAAATTACCCTTTAGAAAATGTAGGAATTATTATAGTCTAAGAGAGAGTTGAACCTTCTAGTTGAGAAAAATAATTTATCAATTAAGAGTATTGTTTTCTGTAATCCTCAGTATTTTGTTGGCACCTTTTAGTAAACTAAGGTAAATAGCTTGAATAAGTTGTATACTTATCATAAATTTGAATATCTTCTATGAAATACTATAATAACGACTCAGTTAATTATTTAGAATAAATTGTATTTGTATCTAAGACAACATCTTTTTGATCTACAATAGATTTTACACTAGATGTAAAATTTAAAACTTGTAACAAGTAACCAGTGCATAGACCAATAAACACAAAAATTTTTAGATCTAATTGAATAAGAAAGATAGCGAAATTAATTATAATTTCAAATAAAATATTTACGTAAAACTAAAGTGGATGAATTATAAATGCTACTGGATGAGTAATTTATGTATTTTTGTACTAGCTCGTAATCTTGTTTAATAATATTTTAATCATTGCTTCGTTCATCTTCTTCATCTTTTTAATTTTAGCCAATGTTAGCATTGGTTTTACCCTTTTGTATATTTCGATTTTTTTCTGAACTTTGAGAGTGGTTTTATTCATGTTCTTCATTTAATTTAACTTCATCTATAAACAGAGAATCTTACTTTTATTTTTGATATTCATCCTCATCTATTTACTACTACTATTATTCTTCTTCTTATTATTTGTTTAAATCAAAAAAATCAAATCCTTTGTTTTAGTTTTTTTGTTTATTTGCTAAAATTGCTCTTCTAAAAGAGGATCTAATTTTTGCCTTTACCTTTTTCTTCTTTTAAGACGCTGTTTCTGAATCATCTTGCTTATTTTTGTCATATACATCTAAAAATTACCCTTTACTCTATTAGCCATGCCCTTGCATAGTAGTTAATATGCTTGAAAACAACATGTTACTACTTGAATTTTAAATATTTATACTATTTCTTTCTGCTGTTAACAAATTATTTTTTGAGCTACTTAGAGGTGTTATTTGATTGAAATTATATAAATCTTTTTCTAAATCTTAGTTTATGTTTGAAAGAGAATGGTTATACTTCTAAAAAGCATCTACAGACTTAAAGTAAGCTGCCTCACCAAATTTACTCAATCTTCTACCATTAGTTCCTATTGAAGATAGAGTTTTAGAAGGATTTCTTGGTTCTTCCTAAAATGAAACTGTAGTTATAGCAATTTTATCTTAATTTGTTGTCTATGCTCTGTTTAATGCTTACTCTTTATCATTTGAATTATAGCCAATAATAGCATTAGTAAAATTTTAACAAGCTGAATTCAATTAGCTTATTTCTTAGTTAAGAGTAAATTTATTTTTTACTGTTAAAGGACTATTATCTGTTTGAATTTCATTTGCATATTTGCTAGTTTTTAATTAACTAGGAGATGCTTATGAAAACTAAGAAGAAGAAGATGAAGATGATGATGATGAAGATGTACGTGACATTTAAGTATTTGATTATTGCGTAGTTTAAATTTAGGAACTATCATAATTTTAAGTTTCTTTTGAAGTAAGTTATTTGAATTTGGGGGAATACAATTAAGAAGATAAGACCTCAAATGAACTTAATTAAGCCGCCTAAAGTGAATTAATTATTTGTAGCTAGCTCTGAAAGCTAGAATTAATATTATATGAAACTAAATTGGAATCAATATCCTTTTTTTCTGATTATTTCTTCTAAATTCTATATTCATGAACTTACATAATAAAATATGATTTTTCTATTAATTAAGAATTTTAATAATAGCAAATCTTATTGCTAACAACACTTGCTACTGCTTCAAAGTTTTATAGTGATCTTTTCTCTTCAAAGCTCTAAAATTAATTATTAAGATTTAATGAATTTTAATAAAATATTTAAATGCTACTTACAATTGAATTCTCTTTCAGAAATTAAATTGAATTTCTGTAAAATTGTTTTTAATCAAAATTAATGCTGTTTCCCTTTTGGCTCACTTAGCTTGTAAATTTTTTACTAAGTTCCTATAGCTATGATGGTAAGCGTATGCTAAAAAATTTATTTTAACATATATATTTTTGTATTTTGTAAGCTTCTTTTAGACTATTTGCATTATTTAAATTACTATTGAGTTAGTCTTCTTAAAGTAAATTATTATCTGTTTTTTATTCGCTTTATTTATCTATTTTAGATTATATTAACTCCAATAGATTTTAAAATATCAGATATATATTGAAACCGTTGTAAACTTTAAAGACGTCAAAGTCCTATTGATTCCCATCCTAATGTAAAATATAAAAGATAATTAATTTAATTTCTCTAAAATAAAACTTTTTAACTAAATTAAAATATATTTTTTATTTTATTTTCTGTAAATTTTTAAAAATTCTTTGTTTATTTATTAACAAATTAATTAATTGTGTGTGAAATTTCAAAATCTTTCTATATAGTTTTATTTGTAATTAAAATCATTTTAAAGAGAATTTGTTAAATTTTAAAAAAATAGGTAAAAATAATAAATAAATAAAAACTTATTTTTACTGCTTCTAACAACTTTTATCTTATTTTCTCGTTTGATTCAGTTTTATTTGTTATAGAAGCCTTTTTAGCTTGTTTCTAAATAGGATTTTTAAATAAGTTTCTAAATAACTTTTCAGTAATTCCTAGAATTTAACCAGTTTCATTAAAAGTTAAAAATTAATGCTAGGATTGCAACTTTAGGACAGAAACTATCATTTCAAAGCTGTTTATTATGCTTGGACAGCTTTATAGCTTTATTTTAATTGGGAATAAATATTGTTCTTTTGTCCTTGCAAAGACATTTTTAGCACTAAAGAGATTTCCTATGCTACCTTACTCAATAACTTATTCAACAATTTTTGAATGATATTCTTATATATATGAAGGAATCAAATCTGTGATATATTCAACTTTCCTAAACTCTTAAACGCTATAACCAAAAAATAGTGACAATCTGAAAATTTAACTTGAATTTAAGTTCTTTTTGTTAATTTTTCCTATGTTACCAGACAAGCTAACTTGGAAAATTTAACTTTTACCTTTAACACAATTCAGGTTAGAAAGTTTATCTTATTTTTAGCTAAGTTCTTTTTTTAGATTTTACTTAATTTCATATTCTAAATCTGTTGCCTTTCTTAGATTATTTTGAATGAATGTGTAAAATATACTGCAGACCTACATATTTACAAAAAGAATTAATATGTTAATTGAATAAAATTTATTACTTTCATGGGGATTGAAAGGTTGGATTTATCAAAAGAGAATTCTAGCATTTTCTTTTGAAATTATTCAACAGCACTCATTCCATTAATAGAAAGCTCTTTTGTATCTCTTGACAAAGATTGAAAATTTTCATAACCAGCTTACAATTTAACAAAAAGCTCTCTTTTCTTCACCAAATAATTTGTAATTAGAGGAATTATATGCTATTTAAATTCTTCAGAATTTTTTAAATCTAAAACTGATAATTCTTATTATAAATATTGCTTTTTTTAATTAAATTTTAGGATCTCTATTTCATTTAAATACTACATATTTTTAGAAAGTACAATAAAGATTTTTTAGTTGTAGTAATTAATATTTTTAAGCTAATAAAAATATTACTGTAAATAAAAAAATGCCTTTATGAAATTATTTCTTGATTTAGAAATAAAGGAGATATATTTTATACTAATATTCATAAAAACTTAGCTATCTTGAATTACTTAAGGCTGCTTTAGACTCCATATAAATAAATCTTCAATTAAGTCCAAAGTGTAATTTAAGTGATTTTTAAAGTAATTTTAATCAAATTAGTATGAGTGACATCTACATCTCAAATTAGAGCAATTATTTTTATGATATTCTATCAATTAGCAAAATTACATCTTCGACTCTTCATTCTTTGTGTAATTTAGTGCACTTGAATACAGTTCATCTAGGTAAAAATCAAAGTTTTTGTAATACCTTATTTAGTATATAAATGTATTAACATAGTTAAATTATAAAGAAATTAATTAAGTAACAAAAAGGAATTTAAATAAATTTACCTTTAAAAATTTAAAGAAGAAATTTTTGTGAGAGTTTCATATTTCTTATTTTAAATTGACCTCACGAAGTAAAATACTAAGGAATTTAATGGAAGCCAGCAATAAAATATATCAATTTATTCAATCAAGTTGGTATTTAACCATACTTAGAGTAGTAATGAAGTAGTTAAGCAGTATGAGAATTATAAATTATACAAGGCAGAAAGAATTTTATTACGAAAGGGGTAATTAATTAAAATATCATAGAGTGTAATAATATTCTATACTTAAAAAATGTAATATTTTAAGACATCGTATTAATCATATTATATGTCAATGAATATAACAGAGAATTATATTACAAAAATTAAAAAAACCAAATTACTGAACTTTCTTCTCAACTGATTTGAATCCTAAAACTCGTAGCTTCTAGTGAAATAAATTATCAAAAAATTTAAAGTAAGAGTTAATATTATTCCAACTGATGCTATAATAATTGTAAAAACTGGCTAGGAACAATTTTAATATTCGACAACAAAATAATTTTTGTTGCAACAAATTATACCAACATTAATTTCTAGCAAAGGAACTATCAACAGCCACTAGTAAAAGCTAAGAAAGATGTAAAGAAGCTTATTAATATTTTCAGCCGTTTTTTTAATTTTGGTTTCATAGAATTTCTTTCTTCTCAAGTAAGTTAAGATTAATATATAAAAGTATATGCTAAAAAGTATTAAGTTGAATAAGTAGAAAGTAAAGAGAGTCAGGATATCATCTTTTTATAAGCTTACTAGATAGGAGACAGTCGAAAATTCATTTATTTTGGCAATTACATATAAGTTTTGTTGGGTAATTTCTTTACTTTGATTTGTGTTAAATGTATATCCATTTTTCTAAAATGTATTTATAAGGATTGCTATATAATACCAATAATTAGGAATAATAAAGTTAGGTTTTTCTTCCATAATCAGAATTATTGTTTCAAATACTTGATCATATAATTTTATTATTTTATTGCTATCTTTTTTACTTTGAGGACTTTCTAATTTCATTTTTTATCTTTATTTTAGCTAAACTTCTACTTTGATCTGCTTTTAAATAAATACATAAATAATTGATTTATTGTTTGATTGTAGAACACAATTCCTTATTATAAGCAATCACATATTTGTTTATTTTTAAATTTATTAATTTTCTATAAACACTTCTTATTTAACTTATTCCAAAATTGTGTTTGTATTAAATGTATTCTTTTTTTTTTACTTGCTAAAATAATAAAATATTTTTTATTCTTTTAAATTTTATTTGATTTAGAATGCAAAAATAAAAATATTTATTCATAATTTTTCAGTAAAGTTAAAGATAGCTGAATTCAAACACTTTTAGATAAATAAAATTAGTCATTAATTATTTAAATACACAAATAAAATATTGTTTATTTTTATTTTTCACAATATTAATTGAATTAATTAATTATTCTTTTAGTTTACATAATTAAATTTTATATATTTTACAAAGAAATTATCTACATTCCTTACCCTTTAAAAAACTCATCTTTTTTTTACAAAATATTTAGGCATTTTTTAAATTATTTGGAATGTATTAAAAAAAATTATATCATCAACAATCATACAAATTATATTAAGTCAATTACTAAATTATTATTGTGTTCGAATATGATAACTATCAAATAAGAAAAGTCAGTAATGTAAAAAATAAATAGCGATCTATAACAATAAAATTTGATCATTGTTTTACTGTTAATAATTATAGTAGTTCCAGGCCTAGGTATTAAATTTTTGTGGATAAGGAAAATTAAGAATTTAATTAATGGATTTGCTATAAAGTAGATTAATTAAAAATAATTTTATTTAAATTTTTATGATAAAATATTTGTTTTATGATTTTTTAATTTATTTCATTTATTAAATTATTCATGAATACTAGATTTATAATTTATAATATTATTAGCTTACTTATTTAAAAAAAAAATATTTATTATTTAATAATCAAATAATTTTCAAATTCTTTTAGAAAATTATTTAAAATTTTGAAAAAAAATTATTATATGTAGATCAAATAATACAAAAATAAAAAAAGAAAATTAGTCATGCAAAGTATACATATGTTTTATATTTGTTAAAAAAAAAAGAATAATACAATATTTTAAGTTTTTAGATTGCTTTAATGTTAATATAAAATATTTTTATTTTGTGATCAAATTATTTAATATTTATTGCAATAAAAAATTGTGTATTTTTTGTGTTCTTTTTTACAGAGTTTTATAAATTTATTACACATTAAAATACAATAACATAAATAAAAAGTTAATTCTTTTAACAAATTAATATAACTATTTTAAAATTTTATGAAATTATTTATTTTATAGATAAGGAATTTTGTATATTTTTTGAATAATAATATCAAAGATTTCTTCAATATTTTTGAATTTTCTTTAGGAAAATAATAGTGTTTTCTTCTTAGAGTTTCTCATATGGAATCAGAGTTAATGAAAAGCTAATATCAACTATAGATTGCTCCACTTTACTTTTAATTTTTCTGGATAAAATAATCCAAAAAACAATAAATGGTAAGCATAGACAAACTAAGTATATGTAACCAATTTAGATAAAAGATGTTATATAATCTTAAAACCCTTTATTCATATATTTTTATAGTAATTAAAGGCAGTTGGCTGCTATATTAAATCCATAAGTTATATACTCAAGGTGATAAGATGAATTAGCATAAGAACTAACTTGATTTTACTGGGTAGCATCAAACAGATCTCCTTATTTGAATCTAAACAAAATATCATATGAACTGAATAACTAGAAAATATCTGTAAATAAAGCAATAGTTCCTTATCTTAATATCTATCTAACTGTTTAATAATAATACATTATTTTAAAATTATTTTTATTTAAAAATTTATTTTATTTTTGAATTTAAAAAAAAATTATTTAAAGAATTAATTTACTGGTTGGAGAAGTATTTTATATGCACATTCTATCATAATTATACCCGATACTATTGCATACGTCTTTTTAGAGCAAGTTAATAATTTATGACTTATATGCTTCTGATATTTACTTTTACTAATCAATATCATTTAAAATGTTCTAGAAAAATAGCTTATTATTAGCTAAATATTATGAAAACTGCTAATACATTTCAGGATTTCCATAAATTTACTAAGTTGCCTAAGGGAAATACGGATCCTTTTAATTTAGTAAAGGAGATATTGATAAATAGTCACTCATTAACAACACAAAGCTAAACTAATCAGCTGTCTCAAAAGCATTCTTATACAGATTTAAATATGATGTGAAATCGTTAGTAATTTAGTTTGACATAAGTATTATTCCGATTATCATAACACACCCACTTAAACATATAAACCCGATTATTATCATACCTTTTAGATAGTTAAAACTTGTATTTTTGACTAAAGATATTATTTTTCTTTATGACTGTCTCAAATTTAGAGCATTTTGAATATGGATTTATTTATTTTTTGAGATTTTTTAATCATTTTATGATTATTATTAGATGGAAATTTCTTCTACGTTTCTGTTTTGAGTAAATAGCATATTTTCCACAAAGTCAAAATTCATCCATTTTTAATTAATATCTTAAAGAACATCTTATATTTTTTTTAACTTTTCAATTTCTATATCAACTTCTTGTATATTTATTCTACCTATTAGAAACAAAATCAGGCTTTTAAATTAGTTAAAATATTTCAAACCTAGTAAAGATGCAATAATTTGTATTAATGTAATAATTAAACAAGATGTACCCAAATATATGTATATATTATATAGATTTTATTTTTTTTCAGTCACCTTAAAAAATTAGTAAGACCTTACGCTTTCTCCAGACTGGTAAATAAACATCATATTTTATAACAAAAAGTAAAAATCACTCTAAAGATAATGTTTTTGCTTACTAACAGAACCGCATATAACTTAAGAGCTTTATAAGACTTTGAATTGCAGGTCTATGAAATCAATTGTCTAAAAATTTTATTAACTATATTGATTTAAGTTAAATAAATTAATCACATTTGAATTTTATCAAACAAAAGTAAAAAAAATACTTTTGAAAATATAATTTACTTATTTAGATATGTTACTGCTTTGTAATAAGTATCCTGATTGTTCAAATATGTATTTGTAGTAGTTTAAAATCTATCATTGAATTCTTATAAAAATAGCTGTTTTGCTTATTCACAACTCGCAACTAATGAAGAATAAAGAGATAATTAAGGATCTTAAATAATAAAATTATCTATTTAAAACCTATTGAACGAATTTAGAGTTTGATTCGCAATTAACGGGAAAAAGCCAGACTATTATTACACATTCTTTACATCATCTGTAAATGATTGTAAATTTAAAAGTATTATAATTCCTATGATGAGTGACATTAAAGCAAAAAAAATAATGTATATAGCTTTTAATTATTTAAAATAAAATTAAGCTATGAAAATTGTAAAATAAAAAAATATTTTAATTTACCAGAGAATATCGACATAGATATGCTAAAGATAGTGTTTGTCTTGCTTAATATATTTTGTATAAGAATGTTACTGATACTTCTAAAAGAAGAAGATGCTGAATAGTAGGATTATGATCTTTGAGCATCTAACTCGTTTTTATCAAAAGCATTTTTGTTGCTTATAAGACTTCTTAAAACGAATTCTTATTATCTATTGTGTTTTTTATTGCTTTTTTATCCATTTTCTTACATTTAATTTGAGGATTGCACTTTTTGATTATTTAAATTCTGAAGAGACTTTTAGTTATCATTACTTTTGCTATAATTATCATCTTAGTTCTTTTTGAAAAATGAAACTCTCTTACTATTCAATTTAAATGATTTTCTCTATTTTTCGCAATTGATATCTATTTAGTTTTATGATGATGCAAAAGTTTCAATGTCTCCTTTCACGTTGAGTGGACTATAGATGCCATTCTGTTATGGTGACGATAGTAAGGCTTTTTCATAACAAAGCGTAGGAGAATTAAGTGGAATTAAATTGTGAGAACACATATCATTTCTTTTATAAGATCCTTAAGTTTCATCATATTCTATTTTTTAATCATTTTTTTCAATTATGAGTTATTTATTATCTGTATATTTATCTAAATGCTGTTCTATTTTTATTTAACTTTCGCTTTTTATTTAGTTTTAAGATTAAACATCAAGATAAGTATCATTATTTAACTATTAATTAAGTTATTCTTAGCTTATTATAATGCTATGCTTTTCTATTTGTAAAAAATATTTTAACTATGTATTTGAATTTAAAAAAATATACTTTAGTTTTGGCTTTAATAGATTTACACAAGATTATTTTAAGTTGGATGATTATCTAGAATATCAGAATTATGAGCAATCTAAGTTTTTTAAGGTTTTATAAATATATTTTTAATTTTTAAATTAAACTAAAATATTATGTTACTGGAATGTTGTTAATCTTTAGATTTGTTATTACACTTTCTAAATTTTGAGCTTACAGATTATTTGTGATTTATGGGGATTTTGTTTTATTAAATGATTCAGAATTAGTATATGATGATTCTTCACTAGCTTCAATCTAATTAAATGTAGTTATATAGTTTTGATATTAATTTTAATCATCCAGAGTCTTAGATTCCGAATCCTTCATATTATTTATCTCGATTACGAAGTATTTATTTGAAACAATTTATTTGTTTTGTGAGAAATTTAGCTCCTATTTTTCTAATTTATATTTTATAATCGTTGAGCTATAAATTTGCTCTTCTTCATATTACTTTTAGTTTATCAAATATAAATTAAGTCAATAAATAAATTATATATTTTTTGTATTTTTAAAAAATTATTGTAAATTAATAATAATTATTATTAAAAATTTAACTGTTGTTGTACTCTTTAATAAAATTAATTAGTAGGGAAAATTATTAAAAATAAAATTTTTTCAATAAGGAGTATGTACTAACTATGGTACATAAATAAAAATGAATATTTATCAATTTATTTCTCTTATGAAGGTTGAATTGGTTTTTAAGTTTTAATTTAATAAAAAAATATACTTTTATGTTATTTTGATAAAACAATTCAAAACTTTTAAATTCAAAGTGTGCAGACTAGACATTGCTATCTACCGTTTTGTGAGATTTTTTCTTGGTACCATCGCTGGTAGTAACTAAGAATTTTTCAAGGTTTTAAGAAAGTTCTTAAGCTTTTCGAGGAAAGACTATGTTTTCAACGTATTCTGCTGAATTGCTTGTATTATTTTATTTTTGTTAGTGGAATGAATTGAATTAATAATATTTTACTTAGTGTCTTAATCTAAATTTTGACTAGATTAAAATAAATTTTCAACTTTTTTAGCTAACTTAGGCATCAATATAAATAAATTCAAATTTAGCATTGCCTATGATAGAGTAATTATTTCAGAGTTCTAAATGATTATTTTACATAATTATTTAATTAATTTATATAGCATTATTATAAAAATAAAAGATTAAGCTTACTTATTCCTATTTGCTTTGATTGGTTGTTTTATTATTTCTTTGTTTAAATATTTAATGAAATATTTTTTTTGAAAACCCTTATATCTTTCCTTATGAGTCAAATATTATGTATTACTTGTTAGACTTTAGTTTTAAAACTACACCAAACATACAGAAATCATCATCAAACTAATGAAAGTGGTTTAAATATATGTTAATTGGAAATATGAATCCTTAATAATCTTTGGCAAAAGTTTATTTGCTCCTTTCAAGATAGAGACTAGCACCTCTCTATATCATGTTTTCAATAAGCTAATTATGACACACTGAGATAAAAGGGGGGATGAGCTGCTCTATATGTTAAATTTATTCGAAATCTTTAAGATAGTACCCAAAAAGGTTAGCCTACTCTTATGTTTTTTTACCCAATATCTTGCCTCTTTCTTTAGAGATGCTGATTAAAAAATGCTAAACATTTTAGTTTGCTAAATTATATTAATTTATAATGAAATAGGGCTTTGAGAAATCGCTTTTCTTTAAATTTAGATACTAAGATTCATATTTATAGGATTAACTAAGCTAGTTCATTACAACACATTTATAAATTGAAATTAACTGTTAATTAAAAATATATATATATCAATCAATATTAATATTTCTATTTCTAAAAAAATACCTTGATTACAATAGCGTTCTAATCTAAAGAAATAGTTTTATTGTCATTTGAAAATAGTTCATTAAATTTTTATTTAATTATAAAGCTACTTTTTGAAAAAAGCAATGTCTATTTTGAGAACTGATCTATATTTTCGAAACCATTTTTAACTTTTTACCAATAATCAATTTTACTATTCACAAAACTTATAAAAAGAGGTAATAAATTTTATTTCAAATTTAATGTTTTTTCAACTTCCTTAACTTTAACAGTTTCTTTGATTTGACTATTAGCTTAAGCTTCATGAATCTTAGATATTTTATAAAAAAGATCCTATTTTTCTTCAATCTATTTTTCTATTTTTGCTGATAATACCTTGCTAATAGTTGTGAAATAAAATGAAGATCTCTTATATTTAGCTAAATAACTTTTCAAAATATGATATGCTCTGATAGGATTGTTTCTAAAATTTGTAATGAAAGAAATATATTTTAAATATAGATGTTCCCTTTCATAATCATTTCTAGATATCTTTTTATTATTTAAGAAACGTAAAAATAAATCATCCACAAGAATGAGTAAGTCTTGATAATTGAGATTGTCTTTTTGATCTTTAAAATTCGTTTGCTTGCAGTAGCAGTCCAAAAATACGCACTTCTACTTATGATACCCAAGCAACTAAAATAACTTAAACCTATTGAATTCATTTTTATATTGATCAATTCCAAATCTTACAAGTTCTTCCAAGTAAAAATCTAAGTGCATGTAAAGTCTATTAAATTAGATATTAATTTAGTAAATATGACGTCAATAGTCTTTATATTAACTTGTAGAAAAATAAATAGTTAATTTGCAAATTAATATAGATAATTTTAATTATCCACCAACTAAATTTGGTTTAATTTATCTATCTATTTATAACCAATACTATTTATCTGGAAATTTGAGTGAAAATTAAAAGTTATCTTACAATAAAGAATTAGGTAGAAATTAAAAGATTGCTTTAAAGGTTATAATAAATTAAAATTATTCATGATATTCAAAAAAACTAGATAGTATTTGAGCGTTAGTTAGTATTTGGAAATTGTAAAGTAAGTTAAATTTTAATATAAAATTATAAAAGAAAAATTATTTATTTATTACTTTTCAAAGTTTTCATGAGTAAGGTGAAGAATATTCTCAAGCTAATAATTTTGAATATTGTAAATAAAGTAAGATAGTAACATCATCAAGAAAGCCATAAAATAAAAGAGATCTGTATCATAAATAGTATAATCGTAATTCCAAACACAAATAACTGTGACAGAGACATAAAAGTAGTTGCATCCAATTATGTAGAGCTTGGAAATCATAGAGTTTCTAAAAGGATAGTTGATTATAAGGTCGGCATATAAGATTACTCCTACTATTTATGAAGCAATATAATTTATGCTGCCCTTTGCTAGCGAAATATAGTAAATATATAGGAATACGAACATAGAAAAAAGCTGTGGGATTTACCATTTATTAAATTTTCTCTTTAAAAGATTCGTCTCAAAAAATTCATAGTTCCTAAAAAAAAACATTATCATAATACCAGTGAAAATTGATAGCGCTAATCCAATAGATGCAAATATTATGAGTGCTAAAGATTTTTTTTCACAATTTTACAATCTAAATTCCACTAGAAAACTATTTTAGTTGCATGATAGTAAGGATATATTTATCTCAGCAAATGGAATTTAAAAGATCCAGTAATAAAAAGTAAAAAATACATTTAGCATTTAGTTAATCTTTTTAATATTGCCTCTATTTTACAAAACATAAGGCTTGTAGAATTTCTTTAGAGCTGTCAAGCCAAATAAATAAAAGTAGTACATGTAAGTAATTACCTACATAATCCCAAAAAAAACTAATGTGAGAGTATCTATTCCTTTGATTGAAAGCAAATAAGTCCCTGTAGATATTTCATTTATATGTGCGAATATCTTAAATAGCTGCTCATTTAGTACTCTTTCTTAATCATTACAAAATATGTATCCGCTCAATTAAAAAAAGTAAAATGCTATCACAAATATATAAACTGATTATGGGATTTCAAAATTTGGCCTATCCTCTATCACTTCTAGCATAGTTTTAAAAAAACTTTTGAAGATTGACTTAAATATTTTTTATATCATTTCACCCTAAATCTTTTTTATCTATTTATCTATATATCTATCTATTATTTTATCTATAAAATAACTAAAGATTATATTATATATTTTTGATAAATATTACGTATATTAGCATTAAAATTGTTAGTGTTTAGTTTAATTGATAAATTCACTAAATTCACAAACTATTTCAGTACTACTTTTCATAAACTGATTAGTAATTATTATTTTTAAGATTGATACTCTATTAAATAGTAAATTCATTTCTCACTTTTATATTTTATTTTACATAGTTTTTCTAAACAAACTTATTATCATTTTTATTTTTTTTCTGTATTCAAAAAATATTAATTTCACTGAATAGTTATTGCAGCCTTAAATTAATTAAAGAATGAATAAATCTTTTTTATTAAATAGCTTGGTCTTATGAACATTTTACTATATCTCTTATTTTGATTAACGCAAACAATGAATTAATTTTTAATTCATTAATCACTTTTTTGCTCTATCTTGAAAAATCTCTAAAGTTTATTTTTTTTGAAAATTGTCTTTATTTAATTTTTTTGAGTGGTGATTAATTTAATTTTCAAGATTTACAAACATTTACATCAGTAAATTAGGAAGGAAGTCAAGCTCAAAATATTAAAAATATTAGTAAAACATAAAAAATTTTAAAATAAAAACTTTCTAATGATATTAAAATATATCTGTTATTTCCAAAAGAATAAAAATCATTTTAACATAATTAAAAAGTTGTTTTAAATGATGCTTCATTCAAATGTATTTTTTTAGCAATTAAATAGTTATGAAAATATTGTATTTTTCAAATTTATGCAAATTATTTATAATAAATTTCTTTTTCTTCAAAATTCTTAATTTAAAAGCTCTTTAATGAATAAATTTTATTCATTACTCAAAAATAGATTCATTAATCTTTACTTTTTTTGAAAAACTAGAGTTAAGAAATAATAAAAAATAAGTAAATAAACTAATTAATTTACTAATTAAAAATTTGAGCTTACTTTTAGACAATATGTAATAATTATATTTGTTTTAAAAAGATATTTAAGTATTTTTAAGGTTTTCAAATAAAATATTAACAATAATTAATTGCTAATGATAATTTTATTTATCTGCTAAATATAAATCTACCAATAAGCTTGAATATTTATTTGCAAATTCAATATTTTCCTAAAAATAGTAAAATCTGATAAATTTGAAGATGTTTACAAATAATAAAGATATAAGTGAATGTATGATATATATATACTTACTTGCTTTTTTCTTTTCTTAAAATATAATAGATAATGAGAACACGAACCCAAAAGTATTAGTAAACAGTTTTATCAAATTTACACGTATTATAAAAATATGGAGCAATTATTTTTTTGAAATTTTTGCACAAAAATATTTAAACAACCAATTATTTTTTGTTTCATCTATCAAAATTTACTTACTTACTTACTTACTTACTTACACTTATATGTCTTCAATATTTTTCAATTTTCTTAAGAAAAATTATAGTGTTTTCTTCTTAGAGTTTCTCATATGGAATAAGAGTTAATCCAAAGCTAATATTAACTATTGATTACTTGACTCTTTTTTAAATTTTTATGGAAAGAATAATCCAAAAAACAATAAATGGTAAGCATAGACAAGCTAAGTATATGTAACCAATTTTTATAAAAGATGCTATATAATCTTAAAACCCTTCTTTCATATATTATTTTAGCAATTCAAAGCAGTTTGCTGCTATATCAAATCCATGAGTTATATACTCAAGGTGATATGATGAATGAACATATTGGTTAACATGGTTCTACTTAGCAATATCAAACAGATCTCCTTATTTAAATTTAAATAAAGAATCGTTTGAGCTGAATAGTTAGAAAATATCTGTAAATAATGCTATACCACCTTATCTTAATATTTATCTAACTATTTAATAAAAATATATTATTTTTAAAAATATTTTAATTTAGATGTTTTTTTCAATTTCAAAAAAAAAATATTTTACTGGTTGGAGAAGCATTTTATATGCACATTCTATCATATTTATACCCGACGCTGTTGCACACATCCTATTAGAGCAAGTTAATAATTTAGGACTTATAAGTTTATGATATTTACTTTTACTAATCAATTTCATTTAAAATGTTATAGAAAAATTGCTTACTATTTGTTAAATATTGTGAAAACTACTAATACATATCAGGATTTCCATAAATTTACTATGTTGCCTAAGGGAAATGTGGATCATTTTAATTTAGTATAGGAGATATTGATAAATAGTCACTCATAAATAATGCAAAGCTAAACTAATCAGCTGTCTCAAAAGTATTCTTATATAAATTTAAATATGATGTAAAATCAACATTAATTTAGTTTGACATAAGTATTACTGCAATTATCATAACACACCCACTTAGACATATAAACCCTATTATTATCATACCTCTTATATAGTTAAAACTTGTATTTTTGACTAAAGATATTATTTTTCTTTATGATTGTCTCAAATTGAGAGTATTTTGAATATGGGTTTATTTATTTTTTGAGGTTTTTTATTTATTTTATTAATATTATTATTATTAATTGGATTCTTCTTCTTCATTTTTGTTTTGACTAAATAGCATATTTTCCACAAAGTCGAAATTCATCCACTTTTAATTAATATCCTAAAGTGCATCTTAAAAAACTCTGAGCTTTTCTATTTCTATATCAGCTTCTAGTAAACTCATTCTACCTATTAGAACCAAGATCAGGCTTTTATATTAGTTAAAATATTTCAAACCTAGTAAAGAAGCTATTATTTGTATTAATGTAATAATTAAGCAACAAGTACCTAAAAATATGTATAAATTAGATTGATTTTATTTTTTTTCATTTACTAAAGAAAATTAGTAGGATCTTACGATTTCTCCAGACTGGTAAATATATATCATATTTTATAACAAAAAGTAAAAATCACTCTAGAGATACAGCTTTTATTTACCAACAGAACCACAAATAGCTTAAGAGCTTTATAAGACTTTAAATTACATATCTATGAAATCAATTGTTTCAAAAGTTTATTAGCTGTTTTTATAATAGTTAAATAAATAAATAAATCAATTAAATTTGAACTTCATCAAATAAAAAGTAAAAAAATATGTTTGAATATAATTTACTTATTTAGATATGTTACTGTTTTATAATAGGTATCCTGATTGTTCAAATAAGTACTGGTAGTAGTTTAAAATCTATCATTGAATTCCTATAAGAATAGCTATTTTACTGCTTCACAGCTTTCAATTAAAGAAGAATAAAGAGTTTATTAAGGATCATCTTAAATAATAAAATTTTCCATTTAAAATCTGCTGAAAGAATTTAGAGTTTGGTTTGCAATTAATGGTAAAAAGCCAGACTACTCTTACACCTTCTTTACATCATCTGAAAAGGATTATAAATTCAAAAGTATTATAATTCCTATGATGAGCGACATTAAAGCAAAAAAAGTAATGTATATTACTTTTAATTATTCATTTATAATAAAATTAATTAAGTTATGAAAATTGTAAAAAATGTATAATTACCTGAGAATATCTACATAGCTACACTAAAGATAGTGTTTGTCTTGCCTATTATATTTTGGATAAGGACATTGCTGATACTTCTAAAAGAAGAAACTGCCGAATAACAAGATTATGATCTTTGAGCATCTAACTCATTTTAGTCAAAATTATTTTTGTTGCTTATTAGCCTTCTTAAAACGAATTCTTATTGCCTAGTGTGCTTTTTATGGTTTTTTTAGCCGTTTTCTTAAATTTAATCTAAGGGTTTCACATTTAAGTTTTGAAATGACTTTTAGTTATCATCATTATTATTGTCATATTAATTCTTTTTAAAAAATGAAGCTCTTTTGCCGTTAAATTTAAATGAATTTCTTTATTTTTCACTATTCATAATTATTTAATCTTAGTTTTAAGATACTATAAAACTTTCAATATCTCCTTTCATATTGAGTGGACTAAAAAGGCCATTTTGCATTGACTATGATAGCAAGCTTTTTTCATTACAAAGCGTTGGAGAATTAAGTGGAGTAAAATTTGGAGAACAAATGCCATTTATTTTAGAAGATCCTTAAGTTTCATCTTAATCTATTTTTTAATCGTTTTCTTTATTTGTGGATTATTTTTTATCAATGTATTTATCTATATGCTGTTCTAAATTTCCTAAGCTTTTTATTTTTTCTTAAGATTAATCTACACGAAACGTATCTTAATTTTATTATTAGTTAAGTTATTCTTAACTTAATATAATACTTTGATTTTCTATAAATAAAAAAAAATTAAAAAAATGATCATTTTTATTTAAAAAAATATACTTTTATTTTTGTTTAAATAAAATGATACAAGATTGTTTTAAGTTAAGTCTTAGTCTAGCATATCAGGATTATGAGATATCGATAATTTTTCGTTATAGGAATCTTCCTATTTAATTTATAAATATTTTTTGCATTTTAAATTAAACAAAAATATTTTTTTACTTAATTGTGATTGATCTATAGATTTGCCATTACTCTATCGAAATGTTTAGCTTGCAGATTATTTGCGATTTATGGGCAATTTGTTTTATCAAATGCTACAGAATTAGCATATTAAGAATCTTCACTATCCTCAATCTAATTAAACGTATTTATTTAGTTTTGAAAATGATTCTAATCAATCATGGGTTTCTATCCCTAATCTATCATATTATTTATCTCTATTACATAATATTTATTAGAAACTATCTATTTATTTTATATAAATTTTAGCTCCTATTTTTCTAATTTAAATTTTATCAGCGTTGAGCTATAAATTTGTTCTTCTTCATATGACTTTTATTTAAATAAATAAATTATTTATTTGCTCTTTGTGTTTATTTTTAAAGCTTTTGAAAATTTGTAAGAATTTTTAATTAGAAATTGATTAAAAATAGTAAAGTCAGTAAGTTAGTCAGTCAGTCAGTCAGTATACACTCTTGAATGATAATGATAAATAAAAAGTATTATTTTTTGATTGAGAGAATAAAACTTTCAAATAAATTTCTTTTCTTACCAAATAGTAATAATTATTATTGGAATTATATTTTTGTTTTTTAGAGGGTTTTTATTTAAAAAAAATAAATTGTCAATTTTAATCTAATATTGTAAAAAAATAATAAATAAAATTTATTATCCTCTCCTTATTCAAAGAGTACCCTCCGAGGCTCATAAATTATAATAAATTTTTATCTATTTATGTCCCTTGTTATGATTAAATTGGTTATTAACGAATTTAATAAATAAAATATACTTTTATGTTATTTTGATAAAACTATTCATAGCTTGTAAATCCAATGTGCTCAGACTAGACGCTTTCGTTAGTAATTTTTTGAGATTTTTTCAATGCACCCCCTTTGATGGTAGTAGCTAAGAATTTTTCAAGGTTTTAAGAAAGCTCTTAAGCCTTTCTAGGAAAGACTATGTTTTCAATGTATTCTTCTGAATTACTTGTAACATTTTATATATATTTTGTTAGTGGATTTGATTTGATTGAATTAATAATATTTTACTTATTCTCCTATTCTAAATCTTCACAAGATTAAAATAAATTTTCAACATTTTAAGCTAATTTTGGCATTAGTACAAACAAATTTAAATTTAGCATGGCCTATGATAAAGTAATCACTTCACAATCCTAATTGATTATTTTACATAAATAAATTTATTAATCAAATTAATTTATTTAGTATTATTTTAAAAATAAAAAAATAAAGTTTACTTATTCCTGCTTGATTAATTTGTTTTTTATATCGTTTCTTTACTTGAATATTTAATGAAATATTTTTTTTGAAAACCCTTTTATCTTTCCTTATTAGTCAAATATTATATATTACTTGCTAGATTTTAGTTTTAAAACTACACCAAACATACAGAAATCATCATCGTACTAGTGGAAGTGGTCTAAATATATATTAATTGGAAATATAAATCCTTAACAGCTTTTGGCAAACGTTTATTTGCTCCTTTAGAGATAGAGTGTGGCGCCTCTCTATATCATATTTTCAATGAGTTAATTATGACACACTGATATAAAAGGGGGGATGAGTTGGTCTATAAACTAAATTTATTCAAAATCTTTAAGGTAATATCCAAAAAGGTTAGCCTACTCTTAAGTTTTTTTACTCAATATCTTGCCTCTTTCTTTAGAGATGCTTATTACAAAATGCTAAACATTTTAATCTGCTAAATTATATTAATTTATAGTGAAATAGGGTTTAGAGAAATCGTTTTTCTTTAAGCTTATAAACAGAGTTTCATATTTATAGGATTAACTAAGCTAGTTCATTACAATGCATTTATAAATTGAGATTAGCTGTTAATTAAATAAATAAATAAAAAAATATACTCTAGAAAATTTCTATTTCTAAAAAAATACCTTGGCTACAATCGCATTCTCATCCAAAGAAATCAATTTATTTTCATTTGAAAATAACTCGTTAAAATTTTATTGAATTATAAAGCTTTTTTTTGAAAAAAGCATTGTCTACTTCGAAAACTAATCTATATTATCAAAACCGTTTATAACTCTCTACCAATAATCAATTTTGCTTTTCACAAAACTGATAAAAAGAGGTAATAAATTTTATTTTAAACTTAATGTTTATTCAACTTCCTTGGTTTTAACCGTTTCTTTAATTTTGCTATTAGCTTAAGCTTCATTTATCTTAGATATTTAATAAAAAAGGTGCTACTTTTCTTCAATTTATTTTTCTATTTTTGCTGATAAAACTTTGCTAATTGTTGCAAAATAAAATGAAGATTTCTTATATTTAGCTAAATAGCTTTTCAAAACATAATATGCTCTGATAGGATTGTTTCTATAATTTGTAATGAAAGAAATATATTTTAAATATAGATGTTCCCTTTCATAATCATTTTTAGATATTATTTTACTATTCAAGAATTGTAAAAATAAATCATCCACTAGAATGAGCAAGTCTTAATAGTTGAGATTGTCCTTATGATCTTTGAAATTAGTTCGTTTGCAGTAACAATCCAAAAATATGCATTTCTATTTATGGTATCCTAACAATTAAAATAACTTAAACCTATTGAATTCATTTTTATATTGATCGATTCCAAATCTTACAAGTTCCTCCAAGTAAAAATCTAAATGCATGTACAGCCTATTAAATAAGATATGAATATTTAATAAATATGGTGTCAAAACTGATTATGTTACTTGTAGAATAATAAATAGTTAATTTGTAAATTAAAAAAGAAAATTTAATTATTGACCAACCAAATTTGACTTATTTTTTGATATTAATTATTTTCAATAACATTAATCTTGGGAATTTTAGTGGCAAATAAAAATTATCTTACAATTAAGAATAAGGTAGAAATTAATTAAAAGACTGTGTTAAAGGTTATAATAAATTCAAATTATTTGTGATAATCAAGAAAATGTGAGAATATTTGAGAGTATGTTAGCATCGGAAATTGTTAAGTAAAGTAAAATAAAGTAATTTATAATTAACTTATAAAAGAAAATATGATTTATATTACATTTCAAAGTTTTCATGAGTAAGGTGAAGAATATTTTCAAGCTAATAATTTTGGATGTTGTAAAGAAAATAAGACAGTAACATCATCAAGAAAGCCATAAAATAAAAGAGATCGCTATCGTAAATAGTATAATCGTAGTTCCAAACACAAATAACTGTGACAGAGACATAAAAGTAGTTGCATCCAATTATGTAAAGCTTGGAGATCAAAGAGTTTCTAAAAGGATAATTCATTATAAGGTCAGCATATAAAATTACTCCTACCATTTATGAAGCAATATAATTTATACTGCCCTTTGTTAGCGAAATGTAGTATATATATAGGAATACAAACATAGAAAAAAGCTGAGGGATTTGCCATTTATTAAATTTTCTCTTTAAATAATTTTTCTCAAAAAATTCATAGTTCCTAAAAAAAAACATTATCATAATACCAGTGAAGATTGATAAAGTTAGTCCGATCGATGCAAACATTATAAGCACAAGTGATTTTTTTTCACAATTTTACAATCTAAATTCAACTAGAAAACTATTCTAGTTGCATGAAAGTAATGATATACTTATTTCAGAAAATGGAATTTAAAAGATCCAGTAATAAAACGTAAAAAATACATTTAGCATTTAGTTAATCTTTTTAATCTTACTTCTATTTTACAAAACATAAGACTTGTTGTATTTCTTTAAAGCAGTCAAGCCAAACAGATAAATGTAGTACATATAAGTAAGTATCTACATTATCCCAAAAAAAACCAATGTGAGAGTATCAATTCCTTTCATTGAAAGCAAGTAAGTCCCTGTAGATACTTCATTTATATGTGCAAATATCTTAAATAGCTGCTCATTTAGTACTCTTTCTTAATCATTACAAAATATGTATCCACTCAATTAAAAAAAGTAAAATGCTATCACAAATATATAAACTGATTACGGGATAACAAAATTTGGCCTATCCTCTATCACCTCTAACATTGTTTTAAAAAAATTTTTGAAGATGGATTTAAATTTTTTAGATATCATTTTGCTCTAACTCCTTCCTTCCTTCTTTCCTTTCTATTTCTACTTATTGTTTTATCTCTTAAATTATTAATTCTTATTTTTTTATTACTTATATTAGCATTAAAATTTTTAGTATTTAATTCGCTAAATTAATAAGCTCATTCAGTATTACTTTTCATAAGCGAATATGTATTAATATTTAATTAGAAAAATAAACTATTAAATTACAAATTTATTTCTCAATTTATATTACCTTTAATTATTTTATTTTACATAGTTTTTTTTTAACAAATTGAAGTATTTATTAATTTTATTTTTGTTTTGTTTTCAAAAAAAAAATAAATTTGACTGGATAGTTATTGCAACCTTAAATTATTTAAATAGTGTGTAAACCTTTTTTATTAAATAATTATTGTCTTTTGAAAGTTCTACTTATTTCTTAGATTGATTAGCTCACGCTTTCAATTAATTTTTTTATTGTTCAATCTTGAAAAATCTTAAAAGTTTATTTTTTTTTAAATATTCTGTATTTATTTTTTTGGGTGGTGAATATTTTAATTATTAATATTTACAAATACTTTACTTAGGTAAAATATAAAGTCTATCAAGAATTATAAAAATAGTGATAAGCATAAAAAAATTAAAATAAAAACTGTTTTTTGAAATAAAAATATCTGTGTTGTTAAAAACAATTTAACTTAAATCAATGAAATAAAAAATTTGTTTTAAATTTTACTTCATTCAGATGTATTTTTTTGTGATTTAATAATTATGAAAAATTGTATTTTTTCAGTTAATGCAAAAGATTAGCAAATATTTTTTTTATATAATTATATTATTAATGAATAAATTGTATTCGCATAAAAAATAGATTCATTAATCAATATTCACGCCAATAAGTTAATGTTAACAAAAATAAAATCGCATAAGTAAATAAATACATTAAAATATTTACTATTTAAACTCATGAACTTATTTTTAGTCAATATATTATTGTTATTCTAGTTTAAAAAGATATTAAAGTATTTTTGAGACTTAGAATAAAATATTAACAGTAGTTATAAATGATAATTAAACCATTAAATATAAATCTAACAATTAACTTAAATAATTAATTATTTGTAAACTAAAAATTTGTGATTAAAAGTAAAATCAGATAAATTTGAAAATAATTACATTATAACTGAAAAAAAAAAAAAATTATGATATAAACTTACTTTCTTTAATATGAGTAAAGTTCTTAAGCAAAAATTATAAAATTTTAGCTTATTGAATGGCTAAACAAGTATGCATAAAATAATATCATAAAATCTTTTGAGTAGTAAAATTTTAAAAAACATTAAATTTTAATGAAATATTTAAAAATTAGTAAAGTAAGTTTTAAAAATTAGAATAAATGAAGGAATTCTAATAAGTGAAAAATCATATTTTATTTAAAAAAAACTAATTTGATTAGCTATCAAATTAAAGAAAACAAATATGAATATATTTATTTAATAGTTTTATTGTGTTTTTCATAATTTTATATTACTAGAATTAAAAATATGAAATAAATTAGCAATAATCATCATATTTTTTAAATAGATTTTAAAATGTAAATTGTTGCTTCCTCTTAGCACTTTTGGTATGGTAGCAGTGTGAGAGAAAAATTTATTGACTTTAGTTCATCGTTAAATTTATTTCTAACCTTTATAGAGAAGAGAAGCCATATTAAACCTAGTATAATGCCGACTGAGAAAAAATAAATAAAAATAAGATTTCTTATGTAGCTAGTTTAATTTGTTACAGCTTCGCTAATTAATAGACTAATCTTCATAGTATAATACAAAGGAATGTCATATCCATAAAATATTAGATTTATAAAAGATGGATTCGTTATAAAGTAATTATTTTGCTTTATTATATCATCTTTAGATAAAGAATTTGCTAAATTTTACATGTTTAGATCTAAGAATATATTTTAAAAGTACAATTGTGTGTAACTTGTTATTATTCCTGAAAGACCATTCTAAATTACTTTTCTGAAGGGGGAGTTTAAATCTTCACATGAAATCGATAGAGGTTACAATTGACATAGATCTTACTCGAATATCTCTAAGATCTAATTGCAGTATGATTAAGACTATGAACTAAAGGATGTGCCTGTTATAGTGGCAGAAAATTAATTTATTGACATCTGCACTAAATCAATTTAGTTATTAAAGTAACTTATAGTGGAGTTAGACAATATATTTGGATAAGAAGTGTTATTTAGCTGGTTTATTTTATTTGTTACTAGCAAATAACCTAAAGTTATTACGCTGCAAAGCGACTAAGTGTTTTAAATGGATTAATCAAATAAATGGTAAAGAGGTTCTATTTCTTTCGTTTTTAGATAATTTGTTGTCACAATTGTAATGAAAAAAATACTTCCTGAAACACAGAAGAATGAAATAATAAGAACTTATCTAACAATCGAAAGGCTGTGATTTTGGATTAAAGCTGACACATACTTTTAGCCTCCAAATTTGTTAAGAGCAGAATTGTTTGCATTTTAAGCTTATTTGTTAAACTTTAAAAAATTGGCAAAACCGTTCATGTTAAGTTTTTTTGAAAGTTTTGAAAAAATATTTTTTATTTAAAATTTAGATTTTCTACTCAGCTTTTCTGAGATTTAACCAAAGCTTTTGACAGATTTTGAATGTTTTTCGCTTTGCCTTTTAGATTATGTAGTTTAAATTTTCTAATTGTCATATTATTTTAGACTAGCTTTAGAAAGAATAGAAAAAAAAGAGTTTTATACCCAAGATTCCAGTTAACTGTCTAACAGTTCCAAGCTTTCACTTAACTTCTAGATCTCGAATGCAGCCTCATCAATATTAGTTCTGGCTAGTAAAAGCAGAACTTTAGATTTGTATTTGTTAATCTGTTTAAAGTAATGAATAAACAGAACAAACATAGTAAGAAATGTACCTGCAACAATAATAGCAAACATCAAATAGAGCTTGTTAAATATATCATATTGAGTTTTTATTTTTTTAACAAGTTTTTGAGTGTAATTTTATACTTAAATTTAGTTGTTATAATAATTTGAAGCAAGATAAAGTACAGATTCTTATTCTATTTCTCCAAAATTAAATGTGCTGTTTAAACATAGATCAATTACATTTATTTAATTGTAAAAGATAGTCTCAACATAATTAGCTTCAATCTAAAATGGAATTCTATTTAATATAAAAATAGTTTTTATTTTATTAATTTAATAATTTTGTGATTTACTTGTTTGGATAAAGAGTTATCTAAATTACATCCTAAAAATCTGAATATAGAATTGAAGAAAATGATTATATATCAGATGCATATGAGTCAGTGCAATTAGAACAACTATCATAAATATACTCGAAGCTATTTTATTTTAAATTTTAATTAATAGGTGAGTTTGGAACAAGGATGCCTTTTTCAAACTAATATAACAATACTGAATTCAGAGTTTAGTTGGCATATACATTATTTAAGTTCTAGTAAGTTGTTACATCTATGATACTTTATTTTACGCTTTATAAAGTGTCAAACATTATCATGCCATATATTAGAGAGTAAAAACTAAAGACAATCAATATAATATCTAATATAAATTTAATAAAATCTCTTAAATATAAATTCGTTTTATTTTATTGAAAATAGTCATTGAATTTTTATTTAAAGCAATAAAAACTGCTTTATTAATTATGTAATTATTCAAATTTTCATTTTTTCTTTCAAAATTTATTATTAATTGATACTGTTTGAAAATTAATTCAGATTTTTTAAAATAAATAAAATAATTTGAAATTTATGTTTTTTTTAAAATTGATTTAAATATTTAATTGGGTTTTTATTGAACACACTCAATTAATATTATCGTGTGTTAAATTTTTGTTTGCATAGTAAAGTAAGAAATTTAAATTTTTAATATATTTGAATCAATCAAGTATTACGAATTAATATTAATTAATTTTATATTTGTAAAAAATATTATGATATTATAAATGTTTTAAATATTTAGGGTATTAAAAATGAAATTAAGTAGTTTAACCTATAATTTAATATATTTTTAAATCTATTTATTAATTTTCTTATGAAAATAAATTGAATGATTATATATGTGAAAGAAAAAAAATATGATTAATTTAAATAAAAAAATGAATTGTTTATGTTTTACATAATAAGGAGTTTATAATCTTTGAAATTTTAATATCCTGCTTATTAATAATCTAAGACACAATGTTATGCACAGAGTGCTTAATCGACTGCATATCTTATGTTGATGATTATCCACAGTTGATCTCTTCTTCACCAATTTTTTTATTTGATTAAAAGAAATCTACAATATTTTTATTATTTGAAGCATTCATATCCTCTTTGTCTTTTTACATATTCATATGAGTTTCTAATTAATTTTAAAAATGATTCACGCTGCTTTGCCTATTACTGTTACTATAATATAATGATAACCTATTTTGATTATTTGAATTGCTATTTTAATTATTCTCATTAAAAATAAAGTTTTGAGTCTATTCTTGTGAGTTTGGAGATAATATTTGCAGTAAAGCATTACTTTAATTTGAATAAATTATGTTTTGGGCATTTGGCTGATTTTGCGAGCTAAAAATATCAATATTAGAGTTGTCTTGTATTTTTATAGTTGGTGGTGATATTATTTAGGACTAGGCATTTTCTTAAAATAAATTTTTATCTAAGATTTTTATTTAATTAATAATGTTATTAGTTTTGTTATCATTGTTACTGGTTCTGTTGATACAATCATCACTGATTTCATCTTAATTCTCGTTGATTTAGTCTTATTAACTTGTATCTAAGTTCAAATCTTTTAACCCATAAGAAGTTGAATTAAAAAAATAATTTAACTCTGGCGAATTATTTTATGTTGATAAAGAGTTCTAACGAAGTATTTTTATGAGTGGGGATGATAAATTATCCCTAAAAGATTCATCTTCTTAAAAAATTTTATTCATTTTTTCATTAAGTTTTGCTGATATATTTTTCATAATTTGAGTTGTTTTCTAAGTTATTACATTCAAAGGAGCTTAAACAATATTTTCTTAATTGATGTCTATAAAATAAAAGTTTTCAAATAGATGTACATTATTTTAAAGGATAGATAGTCTTTTTTTGCTAACACTGAATGTAATTTAACTTTGAATTAATTATTGATCCTATTCCCAATTCTTTTTTAATCAAAAATTAATATTATAAGTTTATTTATTATTCCTACTTCAAATTATTTACTTCTTTACTCTAAGAAATGAAAGTATTTAACTAGTTCAGCAATTCCAATTAGCTTGAAAAACTATTACTGAATTAGCTAATTTAGGATAGATTGCTTATTTGTCTTTCTGCTATTTTTTATATCTCAAATATTTGGCTTGGAACATAAATAATACCTGTCTAGTTTGAAATTATCTAATTCAAATCTAGCTACTAATCTTAATTGATTTTATTCTTGTCTTCCCCATTAATAGTGGTAGTGGTAGTAGCATTGTTATTATTATTATCCCCTTTACAAATTTAGGCGATTTCACTCGTAATTTATTTGATAAGCTAAGGAAAAAATAAGAAAAAATTTATTCCCATAAGCTATTTAAGCTCAAAAAGCTCTATAATTTCTTAAGAATGTTTACTTGCTTTAACCTAATTTAAAATATTTTAAATGAAATTTAAAATCTTTGTGTGAATATATATGAAGGTTAGTTACTTAATTTAGAGCATAACAAAATATAGACTTAAATAATGCTTCTGTTATTCCTACAATTTAACCTATACTGTTGATAATTACAAGTTTCTATTAGTCATCTTCCAATTTCTAAAGACTTCCATTAATAATAAAGTCATTAAAACTTGGATGAGGAGCCTATAGGTAAATGCGAGCCTATTGAATAAAACCATTTTATGTTCTAATTGCTAGTGTGCTGAATGAATCAACTAAATTTGATGTCCCTTTATCTAAAAAATTATCAATAAACCGATTGTGAACTGCAGATATCTATTCTGGCATTAGTTCTTGAATGTATTTAATGCTTGAAAAGTCTTGAAATTAATAGCTAAAAAAACTAGCCATCTTAGGTGTTAGCTAATTAATAATTCTACCTCTATCTTATACTATACTGATAGTTAAGTAGCAGACAGTATTTTTAATAATATCTGAATTAACGTTTATTATACTGATTAAATGTGATATTCCTCCATATCTATTCAACATTTCTTGTAATTACTATTCCATTTTAAAGCATTTTCGTTATTCATTTGTAACTAAGCTAAAAAAAATTGAGTAAATCTATTTTTAACAAAATTAATTAAAATTTGTTTAATATTTTATCAAATAAATTTTGCTGTTTAATTTTGATAATTGATAAAATAAATTTTGTTGAATATTTTTAAGAAATTACTTTGAGAAATAAAAAGTTATCTTCCAATAAAGCTTAATTCTATGGAAGGGTATAGAATGTAACTATTTATTGCTTTAGTTATTCTCCTTTGAGAGCTAATTGAATTACCTAACTGGAGAAATCATCTAATTTTTTATAACCTTTTAATGTAGTTTTCCAAAAATTAATCTTTTCAGTGAGATAATTTTTTATTAAAGGTATAAATTCGTCTTTTTATTGGAAAGTCTATATGATTAGGTTGAGCTATAGCTATTAGTTATCCTGTTTGTCTTAAGTAACTAGTTTTTTGTTTTTTAGTTCCATTAAAACTCCTATTTTTATTTCAATATTATTTGATACTAGCTTGAAAAATAAACTTTAAATTTTTAGATTTTTCTTAGACGACTTTAGCTGGTAATACGCTTTGACAGGATTTTGGAAAAAATTAGCTATAAAAGTGATAAATTTTAGCTGCAAATGCTCTAAATGCTTTAAATTATATAAGCTATAAGAGTAAGACAGATAAATTTCAAACTGCTTATAAATGAATTAGATGATAAAATGCATATCTATTTCATTATTTGAAGTGATAAATGATTATTATTTACAAAGACATTCATTTTCTGAGCAAAACTTTTTATGATAAAGTAAGGCTTCTATTAGCTAGTATTTTGCTTAATCATCTTTAGCTGAAACTATACTAAGTGAATGCAGTTTTTCTAAATATAGATCAAGTAGCAAAGGGTTACTATTTATTTTAATATCATAATATATTTTACCTTTATAAAGATATTGATAAGAAATAAAATTCTTATTCAAATATACAAAATATTTCATAAAAAAATTAAATATTTTATTAATTGTAAAGGGGTTTTGTTTAAAATTTAACAGAATCTTTACTTTTTAATGTCACTTGGTGTGTATTTCAAAATTTGATAAAAACGTCTTATATTAAATGAGATCAAAGTGTATGCAAGTATAGATGTCACCAAAAACCCTAAATAAAATATCTGCCTATCATCTATCAAATTTTCAGTATTCGTCCATATTGCTATTACTAAGCTAAAAGATATTGAATAGGCGCATAATATTGCATATGTATTTGTGATAAATTCATTTCTAAATGGAATTTAACAAAGTAGTTCTAATAAATTTAAAGCTTAGTAAATCCCATTTAAAATGTTTTAAATTTTAAACATATTATCGTAATAGTAGTAATTGAATATAATGGCTACTACAATTCCAGTCTTAAATATAGAAACTAGTGAGTATTTCTTGTGAAGTAAATTTTCTTCAGAAAATGTATAGCATCTAAAGAAATAGATTATAATAATATTCAAAAATATTGCCTGAAGAATGCTTACTAGTCCTAAAACTTGGAGCTAAACTATATTGCTGCAGTTTGGATTATTTCTGTTACTATAAAGAAACGAAGACTACGTACACGTGATAATTCCTAAGCTTATTTCAATAGTAGGAATGAAAAAAAGGTATCTATAAAATGTCAAATAAGTTTATAGTAAGTAATTTAAACTTTCTAATTTCTACTTTTAATATAAATACCATTTTGGATAGAATTACTTTAAAAATGTTATTAAAATAATGTAAGTGAAAAATAAATAGATGCCAATTTAAAAAAGTCCAAAGACAACAAGCGTTAAAGTATCATCAGATTTGTAATACAAAAGATAAGTGATTGTAGATGCTTCATTTATCCTTAAAACCGTTTATAATTTATCATCATAAACAGGTTTAGGTTATTTCGTGCAAATAAAATATCCAGATGACTGTAAATGATGGATAATTAAAATGGTTGCAAAAGCTCTCTTACTTAAGTTCATCTTGATTGTTGAATCAACTAACTCTGTAATTGTTTCAAAGAAAATCTCCATCAAACGAATTTTCATTTTATGTTTGTTAGTTTCTACTTCTTACTATTTACTATTTGGATTTGATCAATTATTAATACTTTGCTTTAATTAACTCTACTGATGTTTGTTTGTTTATAAATAAACAAATAACAAAGTATATAATATATTAGTTAAAGCTTTAAAAACAGATCGAAATACAAAAAATTAATTTTTCATTATTTTTCAATATTAATTTATTACATTTAAAGGTATTCATTTCTGAAAGCGTTTTTTTGCAGTTTAAATTGAGAAATTTTATTTAAAAAGTTCTTTTTATATATTAGATACAATAATAAATAAATTGATTTCATTTCATTTAAATAATTGAATAATTAAAATACAAAAACAAACACACGATAATTTAAAACAAATAAAGCTATAAATCAAAACATTATTTGTTTAAAAAATTAAAAAAAGAACATCTATCAAATAATATTTAAAATATATCTCTAAAACTTTCTCTCAAAGGCTCTAATTCTATAAGATATTATATACCCTATTATTCACTAAAAATACCCTCTAAATAAAAATTTATTTTAATTTTATACTTGAAATATATTTAATTTAACATTAATTATAAAAGTTGGAGTGAATCAAATATTAATGAAATACGATTTATGTATTTTTATTTATTTATTTAGGTTTTCTTCTTTTCAAAAATACAACAAAGTTATTTTAAAATATTTTAAATTAAATATTTTTCTAAGATATTTTAATTATTAGAAATTTTTCTTAGAAAATTCTTGATAATAAAATAAAAAAAATATCATTTTATGAAATTCTAATGCAAAGAATGTTTGTTTTTATTTTGTTTGATAAAATTTTTACTTTATAAAAAATATCAGACAGAATTTTACAAATCAAAAAACATAAAATTATTTTTTATCAATAAAATTATTTGAAATATTTTTTAAATGAAGTTTGTTTTGGCCTTTGTTTGACTTCAATTTACAGGCTTGTAAGTTTCATAATCAATATAACCTTTTTCTCCACCTTTGTAAAAAGTTTCAACGTCATAATTGTAGTTTATTGGCCAATTATTTTAGTATCTGATAGGAAGGTCAGGGTTTGAAATAGAAAGTTTACCGAATGAAACAGCCTAAACAGTTTTATTAATTGTGAGTTTTTCTGCTTCTTCAATGGTAATACTATCGTTACCTACTATATTACCAGAGTAGTATTTTCTTAGAGTATTAAAAAGATCAGGTATTTGCTAATCAAGAGTAACATTTAAACCTTTAGGTATAAAATTGGCTATTCTTTAAGCATGTCTTCTTATTTCAACAAATGCTAACTTTCTTTTCTCAAATTCTTTGAGGAGATATTAATATAACTCAAGTGGGTTACTATCATACATGTCTTAGAAATTACCTGTTGGTGAAATTCTAATAGCAGTTCTTTCAGGACCAAAGACAGAAATTAAAGCATCCAGAACCTCTAAAGCAAATCTACTACGATTTTCAATTGATCCACCATACTCGTCTGTCCTATCATTGACACCATTTCTTAAGAATTAGTCTACTAAGTAACCATTAGCACCATGTAATTAAATTCCATCAAAGCCAGCCTCTTTAGCATTTATAGCTCCCTATCTAAACTACTCTACAATTTCTTTTATTTCAGGAACTGTAAGTCTATGGGGAGTATCACTACCAGGGTCAGAAAGGGGAACATCAGTAGAAGAAACTATTTTTTTTCCTCCTGTATTTTAAAGTTTTGCAGCCCTACCACAGTGCCAAATTTAAAGCATGATTAATCCTCCTTTACTATGGACATTTTCTACAACTTTCTTCCATCCCTGTACTTATTCTTTAGAATAAATACCGCATGAACCAGGGAAGCCATTAGATTATATATCAATTTAGCTGCATTCTGTAATTATTAAGCCATAAGAGGTACGTTAACCGTAATACTCAGCCACTAAGTCATTAGCAACGCCATCCTTTGGATCAGCTCTTATTCTTGTTAGGGGTGCAACAATGAATCTATTTTTTAGGGTTAAAGCACCTAATGTTATTGGTGTATTCATTTTTAGTTTTGGTAAGAATTACTAAAATTTTATTGATTATTATTATTCTTCTTTTTTTAATTTATTTTTAATAAGTTATTGATTGTTTGGATTTGAACATTTAAACAAAGGCTAAGCAATAAATTCTTACAGAATTTTATGTAAATAACAAATAAAGCATTCAAAAGAAAAAATCTGGAAAAAATTGGTATTGATCTTAATCTTATTTCTTTTTTTAAGAATAGTTAATTTTTTAACCAAAAGCTTAAAAATTAATAGATTGCTAAAAAATTAATAGATTTTTTTAGGGTTATTTGATATTCTTCCTGAATATTTTATCATTTCTGGAATAAAAAAAGAAAAAATTCTTTTTATCAAATAAAAATAATTCTTACCTAAAAAACAAAATCATTTAATAAGATAATAAAGTTAAAAAAAGTATTTGAAATAATTTTAAATGTAATTATTTATACTGTATTTTATTTAAATAAGCAAATTTAATATTTTGTAACTTATTGATGATTTAAATTAAACTATTAAAATTTTAATATTCAATTCCTTTTACTTGATAAAAAGGATATAAATTATATATTATATATTTGCTATTTTCATATATAATTAAATTTTCAAAAAAGTATACTTCCATAAATTTTCTCTTTTCTTTCTGGTACTTTTATTTAAGTATTAATTTAGATTGTAAATATATAAATAAGCTATTTTTGAAATTATAATCACTTTGCAGATATTTTATGATTAAAGGTGGAACAAAAAAGAAAAAAAATTAAATCATACAAAGATAAGAAGATAAAGCTATAAAAAACATTTTAAATAGTTTTAAAAGGTATTTATTTATTTAAGCAAGCATATTTGCAATTTTTTAAATTGTTGATTTAAACTAATCAATTAGATTATCATTTTCGATTCATATATATATAAATGCAGTTCGATTAGCCAGCCATATTTGTAAATATTTTTTAAATTTTCTTTAATCTTTCCATAAGAACTTCCACAAATTTTCTTTTTTTTTTCTAGCACTTTTATTTAAAATTTGTATTAATTTGGATTATACATTTGCAAAGAAATTATTTTTAGAATATTTAATATTTTTTCTGATATTCTATTATTTCTAGTTGAAAAAAATTATTCTATGAAAATACTTAATAAAAAATTCTTTCAAATATTTTAATTTATTCTGCATAGCAAACAAATAAATACAGTTTTTGTATTTACTATTATCAAGTAAAATTTGCTCTTCAAACTTAATTATTTACATGCAAATAATTAATATTATTACTTTCTTATTTATATTTTAACCTATTCAAGTTTAGCGTTTAGATTTTTATTTATTTATTTATTTAAGCATTTTTAAAAATCTTCAAAAAGAATTTCCTCAAAATTTCTAAAAAATTAATTAAATTTGTGGGCTTCTTGATTTTAAATTTAAAAATCAAATTTACTCTAAATTTTATTATAAATATTATGTAATTAAAATAATTAAAGAAAAATATTTTATTTAAATTTTTTTTAACTCGTAAACTTGTTCATAAAAAAGCTTTTTGCTTTTCAAAAATAATTTAATTTCTTCTAAAAATAAAAGTAAAAATTATTATTTACAATAAAGCCAAATTAAAATAAATTTAACCTAATAAAAGATTTTATTTTTGAAATTTTAATGATAAAGAAACAAATACATAAATAAAATTTTAATGAAAATATAAATATCATTCTTCATTTATATTTCCTTAATTATTTAAGCATATTTATTGTGTTTTCATCAAGAAGTTTATCATAAGGAATTAATGTTAATGTAAAATTAATGTCAACTATATCGTTTTGAGTATTTTTGGTATACACTACTATAACTAAGAAGGTTATAAGAGTTAAAAATGGGAGTAAAATTAAAAAGTATATCTTGAAAGCGGTCAAATATATGCTACTTCTATCTTGAAATGCATAATTAAAAAGATTAATTACAGTAGAAATAGAGTTAATAGGGGCTAAAAATCCTTTTGTGATAAGCTCAATATGAATACTTGAGTTTAATATTGAGAGCATTTATTATTAAGAAATTTAACTATTCGTAAATTTATTTGCCACGATATATTCTTCAAGAGAAATCCCATAATGTATATATTAATTAATAACTCCAATAACTCCATTTTATAAAATATTTTTAGTCTCAGGATCTTTGCATATTGATTATAACTAGTATGAGAAATATAAATTATTTTGAAAATGAATCTAAGAATTTTGTTATTCACAAACATCGTTTTACAAAACATCAAATATAAGATCCTTGTAAGATTTGTCCATTTAAGTTTAATCAGAAAGTAGCTGCATAAAATTAGATTCAAATTTCTACAGAACTTAAATTTAACTCTGATAATATAAATAATTTTCAGTAATGTTTTGTTTAGGAAAATTTTTAATATTTTCCTCTAAATATAATTAAGTCAGCAAGAGTTAGCTGACTAAAATAATAGAGTCAGCAGCTCTTATTGTATTTAAAACTGTGTAGTAAATATCACAAGCTTATTTAAAATTTTCATTCTCCTTATTAGCAATAAACAAAGCAAAACCTACAAAAATTATACCTGTTGTAAATATGCACCCTCCTATAATAATTTGCTTATAATTAAATATTTTTCGACTAACAAAGCTTGAAGATAAAACTCTTTACTTTTGATTATTTTAAGATACATTTTTTTCTTTTAATTATGATGTTTAAGATTTAGAATTCTTTTCTTCAGTATTTATTTTAACTTTATTATTAAATTTGCTTTCGTTTTTCTTTTGTCCTTTTTTTTTTAGATCAGACTCTTGTTAATTGAAATTTTTAGAAGAAGAAACTGTTAAATAGGCACCATGACTTTGATGATTTGAAATTTGATTAATGAAATCAATTTTTATCCAATCTTCTTTTGTACTTTAAATATGCTTTAAGCAGCTTTCAAATTTTAATACTTCATTTTCTATTTCGCTTGTATTAATTCTCGAAATAAGTAAAATGACTTTCTATTTGTAAAAATTTATTCTTTAAATAATTAAGATTATTATCATAAAGCAAAAACTACTTAATCCTATACTACAATAAAATAATATTTCTAAGCTAGATGTTTGGTCTTAGCTCTCTTATTTTAATTTATCCATAATATTATTGATTATATCAAAAGCTTCTTAATTCATATAAATATGATTATTTATCATAAAAAAGAAACCATCTAAATCAAATATGAGCTTTGGTGGTACTGAATTACTTGCTTAACATGCCAAAAGCGCGTTATTTTGTTAAAGAAGAAAGCCTTCAGTGAATTTAACTTACACATCAAACCTTTATCTATTATAAATTAAATATAAAATTGTAATTTTAATTAATATAAATTTAATGTCTAAAAATAAATAAAAACATTTTAAAAAAATTAAGTTACAAATTTGAAAAAACCTGTAAATCTAAGTTTAATAGTGGAAATTATTAGGCATGATCATATATAACTTAAAATATATAGCTAATAAATCCATTGTAAAATTGAGCATTGTATACACAAGAATAGCTTTCAATAGGAGCTAGCTTTTCAATTAATTGTAAATTTAAGATTGGAGTTGGCAAGCTCATAAGATATAAATTATAAGCGTTGTTTGTTTAGTTGGCATAGATTTACTAAGATATTGAAGTTGAGTAGCTGTTTACTAAACTTTTTTTTACATGGCTCAAAAAAGCTTAGACAATCTAGTAGAAAAAATAACTAAATAAAATTAAGACTGCCAAGAAAAAAACTATTTTATTAACAAAATTAAATTAAAACTATTTTTTTTAATTATTTTATTAAGATAAAAATAAATAATTTATTTGTTAATTTATTTTCTCTCTTTTTTTTAAATAAATTAATTTTCATCATAGACTTAAAAATTTACTAAAAAGGGCAAGCATCAAGAGTTGGTTTGTTAATGAAGAATTTTTTTGAATGATTTCCTGTATTATTTATTAGCTAAAATTATTTATCTTGCTTCCTCTTGATGTCATTGTTTGAGAAGCTCCTATTTCTTCCTTTTATATATTCTGCTTTTAAATTTAATACTTAGGTGCATTTTGTGCTCTATAATCAATTGAAGAAGAACTTTTGTTTTGATCGTTAAGGTTTTTGGAATTTTATTTTATTACTATTTTTTATGCATTTTCAATTAATTTACTCCATTAACTTCCTTCGTCTTACTCTTAAACATCATCTTTGAAGATATTTAATTAGGAGTTGCTTTTTAAAATATTTAATTTTTCTTTAACTCTATTAAGTCTTTGCTAAGAGTAACTGAGGATATGAGTTTAGCTTTAATTTTAATTGCTACTATTTTCTTTAAAAGGCATTAAATTTTCTTAACTTTATATTTGCCTTGGGCTTATTATTGTATAGGTGTTTTACTAATTATCTTCTTAACTAAACAATCCATTGTCCTTAAGAGAATTTATTCTATTTGAATTAATACTATTTAAGTATAAATCATTATCATTTTATTCTTTTTCTTAATTAGGATTGACATCTATTTCTTATTTTTTTGAGAAAAAAATAATTGATTAAGTATAAAAATTTAAATAGAAAAAATTTTAATTAAGCTTTTTACTCTTTTAATCATTGAAAAAAAATAGGTTTGACTCATCTTTAATTTTATTAATTTGATTTTCATTTGGATTTCTAGCTGTTTCATCAGCACTTAAATTATATGATAAGTCTTTCTAACTAATCTATTGATTATAATTTTGTACATTAATATGATTTAAGCTAGGTGCGTTATTTAACGTTTTTTTCTTATTAATGACTTATGATTTAGATGATTTTTGACCTAAATTAGCTTGATAATTTATTTAATCTACTTAATTATTTTTTAAGCTCTAATGAGATTAAAAGAAGTTACTTTAATCTATTTTTAAACCAAAATCAGAAACTCTATTCTAAGATTTTTAACTCTCTACTTTTTTAAATTTAAGCTATCTTTGAGGAGGAGAACTTTATGAATTAAAATTATCAATATCTTAAGAGCTTTCAAAATATTACTAATTCATATCATTAAAAGATGGAATACTCGTTTACTCAGTATAAGAAAGCTTTTCCTTTGCTTAAGTTGAAGGTAATTATTACCCATCTACTGTCTAGCTGTGTGTTTTTTGTGAATCAAAATCAAAAATAGTCTTTTATTTCTCTGTCCTAGTATTTTGCTTCAACTATTTTGAAGTCAAATCAGTTTTTTCAACTACCTCCATAACATAAATTATCTTTTTCTAAATATTTTATTAATTTTAATCCTAGTAAGTATAAATCTTTTATTATATATTTAGTAGCATAGAAAATTAGCAAAAAATATGCTCCTCATCATAATCCTATTAAATAATAATAAATTTTTTAATTATTTGAAAAATAATCTCATTTAATTAAAAAATAATTTATAATTAATTTCTATAAAATTGGCTTTTTTAATAAAGTTAATTATTTAAACTGAAATGATATTTATTTGTATAATAAATCTAATTTAAAAAGAAATTAGGGTTTTTTATATATCGATAATAGTTTTTTCTGCTTTAATTCATAAAAAATTTTTTGTGTTTTCAAATTCTAAGTTTTAAGAACATGAAAATTAGATCCAGCTTTTTTTATGAAAGAGAAATATTTATTTATTAAAACTAAATCATTTTTATACATATTAAATTTAATTTATAAATTTAGTGAAAAAATATATTATTTGAATTGAATTTAGCTTTTTTGGTTTGGAGGAGAGTAGTAATATTAATTAAAAATATAAATTGCTGCCATAATAAATTACCTTTAAATGCTATGTAAGAAATTATTCGACTTATTCTTGATTTTTTTATATTTGCTGATCATTATTTATGTTTTTTTTATCAGATAAACCATTCATTTAATTTTTATATAAATTATTTAAATGAAAAATTCTTATTGGTAAAAATAAATCACTATTTTAGTTTATGCAAATTTGAGAATGCTGATCTACTAAAGAAGCCTCTAGGTTTATATTTAATTTTTTTTAAGGGCTCTTAAATTTATTGTACATATTTACAACACTTTATTAATTCTACTAATGCTTCTTGACTATTTTACTGATTTAAGGCATAAGTAAATAAATGTTGAACTTATATAAGAATGATTGCAGCTCAATTATATAATCTCCCTATTTGAAATATAAAAAATTATTAATTGAGATATTCATTTCTAATTAAATATATAAATACTGGAATTGGATGAGGACCATCAATGTGAAACAATTATTTAATTTGTTTATCGTATTTTTCTCTTTTTTAAAAAATTAAGTTGAACATATTTTAAGTAATTCCTTAAATATATCCTTATTCATCAAACACAATATACTCTCTTTATTATACTGTTTTAAGAAGTATTGCTTGTAAGCAAAAATCTTCAGCTTGGTTTTAATGATTCTGCAAATATAAATTTATAGGCTCAATAAAGGAATCTTTGTTTTTGATAAATGTAGAAATTTTATCTGAAATAATTGGGGAAAATCCTCTTTATATCATATTATTAATACAGTTATCATGAATCTAGCTGATAAACTGAGGCATCAATTCGTTAATTTTATCAATTTATTAGAATTCCTTTTGAAGATACCCAAAAAAATTAGCTAACTTCTCTGTTTTTTAGCTGATTATTTTACCTAGATCTTATGATAGACTTATTTTGATTGTCTAAACATTTCCCTTAACTATATTATAGCTATTGATAATAATCTAAGACTTCTAAAGATCCCTATTATACAATGCACTGTAAAGTTATGAAAACTTAAAGGCCTACAAATAATCTGAAGTAACTGTGCATTTATATATTTCTATTATCTAAAAAAAATAAAAATCATATTCTGTTTAATTTCTGAAGAATTTACCTTAGCCAATGTAATATTTGAAGATGTAGTCACTTTATTTGTAATGGTCTGCAAGTTTTTTTAGTAGATTTTTTAGATTTTTTTTGATTTCTTAGACAAGTCTGTAGCTAATTTGTAAAAGCTTAAAATATCTTAGCTTTCAGAAACCAATAATTTTCTCCAAAACTATATTTTATGCTCAATATATTAAGCCAATTCAGGGATGATTTCACTAATTATTTCATCTGTTTGGAATATTTAACTAGTATCTAGCTCTTCCTTGATTGTTTCAAGATAATTATCCACAATTTTAGTTTTAATGTAAACTTTTTAATTCATACTCATTATCTTTTCTATCTTGCTTGATAAAACATTTTTTATTAAATCAAAATAAAAGCTAGTATCTTATTTTTTTGAAATATATTATTTTAACTCATAATAAGCTTTAGTTGGTCTATTCCTTGTTCTTGTTAAGTATGTGATGTACTTCAAATAAAGCTGCTCAACTAGTTTAAAATCTACATTTTTTAAGTTTGATTTAAGAGTTCTGTAAAAGATTTATTCAATCAGAATGTAAACATCTTCGTGACTTAAATTATCTTTCTTATCCTTAAAATTGCTGATTTTACATATGCATTAAAGGTGAGTGCAATGTTATTGATGTAGATTAAGCATTTCAAATATTTTAAATTTGCTACATTCATCTTTTGTCTGTTGGTCTGATAACTTATACATCATTTCTAGATAATCATTAAGATAATACAACTTCTGATTTCTATTAATTATAATTAAATAAAATAAATTTTAAGTAAATTAAAACTTATGTTGTTTTCCTTCTTTAAATTAAACTAAAAATATTTTCATTTAATTGTTAACAATTAAAATAAACTTCAAATTTGCTTATGTATGAGATAATAATTACATTGATTTTTAGCTGAGATCTATGAAAATGAGATTGAAGTACTAATTGGCTTGTACAGACCGTAAAATAAAGAAAAAGAGACTAGAAAATATCAATATAAAAAATAAAACTGAATAAGGTCTTAGAAGGTTAGAATAGGTCCATATAGTTAGAATCAGCATGCTCATTCCATAATAGGAGGTAAAAAATGTGTAAATAATATTTATTAGTTCATGAGAATAGGGACATATGTAAATCAAATCAAAAGCCTAAATGACTCCTATGATTTAGCTTACTATATAAAGAGTTGTGCTAGATTCATAGACATAGTAAAAGAATATGAAGATGAAAAAACAGATCTACTGAATTATTTACAAATAAGAAAATACTCTTTTTAATAATACTTTTTCATCAAATTAATAATTCCTATAGAAATATACTACTACTAAACCGGTAAATACAGTTTATATACTTCCTATAATTGATAAAATTATTAAGTAAGGAGGCTTGCTTGAGCAGTTTTATTACTTAGCATAATCAGTCAAAAAGCTCTGTTAGTTGCAAGAGAGCATTTGGATGTTAATTTCCAGAAATGGAATCAAGAAGACAAATTGATAGAATGTGAAAAATACATTTAGAATCTAATTAATATTAATAAATAGGTTTTATTTCTACTTGAGCCACTCTTCATGATAAATTCTTAAAAATGTTAGCACTCCAACATAAATATAGTAGAAATATATTATAAATTAAATTATTCCAAATCCAACTAAAGTCAAGGCATCGTTACCCTTTAATTTGAGTAGATAAACTCCTGTTGATATTTCATTAATTAAAGCTAAAACATAATACTAATCATTATTAATTGGTTTAGGCTAATCCCTGGTGAAAATGTATCCACATAACTAGAAAAAATAAATGCATACTAACATAATGTAAAGAGGTAGAGGTATATTAAAATTAGGCTGATCTTCAATAATTTAAACAACCGTCTGAAAATAGCTTTTGAAAATCCTTTTTATAAAATTGGCCATATTAACTAATTAATATATTAATTAAGATGTTTAGTAAGTTAATAGTATTTATTATTTCCTTTATTTTCTTATGGTAAAAACTTTCCTTATGAATTTTTAATATTAATTACAAATATAAATCAAATTTCACAATTTAAGTTAATTTTCGTTTTATTTAAATAAACAAATAAAAAAATAAGCGTGAGTTCAAAGTAATTTATTAAATGTATTTTTAAAAATAACAAAAAAATATTTCGTTACAATATCTTACTTATCTTTTTGATAAATTTATCAATAAACATTAATTTTTTTAGTTATTATTTGTATTTAAGTTATTTTTAAATAAAATGAAATTTTATTAAAAATATGTTCTAAAAATTACATTTTTTAATCAAAAATTATAAAAAGACACTCTAAATTATTACTTAGCTATGTTCAATAAACTTTGTTTAAAAATTATTTTTGTTGTTTATCCTCATAATTTTTATGCTAAGAAAAAAAAATGTAATTTATGAATATATTTCATACTCATAATACATTTTTCATTAAAAATTTGATAATATTTTTACAATTCACACTTTCTTATTATCATAACTGATGAGGGATAAAGGTGTTTAAAAAATTGATTAATTTAATATCTTATCAAGAAATGAAAACTTTGGTAAAGAAATTAAAAATAGAATCTAAATATTTTTTTTGATATCTAATTCTTTTAATATAAAGGCTATAAAATAAATAATATGTCATTAAACAAAAATTTTTAATTATGAAATTGATAAAATAAATTAAAGTATGTATTAATTTAGACCAAAATTAAAAAATTAGAAAATTTCCAGAAAAATTAATTCATGTATGCTTACTCACTCTATGGATCGATTGATAAATAAATACTTTAATTCTCATAATTGCTTCTTTTTTTTTGATAAAGCTCGCACTTAGGTAAATACAATTTATTTTATATGTTTTCAATCACTATTATAATTAATTACTCTTTGAATATTAGAGAATTTGTTTTTATTTAATGCAATTATAATTTAAACAATATAAAAAAAAATTAACTTTTCATTAGATGCAAGATTTTCACTTTATTCAAATTGTATATAGCCAGCCAGGAATGGTAAAATTTCAAATAAAATACAAATAAAATATATTAATTAATAAATACTTTATATTATATGTTATTATAATACTAATTTTTATTCTAATCAAACGAACGTTTCATTATGCTTGGCAGAAAGGTGTTTATTAAATAAGACTCTTATATCCATATAAAATATCCTTTCTTATTAGATAGATCATCATTGTTACTATACTTAATATACAAAGACCAAATACGATGAAGACTAATGCGTATCCATTTTTTCTTTTTTCAACATAATTATAGATACACTTTGCAATAATAAATCCACCAACAAAAGAGAGAAGAGAAAATAATACAATTTAGGCATAACTTAAATAATGACTTGTGAAAACCTAAATAATTGTAGTAGTAGCAATAAATAAGTAGTTGAATCCACAAGTAGCAGCTACAACTTAAGGATGAACTCCGATTGATAGTAAAAGTGGCACTAAGGTAAGACCAGCTCCTACACCTACAGTTCCTGCAACCAATCCTGCTGCTAAACCTTTTTGATTTAATTAAATTTTTTAATTTACAGTTCTATCAAATTATTTTTGTTAATTCAGCAAAAAAGTAAATGATTGTAAAATTAAGTCATAAATTATTTTCGCCATTTCATATTTTTTATGAAATGGATAAATAAATATAAAATATGGCTGAAAAATTATTTTTAAGAATTAAATATCCATATTTTACCTGCTAATAAGACTACAAAATAGTGTGTTTTATTAAGAACGTTAAAGTCACCTTCGAATTCCTTCTATAAGTTGTATTTCTTAATTATTTCATTTTTATTTTTTGTCCATTTCAATAGATAATACCTAATTACAAAAATGGCAGCAACACATAAAACTAAGATAGCACCATTAGAAACCCAATAAGAAGCAGAGCATGTCTTAATACCAACAAAGCTCTATAAGCCTTTTCCACCTCTTTAAAAGACTATGTATTAAATTATGCAAAAAATTATCACTAATAAAAGAATTTTTTTTTTTGGGAATTATTAGTATTCCTCATCATAAAAGGCCTTTAATTCTTCAGTCATAATTTATTCCTATTTGGGTTCTTCTGGGGTCTCTTTCAAGGAATTTTAACTTACTATTATTGATCCTCTTTTTGTCTTATCTTTAGGAGGCTCTTGAGGAACGTAGTAAGAATTTACTCTTTACATTAAAAGTTAGTCTTCTAGTTAAGCTGCGCTTTCCATTTTTTAGATACTGGGAGATAAAGGAGTTATTTATATTGGAAGAATGGTATTTGTTCCTGTTTTATCAGACACTTATTCTTTCAGGATAGGATTTGATGTGATTAAAATTCTCTAGTCTTAAACGGTATTGATTGGATCTCCGTTCATTTTTTGAATATCGTTAACGTTCATTTCAAACACTTATACTTCTCCTTCATTTTTTCTCTCTACTGTTTCTAAGGCTTTTGCTTCAGGTTCAATCTATTGTTATTACTTTTTAGTTATTTTATATAAGCTGATTGCTTTGAATAATATGTATGGTGCTATGAGACTAAGATAGACACATATGATTACACCTGCAACTATTTCAGGCATTAGAACGTTCAGCAAAATACCAGCATTAGTACCTAAAAGAACCATTGGATTAATAACTAACACTATATTATAGTCTATAATAGGTTTGTTAAAGAGTGGGTGTTTCTTGAAGATGATGATGGTTGAATGGACAACACTGCTTCCAAACAAAATGCAATATGAAATGAAGGTAGCTACCTTTGATGGATAGTTCAGCATAACCGTAATTAAAGGTACTTTAATAATACCACCTCCCAGGCCTCCTACATTACTAACACCTATAATAAAAGGAATAAGTATATACACTATAACTTGGAATGCAGAAGGTGGCCAAAGATCGTTGTAAACACATACTTTATTTGAGCAGTGAAAGTTAAAGTCACAATCATTATTGGTATGACAAGATACTGTACTCATTTCAGATTTAGATTTTTTTTTTTTTTTTTTTTGCTTAGTTTACTATATTTATTTAAGAAATTATTTAATATCATAATAAAATTCAATCTAGAAAACTTCTTTTTAAACGCATGAGAAACAACTAACAACTTATTGATTAGAAATGTTTTTATTATATTTTAAATTAATCAAGTACGATTACATTTTTATACATTTGTGATAATCAATTATGCATTGCAATTCGTTGGCTCAGAACTAGCTAATTATTTACTTTTAGCTTTGAAGTAAATAAAAGAATTAATTGATTTCTTTAAATAGGATCACAAAATATGTAATCCAAACACTTTCTTTAGATTATTTAATCAGCGAATTACTAAATCTAAAGATTAAATTAAATCTAAATAAAAGAGATGTAATAATACTTCTTAAATAATCTGTAAAAACAAATTTTCCCACAATTTAAATTAGCATATTTTCATCAATGTTGACTTCATCTAAATATACAAATAAGATGATATCTGTCATCAAATGACAAATTTTACTTTATCGCGCCAGATTAATTTTTGTAAAAGAAATTTATGTCTATAAAAAACTTGTATACTTTTCTTGTCTATGAACTTTTGTTAAGAATAGAATTATTTTTTTTATAAATTTTTAAAGAATCAAATTTGTCAACAAATAGATTTTATCGTAACCAAGTAATCAAAAGATAATTAATTTGTAACTTACGTTTTTGTAAATAGTATTTTTTGGCTCTCTTTTTAAATTTACGAATTGACTATTCTGATTCAATTGGAAGTAATTAAAATTATGTTCACAATCTTTATTTGAACGGAAATAAAAACAATAATTAATTTCATTTTTTTAATACTCTATTGATCAAAGATTTAATACTTCATCTATTGTTCACAATCATAAAAATCAAATCTAGCTAGAGTAGATTGATTCACTATTGTAAGGTCACATTTTAGATTGTTCATAAAATGAAAATAAATAACAAAAGTTGTTTTTAATAAAATCTTAAAAATCATCTTAAAATAATTTTTTAAAACTCTTAACAAGAGATATTTTATTGAGGGAGCTAAAATAAATTTATTTGATGTTGTAGATTGTCATATTAAATTATATTAGTTATTTGCAAAAAGAATATTAAATTATTCTACATACTCAACTCATATTAATTTATATGAACATATAAATCAATTAATTTTTTTCACAAACAATTTTTTAAGGAGTTATTAATTATCTGTCATAAAACTTTGAAGGATTTTTCTCTGAGAATATAAAAGAATTTAATAATACATCTGTAGCATTATTAAAATTAGAATATCATATTCAAATTATAATAGTAGATTTCATAAAATAAAAAAGCATTCTATGCAAATAAAGGAAAATTAATTTAGACAACATAATTTTACTTATTTAATATAAATAATTTAAAAAATAAAATGAATACTTTAGTAGTAATATGAATAAAAATTATTCTCAAAACGAGGTTGATTAAAAAAATTTTCTTATGAGTAATCCAATTCATTCTCCAATCTAAAAATCTTGTTTTTGGAATTAGATAATTTTATTTAACAGAAATTGATCTAAAATTTACAAATAAATGTAAACCACCAGAAAACGAATTTTCATTAGCTAAATTAATAAAAATAATTTGGTCATATTACCCATAAATTTAATGAGCTAACATATTAGTGAATTCTATCAATCAATTTATGTAAAATTAAAATTTCCTAAACTCCCCAAAAATCAATTTTATATAAATATCTTATTTCAAGTTATTTATGTAAATAGACAATTCCGTATTTCAAAGAGTATCTTCAGGATTAATAAAATACCTATATTTTAATCAAATAACAATTTGATTTACAAATAAATAATCTTTGTACAATAGCAACTCTGTAATAGGGTAAAATTAGATTTTCCTGTATCTTAGAGGCATTAATAAATAATGTCTGAGTATTCACTCAAAGATAAATTACTGATAAACTATACACTTTTAGGTCTTATTTTTTGAAAGTTTTATACATCATATTTATTTATAAATTGATTCTAGTTTTAAAATAAAAAGACATTTTTTATTATAAAAATGCAATTTTTATCATTAGCCACTTCTTTTATAGGTGTAATTATGTTAAGTAGAATTTATATCAAAAAGTAATATTATTCATTCTTTGTTTCCTTTTTGTCTTTTTGAATTATTTACATCAAATTTATCACTTAATTTTTTACCAGAATATTTATTATCAAAAAATGCTCTGAAATTCTTATATTTTTAATTATCAAAATTGTTTATTTTTACAAAAGTGTAAAAAAAGACTAATTAACTTAGCTTCTATTTTAAATATTGACAAAATTTAAAAAAGTATTCAATTTTCTATATTTCAAAATATTTGCTATTAAGTGTTTGATATTTTATAAATGAAATAAAACTTTTTAAAAACCTAAATAATAATTAATGCATTCCCTTATTTTATTTAGTATTTTATTTATTTTTTTACAAACTATTCAAACATTAACCAAAACAAACTAAGACCAATTTAAATAATTTTTATTTCGTCATTTATAAAATAATTATGGTATATTATTTTTATTTTCTTCTATACTTATTATCTAATAAGTAAGTTACTAGAATATACTATTATTGGCTTTTTTATATTAGTGGTTTAGAGATCATATATAACAAAGAAAAATAATAATCAGAATTTTATTAGAAATTTTCAAATAATAAATATAATTGTTTGATAAAAATCCTTTTATTATTTGAGTGTGAGATTAAATATTTAATTTTACATATGAAGGAAATAATTTTCGATGGAATTTTATCTTATAAATTAATTTAATATCTTACTTAAATGTCAAATAAAAATGGTTGGAAGATTTGTTTTTGTTTTTGTTGATTAAATGTATTTAAAAATATTTGTTTGTTTTTTTGTGAATGGTAGAAATAATATGAAAATAAAATAACAATAAAATGAAGTTAACAATTACTTTATTTAATTTTAATAATAATAAAAATTATATTTATTTCATTAAGCTTCACAAAATGGAGTTTGATTAATTAAACTATCCCCTCCATACCTAACTCCTTTTTTGGTGAGATAGATTATAAACGAAATAATATTTAGTATTGCTAAACCAAAAACCATAAAAACAACCAGATAACTTGCCTTTTTTCTTTCAACGAAGTTATAAATAAATTTAGCTATTACAAAACCACCAATAAAAGAGAGGATACTAAACAATACAATCTGCGATAAATCTAAATAACTATTTGTAAAGACTTGAATGATTGTTGTAGTTGAGATAAAGAAATAATTAAATCCGCATGTTGCAGCTGCCACCTAAGGATTTACTCCGGATGCTAATAAGATAGGAACAAGAGCTAGTCCTGCACCTACACCAAATGTACCAGCTAGCATACCAGCAGTCAAACCTATTATTTAAAAAGTTTTAATACAAATAATTTAATATTTGTTTCAAAAAAAATCTAAAAATTTAATTAATATTGGTTTTTTATTTATTTTAAGAAAATAAATAATAATTTTGTGAATGAATGAATTTTAAATAAATAAGTAAATGAATGTCGTTGTTAAGTAGATTAAATATGTAAATTTTATCGATATTAAAATAGAAGAATTAAATTTTCTTTGATCCACTAAAACAAAGAGTGGCATTGTTTACTTTTCTTAATTTATTATTAAAAAATTAATACCTGCCACTGAAATTTTTGCATACATAATACTATTAGTAACATCTAAATCATCAGCAAATTCTTCTTTTAAATTATATTTTTCTATTAAAATCTTCTTATTTTTCTCCCACTTTAAAAGGAAAAATCTGATTACAAAAACCGCAGCAACTGCTAGTACCAATATTCCCGCATTTGTAATCCAATAGCTAATTGAACACGTTGTAATTCCTACAAAACTCTTTAATCCTTTTCCACCTCTGATAAAAACAAGCATTTATACAGAGAAGAAGACCACTATTAGCAATAGAAGTTTTTTTGTCGGAACTTATTTATATTCTTCTTAATAAAATGCTTCTAATTCTTCAGTACTAGTTGGATCAACATATTTTTAGTTATATGATACTTCATTATCTTTGATAGAATTATGGCCTATCAAAATTGATTATCTTTTCAAGCGATCGTCATTTGTTTCTTAAGCTTAAAAATAGGAGTTTGATCTCTCTATAGCTATTTCTTCTTCAATTTGATGAGACCTTAAAAGTGCTTTTGAAGTATTCATCTAACATCCATTTTTTTAATTATTAGTCTAAGATCTGGTATTTAAAGCAGTGATAGACTCTGTTTCAATTACATCTTAATGATTTATTGCCTTCTTGGCATTTTTTAAACTAGATTCTTCATATCCACAATCATTCATGCTGGAATCATGATTAATTGCCAAGTAATTACTCATATCTTTTCCAGTTTCTTACTTAGAAAATCCCTCTTTAGTTTCATTTTCTTAATCGTTTTCTAAAAGGCTTTGACTTAATTAGTTCTTTTGTTGCTCCTTTTTTAGCTTGTACAGATTTAATCCTTTTTTGAACATATATGGAGATACCAGAATCAAAAAGCCTATAAAGAGTATACCAGCAGCTATTTCAGGTAAAAGTATATTTAAGAAAATACCTATGTTAGTTCCTAAAAGCACCATAGGATTAATCATTAAGACTATGTTATAATCAATTATGGGCTTATCATATAAAGGGTGCTTTTTAAAAATAAGAAGAGTCGAATTAGCTAAGCAACTCCCAAATAATACACAGTAAGATATAAATGTGGCTATTTTTGTTTCGTAGTTTAGCATGAGCATAACCATTGGGACTTTTACAATACCGCCACCTAATCCTCCAACATTTCCAATACCTACTACTATTGGAATCAATAAATATGTAATTACATCTAAAACTGATGGAGGCCAAATAGGCTCATGAAGGCAAGTCTAGTCAGAGCTACAATAAAAATTAAAATCACAGTCACTATCTGATTAACATGAAATTGTACTCATACTTAAGGTGTTAAATTATTTGTTTACTTAATCCTTTTACTTGTTCTATTTTTAGTAAATTAATAAATTAATTAATTAATTTTTTTTTTTATGCATTAAACAAACAAGATATAGATAGATTGAATCTTTTATTTGATAAATACGAAGTATTAAACTAATTTTAGTAAATGAATGAATGATTATATTAAATTTGGAGTCGCATTTTACATCTAGAACCCTAATAATTTTGATCCTTATATTTTTTTTATTTTTTAATTTATATATTGTAACTTGGTTTACTACTTACGGTCATATAGAAATTAAAATATAAATTACAATAAATAAATAAATCTTGTTTAATATATTTGAAGTTAAAATTCGTTTGTGGTAATTAGTGAGAACTTACACTATATGAAATTTTGCAATTTATTTATTATTAAGAAATACTAAAGATTTATATTAAATATTATTTACAAAAATTTGCATTATACACTTTGGTATTTATTAAATATAACTTTAAAATATGTTTAATTTATACTTATATAATTTAATTATTTACAAATTTCTACTTTTAATTTCAGTAAAAATTAAAGTTGAATTTTTTTTTCTTAGGCTTAGAAAGAGAAATGTTTAGGATCTCTTCAATATTTTCAGACATTTATTAACTGATAACCTGAGTTTAGTTACAAGTAACATTTGCATTAGCTTCTCTCTTTTTTTTACAATATTCAATAATGTAGTTTGTTACAGGAACTACTAAAGAAAAGCAAATCACTGAAATATGCAAAACAAAAGTTATGATTATAAAAACTATTTATTAATAAAATAAATTATTTTAAATCAAATATTGCTTAGTGAAAGTTTGATAAATAAGTAGTTAATTAAGTAAATAAATTATTACCATAACAAAAATATGATTGTGCTACGCTATCATTTTTAAAAGTGAATGTCAACGCAAGCATTAAATTTAATAAGACTTATAACATTTAGATAAATCTCACAAAATTATTCAAGAATTTTGTTTCAAAAAGCTTAAAGATCAGAGTATAAAGCAAAAATAAAAATTCTAATGAAAAAAATATCCATTAAATAATGTTAGACTAGGAAGAATTAAAAAAAACTAGAACTGCAACATTTGCAGCCTTCTTTACTTCAAAGATGATCCAAAAAAGCTGATAGAGTACTTTATTTTCACGTAAATTCTCTAGAATAGATAAATATAAAAGTTTAGATTAGCAATCATATCTTTGTCTGTAATCCATAAAGAAAATTAATATTTTAATGTATAAAAATAAATATATTATCAAGGAAATAGAAGCCATTACAAAGCTGCATATTTCTTTTGATTCTGTAACATTTTATTTGTTCTCTATTTTTTTTGCTTCTTAATTAAAGAAAGAAAAAGAACTAATCATTATGAAGTTTGAGCAGACCATAAATAATCTAATTAATAAATTCCATCTACAATATTAATAAATTCTCTCTAATATACTATGCCATTTTCCTACAAAGAATAATAAGCCTAATATTATAATGCAAGCAACAAGAACAGAGAATTGGTAAAAACAATTCTATAAAAATAAAGGATAAAATTATTGAACTTCGTTAATCATTAGAAGACGACTATCTGTTTTTTTAAGTATTTCTATGGAATAGTAGTCTATCTAGCTTACATTTTATGCTTTGCTTGAGAATGGATTACTAAATAAAACAAAAAAATTGAAGGCATAAGCATTTTTTAAATGGAGCTATGTTAGTGAAAGCTCATTTATTTTACTGAGGAAATAGCTATTGCCTATTAATTATTAATTCTGCAAATAAAACCAAACAGAACTACTAACTTCAGGGGAAATAATTCCCACAGTACTTCCTATAATAATAGAGGCAAGCTATAATTAATAGTTTACATTACTCAGCTTTTAAGATTATTCTTATTATTCTTAGCACTTGTTTCTATCAACCCATAAACCTATTTAAAATTAGAATAAAGATTAGATGGACTGATTAATTAAATAAATTAATATTCTTACAATTTAGATTTCTTATTTGATTATATAAATCAATCTCGCTTTAAATTTGGTTACTCATTTAGCATGTTCCAGTTAGCAGGCTTTTGGAAAGCGAGTAGCTGCAACTAATGCAATCGGTATTTAAAGGACCATTACATGTATCACAAGTTGAATCGCATAAACCACAAATTACATTTTTAGGGTCTGTTGATTAGTTTTGATTGTAGTAACCTTCTTCACAGAAATTGCAAGTACCACTTTTAGTATTGATATAGTAAAATTCATTACAAGAAGTGCATATTTAAGGGTTAGAGCTAGAACAAGTTGAACAGTTACTGGGACAGAGCTAGCAAGCATTATTTGTATCCAAATAATATCCGCTCATGCACTAAATGCATTTTTAGTTGGAATTACAGACTTGACAATTTTCCTATTGACAGATTTATTGATTTTCGAGATTTCTTAATGAATGTACATTATCACTGCAAATTTATGTTTAATTGTGGCATTCTCTACAAGAATCATGGCATTTTCTACAATAATTCAGAGCAGGATCCATAAAAAAACCTTCCTTACATTTAATGCAAATGTTCATTATTTTATTAATACTTAAACAATTTGGATCATAAAAATGCATACATTAACTAGTAAAGCGTTCAAAAGCTTATTAAAATTTGTTATTTTGACAAATGTGGAACTTGCTATTTTCTAATTCATTTTCTAAATCCTTAATACAAAATCCATTTAAATCAAAATAGTTACACTAAGAGCTTAATGCTTACTGTTTATTTATCTTGCATTCTAAGCATTCTAAATCATTTGTGCAGTTTTCACAAAATTCTTCTTTAATATCATTTTCATAGTGATCAAATTACAAATACTTACCTTAGTGTTTAGATAAACAAAAATTATCAGATTGTTTTTAATTGTGATTTTGACACTGTGTACAAAATTATTAGTAAAAATTGTAAGAAAGAGCCAATCCTTATTATAAACATTAAATTTTTTATAAACATCTATTTTAATATAAATAGTGACCTTAATCACACTAATCGCAGTAAGTTTATTAATTTTGATTTTGCTTACAAATTTTACAATTTTCAATTTTGCATGCATTTATTTATAACATAGATTTGTTTTCAGTATAATCTTTTGGAAGACAAATAAACTCTTTGCTATTGTAACTCATTTTAGATTAAAATTTCTCATCACATTACAAGCATTTATCTTAACTGCATAATACGCAACCATTTTAGCATGGAATACAAAAGTTAGTAGATTGATCTAAATAGTAATATTTTTCAGGACACTTCTCAATACAAGTAATATCACTATCTTCTACTATGGAAAATTATTATTTCTTTTGACATTCTTAAATTTTATAAAAAATACTCTTTTTAATGTTATATCTGTCTTCTAAGTTATGCTAATGTAGATTTGAAATTACATTCATTATTTAATAGTATTAGATATACCACAAACTTTGTTAATTTTATGAACTGATTGGTTGACTTTCCTAATATTCTACACATACTTTTTACCCATTAATTTAGATACCTAAGAATTTATCTAAGCAAATTACACATTTATTATTAATTTATAGACATCCATTTTTGATTTAAAGATTGTTCAAGATTTAATCAGTTAAGTGGATTTAAGTTGAATTACTTAATTAAAATTTGATACATTCACTATTGAGATCTAATTATAATCCATAGGCGCATTTACTGCATTGATTTTTACTTAAGCAAGTTAAGCAATTTTTTAGATAATTTACGCATTTATCATCACTTAAATCAATATTTTTCTTAATTTCTTAAAATATTTAGTTTCTATTTTATCTTTTGCTATTATTGACGCATTAAAATGGTCCACTATTGATAATTTATTAGAAAAATATTAATTAGTTTACAAAAGAACTAATTACAAATTTTAAAAAGTTAAGGTTAGTAAGAACTTTTAAAAAGCAAGTATCTAAGTTTAAAAAAAGGTAAAATTACATAGAGATGTTTGCAGCAGATAGATATTACTAAGTAGTAATATCTTCTATAAATATTTGAAATTCTTTTTTCTGATATTGACTGAAATTTAATTTTATATTTTATGTAATTAATTGAGAATGAATATTATTAAAAGATTGTAAGTATTCAAGGTATTGCATATCACTAGTTAAAACCACAATTTTAAAAGTAATCTAATTTTATCTAAAATACCTAAAAGAAAAAAATAAGTCAATAAAATTTATAAATATACTTATAATTAATATCAATTAAAATCCGTGTAACTCAAATTAATTCCTAATCAAGAAAGTTTTGGCATTCATTTTTCAAATCAAAAAGCTAAAATTTATTTACTTGATAGTTTGGTTTTTTAAAAACTAAATAGTGTCAATTGAGACATCGAATGATATTTCTTCACAACTATACATCCCAAAATCATATAAAAATTATATTTATGGAGTAAATTTATAGAATCCAGAAGTACTAAAAGGATTCAGATTGAGCTAATAAATATAATTGTTTGAAGTTGACCCTAAATCTATTATGTTGTATCCTTTTAGAATAATCTAGCTTGGAACAGGATTTAAAAAAACACCTATAATAAAAAATATAATACTTTAAAATAACAGAAATGAGCTAAATAAAAATAATATACTAGAACAGAATGTTTAAATCACATTTATGAATAATAAAATCTGCATATTTCTCTAAAAAATTAGACTCATTTTATTGATTCTTCTTATCAAAAGCTAATTATTTTTTCTTAATTTTATATTTATAAATTATTTATTTGATGAAAAGTATTTCTTTGAATCTAATTTTTTGTCTGATTCGAATGAAATCCCTATTTTTATTTATTTATTTAATTCAATTTTTATTAAAATTATAATCAAAAAAAAGTAAATTTTTTCTAATTAATTAATTACTAGTTGAACTGTTGAGATTCAATTTACTCGCTAGTTTTTATTCTTGATAAAAAATTTCAACTTACATAAATCAATAAACAAGCTTTAAAATATTTCGAAATATATTTTGTGAAATCCAACCATTTATCATCTAGGATATTTAAATATCTAAAAGTGTATTATTTTTTAATTAATTGATCAAAATTTTGACAATTAAATTCTTTTATCAAAAATTACTTTAAATTTTCAAATCAAAACTTAATTACTAAGCTAACAAAAATGATATTATAAACATTTTGACTTACAAGGTTATTTTTTGATTGATGAATTACAATTTTGTTTTATGGAAAAATCTTTTAGATTATTTAATAACATAAAAAATAATTCAACTGATAAATAGTAATCCTTTTGCTGATTCTTAAATGCATGATTATAAATTTATTTAATTTTTTTTTAAATTAATTTTTAAACCTGAAATTCAATTTCTTTTACAATTTTACAATTATTTGAATTCTTGATATTAAGATAAAATCTTTCTCAAAGAAAAATAGTTAATCTTTTCTATCACTTAGTGTATAACAATTTATTAATTTATTACTAAAATATATTTTTGAAATACAATTTTTATTATTAGGAAATATCTGAAAAATATTAAAATTTGTTAATTTATTTATTTGTTAATTTCATTGAACTTCACAAAATGGGGTTTGATTCACTAAACTATCCCATCCATATCTAACTCCTTTTTTTGTTAGGTAGACTATAAATGCTAATATATTTAGAATTGCTAACCCAAAAACTATAAAGACAATCAAATAGCTAGCCTTCTTTTTTTCAACATATCTGTAGATTAATTTAGCACATAAGAATCCTCCTATAAAAGAAAGAATACTAAAGAGAATAATCTAAGAAATGTTTAAGTAATCATTAGTGAAAACTTAAATAATCGTTGTTGTAGAAATAAAAAAATAGTTAAACCCACATGTTGCAGCAGCTACTTAAGGATGTACTCCAGATGCTAGTAGAATAGGAACAAGAGCTAATCCTGCACCTACACCAAATGTACCAGCTAACATACCAGCAGTCAAACCTATTGTTGAAATAATTTGAAAAGAATTAGCATAATAATTATTAAATATGAAATCAAATGAATATTGTTTTTAAAGTCATAAAACTAGGTAAGAATAAGTAAGCTGTATTTGAATAATCGTAAATGATTGAAGATTTTTAAATTCAATTTTGATTTCTGACAAATAATATGTCTATTCAATCATTTTATATACTGGTTGATAATCAAAAATAATATATATACCTGCTAATGAAATTTTAATATAATTCATATTGTTATTCACATCTAAATCACTTGCAAATTCATCCTCTAAATGATACTTTTCAATAAAAATTCTTTTATTCTTTTCCCATTTCTAAAGAAAGAATCTGATGACAAAGGCAGCAACAAATGCTAATAAAACTATTCCACCATTAGTAACCCAATAAGCAGTAGAACATGTTGTGATTCCTACAAAACTGCTCAACCCTTTTCCACCTCTAATAAAAACGAGCATTTATACTGAGAAGAAAACTACTATGAGTAGAATAAGCTTCTTTGTAGGAACTTGTTTGTACTCTTCTTGATAAAAAGCTTCTAATTCTTCACTTCCAGTTGCATCAACAAATATTTTATTTTATCCTACTTCACTTTCTTTGATTGCATTTTGACTTATCAAAATTGACTACCTTTTTAAGTGGTCTTGATTTGCTTCTTCTGCTTAAAAGTAGGAGTTAGTTCTCTCTCTAGCTACTTCTTCTTCGATTAACTAAGACTTTGATAAAACTTTTGAGCTATCTGATGCTTAGCTATGCTACTATTTATTATTAAATTAAGCCCTAGGATTTTAGGGCATAATTGATTCTACTTCTTAGACGTCTTTTGTATTTTATAACTTTTTGAAGCTAAAAGCATCTTATTATTCTTTTGGGTTCTTGTTAATATCCTAATTGATTTTTTGGTAGTTATTCACATTTTTTTCTATTTCTTATAAAGAAAATCCTGCTTTACCATTATTTTCTTCATTTTCTTCGTTTTCTTAGTCATTTTCTAAAAGTTGCTCGCTTAATTAGCACTTTTATTGTTCTTTTTTCAGTCTATATAAATTTAAACCCTTTTTGAACATGTAAGGTGATATCAATATCAAAAAGCATATAAAGAGTATGCCAGCAGCAATTTCAGGTAAAAGAATATTTAAGAAAATACCAATATTAGTTCCTAATAGGACCATAGGATTTATCATTAGAACAATATTATAATCAATAATGGGCTTGTCTAATAAAGGATGCTTTTTAAAAATGAGGAGTGTTGAATTGGCTAAACAACTTCCAAATAATATGCAGTAAGAAATAAATGTCGCAACCTTCGTTTAATAATTTAGCATAAGCATAAGCATAGGGACTTTTACAATACCTCCTCCTAATCCTCCAACATTACCAATACCTACTACTACAGGAATCAATAAATATGTAATTACATCTAAAACTGATGGAGGCCAAAGTGAGTCATGAACACAAGTCAAGTCAGAACTGCAATAAAAATTAAAGTCGCAATCGCTATCTGTTGTGCATGAAATTGTACTCATTTTAAAAAATATATTTTATATTATATTTATGTTATTATTTAGTTAAGTAATATCTTTGTTTATATTTAATATATTAGATCAATACACCTCACCAAAAATAAAATTCGTATTTCAGCTATGCATTGATTGATATATTGAATAAAAGAAATAAGAGTAATGATATAATATCATTTACTAACTAATTTTATAAATATTTAATCAAGATAATTCATTAACAATTCTTCTAAGGATAAATTTAAAAATATTTGAATAACATACCTAAAAAAATCTTTGGATAGAAAATCTCTAGAATATTTTAATGAAAAACCCCTTAAGTAAAGTGAATGTCCCTTATAATAAATTTTATAAAAGATATAATGGTAATTTGATATGGTTTTTTACCTTTACTTGAATAGTTTTAATTATGTTAGCATTTTTCAAATAAAATCAAATAACTAGACTAAATTAATATTCTCATACTTTTTGGTAAATAATCTATCTACCTATATTTAGTATATATATATTCTGTTCTATATCAATCAAATGTAACAAAAATAAGAGTATCATAAAATATTGAATTATTTTTATCTTAAATTTAATTTTGTTACACAGAAAATTTAGTTAGAAATTATTGTTTCATTTCATAAATTTTTTATTAAAATAAATTAAGCTTTATCATTCTATAATTTTATATTTGGCTAATAATCCAATCAATTACTACAAATAAATGCATTAATTTATTATTACAATATAAAAATAATTACTTTGCTTTTTGTATTATTGCAAAATTCTTTAATTTCTTAAAAATTTTATTTTTTTGTAATTAAAAAATATTATCCATTTTATTAAGTGCAAAAAATAATTAATTTTAAATTAAAAAATTAACTATATAATAATATTTATAAAGAAAGTCAAATATGCAAAAAAATAAATATATTTTTTAATTAAGCTCAGAATCGTAATTTATTATTGTTATTATTAGATGAAGAACTCTTGCTGCCTCCACTGCTTATCATTAAAATTAATATTACAACAATAACAGTAACTAATAAGCACAGTTGAAGACTATTATTTAATAAAAAATATGAAAAATTTATTAAGTTGCTAATTATCATTTCCTAAAATGTAACCTCACATATAAATTTAATAAAAATGTAAATTACGTAGTATTTGTAGTTGAATTTGTCAGTTTTTTTGTATCTTCCATTATTTTGGCAGTTTCTTCTGTTTGGTATTGAGTGTCCTATACAACTGCTACCATATTTTCTTATTTTGATAAATAATTAAGTATTAATTAAAACATGTAAAGAAAAATAGAAATAATAAATAAATAAATAAATATTTTTACCAATTTAGATTCCTTGCTCTGCAACTTTGTTATCTAAATCTTAAATCATAGAAACTGCTTAAGAAAGGTTTCTTAAATAATTATTAAGTAAATATTTTTCTATTTCAAAGAATATCTTAAATTAATTAATAATTACTATAAAACTTCTTGTAAATCTCTAGCTCTTGCTTCTAGCATTTCTTATTCATGCCTTTACTCGTTTATTCTCAATCTTTAACGCCTAATTTATAAACATTTTTGCATTTTTTAGCAACAATTTCATACAATAATATTTTCATTACTCACTTGTAGGTTCTGCATCTACTCCCTGTTCAAATCTATGCTCCTAGAATTTATTTAACTTTTAATTTCTCTGTTCTATATTTGCATATTTTTCAGCTATAATCTTAAACTTTGTTTAAAATTGTTCTAATTACTACCTTTGTTATGCCATATGTATTTCTTTCAAATTCTTTTAATAAGTAAGTAATAATCAATATTTTTCATTTGTGTTAATGCTTTTACTTTATCACTTTGAGAATTGACTGTGATTTATACTAATCTCTCATACAACTTACCCAAAATTTTAGATTCTGCTGCACATATTTATATTTCATCTTTGCTATGAATGAAAAAAATTATTATGATAATTGAACCCTAGAACTTTTGAAGTATTAAAAATAAATCTGTTTTTACATATTTTTTCTGAATTATTCATCAGAACCTCTTAATTCTAACTCAGGAACCTATTGATATATGCAAAATAAATAAGCACTTTCCTTGAATTTTTCTTTTGAGTTAAGTCTACTCAAAAAAAACAAATATTTTTATTATGCTTTACTTTGAGATCCAATGACTTTAAGTATTTTTATATCTAATTGAATTTAATATTCCATTGATTTCCTAAATTTTATATTTCAGAAGAAGGATCTTAATTTTTATTGATAAGGACTTCCTATTATATTTATTAAAATAGCCAGTTTTTATCTGCGAAATTCACTTTGCATTTATATTATTTCATTAGCTAATAAAAATTCATCCATTATATTAAATGAGTTTGAATATACCTTCAGTTCATAATTCCTCTATTTGTTGTTCTATTTATGTTTGATTAAAATGAGTATTTATTTATCAAGCTCATTAATTAGCTTACATCAGATTGAAAATTGTGCATATGCCGGCTTCAAACAGATTTTATTTTTATAATTATTGATGGTCTTAAAGCTAATAACTTAATTTTTTAAACACTAAAAGTGACTGATATTAAAATCAAATTTTATTTTATTAATCAATAATTATTTAATCAATTAATTTTTTTTGGTTATTTATTTTTACCATAAAAACAACTTTGTGAAATAAGAATATTTCAAATTTAATTTGATTCTTAATATCTAATAAAACAAACAATATCAGTATTAAGTATAGATAATCCCTAAACGCAATTCAAGAAATTTCCTAATGATTTTTATTATAGCTAATTTTAAAAAGTAATTCAATTTATATATTAAAAATAAATGGAAATTTAAAATATCTTTAAAAAATTAATGTCCAACCAAAATTTTATATCATTATTTTAATTATTTTTCTATTTAAAAATAATTTGAATAAAAAGAAAATATTTTTTTTTGATTTTCGTTTAAAATTATTTTAATAAAAGATAATAAAATTTAAATATATTTAAAAATACTTTTATGATTGTTATAAAAGAATAAATAATTCATATTATTAAAATGTTCTCACACTTTTTATATTAATATTGAATATGATAAATCAACTAACCAATTCATATTAGCAAATTAATTCATGGTTTTTTTTCTTAATTTTATAAAGCTTTGATCATAAAGATTATAAAAACTAAATTATCTTATCAAATACCTTTCTTGAAATCTAAAAATTTAATTTAGTAAAAACTGTTTTTATTGGTAGTTTATTTTTAAAATTTCTGTAAGTTAATAAAATAAACAAATTATTGATAATAGTAAAAAGAAAATATATTATTCTCTTTAAATAAATATTTTAGATTTTAATTTTAAATGCTTATCTACTTACTTTTTTCTAGTATAAGCTTAATAAGAATACATTGCATTCTCTTTACAAAAAGAGGGGGATAAAATTTTTACTTTTTATTAATTTCCTCTTTTTTAAAATTCAACTTAATATAAAAATAAATAAATAAATAATTATTAAATAGTAGAATTTTTATTTAATTCTAAAATGACATAAAGATTTATACGACTGTTTATAATTCTATCATTCATTCATATTAATTTTACCTCTAAAGTAAATATTAGATTAAATTTCTGTATTAAGAATTTTTTTAGAAAAAAACTTTAAAAAATTAAAATATTATTAATTTAAATGAAAGAAACCAACAAACATATTAAAAACATTTTGATATGAAAATTTCAGAATATTCTCAAAAATTATCCTTTTGCTATCATTATCCTTAATAAAGAGTAAATATGGTATCATTTTTAGATATATAAAATAGAAATTTGTATATAAATATACAAAAGTGTTTGATTACAAAATATTAAATATGGTTGAGCTTATTTTAAAAATAAATTGGGTAAAATACTTTATAGGAAATATAAAATAAATCATATGTTAAATAAGTTGATCTCATCAATTACTAAAGTAATTTGCAAATTTTTGATAATCTTTTGTAAATGTTCTTAGAAAATATCAGAGAAATATCACTAATAGATTAAATCCATACATTTGTAGTTTTTCAATAAAATGTAAAAGTTAGCATAAAAGATTTAGAAGAGTGCTTACCTAAAAACTTAACTTTAATACTAAATAAATAATTGCTTTTTTCAAATTTATTTGCTTTATTAGGGGATTTATCAAAACAAAAAATTTTTTTATCTGTAAGATTTAGAGGAGATAGCAATACTGTATTTTGTAAATTTGGCTTTGATAGGTATTTTGAGTGGATATGATTAAATTTTTTACTTAGATGATTAACTTTTAATTTTGTGAATGGTATAGATTGTTTTATTTACTTATTTATTTGTTTATTTCTTATAAAAAATAAGCATTTAATCAAAAAATATGAAAAAAAGCAATTTAAAAAGATATTACCAACCTGGCTGTATTTCGAGATAAAATTAGATTAATGATTAATAAGGTCAACCATTAAAACATATATAATAACCAAAAAAATCAGGTTTGTTGGATGTGTTAGGTCATTTTATTTATAAATAATTGATTTGCAAATTTACTTTTAAATAATTAAAGAAGAATTAAAAACAGATATAAACAAAATATAAGTTAAAATATTATTAAATTTTATATTTAAGATAAAAAGATAAAACAGCAAACAAATATTAATTTGTTAGTGAATTATAAATATGATATCAAAGAAGAATAGTCTTAAACTATTTTCTTTAGAGACATTGAAGTAGTTTTACATTATTAATTCATTCTCAATAATAAAATCTATTAGAAAGCATTTTGCCTTTTGCGTCTTTGTTCTACTGGTTGAGCATTATAGCTTTCTTTTTATTGGCATAACTTCATAAGTTTTAGATCATCTTTAGCTTTAAGACGATCAAATAAAAATATTAAAATATGCTCTTCTTTACCAAGATTTATCAATAAATATTATAATTTTTTGGATTTTGTTTAGCATAAACATAATAATGATTTTGAAGATAGTATTCTGCTACTTTAAATTCTATTTTAGCAGCAAAAAAGGCCCTTTGATAGATAGGTTTCTAAGTTTTATAATTAGTCTTTATAATTCAGTACTTGTTATGCCTTAATTTTACTTTTCTTTAAATCTGAAAACTCCTCTTGGTTTTGCAAACCTCTTTATCTCAGCATTAATTGGTAAAATAATTTATTTTTATTTTATTTATGTAGAAAAAGCTTCAAAATATTTTTCACAATTCATAGATAAAAATTGTATCTGAAATTGTGTAAATTAAAAATTGTAAAAAAACTAATTAAATTTTCTAAAAAATTTATTTATGTTTTCAATCAAAAAATTAAGAAAAATTTACTGTTAATAAAAGAAGCATTTACTTACAAACTCTGTCTATTTTAATATTTTATGAAAACTTACATTTTTATGAAATTAACAAATAATGTAAATATGATAGGGGTTTTGATCGCCTTCCATGACTATTCATATGAATTTAGAGAAATGGACAGTCTATGTAGGAGGAAATCTTTCTTTCCAGTAATTAAGGTTCTAGTCAAATTAATTTCTTGTACTATGAATATCTATGGATCATATTAAATTTAACCACTTTCTATTTTTTTATCATCCTTATTGTGCTTAGCGGATTTTGTAAAAGAAATTCCATATTATGACATTAGAATATCAAGACTAAATTTATAATTTTCTATTACTAATTTTATAATTTCTATTGTAATACTGATTGCCGTTAACTAAAATAAGTTTCAGAGTATAGCGATAACTTTGCTTATATTAATAGGATTAATGCTCAAGATTGGTTCATACTTGTTTACACTATATTAGTAAAAAATAAAGAATTTTTTCTCTTAAGATTTAACTTTAATTGATTGGAAGTCGGAAATTTAAATTTCTTAGTTAGATTTTTACATAAGGCAGCTCAGTGATGAGTCCATTTCTTTTCATTATGAAGATTATATGAAATCGAATTTGCAAATATTTACTCAAACAATCATTTTAAATCATATTTAAAATTGCCAAAAATTAAAAGACTAATGTTTTTGTTAAGACTACTCCAAAAAAAGTGAAGTAAAATTAAAAAGATTTATTCAATAATTAACTAACTCTTTTTCTTTTCAAATTTTGTAATTACCAACTAACTAACTATTTTAATTGGTTGAGTTAACTAAATAATAAAAAATCTGGAATTACTATTAAATAACTTCTTTTTAAGCTAATTTGTGTGATTAAAAGATAATTGTGTAATCAAAAATAAATAAATTTTTCAATAGGGTTATTTTTGGTATTTACTTTAAATCTAAAAAATTATAAAAATAAATTGTTTTAAAAAAGAAAACAAAATGCTCTCAGAAAAAATTGAATAAAAATAATTAATTTTATTTATATAAAATAAAATAAGGAAAATAATGGTATGGTCAATAAGGAATTCCTCTTAGGAGAGACAGAAAGAAAAAGATTTATAAAAGACTACATAATAGAAATATTTGAGAAATATTTAGATAAGAATAATTAAAACCTTTCTACTGTGCACTTGGAGTATTTTTTCTTTTTGCACGATTATGTGAATAATCCTACTAAAGCTATTATTCTTCTTCATAATACAGAAAATCAATAGTAAAAGGAAGCAACTAACTAATAATTAGCTCTTCTTTCTTATATTAAATAAATGCTTTAGAAAGACTATTTGATTAATTAGTAGTAATATTATAAAGATAAACTGTAAAGCTTTGATATGTAAAAAGTATTAGATTATGATGACAAATTAAAAGATTTTTAAAAGAAGCTTTGCTCAGCTCTTGAAAAAAAGAGAGATTTTTTATCAGAAATTTCTAAAGATACAATAAATTTGTAAAATGTCTACATAGATGGATAGAAACTAATTTCAGCTAGAAAATAGTTGCATAAAGATTTGGTGTGGCTTTATTAAGTTAATTCAATAAACAAGTTATAAGAAAAAATGCTTGATATATACATTAACAATTTATCTTTTGGAGATTTTAAGTAAAGATCTATTTAAATAAATAGCATTCTAAATTTCTTATTCTTATTTTTATATTTATGAAATTAGGGGTTCTTATTACAGAAAATAAAGAAAATATTAATCTAAAACAGATATTGATTTATTCAATGAGAATCAGTGCGTTGTATTTATTTCTCTTCTCAAAGGTTCTCTAGGAGAAATAAAAAGAGTTTCTGATTCTTTTTAAAATATCTTTGATGTCCCACCTAGTGAAGTTTTAAATAAAAATTGTAGCATTTTGATGTAGAATTCTATTGGGAAGTATCATAACGATTTTCTTTAGCAAATGATCGACAGAGGATATATAAGCTAAAATAGGACTAATTATTTTAAAATTTTATTTGGAGTAACAAAATAAGGTAATAAATTTAGAATCATTTATTTAATTAGTCACTTTTATTATGTAATCCTAAAAAATTGAATCGATCCTCTTGGTAGAATTTTATTTTTAAAAAAAATCTAATTATTAAAATTACTATAAAAAGAATTCTATTTAATCACACTCAAGAATTTAAGAGAGTGCAGAATTCCATTTTTTATTAAATTATTATTTTAAATTTATAAAATAGAAATATTACTCATTTATTTTAATTTAAAAAAATAGATTTTGTAATACCATTAGATTTAAATATAAAATTGGATTATATAAATTAGCGAGAATTTGGAGTTTCAGCAATTGTAAAAAGTAGAAATTCAAGTGATTAGAATTATATCATTTTAGAAGGGACTGATAATTTTAAAATATAAAATATGACAGAAAATCTGTTCAATAATTTATTTAAAAGGTTTATCAGCAAAGAAGAAATAAATAAAGTATACCTAGATTAATTTGTTCCAATAATATCTGGTTTCATTAAGGCTAAAATGAGAGAAGAAAAATATTCAGACAATACAAGTGAGCAAGGATAGCATCTAAAATTTCATTTCTTAAATATCTTAAAGGAAGAATAATTTTTAGACACTATTTGCTTTTTCCCTATATAAAATATAAAATATAGATTATTTAATAAATTAGAAGACATAGAAAAATAAATTAATGATAGTTAATTATTCAGTATCACTGAAAATGAAATTTATTAAATTAGGATAGAGGTTTCCTTTTTGCAAAATTAAAATATTAATTAATGCTATGTTCAAATTAAAAATTTTAGATAAGTAAAACGACTTTCAGATAAAAAAGCTGAACTCCATACTTGGTCATAGTAAATGAAAAAATATTGTGGAGTCAAGTACAATTTTGAAAATGTTGCTTGTTTTTTCAAAGCTTCTAAACTACTCTAAACAAAAAATTATTTTCATCATGATAAATAAAATTCAGAAGTATAAAATCAAAATTCTGTTAAGTTATTATAAGTTGAGAAGAGTGTTTTGTATAATGAAGAAAATGTTTAAAACATAGACAATCAATTGCAAGCAGATTAAAAAGATTTAAGCAATCTGCTTTAAGAAGAGCATTCTTCTTCAGAGTCAGTATAAACTTAGTTGAACACTTAACAGAAAATTGATTAAGAAGATTAAGAAGACAGCCATTCAAAATAGAGTTCAAGTAATAGCCATAGTCTTAGTGCAGGCATCATAGAGTCTAACATTTAAAATGATAAAAATAAGAAATCTATTTTTTCATAATAAGAAATACAAATGAGCACATAAATAATCTAATTAATGAGTGAGTAAAACGAAATATTATCCAACAGAAATATTATTCTTCCTAACAACAATTAGTCTTAAATTAAACACTTGAGTATAAATTCCTAAAAATTATTGGATATCCCAGAGAAAATCTAATTGGTGGCTAATGAAAACAAAGACTTAAAATATCAACAAATTGAATTAATACCTCTTTCACCTAAATCACCATTTGCAAGCTATAGAGTAGATTAAAGTGCTTTAAGTCATAGTAATTTGATATCACCTACAAATAATCATTCATTGTTGAAGGATATAAATGACGATAATTTTCATAAAGTGAAGAAAATTTCTGATGTATCAACTAGTCTATTTGGTAGTTAAATAAATAAAGAACTAACTAAAGAGCTAAAACCAAATTTAGCATAAGAATTACATATTCATAATTTGATCCAACACCAAAAACAATAAAGTACAATTAAGTAGGAGAATACTGATGAAGATTCAAAAAATGAAAAATATTAAGCCAGCACTCATTCTTTTAATTCCATTTAAATGAAATTAATGAGAGTAAAAAATTAAATTAGAAGTAAATTCTAGGCAAAAGAAAAAAGAAGATCTACTAAAATGACAAAATTAAGTTAAAAATTTGAATCAGAGTCAGAAACTTCCAAAAAAAATCAATAAACAAAGAAATTTGAGAAAGATTAATCATCCATAGCATCTTTATAGGACAATCAATTCTATGCAAAAAAGCAATTTTTGATTGAAAAGATAAAGTCACAAAAATATTCTAAATAATTAAAATTGATTAATGCTTTCTCTCTTATTTCATTAAGTAATTTTATTTATTTAATAAAAATTTAATTCATTAATTTATTCTTTCATTGATTCGTTAGTTGATAAATTGACTGACTGATTGATTAATTGTTTGATAAATTGATTGATTAATTGTTTGATAAATTGATTGATTAATTGTTTGATTGATTGATTGATTGCTTTATTGATTTATTTATTTATTTATTAAAATAGTTACAATCATACTTATTTCAATTTACTTCTTTTGGGAGATCATATCTTCTTTTAATGAGTAAAATAAAAATTTTTCTTATATCCCTTGGACTTTCAGATTCCGTACAACCATGAGCACAGCAATTAAAGATACAAATTTGAGGGAACTCACTTAGAATAATGCTCTTATGAATGGAATTCCAGATGTTAATGGATACCATGAAATAATTGTTTCAAGGCTTTCAAAAAATTTATAAGATATGAGAGGATACATTTAGTAATATATGAATGATGAAAAAATAAATTTTTAGAGTAAATAATATATAATTTCAACTCAAGCAACACTTTTAGCATATACAACACTTAAGTAGTATCGCAATATTACTGAATTCTTTGGTTATTCGCTTTAAATGTATTAATTGATAATGTTTTAATTTAGTAATTAAATATATTATAATGGTGTTACTGAACTAAATGTTTATAACAATTTTGTTAACATAACTAATTGGCTATCAGGTCTTTAAAATATAACAGTTAACTCTAATTAAAATTATTATGATACAATCAATCATATAAATCTCACCTTGCTCATAATTAACTGCAGTCTTTGTTTTTTCATTTCAATCTCTATTATTTTCCTTTATGGATTTTTATAATAAGAAAAAGAAAAAATTCTTTCTTTAATTGCTACAGTAGATTATAATTACATAAGGGATATGTATTTTAGCATAACCTTCTCTTTAAAAGAAATTATGAAAAAAAATTATAGCACAAACTACAACTAGGAAATACAATTTTCTTAAAAAAAGAAATAAATTTCTCAAACTACAAGTCTACCAAAATATAAGTTCAAAATCATATTAATCAGTACCGTATTTTTAATTATGGTCAGTATATACCCATTCATCCAATATATAACGAGCAAAGGGTATATAGATTAAAACAACGTCAATGTCCAACTAATAAGTAAAATAAAATTTATTTTAATTATTTTATTAATTCTTTAATATATTAGAATTATTATATGAGAATAAAATCATAAAATTTAAATTAATAGCTTTTATTTAAATTAAATAATCTGTTTTTATGAAATTCATTATTTTTATCTACTTTCTTGAATTAATGATGTTTTAATAAAATAGACTAGCTGTATAGTGTATAGGCGCAATATTTATCTAACATGACTGCACATATAGCATATATTTTAGAGAAATTATTACCAACAATTCGTGTAGCTCCAATTTCATTGCATTATGCTAGAATATTACAACTTTAAAAATAAAATGGTCCAATACTATAAGGTCTATCAAATTCCATAAAAAATTTATCTGGAAATATATCCTATAAAGAGTCTGATTACAATTCGTTTTTATTTTAGATTCTTAACTTAAATGCTTGCTAACCTTTTTAAGAACAATAGTACTAGTAGTATAAAACCAGCTAAATTGACTTTAATTTATGCAATACTTTATTTAATGGTATCCTTTAATAAGGTCTTTAAATAAGCTCAGTTAAACTGTTTTCTACATTTGACAATCTAATAGATATATATAATATCAAGGATGACACTAAATGTAAGGAAGCTTTAACCAATTTTATGATCTAATTAGGTTCTCTAAAAGCATTAGATGATATGTATTAAGTAATGAACAATATAATATTAGCTTTAAATAATTTTGTCAATGCCATGAACGATGATTACTTTAACTTAAACTATTTTGTTCAAGAAATATTGATGATTTATTAGTTCGCTTTATTCATCATTCTTTACATTTTCATTTGGATACCATTTTAATAATCAATTTAAAAAGACTTAACTAAATCAAAAATCATTTTGAGCAATTTTGAAGTATCTTACCTAATAGAAAACCCTTACATAATGAATTTCTTAAAAAAATATTGAATATATTAAAATTACTATAATTAATTATAATAGTTTGTTTATATTTATTTATTTTACTACTTTATATTATTATTAATCTATTTTTTTTATACAAATTATTTTAAAAAAAAAATAAATGAATATAAACCATAAATCCTCATTAATTAAGCCTTTTCAAACACGCTTTTAATCATATGTATCGCTTTAACAAAGTTTTCAATATTTAAGAAGATACCATTTATGAGAATATACATATGTTTATGTTTTTTTTTATATGATAGTAATTAAGTTAATAATCTAAATAATTTAAAAAACTATCTATTAGTTATACTATTTAGAGTAAAAATAAAAACTTGTTTATTTAATTCATTTTTATTTTTTTAATTGAATAGATATTTATTTATCTAAATATTTTTTATAAGAAAATATTTTAATGAATCTTCTCAATTTATAAATGTTTTTATTGATTTTCGACTCTATTATTATTCTAATCATAATAAAATAAAATACTTGATTATTTTAAGTATTTTTGGATCTGCCTGTAAAAATATTTAATTAAAAAAGTGAAATATTTACTTAATCATTGTATATTTAAATGCTTTTTTTGGCATTATCTCTATTTAAATTTTATTTGTTAAATAGAGAAGATTTCCAAAATTAAAATTTGTTTATTATTCAAAATTATAGTAATAAAGTTCAATCTTTTATATTATATTGAGTCAAATCTTATAATATCTTTAAGGTTTATAAAAAGAATTTAAATTTGCAAGAAATTTAAATAAAAAATAAATTTTTCAAAATAACTCAAAGATGGCCTAGTTTTGTTTTTTGTTATAAAAAAAATCTTTTTTATTTAAATAAAATAAAGTTCTTGATTTTATCATAATGGATTTATTTGATACTGTTTGATTGATTTAATAAGATTAATAAAAAAGACATATTAATGATTTTTAAACATCTGTTTGTTGAAAAATAATACTTTAAATTTATATTCCAAAGTTGTTGTAATCAAATAATTTATTATTTTTTTTAAATTACATACAAATCACTTAAAACAGATGAATTAAAATTCAAGCAAAATAGAAGCTAATAAAGAGGTAGCATACATCAATAAATTTCTAGCTTAGTTTAATGGAAAATATTTAAATTTTATTTATTAAAAAGAATTTTAGACCATACCCTACTTTTGATAGTAGCCTAAGCTTCTTTGATCCTAATAAGCAGAGCCAAAATACTCCAACTAAGCCTAAAAAAGAACCGTTTTAAAATTCTTGTAATTAGAATTCCTACATAGTTAATTCTCCTTAGAAACTAGTTGATGGGTTGCTTGAAAAAGCTAAAGATAAAAGGAATTACTGTTCAATTACAGCTGAAGAATTTTTTAACCTAAGCACACTATCTCTGAATTATTTGTAATTGGATGATTTCTGTTTTTCATTAAGATATTTTATCAAAAATAATGGAGGGGGACCCTTAGTTATTTTTATTTATAATTAATAGCTGCCAAAGCTTGAAAAATGAAGGTGCGAACTAAGTATTTCAAACAGTTTTCTCCATGAAAAACTTGAATAGTTTATATATCAACTTACAGTAAATAAAAACTTTTTATTTATAACTAAACTTTTTAAACTTCAATTGGTGTCCCTTTAAAATGTAGGATAAACGAAATCACATGCTTGCGCTTCGAAAAGATTAACTATTACTGTCAGAACTTAACTTATTTAAAACTAGATTTAGGGTAGAATTTCTATTAAAAATTGTTTTTTTTGTTTTTTGATTAAATTTTAAATTAATATTTAATTTAATTAATGAAAGATCAAACAATATTGCCTAAGAAAATGGTATTAAGAGCTTGGAAGACTGCACAAAGTAATTGACTAATCTAAAGCAGTTCTACATAGATTTAAGGTATTATTAATTTGTATAGTGTTGATTGATTTAACCTTTTTTATATACTTTGTTTGATTAATCTAAATTAATGTAAGCTAATTTATTATTTATTGAGGGTATTTTTTTAATTAAATTAAATTAGATGGAATAATTTGACTGATTCAAACTGTGAATAAATAGGCAGTTCGATTAAACACCTTAAATAATTAGATGAAGTTGGATTATTTTTAAGGTATTTTTTAGTTGGTCTTTCTTAATTAAAGCACCATATTTTTATTTTAATTAGTCATAATAAAATTACTTCTATTGGAGTTAACTTCATATGTAGTGAGCTCAAACATATCTTGATGTTAAAAAAATTATATTTTCATCTCAGGTAAAATAAATTATTTTACTCTTGCTAAAGTTAACTATTTCTTAAAATAATTTAGCTAAAATAAAATAGATGATAATGGGGCTATTTTACTATCATAGTGCATAGAAAATCTAAAATATTTACAAACAGTTGATATTAGTCTTTAGTAAATTTTTTTGAGCAATCTATAATTTTAGTTTCAAAGGTTACAATTTTTTTTAACAGAGATAATGCTATCAGTAATTAAGGGTCTATTGAGCTATGCAAATCAGTCTCAAATTTAGAAAAAATATCTGTTGCCAATATTCTTTTATAGTAAATATTTAATATTAAAATCTTTATATATAGTTTATATACTAATAACTAACTTCGCGTTAAAAAGCATGAATTAAGTCAGAGATTACGGAATTTTGCATTCAACTAAACAGTTTGTACAATCAGCTAATTTCAGGAAACTAGAATAGTTCTTTTTAGAATTTAGGTAAATAAAAGATATTTTACAGATTCAAATTTTCTTTTAAATTAAGATTAAAATTTAGAGAGATCAATCCAAGTAAAGTGTATATAGAATGCCAGGAAATAGTTAGATAAAATATACTATCTAATAGACAGCATGCTCTAATTCTAACAGCCTACAAGAAACATATAACCCCGATGCTAGATTTTTAGCCACAATATTAACACTGGGATATACTCTATTGAATTTATGGAAAAGATGAAGACTAATAAATACTCTTTTTTCAAAATTCTATATAAATATTTTATTTAAAGAATATTAATTACTTACTTACTTATTTACTACTACTTTTTATAAATATAATTTTAAATTAATTGAAAAATGAGTATTTTCCTTAATATATATAGTTTATATAATTCTTATTGTAATCTTAAAATGTTTTATAAGAACCTAATTTTTTAATATTGTGAAAAAAGCAGGTATATATTGATTTTCTAAAAAAGAATTTGAGATTATTATTTTGTAAATTAAGTAAAAATTGTATTCTAAATATCTAAATAGAGTTTTATTAAGTGTTTTTTTATATAATTAAATAGATACCTAATTAAATCAATATATTAGAAAACCTTTTCGAAAAAGAAATGTTAAATAAGTTTTTTTTAATTAATTTCTTACTCTTTTTAAGTTATAAAAATGATAATAATTATTTTTGTAAAAAATGAGCTCTTAGTCTTTAAAATACTTTGGTAAATTTTATTCATATAGAAATATAATTAAACAAATAATTTAAAATAATAAAATTTATATTTCCAATTTTTCTACAATTAAATATTAATTTTTTGTAAATAATTATTTCTTGTAATCTTAACAGGCCGTTATGACTTATATCAAATTTAGCTTATAGATAAATCAAAATATGTATCAATAGAAAATAGTTAAATTTCTTTCAAGCTTTAGATTATTTTTAGTTAAACAAATTTAAGAAAAACAAATATAAATTGCCACAAATCCTCATTAATACTATTAAACCACACACATCCTAAATTTTAACAGAATTTTATTATTTAAAAAAATAATTTAGAAATTTATTTAAATTTGATAAAATAATAAATTTATTTTATAAAAAATTTAGAGAACAACATGAAAGCCTTAAGGTAATTGAGATTTATTTAACAAACAATTTAAAAATATTTAATATTTTATTATATTTTTTCTTATTTAGATTTTACTATGAACCAAAATCAAAGATATTTCAATTTATTTATTTATTTACTTTGAAATCTAAATTAATCAATCATGTTTTAAATTAAAAAAGTAATTTAATATTATTTATTTCACAGAATATTTACATAAAAACAAATTGGTACTAAGTTTATTTTTAATAATTAAGGTTTTTAGAATTGTAGAATAATATTATTATATAATTGTCTTTTCATTACTACCAAAGCCAAGGATGTTAGAGTGCCTCTCTTGCTTATATACGTTTACTTGGGTTGTAATGCAACATAGGCAATAAAAAGTCTTCAATATCTAAAGCTTCTTTAGTATCCCAGTCATATTCTGATATTAAAATTCTGCTGATAGGATAATCCTAAATTTCTTTGATTCTAATTAATTGTCCGCTTTTGTTAAAGAATTCTCTGCTTTTTGTACCAGAAAGAGCAAACTATTTATTGAATTTTCCTAAGCTTTCTTAGAAGAGGGCTAGATGTTCATCATTTTTAGTTGTATCATCTCTCTTCTTAGGTTTAAATAGATAATCATTAGTTATTAACTCGTAAATCATGCAAGCAAAACTAAAAACATCTGTATTTTACTAGTAATCTATTCCTAAAATTGTTTCAGGAGCTCTATATTCACGTGTCTAGATATTATTTGTAAATTTTTTATTGATCCAACAGGCGTTACCAAAGTCAACAATTTTTATTTTTAAAGATTTGTCTAAAGCAATTGGTATTTTGTTTTTCCACTTTAAAGTATAAAGCTCTTCTTCACTAACTTCATCTCTATCTGAGTCGCTTTCACAATCAGAGTAATCGCTGTCATTTTCTTTTTCTTTTTTTTCATCATCTTCCTTGTTCTTAGATTTAGTGTCTTCTTTATTTTATTTTAACTTTTCTTGAGAATCTTCTTACTTGTTAGTAGAATTAGTTTCTACTTTCTCTTGAGCGTTATCATTATTATTTTTTTAAACATTTTAATCTTGATTTTCTTTCAAGTCAATTGCATTTTCTTACTTTTTCTCATCATTCTTTCCATTGTTAGTTGTTTCTTTATTTTCTTAAAGGTTTTTAACAATTTCCTCTTGTTTTTAATTATTTAATTCCTTATTTTCATTTGTACTTGTTTCAATTATTGTCTATTCACTAACAGTGGTAGTATTATTAGTAGAATTTTGATCTTGGGTTTAATTGGTTGCTTATGTTACAGCAGCTGCTGCAGCAGCAGCTTCTTATTTCTTTTTTTTCTTCTTTTCCTTTTTCTTATCTTTTTTTGCAGTCTGCTTCGACTATTTCTATTACTATTTCTTTAGATAGTACATAGACATAGGCTTCTTATCTAATTTCTTTACTTGTTCTATGAATTAATGATAATAATCTTCATTTAACTAAAGCATAACGTTTTCAGGTTTAAGATCTGTGTGAATCATACCACAAACATCGTGAAGATAAACTAAGCCAATTAAGCATTAGCGAGCTATTTGTCTAACAAGCCAATACTTCATATTCTTTTTATAATCATCAAAATGTTAAATAAGGTCAAGTAAATTAGGACCCATAATTTCAAAGGTACTGCAGTAATGTTTTCCATGAACACCAAAGTGGACAAAATTATCAAGTAGCTTAACACAGTATTATTCATTTTCATTAAATTCTGTACAATCTGGATACTTTTCTTTCATTTCTTTTATAAAACTGAGCCATTTTTCGTTTTTTTCATTCTTTCTCAAATCTCCTAAAAGCTATAATTCATCAACAGCTGCTTCTTAATAACTTTTTTTGCTCTTTTAAATTTTTAATGCCACATTAGAATCTGTTTCTTTATCGTATGCTAACCACACTGTTGAAAAATGACCCCAACCTAACTTTTAAACAATAGTATATCTGCCATCCTTAAATTTTTCACCCAAAATTGTTGGGTGATAGCCATCAGGTCTGTAATCTTCAAAATCTTCTGCGTCATCAGGATGTTCGAATTCAGGATCATAGTCACTTTCACTACTTGACTCATCATACTCCTCTTATTTATTTTGCTATTACATCTTCTATTGTAGTCCTGGAGGAGGTCCTACTTTTTTTCCTTTTTTCATGAGCTTGCTATTCATTTTATTCCTAATCGCTAAAATTTTAATTTATACTAATTTAATATCTTTGGTCTTTTAATTTTTTTACTTTTCCGGCAAAATTTGCGCTAAATTAAAAAAAAAGATTCTTTTACCTTCTTATTTGTTTGAATATTTGGTTGTTTATGATTATAGAGTCTATTTTAACAATAACATTTATAATGGCTTCATCTAGTTAATGATAAAATCTTTATCATTATCATAAATTTATTATGTGTGTATGCATTTTTTTTTCTTAATACATTCATTCCCTTATATTTAATTACATTTACAAGATTAAATTAAATGAAATTATATTATTTGTTTATGATAAAAAAGAGTAAAAAATTTTCAAATTATTATTAAACATTTCATTAAATGATATTTTATCTATACAATTCTCATAACATATAAAATTAAAAAAGGAATTTAAAGAATTTAATATCAAATAATAGTCTTTGTTTTTGAATGATTTAAACAACAATTTAAGTTTTTAATTAAATTAAAATATATGAACTTTCATAAATTATCATTAAATCCATTATATTTCCATTTATATATGAATTTTTCTTTGATTATCATTAAACACCATAAATTTACATAAATATAAGTCAAAAAATCTTCAATTTACATTTATTTTTAAGGAAATTTAATTAAAATTTTCAGATTTTTTTGGTTTAAATTCATAGAAATTTATGGTATTTAGGATTTAAAATATGATTAAGATTTTCATTAGATATTCTATATTTGTTTAGACTTATTTTTAATCCAAGAAAAAGATAGAATTAATCTTATTTCTTAAAGCAACAAAAAAATAGATTCATGTAAATTATTTTAGTGATCATTAATTAACCTCACATTAGTAAATTACTAATTTATAATTAGTAAAATTTATAAAACTAAGTAACAAATAAATAATTTACATTCATTTAGGCTACTTTGGTTTGTTTATTGAAAAGAAAATAATAGATTGTAATAAATTTGAAAAAGAATAGTAAGTAATATCGAGGAAGGAAGGAAAAACTACTGCAATATTTTGAAATAATCAGCTAAAATGAAAATAGAAAAAGTTAGACCGAATTCTAATCCAGTTTTTAACTCTATAACTCCAATTGTGAGTAATCCAAAGGATGAATTGATAGTTACCAAATAAAAAAGAGATGCAATTATAAATAGACTTTATGAAATTAACTAGGATAATCACGATCCTATTGATTTTAAGAATATTCAAAAGATACACGAAAATCATAAAAAAACTTTAAAGAGATAAAGATCATTGCCAAATAAAATCGTTCAAGATTAAGATGGCCAAGCAGACTTGAAATATCCTATAGATAGATCACTTTTTGGATTTAAAGAAACTATTTACTTTTAAATACCTTCTTCACTATCACTAATAGGCAGCTATAAATGTTTTATATACTTTGGTGGATTTTTGTGGTTTTATTTTCTATTATTCGGAATAGTAACCTTAGGATTAGCTTTAAGCAATACTCAGGTAATTAGTTTAAGATAGTAGTTAACATATTAAGGGTATCATTTTTGCATAAGACCAAAAACATGATAATTATCTATCAAATAAATATATTATGGTCTATATAAAATTAAAGAGTCACTAAAAATTCTTTAATAATTTTTTAACTAAGCTTATAATCACAAAAAAGATGTAAATTAAAAAAATACCAATTATTTAATTATAGTAAAATATAGGTTTTAGATACCCAATATCTAATATAATTTATAATCTAATGTTTGATCATTCATAATCTCTTATTTTTCATTTTTAAAATATTTAAATATTACTAAAAAATAATTTAGGTGAGTTTGAGATATGATAACCATCCTAAATGTATTAATGCATAAAATCAGTAGTGTACAATCGATTTCGAAGTATTAGATTATCTTAAAGCTCCTGTCCACATTTATTATTCACTTGGAACATTTTATTAAAATCATTTCTAGTAAATTATTTGAAATATTTATTTTTTAGTAAATTTATTCATTTTTTTAAATTTAAAAGATACTAAGATAGTATAGTTTATGAGTAGCTTAGAGGAGAAAATGTTGAAACTTCAATTCTTAAAGAAAAGTGTCATGGGGCTCTTTATAACTAAGATATGTTCCCATCTGGAGAGACTCCCACTTCTTTTGGTGCTAACATTTTGGATCCATAAGCAATAGCTTTTCCATGTGGTATGGCATCCAAGTATGTTTTCAACGGTAAATTTATTGTCAGTGGAATTTTTAAATATATTAAGTTTTTATATAGATTATTTTGATGTTTATAGCTTGGATAATAATAGTCCTCCAGATTAAACTCCTATAGAAATAGATAGAAAGGGTATAGCTTTAAAAGTAGATATCGAAGATAAATTCTAAAGAATCCCGTATGCTGATAGAGTATGTGTGAGGGACGTATAATAAGGTAATAATTAATTGTTAGTGATTAAAATTTATCGAAATTCTAATTTTAAAAGAGAGCTTCATGAATTGGATAAATACTCCAACTCTTCCAGTCTGGAAAAAACTTTATGGAACAATTTTAACCAATATGGTAGCAGGAAAGTATAGATTAGTAGTAACCAACAGTAAATAATTCAAATATGCCCAAGTAGATAATAATAATTTTTTTAATCAAGATTTTGATAGCAACTTGGGAACAGGGAAAACACTATATTTTTAAACAGCCAACTCAGTAGGCGGCAAAAACGTTGGATTTGGGATAGTTTTGATTATTACATGTATTTATTAATTTAAAAAAAAAAATTAAAAATAACTTAAACTTTTACAATAAATAGCTGTAGTATTCTTGATTGGAACAGTTTATTTAATTTTCCACAGTAGAAGAAACAAAGTACAATAAGAATTTGATCCAAGAGATTTAAGCTGGAATTGATAAATGACAATCCTTAAAAATAAATATCAATGAAAATATAAAAAAATAAAGAAATTTTTCTAAAAACCAACGATTAACAAATTTTTATTATCAGAATTAATATTGAAAAATAACTAACTAAATAATTAAATAAATGATAATTAATTATCCAAATTATATTATAATAATCTCTTATATTAATTACTAATTTGTAAATAAATAATTGATGCAATTTACATTTGGTAGCTAATATTTTCGCCTTTTATATTACACACCATTTTATAAAAAAATAAATAAATTTCTTCTTTTTTTTCCAGAACTAATAACTTGATAAAAATATAAAGAAATGAATTATCTAATAAAAACACATAGATGAATTTATTTTTTTTTTATGCTTAAATTGAATTTAGAAAATATAATAAAATTTTATTTATTAATTTACAAAAATAAATTATTTTTCAAAAATTAAATATAATATGATTGTAATTTTTTATAATTTAATTTCAAATATGTCAATGAACATGTTATTTATTATATATAAATAATATAGTTATTAATTTACTAGTTTTTGTTAGTTATTTTAGATTTTATTTAGTTTTTTATTATTTATTCATTTATTTGGCTTATTTTATTTATAATTTTATATAGTAGATAGAATAAGAAGATAAAAGGTAGAATGGTAAAAGAGTGAGTAATTTAAGTAAGTAAGTGAGAGCACTTTGATATTGCATTTTAAACTTGCTTGACAGACAGACAGCTCACTTCTTACGAACAATAAATCTGTTTCCTTCAACTTATTGCAACTCTCCATCTTTAATCAACTTATAAAAGGCATAATCTACTGCACGAGCATTGTTAAATTTAGAAAACAATTTATCTTTAAGAGAAGTGAAATCGTATCTTCCATTTACTGGAATATTGTGACGAATAGATTCTTCGATTTTAAAGCATAGAGACTATAATTCTTAAGGAAGTTCTAAACCTAATTCTTTACCGTTTTATATGGCGTTCATTGTAGAATTTTAGAAGAGTTCATGTGCTTTATTGATATGTTCATCAGTAACTTCTTCACTCAATTAAATCTTAGCTATTGATTCACTCAAACGAATAATGGCTTCTAATTAACGAACTGTTATAGGAATATGGTGCTTCTTAGATGAGTGACCTTGATTTGATTGCTTTCTATCTTCAACGTATAAATTTTAAATTTTTTAAGCAGATCTTTCAGTCAAACGAGGATGGATTTTAGCACGAGCGTATGAGATGTATTTTCTTAAGAGATTTAACTCAATTTCAACTCCTTTTTATTCAAGCATTTCCTATTCCATGACAGCAGCATTAATGCTTCCTCCGTTCTTTTAGTTATTCATCATGTGCAAGTTAAGAACATGTTCAGCGAGACGTTAATCATGTTCCTAGGTTTTAGGATCTCTAACAACGAAAATTGTATCAAAACGAGAAAGAATGGTAGTCTGGAGTTCAATTTAATCTTCAATGGTCTTCAAGTCGTTGTAAGAACCAAAAATAGGATTGGCAGCAGCTAGAACAGAGCAACGAGAGTTTAGACGAGTTGTTATACCAGCCTTAGCAATACTGATAGTTTATTGTTCCATAGCTTCATGAATTGCTACTCTGTCTTCAGGACGCATCTTATCAAATTCATCAATACACACAACTCCACCATCAGCTAAAACCATGGCACCACCTTCAATTTAAAATTCACCAGTAAGAGGGTCTCTTGTAATACTAGCTGTTAAACCACTAGCAGAAGAACCTTTACCGGATGTATATACTGCATTAGGGGCTATTCTTTGGACGAATTTCAAAAATTAAGATTTACCAGTACTAGGATCACCGATCTATTTTATAAATTTAAATTTAATAAATAAAGTTTTTATTGCATGGAAATTTTCAAAATATTTTTGCTATTTTCATCTTCAAAAAGTTTGCTTTTGCTTGACTGTTTAAAATTTAGATTAAAACATTTAAAAATTAATTACCAATAAGACATTAATGTCTCCTCTAAGTCTTATTCCGTCTTATAAAATCTTTTTAGAACCACCGAATAAAAGACATGCTATTGCTTATTTAATATCATCAAAACCGAATATTGCAGGAGCTATGGATTATCCTATTTTTTCAAAGATTTTAGGATCTTTGGAAAGAGTTTAGAAAGCCTCTTCTTCTTCGGTAGTAAAGCTTCTTGATCTTTTCTTAATTTCATCTTCGAGTTTATAACCAACAACTTGAATATAGTTTATCTTAGAGTTGGTAGAAGATATTGTTTTGTTAGAAATTGAAGTTTTCTCTAAGACTTAGTAAATACCAGTCAAAACAACACGAGTACCTGGAGCAAGTCTGTTGACCAAATAGCGTTCAGCACAAAGAGAAAAAGTACGAGGAATTTCACCAGTAGGAATATCTTCAGGAGATTCTTGAAGTTTCATTCTTTGCTAATCTATAAGAGTGCACTTTTCTGGAATTACAACATAACTGTCAACAGGGCACTTTTCGTTACTTTAGTTAGGATTCTTACAGTAAGGAGGAATTGATACTGAACCCAAACCTTAGCTAACTTCTAAACTCAATTAATGATGGCATTTAGAGCACTCTACGTATAAAATTTTACTACGAATATAAGGTCTAGTTGCCTATTTTATTATTATGATAATTAGTTTTATTAATAAAAGCGATTTTCAAAATGTTAAAAGAGATGATATATGATAAATGTGAAGCATGCAAAAATTACTTGAGTGATAATACCAGAGACAGTGATAAGCTTCGAGATAGAAGAAGCCTTAATATCACGAAGATTCTTAGGGTCTTAAGTACTGATAAGAAAAACTTAGAAGTTGCTACGGTTATTAGTAATTGTGTAGAAAGCTTCAGAAGCAGCCTTTTCAAGAAGAGGAAGATAATCGTTTGGCTTTTAAATAAGAAGCTAGTAATGGTCAGAGTTGTAAGATTACAAATCTTCTAAGTCAAGCTCGAAGCATTTCTTACGTGATTCGACAGCTTATTTCATTTTTTCAATGTAAACTTTCTGATTCTTGAGTAAGAATTCAGAGAAGAATCTTTTGTAACCTTCTTAGACTTGTTAGGGTACATGAGGCATGTTATCGATTTGATTGTAGGGTTCATCTTAAACCAAATTTTAGTATGTATAACTAATTTACTCTCCTTAGTACATTTTATTATGTCTCTTATTTTTAAATTTATTAAATATATGATTGATTCCTTTTTATTAAAGATAATTTTTTTTCTTTATTAATTGTTTGCTTTTTTTTAGTTGATAAATTCAAAATATTTTTAATTAATTTAAATGAATATATTAAAATTATAAACAAAATATAATTATAAAATATCTAAAGATACTCACTCACTAACTCATAAAACCATCAATACATATATATATATATATAATTTTTATACTGTTTTTAATGAATATTATCAATTTTTAATTATTAGTATCTTTTGTGTCATTTATGTGTGTTCCATCCCGCCTTAGATACTTGATATTCCGGCAAAAATTTTGAATATAAATTTAATCTATCTTTGCGCGTAAAATTTTTCAGTTTAAAATAAAAGAACAGATTTTATTCAGATTAGCATTTTAAAATTTTTTTAAACATATGACTGTCATAAATAATAAAATTTAATATTGAAATAAGCTTTTTATGAAAATTTAAATTCAAAAAAAAAATTAATAATATTAGCAATGTTATCATTGTTACTCAGACATTTATTTATTTAAATAGTTATTTTAATAAGTTCTTTAATTAAAAATTATTTTCTTTAGATTTAATTTAAATATTAAATAATATTAGAAATATTTTTAGTTTATGAAAAATATTTGGTTTAAATAAAATAAATACTTAATTTACAATTTGATTTTTTTTTTTAAATAAAAAAATATATTTTTATTTTGATTATCCATACATAATTAATTTTACTTATTGAATAAAAAAGGTATTATGAAGAGATCAATAACCAATTGCATCACTAGTAAAATAAATAACTTTAATAAGAAAAATAGTTAATTATCTATTTATAAACTTTTTTTGCATTTATTAATACTTTACAAAAACAAAACATAAAAAGTAAGTAATAAATTTTTTGAATTTTTATAAGATTCAATTAATATTAATCATTTGATTTTTATATTTTTTAATTTGTTAATTTCATTTACACGTTGTATACCTTTCTTAAACTTAACAAGCCTGTTTAGAGAATCTCTCTTTGTGATTGGATTAAGTAAATCATAATTTGTTTTAAAAGAAAACTTTGCTTATTAATAGGTAATCTCTTCATCTAGATCTTCAATATGAAAAAGATATTGGTTAAGATCTTGCATAGGAAGTATAGCATAGATTAAGCCAAGGACTAACATAATAATTGATGCCCATTCAACTGTATTGAAAAGATGTATTGAAAATGTGAAATTTCCTAGTGCAAAAAATACAGTTATGTATTCTAAATTTTCTGTCATTTATAAAGAGACCTCTTTTGATAAGTTTTCTTTCACTGTACTATTTCTAAGAATATTATACTTGTCTATATAATAATAAATTACTAAATTAAACATCGAAAAAAAGTTTCCTAATGGAATGCATGGAGCGTACAAAAATGTAAACCACATTGTTTTCATAATATCAGCATATCTTTTACCTTAAATGTAAGGATATTCTTCCATAAGCTCATTTGCTTCTTATTATGTTAAAAAGCACATCTTTTATTTTGCCAGTTGAAGCTATTTTTTACGCTTATTCTCTTTATAAATTTAATATGGATTTATTATCCATACAAGAGGAGGTAGGATAGCATTCCAAAGAAAGACCCATGACTCAGTATAAATAAAACCACCTGGGCCATAGTAATTTTTATAGTATAAAATTTCTACTACATAAGTAATAATTGCAGAGTTTAAGAATAACCCAAGAGATAAAGAATCAGCAAAACTAATATTAAGTTTTGTTTTCGTTGACCAGCGCTCAGAGTCTGCTATATGGTGAAAAACTTCAGCCAGAACAAATTTATTAAACAAAACAATAATGGCAGAAATAATGAATGATAAAGATTTAATAAAAGCAAATGTAGAACTCTCAATATTTCCATGTTGAATTTCTTCATAAGAATGCTCAATTAAGTGGCTTTGAAATTTAGCAATTGCAGAAATAGCAACAAAGGATAATGACATGAAGCTCAATTTAATTAAAAAACAAAAGAATCTCCAAAAAATTTTATTCTTGGTAGGTATATGAATAAACTCCCAATCTATATCATCAGGCTCAGGAGCCTCTTCTATTAGCAATTTGTGCTTGCCCCACATTAAATCCTTTTCGCTAGGTCTTGATTTCATTCCTTTATTCCACCATATTTATAATTGTTCCCAATATCCACTTACATTTTCTTTTAAACAATCCTTTTTCATTTACTCTGAGCTAAACGATACAAAAGCTACACCAGCAAACTTATGAGGATCTGATTTGATAGAAGCTTCTAAATGTTCTATCTCTTCTTCTATTTTTTCAATATGCTCATCAATTTCATGTAGCTCATGTTTATCACACTATTCGAAGCCTCCATGTTTGCTTAAAAATTATTACTTTTCTTTTACAGTTTTAGCAAGTTCATTTTCTTTATTTATCAAATCTGATATATCATAAATTAAATTTATGGTTGCTACTTCTAAAACCTTACCTGGCACAGAGTGAAAATTAAATATAGTAGTTAACTCCTTTTTATAATCAATATCTTACAACCCAATAGGAATGTTCTTAACCATAATAGTATAATCCTATGGTGTAGATAAAGATGCATCTATTTCCATATCAATTTGTCTCTAGTTTCTTCTAAAAAACATTAAAATAACCATTATTGTTATATTTACAAAAAGATTCAGATAGCTCTATATTTTTAACAATTCTGGTCTATCTTTCTTATTTGCTAAAGAAAACGTATGGAAAATATTTTTATGGCAAATTGTTTCTTCTTCTTCTAATTTGTATCCTAATTTATAAAATAAATTGTCAATTTTTTTATGACAAGTTTCTTAATTTAAAATAAAATAATTCATAAATAAAACGAAAAATGACTCAATATAATATGCATAAATGATTAAGTCAAAGATAATTTTTCATTTTTTTTTAGAATAAATTTTTTTTGATAAAAATCAATTCAAATTATTGAAACAAAATTCTGAATGAATTTTCTGATTTATAAAAAAGAAATTCTTATTTGAATAGAAAGACTAATTAGTTTTTTATTTATTTTTTAAATATTATTTACCTAGAACTTCCATTCGTTTTTTGAATGTTGAATCAAGCTCTTATTCATCTGCAATACAGTAATTACCTAGGTAGTTGGTGAAGAGATTGTAGCCTCCTGAAATCATAAATAAGGTAAAAAGCATGAAAATGCAATAAATAATAAAATTATAAAATAAAGGATATCCACTTCCAAGAAAATTAAGCTGTTATGGATCTATCGAGAATGGAAGTGGCTTTCTTTCAATAACATATCCACAGCAGCGGCAAAATTCTTTAGGTTCTTTTGCTGGTCTCGCAGTTGCTCTAGACATTGCATGTCTTTTAGCAAACACCCAATCTGGAGGTATTTATATAGGATTATACTTCTTTTGATCTTATTTTTTATATGTAATCTATTCCAAAAATAGAAGCATCGCTTCATCTTTTTGTTATTAATTCATTTCAGATTTAACAATAGAATATTCATCATCTTCTTGTTCTTCAGTTGCTTTACGATAGATATTAACTTTATTTTAATTAACTTCATCTTACAAAGGAGCATTTAAAAAAGGTTGATAGTGCTTACTATTTCTTAGAGTAGAACAATTTAATTCTGCCTATTTTGAAAAATTTTATTCTTGTTATTTGGAAGTGTTTAAATCTTAATATTTCTAGAAATGAGTGGGTTAGATAGCTTTTTTTTAAACATTTTTAAAAATAGGGCTATCAACAGAAAACCTAGCCTAGAATTGTGTTTTCTTTATTTGTAGAGAAGTGTCTATTTTATGAGGAAAATTTTTTTTCTATTAAATATCTAAGCTTACTATATTTTAATTTGATTATTACTATTCATCATCAAATGCATTTGAGTGAATTGAAGACTCAAAATTGAGAATCAAATTATCATTCACCTTATCATTGTTTTAATTGTCATCGTTTTAGTCTTATTCAGTTTAAATAAGTTTCAAAGCTATATCTTAAGACCTTAGTATATCTTATTACTACTTTTGCTTATTTAGCTCCTCTAAATCTTACTAATTTATAAAATGTGAATCTTGATGTTGCTAAGCTTTAGGCAGCTTTATTATCTGGGAAGGTTAAAAGTTAAGATTAAAAGAATCTTCTTTTCTTGATTCCAATTCTTCGTTTACCTATTAATCTTTTGCTGTCCTTATTTATGAATTATCTTTCTATAATTTAATTTAATTTTCTTTGTTTCCTAGTATGCTATTTAAAATTTTCAGCTATTAATTTTGACCAGTTAAATTTTTATTTCCTAAATTCTAAATAATCTAGGCTTGCTATTATTTTTCATTAGTATTACCTTCTTATATATTAAAGCTTTACTTGAAATCATGCTATCCTACTAAATTTTAATTGTTTTATTGTAAGTCTATTGGCCCAAATGATAATTTTTAAGTTGGTGAAATTAGCTAACCTTACTAAGCAGATGTTTACAATGTACTTTGTATTGATTACTGATGAGAGTGCTATGCATTATTTCCTTACATTCCTATAAAAGCAAGCTATAAGTTACTTAAAGAATTTTATTTTTAATGTATTATTTATTATTACTTTTGTTAATCTAATAAATTGGATAGTGATTGTTATTGTTATTGCGATTGTTAAGATTATTATTTTTGTAATTAAAACGAGTTTTGTAAATTTTACTCATTTTAAATTCTATTTTGAGAAGCCATTTGTTGTATCATATTTTATGGGCTTTAACTAATGATCTGATTTTATGACTAATTTTACAATTGGTTATTAAGTGAAATAAGTTAATTTACTTAATTCTAAGGTGAATTAACAACAGAACTAAGCTATGATTAGTTAACATTGAGTTAAGAATTAAGGTTTGAATTATAAAATGTGCCATCATATACTTGCGATTAGCGGTTATTCATTCTATTTAATGTGCTTAATCTTAATCCTCCTGGCTAATTAAAGCTAGAATATTGTGCATTTGCAATTTATTATGTATTAAAAAGCTACAAATTAGCTTGAGGCAAAGATTAATTGTTGCCATACAATGTACCCGTATTGCTAAATACATTTTAATTTCTATATGTGCTTTTCACACTTTGTTGATGACCATTTTAGTTTGGAGAGTTTAAATAATTTGTAAAATCTGTAGAATTGAAATTTAAACCTGCGTTATCACTAGTATATTGCTATTCAAGCCCTCTTTATTCATATGTCTCTTGAGTTGCTAAATGATCTAACTGTTTTAATTCTTCTTAAATTATTAACTAAGCATTTTACTTAAAAGAAGTATAGTTGTTAAGCTCTGAATCTTTAATTATTACATTTTTTTTACTATTCTGAAAGCTTTTGTCATTCAAATCTTACAATTTTTTAGATGATGTTTACTTGATTGAGTTTTAGCTATTTCTTTTATTTTAATTATTAAAACCTATTGAGTTCTCTTGATTCATTATGCTACTATAAATGAATCAAAATATAATATTTTTACTTTTAAATAATGGAATATGTTATAAAAGTTTAGTTTTTTTTTTTCTATTATCTATAAAAATAAATTAAATACTAAAAAGATTTATTAAATAGAGTGTCGTTGATATTTATTATTAATTTTAAATGGTTATTTAAATAATTTATCGTTTTTTATTTTCCAACAAAGTTTCTTTGTTCTAATAATAAAAATAAGTTTAAAAATTAAAATCCAAATAATGTTATTTTAATTAAGAAGTAGATATCATGCATAATAAAGCAATTTCAAACTTAAATTTGTTAATAAATTTTACATTAAAAAATAAAATATTATACTACAAAATTTTATTGTTAAACCCAATACAAATACTGCAGATACTCATTAATTAAGGCCAGTCGATTTTAATTTTAAAAACTGATAATTTGGCCTTATGTGACTTCTTTACAATTTTTTTTCATTTATTATAGGACTTAATTATTAAGAACTTTTATTATATGATTATTCAAAAAAGTAATTTATTTAATTTTAAATTTATATATTTAAATCTTAATAAATCAAAAATCTATTGATGATTGTAGCTTTTATCTTTAGAAATATTTCATGTAATTATTCAACTTATTTAAATTATTTGAATACAGATATATTAATTAATATATCTGAATTAATCTTTAATTCTTTTTATATCATTTAAATGAAAAAATGAATGAAAAAAATGCATTTTAATTGCATAAAATTATATAACCATTAAAATAATTTGTAAAGGTATTTTATAGTATTTTTGACACAAAATACAGAAAAGTAAATTTTTTATTTGTTAATAGTTAATTTTCAAATAATGATAAGAAAGAAGTTGTTTAAATTTTTTAATTTAATTAGTTAGTTGTTTATAATAAATTAGTTTATTTTATTTTTTAAACTCAAATAAACTAATTAATTAATTAATTTAAATATTTTAAAGCAAATAGTTATTCAATTTTTAACATAATTCATCAAATTAATCAAAAACCAACTATTCCTCTAATTAATTCTTCACAGGTTTCTGGAACATCTTTTTCTTTAGCTACAGCATCAGCAATTACTAAAGTAGTCTTTTATTTTATAAAAAATTTTAGGATATAATAAATAAATTAAAAATAGAATTACTTCTAAATCCACTAATTTAGCTAAGTAGATTAATAAGTGGAAATCAGAATATTTCTCCCATGATTTCTAATTTTTGAATTTCTGTAAGTATTTTTTCACTTCATTAGGCTATCAATTAATTTTTAAAAATTATTAATTTTAATATACTTTGTTTATCTCAAGTGAATTTAAATTTGTTTTGTTAATTATGAATCTTAAAAAAGCTTAAAATTTAAATTAATTTTAAACTTGTTTGATTTATTAAAATTCTTTTCAAAGGATGATTTACATTTTATTCTTAACGGTTTTCTACAGGGAAATCAGCATGCTTAACAATAGAGAATTTATTATGGTTAGAATGACCATGGGCAACATTTACTAATAAGAAATCAGGTTCAAATTCATTTACTTATTTACCAGATACGATAATAGAAGGCAAAACATCTCTCCTATAAATGAATAATAATTGAAAAAATATTAAAGAGAATTATAAAGTAACTAAATTAATTACTCATCTTTTGATTCTCTGACTTTCATAAACTTTCTTCTTTCGCTATCTCCAAATACATTATTTTTTTCTAAAACCTATGCTTAATCAGAAACCATATATACTTCAGGTTTAATTTCACTTGGGTTATCCTTACCAGCTAATTTATATTATTTATATTCAATATTATTTATAATTTATTTTTAAATTTACTTCTCAAAACTGTGGTAATAAATGTGGAGAAAGGATAGCCAGATTCATGAAGTACTCTATATTATTCTTAAAATCTAGCAGCCATACGAACTTCGTGAGATGATAAGAAAGTATCGTGATTAATTGTAGTGAAAATCCATCCTATTTTTTCTAAAGTAAGAGCTTCTGCTATTGTGTTAACAAGAGTCTCATTTTCATCTTCTAAAATCTAAAATCCAGAGATATCACCTATCTAAGGAGGTTCATAAATGGCTTCAATAATAGCTCTAACACCACCCTTATAATTTGGGTCTTCTGCATAATAACCATACATATATCCAACTCTTTATTCTGCATGAGAATTTTATGTCCATGCTTATACAAAGTTGCTAACTTCTCTAACATTCATAAACTAAGCGAAATCTACATGTCTATAGGGTTATCTATAAACAACAACATTTGGTGGAAGACAATTATTGCACATAGCCTTAGGCCATGGTTCATGGTTTTTACAATTTAATTCAACAGTCATTCTTTGCTATTTTATTATTATTTAAAAAATAAATATGAATTAAAAATGAAATTGCATAAACTTATTTATTTTATTAGTCATTTTATTCAAAAAGCAGGCTAAGTTTTTTTGATTTATTTCTTTTAAAAATGTAAATTTTATTACTTCAGAAGGAGGAGTACAGTTTGGACATTTTGCAGTGGGAGGATGAACACCTTTACATTTAAGTTTCTTCTCATCTAAGAAGTGAGTGAATGATACGTGCTTAATATTTGAAATGTAATCTGCATCTATACAGTGAGAACATTTTCCATTAGGTCCATGTTAGCAAAGCCATTTTTAAGCTATGGAGATAAAAAAAGACAATAATTAATACTGCATTAAATAATTTATGAGATTGAATTTTACTTTCTTTCTTCTCAAGCTTTTCATCTTTCTTAGAAGTGTCTATGCAATTCAAACAAGATCCACCTGGAGGATGAGTACATTTATTTCTAATAATTTGAAATTTTATTTTTTAAATGCATACAAAATACTTACAAATAATTAATTGATAAAATATTTACACGTAAGCAGGTATTTTAACATCTTTTTCTTTTTCTTTAGGGTTATTTTAAGGAGGGCAGTTAATACATCTTTGATTGAGGGAGTGATTACAATTAACTGAGAGTAGGCTTTTTTAATAAATTACATTTATTTAAATTGCTAAAATCTTAGATTTTAATTTATACTTTTATTAATTTTAAGCTTTTAGTGTAGGACTTAGGGATCTTTTTTTCTCTAAAGTTGGATTTGCCATTTAAGCTTGTACCTTGAGGAACAATTCAACACCATTTCTATGATATTATTATAATTTTAAATAAAAATCTATGAAAACGAAACTTACTTCAACTTAGGAATTAAACTAAGAGAAGTAGAATCAGGTGAAAGTAACTAAGCAGTTGAAGAATAATTTTAATCATAAAATATCTTAAAATCTGAAACAGGCAATTATGCAAGGGCGCTAATCTAATTTAAGTTTATTAAAATAATTTAATCATATATATTTTGGCAAATATTATATATTTCTATTCTAAGATTTGACTATAAAAAAGTAATTTATATCAATCATACTTTGTCTTTTAATATTTTAACAGTATCCTTAGAGTTAACTGTAAGTCTGCTAAAACCTTTTGGGTGACGAATTCTTAAAATAATTTCTTGGGCTGACATTTTAATTTTATAGGTAATGCTTTTGCTTGTAATTTAAAATTAAATATTTGTCTTTTAAATCCTATTTATTTGTTTAATTATTTAATTTTTCTGATGATATTTTTCTTAGTGTTTTCAGTTTATATCTAAATAAATAATTAATTAATTATTAAATTAAAAGTATTCCATTTCAAATCCTATTAAAACCTCAAAAATTAATAAATAAATAGAAAGCAAGTAATCTATTTTCAATATTTTTTTTATTTTTTAGAAACAAAAAATTTTATCTAGTCTGATAAAATCTTTAATTTTAATAGAAAGATCTGAACACAAAAGATCAGAGAGCAGAAATAATAACAATAAATCTATGATAGAGTTTGCATTTTTGTTTATATAATAAGTATATTTGTTTTTTATTTTACTTTTAACTGTTAAAAACTGTTTTTTAAATTAATTATTTTTAAAAAAAATCATCAATTTATTTCCACTTAAAATTATCTTAATACTTTAATATTCCTAAAAAAGCCAAATCAAATATTTCAAAAAACAAGTTCACTAAATATAAAGCACTTTTATACTAAATAAAATTATTAATATTATTAAATTAAGTTAAGTAACTTGTCCTATCCTATTGTCTATTTTTTGAAATTATTTTGATGGTTACACATAAATTTAATTCCACAAAAAATAATTTCTTAATTTTATTTAATAAAACTTAATAAATAACAATCAATCAATCATACTCACTGATTTCACTTTTTATATTTTTGAAATATTAAATTATAACCTGGAATTTTTATATACAAATATTTACAAAATATTTTAATTATACTTTAAAGAATTTAATCTAAACAAAAATATCATCATTTTCTTAAAGTGCTGCTGAAATCTGTTCTGCCATAACTGCTTGAAGAAACTTAATTTTAAAATATTAAAATAGATTTGAATATAAAATATATGATTATATTATATTACATTTTCCTGCATTATATCCTCCTCTGAGGGTAGAGTTAAAATCCCCTTTTGCATTTTATTGGCTTACTTTTGTATTTCCATCTAATCTGCATTACTTATAAAGATCATCATCTAATTAAATGAAGTAATTCTAGCCATGCAATTTTATATGAGCGTAGTCAATTACTTTAAAAGATTCGTATTCTAAATATGCAGGATTTTACATAATTTTTAAGAACACTATATAATTAACTAATGTTGGTTTTTCAGGAACAGGCTCTCTAATTAAAAACGATGGTGCAAATGGATTTTCTCCATAATTTTTTTCTTCTTACGGCTCGTCATCAGGAATACCATTTAATCTGTTTACTTCTTTTTAAGTAGTTCCTAAAAATTCTGTAGCCCTCTCTACATAATCTATTTCTAGATCTAAGACAGTATTAAGAACATATTAAAACTGTATAATTGAGCAATATCCTTTTTATTAAAGTAGAATAATTTTTAATTATCTATAGTAATTGTTTTTGAGCATACCTGATCTTTCTTTGTCATATCCCTAAAAAATCTATTCTAAGTCAACTCCTTTTTCTGCCTTCTTCTTCTTTATAAGTGCAAACATCAACTCTAAATAAATTATTTTAATCATATAAATTATTGGCATATTTAATTATAATTTTTTTTTTTCTTATAAAAATTGTATTTTTGTTTTTTGATGAATTAAATAAATGTTTACAATAAAGTTTCATGTAATTATAATAAGCTACTGATCTGTTTATTCCTTTTCTCTTTCCTGCTTAGATATTAGGGAGTTAACCAAGCTTAATCTAGCGATCTCTTAAACGAGGCTTTACCCAAAAATGTCTCTTAGATCCATATATACCTCTTTCCATTACTTCATCAGAATATACAGTGATTGGAACTTAAAAATTAGTAAATAATTTAAATACTTTTAAATAAATAAATATATGTTAAAATATACTTGAACGATCACGATCTTTAAAAATCTAGTTATTAAAACAATCCTAATTAATAATATCATCATTTATTAATTCACCACAATAGTGGCATATAAGCTATATCGATTCAAATTCTTCAAATGTTTTTTTTGCCAATCTAACAAGATAAATTTTATTAAAATTAAAATAAATAAAAAATTAATTTTTTAGTTACTCTGTCCATAATTCTAATTTAGATTGATAAGATTCTGATTACTATACTCTTATTGATTCTAAATGTTTGTTTTTTTCTTCTATTAAGTCCCAAATAATGATATCTTTAAATTTTAGAATCTCGTCGTTTGGTTTAAAATTTTCCATTTATACTTTAATTGATGAGATTTCTCTAGGCAGATCATAAGGTGTTTGTGTGATTTCCTCTAAGTGATTTTTTTAAATAAAAAAATTATTATTACTCTATAAAAATTAATCTATTGAGAAATATTTAAAAGAGCTTTCTCTTAATTATTGATTAATGAATTTATTTTTTTTATTTTTGGAAAACCAAAAAAATAAAATATTTTTAATTTGAATGAAAATATAAATATTTTAAATTACATTTAACATGCAAAGATAAAGCCTCAATAACATGCTAATTTAAAGATCTATAGAATAATAAGAAAGGAAGTCTATCTTCTCTTGATGCTAAATTTTCAAAAGCCTTAACTGTGTCTTCAATAGAATTTATGTCTCTTTGTATTCTAGCTATATCATTTTACAATACAGAAACTTTATTGCCTTCTGCTAAATTGAGTCTTTCGAGTATATGAGTAAATTCAATGTATGCATCTCTTTCTATAACTTGTGCTTAATTAGATATCAAATCTTATCTCTCATTCATTTGTTTTATTTTGTTAAACAGTTGTGAACACTTCTAATTAGCTGATGATCTTAAAAATTTATCTATGAAATCGTAGTATCTTTCAGCAAAGCTTTTTAAAAAGCTTACCTTGTGTAATTCATTATTATGAGGGCCTAGTGCGATACAATATTCACAACAAAATTCTCTACAGTCTTCACAATAGTAATTTATTATAGATTTAGGATCAAATGCAGTTATTTCTTACTTAATAGTTCCATTCTCATGAAAATACTCTCTCTTTCCATGATGAACACACTAATAGCTTTTTTAAATATAAAAATTTGTTGGATTTAAAAAATCTGGTTAACATATGTACCTTTAATCACCTAAATCGCTTAAATTTAAATCACTATGAAGAATTTGTTCTCTTATTGACTTCAAGTTGTTGAAGTTTGGGTTATTTTAAAAATCGTTTGCATTTCCTTTACCTAGATTACTCATTGTATTTAACCTAATAAATTTAAAATTATATATATATTTAATTTATAGAAATACCATAAAGTAATTTTTTAAAACTATCTGCAATATTTGTTTACCTTCTCAAACTCTAAAAAGAATTTAAATTTGATACTTGCTATACGTTTTAATTAGGTTTGAAATTCACCATAGTCTATTTAATTTTGCACATATTTGGATTATTATATCAATATTATGAAAGAAAACAAAGTATTTATTTACCTAAGCTTAAATTAATCAAAAATAATATGTTAGATAGATAGATATTAAATTTAATTATGAAAATATACCTTTAGAGGTGTTTCTGTTGGTAAATTTATCATCAAGGTCATGCAATGTTTCTTGTATTTCGTTTGAATCTTTTTTTATTTTAACAAAAATAGTTATTTTGTATTCATATTATATATCCTTTCATATCTCATAATTTTGATCATAATTTAATAATCACAATCTTAAATAATTTTTTTACTCTCTCTTTTTGGAGATTTGTTATCATTTTATGGTTAAGCCATACTTGCTATAATTTTGAGATAATTAATAAATTATGTTATGCTGTTTAAGAGCGGTCTGCTTTTTATTCACTTTTAACAGGCTAAATTCAAACTTTAAAAAAACTAAATCTTTTTTATATTTATAAAAAATACCAGCAAGCAATAGTTTTATAAATAATCAATTTTTAATCAGCTTTTTAAATATCTTACTTCAAAAATAATAAATAAATTAAATCAAAAATCTATGATGAAATTTGAGTGTTCAGCTAAAAACTGTTCAAAATTGCTAACAAATATTTCACTCTTTTAAATATTTATCATTGCATTTAAATTTAATTTTATAATTTTAATATAAATTTTTGATCAAAAATAATTAAAAAAATATTTTATTTTTCAAAATTTGAATTTTTAAATTTTTTATTTTTATTTTTTAAGCAATTTTTTTAATTTTGAAATTATTTTTGTAAACAGTTGAATTAAATAAATATTTTGATGCTTTTAAAATTAGAACTGTTAAATAACAGATAAAAATTATGAAGTCATACAAAAAGACAGAGGATTTTGAAGACATAAAATATTTTTATTGTTGAAATAATAGGTAGTTTAAAATAATAATATTATATAGAATATGAGAGATATACAATTATTGTTAAAATAGAATAGAGGAAGAAAGAAGGTTAGTTAGATAATTTAAACAATATATAATTGATTTTGGCTAGTATAATTTTTTATATTATTTAATTTCTTGGATTGTTATTAATAAAAGTTAGATAGCTTTTTTAATTTTTGTATTCAAAATTAATGAATGATGTTTTTTTTTTACGTTTTCTATTTTGATTTGTTAATATTGTACATGTAGATAGATAGACAGCTGTTTATTTATATGTTTGATGAATATTAATTTATCATTGTTGTGTTTTTATTATTTAAATTTCGTTTCTGATTTACTGATGGCTGGATTGTTTTAGCTTTTTTTAAATTTAAATTTTATTTTATCAATCAATCAATTAATCATAATTTATTTGCTTTTTTATTGGGGAAAATTTGAAAATTATTCTAGTATTTATTTAACTAGTGATAATTTATTTAATTTCAGCATTTAAAGCTTTAGAATTTAGATAGATATTTTATTTATGCTATTGATATTTATTATTTTATAGAGTTTCAAGATTCTTCCATTTGATTTTTTCGGGTTTTATGATTTTAAAAACTGAACTGATTATATCTTGCTTGCTTTGCATAAAGGCTATATACAATGTATTTAATTTATTTGACACAACTTTAGTCTTTTATTTTACATTATTGTTATTGTAATAACGCTAATTAAAATTTAATTTTTTACACTATTAGGGTTTAGTTTGTTATTTAGTTAGTAATTTACTTATAAATTATTGTTATTATTCAATTAAAACATTCTATTTATTTTATAAACAAAATCATAAAGCTAATTACTCATTGTTTTTTGATAAAGGTAATTGTTAATTTTATGCGCTTCCTTTCACTGGTGTACTTTAGGATTTATTATTTTTAATTAAATCTTCTGCTTCATTATTTTCTTTGTTATTAGCATTTGTTTGCTTTATTATCGAAGAACCACTAGCAGGTCCTGAAGTATTTGTACTAAGAGGAGTCGATCCTACAGCGGTTATGACTGAGTTTGCAGTTGTCTATAGCTATGCTATGTCGTTTTATGTTTATGTTTAAGATGTTAGATTTTAGCCTACTTAATTAGTGTTTGAGGTTGAATTACTCGAATTAACATTCTGTAATGTCTGCTAAGGCATATTGTAAAATTCTTAAATATTTATTCCAAGCCTTGATTATAGATGGTAATGAAATGAATCATGGCGGTATTTTGAAGGAACTTTCATAAATTGCAATTTATTTAGAGTGATCATTTTATCATGCACAGTCTCTTTCATGAATTCATCTTCATAAATGAGAGATCCATCCTTAACAACATTATAAATATAATTACTACCAGGGATATCTTCGTCATTTTTTATATTGCTGAATTCCCCAGAATAGTTAGGAAAACGCAGCTCTTTTAAATCATAATTCCTTAGGATACGACTATCTTGTGAACAGCCTGAAAGCAGCTCTGGTCCTTCTGTAAATTCCTAGACAGTAGATAAAGTAGGAAATCCACAGTAATTATTACCATTTCTTGATTTTCCATCGTCACCTTTATTTCTCATATTGACAAACCAAGTATGATTTAATAGAGTAGCTGCGTCTCCTCTCATTTTTGGATCTTTATCTAGCATTTTTTTCATCAAATCTAAAGCAGACGAAGTGAATTTACCAAAGAAAGGTTACTAAGAGAAGTCAATTTCGCATTTCTCATTTAACTTAAGAGTTTCTTCTGCATCTTTACCTTCGAAAGGCATGCGACCAAACACAAAAAAGTAAAAAATAATACCTAGAGAAAATATATCCACTTTGCAATCATATTATTTATTTTTTAAAACTTCAGGGGCAAGGTAGCCAGCAGTGCCATATTTTTTATAGTTTTACTTTGTAGGAATGTAGCAATAAGATTGACCTACACAGCGATTTTAGTCAGCAAAGTCAGCTAAGAAAAAATTACTAATGCAGACATCTGAATAGTTGTTTGGTGCACGAAAAAATATATTATCAAGACGGATATCTCTGTGAACTATGTTTCTAGAATGCATATGGTGTAGTCCATGCAATAATTTCCAAATAAAATCGGATACACTTTTCTCATCCATGCATAGTAATTCATTCAATTTGCTTTTCAAATCTTTCCCTTGTAGAAGCTCATAAATTAAAAATATATTAGTTTCATCTTCATACACTTCGTATAATTTAATAAGAGAAGGATGATCTATCTTTCTCAATATTGCCGTTTCCTTGAGTACTGATATTCTTCCTTAATCTGTCAGAGTGTATTTATCAATGATTCTAACACAATACTGAGTGGAATCACTGTAGCGAAAGCATTTATACAAATGAGCGTTGGGCATTTGGCTTGGTGATTTGAATTTAGTTAGTACTTTATACTTTTTAGCGAATTTCGGTAAAATACAAAACCTTTTTATTTCTTCATATAATTTATTAAAATTTTCAGCACTTTCTGTAAATAGCTCACTCTTCAATTCTCCTTTTTGAAGTCTAATACCGTACTTATAATTTGCATACGATGTGTCTGAATATTTAATCTTTTTTAAGTAACACGCATTCAGCGGTAAATACTCTGGTAGCTCTTCTTTATTTGCATTTTCTGAATTTGCCTAGTTCTATATTTAGCCATTCTAATTGTTGTTATTATTTACTGCATTTTGTGAGTTGTTAGAATTCCCGTTTCCGGCACTTATTCTTATTAATCTGTCGCTATATAATTCAAAATGGTATGCTTACCACTTTTTTGTCTTAGGATTTTTCTAATATAAACGCCCTTAAAATGTCATTTCACTTTAATCGAATTTATCATATTCTTCACATTTGATCCAAAATTCATTGCTATGTATCCCACTTACACCATAGCTATCGTCGAAAAAAGAGTCATCTGCTTCCCGATAAGCTCTATTATACATATTTTTCATTTCTACCAATGAATTACTCTTAGATTTTTTAATAATAGTTTTGCAAAAACTTGTTAATGTCTATTGAAAATGTTAGGATTTTCTATCAAATTTGAATCTACTAGCTTAAAATATGCGGAAATAGTTATTTATTAATTACTACTACTATCAGATGAATTATAAAAACAAAAAAGATTATTTTGATCCTTAGATAGCTATAAAAGAAGTCCTTTCCTAAAATTGAAATGTTCTGTTTTTATTTCGGGTCTTACTTACTTGCTTTCTTCTTCTTTGGAACTATTGAACTTCTATAAACCTAAACTCTCTCCTTTATTTTTTTAATACCTATACTAATATGCTAGAACAATTTTAGGAAACTACCTTTCTTTTCCTTACTATTCAAGCTCTCTCTTCTTAATATTGCTGCTTTTAACTTTAAAATTGCCTTTATGAAATCGCTGAGAGTTATTGTTGGCTTGTTAGTAATATAATTTAAAGAAATTAATTTCTTTTTTAATAGAGTTTAGTATGAATTCTTAATGTTGTTAAAACTCCTGCTTCTTTGATTGTGTTTTAATATTATGTATTTATTTGCTGGTCTATATAAAATTATATTTAATGTAGCGAATTTAACTTATTTAATTAATTAAGACCTTTATTTATTTTTTAGTTTTTGCATTTAATTAATAAAGAAAGAATGCGTCTTATTGTATAAATTCTTTAAATTCACTATAGATGGCTTAGTTAATATTAAAAAGTTGAATGAATGGAAGAAAATTTTCTTTGATTACTTCATTCAATAATAATATTAAGAATCAACTGATAACTAAATTCCTTTAAATAAGAAATTAAAAATAAATTCATTTAGTTAGTTATCTTGCTATTTCTTAAAAATGTTCATTTATTTTTCTTTTGGATAACTATTTCCATCAAGATGAATTGATGGTTTTTTTTGCACTTCAAATATTTTTGTTAATTTCAAATAATTACTTCTTATGTTTCCCTTCATTACAGTACTTTTTAAGCATTTTTCTAGATTTTTTAATTTGACTTTTTAAATTAGGTATTTCTTTAGTTTATTTAAACTTGGAAATCCAAATTTAAAAGTAATTTAAAAACTCTCGTGAAATAATTCAGCTTTAAAATTATTATTTTATTTTATATTTGTTATAGATTAATACAATTTTATTTAATATTTATTAGGATGACTATATAAAACTGAAAATGCTTATTTACATAATAAATCTAATCAGATTAAAAAATGAAAAAAATATATTATTGATTTGTATTTTAAAAAATTTAACTTTTTTTTATGATTTCCATTTTTACTTTTTAAGATCAAGTAATTATTTAAAAATATATATGATCATACATAATTTGTGAAAATAAAATTAATGAGAGTATGCTTGTTAATTTTTAATTTTAGAGCCACGAGTTTTTTTAATTGGCAAATAATCCAATTATATGATAAAAAATTATATTGAAAAAAAGTTATTTTGAAAAAATAAATAAATAAATGAAGATTATCATTATAAAATTGTTTATTTAAAGTAAAAGCATTAATATAAAAAAATACAAAATAGCTTATATATATCAATTTCTGTTAAAGCTGTAATTTATTTAGTAATAAAAAATTTATATTCAATTAATGCTTTAAACTTCATACTCTTTCTAAAAAAATTTTATAATATAGACATTGATGTTTTAAATATTTATTTATTTTATGTATGACTCAGATTAAATATTAAACAAATCTGTGATAGTCAATTTAAATTTTATATTTATAATTGAAGACTTATTTTTCTCAATATCTAAAATGTATTAATTTATGAAGAAACTTTAAAAAAAAAATTACTGAAAAATGTTGTCAAGAGTTTTTAATTTGAAATGTAGTTAAATTTTTTTCATCTTATGTTTAAATTAATTTCTTTTAAAAAAATAAGCAATAAATGAAATACAAATATAATTTAATTTAAATTATTTTTAGAATTTACAATAAAAATTATTGAAAATCTACTTTCAATTATCTTAAATGACACATTAGAAAAATAAACATTTTACTAATTTTTTAGTATTTAACATTAAGTTTAAATAATTTTATTATTTTGAAAACAAATGATAAATTATTTATTATTTATTTATTTATGACTTAAAATATCTTTTTGAATTTTGATTGCGCAAATTGTATTTATTTACTTATAAATTAATTAATTTATATTGTTTTTAATTTTGGTTTAATCAATCTTTTAGTAATCTGAAATAGTAATTAAATAATTGATAAAATAAATTTATTTTTTAGGTAAAATTTGAAAATGAACTAATAATCTGAAATAATAGGTAACATATTTGAATAGCGCTTGCTTTAATTTTTAGCATTTTATATGATTTACTCAAAATTAAGTTTTTTAAAACATATAAATATAGATTCATAAGAATAAATTATTCTAAATAAATTGCTTTATAAAGAAGCCATCCTCGATAAAATTATTTCTAAATACACAGTAATCCTATAAAAATTCAAAAATGCTTCTCTTGAAGATTTGTAAAATAGAATTTTTTAATTCTTTCAAATTATTTTACCTATTATGAGGATATATTTAATGTATGAATATTTAATTAGAGAAAAAGATGTAACAGAATTGTTAAAGGATTTGGACTTATATGAATTCCATGTAGCAAAGTCAGAGATATAATTATAATCTGTTATTAAAGATTTATCATAAAATGAAAAGAAGGGAAAAGAAATATGTAATTATGAGTTTTTATTATAAAAGTCTTTGTCAATTATAATATAGTTCATATAAACTTATAATTTTTAAATTTGCATTGTCTATTAAATATATAGAAGTTGAAATAGAGAATGTGAAAATAGGAATTAAAAAGAATGAAGAATTACTAAAGGAAGAAATATAAAAGAAGGCTTTTAAAGTAGAATGTAATTAGATAGTTGATCAAATAATAGCTTACTCTGAGTGTGAAGTTTATTAGAATTAAATTGATAGCATAAGTGAAAAAATGAGTAAATTAGAAGAAGATTATAAAACTAGACAAGAATAGATAGTCCATAAATAAAGACACGTTTAAAATATTGTAATTTATCTATTTATGCTGATTAAATTGAAAATATTTTGTTAAAATTGTTTTAATATAGCTATAAAAAATATCGTTAGATTAATAAATTCTTTTATAAAATAGTTTTCCAGCTTGTAAGAATTAATTGAAGGTAATACTATTCAACCAATATAAACCATAGAATGAAAAAGATTTGTTTGATAATTTTCTACTTCTTGCTTAATACTATTTAAATAATTAAATGATTGTAAAATAATTAATTTGTTATATGTTATTTAGTATTCTAATTATTAATCTTTATAATAAATTTACCAAAAACTTAAATCAAATTATAAAAATATGCTTCAAACTATTACTTAAAATGCATTTAAGAAATCTTTAGATAAAAAATTCATTTCAAAAATATTTTTTTCTACCTATCACGAAAATCTGAAACTTTAATGAATGAAATAAAATATTAATATTACTCGTTTTATAAAATATCATATAAATTCATTGATTTTATTAAATGCATGATATTTATAATCAATTTTTGAAGAAGTATTAAGAAATTCAAAAAAATAATCAATTATTTAATTTTTTAATCATTTTGGAAGGAAATAGAATAAGAGAATAAGGAATTTAGAAAATAGAATGCTTGTGAATTTGATTTAGCTAATATTTTAATAGAATTAAAATTATCATCAGATTTTTAATTTATCAGAATGCTGAAAGTTATTATCCTATTAAATAACAAAAAGCATAAAAAAAAAAATAATATCTAGCTAACATCAAACAAATTATTAAGTTTAAAAAGAATAAATATCAATAGAACTATTCTTAAGAAAATTTTGGAAATGAATTTTTTTGGATTTAATTCTAATTCAAGCTAGAGATAAAGTAGCAATTAAAATAGTAATAGCAATAATAATGGCTAATCTTCTTTTTTTAATGATGCTTTCAATGTCTTTTTCTAATCTCCATTTTTCAATCCATACTAATAGTAGTCATAATAATAATAGCAGCAATAATAACAGTAATAGCGCACTTCAGGCAACTAAAATAATTTTTAATAGCAAAATCCACCTAGATAAAGCAGTCAATAATACTAGCATAATTAAAATAGGCCATCATATCCTAGATTCGGTAGCTAAAGTTAATAAAATAATTAATAATAGTCTTATTAGCAATAATCATAATAGAACTATTCTAGTAGCTAATAGAATAATCGCAGTTCTTAATAGTAAAGATAGCAAGAGCCTCGTCCTACTTTTTAGAATACAAGAAGCAATTGGAAGAAAGCAGAGGAGCCAAAAAAGGAAAAGAAGAAAGAAGTTTAAAAAGAAAATACTAGCGATTATTGGAAATAAAAAGGAAATGAAATGTTTAAATAGAGATATTATGATACTGCCTTAGAATATTATACAAGAGCAATAAATATAGATTCTTCTTAGTCAATATATTATTCAAATAGAGGTCGCTGCTATAAAATTAAGGGTGATTTAAAGAAGGTAATAATTGAGTTTTACAGTTTAAATTTTCAATATAATATTGTTTTAATTTGTCTATTAAAAATAACTTTTTAGGCTTTTGATGATGCAGTATAAGCAATAGAGTTAGATGAAAATAATTTAAAAGGCTAATTGTTATGTGGTTAGGTCCTTTGTGAAATGGGAAAATATGAAGAAGGTATCCATAAAATCGAAAATGGTATCAAGAGATTAACAAAAGGTAATATTTTAAACAAAAAAATGCAGCAATAATATTTCTCCGATAATAAACAATAGGCTTGACACTTTGTAGCTCATAAGCTGGATAAAAAAAGAAAGTATTTGAAAAGGAAATTAGTGTTTATATTTTTCGTGCTAAAAAGCTAAAGTGGTATAAGTAATACTAAGAATAAAAGCAAAAAAAAATCAGATTAATAGAAAATTATAAAGTTTATCTTGAATAGTAAAGCTAGCTAAGTGATTTGCAAAGATAGGAGTAAATGGACGATGTAAATAAATGAATAAATACTTAAACATTATTTTTGAAATTAAATCTTTAAATTTTATTTTAAAATACAAAAAAGTTTATTTTTACTGTTGGAGATCCCTATAGAGAAGATGAGTTTATTATTCCTGACCATCTTTGTTGCAAGATTACATTAGATTTAATTGAGGATCCTGTTACTACTGAAGCTGGCCACACATATGAAAAAGTGGTTATCGAAGATCACTTCAAAAAGAATGGATATATAGATCCATTCACTAGAGCTAGTATTAGACCTAATCTTTATCCTAACCATGCTATAAAATAAGGTGTAGAAGAGTTTTTGCAAGCGTAATTATTTATTTTATACAATATTTATTACATCTCTTAATAGATAGCTCTCAAGTTTCTATAACTTAAAATTTTATTTATCTGAAAAGCAATCCTTGGGCCTTTGAATATTCTTACAATGACGACTATAAGAAAATAGAATTTTGAAATATCTGCTTTAGCTAAAAATTTGTTATAATTAATTTATTTTTCATGTAAATAAATATTTTATGTTTTATCTTTTTTATTAGAAATTTTTCAATTTTAAAAGAAATATTTAATTAATTTAATATTTTGAGATTATTCTTATTGAATTTAAAAGAAACAAAAATAAATTAAATGAAAGATAATAATAATAGCAAGCTTTTTTGACTAGATTATTTTCTAATTTTATTTTTTCATAATAAATTTATTTGTTTAATATTTAATTAAGGAAATATTTCAATGTATTTAGTTAGCTAAATATTCTAATTTCTTTTTTCATCTTTTAAATAAAAGATAAAAGTTAATATTTTTAGAATTTTGTAAGAAAAAACTCATAATTTAATTAAATAAATTATCTTAAGTATTCTTTAAAAAAAATTATTAGATTTCCTATTTGTTAATTCAAACAGAAATAGACAAAATTTGTAGAAAATAATTTAGAATTGATTTTTGAATAGTTTCAATAATATAATTTTTAAGATTATTTCTCTTTTATAATTTATTGATTATGTAGGCATGTATATGTTTGTTCATTCATATAATTTATTATTAAAAATTCAAAAATACCTTTCTATTTATTTTTTTTGAATCAGATTTAATATCTCTTAAAATAGCCAATCAACAAAATTTACTTGCAGGTTAGGTTTAATAAGTATATATTCAATCTCTGCAATCTTAAAATTAACAGGAGAAGATAAAAGAAAAAAAAAACAAATTATTTTAAAAAAATTAATTAAAAAGTTAATACTTTAAGTATATTCATCAGTATTAGAATGACAGATATAAAAGGATATTTAAAAGACCGTTTGGTTGATAAATCTGATAATTTTGATTGTCTTATTTGCTTTGGCGTAGCAAGAAACCCTATTGAATGTTTAGGATGTGGGTAATTTACTTTAGCATTAGTTTTTATTAGTTTATTTATAAAATTACTCAGCCATCTAAATGACAAGATAATTAAAAAATTAGCATTCAAATAGATTTAAAAATTTTTCTTGCAGGTCTTAAAATTAATTTAAAGTTAACAAAACTAAAATACTTTTGTATATTTTATCACTCTTTTTCGCGATGCACTAATGTAAATTATTTTATAATAAAAATTAGTTAAATTTACTGCAAAAATTGCTAAGAAAATTGGAAGAAAGAAAATGGTTTTTATGAATGTATAAAATGTGAAAATAAAAAAATGAATCCTTTAAATTAGCATCTAATGGAAGCTTATGTTAATTTAAAATATAAATGTAATTGTAATTAAGTATTTAGCCTTTAAGACATGGCAAAGCACGAAGATTTTTGCAACTAACCTAACTGTAAATATTTCTCTTTCTGTAATCTTAAAGTGTCTCCTAAATTCAAGGATTAACAACTATGTAGCTCTACTTGTCTTATTTTAGACCTAACTTAGTAAAATATAAAAGATCAAAAAAAACTATTTAAAGAAATAATGACAGTGTTAAATAAGAAAACTTCAAATAGTAATAATACAAATAGTACTTAACTTGTTAAATAGAATTCATTAAAAACTAGTGTCTAAGCTCCTAACATACCAATTGTGCCATTCATATAAATTAAAAATAATTTTCCACCAAGTGGTAACTAACTATAATTTAAATGGGATTTAAATAATAAAGGTGACAATATAGTAATTTCAGCAGATGGATACAGTGTAAAATTAAAAGAGAGTGTGTATGTTTTTAAAAGTGTAATTGCCGATTAGGCATTTACAAAAGGCCAGCATTATTTTGAAATCTAACTCGATTAAATGACTGAAAACGAGCTCAAAATAGGTGTTGTAACTAATAATTTATTTAATAAGAACACAGCCTTTTGTGATTAAGAAAGTGGTTTTGGGTATTACACAATTGGAAAACTTAGAAACGGCTCTAATGCTCATGGATCTGATTATGGTGCAAAATTTAAAAATAGTGGAGTCTGTGGGGTTTTCCTTGATATGTAAAAAGGTATTTTGGCCTTTAGTTATAATAGCGCTTTTTTGGGTGTAGCTTTTAAAAACAGTGCTTTAACAAAATCCCCTATCTACGCATCTGTAGCACTCCTTCATACTGCCTCATTTAGCTTAAGAAGTGGTCTTAGCATTCCAAGTTGGGCTAGTAGTATAGTCTGAAAAAAATTTTTTTAAAGTTGGATTTTAACAAAGTCAATTATATAAATAAGTAGTTCAATAGTAAAGTGCAAATAAATGCTACTAAACAAATAAAAAAGGCATAAAAATATATAAGTATTAGAATTTTAAATTAATTAACTATGAGTTAGAAAAAAAGATTTTCTTTTAAAGTAAAATTATAATAAAACTAAATAAATCAATAAACAAATAAATAGCTAATTAAAAAAATTTACCTAAATATTTTGATTGTAGTTAAATCTTTAAATTATATAATTTATTATATTTTCACATGCTTTATTATTTTAATTTATTGGCAGTTTTTTTTAAAACAAATTAAATCAATTCAATTCATTTGCTCAGATTAGAAATATAATTCAAACAACATGTTCTAACTCCTCGTTAATTAAGGGAATTTTAGACTACTTTGTGTTATTTGAAGAAAATACTAAATTGAGAGGGTGTTTGATATATAATTTTTACATATTTTATTTAGTTTTTAGTAACTTAAAAAAAATATTTATCACTATTGATATTAATTGAACAAATAAGTTGTAGTTCTTCATTAAATAATCTTAGAAATATAAATAAATAATTAAAATTATTTTTTTATTAAATATAAAAATTTTCATATTAAATTACATACTTATTACTCAATTTTCATTAATTTAAAGGGGAGAAAAAAGTGAAAGATAAATCCAAATATTAAACTAAAAGGATATTCAAACATAAAATATGCGAACATTTATAGAACAAATAAGATTATCTTCATCATAAAATTTTGTTTCGACCACCAAATTTCCACTTAAAATTTCAACAGGAATCATCTCTTCGGATGCTTAAATTATTGATTACCAATTATTTGTAGATCCTGGAATTACAAATCCAAAATCAAATGAGAATTGCTCGATAGGCTAACCATTCAAACTAAATATTTACTTTAAGCTTAATTTTTTTATCGTATGAGCTGAAGAGAAGTTAATATCTCTACTCACTGATTTACATTATAATATTTCTTTTGGGATATTTGCCTAAATTTCTTTTTCGCTGTTTATCAATTATTGAGAGTCTTAGCACACCCAAAGCTTATTGCCTGTATCAGCATCTCCCATAGTAAGCTCATTAATCTAAAAGCCTTATTTTATTAACTATGGATCAACTTTAACTGTTTATTTTACCATTGAATTGCTAAAAAAAAATTAAACAATAATATCAAAATTTTAAAATTAGTTAAAAATAAAAACTTTACAATATTTTTTGTGACTAAGTACAAACAAATCTTTAATATTAATATTAAACTTGCTTATAATTTTTATCTCAACACTAATTATTTAATTGAAAGTATTAAAAAATATTCATTCATTGTAAAGTGTTAGCATTTTAATTCATTTCTTTAAACAATTTTTAATTTGACATTTTAATTATCCTCTTTTAATAATATTATTGTTCTACATATTTACAAAAATACAAAAATAAATACTTTTAAAAGATATTAATTAATTCTTTGATAAAATATTTCAAAGATAAGATGAAAACATGTTATATCCTAAATTTTATAACAATAACATTATTGAGAGGAAATGACAAGGAATATGTCCAAATGCTCTTAGAGCAGGTACACCTGTAGCTACACCGACAGCATATGTAACACAAAAAACAATCCTCGATAAAATGTACAAAATACTCACACAAGCTAACACAACATTTTTCTAAAAGACTTGAGTTTGATCAGCATTTTAATTGTCAGAAAATGCGAAATAAAGTAAATTTCCTAAGAAGAAAAAGTAGTTTTATAAACTATTATTAAGTAATTTATTTAGAAAAGTAATAGGAAAAGGATCACTTCCATTTGCATTAAGTTTAGTTCCTAGAATAATTCTGAATAGCATAGTTATTTATATTAACACACCTATTATCAAACCTAAGGCAAAGAGAACTTTACTAACTAATGATAACCTTTCTTCTATGCTGTTTTCGTAGGGATTAATTTTCATTAGTGTTAAAATCTCACTTTTTTTAGTAAATATGAAATTCAAAGCTTAAAATGTGTATATAACTGATACTGGAATAGGAATTCTCAGTAGGAGCTTTTGAAAGATTGATACTTTCTCATCCTATTTTTAGGTTTATTAGCTCATTTATCTTCTAAAAGTTCTGTTTTATTTTTATATTAAGTTTTAGTTTTTTTTTATTTTATTTATTGTTTATTTGATTTTATCTTTTAAATTACTGAATTTGAGCTAATTTAAAAGGTCAACTCAATTTTAAGCAATTAAGAAATACAAAACAATACAATTGTATATTACTTAGAGGTAGACTAATTAATTAAAGTTTTAAAGATAGAAAAACTTTTCTGGTAAACATTACATTTTTTTTTTTTGTTTATATTGAAATAGTATTTTTAATTTTGATAATAGAAACTTCTATTTAATGTAAATTTTTGTCATTTTAATTATAATTATCAAAATATAAATCAAATGTGAAAGTTAATTATATTAGTTACTGAAAAAATTAAATTTTTAATTTTGAGAAAAGAAGACATTTCTAATTTAAAAAGTGTAAAAATTTAAGAAAAATAAATCTTTCATGTTTAGAAATTTTGATAATAAATTTTTAATTTTAAGAGGAATTATTTTTATATAAAATGCATTATTGAAACAAATGAATTTTTAGCTGAAGAGCATCTTGAGAAATATATTATTTTAATGAATTATTTATTTATTTAAAAAAGTATATTTTTATTTATATCATCATTCGTAAGATATTTTTTATTTATTTTCGTTTGTAGGTGTTTTTATCTAAGTATTTGACTAAGTATCTACATTTATATTTTGCTTCAAAAACGTATTACGTTTATTAGGCACACGTGAGTATGGTTAGGTAGGGAATCTAGGTATTGGTAAAAAAGATTTAAAGTTGTGAAAGCTCAATTAGTTAACTAAAATTTTTTATTCATCCAATTCACTTTCTAACTCCTTAATTCTTTCAGAGAAGGGAATATATTCAAATTTAATATTATGAGAATTATTTTTATTAGATTTTTTATTATCCTTATCATCTGCATTGCTTTATCTCATACCTGAAAATTAATGAATTAATTATGAATCTTCTCTTTCCTACATTTTCCCTGCAATTACATTGTCTTTTTAATTTAATATAATTTAAATGAATCCAAAATAAGTAGAAAAATATACCTAACTCCAAGACACTTACATGAGGCTATAAAAATCCATCAAGGTTGATACCGCCAAAAACAACTAACTTTGATTCTGATTTAATTAATTAGAAATAAATTTAATAATATTAAAAATAATATATCTTTAATTTATTTATTTAATTCATTTTTAAAATAAGAGGTTTTTATTTTATAAAATAGTAAATTTTTACCATAAACACTTGATGAATGGTTGAATCTTGCATATGGTTATCTGCCATTAACTTAAATTTTGATCCAATTAAAATCATCAACGTTAAATAGGAAAAGATCACTAAAATAAACTTCGAGTTCATTGTCATTTTTACCACCATGAATTATAACAAAGTTAAATTCTTAAGAAAATTCCATAGTATGACCATATCTATTTTTAGGTCCAATGCCTTTTGTTTCTGGCTTAATCCACTGCATAGGCTTGATATCAGTCCTTAAAATTTTTAAATCTCCTAAGATCTCTCCTTTTGTATTTTTACCACCAAAGAAATAGACACCTTCTTGTTAAATCTATTTAAAAAGGATAATTAAAAAAATAAGAAAAATAATGATTAATTCATTTAATTTTCAGATTTTAATTAATTTTGTACAAGACAATATTTTAAAAGAATATTAAAATTTATGAGTAAGCTCAATAAAATTTTTTTATGAAAAATTAAAAATATTTTGAAATTTCTTGTTATTGATTTGATGAAAATTGATTCTCTATGAAAGAAAAAAAATATTTTTTTGATATAATCTCCAAAAATAATTACAGATGCACCCCATTTAGTTACTTTCAGCTCTGCTGATTTGTAAATATTTATTTTTCCACACCTTTAGCTGTGATAAACAGGAACACATTTATGATAAGATGATTCGAATTCTCCATTAACTACAGCCTCACTCCATGTTTATGTACCTATTGAATTATACGTCAAATTTTATTACAAATTTATAAATTTAAAAAATTGAATTTGTTTAATTATAATAATTGATCAACCAATCAAATTTATAAATTTATTTAATTCAATTGATATTTTAAGTCAAGCAAAATAAATATATATCAAATTTATAAATTCAATTAAAAAACCTTCATTATTTAATGAATTATGAAAATATAATAGATAATTTATTATTTTACCTAAATCTAAAAACCACATGTCTCTTAATGATTGATCCTTGTTGTTCACTCCTCCATGAACTAAAAGATTTCGCCCAATTATACAAGAAGCATGATTTCTACGAGGTTAGAGAGGACCTCCAGTACAAGTAATATATTTCCATGCTCTTGTTTCCAAATTATATGAATAAACATCTAGTAAGCAATCTCTAAACTTAATTTAGTTCTAGGTCTGTCTATATTCTCCACCAAAAAATATTAAATTTTTTTTGTATAAGTGACAAGAATGTCCAAACCTAGCAGATGGTATGTTACCACTCATTTAGCTTGTTTTAACTTCCTGCCATTTAAATGTTTCTATTTAAAAATAATTTCATTTAATTAATAAAACTCGTGTATTTCATATTGGTAGATTTCAATTTTTATTTTAATGCAAATAACTGTGCAATTTTACCTAAATCAAGCTCGACTATTGTATTGTATAATTCCTTTCCTACTCCACCAAATAAATAGCCTTTTTTACCTTCTACAATCAAGCTTTAACACTCTCTAATGTCTGGTTTCCAGTGGTTTTATTCAAAAGAATACCAATAAACAGAATAGTTTCCAGAAACAGAGTTTAAAAATCTTACTTTTTTATCATCTTCTTCATTAAATTTATTATTTAATGGGTCAGGTTCACTATTTTATTGATTTGAACTAGTCCCATTGTTGTTGTTTGCATTTTTTACATTAATCTATTTAGTTGACCCAATAGCTCTATTTGTGCTAGGCTAGTTATTTTCTTTACTCTCTTCATTATTATTTTATGCTCCTTCTATAGTACCCTGTATCGATGTCAATTTTTTATTTTTAAATATTGGATACTACCTTATTTTAGGCATCTTCTTTAAGACATCTTGCTGCTCTTTTATTCTTTGTTGCACATCTGAATAGCTATTCCAAGATTCAAACAAAAGGTTTCTATTAAGTTAGTGGTGAATATCTTTGTTATGAATTAGAGATAATTCTATTTTATTAAGCGGTCTTTATCCTAGTGATTGGGAACTACTCACTTATTTTCCATTACGTATGCGCCTAAATCCATTCTAAAAATTGATTCCATAATCGTTATCTTCATCGCTACTGCTTGATTCCTCGTTGTTTTAATCACTTTTTAATTGCTAGTTGATTTTTTTCTAAAGTTTTTATTACTATTCTGTAGTTTACATTTTTTCACCTGTCATCACAAACAGTTCATGAAAATCTAAATTCTAAAATGAGGGATTTTCTTAGTGAAGCTTAATAAATTATTGCTTATTTATCTCTTTGCTGTTTTTAAATGGAATGAATTTTGAGTGTTCAAGATCATTAAAACTTTCAGATATGTACTGCGATTTGCGTTTTTATTATTTTTTATTAGGATCTACTAACTAGCTCAATTACTGTGATTTTATATAATTTTATGTCTCATTTGAGTCAACTGGAATATGTAAAGTTATATCTGGATGTTTTGGGTCATTTTCTTAAACAGCTAATAGCTGCTGATACTTTGTCACAGAAAGTGAGCTAATTGGTATCTTCTTTTTTGTGAAGGCTTCTCCAAAAATATTTTTACAGCTAGGGCTCTTGCTCTTCATAGCCTATTAGTATGTTGAATTCAAATTTTATAAGCTACTTATGTTTTAACTTGTATTAATACTATTATTTATAGTATAACCATTATTTTGTAAAGTATGTGAGCTAAATGATTTCTGGTTATTTGAATAAATATCTATATATTTTAGTGTATATTATTGTATTGATTATGAAATAACTAATTTAAAAGCTTTAAAATAACTTTGATTTTGATAAAGCTGTTTTGAAAATAGTTAAGTAAATAAATGTACGTACGTGGTAGAGAGATAGTCCCATTTTATTTGGAGTTAGATTATTGATTTTTCATGCTATTACTTTTAAAAACACAAGAATTAATACCTTTATTAAAATCTAACTTTATTTAATTAACAATTTAATTTTTACACAAATTTTAATACAAACTCTGTTGGATATAGATTTTGCTATTATTATAATTTTTAGGATAGTTTGTAAAAAAAAAAAAAAATATGTGATTTAAATTAATTTGAGTAAATTAAAGTATTAATCAATGAAGTATGCATAAAACACACTTTTTAAGTCACTGTTTATTATATAATCAAAATTATTTTTATAAGCAGAGGTTGATAAAGTGATTATAAATATCCATTAGAATTGGTTGCTATCAATCTATCTTGATTTTTGATTTTAGTATTTGACTGAACTCTTTTTATTTTTGGGAGATAGGTACTCAATTAAAAGATACAAAAATAATAATTAAATAAATAAATCTTTATGTGAAACATTTCTATTATTTTTATAAAGTAAATATCTCTCTCTTTTTTTGAATCATAATTATTTATTTTCTTCAATTTAAAAGTTTCATAATTCAATCATTTTTTGTAAAAGTTATTTATTTATTTAATAAGAATCATTATTTTTCCTTTAAAATTATAAGTTAAATAAAATATTTTTCTTTAAAATTATTTTTTTAAATTTTATTTAAAAAGAAAAATTTCTTACTTAATTATGAAATGCTACATTTCTTAAAAAGGTGAATTTAAATTAATTATTATAAGATTAATCAACTAAATAAAAATATCTTAAATAACTTCTGTTTAAATTTTAAAAGTTAAAAAAATTTTTTGGTCATAATAATAAACAAATATAAAAATAATTTATTAAATTTTATATGATCTCATTTTAAAATATTTGTTAAAATTATAATAACATTTGATGAGAGTTAGATTATTATTATTAAATTTAATAACATTATTTGTTTAAATATAAATATCAATTTGATATTTTTTGATTTCTATCTTTAATTAGAATATTAAAAGGTAACTATATATTTATAATTTTAATAATAACTATTTTGTTAGATTTAAAAATACTTAATCAGGTTAAAATATTTTTTTAAAATCATGCTTCTAAAATAATGAATGAATTATTATAATGATAATTCTTTTAAAAAATTTAAAGATAAAAAATATACAGTTTAATTTTCATTATAAATGATTAATTTCTCTTTAAATTTTGGTTATAATTTTTAAATTGGATTTGCGTAAAATTTAAAAGTAGAAGAAAAAATTTCTAATTAATTTTTTAGATTGATAAATTTTTGAATTATGGAAGTAGACTATAAAAACTTAATATCAGTGAAAAATCCATGTAAATATTTTGGCTAATTAGGTTATAATACAAAATAATTTTTAGAATATTTAAGGAGACCAGTAAAATTACCTTAAGTCTTCATTAAGACCTTTTAAAAGTCTAATTCTCCTGACAATCCTCTAAGCAAAAACTCAATATTGTAGACTTATTGTAACAGAAATATGAAATAATTTTTATTCAGAATTTAATAAAAAAACTTAGGAATAGAAGCTTAGAGTCAGCAAGAAAATAGCTTGAAGAACAATAAAGTAGCAGTATTTAAAACAAATTTATTATAAGAAAATCTTCTTCGAAAAGCCCTTAGAGATTAAATCCTAATGAGAAAAATAATGTTAAGTTAAATAAAGCTATTCATTAAATGAGTCCTACTTATAATAATCTAAACAGTAGCTTTGAAATTGATAAGTAATAAGAAAATAGTTACATTTACTATAATTAAGCAAACTAAGTACTATAATCTGAATAATTAAGGAGAGAAATTTATCCTATTCGCACTATACCTTATTTGCCTAAATAAGCTATATTAAAAAGTCCTCCCAAATATAAAATAAAATAGGCTGATATACAAACTAAAGAAGATAGCTTCTTTGATAATATTTAAATGGGTATGGATACACTGTAAGAGTAATCTTCGTAAAAAGAAGATACAAGCTAGGAAGAAGATTCTTAAATATTTATAACAAACAATTAGAATAGTTATAGCAATGTTTCATCAGTAAAATCCTCTTTTGATTAAAATAAAAATTAAATGGGCTCAACAAAAAAAGAATAAAAAATTCATAAAGAGGTTAGCTTAAATACCTATTAATAGAGCTTAAAAAAATAAACCAGCATTTTAATATCAAATAAATCAATTTTAGATTCTGAGATATAGATTAAACAATAAAGTGATATAAGTTCTTCAGAGATTGATTCAAAGCATCTCTTGTACTTACCAAAGTAAGAAAAAGAAGTAGTATAGAAGAAAAATTAATTACAATAAATATAACCTACACAAAACGAAACTTCAAGTGAAAAAATCGAATATATTTCAAGTCACTTCTCTTAGTATTCTCCTAAAAATTAAAAATTTTAGAATAAAGTAGATACTCAAGGATTCAGTTCTTTTTATGATAAATAAGTTAATTAAAGATATTCTATAGAAAAAACTAGTGACTCAGTAATACAATCGCAAAATTAAATAGCAAATTAAGTAAAAAAAAAAACAATTTTTCAAAAAAATAATTTTATTTTTTTAAAACTAATTAGAACCAAAGGAAATAAAAAACTTTGAAATAATTTTTTCAAGGTGTTCTTAAAATGATAGGTCCTATTATTGCATTTAGAAAGCAGTCTATTAAGAGAGAAAGGGCAAGAACAATGCCTAAGAAGAAAACAATATTTAATAAAGATAATTAGAGGCATTCTAACTTAGGAATTCTTACTTCAGGTATGTATTTAAAAATATGATCGAATTTATTGGTTTTTTTTGATATTTTTTTTTTGGTATAAAATAGAATTTATAAAATCAAACAGCTTAGTTAATTCAAATGATGAGTTAGAGTTATTTGATAATATTAAGTAAGATAAGACTCTAATTAATATAGATCTGAATAAAAAGAATCCTAATTAAAAGAGGTACAGTAACATGTATACTTATTAGTCTCTCTTAGAAATTAAAATTTAAAATATGAACTTGAATAAGCAGCTCCTATTTAATAAAATTGAAACTTTTGATGAGGAGGCAGCCAATAAATTAGTATAAGATGGGCTGAATATAAAAAATATAGAGTTAGAAGCAGTAATGTTTTATTTGCTTTATTAAATCTTATTTTTTTTTATTAAATAGAATATAGTAGAAAATGATTTAACTCCTGAAGCTTGGATAAAAAAGATATAAAACATGAATCTACCTTACCAGGCTCGGTGCTTATTTTATAAAGATAAGAAGTATAAATTATACTTTACCTCTTTTTTTTTTGTATTTTTAATTATATTTTATAGAAGAAAACAAAATTTGATTTTAAAATGAATTTTAATCAAACATAATTTGTAAAATAGATATGTTTGGGAAAAAGTAAATATCTTAGAGTATTCAGAAGAGAAAATGAAGTACCTTGTTGAGTTCATTGAGGGAGGTTAAAAAAAATTTGTAAACAGAAATGTAATCGCATTTAGGTATTTTATTTAAAATAAAAATTTTTTTTAAATTGGAAGAAAATTTTTATATTTGATTAATGAAAAATTAAATTTTTTAAAATATTCATATTATTATTAAATAATTAATTACTCTATAAGTAATTGCTATGACATATTTTTATCTATTAAATTAATATAATTTATTTTGATGATTATTATATTTTTATTCAGATTTGAAAAAATGGAGAATATAATTTCAAGGATAGAAACGATAATTAGTAAAAGTAAACTTGTTTAAGATGAGAAAAAATTTTAGATTTTTGTTAGTAAGGTTGATGATTCTTTAGTGGAAAATATGCAGTCAGAATAAAAATAAAGAATTTTTAATTTATGTCTTAGATAAGACTACTTGAAGAATGTAAAAAAGAAAATTTTAAGTGAAGCAATTCTCCATCAAATGTCTTAAGAAGTTGACAAATTATATAAGCATAAAATGAAAGAGATTTTGGTCATTTATTAAATGTAAAAGCCAGAATTTCAAGAATACTTTTATAAAGAAGCAGACCTTGAACCAAGGTTATTATATGCTCCAAGCTTTCCTTTTATGACAAGCATTTATAGAAGTGAAAATTTTGCTTAAATAACAAAGTACTTCCTCTTGAAAAGAAATGTTTTTTTAAAAAATGAGTGCTAAAAATCTCTAAGCTAAGTACAAAATATCAACATTTAGTTTGGGATGAAACCAGCTTTCGATATTTAAATTGAAACAATAAAGCCACCAAAAAATATAGATCAGTTAATAAAAATTTAAGTAATCTTATTATTTTTTATTGTTGATGTTAAGTTAATTTAACTAATAATATTTTGTTTTTTTATAAAGAAAGAAAGCATTGATAACATGAGAATACGTCTAATTACTAATTACAGAGAAAATATGATTCATGAAATTTTTGATAAACTCTAAAAGTTCTATAAATTTTTTGAAACTGATATTGATAAGTATAGAAATTCACTGCTTTTTAGATTCCTAAAAAGAGTGGAATTCTAGATAGTAGAATCCTTAGGTGAAAATGTTTTCAAACACAATTGTTTTATTTGGTTGAAATTTCTTCAATCATTCACCTATCCTGAAATAAAGTTGCTTTCCTAAGAGAATAACAAAATTAAAAATAGTACTCTCACATAAGAAGAAATAGATTTTCAAGTAAAACAAATTAAACTTAGTGAAGTATGGGTTTGCAATAATAAATAGCTACTAAACTTGAGAGTAGTTTGCACTGATTAGGGTAAAATAGCTTTCTAACCTGCCTTTGAAGAAATATTTTAGCAGCTTTGCTAACCCATTCACATGTTAAATGAAATGGTAAACAGTTTCTAAAAATTAGAAAAAACAGTGGTACCTTTGCTGGATTTTGATCTTCCTGAAACATACAAGATAGACCATGGTCCTTATGTTAATACAGTTAAAGATTTCATTTTTTCATTTATATAGGCTTAATGGGATACATATTTAACTCCTATTGTAGAAAAATATAGCTAATTTAGCCACTTTTTCTTGGAAGAATCAACACAAGTCTTTTAAATTTTTAAGGAAGGAAGTGAAATGAATTAAAATTTTAGCATCAGTGTTTTCCTATTAGATGCTTAACTCTATTCTTAATCAAATAAATAAAAAGTTTCACAAAATCAGCCATAGTAAAACCAATCAAATAAATCTTGGATTACTTCTTAAGTTTAAAATGTATAAAATTAACAAAATGCTAACTATATAAGCAATAATTTTGGTGCTTAATCAAATAACTTAAATGTGACAAATAATTTTGTATAAAAATCAAATTAAAAGATTTTTGAAAAAGGCTTAGCTAATATTTTGTTGGATATGACTATTGTCAGAGAAAGCGGTAATATATATTCTCTAAATTAATTGAAAGATACTAATAGAATAAGAGAAATTCTAAGAAAACTGCATGAAGATATCTAAAAAGCTAAAATGTTAGAATGTGATATTGTAAAAACACCTCTATTTTTCATAAATGTGTAACCATGTAAGAAAAATACAGTTTTTTTTGGGATGAATGCTAAAACTACCATACTGAAATCGATTGCTTTTATCATTTAGTAAAATATTGGAACTCTTCAAGAAAGCTTTGAGCATTTTAAACTTAAAATTTCTAAGTATCCAACTAATGAAGAAGAGCTTGTATAAAGCAAAATTATCATTTCAGGTTGTGAAAGTGATATTGAAAATTTTTAAACAGAGGTAAATAAAATAAATTGTTAATTTAAAAGAAAATAATTAGTTCATAAAAATTTATTACTTAAATTAACATATAAATAAAAATGAGTAGTTAAATTTAATTTAATTTTTTCATAAAAATTTCAAATTCTTCTAAAGTATTTAGTTAATTATAAACTGATAGAAAGAAACAAATTATAATTTCATGATAATCTAAGTTAAATTTATTTTATTTAGATTAAAAATATAGGATAGTATATTGATTTAATAGAAGAATTTTACTTTTAAATGAACCCAACTACATGGGAGGCTTATTGGATGCTTTATACATGTCCTTAGTTAGTAAGAGAAAAATTATAATAATCTAAATAAGTAATTGCTTAGCAAGAAAAGAAATTTATTGATTCTCTTGATAAAGAGAGATAATTGCTCCAACTAAAAATAGAAAACATTTTTCAGGATTTCTAAACTGTAAAAAATTTTAATAATTATCAGCTAGCTAAAGATTATTGCATGGAAGCCTAATCATTAAATGAATAAATTAATGATGCTATATATTAAGGATAGTAGATAAATAAGAGAGAACAGCTTCTATAACTTTAATGTAAAAATTAATTTTGAACCACTAATTTTTATTTTAAGATTTTTAATAAAAAATAATATTTATTAGTAACAAAATATGTTCTGCTTGAGTAAATTAAGCAACAATCTATTTACTTTATAAAATTATGGGAGCTGGCATTTTAGCTTTAAATTGACAGACATAAGTGGATGCTTGGTTCTTTGATGAAAATTTCATTTGAATAATTTAAGTAAAAGATACTAGAGTATGATCATAATAAAGAAGAAATAAAGGTAAAAATACAAGAGTTGGTGGAGGACAAAAGCATTATTAAAGTAATTTAAGAAATCTAAAAAGACATAGACTAATCAAGAGTAAAATAATTATATTATTCATCTATATCAATTTATAATATAAAAGTACTTAATAAACAAACTTTTATTTAAAAAAGGAAATATCATGGATGATAGAGTATTTGACTACAGAAGCTATGATCAAAAAACCTCAATTCTTTAAAGATTTGTTTAGAGAATGTAATTTACCAATGATAGAACCAAATGAAGATATGAGCTTAAAAGCATTAATAGATGTAGATTTAATTCATTTTAGAGACTAAATTCGTGAATGTAGTGAAAGGGCAGATAATGTCTTCAATACAGAAAAATAACTATAACAAATACAAGACAGATTAAAAGAAACTCTTCTCGAACTCATAGAATATAGGGAAACATTTATCATTAGCAATTTGTCTAACTTATAAAAAATTATTGTAGAACAAAACAATTCAATTCAAGAAATTAAAAATTCGGAAAGAGAAAAGTTAGCTCCAAAATATACCTAAGAGATAGATTAAAAAGTGCAATCTGTGAGTTTTAATATAGGAAAAATTTAAGAATTTTAGCAGCTTTATGTAAAACCTTTGAATTTATTATTCATTCTTTTTCTATAATAAATAATTAAATTAATATTTAGGTGTAAGCAGGAAATATAATAGATACTATTGAATATGAAAAAAAGACAAACTCTTTAATGAAACCCTTTCATTAATCAGAAAGTTTTTGGAGAGGAGTAATAAGATTTGTTAGAGAAAATAACTCTCTCTTTGAAACAGATTTTAATTTTGATTATGACAATTAAATTTAAAGCTTATAAAAGTTTATTTTACAATTTAAAGATGATAAAAAGTAAACAGATAATTGATTGTTTTAAACGAGTTAGCAATAGCTAAAATATCTCTACTTAACTTCTCTTTAAACATAATGTATGATTTAAATCTTCAGATGAATTTAAGAAGAAGAAATATTTTGAGAAAAAAAGTCTTTGTTAAAATTACTTTATAAAATTATTAAAAAAATAAAATAAATAATAAATATTATTTATTTATTTAATTAGCTATTTAAAATAATTTATATTATTGATTGTTTTAATTCAATTTTTTAGTAAATTTTATTATCATTTTTCAATAATATTCACTATCTCGTGATCAATAGAAAGCTATACAACTAAATCGTATTAATTTTTTTAGAGTTAATTGTCAATATAGATTTATGGGTGTAGTGACTTCCAAAAATAATCAACAAACTAATCAAGCTATTCATCCGTCATTCCTTTACCTGTTTTCGCTATCATTTTATGTTCAGCGTCTTTTCTCCATTACCTACTGAAGTTGTAATCTTCAGGAGTTATAATTAATAGAGAGTGAAGAGAATCCCAAAGTTTGTAGTACTCTTTCAATTTTTCTTAGCAATCCTTAGCAAATTATAAATCATTTTCATTATTAATTGGATTTAATTATTTTAATTAGCACTCTCTTAAACCTATTTATATACAAAACAAAATATTTAAATGTAAATAATAGAGATTTATTTACATACCTATAAACCACCCTTCAAAAATAACAATATCTGGTAGCTATGGATAGTTCTTATATCCATTTATATCACCTTACCCATTGTGAAGTGATTTATCAAATATAGGAATATTTATTGGTAGTTTTTACTCATTTATTTATTTAAATACTTAGTATAGAGAATTTATATCGTGTGTTCCTGGAGGTCCTCTGTATTTTATTCTAGGATCTTTCTCTTAAAGTTTGAGTCTATCCTCATAACTTAAATAAAAATCATCAATAGAAAAAACCATCACATTTTTACCATCCTATTCTCCTATTCTTTAGATTAAATTACTAAAGGTAGTTTTTCCAGCGCCTTGTACCCCTAAGACTCCTGATATTACTGAACTCAATCCTGATAGATTATTTACATTAAATTATAAATATTAAAAAATTTTATATACCTCTTTTTTGTTTGATGTTTATCAGATGATTGTAGTAAGGAAGAACATAATTCCAATAGGAATCGAATATTGATTAAATGGGAATCTTATTTTCAGTAGAATAGTTTATCAAAATTTCTTAAAACTTTTCGAAATGATTTATCTATGATAAAAGCTTATCTTTTAATTAATCTTCATTTTATAAGCTCTAAAATGAGTAAGGCAATACTTTCTTACCTACTTAGTCAATTAATGACTAAAGCTGTTAATTATTTGAAGTTAAATTCTTCAACAAATTATGGTACACGCTTACTTTATTGTTCATAATTTGTAATTTTTTTAAAATAATATTTATTAGCAATAAATAAGTAAACAAGTAGCTTTTAGAATTCTACCAAAAATAAAAGTTATTAAATATTTGCTTAATAAATAGAAAAATATTTGATAAAATTAGCAAATTGCATCAATATTTATCAAAATTATTTAAAATATGACGATTATTATAAAAATTATTTGCAATAGGATTTTGGATATTTTTAAAATATTTATTTTTATTCATAAATTAATTTAAAAATAAAAATTCTAATTTAAAAAAAGAGTAAATTTAATTTAGATATTTATTTATTTACTGCTATACAAATAGAAATATTTTTTTAAGAAAATAAATATTTTCAAAAAATTTTTTAATAAATAAAAATTTTAAAAGTAATTATCTGAAATTGAGAAAGACTTAAAAATGAAAAATTAATGGTATTAAAAATTCTTTCAATAAATTAATATTATTTATATTATATTTGTCATATTTAAATTGAAGGAACTCTTAGAAATAATTAGTATAAATTTTTTTGGTGTGTTTACATTAAAACAAATAGATAACTTTTAGAGTATTAAAAATATATGAAAAGATTTTTGAAAATGTTTTAATAAAGAGCTGAAAAAAAAATGGGATGTGTTTATCAATAATAGGTTGCCTGATCATCCATCAATAATAAATAACATGTTGTTAAATTCTAAATTTTTTTGATTTATATTTTGTGTAAATTGAAATATATTTTTGGAATTAAATAATTGAGATTGTATATTTATTTATTATTAATAGATAGATAATAGATTTTAGTCATAAAAAATTGCTATTTTAATTTGTAAGTAGTAAGAATTTGTAAGACAATAAATTAAACAAATTAACAAATAAATCTATTCAATTAATCAATTTTGATAGTAGGATAACTAAAAATATATCATAGCACTAGCAAATTTTAACAATTAAAATTTTTTGAAACCAATAAAAATGAAGCAAAGCATATAGAAAGAGACTGGTAATTCATTTTTTCTTCTTCGTTGCAATAATATAAAATTATTTAGACTAATTTGCCATTAAATATTTTTTTAAAAAGAGCTTCTCAAGAATAAATTATCTTCCTACTTAAAGGATTTCTAAAAAATAACAGATTGGCCATCTGTTAATAATTGGCTTTTAAAGCTAGAACAAGCTTTCAAAGATCATCCTACTCCATACTTAGAAGATAAATTAGTTTTAGCCAAAAGATTAAGCTAATGTCTAAATCATAATTTACCTGTAGGCACTCATAAATCAACTTTAACAGTTTATAAATTGATTTTTAATAATCTCAAACTTATCCATGATATTGATGATTCTCCTGATTCTGTAAAAAAACACATATCTAAAAATCTCCATATATTTAGCTTAGGGTTATTTCCCTTTTTTTCTGGTGCATCAGCTCAAGTAAATATTTTAAATTATTTTTAGCAATACAATTTTTTAGATAAACATCGTTTTTTACACAAACCAATTATTAAATATGCCATCAAGAGCATAGTTAAGATTTAAATACCATTGAAAAAAAATAAACTCAATTTTATTGTAAATAAAGTTGAAGCCAGATATTTTAGATATAATAGAAACTCACTTTTGCCCATTAGAAATGGATTTAATTCCTTGCTCCGTCGGATTAATTGTTAGTATTTTACCAGGTGTAGTTGAGAATAATGAAGAAATTTAGCGCAAAACATTTTAGATATTTGAGTAATTGTAAGTTAAGATAGGTAAATATATGATAATTTGGTAAATTTTAAATATTTATTCACTAAAAAGGTAAGAAATATTTATACGGGGCTTTATGGCTGAGCATTTTAAGGTTACCAAGGACGAGAGTAGCAGCATATACTTGCTTGTCAAAGTTATTTAAAAAAAATGATTAATAAAATCTTGCTTCTATTGATATCGAACCTCATATAATTAAAAAATTGCAATAAAGTAACTAATTTACACAAGAAGAAGTTTTTTTCTCACAAACTGAGGAAACTACAGAAAATTATTCCCCATTTATAAAAGTGTATGAATAGCAAAGAAACTTAGATTTAGGTAATTTTCTGAAATTTTATTAACTTGTTCATATAAATAAAAAACTTTTTTTTGTAAAATAGTATTTTTATTTTTAATATTTAAATTGTAAATTAAAAGAGATTAATGTAAATTTATAATGTAGGTGTAAGGAATATTGAAGATTAGCATTTAGAAGAAGATCATATATTCAATGAATAAGAGGTTATGCTTCAAAATATAAGTAACTTCTTTTGAAAATTTGATTGAAGTAGAATTAGTTTTTTAAAATTAAAATTAAAATAGACGAAGTTAAAAACTAAGACGATTTCAATGCAAGGTTTCCAAATAAAAGCGCTTTAATATTAAATGCACTTGTTTAGACACTCGAAGATGAAAATAACTAAACGAAAAAATTTGGTTTAGATTTTCTTTTAAACTATTTTCCTATCTTAGGAGATTCATTAAGCGAGTCTGATAAATTGGTTTTAACACAATGCGTGTTATATCTATTTTTAAAAAATGAGTATTCTATAGTGTGGAAATGTCATTAGTGGCTTTTTGGTGAAGCTGATATAAATAGTAATTTTTAGATTGGAGAACATAACAGAGTGGTAAATGATTACTTTATAAAAAATGCTATAATAAATATATTTGATCACAGTCACTCAGATTTGAATGCTCCAATAAAGATAATTCAAACATTTTATATGAAAAACAATCACATGATTGCAGACTCTCTCAAAACTATTAGTTTTTATTTGATAAAATACATAAAATAGCATTTTGAAAATTAAGTAAATAGATTTAAAATTTAATTAAAGATTAATCAATTGATAAAATCTAATGATTTTATTTAATTTAATTATTTTTCTAATTAGTTAAATTTAAATTTTTATTAATTAGGAAGTATAAAAGAGCTCGTTGAGATTGTTTGAATGTGTTTATAATTACTTTGATGTTATTTTCTCAAGTTTGTGTGATCATTATGATGAATTAATTAAATAAAACTTGGAGAATTAATTAAGAAAAGATTTTTACTTTAATGAAAAAGTTTATACACTTGAATTGATAGAATTTACTTTTATTAAAATGTTTGTTTATCACTCTGAAATGGAGTTTTCAGAATTAAGCAAAACAATTTAACCTCTTATATCAAGGCTAATTTCATATCTATCTGATGAAGTTAGGTAATTTTTATAATTTTATTTTTATTTTTTTCTCTTAAATTTTTTAAATTATTTTAAAGCAACGTAATAGATGATTAGCATTCAATTCTGCTCAGATGTATTTTTTAACTTACTGAATATTTAAGAAAAATATTAGAAGAATTGGAAAAGAGTGGGAGTGATATTAAATTGCTTCAGATGGATGAGACTTATGAATTTTATGTTTAGACATTTGAAAAATACTATTTAAGGTTGTGTTATCTTTTAACAGAAACTTTAAACGAGGAAAAATTATAAAAAAAGCAAAATAAAACAAATTAAATTGAGCTATTGATAGATCCTATGGATTCTAAGCTTCATTCACAAAATTCAGGAAACTAATAGCAGTAAAGTTAATAAAACTAGCTTTAATAGCAAGCTTCGAATAGATTAAGCGATTAGTCACGTAAGGAAATAGAAGATTAAGCAGAAAATACCCAAAAAAGGTATGAGGAGTGTCTTTATAACATGTTTGACTAATCTTCTAAAATTATTTTAAGTCTGCATAAACTCTACTTGGGGTATTACAATTGGCAAATAAAATTTGACAGTGCACCTGAATGGATTAAAAAGATATATTTAATTATAGAAATAAGCAAGTAATATTTCCCAAAGATTGAGCTTTTTTGCATAGACAGCCTTATAGAAATAGTCACTTATAAATGCAAACATTAAGATAGATTTAATCTTTTATAGTGTTTTGTAGAAGAAGACTCGAAAATTACATAAATTACTAAAATTCTTTGGTCCAACCTTGAATTATCTAATCAACAAAAGAGAATCATTGACTATCTTGTAATTCTAATGAATAAATTTCCTAAACTATTTACAAATGTTGTTGAATCTTCTTTTAAGCAAAAGTAAATTTATTTTATGCCTAAACTAAAAAAATTACCTGATTTATTTTTTTTAAATTAAAGATAAAAAATTAATTCAAATTCATATAAAAACTGCTATTTTTATCTAAATAATATTTTTTATGATCAGTAATAGCCTTAAGTTATAATCAGCGATGAAAGGATTTATGACTTTCTATAGAATGACAAATAATTACATAACCAAAAATAGCTCAAGCAATTTGGGTTGTGGTTTATTTTAGATGCTAGATCTCTTATCAAATAAAAATCCAATATTGAGAAATGTTGTGAAAACATTTTTGATGGAAAATACAGCTTTATTATTTAGGGTACTTGATCCGTTTTTGATCGAGCTTTTGGAGTGTTAGCATAACTGCCGAGTATAATATAAGTATTCGAATTTGTTTATTTATGAAGAATCCTATGATTGTTAGAGAATTTTATATTTGATTAAATTGCTTGAATAAACCTTAGAAATCTTGAAAGATATTTTTGTGAGCTACATTTTTTCTGTTAAAATAAGCTCTCACCTTTCAAATAAAATCAGATCATCTAAATTTTATGTAAAATTTATTCTTTTTACTTTTAAAATACTCATATTATTTTATTTATTTAGAACTAATTTGATTTATCAAATGCAACTTATATGGATGTTATTTGCAATATAACTGTAAGATTTATTTAGGGTTAAACACCTTTAGATTTACTTGAAAATAGAAAAGAAGCACTTTCTATGAGCTTTGTCTCTTCAGATGACGAAGAAGAGGGGAATGAATAAGCAGAAAATTTAAAAAATACCAAATTAAATAATTAAATTAGTGGAGATAATTTAGAATCTCCTAAATTAACATAGAAGTAACATAGCAAAAGAAAGAGAGAATAAGCTCATGAAGAGTAATTTAGATTAGAAAATTAATAGATAAACTCTTTATGCAGCGAATATCTTGACAAACTCATTTAATATGCTGAAAACAAATCTACAGCAATTAAAATTCTCAACTTAACATTAGAAAAAATTCTAATTACTTTAAAGTTTTTGATTTAGAATAAAAATTTAGTCATTTAAGTTGAGCTAATTAACTTGATATAATCAATTGTAATGAAATTTAAGCAAATTTGTAAAAAGAAGAGCTAAGCAGATTAAATACCATCTTAATCTTAAGTTTAACAGCAATAATAAAACTAAAATAGCTTAATTCAAAATAATCAAAAGGTTACTTCATCAGTTTAAGGAGGATTTAAAATTGCAGAAGAAAGTCTTAGAAATGCAATTGAAATGTTTGGCAGTTAGTTATTTTTTTCTAATCTTTTAGAAGGTTTTGAACTTTCAGAAGATCCTTTCGTTAGGAGTAGGTATATTTATGTAATAACTATAGGTATTTGGACTCTAAGTGATGCTTTTAGCGAAGAAAATTTAAAAGATATAGTAACTCTTATTTTTGTTAAATATTATGCCGTCCTTAAATCAGTCAGGATGTAAGATATTATACAATCTACAGACTTAACAGAGGAAGGAGAATTTTCAAATAACGAAGAAATTTCAGATTTATCGTAAAGTGCTGCTGCTTCTATTATTCAAAATAGCATCAAAGAGAATTATTTTACAAGAGATAGAGCATAACAAGGAGGTTAATATGAAACAGATATGGGATTTGAATATTAAAAAGGGTATGCTAGAAATAAATCAACTAAGAAAAGAACTATGTTTTTGGGAAAAAATACCTAAAATGATTAAAGTAATAAAAGCAAAAAAAACTCTGCATAAAACGCAAATAGCTAAACAAACTAGAGTTTATTAGATGAGAATAAAGAATCGATTTCTGATTAAAAAAAAAATATTAGAAACGAAGAAGAAGAAGATCATGATGAAGATGATTACTTAAAAAGTGAATAAGAAATGAATTTATCTTCTCAATTTAAATGCTAAGAAATTAGAAATATTTGTGACTCTATAAAATCGATATTAAATTACTTTTTACAGTTTAAGGATTCAAATGGAATGACATTTGTATCTCTTTAAAATAATTAATCTCCAACTAAATCTATCTCATAAGCTATCAATCAGTAATAATAGCATTATAAAATGGCTTCTGCTTTATATGACATCATAACGCTAAAATTCCTGAATAGTAATGCTCTCATGTCTAATTCAAGCAATAATAACTCTTAGAATTAATAGTATCAAGATCGTTTCTCGTACCTCCCATCAATAAACATTTAAAGTAACTCAACAGCTTCCACTTCTACTGCTGCCGATTCAAGATCTAGTAGTTCTTCTTAAACTAATCTTGATCCTTTATCTCAATTAAATTTCCAATGTTTGAAAGAGAAGTAACACCCTGTAGCATGCAACTTAATTATGCTGGAATTACCAAATCTGATTACTTCTTACCTGAATTGCTGGAGCTTGAGCAGTAATACAGATTCGAATCTAATTTTTAATAGGTAAGGTACTAAATTTTACAACTTCTCCTAATTTGAGGGCTACAATTAAAGGCTATAAAAAATATTAAATTACCTGTCAGATTCAAATAATGATTTCCTCTTTCAGGATTTGATAAAAGTTGAAATTCTATCAGTAATCTATCCCCTGATCCAATAGTTCCCCATACAAACCCTTCATGCTTTCTTGTAAATTTGGATTCATCAGTGTGATTCATCTTTCTTTGTCCCTTACAGCTAGAGAGATAGAAGTTAATCTGCAAATATATTTTAAATAAACTAAGCTGCTAACAATATCGTATGTTAAGACAATTAAGAAAAAGTAATGACAAAAATTTTGGAAATCATTAGCTATATGAATGTGAAAATAGATTATATAATTACCAGTTTAGCTAAGTCTCCAACAATTCAGTCTATTAGAAACTATTACATCTAAAGGTTGTAAATGCCTAAAGATTAAGCTCTAATTAATTCACAAATAGCATAGCAAGAGTCTTAAATTCTATTTTTTTTATTTGAGCTTATTTCTTATTAATATTTAGATCTTACATCATCACAGAATCAGTAAATAATATCTTCTTTCTGGTTCTAATTGGTAGCATTTTTATCAACCTTCAATACATCTAAGCATCCCACTACATGCATATGGGTTTTAGATATTGTTCTTGCTGCATCTAGGAAATACAGTCCCAAAGAAATTTTAAATGAAAAGAATATCCGTCAAGATCTCCATGAGCTTATTAAAATCCATTTGACAAATTTAGCAAACTTTTCGATATAGAAAATACAATTTAACTCTACAACTGAGAGAAATTTTACTTAACGTTCATCTGTCAAGCAACCTCAAAAATCTCAAGCAGCTGATTAACCATAACAACAACAACAACAACAACAACAACAACAACAACAACAACAACAACAACAACAACAACAACAACAACAACAACAACAACAACAACAACAACAACAACAACAACAACAACAACAACAACAACAACAACAACAACAACAACAACAACCATTCTTTGAACTTTTTGCTCCTTTTTCTCCCACAATATACGAACTATTTGATAATTATTAGAGGAATTTTAATACGAATTAAACACAAGATCTACATAGCTTTGATGGAAACATTAGTTTCAGTAATAGTGATGGTTAAAAAATTTCAAATTAACAACAAACTGAATCTAATTTACTAAACTCGAACCCTATCTACTACGAAATAGAAAAAAATCTTTTCCAAATTAACCAATCTACAAATTAAAATTAGACAGAGGAGTTAACTTTAGAAGAAAGAAGAAGCTCTTTTTGTAGTAACTACTCATTTTCTTCTTCTTCAGCTAATTCTCATCCTCTCTTAACAAGAGATTAATATTCTTTCAAAATTAGTCTCTTATCATATAAAGCTCTGAGATCTTTGCTTTATGAAGTCCTTCAGAATTGCTTTGATAGTTAATAAAAAATTTTATAAACTGCAAAAGACATTCTGGGTACTGTAATTACTAAAGCCTTTTCAGAAAAGAAAAATTCAAGCCACCAACTGATTTTAGTAGAATGTGCAAGTGATTTATGCAACAAACTTCTCACTTAATCTCCAGATTTTATTATGAAAGAATTCAGAAAGAACTTGCTTGAAATATTTACATCGAATGTAAATTTGATTTAACAAATCTTTATTATTTACAAATATTCAAATATAAAATTTGACAACATTTTTATTTCAATAGGATTTCTTTAAGTGCAATATTAGAATCCTAAACTACTGGAGAAGTATTATTAATTGGCTTGATGAAAGTGGAAATCTTTTCACAGAATTCTTTGAACGGTAAGCAATAAAAAAATAAATTTTAATATATAAAAAACAAAAAAATTTAAAAACTTTTAGAAAATAAATTTTAAATTAAATAATTAGCTAAATTTTTTATTAAAAATAGTGAAAGTTTCTTTTAAAGTTTGCTTAGTAAGAGTGAAGAAACTAATTTAAAGATAAGAAAATTTTAGAGAATCTGCTTTATAATATACAGTGGTCGCTAAGATAAGTATCATAAACAGCTAACTTTGCTGTTGGAAAACATAGGAGATATAATTAAAAACATTTAAAATTAAAGTCATGAGTTATTAATTTTGGTAAATATTATTTAAGACTTTCACTTAATCAATTTTTATTTTATAAATGAACTTTTTATTTTTAATTTTTGATTAATTAAAAAAATCTTTAAATTTTAATTAAATTAATTTATAAATATAATAAATTAGGTTCTGTTCTGCTTACGTATTCTAATATTAAGACTAAGTCCCAGAGTATTAAATGAATTGCTTAGAAATACTTGGCCGATTTTATTAACTCTTTTGCTTCAAATTTTTGACAAAAATAATAAACTGTAAAGCTCATCATAATATGCAAATTAAATTTTAGGTAGTACCTTCACTTCATCATAATAAACTAGTACTTCCTAAAGCCCTATAAATCCAAATTTAGTCTTAGCTGCACTCAAACTGATTGAGCAAATATCTTATGTCTAACTAGAAGAATTCTATTTACATCAATGGATGTTTTTATTAGACTGTAAGCCATTCTTCTTTTTAAAATTTAAATTTATTTATTTATTATGAATCATCAATTTAAAAAGCTAGAATTTTTAATTATAAAATGCAAACTAACTTGATAAATAAAAAAGAAATTTAGCATTTTTAATTTTCGAAAAAGATTTGCTAAAAATATCACAAAAATGAAATTGTCATTAATTATTTTTAAATTCAATATCAAGCAAATTTATTTAAAAATTTAGGCAAAGCTTGAATGCTTTTATTCAATTTTTTTAAAAATTGAATTTTGAAATAATTACTGTATTTCATCCGCTGAGCACAATTTCTTTTTTTAATTAATTTCTTATTATTTAAATTCTAAATATTAATTCAAAAACTAAAATAATCAACCCAACCAACAAGATTATAAAAAATAGAAGATATTTTTAAATTGCAATATATAAACTTTACATACCCAGTTTACAAATTAAGCAATATATTTTCTCTTGTTACATTTATAGATTTCATCTTAAAAATAATAATTTTTAACTAAAATTGCTTTTTTGCTTAAGCAGACAAAATGACACGATTTTTGAGATTCAAATTTATATCAAATAATCTAGATTTTTATTTGCTAGAAACTTCAACCCATCTTTTATTATTAATTTGAATTTTTTCATTTGATGGTCAATTTTTTAGAATTATTAAATTTAAATATCAATCAGTAATTGCTTGAATTTGATTAATTTTTAAAATTACATTCAACCTTTTAAAAAACCAGATTTTGGAATTTAGATCTAAGCTCATGATGGATAGCTTAATAACAATAGTTAGCATCCATCTACAAACAATAAATTCAAAGGATAAATTAATTAGATCGCTTAAAATACTTCTATAAGTGAAGAAAAATTAATATCCCCATTTAGCACAGTTCCTCTACTCACTAGCTATTTCCCCTCTCTCCACAAAGTAGATTACCAAAATAAACTACTAGAAGATGATGTGTCCTCTGATGTATAGAAAAAATCTAGAAAGATAATATTCACTTAATCTCATGTAAGCAAATTATAAAAAATATTTAATATCTTATTTACATTAATTGTACAATTTTAATACCTTTAAAAAAAAACATTTGTAAAAGATTATGAGAAATAATACTATACTAATATAAAATTAGCTTTCTACTTCTATCTCATAAAATTTCAGTAAAGGCTAATATAAATTCACGAATTGGCTTTTCTTTTTGAAAATGCCAAGAATTGATTTAGCTTTTTATTTTATACACTATGTTAATAAATTCTAGAATTATTTTGGAAGGAACAATTTATCATTTTTGTTTGTTAATTTTTAAAATTAAATATAATTAAAGGTAGAAGACATTGAAGAAATATAGAGTAAAATATTGTTCTTCTGTTAGTATATAATAAACTTAAATCAACAAAGATGGAATGTTGACTTGAAATAATTAGAATCTATAATAGAGTGTGATTTCATAGATTTCGATTTATATATTTATCGCTAAGACAAGAGTGCAAACAAAAAATAATATCAAATATAACATTTATGAAAGCAAAATAAAAAGTATCTAAATAATTAAAAATTTTATATTAATAAGATTAAAAGTTAATTGCTTCTGAGAAATAAACGAATCACAAATAAATTTAGATAATTAAAAGAAAAATAAAAGAAAAATAATCTAAAGAAGGCAATATCTTACACAAGATAAAATAATCTTTTTCATATCAAAACAAAATCAACTTGTAAAATTAAAATTAATTATATAATTCATAGTTCATTAATTATTTTCAAGAATAATCTAATGAGCGAACATAAAATAATAAATAATAGCTTAACCATTAAGAGTATGACTAATTATCTAAAAATTAGAGTGTTTATTTATGTATTCATGATTGATAATATAAGAATAACTAATAATTTTATTTATATTTGTAGTTTTTTAAGTAAATTAATTTCATAATACAAATCATTCTTACTTTTTTGCAGAAATGTTTAGTTTTTGATATTTATTTGAAAATAAGTAAAATTAAACTAATTATCATTTTAAAAAATCTATTAATTACCTATCTGCCAACATTTTTTATTTATTTATTTACACTTAACTTGTAATATTGAGTTTTTGATAAAATATTAAAGTCTTTTATTCAAAATATTTAATGTTTTTTAGTATTATAAAAGATGTACTTTAATAATTATACCAGAATTATCAAATTAGTAACTTAAGAATTATTAGGATAAATCATAATTAGAATAGAAGTACTTATTTTTACCAATGCAAATTAAAGAAGTAAAAATAATTGGAATTCATAATATCAATATTATAGAAATGAGTATACCATACCAATTTTATATAAATAATGGTGAAGGAAAAATATAGTTTTTTTAAATTATCAGAATCAAGTATTTGAGTAAAGCATTTATTGAATTCATAGTTACCATTTTTTGAATGGAATTATTTAAATTCTAATTAAAATACTTGTATTTATTAAAAATACAAAAATTTTATCAGGCTAAAAGTGAATAGATAAATAAAGATTCTACTTATTGTAAATATGTAAGACTTTTAAATTTATTTATGGTTTTAAAAAAATGAAAGAATTAATAATAAAAATGAAAGAAAGAAAGGAATAAAGGACTTTCAATTTTATTTTTGCATAATTTTAAGATTTAAAAAGCATTTAGGAGGTTTGTAATGAAGTAATCTTTGAAATTGGCATATAATAATTGATAATTAATTTATCTTTTATTTAAATTTGATATGATTCCAACCAAGTCTTTCTTACTGAGCATGTATAAAAAAAGTTTAAAAGCATTTTAAAATAAATAAATAGCTAATTTTACCTGAATTGACAGTTAACTTAATAGAGTGCTCGTTTAGGCAAATTAAATGTTGATTACTGACTAAATAAGTAGACTAGCTGAATTTTTGGATTTGAGTTTTGAGTTTTTATAATTACATTAATGTACTTTAATAACTTTAATAGCTATTAGGATTATAGGAATTAGATAGTAATAAATAGATGAACAGTTAATGGCTTTAATTATTAAAACTAACAATATTGTTATAATTGATTGATATTAAAACTAAGGGAAATAGCAAACTAGCAAAAAATCAAAAATAGGTAGAGAGAAATTATAAAGATACACCTTGCTTCGTTCAACTACAAAAGCCCACTGAAAAGATAATTGAAGGTATACTTACAAAACAAATTTTAGCAAGTAATGTTAAAAAAATAGAGGAAAGAAAAAATAATAATGATATATTTACGAATCAGTCAAGTAGTACATTTATCTTCTCATTTACTTCTAATTTCATACAACTGAATCTACTTATTGCAGCCACACAGAAGAAATAAAAAAGCAAAAAGAAAATAAGTAAATAAATAAATAAATAATTATATAATCAAGCAAATAATCAATAAAAAAAACAAACTCTTTTTAATCAGTTGGTGTTAAAGAATTTACATTTTATTAATTAATATAATTAATAACTATCAAAAAAAAATTAAAAAAAGTAAAGTAAATACGGAGATAAAGGATCTCAAAAAAACAATAATAAATAACACCTTTAATTTAAAAGCAATATAAAAATAAATTAAAGAAAAAGACTACTAAATTAATCATGAGTACAGAAGAAAATCACGCATTAACTAATGGTCATCACCGTAAAATAGCTTTTACAATTTAAATATATATGCATAACAAAAGCCTCTTCTTTCTTTCCTTATAACTAACTACATGCTAACTAAAGTAGTCAATAATTACTTTTGTAGAGAATAAATTTATTTTTTAAAATTGTTTGATGAATAATTAATTGAAACCATGTATGTAAAGAAAGAAATGAAAGAAATGTAATAATTTTTAAAAATTAAAATTTTACATAAGCTTAAGCTCTAATATGGCTAGCAAATTAAATAAAATACCTGAATGTAGCAAATGTTTAAAGGAATTATGAAGCAGGGGCTGAAATTTAAAATGAAATAGTTTTTAGACAAATTTAACTCTTTTTATAATTCAAACATTATTCTATTTTATAGATAACGGAATGAACGGAGATCAAAATGGGCAAGAAAAGGAGATCAACCAAAACGAAATTTAGCAAATTAGTAGCTGGAACTTCAACATATTAACTATCCCTTGCATAGAAAAAAAGTTTAAAGTGGCAATTTTGATGTTCAAAGATATAGATCTTTTAGGGATATTAGGATAATCTTCCAACAAATTTTAGAACTTCTTAGTTTAATTAAGTAATAAGTATGACTATCGTGGCAATCCATTTCATAATTTTGACCATGGAATAACAGGTAATTGAATTTTTATAAAGCTGATAATTAGATAAGCCTTCGTTATTCAAATAGCATTTTTAAAATAAATCAAGAGCAAATCAATCAAACAAACACTATTTATTTAACATGTCTAATAAGAGAAAGTTATTAACCACTTATTAGTTAATTACTTAATAAGTTAGATATCTTTCTAATTTATTTTTAAAATATTATTCAGTTTGAATGAATATAAATCATGAATGGTTTTTATCCTATTTTCTTCATTTTCTAATCTACATTTTAGATATGAAACAATAAGCAATTTGTAAGCTAATTTAAAGCATATTTATTCGCTATTCTACTTATAAAGGCATTTTAAAATTAATATCATACATTTGAATGTATGGATTATTGATTGGATAATTTAGTTGATCGTAAGATTAAGTTTTTAAATTTAAGCAAATTAATTTAAATTTAAAGTAATTAATCATTCAAGCATGAAGTAGATTGAAATCCTCATGAAATTAATCCTACTTGATCCTCCCTCCTTAACAAAATTATTTATTTATTTTTTAAAAAATACAAAAATACATTTTTGGCAAAATACTTATTTGTTTTAAAATAATTTTTAAATTTAATTTTATATCTTAACTTAACGAAGAGTATTTTCAATTTAGTTTTAGTTTATAAAAAATAAATAAGGCATTTATTATTTAAATAAAAATATATAGTTGCCCATGGAATATACTACATTATAAAGCAAGGAATCACAAACAAGCATTTAAATTAGTTGGAGAAATTTTCTTTGCTCTTTTCAGCACTGTGCCACGACGTTGATCACACAGGACACAGCAATGCTTACGAAACTAATAGCAAATCTGAGCTCTTTACTTTATATGGCAATGAATCAGTAAATTTTAACTTTATCTAAATTTTTCTATATTCAAAGAAAAACTTGAATTTGAAACCACAGATTTGATTCACGATTCGCATAATTAAGATTAAATTTTTTTACTTGAAAATTAAATTTCCTCAGATCAAATTTATTCTCTCTTCTCTTTTTCAAATAAAATAAAAAATATTAATAACGCAAATTATTATCCTAACGCATTTTTTAGTTGAGAACCACATAAAATTCAATTTATAAGGTATTATATTTAGCCCTTTGTTCTTCCAAGGCAAAATAAAATATGGGATAAATTATTTTAACAGATTTAATTTTCAAGTTGATTGTTTTGAAATTTAAGAAAACCTATCAGAAATCTAATGATTTTAAATTAAAGCCAAACATTTTTCTACTCCAATTAATTTCTATTTTTCAATGAATCTAACAATTAGATTAGCTGAAAAATTTTAATAAAATACTGACTGAATAAAATTTATAAGTCTGAGTTAATTTCAAGAAAAAATTATAAAAATCTATATTGATTCAAAAACTTTCCAATTTAAATTGTTCATGCACTTCAACATTTAAATAAGGATATATTTTGCTATTTAAAGAAGTAAATGATAAACACTTTTTACATTTCCTTATTATACTAAGTTTTAAAATTTAAATGTAGATTTTTATTTAAAAATCAATATTTAATAAAGTATTTTATGTAATTTATTATTTAAATTTATATTATAGCCTTTAGAAAAACATCACTATGCGTAAACAATATAAATAGCTGATTAATGTGGATTGTTTGATAGCATTCCTCAAGACTAGTTAGTCATTATGAAGAAGTATATTTAGCATAACATATTAGCTACTGATATGTCAAAGCATAACTAAATTATGAATGAATTCAAGGAAAACTTACCTTCTTTACTAAAAGAAGACTTAGCGATAACAGAACAATAGAAAATAAACTTATGTGGGGCTCTTGTTCATGCAGCAGATATTGGTGCACCTACAAGAGATTTTTCAATTTCAAAAGAGTGGTCTTTAAGAATTGCAAAAGAATTCACAGCACAGGTTAGTTTATATTTCTCACATTCATATTAAACTTTCTTTAGATAAAAAACAAATTCTTTTGCATTTTTTGCATAGTTTTCCCATATTTAAAAAAATTATTTTAAATATAAAAGCTTGAATTAGAACAATAAAACAACTTACCAGTTACACCTTTTTATAAAGATTTAGATAAGTATTTGACTTTAGCAACTAACGAAATTGGATTTATTAACTTTTTCATTAAGCCATTTTGGGTTTAAATTGAATAATTTGGTCAAGGTAAACTGTAGCAAGTTTCCAAAAATATTGAATAAAATATCTAAAATTGGAAATAAGAGAAAGAATAAGAAGAATAAAAAATAGCAGAAGTAAAAAGCTGAACAGAATATTAGTAATGTTAAATAAATAAATAATCAGTAGTTTGACAAATTTAATTTAAATTTTACCAACTATAAACTACTGATTTTTTATTTAAACTTTACTTATCACATATAATTATATATAAATAAATACTAAAATATAATGACTAGCCGCACTAATTATTGATTTATTATGTAGCTAATAAAATAAGCTTAAAATATTTATTATTCTCATTTTATGATTCAACATCTCATTAAATAATAACAATAATAAAATAACTCTTTAATTGAAATGTAAGTAACAAACAACAAACAAACATACATACATACAAACCAACAAATCAACCAATAAACCACCAAAAATTCAACAAATAACTTACTAACTCTAACTTAAGTATCTTTCTTTGAAGAATATAAACGCCTATTATTTCCTTTAAGCTAATTGTATAATAAACCTTTATAAACGGTGTATATATTCGACTCAAAGTTAAAACATCTTTTTGCCAAAAAGAATGTAATTTTTCAAATAAGGCTATAGTCTAAAATATGAAAAGAAAGCTATTTGTTAATCAATAAATAAAAAGCAAATCATGCAATCAACAACAACAAGTATATTAACAAAATTTTGAACAGTTTGATTATGAAAATTCATATTTATTAAATAATATATTTTTTCCTATAAGTGGTATTTCTTTATTATTATATCAATTCATCTCAATCATTTCTTATTATTTTATATTATATTTTATACAATTTCAAATTCTAAAAATTGTAAAATAAAAGCATAATTTTTTATTAATAACTTAATTTTTTTAGCTCATAAATTAATTAAATATTTGTAATTTTTAAAATAATAATTTTTTATTTATTTTATAAATAATTTTTATATTATCCACAACACTCAAAAAGAGCATCAGATTGAATTCATTCAGTATATAAATATAGTTTAATAGTATTAAATTTTTTTTTAACAATAAGATTCAATGCCACCTACCTATTACCATTTATTTAATAATTTATAATTTGGTTATTTATGAAATTAATATCATTAAATTTAATAAAAATTGGCAAATAGACTTCGAAATTTATTAAGCAAAGTAACTAGCTCAACCTCAAAATTAGATTCTAATAACTAAAATTACCACAAAATTTAGGTTTTATCACATAAAAATTGTATTAATGGGGTGTGGAATTATTAAGGTTAATGTTTTTTTCATTTTTTATTAAGTTAAATAAATATGAAGAAATAAGAACAAATAAAGAAATAAAATAAAATAATATTTTTGAATTTATTTATTAATATATTATTTGATCTTTAAAAGTAATAATTATTTAACCTTAGAGAATAATTAAGAACATAATTTAAATAATAGATTAAATTTTCAATTATTTAAATTTCTAATTGTCACTTAATTTTACTTTAGTTTAGGTAGAGTTTTGTCTTTTAAATATGTTTGATTTATAAAATATATATATAAGTTTTATTTTCGTCAAATATTATGAGAAGAAAGTAAACAAAAAATATAAGCAAATAGTTTAATATATTACTAAAGTCTACAAATTTCATCTCTAAAAAATAATTTAATAAGTTTAATAAAGGTATGATTAATTTAGTTGCTTTATAAATATTAAATTATTCAGGAATGAGGTCAGGTACTCACTTAATTCATGTTAACATAATATTGTTACATATTTTATAAATAGTTTTTAAATTTTCTAATTGGTTTATATCATACACAGATAGATAGTATTTTATATTAGAATATTTTTTAATGTAGTCAAAATCAATTAATTTCAAATTCAATTTAACAATATGAGGAAATTATAAATTTTTTATTGTAAAAATTAGCTCTCAAGGCTATTTTATTATTTTACTTTCATGAATTAAGTTAAAAAATTAACTAAAATAGATGATTTTTAAATTTCTATCATGACTTTTAACACAATAATTATTAGATTTTACATTCAATCAAAAGATATTTTATAATAATTTTTAAGGCAGTAAAAAAATTAAGAAAATCAAGTAAGCAAATAGCTCAAGCAAAAAAAAAAAAGTTAAAATCGTAAAAAAATCATTAAGCAAATAAAAAATGGGTTGTTGCACAACAAAGTAACCTAATTAGAAAAAGTAAATTGCCGATAAACAAAATGGCGCTTAAGCCCCAATCTAGCAAACACCTATTAAATTGTAATAATAAACTTTATATTTTCAATCACAACTTTTGATTAACTCTCAAATAATTTTTTTAACTTATATCTTATACAAAAAGGGCTGATCCAAATAAGAATAATAATGAAGAAAATAAGACAACTATAAATACTGAAAATAAACAAAGGGTAGATTTACCAAATGGTAATGCATAAAATGGAATATAAGTCCAATAAAATAATAACTCTACACCTACTCCTCAACAAAATTAAAATAATGTCGAAAATAAATATTTAGATTAATAGGCTTAAAATATGAATATTTAGCAATAAAACATTGTGTTGAAAGAATAAAATTCTTCAAAATAAGATAATAGCATCATTAAAAAAGTTAACACTATAACAGTGAAAGAAGAAGATATTTCTGTTTAGATTAAAAAGAAAGAGTAAGAAAATGTAGATCCTAACTCTCTTAAAGGAGTCAGCTAAACCCTATCTATTTAACAAATGCGTATGAGTAAAGTAGATAAATAGACAGTTAATGTAGAGCCAATTTAGGTAAATTCATATCTAATTTAAGATTACATATTATTATCAGCACTAAATTTCATAAGAAATAGATAAATAATTTTATTTTATTTTTTAAAATAATAATAGCAAAAGTAAGAAAAATCAAAACACGATAGTGAATATGAGCTATAAGATGAACCTGAAACAAATATGATTAATTATAGATAACAATAAACGTTCTAAAATAAATAAATGAAGGATAATATCTTGAACAAGCATATGAGAAGTATTTTGAGCAGTATCAAAACTAATGAATATGTTTCTAAAACTTGTTATTCTACACCTCCCATTCTTTATGTGGATACTGATGCTAATAGTAAGGGAGAATGGATGTAAATTGAAACTTTTGGAGTCTATGGATAGGCTGAATAGAATCAGGGTAACAAAAACTTTATGGACGACTGATAAATAAAAGTAAAAAAATCTATAGATAAATGTAGTAATTAATCTAAGAGAAAATATCTCAAATGAGATTAAAAGTAAAAATAAAATTCAGTTAATTGAAAGAAAGAATAATATTAAAATAAGTTAATTATTTAACATATAATAAAACCTTTATTTATAATTTAAATTACAATATCAATATCCTCCTTTAATTTTAGTAATAAAATAAATTTATATTATTTCGTATTAATTTGTACGAATTTTTAATTATAATTTTATTTAATAATGAATTTTGGATTATGTTTTATTATTTGAGTATTATTTAAAGAAATATAGAAAAGATAATCAATTAATTCACTTTAAAAAAATTTTAATCAAATTAAAAAATAATTTATCTTTATTAAAAAAATATTATTATATTTTGTAATTTCTATAATTAAGGTAATCTAGAAAAAATTTTTAATTAAAATTTTATCTATAGTTGACCTTTTAAAAATTTCATAAGTTGGTTTTCAGTAAATAGTCTTAATCTATTAGATATTATGATAGACATAATAAAAAATTTAATTTCTAACAAAAAATTGTTTTAACTTAAAATACTACAATTTACTATGTTCTTTCTAGCTCTTTATTAAAATAAATTAAAAGGCCATATTTAAACATGTAAGCAAGTAAATTTTATTAATCTTTAAGAATAGTTATTGAAGTAAAAGTTAAACTAAAACAAATATGGAATGTAGTAATAATATAATGATATTAATAATTAATAATAAACAATACAGGTTTATAATATTTATATAATATTTGTGTATTTTAGTCAAATAAATAAATTATTTTTTAGAAATTAGAAAATCTTAAAACTATCCCTTGCCTGAATGGATAGAATTACCTGCTGGCTAGTTAGTTAGTTGCTGATGCTAAATAAATTAAACTAACAAAGAGTATCAATTTTTGGTCTCTTCTTTATCAAAGAATTCTTGCAAAAGAGGGGGACAGTGAGGAGGAGTAGCCTTTTAGAACATTTTTTCATCCCACAAGAAGCAAACTAAAATAGCAGACATTCCCATACCATAGACACACATAAAGCAGACACTTATAGCATAGGCTATGAAAAAGATAATCTAATTAATTCATTTAAAAATTATTGAATAAAAATTTAATAAAAAAATTGTTTGTTTACTATGCAAGGTAAGACATAATTATCAATATTATCCTTATAGGGAGATTCCTTAGTAAGTATTATGTAAGAAATAAACACAGTGGCACAAGTAATGAAAATTTTTCCTAAGAAAATGAAAGCTCCTCCTATACCATTCACAAGAGCAAATCTTGCAGCATTTGACCAAATAATTTCCATAGCATTCTTAGCAGCAACGCAGAAGTTTGATCCCTTCAAGGCAATCTATATTTATAAATATTTAAAGTATTAAAAAATAATTCAGAATAAAATAATAAAAAATGCTTAAAATTAATTATAATTTTTCTTTCAATAGTTTAATTTTTCTTAAAAACTAGGCAATTTAATACTTGGATGAAGGCATTTTTATTGAGGAATTTAATGAATCTTTCAAAACAGGCCATATAGCAAGACATGCATTTGAGTATGCACATAGTAAGCTTGTTATTACTTCCACCAGCCCTTTTAATTTGTTATTCCATATAAGCAAGAATAACTCTGATAAATTAAACAATAGCAAGTAGAAGAGCTCCAAAAGCAATTGAACCTAAGTGATATCTGAAAGCTCTATATACAGATGTTCTAATAGGTGCATGCTTTTATCCAGATTCACCATGACTGAAGTACCATATACATGCAGAACTCTTTTTTAAATAATAAAATATATTAAAAATGCTTTTAATAAAGACAAAAAGTATATTTACAGCTAAAATGAACTGGCACAGTGATTGTATAAATGCATTAACCCAAAGACCTATAAAAAGATAAGACCAAAGAAGTCTTGTCACGAACTAAGAGTGGTTAACAGTAGCAAACATGGAAGAGCTAGATTTCTATATTTATCCTGAAGAGTCAATTGCATAAAGATAGACATAACCGACTAACCACATTAACCACCAACCAGCAACTAAACAAGTAAAAATAGGGGGAACGAGCATTGCAGTCCAAACTTCTGCAACATAAGAAGAAGTGGTCTTTATTTAAATTTAAAAAGGTTTATATATTATTTAATACAACAATTAATTTATTTTTTTAATAAACTAACTAACTTATTTATTATTTTAAAATGATTAAAATTAAGAGTAAATAAATTTTGTAATTAATATTTACTTTGATAATAGCAATAGCTTATCTAATTTTGGTATACATGCAAAGTAATCCAACAAGACTCAAACCTGCAAATGCCCATAGAATATATGCTAGGTATTTATAACTATTCATATTATCTTTGGTGTTGTTTCCGCTCTCTACTTAATTATTAGCATTTAAATAGCTGTTTTTTAAAAAGATAACGTTTTTTTTATTAGAGATAGTTTTAAATAACGAATTACTCTTTAATGTCAGTAGATTTCTTATAGCTGAGGTAACCAAGAACAATTACTCCTGCAAAATAAGCTGCAATAGCAATCCATACTATTAATCCTGCAAAGAATCTGAGGAAAATCATATAGACTAAACCAATACCAAAGGCAATACCTACAGAACCTGCAATCACATTTTTCGCATTGGTAACATCATTAATCCATTGGGTTAAGGTGCTAGAATTTATCAATGATTAGATTTGAGAAGCAGAGTCACTACTAAAACTTGATAAAGCTGAGGCTGAAGGAAAACAAATTTTCTTTAAGACTTTTATTAAAATTTTAAGTTAAAAAAAATTTTACAAACAATAAAAAATTTTTACAAACTGTTGTTTAATAGTAGCAAACTGAATTTGCACCAAGCGAATTAATTTGAGCACAATTACTCTAGCTACAAGAACCACTAGTCATAGCTGTAGTATCGCAATCAAGGGTAGAATCAGTTTAAGATTATGGGCAAGATGCTACACAAGTTGAATGACTTGTGTATCCAGTAAAAGGTGTGTATAAGAAAAGATAGGGGCGACTTGATTATGAACCCAATCCACACGGGTTACCTTTTTATATAAAAATTAGTTAAATAAAATAGGTAGTTATTTACTTTTTTATTAGATAAAAATAAAGCTTTTATTTTTTAAAGCCAATTATAAAACTTTAATTAATAAGTTATCTAATATGATAGAAAATTTTTTTTTTTTAAAGGTTTCTTTATCATTTTTAAAATAAATAATGATTTTAGATTTATTAATTCTTTTATTTTTTTATAAGTGTAGGCTATTATTATGTATAATTTACCTGCCATATCATAGACAGAGAATAGACGGTCAGGTTATCCATTTGCAAGACCAAAGGCGAAGAAATATACACAAGAAACACATGCTGCAATAAACATAAGGCAGCATAAAATATCTCTGCATTCTCTTTTGTTGATTGGTCCATTCATTAGCTCCTGATCAACTTAATCAGTAGCATTTAATTACTGAGGATGTACTTTAACTACTTGGTTACTCATTTTAATTCAATCAAATGCTTTATTTAATTGTAAAATTTGGTAGAATTTAAATTATTTTGCTGCGCTTTTTAAAGGTAGGTAAGTCTCTTACAATTAAATAAGCGATAAAGAGAGTTTTTTTAACTTTTAGCCTTCTATGTTTTTAATATGCTTTTTATCTTTCAATAAAGCCAAACAAATAGGATTGATGATTGATTGATCGATTGCTAAAGATTGTTTTGGAGAAGAGTTTTTATTTTTACTTTTGTTTACTTTTTTAATATAAGAAAATTTTTTAATAATTTCAATTTATAAAGAACTTCGAAATAAGCGAAAGATTAAACTAAGAATAAGAGTTATGATTGTTTGTATTAAAAATATTAAGTTTTAATTAATTTGTTTGTTTGTTAGCTTGCTCTATTTAAATTGGTAATTTATTTACTATTATCAAAATAAATAATCACTCGAAATAGAACAACTAGAATGCTTTCAAATAATCGTTTGAGTATAAGCATATTTTACTTGCGTTTTTAAATTTTTTTTTTACTTGTTAATAAATTAGTGCATTTTTTGCCAGAATATAAATCAATAGTCTATAACTTATTTTTATTAATTAACGCTTATAGTAGCAAATATTTGTTAGATTAAAAGAAAAACAATAGACAATTATTTCTTTTGTTCTATTCAAGTTACCTATATTTGCTATTCAAATTGATTCTTTTACAAGAATTAGCAATAACTCATAAAATATATATTAGATGAGCTGAATTATTTTGAATTTCGAGAACAGATAAATTTCACTCTCGAATTATGAAATGTTTTTTATCTTTTTGTTTTGCGTTATGATATACTATTATTTTGCCTGAATTTAGTATTATCATAACATTTTTTAAAATAGATAATTAAATAAAAGATTACAGTTACTGATCCTTTTTATTTATTTAAAATTTTTTAAAATAAATAATTATAGACTATTTATTTTATTAAAAATAAATAGATTATTGAATGATTTTAAAATAAATGAATTGCATCAAATTTCTTCAATCAATCATAATAGTGGTAACTTAAGTATTTTCAAAATACTTTAATATAAAATTGGATGGTTATAATATAATTTTTGTTAAATATAATTTCAAACATTGCTAAATTTTAAAAATGTTTAGTTTTTTTCTTGCTTTATTGAATAAAAAAATGATTTCTTTGACTCTTAAAATTTTAAAATACTAGTTTAAAAGTATTTTATGTAAGAGGAATTTTTTTAAAAATTGGTATTGTTGTAAGCAAACGGAATACAATATGACATAAAATAAAAAAATTAACTAACCATTTACCAGAGAAACTCAATTTTCTCTATGAAAATTAAATAAGGTATTTAATTCGTTTACTAATCCTACAAATAATCTAAAAAATAATAAAAAATAGAATATTTTAGATAAATTTTGGAGGTAGTACAGTATTTTCTTTGCCATAAATAAAATAATCAAAGGAACTAACAAAAATATTTTTGTAATAGTAAACTGCTTAATTTTTAATAGAAGTTTGTAAATAATACTTGTTTCCTTAGATTGCAAATTATTTATTTGGTGATAGAGTGAGGAAAAACTAAATATTTAGTTTGCCTATTAATTTTCTTATCATTTATTAAATAATTTAAACAAATTAATTAGGTTAACTTTTCTGCCATAACATCTCATTGATTTTGAAAAATTTTGTGCTTAAAAAAAATAAAATTTCCAAAAATTGCTTTTCTATATTGTTATTGGAATCGATTATTATAATATTAAAAAAAGTTTATTTGGAGGTAAAATAATAAAAAATATATATCAAGTTAATATTAAATATGTCTTTTTATTAGGATAATTATTTGTTTAAATTAAATAATTTATTATAGTAGAACTATTCTTTTTTAAAGAGGATTTTATGATTCTATTTTTTTAAAATATACTGATAAAATTGCTTACATTTTTGGCTTTTTGGAATAAAGAAATTTATTCTTTTTAATTTCAATAAGTATTTCACTTTTATTTATGTGAAGGCTTATCAAAAATATTCAATTTAATATATTTATTTGACTTCTAGATGTGTAAATTTTTGTATTGATTTTGTAGAAGATAAGATAAAAAATTATAGGTTTAAGCAAATGAGTCTCAATAAGATAAGCAATAGGGAATAATTATCAATTTTAGCATAGCATTATTACGCCTTTATAAACACTTATGCCTTTACAGAATTAAATGTGGACTACGATGACGATGACCCAATTAATTTTGCTAAAATTGATGTATTAAAATTTATAATTTCAAAGATGTAAAAGTGTTTTTTATTAATAGGAAAAGCTAAAAAATCAATTATATGAGTCCGATATAGATTTCATATAAGATATAAAATCCATTCTTAAGTTATTTTTTGATAAATCTTTTAAAGATGCTTAGCTTATTGAAACAGTTAGGTTATTTTTTAATTCTGTAATTTAAGACCAAAACAAGCATATTCCTAAATTAGGTTGATAGATATATATAGGCAGAAAATTTAAAAGAATGTTTTAATATAAAGTGTTTATTGTACTCTAGTTAAATTTAATTAAAATTTTAATTGTTATAATAAAATATATTATATTTAAAAATAATTAATTATAAGGAGAATAACTATTATATATTCATATGACTAAAAATAATTATTAGGTTATTTCTCATATTTTGAGGATTTGATATTAATTACTTTAAATTAAAACAAAAAGCTTTCATTCAACATTTTTCAATTAAAATTTTTAAATTTCATAATTTTAAAAATATTAGAATCGTTATTTTTGTTATATTTGTTAGCATTTATATTATGAAATTATTTTTAAAATCTATAATATAATTTATCATTAAAAGTTATTAGAATTTTTTTATCAACAATATAAAGGAAGGTCTTCCATCAATAAATTGCATGCAAAAAGCTTAGCTCCAAAAAATTTAAACTTTTTTAAAATTAAATAAATAAATTAATTTTAATCTTAATTCAAATTTTAGGCGTTATCTTTAAGTCTAAATTTCATCAAAACAACTTTTGAATTTTACTATAATTATAAGGTATAATATATAGTATGATGTACTCAAATAATTATTTGATTGATGTTATAATTTATTTTAAATAAATAAAAGTTCCCAAACTATATAATTTTTAGACAAAAATTTATTGTTTAAATTTTAAAATAAATGGTTGGATAAATAAAATGAAGGAGCCCATTAAAAACATAATTTAAAAGGATAATTTAACAAATAAAAAATAAAATTTAAAAAAAAGAAAATTAAAAAGAAATCTATTATTTTCAATAATTTGTAATTCATTTTGAATAATGGTTTCAGGCTAAAAAATTAAAGAAGATATTTATTTATATATGAAAATTTAAATATGAAATTAATAACACAAAAAAAAATGAACAATCAGAATGATTAGATAAACTCAATATAATTAAACAAATAAACAATCAAGCAAGCAAGCATGGAAACACAAAGAAACAGAATAGTAAATTAAAATTTCGATTCAAAGAAATGAAAGAAGAAATGTTAAAACATATTAAAAATAAATAGAGATTTTTTACAGAGAAGAAAGGAAATAAATTATTGTTATTTATTATCTTTTAGTTATTAATTGATTAATTAATTAATTTTTTTATAGTATATCTAATCAAGTAGTATTAGCTATTTATTGATTTTCAAAATTAAGATTATACACTATGGGCAATTTCTGTGGTAAAAAGCCACAAAAGAGTCATTTTCAATACAGGGATAACATGTTGCGTAAACAATAATATAAATACATCCCAATTTGCATTTAATTTAATAATGAAATGGTTTCATTATAAAACTCCACATTTTATTTCTAAAAAAAGCCAACATGATCCCTAATATCAACGATGATATAATAAACAGATTAGTTGACTAGTGGTAAGGTTCTGTGATAGCATATTTTAAATAAAGGTTTAAACAATATGCCAACAAAGAAGATAATTCTCTAGATCAACATGATTTTATAAAAATTTTTCCTTAGCTTGCTTCATTTCCTAAGGTATTTATTTGTTAAAGCACTGATAAGTTGTCAGTATTTTTATTTTTTTTTGGAGAGGAGATATTTATTTATTTACTTTGCTTACCATCAGACGAGTTAGTTAGTAATTTAGTGTTAATACAGCTTCTAATTACAGTTCAAAAACATAATCTTTGAAATACTACTTCTAGAAGCAAAAATTTCTAGCATATTTTACAGACATTTTAAATTATTTTTTTTTATTGGAATGATGTTTATTATATTCTTTCATATTGCACATAGAAAAAATTTTATTTATTTTTATTTTAAGTGATATCTCTCTTCATATCAGCCCTTTTTTCATATTTTTTGAGAGATAGCTTTCTGATTAAATAATAAAGAGGCTATATAAAAAAAAGTCAAATTCACAAATTTAAATGACAAAATTTATAAAATATTTTAAATTATGAATCATTTGTGTTAAAATAGAATGTGAAGAAGAAGGCATTCGACTTTTTTGATAGGGACAGGAATGGAAAAGTAGATTTTAAGGAGTTTTGCTAGAGTTTATCAGTTTGTTGCAAAAGTGATGTCAATTCTAAAATATATTTATTGTATATGCTTTTCGATACAGATAGTGACAAGTATTTAAGCAGGAATGAAGTTTAAACTATGATAAAATATTGTTCGCATTATATTTTTAAGATACGCACAAACGATTTAGTAGTGAACAATAGCTCAACCAATAAAATTGTAGGAAATATAGAAAAGGACTCATTAGATTAATAAAGGTTAAAGCAGCATTAAAGCTAATTAGACAAACTATCAGTTACACAAGGCAATATAGCAATAAATGATGCTTATATAGTAAATGATAATATAAAAATCTTAAGTAAAACAACCTCTAAAGAAATTGGAGCAGCATATGATGCTACGACTAACAACACTTAAGATAAAAATTAGAAGCAATAGCAAAAAACGCAAAAAGAAATTTAAAAAAAGTAGTAAATTTTAATAGAATAGCAAGAAAAGGAAACATTGGCTTATTTATTTAGCAAAAAGCAAGACAAAATAGGGTATCAAACTTTCTATAACTGGGCTATAGATTATTTTAATGTAGAAGAGTTTTTTTTAATGTTTGAATTAGTACCTGATCCACTGCTAGAAAGAGAAATTATTAGGTCTATTATAAAAGAAGAGGGTTAAAAAGATAGGCAAATCAATTAAGTGTTGTTAGAATACCGTCAAAAGTAGCAGCTGCTGGAAGAATAAAATTAAGTCAGAAATGGGAATGAAACAAATAATCAGGATACTTCAAAAAATAATAAAAAGAATAGTAATGGTAATATAAAGCAATAGCAAGGTAAAGTAGCTAATAGCTTTGAAAAACTCCTCTAAAAGGAAAGATTTACAGAAACAATTTATGTTGTCTCATGGAAATGGTGGTTTATGTGGAGGTATTACATAAATTATGCATACAAAATTAAAAAGATGAATACTCATAATTAGCAAAAAATGTTTAAAAACTTTAATGGATAGGATACTTAATAGCAAGATAAAAATTCTACTAATGCAGTTAACTATAATGATTTAAAAAATAGCAGCCCACCAGAATTAGGTATAAACCTTATTTCTGAAGCAGGAAATAAATAGTAGGATAAAATCAGTGCGGCGAATAACAACAATAATAATTTAGCAAGTAACATTCAAACAAATTAGTAGAAGGGAATAGGTTTGATTGGAGAAGAGCAAAATGATCGTTAACTTAATGATTTTAGTAATATTGCAAATAATGATAGCCTATACCGTTCATAGGAGTAGTTTGAATCAAATTCTAACTCACCAGCTTTCTCCCCATAACGCAGAGACTCTAACCATTCCAGAAACAGTATGGTTGATTTGGAATTTAATAATAGCATTCCTAGTGAAAGATAAGAAGAGTAAAAGGTAAAGTACCATTTAAAGCCAAATGCCTTTAAAAACAATTTAGAGATTAACATGCGTAATTTACAAGAGAATGAAATAGGACACTATTAGTATCATAATCAATAGTATAATAGCAATAAAATATTAGGTGGAGAAGAAGATATAATTAGTGATCACAATCTGTTTCGTCCATACTCTCCTTCTAAAGTTAATCATGATCTAAATTCTTTCGGATAAGCACATTAAATAATAAAAAATACTTACGTTGAAAAAATAGACCATATCAAAACAAATGAGATATAAGAAAATAAAAGTCTAGGTGATGATGGATAATAGAATTTTTAAGGCATACAAAATCATAATTAGCCTTAAGAAAGCTAAGTTAGATCAGTTTCTCATCACCATCAATTTTAGTAATAAGGAAGTTTCTTTACTCCCAGATAAAGTTAATTACAAAATTAAAATTATCAATAAGAAACATCAGGCAATAAATAAATATATTTTAGCAACGCTGCTGCTGATAAGCATCTGCTAAATTATAATAATAACACTTAAAGAGATATAAATGATTCTGAACTCTTCTAGAATCCTAATTGGAATAATTAGCAATTTGAGAACTCACAGAATAACTCACCATCCAAATATAAAGGAATTATAAATCCATAATAAGTTTAGATTTAAAAAATTGAATAATTTGAAGATCAACATTAAAATATATTAAATTACTAAGGGTAGTAACTATTGAATTTCCCAGACACACCATCTAGCATTCCTGCTGGGCTGGTTCCTCTTTAGAGCATAAGGAATGGAGCCATAGATAATAATTAAAATATTAATTTTTAAGATAAAACCAAGCATTAAGTAGAAACTCACAATTTTGTTGCTCATTAAAATGAAACTGAAGTAATTTCTTAAAATAATAGCAATCTTTAGTAGTAGTAATAAGAAAATAAACAACAATAATAATATAATTTAAATTAAAAGCAAGCTTAAGAAAAGTACAATGATAATTAAACAATATATAATGAAGTCCTGCACCCAGAAACTAGAGGCATGAATACAAGTATTGTTTAGATGTTTTAATAATCACAAATATAATAATAGTAATTGTATCAAAATTAATTTGAAAAAGTAAATTCTGTGAATGATGGCTTTGATATAATGCAAATAGAATAGAGTGAACGAGTAGAATAAGGATAGTCTCCCTAAGATCATGTTTAGTTTTATATTTAAAAATCTGTTTATGCTGGATAAAATTAAAATGAAAGAAATAAACCAACAATAAATCCAAACATTCAAGGAAATATCAATTAAATTGCAAATAAAAATGATCAACAGTCAATTTAACAGTAAACAAAAAATATTGATCAACCCTCTACTCTGTTTTCTTAAATAAAATTTAATATTTGCAAGCCTTTGTAAGGTCTTAAAGGCGAAACACACGATCTTTTATCTTAAGACGATTTATCGAAATCAAATATAGCTGCTGCAACTAATAAGCATATAAATAATTACAACAGTAACCAAGTTGAGTAGAGTTAATTTGCTAAAGAATTTTAGAATAATTAATAACCAGAGTTATTGAATTAGACCAGCAATTCACCAAAGAAGTCAGAGGAGCCTTCTTCTCCAGATAAACAACAAAATATTATTGATGTGAATTTAAATACAATTCTTACAACCTAAAATAATACAAAAAAATCCAATGAAATAAACTTAAATACTGTTCATATCCCTACTGATAAGATGCTACATGATGACTATATGGACGAATTCGATAAGGGAATATAAAATACAGAAGAGTTCGGTGACCATGAGGAAGAAGAAGACCATAAAAAAGTTAACGATGATAGACTTCGCTTTTAACAGTACAGCGGACATAACCTAGGTAATAAAGAAAACTTTATTAATTTTAAAAGAAAACAAAAACAAAATTATTTATTAAATAATCAGGTGATAGACCAACTTAAATAGACAATACCGATATTGAAGGTGAGTTTCAAGGAGAACTACAAAAAAATATTTTAAAAAATAATGATTATGTTATTATTCCTGAGAAAGCTTGGGAAAAATTATTTTCTTGGTACTCAGGTGGACCAACATTTAAAAGGAAGAGAATAGTCGATATTCAAAAGAATTATAAAACTGTAGAGCTATATCCACCACTTGTGATTGGATACAAATGTAAAAAAGCATATTTATTATTCAAAAAATAGTAAAAGAAAATTAATAAAAATAAAATAGGTCGTAAAAATGGTGAAATTAATTATGACACTAGGTAAGAGTTAATGGTGAGTAGTTGGAAAACTTTAAAAGAAGTTATGAAAAAATTTTAAAAATACTTTAAAAGTGAAAAGTAAGAAGACATACTTTACTATAAAAAAATGGGCTCTTATTGGAATAAGGCTACTGACCTAGATAAAACAATGATAGTAGATTTGTAAATTGAAAGTGGAACTATCTTTTTGTTTCTTAATAAGGCAATAGAGGAGAAATTTTTGGAAAAATAAAAGATGAAAAGTTAAATAAAAGGGGGAATCAATACCTTTACAGAAATCTTAGATACTTATGAAGTCGGAGATCGCATCTGTGTGTTTCATCCATCAGAGAGAATAGAAAAAAAAGGTTATATATTCTCAATAAAGTAATTTCTTTGATTGAAATATTTTTGAAAATTTAAATTTATGGAAAAATTATTTTATGTTTCAAAAAACAAACAGCTTTTCTTATAAAAATAAAGGAGAAACTTTAAAATTTTAAAAATACATTTATAAATTTTATTTTTTAATTATTTGATTAATTTTATTGATAATTTTTTGAATAATAAAAAGGAATGATACCATTTAAATACATTTCAAAAGAGAATCATACAGAAATGATATAATATTTGAGAAGAAAAAATTAGAAAATTATTTGAAGTAAGAGAGTAACTAAGTTTCTTAATTGAATATTGACTAAAGCATGACTCATTTAAATAATCATATTAAATACAATCCCAAGATGATAGGTTTAGCTAATTTAGGCAACACCTGCTTTATTAATTGTATCATTTAATTTTTGGTTCACACTCCTTTTTTTAGATAATATTTGCTTGATGAGATTTATCGTGATTCTATAAAAGAAAATATTATTGTAAACTAGTCTTAGAATCCATAGACTGTAGTAGCAGCAGCTAATTCAGTTGCAGGAAATTTTAACAACTAGGCTATAGCAAATGTAAATTCTGTTATTTCAAATAACAACCCCTCAAACATATATAAAGATCAATAGCCTTAAAATTAAGGAAATTCACAAGAATAATAAATTTCTCTTATTCATGAGCTTTCACAGCTTGCAAAGTACTTGAAATAAAAGCCTTATAATGATATTTATGATCCAGTTAAGCCAGAAAGCTTGAAAAAGTCTATTGATAAATTAATGCCTAATTTTTCAGGCCATGAATAGCATGATGCTTAAGAATTTTTGTAGGGATTTTTAGATAAACTAAATGATGAAATCAAAATAAAAAAACTAGTTAATATAAACAAACCTGACGAAACTAATAATAGTGTATCAAACACTGCAACTAATGCATTAGCTAATTAAAATACTGCTAAACAAAATACAAGGACCATTTCAAATAGCAATACTCAACCACTATAGTTATAAAAGAATTCTTTTTCTAATAATAAAGATATAACTAGTTTAGTTAAATAAACACTATCTAAATACGTCTATGAAGAAAATTTAACTTCTCAGCCTCCATAATTTCCTCCTGAACCTATTTCTAATCTACCTTTACAGCCAGCAGTCTCTTCTCAAATGCAAACAGATTAGATAATTGAAACAAATCAAAATAACAAAAGAGAGTCTGGGGATAAATTAGAAAATTAATAAAATACAAAACCTTAGTAAGTGTTTTAAGAATTTTCAATTATCAAAGATGTATATATGGGATAGACAATCAATACGATTTAATGCTCTGTATGTGGAAACGTCAATCACAAATATGAGGATTTTTTCACAATCTCCTTACCTTTACCTATCAAAGTAAATTAATTTATTTTTAGATCTCTTTTTAAATTGATAAATAAAAAACAATTTAAGTTTAATTTATTTATTTACTTTGCAAAAAAAGAATGAGGTACTCTATGAAGTTACTTATGTACCTAGAATAAATAAGGGAATAATGAAGCCTATAAAAAAATATGGTATAAAATTACATCGCTCAGCTACATATGCTGATTTTTAGTAAGCATTTTACAAAACTTCAAGGATAAATCCATAAACAGTTGTTTTTGCAGAAATATGTAAAAACTATAACTTCAAAAATTTGTATCTCATTGATCCAAGTATTCCAATGAGAAATTTAGGTAACTTGTTTATTTTCTAGATTAATTTTTGTTACGCTTTCTAAAATTTTAGGTATTAGAAGTAATGATGAAATTACAGCTTTTGAAGTTATTAATACTAATTAATTGTTAGAGGAAGAAACAAAATCGCTATATCCTCATAACTACACTATTCACTCATAGAATAAAAATATCAAAGAAGGTGATTTCGTTGATTATAATTATTAATCTAATGGATTTAATTTATGGATGCATGGCTAAATAGAAAGGATAACCTTTGCTGAATAAAAAAATGAATAAATAGTCTAACTTAGATTACTTGATGAAAATTTGGTAATATTATTTATTTTTTTCAATAATTAAAAATAATTAAATTTATTTTTTACAAAATCTAGAAATAGTTTAATCATCTGTACAAATTTAAAAGCGAGCAAAAAAGGATTATGCCTTTTAGGACTTAGATACCATTTTATCCAAATTAAAAGGGATATGTTGTATTTCTTGTAAACAGAAGGAAAATGAATAACATGATAGAGAGATTTGGAATTCCTCTATGTATTATTATACCAGGCTGGCTCACTTGGAAAGAGTTACATCTTTTGGTTTTCAGCTAAGTTAAAAGATGCATTGACTTTGTAATTTTAAATTAAGCTTTATGATTTAATAGATATATTTACAATATTTATAATTAAAAGAATTACTTGATCAAAAAGTACTAAACAACAGCTAAAGCTTAAACTAAACAAAAAATAAAATCAGCTAAGACTTAAGGTTATACTTAATTAGGAGGAGAATTAGAAGAAATAGATTTCAATAATGCTGCTCAAACTTATTAAAACGATGACTACAGGACTAAGGAAAAGACCCACCAAGAGCAATTATAATATGTCAGAGAGTACAGATAAAAAGCCCCTTCTTTTCATGGATTTGGAGAAGATTAATTTTAAGGTAATTAGATTAATTAAGATGACGAGTACATAAGAAACAGAAAATCTCTAGTCAACTAAACGGATGCTTACAGAATTTCAAGTAAATCACCAATAAAAAACAAGCAATAAAAAGATGAAGAGCCACCTTAACTTCGTCCAACAATCTCTGATTACTAAAATATATATAAAGCTAACACTAGTACTTTTATTCATCAGTACTAGGAAAACCTTTAATCAAATGGGTATTCCAATTAAAATCAAGATGGAAATACAAATTCTTAATAAAACAACTTAAAAAATACAATTAAATAATCTGTAAATTTAGAAAAAAATTAAAAGTTTGAAAGCCATGCATAAAAAAGCTAGTAATATTAAAACCTAGATGAATACTACTCAGCTTTTAATGGAGAAATAAAGGATTCAATAGACTTCTTATAATGTAAATATTATTCTTAAAACAAATTAAAAGTTTTAATTTCAACTAAAATAAAAGCGAGTTATTTCCCTTATAGATTAAGAGTAATTGATTCAGTCACTTAAAGATGTGTAATTTGTGATCTTCCTTTAATTCCTGATATCACCTAAAAGGAGAGTTGTTAAGGCTGTGAACCTGGGCTTATAGAAAGACCAATATTTTGGGATATAAAATAACTTGCCTTAGTTTTTGCTATTGATTGGAAAGACTCGCTTAGTTTCAATCCCTCAAGCATGGTACCTTAAAATGATGAAAGGTAACTTTGAATTAATACTAAAAAAAATATTGAATAATTTTAATTAAATTTTTTAGCTACATCGATCTAAAAAAATAAAAGAATGAAATAAAAATGGGAATACCAATTTAATCTTGCTTCGATCTATTCTCTGCTTAGGTAATTAATTAATTAATACATTAATTTTATTAAAATTTAAGTAATATTTTAAAATAGGAAAAAGTATAATTAGAATGTGATGTCTGTAAAGTTAACTAAATATAAACTACTATGCATCTACTTAATAAACTGCCTAATATTTTAATAGTATTTAATTATTTCATATTAAATTTATTTTAAAAGTTTTATTTAATATCATAAAAGATACATCTTAGCCGATTCTAATATCAAAATGGTTTGTTTGAAAAAATTGATGATTTAGTTAATTTCCCATTGAAGAAGCTAGATTTATCGAAATGGGTTTTCAAAGATAACAAATTATAATAAGCTCAATAAAATTCAAAATAAATATAAGATAATCAAAATGAAATTTATGATTTGTTTGCAGTTGTGAATCACCTTGGTAACGGCCATGGAGGTAAAAAATAAAGCTTAGCAGTAAAAATATTTTAAAAAACGTATTTTAAATTAAATAGGTCACTACACTAGCTTTGTTAATATAAAAGAAGATGGATCTGAGCTTAAAGATTGCTGGGTAAATTTTGATGATGAATAAGTAAATTATATAAATTAAGAAGAAGTTTTATCAAACAAAGGATATCTCCTCATATATAAAAAGAAATTTTCTACTTCTGCAATAGTAAATCTAACATATAAAAAGCTTTGAGCTAAAAGAACAAAATAAAAAATTTCAAATTAATTACTAAGTAACTATAAAATAATTTTGAATAGATTAACAAAAGTAAGACTTAATTCTATAAAAAAGCAAGCATGCAATCAAGCTAACAAATAAATTAACTAACTAACTAAGTAACTAAATAAATAAATAAACATAATTGCTATATTATAAATTCGGAAAAGAGCATACTTATTTATAAAATGTCTGTTCTAAATTTAAATAACTTTAGATTTTAAAACAAATAAATATAATTAATTCATTGTAATGATTTTAATGATTATATACAACAACTATTTACTAAATTTGACAAAATCTCTTGTTTGATAATTAAATTACATGATATAATTAAATTTACTGATATTCCCTTGCAATGCTCTTACTAATTAATGCTTTTGACCACAACAATTAATTAATTAATATAAATCATAAAAATAAATATTCTTTTAAAATAAGAATAAGTTTTATTTCAATTTTTTTATATCAACCAGTAATTATATATGCAAACAAATAAAAAATATAAATAAAAAGATTACAAAGTTAATAAATAAGAGATGAATGTTTATTTTAAATCATTTTTAGTAAATTCTTTTCCATTAACTTATAATGAAAATTTTTTTAACTTTATGGCAAAACAAAAATTAATTTAATTTTTAAATCACTCTAACTCATTCTATATAATATGTATTCTCATTAATTAAAGTTAGTTTACAAAAAATATTTTTTCAAAAATTTGCCTTTGTTTAGATTTAAATATTATTTTTTAATATAGAAAAATGCTATAATTAATGAGAATGCTGGGTATACTGTAAAAAAATTTAAATTTAAAAATACAAACCACTTTTAAATCTATGATAATATTTATACTATAAATTATTTAGAGATAAAAAATTAATAATTGTTTTAAAGTATTATTATTTAGATTATTTTATATTATCACAATATGCATGTTGTAAATTTAAATATTATTCAAAGTAAAAAATAAAAATATTTTTTTTAAAACTAATTAAAATTTTATATTTAAACTACTTTTAAATCAATTATGTGATAATATTTAATATAAAAACTATTTTAAGCTATCAAATATAGATAATTATATGAAGGAATTATTAACTAATTAAATTTTACATAATCATTTTATGGATAAATATAAATTTTAATGCTTTAAATTGTTAATATTAATTTACTGTTAAATCTTAATATTTATTTTAAAAATCATTTTGAGCTGTCATATATTGATAAATGTATAATTAACTGGATCGTTTTGTATCATTATATTATGGAGGTAAGTAATCAATGCTGCAAATTTGATTTAATAAATAAAAAAGTAAATCTTTTCAATTCAAACAAAAAGATTTTTTAAAATTTTATATATCGTTAAATAAATTGATTTAGTGATTAATAAATTAGATTCAATAACTAAACTAAACAAATAAATAATAAGTTTGTACTTTATAAATGACATCCAAAGAAGAAATTCAAAGTTAAATTTTAACATTATGTGAATCTTAAGATAGTTTTGATGCATATTATGAAGAGATAGAAGAATAAATTCTACAAAAAAAAGACTCGTAATTTATTTTATTTGTTAAAATGCTTTCATTTAAAAAAAATGATAATCATAACTATAGCTTAAAGATTTAATTAATTGATTGATTGTTATAAATCATTTTAATATATTATATGTAAAAAGAAATTTGGTTAAAGCAATAGTACAGCTAACGACTTAAGTACTTGAGTAAAATAAGAAGGAACCTATTTAGCAATTTTTACTTTTGCTCGTAATAAATAAAACATATTTATTTATAAATTGTTTAGATGAATTAATTTTAAATATTAAATTTATATACAGCTCATTTAGAAAACAGTTGTTAAGAAGTCTAATGAAATGATTAACTAAGTGCATAACACATCAGCACTATTAAAAGTACTAGAAAAAATTGCTAAACATGAAGCTAGAAGCTCTGATCCTAATCGTGGAGCTTCTTATTTTCCAAGAGGTATATATAAATATAAATATTAAGGCGAATTACATATTTTAATTTAATGCATGAAAACTAAAAAAAGATCCTGAAGTAGGTAAAAAGTTCTTAATTTTAGTGCTTGAATTCCTTTACAAGTCAGCTAAATCATTTTCTTAGGATGCTAAAAAAAATCCTACTTAGTTTGCATTAATTTATAATAGACTGCTAGAAGAAGGGGTAACATTTCCTCAAGAACCTTTAACCTTTTATGAAACGAAGAAAAAGAAAAATGCCTCTTAATCTCAAAATGCACCTTAACAATCTGCAGTTTCTAAAAGAGATAAAAGTCCAGCACCAGAAACTTAAACTGCTTAAGGAGTTAACTAAAAAACATCTAAAAATATATAAATTTCAAGTATTTATTTATTTATAATATTTATTAATTACTAATTAATGTATCTTATTTAAAGATAAGATTTTTGATGATGTACAAGCAAGCATTAGCACTTTGTTGTATATTTTTTCGAATTTAGATGACATTGATTAAGACACAAAAGATGGTAAGATTTTTATTTTATTAAAAAATGTTTATTTATTATAAAATTGTTTTATTAGAAATTGAAAACTAATATAAGAGATTCCAAAAACAAATTTAGTAAATAAATTCTATGCTTGAGGAGGCAGATTTTGATGAGGAATCATTTAACAAAATGTTAACTTTCTCAGATTTAATGAATCAATTTATCTAGTAGGTTGAGAAACTTCAAAAAAATAAGTATAATAATAGCTCTGTAATAGAATTCAAGTAATGGTTATTCACTTACGAGCTTCCATTTTAATTAGAATAAGAATAATTTGAAAATGACTAAATGAATCAATAAATGAAAAACCAAGTACAATAATAAAACTAATAGCAGTAACCTGATAATAAAAGCAAGTTTTAAGATAGCAAACCATAAGGAAACTTTGAAGAAAATAAATTTGATGCCCATAAAGATGATAATTTTGATTTCAATTAGTTTGGGTCTTAACCTGTAGCTCACTAAGGGAATCAAAATAATAATGAGGACTTGTTCGGTACCTTTACAAATAATCAAATGAAGGATTTATAAAATAAGAATTAAGGTTAATAAGGTTAGTTTTAATCTCATTTTGATGACTTTGAATAATTTGGAAGTAACTTTTAGAACCTAAATAAGAAGAATGAGGAATAAGAAAATCAATCTAAGCTGCAACAAGAAGAATTAGACAGACAATATTAAAAATAGAAAGAATTAGAAAAATAATAGTAACTTGAGAGGGAATAAGAAGAAGAAAGAAAAAAATAGGCAGAATTACTTAGGAAGGAGTAGGAGGAATTGAAAAAAAGAGATTAAGAAGAAAAAATTAGAAAATAAAAAGAATAATAAGAAGAGTAAGAAAGACAAGCCAAATTAAGAAGACAACAAGAAGAAGACGAGGAACAAGAAAGAATGTTGCAATAGTAACTTTATGAAGAGGAGTAGGAGCGCTTAAGATTGGAACACGAATAATAATAGTTGGCTGAAGAATAAAGAAGATAAAAAATGATTAAATAATAGTAAGAGGAGCAAGAAAGACAAAGAAGGCTCTTGGAAGAATAGTAGAGAGAGGATGAATAATAATAAGAAGAGTCAAAATAAATAGAAAGTTTAAACAATCCATTCAATTAAAAGTCTAATTTTTATTTTAACAGTAATGATTAGTACAATAGAGACTCCTTTGGAGCTCAAAATCAAGGTTACTTTTTCAATTCACAAACATAATAAGAATAAAATAAAAACCAGAAAAGCAATGACAATAACTATTCAGTTACTGTGAATGATAATAATGTTTACACAAGCAAAGCAAATAATAACTTAAACAATAATACGAATTCTAATGTAAATAACAGCGGTCGTCCTCCAGCATTCCCTTCTTAATAAAAATAAAATTAGGATCCAAAGATATCTAAAATAGAGTCTGCATTTGGAAGCTCAAATTAAAAATTTTCAGTAAAAAATTATATTATTTTTGGTATATTTTTAAATCATATTAAAATTATTTAAAAGTTTGGTCCTGATTCTAAAAATAACTAAGCAAGCTAATCAAATAGAAATAATAATTTGAATGTCTAAAATGAAGGTTAAATTAAAAATTTTATTTTACTAAAATAAACATTTTTTTATTAAAAGATAACAGGACTGAAATGTCATTCAACGAACAATTCTCTGTTTCAAGTAATTTTAAATATAAAAACTTTAAAATTTTTAATAAATAGCTAATGATTGGAGATATTTTGTGTATTTCTAGATAAATGCTAAATAAAGCAAAAATAAATTAAATTAAAAATAAACAAATCATGTTTTAACAATTGATTAAATTTAATTTAATTTTAAAGCAAATTAATTTGTTAAAATTATAAAAAATTATTGTAAAATCTCAATATATTTTTTTTTAATTTAGAATATTATTTAAAATCTGATTTTACAATTTAGAACTATTTTTTTTAAAAATATAAAATTTAAGAAAATAAAAACATTTGATTTAAAATTTAACTTACAATTAAAAAATTAGGTTAATAAATCTATTTTATAAAATTTTATTTCAATAGATATTTCTGTTGCTGGAGGATATAATTAATATGATTTCCCTATGAAACATATCAAACTAATAGATAATAAAGTTTATAAAGGTTAAGAAGTTCCAGTAGTTAACAGCATAGAATAAACACTTAAGTAATATTAGTTAAGCCCATAAAATGTAAGGAGATTTAAATTATCAAACTTGAAGAGAAAAAATAATCTTTATGAAAATTCCTAAATTCAATTTGGTTGCATTTCTGACTTAATATTCGATTATATAAATTCATAAAATTACTTAAAGTTGACCATATTTATTGGAAACAAAACAAGGCTTCCTATCAGGAATATAAAAATTGAATTTGATGGAGATGAAAGTAAATTTTATTATTCTTTTACATAATTTTCACCATTAATTAATAGATTTATTTATTTAAAAATATTAATGAATTAATTAATACTAATAATAATAATAATGTAGGTTCATATATTTATGTTAAGCAAGAAAAAGTTATAGACTTTATTCCTGCTAAAACTTAAGAAAAATTTGAGTTGATAGTTGGATATAAAGATGTGCCTTTTTCCATGGTTAATTTGGATCTGACTGCTGATTTCGGAGAAATAGAAGAAAGCTAAACAATTGAAACAAGTGTTTTTCTTCCTAATCTCTTGACAAAATATATTTAATTTAAAGATTTAGACAGTTAAGCATTTCATTCAAAATGGAGAGATCTTCGAAGCCACATTTTAAGAACAGATATTTTTCCTGTTTCTAAGCAGATCATTAAGACTCCTGCTTACTTCAGACGCTTTTTCACTAAAGTTTTAGAAATAACTTCGTTAGAAAATTTTGTACTTCAGTAAAATAGTAATCAGTATGATATTAAATATTATAAGCTTGGCGCTTTAATTGAGTTGGCTGATTCTGAGAGCGAGTTTTTAATTAAATTCAATGTACGTCCTGATAATACACTTTGTATTCAAATAATTTCATTAAATGAAGCATATTAATCTACTGCTGCTACTCTTCTCTAACACTTAAGATTTTTGTTATAAGCATGATATTTTTATTTTAAATATAATGTTATTGTTATAAGTATAATATTTTTGTTGATAAATATTTTTATAATGTTTATATTTGTTAAGCGTATCATAAATTTTAGTAATTTATTTAGTTTCATTAGGTTTACACTTTTTTCTTGAATAATAGGTGAGATAAAAAATATATACTTGAATTAGTATTTGCGTAATTATCTAAATTAATATTAAGCCATTCTCTGATTATTTTCTATTATTGTAAAAAATTTTCTTTAGAAGCTTGATATTTTTAAATCATTAATTATAATTTTCCGCCTAGAATTTCTTGTTAACATGTACTGGCAAGAATTAGAATTTGCATAATATTTTATTAATATAATTAATAAACAGTAATAAATTTTAGGGTTATGAGTTAAAAATTAATTTTTAATTAGATTTATTAAAAAATAACACTTTTAGAGCTTTCTAGTACTATTTTTATTTTGTTTTGGTATATAAAAACAAATTAATTTTTTTATTTGATATATTATTGATTCCAAAAAATGTTTGATATTTTTAGGTTAATCTTGCATCAATAATCTTTGAATTTAAAAAAAGAGATTGAAATTTTGCTTCAAGTATATTATGCGCAAAGTATTAAAGTATTAAATATCATATTAATATTTTGCATTGAATATTATAGAAAAATATTTGTACAAGATATGTGAGGCACAAAAAAGGAGTGCTCAAAAACATTACTTGTTACTGAAGAATTTATGATAACTTGATTTTTGTATTAAAAAGTAAAAAAATTATCCAATTAAAAGTCTAATATTTTAAGGAGTGATTAGATTACTAATGTAGTTAAAAAGATTAGAATCATTAAAATTAGGAAAAATTAAATAATTAAAAGACTCTTCAAAATAAATAAATGAAAAGTGAACACTAAACTGAAATTTGTTAAATTAGATAGCTACTTTTAAAAGAAAAGAATTTAGTTATTACAAATCGAAATTTAAAAGGGCCATTAACTTAGAGCTATATTTTTGTTGAAGAGGATAATAACACTTTCATTAAATATGCTTTGAAGATTTAAAACATTGCAGTTGAAGGAAGTGGAGAAATCGATCAACTCAAGTTATTGAAATGCAAAAATGGAGTTTAATTTATTAAAGATTGTTGCCACTAAAGTATTGGGGAAGTCGTAGATGAATTTGTTATAGAAAAATATCATTTTACTTAGTTTTAAGATATATTTTGCTCTCTTAATGATTGGGTTAGATAAAATTAAGGCAGAAAAATTTCTGACTATAAATTTGTATCATTTGCTGGTAAAATTCTAGATGGACTAGAATTTATTCATGAAAAACAATGTTTTTTGAAAGACATTAGCTTGGATACTCTCTTAATCAATAAAGATGATGAGGTTAAGATTTGTAGTGTGTGTTAAGATTCATCAGATTTAATTAGTCTTCAAAATCAAAGCTAGAATTTTATTCAATCTCTCCCTTACAAGCCTCCTGAATACATAGAAAAAATCTATAATAAAGAGAGCTATAATTATACAAAATAAGGAGACATTTGGTCATATGGAGCTTGCTTATCTTTTCTAGGAGGGGGATAAATTAAATAAGTTTAGAAAAATAAAAATGAATCGTAATTTATGATAACATACTGTCATAACATTTCTAAAAAATCAAATGAGTTTGTAAAATTCATATTAAATATAGATCCTTTAAAAAGACCAAATTTAAGAGAGATTAGAGACAAATTAAATTCATTTTTTTAAAACAGCATCCAAAAAGCTATTATAAGCACAGGATCAGAATTAACAAATATACAAGAAGAAGATGAATAAATTATTATTTAAATGGAATAAAATAGCACGAAAAATATCTAAGTTTTGTCTTTAATGAAATGCATTTAAGAAATATTAACTTAGAAAGAAATAAGATCACCCTACAAAAAGCTATAAGTACACCTTATATATTTTAAAATAATATGTATTATCTCATTGGGATTAGCTATTGCACTTACTTCATTAAAAGATGCAGAAATTTTCCTAATATCTCTAGCCATTTAATTCCTTTTAACTATTATTTAATTTATTTAAGATAAGACAAACTCAATTGGTTAATTTTCAATTATTAACTTTTTTTAGAGTATTGTTGAGTTATCTACACTTATCTTTACAACCTCAGATTATTAAGAAATAAACATACTTTATTCATTATTTGTTCTGCTATAGCAAATCCAAAACTTTTTACCATATTTATAAAGCTTACAAGACCCTAGCTAAAATCAAAATAATAACTAAATCTAAAATTAGAATGAAGCTCAAAACAAATAAAATGGTGAATTTAGTTATGCCTTCTTTATTATCTTTAACTGCATTCCAATCTTTATTTGTATAAGCTTGGCAAATGATTAAAATTTAAAAATAGTATCAACTATAAGACTGATAGTATTCTACTTAGCTTTCATCTCAATCTAAGTTTAAATCAAATATAAGACTTAATTCATCAAATCTACTCCTTAATTTGACTCTATGATTAGATTTTTTTACATATCCTTAAATATCCTAGATTTCTTTATATTCTTTTAAAATTTTACTTAAGTCTCAGATTTTATCTTGGCTTTTTTCTGCTTAGCTAACACAATATTTATTGGTTTTATTGCCTCAAAGATATTTTCTAATATTTATTTAGCTGGCTAATTACTTTACACATTTGCTTCTGTTTCTTCATTTATAGCTCAATAAGCTACATAGTAAATATAAATTGAATGCTATTTGATATTTGGTTTATCAACTCTTATTCAGTTTATCTCCATGGCTATTTCAATAAAATAGTATAAATTCAAAACAATAGAAAAATGGATTCAAATAGCTTTATTTTTAATTTATATCACTTTATTCTCAATGCTATTGAACCAATCATTATAAGTGCAATTTATTAAAGGAAGAAACTATGGAATAGCTTTCTTTTCTTGTTTAGTCTTTCTTGCAAAGTTTGCATTGAAAAATCTGCAAACAGGCAAATAAAAGTATAAAAATAATCACTCAATCTCATCAAATTGAAGTATTTAATAAATATTTTTAATAAAAAAACTAATAAAACTTCTTTTAAATATTACTAAACCATATTAAATTATATTGAGTCTTTATTTTTTAATTTTAATAAAAATAAATTTAATTTAGAAATAGCTTCTTTGTTCATTTGTTCATCTTTCAACTTATTTGAATTTAAAATTTATGTTAAATAAAGTAACTTGCTTGCTTGCTGAATTTCTTGGAATTAAATGTTTTTATTTTTAAATATTGCATATTTTGTAGAATTATAAAATTTGTTCTGAAAAAGCATGTATTTAATGGTTAAAGTTTTTACGATTAAATTTAATTCAAACTAATAATTTTCAATTTTAAAAAATACAAATTTCATAAAATTAAAAGATTTTCATTATTTTTTAAATAATGAAAAAATAATTTTATAGCTTGAATTAATAAATAAATTGATTAATTTGTTTATTTTATTGGTGTTCTGTTTTTTTATAAAATTTAAGTAGAAAAATAATTTAACTTTTCAATATAAATTTATAAGATTGAGCAAAAGAATGTAGAAATAATAAATATTAGATATAAAAATCTGATTAATAAGAAAGTAGTGTATATACAAAATTATAAAAGCAATAATGAGTGGAGACAATAATACTAACAATAGTGCAACTGAACAAGTTAGCAAGAAAAATAAGTACAGAAAAGATAAGCCTTGGGATAATGATCCTACCCTAGATAAGTGGAAAATAGAACCTTTCAATAAAGGTGATATGTCCGAACCTCTTGCTGAAGAATCATCTTTTGCCACATTGTTCCCCTAATATAGAGAAAAATACATTTAAGAATGTTTTGGTAATGTGAAGAAAGTTCTCTCTGAATATGGTATTAAGGCAGAACTTAACTTAACAGAAGGTTCTATTACTGTAAGAACTACTAAAAAGACTTGGGATCCCTATGCAATTATTAAAGCCAGAGACTGTATTAAGTTATTAGCCAGATCAGTCCCTTTCTAATAGGTAAATTAATTAGATATGAAAAGATTAAATTATTTTCAATAGCTTAATATTGATATTATAAATTATAAATGAGCTTATAATAATTTTGTTTTTTGATATCTAGGCATTAAGAGTCATGGAAGATGGTGTGTTTAGTGATGTTGTTAAAATTAGAAGCTTAGTTAAGAATAAAGAAAAGTTCATTAAGAGAAGATAGAGATTAATTGGACCTAATGGATAAACTTTAAAAGCTCTTGAATTGTTAACTAATTGCTACATTATGGTTTAAGGAAGTACTGTTAGTTGTATTGGAGATTGGAGATAGTTAAAAATATTACGTAGAATCGTAGAAGACACTATGTTTAATATCCATCCTATTTATAATATTAAAGAATTGATGATTAAGAGAGAACTTGCTAAGGATGAAAAATTAAAGAATGAAAATTGGGACCGTTTCCTACCTTAATTCAAGAAAATGAATGTCAAAAAGAAAGCTAAAAAGTAAAAAGTTGAAAAGAAGGAATATACTCCTTTCCCTCCTGAGCAATAACCTAGAAAAGAAGATATTGCTATGGAAACTGGTGAGTACTTTATGACTGAAAAGGAAAAGAAAACTAAGGATTTAAGAAATAAGATGTAGAAATCTGAAGAAAAGTTAAAGGAAAAGATAGAAAAATAGATGAAATTATACGAAGCACCAGAAGTCGAAAAAGAAATAAAGAAGGAAGAAAAGAAGTAAAAGAAGAAAGAAAAAGCTACAGAATCTGCTTCAATCGAAGAGCTCAAAAATAAATTTATGGGAAATACTGTAAAAAAAGTTAAAATTTTTTGATCTATAATAAAATCTTTAAGCATTTAATAAGCAAAGGATCAAAATCAATAATAATAATAAAGGAAGAATTCTAAAAAAAATAGGTTATTAATTAATTAGTTAATTATCAAAGCAGGAAGAGAATTTATTCAAAAAATGTCTTTTTGTTAAAATGTATATTATTAATTCTAGTTAATTTTTATAACTTCTTCATATTGTTAGTTAATTAATTAATTAATTATTTTATTATTCTGTGCTATCATTTTACTTATCTCTTTCTTTTTTAACCGTATAGTTTTTTAATATGAAATAGTAAATTTAAACAAAAAACAAACAAACAAATGTAAAAATAATGTTTTAATAAAATTTAATTTTTAATAGAAAATATCTTTTAGTAATTAATTATGGTTTTATTGATATTTTATAATGGAATTTTGTAGAAGATATCAGCTAAGAAAAAGAAGCAATTTGAATTATAATAATATAATTTTTCTAAATTTTAATTAGATTCCAATCATTCAATTATAAATAGATTTGGTTAAAAGGTTAAAAATAGAAAAAAATCATAAATTGCTACAAAAGTAGAAACAAATATAATTTATATTGTTTATTGAAAGCATAATCTTAAAAAATAAGCAATTAATATTTAAAAGATTCTTCAAACTAATCAAAAATAAAAGGACAACTATATTATTTTTTACAAAGATTTAAATATGAGCAATCAGATTTAAGATATTATCTCTAAAAGAGATGATTATAGAATTAAAATTTTCAATTTATTCTATACTACTGCTAAGATATGCAAATAATTCATTTCATAAAAATGTATCAGAAAAATTAAGTAAAGTAAAGATAAGGCCAATAGCTTAGGAGATTCTATGGATGAAGTCTCTTTGAAATTAAAATTAGCTACTGATTATAAAAAAAATGAAAAAGCTTTAGAAGCTATAAAAGATATTAAATCAACTCATTTAAAAGCTCTCGCTTTACATTTTATTTTGGAAATAAAGCAGTTCAATATTGAAAAGCAACTTGAATTCTTCAATAAGGAGTTCTCTGGCGACTATTAAACTGCATTAAATTAATTAAAGGAAGATCTTAAAAATAAGGACAGCATAGTAGCAATCTATAAAAGAAAATTTGAAAGCCATGCAAGGTATTTATAATTCTTGGAATAGTGTGATAAGATTATGGGAGTAGTAAGTAACAAGCTAGGAAAGAGTAAAAGTAGGAGGTAATAAAAGAAAGAAAAGCTAAAACTCAAAAAATAGAATTAATAATAAAAATCTTCTGAAGTGCAATAGAGTAAATCACAATAAGATGGTGAGTAAATAGCAGAAAAAGAAGAATAAAATGATTAAAATGAGAACCAATTAAAAGAATAACAAACAAATGAATAGAAGAAATAGAATAATGGTGAAAATAAATAACAAAAATAAAGTTAGAAAGAAATTAAACAAAAATCTATTTAATAAAAGTATGACAAATTAGCCTCTAAATATAGAAACGATACTCCTAAAGAAAGAACTGAGTTTAAAAAGAAAGGTAAGGAAAGAAAACAATAACTTAAACAAGAAAAGTTTGAAAAGAGATAAAAAACTGAAAAATAAGAACAAGAAAACTCTAATACAAGAAAGAATTTTAAATAGCAAAATTTGCAAGAAATAGATAAGTTGCATCCTTCTTGGGCTGCTAGGTTGCAACAATAGTAATAATAATAAAATCTTTTACAATTTTAGGGAAAAGTAACAATGTTATGATCAATAGAAGATTTTTTCAATTTGGAAAGTTAACAAAAACATATACCCTCTCCTTTAAGAAAGAAAATAAAAATTATAAAATTATATTTAATGTTAATACTAAATAAATATTTTATATAATTGTAAACAGAATATAAAAAAATTATTCACAATTTGTTAGACTAAACTTTTCAATAATATTTTAATTAAATCAGATAAATCTCAAAGTTAACAAATATATTTTTATTTCATTAAATAAATCAATAAATGTTTGCTTAGAAAAGAGTTTTAAAATGTATATTTTAAAATCTACTAAATATTTCTTTTTTATAGCTAATAAAAGATTTTTCAAAATCTTTGAATTGTAAATTTCTAAAAAAAAGAGAGATTTATTTTAAAACTAATTAAAAAAATCAATAAATATTATATATAAAGAATGTCCTTGTTTTTAAACATTTAAAAATATAAATTCTACAAATAAATATTTTTGGAATAAAAAAATAGCTATTTAAATTAAATTATTATAAAATAATAATTTTTTTTAAATTCTACTATCTCAAAATAAAAATAGAAATTAAGGCTTTCTATATAAATAAATTTTAAAGCTTACTAATTTAGATGATATTCAATTTCTTGATAATTTATTTTATAAAAAATAAAATATATTTGAATAAATTAATATTAATTAAACGTTGAAAAAATAAAATAATTATTCAAGAATATTTTAAAAACACAAGAAAATAATTTATATCATTCATTCAATTATACTTTAATGTTTAATTATTATTTTTTAACTTTTGTCTAAAATTTTTAAATATATTTTTTTAAATAAATTTAATAGATTTTAAAAATAATTTTAACTTATTTTTGATTTTTTTTATTACCTGTTTTTAACTGCTAAAGAGTTTATAAAATTAAAAAATTTTAAATTAAATTAATGATTAATTTATAAAAATGATACAAAATACATTTTTGGAGTGTTGAAATTCATAATTCTTTCTTAGATATGAAAAAATTATGAGAAAGAAAGGCGCAAACGGAAAAGTAGCATTTTAATTTCTTTATTGGATTGAAGATATAAAGAAAATAAAAAAAGATATTTAATAATTTGAAATCAATTTAATTTTGAATTTTAATCTGACTGAATTCGATAAATTATCAGAAAAATTAAAAACTCATAATCAGCCTTTTTTGGAATATTTTAGTATTTAATAGTGTAGAAAAATTAAAAAGAAAAATTAACATATCACATCTACAATTGGTTTATAAAAGAGCTACTTCATAATATTACAATCAAAATGGATCTATCTGACAAAAATAATTTATTCGACTATTTGAGTAAAGAAGAGCATATTAATCCTCAAAAGCGTTTGTAAGATATGTTATTATAATAGGTTTGATCTAATGAAATATTAATCTTTATAGATTTGGCGATGATGATGAGGATGATGTTGATAAAGAAAATAAATTTAAGTTTTCTAAATTAAAAGATGAAAGCGGCTAGTTAGTTAACTTCTAAGTAGAAAAGGAGCAGAAGTAAAATACAAGTTTTTAGCTAATAATATAAAATTTATGTTTTATTTGTCTAATATAGCTAATCGCTATGTGGTAGCAATTTAAGCGATACTAAATCATTTTATAGAGCAAATGGTTTTAGTAAAATAGAAATTGCTTCTGAAATAACTAGTAGCTTGCCTAGAGATTAATTATTGAAAGACTGGTAAGAAAAGAAGAGTGTAGAAAAGAGTGGTAGCAAGAGTAATGTATTTTCAGAGAGAAAGAATAATCTTTTAAGCTCTGTTGAAAAGTAGAAGCCTGAGTATTTAAGTCAAGCTCAGCTAATTGAAAAATATTTTAACTCTAGAGTTGGATATGGTGACGGTAAGGTATCTGCTCCTGTCAAAACAACAACTAAACCTCAATCCCCTAAATTCTAAACAACTCAAAGATCCATAATTCATTCTTTAAGGTATTCAATACTTTTTGGTCTTTTCTCCTTCATATTTTACTATTGTATGCAAATAAAAATTTTAAAATAAAATTATTTTTATCAGAAATAAGTAAATGGAAGAAATGGAGTCAATGAATAATAGCAAAAATTCTGCAAAGAAAATTGATCCAAAGAATTTTTTTTTAGAAACAGAAAAGAGAGCAAGATCTCGTCCATAAACTCCAATCAAAGAAGATGAAGAGTTTGTCTTTAAAGCCCGCCCTAAACCAGATGATTCATTAAAGTTTGAAATTAAGAAGGTCGAAAGAAATCCTATTTAGTTCACAGAATTTCGTCTAAATACTGAGCAAAGAGGACGCTCTAAGGAATAACAATTGCAATTGAAACTTGAAAATGAAAAGAAGTAAGAAGAATTGTAGAGACATTTCCATGCTTAGGAGATTCCTGATTATAGTGAATTGTCATAAAAATATGCTAACTATAGTTGCGGATCTCCAAAACCTACTCTTCCTATGGAGTTTAAATTTGAAACTGAAAAAAGATCTGAATTTGCACAAAAAAGATCTTAATTTAGCTAATCTGCTGAGAAATATGAATTCAAAGCTAGAAAGGTTCCTGATTTTTCAAAGATTAGATCACCCAATAAACCCTCTCCTAAAAAAGCCACAGTTCCTGTAGAAATAAAGTTGTAGTCAACCTTGAGAGCAGAAGAGAGAAAACTTTTTGATGAAAAAGTAGAATTCAAAATGCAACAAGAAATGAAAGAGTAAAGGTAGTGACCAAAATACCAAAAAAAGAAGAGATTTTTTCAACCATTTTTTTTCTTCATAAAATAAATAATTTTTATCTCTTTCTTTACATTTGATTTTAGTCACTTTTTTATTTAACTAATTTTAAATTTATTTTAGATCATTTAACTAAAAGAATTTTAATAAAATTTAGATATATTGATGAAAATTAAAAAGCCAAAGAAGATGAAGAAGAAGAGGCTTTAAGAAAATAAGCACAATTTAAGGTAATTTTTAAATATTCAGAAATAATAAATAACAGGATAATATTATATTAAATAGGCTTAGCCAGTAAGAAAATATAGATAAGTAGAAATACATAAAAGTGAAATACCTTTGACCCAACCTTAATCTCCTAAATTTAGAACAGATTAAAGATTGCGTAGCACTGAAAAATCATAAGAATTTTTATGAAAACTTGGAGAAAAAGTTGATTTAGAGAATGGCTAATTTAGGTAGTTATGAAATATTAGTAACTCATTAAAAATAGCCTAAATTAATTAATAAATTAAATATTTTATAATAGATTTCATAGCTAATTATATTAAAGCAACATATAAATAAATAAAATCTATCTTTTTATTTTGAATACTAATTAAATTTTAATATTACTGTATCATTTATATATATATTGCATTTATTCATTTTGATGTTTTAAATATTTTGAGTTCTTTATTTGTTCATTTATATTTTTATTATAATTCATTATATCATTATATCGTTTCTTTTAATTTATTTATTTCACTCTTATTTCTATAAATTTAAGATTTTATTACAATAAATATATATTTTAAAAATTTATTGAGCTCTAAATTTATTTTGTTTAGTAGATCTCATAATTTTTTTGTTTTAAATATTTTGTTTTTAGTTAAATTAAGCTTTGAATTTATTTATATATTATAATTAATATCTTACATGATGATCCATTTTCAAAATTGAAAATTTGATAAAAGTATTCGATTTTATTTTAATTTGAAATTTTTTTATTTAATAATTTTTCAATTTAAATCAAAGTTTTAAATTTATTTCTTAGCTCTATACAAAATTTGAATTGGTTTATCAATTTTGATATTTCAAAAGTTTATAAAATCCATATCATTTATCATTATTTAAATAGATTTAATTTTAATTTAATAGGCATTTAATTCTTTGAACATTTTTTAGATTGACTAATTTTATCAAATATTTTTAAAGTATATGAGATTATTTTTTTAATATAGTGAAATTAAAAAATAATTAATAATGTTTGATCAAACAGTTAATATATTTTTTATATGAATAAATTACAAGTTTTATAATATTTGAGTTTATGGTGAGAAATTAATTGTTTTCAATTTTTAAAGTTGTTAAATTAATTTTCAATTTCAAGTTGCTTTAATAATTTACAAATATTAACCATAAATTAAATTAATTTAAAGGAAAGAGTCTTTCTTTCATTTTACATTACTTTTTAATTTATTGATTTATTTCTTAACTAATTTTTTTTATTGTCAATTTTGAAATCTATCTTGTTTAGAATTAAAGTTGTTTCATTTAATTTATAAATTTTCAATATAATATTTATTGATGTATCTAAGCTATTTTATTTTGATTTTATTTATAAATAAATGGCTCTTGGGATATTATTTAAATTAAAAATTTTTGATTTCTTTGATTTTGTGTTTGTTAGTTTGTTTCCTTTACCTATAAAACGATACTGTGGGAAATAAAGAAATGAGATCTATCTATTTATTGTATTTTTAATTAAGAAAAATTAAAAAATATCTTGCATGATAATATCTCAACGAAAAAGCTGCAGAAAATAATTTATAAATCTGCATGCATTTATACATTCATACATACATACAAATATACAATCTAACAAAAAATATATTTATCAAATAAACATTTAGCAAATTAATTGATTTATAAACAAAGTAAAATCAATCCGTATCCAATTAATTTTATAGAGATAAATCGTTAAGGCCTTTAAAGTAATGAATTATTCATAAGGTACTTGCTTTTGTTTAACGCCCTACTTAGCTTATTGCAATTTATTATTCTAAAATAGTATACAGTCAGAATTTTAAAATATTTAAATTTCATCATAATAGATTCTCCTGATATTGATAGACCTGTTAGAAGCGACGGTGGATGGGTTTAGACTGGTGCTAGAATCAAGCCCCACTTAGAGGTTAGAGATTTAAATGCAAAAGATGAAGCAATTAGCGTAATTTCAGGTTCTTAAGAAGATGGAAGAATTATAGTCACAACTAGAAATGGAATTAAGTAATCAGTCGTTAATAAGCTATTTAAAAAAGATGAAGACTTAGCATCATTTAGGGAATCTTTCAAAGACAGAATTGAAACATATAAGTTTGACTAGGTATTTGGCATAAATTCAAAGTAAGACCATTATTTTTTGTTTGAAATTTCCCCTTAAAATCATATAAAACAGAGCAATCAATATTTACAAATAAAAGTTAGCAAATTTTAGTATTTAATATAAAGGCCAGTGAAACAGATTTTTTTTAATTTGAAATAAATCCTTATCTACATATATACATACATAGATATAGGGTATTCCTTTATTGATTCATTCATAATCATAATAGCATTTAAATATTAAATAAAATCTTATTGTAATAATTTTTTTGTTAATAAAAAGCTAAGATAAAATTTATTAAGTGTACTTTTCTGAGGCAACAAAGCAGCTATTTTCAGGAATAAATGCATCTTTTTTGATTTATGGACCATCTGGGTAATTATCACTTATAATAATATATATAAATCTTAATATACGTTAATTCATAGGAAATTATTCTATAGAATGATGATAAATAAATAATTGATTAATTGTTAGGTTTAGTTGTTTTATTTTATTCTTTATATCAAAAAAGAGCTGGTAAAAGCTTCAGTTTTAGTGGAAATGAGGCTAAAAACGAAAAAGGTATTGTTTTTAAAGCTTGTGAAGATATCATGCAAAATCTTTCTCCCCATCTTTTTGGAGGATAAACAGCTGCCCCTTCTGCTGGAAAAGTTTAAAGACCATAATCTGGTTAACTTTCTTCTAAGCTTTCCAATTTAAAAGTTTCTGTGTATTCTATCTATCAAGATGAAGTTTTTGATTTATTGCACTCTTTTTCTCCCAAAAACATAAAATAGTCTGTAAATAATATCAATTAATATTTTAATAGCTTTCACCTAAAATAAATTTAAATGTTTTTTTTCATTCTTTAACATTTTTGTTTAAATAGTTAATTTGTTGTTTACATAAATTTTAGATTAGAGAATTATATGAGAAATCAAACGCAGAAGTTAAAATCATGAATATTACAAAAAGAGATATCAAAATGATTTCAGAATTTAAATAAACTTACTCTCAAGCCATCCAAAACTTACTCTTTCTGGGAGAATAACTTAAGGAATAAAATATTTATGGCAAATCTCATATCGTAGTTCAATTTGAAGTTTAAACAAGTATCATTGAAGAAAGCAGTTCTGGAAAAGAAAAGAATAAAATTACTAAATTAAGTGTTATCAGACTTGCAGATACTGATATTTATGAAAATACACAAGAGTCAATTAAGAATGACTTCGTTGTTTTAAAAAAATATTTACAACACTGCTCCAGATATAATGAAATCAGCTCAACTTATAAAATTTATAAGTAATCAAAATTCACATTTGCTCTTCGTGATACTTTAAATGAAATTGCTAATATAAGATTGCTATGCTGTGTTACAACTAATCCTGCAGCTTATATTTCTTCTATTAAAACAATCGAGGTAATTTAAATATACTATTTAAATCTTAATTTAACAAACAAATCTATATAAGTTTTTTGGCAGAATGACTACTGGTCATGACAGATCATAACTTTAACAAAGCTAATCTGGCTACTAAAGATGGAACACATAAGAGGAATCTAGAATTTCTCATCATCAAAACAAGTAATTTTAATTCATGCTAAAATAATTTTTAAACAGCTATTTAAATAAAAAGTGCATCTTAAAACTCTCCATCTTTTACAGGTAAGTTTAGAAACAACTCTTACTTGAACAATAATAATACATTGGGAAGCAATACTTTGTAACAAAATAGCGTTTCTGGTAATAACATTCCTCAATAGGAATTAACAGCTTAAAAGTAAAAAGAAATGGAATCACTCATAGTTGAAGCTGAAAATCTTGTTACTGATTTGACTAAAAACCAAGAAAATGTCCCTCGTCTTAGTTTAAAAGAAAAAAATACATTCCTTAGCGAGAAATAAGCATAATTAAAGGAATTAATTGGATCACTTGACATCAACTCATATAACTAACCATTAAATTAAGTAAATTACTGTGATACTCTATTATAAAATGCTTCCAGAATGCTCTCTAGAATGGCTTCTCCAAGCACGTAATCTATCAAAAATATCAATTTGCATTAGTATTAAATATTTTTATGTAATAATTATAGAAGGTTAGGTTCAAATTTAAGAAGTTTCCATAGTGATAGCAGTGATGAAGAAGTTTAATAAATAAAGCAAAAGATTGATCGTCAAATTAGCAGACTATAAGATACATAGACAGATAAATCTAGAGATATAATTAGTGGTTATACAAGTCCTCAAAGATTAAATTCATCAGTTTTAAAGTCTCCAGTCAATAGAGTTTCTTCACTTACATCTCCTATAAATAGAACAATTAGAAACTAGAGTATTACTAACTTCTAAAATTAGACTTTACAAAATACTGACTAACAATTAAAAATCGAAACACTAAATAATGAATAAGAAAAGTTGGCTTCAAGTTTTAGTAATTTAAAAAAATCAATGCAACTAAAGGAAGATTTGGAATATTAGAGAAGAAGATAGGACGAATTCGAAATGCGTAGTCTTGATTTAAAATTAAAGGATTAAGTTATTCGTAACTAAGATCTTGAAGAGTAGGTTAGACATAAAGAAGAAGTTATTCACCAAATAGATAGAGAGATGAAGAATTGCTAAGACGATCTCTTAGTTAATATGGAAAAAATGAGAGAAATGGAGCTTAAACACGATAATTGGGCTCGTCTTGAATAACAACTTCGTGAAAATAATGAAGTTTTAAAGCAAAAAATCCTCAAGAAAAAAAAGAAAATTTAAACTTTAAAGTAAGCGATTTATGTTTAATTTAACTTAATTAGATAAAAATTGTTAATTATTAAATCAAATATCTAATAAATCATATTAAACTATATTCTAAAAGGTTGTCAGTTTAGTCAAAAAATAAAGATTACATTGAGTTAGAAGATAATTTGTCATCTAAAATAGATCATTTGTAAAGAGTTCTCAACGAATGCTAACATTCTCTGTAAACTAAATTAACTCCAATATATATATATTTTAATTCCATGTTATTTTAATTTGAAAAACAGCGACTAAAGCCAAAGAACTTCTAATGATTTGAATGAGGAATTATAAAATTTAAGAAAGAAAATAGAAATTAAGGATGAGCAAGTGGAAAGATTCGGTGGAGAAATTGAACATTTAAGAACTTAAAACAGTAGATTGGTTTAAAAGCTCGATATGGAAATGAATGAGAAGCTAGATAAAGACAATCAAATAAAATCTCTTTCATAAAGATTTGAAGAAAGCAAAGATCTTAGCCAATCTTTAGAAGCTAAATTATAAAAATTAAGAGCTACTTATGACATTGAAAAAGAGGATTATAAAAAGTAAATTGATAATCTAAAGAAAAAGAGAAAAGAAAAAATCAAAAAGTTTAAACAGTTCATAAATGAGCAAGAAGACAGAATTGTCTAGCTCGAAAACGAAAAAATTCACCATGAAAATCATGTTTAATAAGCTTAAGTTGAATAAGTTGATAACAGAAAAGAAATAGAATCTCTCAAAGAAAATCTCAAGCTTGCCACTTAAGAAATTGTTATTACAAAATAAAATGTATTTATTAGAAAAAAAAACTAATTTTTCATATTTATTTTATTTTTAAAAAGAGCAACAATTATCAGATTGAATTAGAAAGATTACAAAACCTTGTTACATCTTTAGAGAATAAAATTAAGAATCTTGAGTCTGGAACATTAGAAGATGCAAGAACTATTTAACAAGTAATCTAATAATAGCTGAAAAAGTGAAATTAATTAAACATTCTTTACAATATAAAGTTGAGAAAATCACTAGAAGAAGAAGAGTCCTCCAACATAGAGCTAAGAGACATCAATAAAAAATTAGAAATTGATTTATAAAACTTAGAAGAAAAATAAAATGAGGTTGATTAATTATAGTTTAGCTTTTACAAATCAACAATCATTCATTTTAATAAAATTAATAGGAAATAACTGCAATCGAAAAACAAGTTGATATATTGATCTTAGATATTAATTCTTCAAAGGCACTAAACGAAGAATATAAGATAAAAGATGAGGGTTATAGAAAATAAATTGTAAGTCTAAATGACGTTATAGAATCTTATAAGGAGAAATATTACAAAGCCAAACATTCTAATAAGGCATTAAAGTCTCAGATTAAGAATGTATGCTTTTTTGTTAATAAAATTATAGAACTTTTTGTAAATACTTAAAAATTTATTTACCATTATTTTATTTAATAGCTTGAAGATAAATTCAAAGCTATAGAAACATAAAAATTATTGGAGTTGAAGGAGTTAGAAAAGAATAAACTAAGCTAAAAGGTATAAGAATAAAAGGAAAATAAGTTAAAGGTAATTGATGAAATTTAAGGACTCATTTCTACTCATAAAAAAATAAGATTTTAAAAAGACTGATTAAATTCTGCTATTTGAAAATTTTATTTAATTAGCTCTAAATAAATAAATAAAAAATATTATTAGTAGTTAAATGATTGAAGTCTTCTTTTTATTAGTATCAATCTATGTATCAATCTATCTATCTATCAATTTTTGTAAATAATTTATTAAAATCTCTCAAAAATATTTGAAACTGAAAATAAACTTAACTTAATATTTAGATTTATAAGATTGTTCTAAGTGTATTCATTCATGCATTAATTCTGTTTTATGTAAATTTAGGGTTATCCTTTATTAAATATTTGTGATTTAGCAATACAAATAAATACTAGATAGTTATATTAAATTTCATTAAATTAGATAGTAATTATACGATACAAAATATAGAGACTTTATTTATATTTTTAATAATGGTAATTTAGGTGTGTAATTTATTTTTTATTCGTTCATTCAACTAGATTCATTAATAAAATTGTTTGTTTGCTTGTAAAATATCAAAAAAAACTTAATATATTTTTGTTACTATTTTCAATTACTGAAATAAAAAATAACAAAATAAGCATTTGTAGAAACACTTCGTTTTTAGCTTCTTAGAGTTTTTTATTATAATTTAGAATTATATTTTTGCAGAAAAGTATTAAATCAAGAAATTTTATATTTTTTACTTTTAAAGCAATGAATTCATCACCTGGTAAATAAGAAAAATTTACAAAACAGAAATTTTTAGAGTTTCTCAAACATGGTACTACCTACAGACCGTTTGAAAGAAATATCACTCAATTTTAAACTGATTTTAGTAATTAATCTAACTAGGGTTTTAATTCGGATCGAAAAGTAGAATAAAATCGATCTTCATCATATAAAAGCCAAATATTTTAGCCCTATCAACAAGAAAGAAATGGGTTAGGAAAGATAATTGTAAAGCTACATTTTAAATTATGAAAATGAATGAATTATCCAATAAAATATTTTTTAATTTAATTATTAAAAATTAGGTGTAGAAGTAGCATTTAAAAAATGATCTTGAAATGGACTTTGAAAAAAAACTGTCTCAATATGAGTTGTACAAAAAGAAAATCTTGAATAGAAAATTAATAGATTCATTAGAGAGAGTGAAGAATTTTAAGATTGATACAGCAACTTAAGTCACTCCAAGAAACTAGCCTATTTAAAAGAATGGAAAGCTCCTCTTTGATAAAGGACTAAAGGTTAAACAACAATTATTTATCTAGAACAAAAAAAATACTATATTGGCTAGTATTAGTTAATTTTCTAACCAATAATCTACCTAGAACTTATCTAAAATTCATTTAAATCACTCTCAATCCAATTAAAGAATATCAAATGAAACTAAACATACCGATTTGCAATAGCAATAAGACCAATAAAAATACCCTGAAGTTTAAGAGTATTTTCATATATTTTTTTTAAAATAAAATAATTTCAAATAAATAAACTCTTTTAAAAAATTTAAAATAAAAGCCATGGATCAGACAAAAGCAATAAAAATAAAATGCTTAATCTTTAAAATAAATATCATGTTTTAAATTATTTAAAAAACAGACCTGAAAACTAGGGAATAATTTAATTATTAATGACAGATTCAAAATTATCTAAAACATAGGATCATTCAATTGAAGAAAATATGAATTCAAATACGAGTAATAAAAATCAAAGAATACCTACAATAAATTATTATTTAAGCAAACCAAATAAAAATGGAAACAAAGGTGAATAAACTGCAAATACAAGCAACAGAAGCTTTTTAACTTCTGTCAGATAGGATGATAGTAAAACTACTCTAAATCAATCAAAGTTAACTAATTCGGAATACATTACAAATAAAAACTCAAATAAGCCTACATTAAATTAAATTCAAGCAACTTAAGAGTAATTAATAGAAGAAAACATTAATTCTGATGACATTTAGTTTTAATGTAACTAACAAATTAAAAGACCTTATTTACCACAACTCACTGCAAGCACAGAGAGTTATGAAAATTTATAGAAAGAAGATTTTACTAAAAGCAAACAAAGTGGCATGCAGGAAAGTGCTGCAGAACTAAAAACAAGTGAAAATATTAAGGATAACAGAACTCTTTATCAAACAAATTTACCACTTATAAATTAAAGCAGTTACTTTGACTACCCAGAAATTCTTTTTTATAGTCATGATCTTGATGAGATGGTTCCTTTTGAAAGCTTTAAAAAGTATAAATTTAATCACCCTAAAAATGGAATCTAAACCTACTAATCAGATACAGGAAAACTTAAAATGTTTAATTAAAAGAAAAATTAATCCACTAAAATTAGTAACAATTCTTCAAATATAGAAAGATGTTTTTCAGACAGATTTAGGCCTGAATAAATTGTTCCACCAGTTGGAACTTATGAAAAAAACTATAGTCTTATCGAAAAGAAGATACCAACGTTTACTATAAAACAAGAGCATATTAAATAATTAGAATCCTCACTTAAAAGCTAAAATCAAGAAAATAAAATAAAAACGCAAGCACCTAGCAGCTTTAAAAAAATTAATAAGTAAATGACTTCTATAATTATATTTAAGTTAAATAATTAAACTTTCTTTATAAAAGGACTGAGGTAGATGATGAAAGCTTTGAAAAGATGTATTTTGATCTAATAAAATCAATATAGAGTAAATAACTTATGAAGATATTTCAAATTTATTTTATTATTTATTACAAAAAATATAAAAAGATGAAGTTTAAGAATAAATTTAAAAGTGTGGTGACAAGTATCTCCATCCTGATGGAGATTTATAATTACAAAGGCACTTGAGCATTGAAGATATTTAAATGGTAGATTAAAGATTTAAAGTTTAAGCAAAACACCTCAAAGATAAATTAAATAAAATGAAAGCTTACTTAACATTTTATCAGTATTAAGTCTGATATTTATTCCCAATTAAAATAATTAAAAGAAAAATTATTATTTTAATAATATAATTTTAATCTATTTTATTTATACATTTACAATAATTACTTCTGAGAGATTACAATTGGGCTTTTGAATAAGTTTTATTATATATTACTAATATTCTCTTTCAGCCTGCTTAAATATTTTTATGTAATTTACTTAATATTTTATCAGTATTATATCAGATATTTATTTGTAAAATTCACTACTTTAAATTAAAATAAATAAAGCAAAAATATATTTTTTTAATTTATTTACCCTAATTAACTACTTAAACTAAAGTTTATTTTTCAGCTTTTGAATATATTTTAAAAATATTCTCCTTCCTTAAATCTTTTTTGTTTTAACATTTGTAATTTGTATTCTTTTTTATATTATATCTTATTGAGAAATATCTAAGTAGGAATTACATTTATACAATGTATTTGTTTAATTATTTAATTATGCTTTTTTATCGAGATGCTTATTTAATTAATATTAGTTCAGATAGAATTATTGAAGAAAATATTTTTTTATAAAATGTTTAAATTTCTAAATTGTTTTTTCATAAAAAAAAATATTAATTAATAAATTATCTATTACAAAAATCTAAAAAAATTTTAATTTTTACTGTAAGAATTTTGGAATGAAACAGACTTATTACTTTTTATTAATTAATAATTGTAAATTCTGATTTTAGAAATTAGTAGTTGATAATATAAATTTTAATGTCAGAAAGATTTGGTTTTTTAACAGACCCAAAGTTAACCTCTAATTATCATGGAAATAAAAAGAATAGTAATTAGAATAGTTTTCAGCATGATCAAAATGCCTCTTTGTAAGAATACGATTTCGATTTCACAGAAGAAGAGTACATTGAATTTTTGAAATAAGCAAATAAATACGAAACTAACCCGTACATGAGAGATATAAGTTAGCAAGAATGTGATGAATTTTAAAAGAAATTAGATAATAAATATATTTAAAGGATATGGAAATCATTTAGAGAAAGTGGTAATAGCGATTCAGGAAAAATATCAAGATAAGTGTTCAAAAAAGTTTTCATTAATATAATTGATGATTAAGTTAGAGAATTATTTCTAGATGCTCTCTTTGAAAGTAAAATATTATTTTGGATATATATGATAGATTGATGGATGATATGAATATGAATACTTCAAATGTGTTGATGTAAATAATATAATTTTTATAAAATTATAGGGTTTAAATTGGAAAAATTAAGTGAAAAATTCGAAGATTCTGAGTTCAGTAAAATAGTGACTTAGTAGAATATTGATGCTGAAAAAGTTGATATTTAAGATTTGGTAATTTCTTTAACTATTCTTGCGAGAATGAGCGAAGAGCAGAAGCTAAAGTGTAAATATATTGATATACTTAGCAAGCAATCATCTATTTTTTAAATAAATAAAAATATTATTTTAGTAATTTTCACCTTAACAGATGTTGATGAAGATGAATGTTTGTCCACTGAAGATATTAGAAAAATGATATAAAGAATAGAAAGAAATTTTACAGTAGAGTAGTCTCATATTTACTCAGAGAGTTCTTGCCTTGCACAAGAATTTGCTTTAAATAAATCATAGCGTAGGTATTAGTGGACAATTTATAATTTAGGATAGAAGGATCTAACAAAAGATAATACTAAGTAAGAGGCGGGATCAATAAGTGGTAGTTATGAATTAGATGAAAATAAGCTAATTACATGGGAGGAATTCATAGAATGTCTAAATAAAAAGCAAAATTTGAAGAGAAAATTTTTACCTAACAACTATTTATTATATCATTGTTTGGTAAACAAACTTTAAATTACATATTTATGTTTTATCAATAAAATAAACTGTTCTTACTTATGTATGTTCCTTTAAAATAACAGAAAAACACAAACAAAGAAAAAGAGTACAAAATTAACAGTGATAATGCAAATGACTTTGATGTTTTCAGAAAACTGATACACTTGAAGCTGAGAAATTTTTATGAAAAAGATTACACACAAGCTTATCCTCTCAAAGAAAAAGGTATAAGGTACCCAGGAAAAATAAAAATTGAACCTCCTCCACCTGATAAAAAATCTGATTTACTTCCTAATTTTTAAAAGACAACTGATCAAAAGAAGTTGAACACATTTGTTAAAGATTTCAAGCAACAAACATCTAACTTATAAAAGAATTTCATTGAAGAGCAGTTGAAAAAAATGGAAAGTTAAGAAGACAGCTACAGCAAGTAGTTTGGTTCAAAGCCAGAAAACTCAAATAACTTAAAAAAATTCAGTAAGTTGTTTTTAAATAGAATAAGATATATATAAAAAATTATTTGAAAACTCTTAATTAGTTGAGATATTAGAGAAATAAAAAGGAATGAATGAGGTATTAGACAAATATAGAGCAATGAAAGACAACCAGATAGATTTTAAAATATGAAAAAAAAGAAAGAAAGTTAAAAATTTCTTAATTTATTTTAAAGTATTTTCAAAAAATAAAAAAATTGTCTTAATAAAATAAATGTAGAAAAAATGAGTTAAAAAAATTAAATGCCTAATTTTCCTTATTTGAAATTCAATATATATATATTAGTCAATCTACATTTAATTAAATTAAGACCATTGAATATATATGTTGATAATATTGTGTTTTAAGCTGGAATAATTAATTTAAAATAAAAATTATTGGACAAAAAATTAATTTTAATTGCCTTTACTTAAAATTAAACTTATACTTTGCTCTTTATTTATTTGTATGTAAATCATTTTTAAAAAGTTCAAAATATTTTTATTTTTTCTGATTAATTTTTAAAATAACAAAGAAATAGGTAAAAAGCTTTGTAAGATAATATTTTTTAATTTAATAATCTAAGAAAGATAAAAGTAAATTTTTATAAATTGAAAACTACTTTAGAAGTGAAAAAAATACTTCAATAAATTTCATTTTTTGAATAGGTAAAAAATAATTCTAATTCTTATTTTTATTTTTTAAATTAAATTTATTTTATCATCTGTCTTGTATCAAAATTTAAATTAAATTTTAAACTCATAAATATGTTGATATATTTATATAATAGTTATATCATTTTTTGAGAAAATAAATTGTTAATTGATAATGTAAATTTTGTATAGGAAAAAATTTGCTGAGCTAAAATATATTAAATGTATTTAATTTGAGCACTTTACATTTAAATACATAAATAGTTGTTAATATGTTAATTTAGAAATCTATCTATAATCAGAAAGTTTCAAATAATTTCCAAACACCCTTGAGATAGATATTAATTTCATTTGCACCAAGCTTTGATTCACCAAAAACTCTATCAACAAAAATAATAGGAACCTGTTTTGTTTATAAATATATATATTTATTTACTTATACACTTTTTTTATAAATTAATTACTTCTTCAATCTTGTAGTTGTATCCCTAAGCACGGATCAATATTTCCATTTAGAAAGCATAACCTTTGCTGATAATTTCCTTCATAATTCTTTCAATTACATCTTTTTTATATAGTCTTTTCAAATTTTTGGTTAAATATTATATCTACTATTTTTAAATTTCTTTACCTAAAACTTCCAGTTAAGTCAGAGCAACTTGAACCAAGAGTAGTTTTTGCAATAAAGTTAGCAACTCTACTTGTGAGCTTTCTCATGAAATCCCATCCATAAACTCCTCCGTTTTTTCTATATCTAGTACCAGTGACTATATCAGCATTATTTTCAGCTTATTTCCTTAAATAAATTATGTTAGGATTAATTTTCAAGAAAGATAAACTAATTAAATTTTACTTAATGAATTAAGGAATAAACTTGGGATGATGAGAGAAATCTGCATCCATCAAGATGATAAAATTACCTATTTTATATTTATTTTAATATCATTTATATATACCATGCCATAATTTTTAAAAGCTACCTGTGGCGTATTTCAACCCATCAATATAAGCACTTCCTAAACCTAATTTTCCTGGTCTAAAATGTAAAACCTAATATTCAAAGTATTTATTTTTTAAAAGAATAATTTTATGCACAATAATCTAATTTTATTATCTATATAACTCCTAAATTCAAATTTTTACAAGCTTTTTTCCATAGAATTTTTGTAATTCTTTAGCAACCTAATTTCAAATATTTAAAATAAATAAATTAAAATGCTTGGTTAAAAAGATAAAATATAATTTACTTCTTAGGTGCCATCAGGAGAATTATCATCAATAACAACTACTTCTAAATCAAGCTTGCTTTTGTTTTAAAAAAATTTTTCTTTTCATTTCAATATAAAATTAAAAAATCTAATTTAAAAATATTATAATAATGATGAAGCAAGCATAAGGAATTTCCAAATATTTTTGATTGAAATTACTTCTTATCAGCCATACTAAAAAGGAGATATAAAACAACTGGTAAATTTTCTCTTTCGTTGTAAGTGGGAAGTAAAACTGAATACTTATTTTGATTCTAAGCCATTTCTTGCTAATTTACTTTTATTTTAAATATATTTCTATCTAATATTTGAACTGTTTTTATTATTAAAAAATATCAAATAAAAAATTAAAATACAAAAATATATTTTTCCTTCAATTTTTAAGAAATCTTAAATCTACTTAAAAAATTAAATGAAGTATTTATTTAAAATCAATTTAAAAAAATGAAAAATCAACAAATAAATAAATATCTTATCAACAAATTCTAATTTACTTAACAAAATAATTAAATCTGTTATTAGATCTATTTAAAAAATGAAAAGAAGTATTTAAAATCAATTTAAAAAGAATAAAAAATCAACATGTAAATATCTTATCAACAAATTTTAATTTAATAAACAAAATAATTAAATATGTCATTAGATCTATTTTAAAAATGAAACGACGTATTTAAAATCAATTTAAAAAAATGAAAAATCAACAAATAAATAAATATCTTATCAACAAATTTTAATTTAATAAACAAAATAATAAAATTTGTTTTTAGATCTATTTAAAAAATGAAAAGAAGTATTTAAAATCAATTTAAAAAATTAAATATCAAGAAATAAATATCTTATCAACACATTTTAATTTACTAAACAGTTTTAAAAATTTAACATACTTTAATTCATTTTCTTGCAAATATGCTTTAGAAAATAAAGTAGCTTTATTATCTTAAGTTATTAATTTTATTAACCTTAGTTAATTATTTTTAATATAAATTAATTGTAAAACAACAAATCAATTAAATTGCAACAAATCTCATATGAAACAAAAATTTTTTTTTCATAAACTTTTATATTTGTTATGGTTATTCATATAAAACAAACAAATAAATAAATATAGTTGAATATCATGCTAATAAAATTCAATTTTAAGCTCCTAGAATTTCATCTCCTTCTTCTTCTTCATCCTCATACTCATCTTTTTCATATTTAGTTTTATTATTCAATTCAGGTTATCTTTTTTATTCTTTTTAGCTGTTTTGGTAATTTTATTATTATTATTATTATTTTGAGTTACTTTAGTTTTAGGTAGTTTTGTAATTCTTTTCGAATTCTTACTAATTGTTATAAAAATCCATCATTAACTTAGAATTTGTAAATGTTTAATTATTGTTTTATTAGTTTGGGCTATTGTTAAAAGATTATCTTTCATTCATTTAAATTGGAGATCTACTATCTAGAGTATTGTTATTTGTGCTATTTTACTCTGTGATTTCACGGAGTACTTTTCTATTAGGAGTTTCTTAGTTTTAATTTTATTTTATTTACTAGTTCTATGACTTATTTAATGAGGATCTCCTTACTGATTATTTTAATTATTGCTATTATTATAATTGATTTTAATCAAATTAAGCATTATTTTCTTTAAGGGTATATATTTATTAATCTTTATTTTAATAAGAATCGTTAGTAGTATAGCCGTTATCTTGTTAGCTCTCAAAGCCTTTATCAAAAATAAAAGGAGAACTTTTATTATTACTTAAAATTTAAGACTTATCTGTATATAATTTCTCATTTTATGAATTATAATTCTCTGATGGCTCAGTTTGGTATTTTTCTAATCCCTTAATGTATATTTTATCAGTTATTTTCAAATTTGACACAAGTTCTTCTAAATTATTATGGAAGAATTTATTTAATACTTTGAGCCCATCATTTTCAAACATTTCTAAAACTCTCGTAAGAGGATTTTCAATGTCATCTGCAATAATCCTAAATATACTAATTCATTTGTTAAATTATTTTCTAAAAATTATTATCAATTAATTAATTAATTTACCCATTTTCTATAGAGATTTCCACAATGTAAAAATTAAGTCCAAACTGACGTGACTGTCTATAGAGAATAGTTTTGTTTTCATCTATTTTATTATTGCTGTTACTTAAAGGTTCTAAGTGAAACGATCTATCTCTTTCTGTTTTATAAGTTTTTGATTTTAAATTGAAATAAAAGCAAAATTTATATATTAGATTATTACTATGGTTAGCTGTCTTCTATTATGGTGCTCCAATCTGTCTCTGTTAACAATTTTTATTAAAAATTAAAATATATTAAATTGTAAAAGAGATAAATTCCAAATAAAAATTATTATGAAAATAGATAGGTTGATTGATTGAATTGAATGACACATTATAAAATTATAGGTATTAAATTACCAACCAATCAACTTTATCTAACGAATATTATTAAAATTTTATGAAATGTCTAAATTTCTACATCAAGCGAGTAATTCTAACGTTTAATTGAAGCTGATGATTAGTCTAAATTTTAACCATTTGGGTTATATTAGCAATCATTTCTAGTGAACATTGCTTTTGAATCACTCTTCTTGTAAAGATTAACAGGATATTCTGATATTTTATGCAAAAGAACTTCATTTTTCTTGTGATCTTCTTCCCATTTACGATGGTCATATTCGCTTTTCCTGGACTTTATTCTTTCCAAAATTTTTTTATTCTCTTCCATAATGCTCAACAATTCTTTTCTTCTATTTAGCTAATTTAATGACTTCTTTTTTGTATATGAAGACTGTTATATAGTTGAATAGTTGTTATTTCTGCTTAGTCTATTCATAACTGATTGATCCTAATACTAATTTTCTTAATGGTTATTTTATTTAAACTTTATTTAAGCTTACAATAATATAAATTACTGTTGCTAGTAGTCTTTGGAGGATTCATAATTTTAGTTATTTTCTCTAACAAAATTCTGTTTTCTCTTTCTATTTCTGTATATTTATCTTCCATCAATTGTATTTTCTTTTTATTTTAAGTGTATGAAAGTGGATTGAAATGATCTGGCCTCTTAGTATCAATTTAACTGGATATTTATTTTAATTTCGTTTCATGAATTTGAGAATCCCTCTCTTTTATTTTTCTGCTTACAATCTTGCTAGAAACTGGCACTTATCTATACATTGATTAGTCTAAGGCTTTACTAAAACAACGCAATCCTTATTTTAAAACTTAAATATGTGTATGTATATATATATGTATCTATGTATTTATGCCAATTTAATTAAGTAAAGCTAAATCACTAAAATGAATAAATAAATAAGTAAATCTAAATACTACTACCTAAATTATTAATTAAATAATAAACTAACAAACAAACTATTTTTTTTGTGCATAAATTTTATTAAATAGCAATTTAATCATGTAAATCTAAGAAAAGAAAAGTAAAACGAAATATTTGTAAAGAAATTAATCGTTTATAAACAACTATTTATAGACCATGCTTATAACTAATAAAATTGCTTGAAATAAATTGCCCAAAGAAAAATATATTTTTATTTATTAAGAATTATTTTCATGTAAATAATTTTCTTTTACATTTCAATTCAAGTTCATTTTAAAAATTAAAAATTTATCTGAAAAAGTTCAAATAATTTAATTTAAAACTTCATCAAAATATATTTTTTCAAACTATTAACTAAAACCATACTCTTAAGCTCCTAAAGTAACTTTTGAATAAAACAGAAAACTAATCTGTCATTTTTCAAAAAAAATATTTAAGTCCAAAAATATTTATTTTCAAAATATTTCTTATTTAATTTTTTATTTTTAAAAATCAATTTTTAATGAGCAAAAATAATTCTATTAAAAGCAAAACAAAAATTAAATATATTATTGCATATACAACTTTTTTTGAGAATATAAAAGAATATAATTGATAGAAAAGTTAGTTTTTTTCTGATCAAAATTGAATTTGATTCATTTTTAATAATTATTAATCTTGTAAACTGTTTTTTAAATTCTTTTATTTCTTTTTATTTAAATTTTATTTAAATCTCTTTTCTACATAATTTTTAATTTTTTTCAATAAAGTTTAATCAACTAAAAGATTTTGGATTGATTGCCAAATAGAAAATTAACTTTCAATCATTGTTTTATATATTTTATGTTTCTAGTTAATTATATTAAAAATTTTTTGTATTAAAAACAAGGATTAAATTTATTTTATATTGTCTGTTATAGGGCTTCCCATAGATTTCTATTTAATGTAAGCCTTAAGAGTATCTAAAAACATATTAAATAAAAGATTTAGCTTAATTTTTCATCAGATTTTTGATCAATATATTTATACATAGAAAAATAAAGATACACTAATTTATTATATATATTAAAATTTTAGAACCATCAATATTTTTAAAAGAAATTTAATATTACAAATAAATTAAGATTCTTTCCCTAAAATAAACAAAAAAAATATAAAATCAAAATACTACTAAATAATTTTTTAAAAATGGAATATTACGATAACTTAGAAAATATTTAAAAGTAATTAACTGATAACTTATCAAACAAATGTCTTAGAGTAGAGTTAAGCCCTTATTTAACTGAGCCACAGTTGAATAATTTTAAATTTTTAATGAAAGATTTAGAGTATGATTCACTATTTATAACAAGCTGGGAATAAAATATCTGGAAAAAAGAAGGATTTACAAAATTATCTAACTTTTATTCTGATTTGTGCCATTTAAAAAAGTTTGGGTTAAAAATCTTTGTTAATGATCTGAATCCAGTTGGATCTGAAATTTTAGCTTAAGGATTATCTAACTTAAATAATATATAAGAATTAACTTTAGATCTAACATCATGCCCAGTTTAAGATTAAGGACTGAATTACTTTTTGGAAGCTATCAGCTAGCTAGATAAATTACAAAGCATAAGTCTATTATTAGATGAAATTAAGATTGGGAAAAATGGTATTGAAGGCATATTTAACACTATACAAAAAAATATTTGCCTAAAAAAATTAGAAATAAGTTTTGATACTAATACAACCAGCAAATTTTATTAAGAAATATCAAATGGTTTATAAAAGTTGATTGGCCTAGAAAAGTTAATAATATAGGTTAAGGCTGAAAAATAATCACAAATTTATGAAATTACAAACTCTATTTAAATACTTGAAAACCTCAAATATTTACTTTTAGAGATTTAATCAAATGAGAAATTAGTAGATCTTGACATTCAAATCATAGGAATGCTAGATAAGTTGCAAAATTTAAGCACACTTTATTTTTATGTACACTCTTATAAAAATAATCTTCATAAAAATAAGCTTTTGATCTTAAGCTATCTAAACTAGAGGTAAAAAATAATAGATTTTAAAATAAATCATGAAGAAAAGCAATAAGAAAATGTTAAACTAATTCAAAAAACAAAAAAAATAAAGCAATTAGTGTTTGTTGATTTCTTTGAATGAAAATGTTGGTTAGCATATTGATAGCTTAATTAATTGATTTCTCAAATTAAAATATATAAAACCTTTAAAATAAAAAAAATAAATATAAATCTAATTTATGTTTTTAATTTTTTAAATAAATAAAAGCTTGTTTGTATGTTTGTTAGATTGATTATTTGTTTTTTAGTTAATTAATTCAAATATTAAAAAATTTTTCTAATATTTTTTTAAAATTTAGTTAGAATTTAAATAAGCTTCTAATAAATAAAAATAAATAGATTTTCTAAAATAAAAATATAAATATGTTGTAAACTTAAACACAAATTAAAAGCATTTAATATTATCTAAATTATGATTTATTTATTTTATTGCTGAAGAATACATACTAATTAATTATTTTCTAAAATTTCTGAAAATTTTGTTTATTTGGATTTATAATTTTAAAATATATTCCAACAAAATTTATTTTTTTAACTAAGAAATTGATATTTAAGTTTAACTAGAACTGAATTGCAAATTAATAAAAATTAAACAAATTTTTATTTTTTAAACAAAAATTTACTTTTGATTTTAACAATTCGTGAGAATCATCAAATCAAAAAAAATATAAACCAAAATCAAAAAATGTAATATTAACTATTAATCTATATTCTTTAATCTAAATAATTCAAATATTTTATCATTTTTTTCCTTGTTAGTCGAAAAATTCTTTGAGTGGTCCTGGACATCTTTGAGAATCTTTACCAGTTTTTTTAGTAAGTTCTTCATCCAAGCATGTGCATTACAAAATAGTATCGATACCCATACCTTTATAACATAATTAGGTTAAATTTAAACGCCGATTTCAAAATTTGAATAAATAAATATTTTATTAATTAATTAATTACCATAAACGCTCATGAAAAATGTACCAACAAAGTAACCAATAACAACACAAAAAACTGTAGGAACTATAGGAGAGAATAAGTGACTGTCGTAATATGAGCTCTTGATAAGGATAATATATGAAATCAAACCAGTAATACCAGCAATAAAGAGACGACCTATAAAGATGAATATGTTACCAATAGTAGCAACAGTTCCGAACTTAGCAGGATTGCACCAAATCAATTCAAAGGCATCTTTTGCAGCACTACAGAAACCCTTACCAGTTAAAGCAATTTAAATGTAAGCATTCTTATTTAAGAATTTAATAAATCTTTCAAAACAAGCAACATAACATTGCAAGCACTTAAGTAAGTATTTAACACAAGTATTGTTGCCCTAACCAGATTTTTTTACTTATTGCTCCATAAATTCAAGTACGAGTCTAATAAATTAAACCTAAAAATAAAAAATGTTTTTGTTAGATTATTTTAAAATAAAATTTAATCTTTACAATTGCCAAAATCAAAGCACCAAATGCTAAGGAACCAAAGTGATTAGTGAGACCTCTCTTTACACCAGTGTAAACAGGTTAATGAGGCTATTGAAATAATAAAATAAATAAATAAACGGAAATACTAAATGCTTTTTAAATTATTGGTATAATTTCGCTTAAAAATTTTTTAGATAACAAAAATAAATAATTAAATTACTTCATTTGGTTTACTAAAGTACCAGAGAGAACATGCTGTAGCTAAGATGAATTGAATTAAAGCTCCAAAGAATGCATTAATCCACAAACCTCCGAAAATATGATAGATAAGCATGTATCTTGTATTTTTTTACCATTTAACAGAAGCGAAGGGGCCATATTCACTTCCTTGAATATCACCAACACTATAAACAAAAACAAAAGCAACAATCCTATTTATAAAAAATTGTAAATAAATTGGCTATTTTATTTGATATTTAGGAAAAAAATCCTTTAAAACAAAGAAAAAATTAAATCAAAAAATAGAAAGATATTCATACCACCAAGCAGTGAAGAGCATGCAAAAAATAGTAACAACAGGAGGTACTAAGAAAGAAGTCTTAACTTCCCCGACAAAAAGAGCAGCACTCTTAATAATAGCAATAGCTAATCTTATACGATTGAACAAGCATAAGAATGTAATAAGGAATAAACCATCTAAGGCAAAAACGGCATAAGAAAGATATTTTAAATTTTTTCCATCTTATTGCATGTCTTTATCACTGGCGGTGACTCCCTTTTTAATGAAATTTGTTGATATTTAAAAAAAAATATATTTATTATAAATAGTTTTACTTCATCATATTTATTTTATCCTTTTACTAATAATATGATAGCAAAGGCTGTTATGATAGCAAAATAAGCAATGATTGTCAACCAAGTTATTAATCCAGAGCAGTATCTAAGGATAACCATGTAAACAAAAGCAATAACAAAAGCAATACCAACACTGCCTAAAATCATACCCCAAGCTGTTTTAATATCACTAATATACCTTTCTAAATTAGTTGTACCACTAGCACCAAATGCATCTCCTATTTATCCCATTACCTTATCATAAGAAGCTCCATAAGGTAAGCAAACTCTATTAAAATAACCTCTAGTTTGATAAACAGCAACATGATAATCATCAAAACTAATCGAATTTGTGTTAGCCATGTAAGTTTCTATATTCAAAGTGTAATAAGTTTTATCAGTTTATAAGGCTCCTGGAGTGGTTACAAATTTAACTTTTTACCAAGATGCTTATGCTTAAGAATTATTTTAATTAGGAGTTAGTGGAGCTGATTCGTCAGAAACTAATTTATATATCATAAATATAAAAAATATAACTCAAAATATTATTGTAGGCTTACTTGGGTCTGTAGGGCAGGTATCCAAGCAAATACTTTTTTTAATACTACCAGGTGCAGTCAAATAAACGTATTTATAATCAGAGAGGGAATCAAAACCACAAGCTCTACCATAAGAATCATAACTAGTTAGATAAAAATATAATTTAGGTATTTTTTTATTGTTTTTTTTTTTAATTTTTTTTATTTTCATAAATGATTAATAAACGCCATTAAATTCCAAAAAAAAAAATGTTTATAAATATAAAGTTGTTTGTAGAAATTCATAGTTTTATCATCATTTAATCAATCAAAAAATGGCATCTATCGAATTTTAAATAAATTGATATTATATTTGCAAATAAAACATGTATTTATTATATGCGTTACCCAACCAAAAGCCTATCTGGATGTCCTTTACTTAAACCATAAGCACCTATAGCTATGATGGCAGCTATGTTGGCTAAGAAAAGCAAACAACAAAAAATATCATTGCAGCCTCTTGAAGCAAGAGGTCCGTTTGCCAAGTTCTCATCAACGTTATATTGTTTCTTCTCTTCAGTTTTATCTTAAGCCATTTTTAAAGAAGTAGATATATGTTTTATCAATAATTTAAATTATTCTTCCTGTTTTTGAAACTAATGCAAACTAACAAAAATAATTTAATAAATTTTGATTTATATTATATTATTATTAGATTTTTTAGTTTTTCTTATCAAGTTAAACCAACTAATTAATATTCTTTTACTTTGATCGCACATCCTCTATTAAAAAAATAATATCTGCTTTATAAGCAAAAGTGCGCTTCAAATTTTCTTCACCTTACAATAATACAAAAGACAATTAGATATTCGTTGGTTCTAAAATAAAGAAACTAATTTGTTCGTTATTACAAAACATCAATTTTAGTAAATCAATGCTTTAGTACATTATAAGTGATATTTAATCTTTAAATTATTTTTAGATAAATGAAAACTAAACCAATTAGATTTACTAATAAGTTTGAATATTTTATGAAAATCAAACACTTTTACTAATTTCGATGAAGATCAAAGCTTTAATAGCTGTTAATGCTTTACTTTTATATTATCCTTCTTTTAATCAAGGAGTAAATAAATTTTAAAGTCTATAAAAGAATTCATGATTAAATATCTAAATCTATGCGTTAAAATACAACATTTTAAAAACTAAATACTATTGTAAGCCATTGTTATTTTTTTAAATTTAAAATATAAAAATCTTTTTTTTGAAAATGCGACTGACTAATTGTTTATTTTTACTCTCGAATTTAGTTTTTTATAAAAAATACACAGTTAAATGAATAAATTTTAATTGATTTTCTTATTTTTTCTCCCTTAAACTTTTTGTTCGAACGAAGATTTTTTATCTAAGACTGAAAGATATTGTATTGCTTTTACAAATGCGTTATCATCATAAAATAATATTTTAATACCAAGCTATTTTTATAATTATCCTAATTAGAGACTTTTAAAAATTCAGGCTAAAAAATTAATTAATATTAACAAATAGAATTTTTAGTGGTTTATAAATTTTTTAATATTATCTATTTCAAAAATAAATCTATTTTGAATATCTTTTGTATTATGCAGATAAGTATCTGAAAAGATAGTCATTTTTTACATTTAATACGTACATATTTTAAAAGGGTATTTAAAAATAATTTGCTAGTGTTAATAGCTATTTTTAGCCACTTAGTATTACAATAATAATTTATATTACAAGATATATAATTAAGAAAAATAGTTAACTTGGAATAGAAAAACTGAATACGCTTGAAAGCATAATAAAATTATAATTAAAAGATTATAACTCTATTAAATTTTGAAATCCAAATTGTTATAGAATAATCTAATAGCCAAAAAATATTTATTTATGAAAATTGTTTAATTCTATAAATTCAATAATACTTGTTTGTAATTTTAAAGAAAAGTTACTTATAAAAAGAACTTTATCTCATTTACTTTTTTTTTGATATATTTTGTGTTTTTAAATTTATTCAGCACATTTTTTGTTTTTATTTGAGTGTCTTTAAATAACAAAAACAGTTAATAATGCTATAGACAAATTTTAAGTAATAGTAAGCATTTGCTCTTTTTTTTCTTTTCTATTCTCTCCAAGAAAATAAATTTGATTAAATTATTTTGAATGACATAATTTAAAATATCATTAAAGTTTATTTTAAAAAATTTTCTAATTTTTAGAAATAATCAATGAAAAAAATTTAAAATAAAATTCAGAAATTAGGGTAATAATTAACTTTTTTTATTTGAAAATTAAAATGTCTAAATTATCATTTTTTAATGAAATTAATATTTTTATTAATTTGAAATTTAAAAAAATTATTTAAAAATTTTTCATAATTAAATAATAAAATAATTAATATCAAAAATAAATTGAAAATATTATCAAAAAAATAAAAATCTATTTTGAATTATTTTAATTAATTTTTTTCTTTTTAAAAGAAATGATATTAATTAAAGGTGTAAATAACTTAAAATATTTTAAATAATTAATATTTGTTGAATTTAAAATTTTAATTATTAAAATAAAATCTATTTGAAAATTTAAAAAAAATGAGTATCAATTAAAAAAAGAAACAGTCAAATAAAAAATATCTTTTTTACATGATTTATTTATCATAGAAATAAATAAAATTATTAATTAATTAAATTAATATTATTTTAATCTTTATAAAAATAAATTAAAGAAATGTTATTTAGTTTATAAATAATGAGAAATATTTATAAATAATTATTTTTTATTGAAATTAACATTTTAATTTATTTTGAAAAATCTGTTTGCAAGTTCTAAAAAAAATAAATGCCAAAATATTTAATTAAAAAATAAATAAAAGAAAAAATTAAGAAAGAAATAAATATCTTTTTTTTTTATTTTATTGAAAAATTTCACATGATTTTTTTCACAAATAGATCAATTAATTTATTTCTTTCAATTCAATTCAATTTTTCTGTTTATTTTTAATTTTTATATAATCAAATGTTAAAGAGATGGTATTAAACATACAAATAATTAATTTTGACCACTTAGCTTTAAAAATTGGAGTTTAAGAGTTGAATTTAATGATTTTATAAAGAAAAGTTAAAAAATGTCTCAAATACAAAGCATACATAAAATTTCTTTGTACAGTGTTATATGTTATTTTCATATTAGTTAGGACAAATTAATATTAGTGTGTATTGATTTGTTAAAGAAATTGGTTATTATTTTGCTCAGAAAACTAAGGATTACTTTTCGACTCTAATACCAGCCTTTTGGAGAGACTTGATAATGAGGTCTTCGTATTCTTCAAGGGAGACTGAACCATCAGAGTTGGTGTCAGCCATTTATAACCAGATCTTAACGTCTTCCTTAGTAGGGGTGAAGTTGGACATACCCATTTCAGCATAGGTGTCCTTTAATAAGCCAGCGATTTCGTCATCTTGTAATTAACCAGAACCGTCCTTGTCGTATCTCTTGAAGAGTCTTCTAGCCTATTTTAATTTAAAAAGATATTTTAAAATTACGTTTTAAAATTTTTTATAAGTTCTAAAAAAGAATAAAATGTATTTATTTCTTACGACGTCGAGCTTAGCTTCAACTTCAGGGTTGTATTTGGGCTTGCTGGACTTCTTAACCTTTTCTTCAGTGACGATAGTTCTTTAGACAGTGGTACCAGTGAGGTATCTGATGCAAAGTTCTTCAATATCTTAGTAAGTAACAATACCGTCACCGTTTCTGTCGAGGACTCTGTGGTAGGCCTTGATGTCATCAGAAGAGGGGGCAAAGAAGGAGTTGAAGGACTTGTAGGCTTCAGTAATCATGGGAACACAGTCGGTGTTTTCGATTCTGCCCTTTCTGCCCTTGTCGTAGTTTTCGAAGATTCTTCTAGCGACAGTCTTAGCACCCTATTAGAAAAGATTAATTAGATTATAAGAAAAAATGTTTGTCAAATAATTATAGCCAAAGTCTTTTGATCACTAACTCATCAACTAGCTAACTCAATACCGCTTTTGTTCATATCTGATCTGTATCTAGAGCCTCTGCTTCTTAAGTAAATTGATTTCATATTGTTTTGATGCTAGATAAGAATCAAGAGTTATCATAAAAAGAAGAAGTAAGTTTATTTATTTATTTTTTGTTAATTTTTGCTTGTATTTATACTTGCTGACTTGATTTATTTTATATGGTACCAAGCTTTTTAAAGTGTATCTTCAAAATTTTTTTGCTATCTTTTAAAGGCTAAATACCATTTCGTTTTATTCATTCTAGTAAATATGGTTGATAACTTACTTCTTTATTTATATTCTTTTACTCTATAACATGCTCTATTTGCTTCCTTTTACAAAACCATCAAATTTCTTTTCACTGGCTCAAGTAAAATCAGCATCAGTTCGTGATGATTGATATCGATGTGTGGTAGATGATATTAGTGAGAGTTAATAACCTGAAAGACTGTAGGCTAAGGGATATAATTGTTTTGAATGGTGGGAGTATTTACTTCAATATCGGTGAGACCAACAGTGGAAGTGAAACCAGAAGATCTGAGAGTTTGAGAGTATTGAGCCATTTATTTATTTATTGTTTGTTTGTTGTTTTTTGAATTTTATTTAATTAATTTTTTTTTGCTTTAAAGATTATAAATAATTTTTTATTTAAGTTTTTATTTAAATCGTTCTGAATGAGATACTTGAAAATAAACAAGTAATAAAAAGAAGATAATTCGTAATTTATTAAATTAAATTATTAAAGCAATCACGCATATCTATTTAAAGTTTTTATTTATTTATTTCATTATTCATTCATTCTTTCATATTAATTCATTGCTTTATATGGAACAAATTCTTTCTTTCTCTCTTTCACTTTGATTTTTCTTTCAGTTTAACTTCATTTTTCTTTGACATTCTAAAAAACTACTCTCTGCTCATGCAAAACAATCATGATAACTAACTAAAAAATCTCTATATGAATATAAAAATTTTAAAACAGCAAACTCTTCTTTGTATCTTTTTTTTGTACAATATTTTTCTCAGCTAAATAAAAATTTGCGGGGATCTTTACTATTTTGTGATGTTTTTGATATCCAAATAAATAGAAAAAATTTAATTTTAAGGAAACAAACAAACTCAAAGGTTCTATTCTGATGAGTAATTATTTGCAATTAATTTATTTACTTAAAGATATCTACTGTTGATGTTATTGAAAATATTTCAAAAGATTTTTACCATTAAAATTCTCAGTTTTTTCGTTTAGTAACTACGAAAATTGCTCTAGTAAAATAAATAAATTAATATGGCTTTCATGTTAGATATCTAAATATATATGCTGCCAATTATAATTTCTATCGTTAACAACAAAAGATTATTAAAAATCAGGTGCAGACTATTCAAGCTAAAAAATAGTTAAGTTTTCTAATTAATTTTCAATACTTCCCAAAAAGATATTTTCTACAGCTAAGCTGTAATATCCTAATCGTTCTATCAATTCTCACGTTTTTTTATTTAGTAAATTTGGTCTTAATATTTTTCAAACATCTAAACAATTAAATATCACTAAAAAGAGATATATAAAAACAATTCTAAAATCACCATCCAACCAAAATAGTTAGTTGAACTTAAAGTAATTAAATTTATATTAGCCTATTATATTTTTTGGCACTTAGTTTCCATTTAAAATTTAGTTCATTAATTAAGAAGAATAATCTAAAATGTGTGATGATTATTTATTGACTTAAAGATAACAAACCTATAGAAAAAAGTTAATTCAAAAAGCTTAAAAAGAGTTGATAAAAAATATTTTGCATCAAAGTATTTGATTTAGTTTTTATTTATTATTTTTTAGCTTCTACCTCAAAATGCTTATGCTCTTGAGGTTTTTATAATGAGTCATTGCTTCTTTCTTAAATGGACCAATAAAGTTGGTATGTCATAAAATATCTTATGAATTTTACAGAATATAAATACTAAAGCATAGGATTAGCTCGTTTAATATATTTGATTTATATTCTCGAATAGCAAATAAAGCTACCAGTAATGCTTGATTAATGACCATTTTAACAAATCAATATAAATAAAAAATATTTTTGTAAAAGTAATAATTTTGGCTTTTATGACACTAATCTGGAATAAAATCTTTAGAATATCTGAGTAATGTAATTAATTGAGTGGGATTTTTCTTTATTTCCATTTTTAGTTCAGAATTTTTTTTATTACAATTGAAAAATGTAAGAAAAAAAATTTGTTTCAATTACGTATGTAAAATAAATTAATAAATACAAAATAAAGTTTCTTAAGAAGATATAATTTAATTCTATAATTTATCCTATTAATGGTATCAAAAGGAGATAAAGTTTATTACTTATTTTATTTTCTTTTTAAATTTTAATAATTTGCCATATTTTTATTAGAGAGTAACTTCTCATTTTTTTAAGTATTGTTCTAAAAAAATTTTTTGGAATTTCACATAGATATTTTTAAGAGTTTGTTATTTTTAATGATGTGTATGTAAACAAGCAAATTCTATTTATAATCTTATAATATTTAGAATACATATAAACAACAAATATGAAATATTAGGACAAATACATTTTATCGCGTATAAGTATTATCTAAAACATGAACGATAACTTTTTAGATTTTGCAAAATAAAAAAATTTTGTTTTACCACTATTAATAATGTTATATTTTTTCTAGTAGAGATATTTTACCAATCAAATACATCTAAAAAATCTGCTCATTGCAAATAAAACTTAATATATTATTTGCAAATGATGTTCCATTAGGCTAAATTTTTTCTTCATAAACACCTTTTATAGATTTTTCCATGATAGAAAATAGATCAAATGATTTTCTTTTTTTATCAAATCGCATCATAAATATAGATAATTTTTGAATATCTTTAGATATAAAATAAAAAACGAATAAATAAATTAATAAAAAATAAAAATTGTGATATCACCTAAATGAAAGTAGTATTTTATGAAATATAAAAATAGATAAGGTAAATCGAAATTTATTTTTACATACTTAATTAGGGCATTTTTAGAATATTTTATTGACATTTTTATTTTCTAATTTAAGTATGGAAAGATAATGGTTCAATTTTCTTAAAATATATTTTAACTTACAAATCTTAAGGATAGTGAAAAATGAAAAAATCATCTATTTATTTTTTATTACAATAATTATAAAAAATAAAAAAATAATAAATTTAAAAAAAATTAAAAAAACAAAATTAATATCTTTATGAATTAAAAAATCTATTGTAATTGATAATTAATTTTTATTAAAAAAGGATAATAATTATTAATAGCACTTAGAAATTTTAAATAATTTTAAATAAATAACATTGAAATCGTTGAAAATTAAAATAAATTTTTTTAAAAGAGTAATATCATAAATTAATTTTTAAACTTATTAATTTGATAAGTATAATATTTGTTTATTAAAGCAGTAACAATCACAGGTTGTATCACTTAATAAGTGAATTGTTCTTGAAATTACACAGTTTTCGGTAATATATGCTAATAAATAAAGATGATATGAAATTAAAAGTAGTAGTGTGTTTAATTCTTTATTTATTTATATTTTGTTAAATTAATTTTTTTTATTTTTTATGATATTTATGATTTTAATTTTTATATCATATCATCATAAATTTCTTTATCAAAACTATTACGATTAAAAATTTATAAAAATAAATATATCAACTTCAGTGAAATCTTATATTTATGGATAGCCAATAGTAATAAACTTAATAAGGAGTCAATTCGAACTTGCAGTAAGTTAATATACAAAAAGGCAGGGATCCTTTAGGAGTTATGAAGACAAAGCCATCTTAAAATGACCGTATGCTTTTTTACTAAGTTCGCAACATATGCTTACTTATAATAATAATTAGTCTGCAGTTTACAAAGCGTTTATAAAATATAACTTTACTCTGCAATTTCTTAGCATTAAAAATAAGAATAACTTATTTTATTTAATAAAATTAGAGTTTGTCATCAACAAGAATACAAATAATGTCATCTTATCTGTAATTTTTAAATTATTTGATTTTACTTTCGCAAATTTATCCATTTATTTATTTATTAACTACTTCTCGATAGTTTTTTAAATAATTTTTCTATGAATAATAAATAAAAAGGGCGATAGATCATCTAACTAAAGAAGAGTAAATTATTTAATTTAAAACATGAGCATTATCAAAAACATAATGAATTTATTTTAAAAATTAGATTATTAGCTTTAACTCGGCAAGATCTTCCGAAGCTCCATAAAATTAGTTTTAACAAAATTTATAGCAAAATTAATAGCAAAGTTAGGAGTCTTTGATTCGTAGAGAGTCACCTCCTTAATAAACTAATAAATAAAACTCACATAAGGATAATTTCTCTCCTATTAAAAAGAACCCTGACCCTGCTATTGCAATATTCTCAAATTATTCAACTTAAAATCCCTTTAAAGAGCATGATAAATTTGATGATATAAATAAAAACAGATAGAGCACATAAAATTAAAATAACAACAATTCAAGCAATAGCAGCAGCTAAAATATATCAAATGACTGGATTGATATTAGGAAAGATAATTAAAGCCAAACATTTGAAAAAGGTTAAGTTAAAGTAGTAAATTTAAAAGGGAAGGATCCTCATATTATTGCATAAGAATAGGAAATTATGTTTAATTCTCTAAAAAATATGAAAGTAGATCGCGATTTTATTTTAAAGGGTGAGGAATTGAAAGCGTTTTCAGAAACTTTTCTCAAGTTTGGTTAGTATATGGTTGAAGGCAAATTAATTCTAACAAACTACAAAGTAATTTATATTAAATTAAGAGCATATATATCATTAAATTAATATAAATGTATTTAAATTTATCTTTAATATCAAAGTTAATATTTGTGCCAAATGATGAAGGTAGATTATTCTAATTTATTGATAGAAAAGATTTTCAGTTGATACCATTAGGGTTCATTCATAAGCTAGAAAGAAGTGTAGAAAAGAAGGGTTTATAGTATTCTTATATTGATATAACATGTAAAGATGGCAGAAATTATAGGTTTAGATACTAGCCAGAGTGCTAAAACTAATCATTTGAAATGTAAATCAAAATACATGCAACTGCATTTCCTGAGGATGTAAGGAGACTCTTTTCCTATTCTTATAGCATCTATGACAGATAATTAGAAGATTAATTTTAAGGATGGTAACTATTAGACATCAAAGCTGAATTTGAAAGACAAGGTGTTATTATTTAACCAGTCGAATTTGATAAAAGCCAAACAGATAAGGATTATGCATCAGTAAAAGAATTTGTTTCTATGAAAATAGATTTTAAAAATTCCATTTTATTGTAAAAATTCTAATTAACTTTTTGAATAATTAATTAGAGTCCTTTCAAGTATATGGACAATAGCACAGGTGGAGTTTGCTCAACTTATCCCCCTTTGATAGTTGTTCCTAGCAAGTTGTCTAATGATGATGTTATAAAATGCTCGAAATTTCGTTCAAGAGAAAGATTACCAGCACTTTCATTTGCTTTTAAAAGGAGACCAAATTCTAGCTATACAACTTTATGGAGATGTGCTCAATGTAAGCCTGGTATTAACTCTAATAGATCTATTGAAGATGAGACATTCATAAAAGTTATCGGATGTCTTGAAAAAAACTCTAATATTCGTAAATAATTTTCATTACTAAATAAGAAGAATTAATTTTATTTCTATTTTATTAATAAAAACTAGCTAAGGTAGTAAAAATATACGATGCCAGACCATATCTTAATGCTGTTGGCCAACAAATTACAGGTAAAGGTTATGAGCAGAAATAGTATTATAGGAATGGTGATATCGAATTTTTAGATATTCATAATATTCACAAAGTACGTGAGTCTTACAAAAAAATGGCTGCTGCAGCTTATGCTGGTACAAACGAATTCTTAAAAGAAGTCGATAAAAGTGATTGGTTTATTCATATAAGTACAATTATGGAAGGTACTCGTAAAGTTGTTAGTTCGTTAACAGATGAAGTAAATGTAGTGATTCACTGCAGTGATGGATGGGATAGAACATCTCAGCTCATTTGCTTAGCATAAATGTGTATAGATCCTTACTTTCGTACTATTGAAGGTTTTGAAGTACTCATAGAAAAAGATTGGGTATAATTTGGCCATCAATTCTGTTTGCGTTCAGGGCATGCTTCAAAAAATTGCAATGACGACCAAAGAGCTCCTATATTTATTTAATTTTTAGATTGTGTTTATTAATTAACCTTGTAATACCCTCTTTCTTTTGAGTTTAATTCTAAGTTTTTAAGTGAAATAGCACATCATTACTTGAGCTGCAGGTTCGGTACTTTCTTATACAACAGCTACCAAGTACATTTATTAGTATGTTAAAATTTCCAAATAACTTTTAAAACTTTAAATTAAAGGAACAAGTTGCTTACAATGCAAGATCTTAAACTATTTCTTTATGGAGCTACTTAAACAGTTAAAGAGTAACATTTGAAAATCCCTTTTATTTGTCAGTTCATGATACCAACTTATCTATAATCTTCCCTGATAGCCATACAAGAAGATTTTCAGTTTGGAGAGATCATTTCATGATTTATTAACCTGGTTTTTGTGATGCCTACAAAATTTACACCGAATGCAACTTTTCAGAGTAAAACTTTTTTTTCGAATTTAAATATTTACACTTTTGATCAATATAGGGATAATATGTACGTATTGAAGAGATCTTCTTAAATGAGATATGAATAATTTAGAGAAGAAAACAAACTACTTCATAAAAAGATAGAAGAGTTAGAAGCTTAACTCAAAGCTTTAAACCACAATGAAGAGGAAGATAAGTTCTTAAATAATAATAATAATAATAAAAACTAAGAAAAGTAAACCACCGAAGAGATTTTATCAAATAGAAAAAAAACAGAAGCAAAATTAAATTCTAACCCTTTGATGTAAGCTAATTTTGGTGCAAAAAAAAATACAAGCGAAGCTGTTAATGAAATCACAGAAAAAGAAATTTAATAAAACGAGAATATAGAAAATCAAAATATCTTGATCCCTCAAGTAAGTGATATCTAATTAACAGAAAAGCAAGAAGAATTTGTTTCTAACTAAGAATTAGATAAAGCATATATTGAAGAGTTAGGATAGGAAAAAGGAGAGGATTTTGGAAGTTTAAATTAGGATGAAATAGATCGCTAAAGTAATTTACAATCAAACTCCAAAATAGTTACAGATACAGATAAAAATGAAGCTTCTTAATTAGATTAATAACAATAAGAAAATATACTATAAGAAATACTTGAAGAAGAAGAATAACTAAAACACAATTAAGAAGATGTAAATAATGTGATAACTTTAGATGACGATTGAGATAGATATTGATATAATCTTTTGTTTAAGTTTAGCAAATTATATTTATTGTCAATATAATAAGATTTTAAGTGTATTTCTAAGTTTGTTTTTGTGTAATTTATAGAAAAATTATCTCTTTTATAATCATTAAAAAATTAATAAAATGTATTTATTTATTAAATTAATTAATTATTTTTTAATGTTGATGTTTAAACAAATGTTTGTTTAATGGTTTTTAAATCAGATAAAAAAGTAAAAATAAAATATAAATATAAATATAAATAAATAAAAAAGGATTGAATAAAGAAAAATTAAAGAATAGACTTAGTTCATATCAAAGACTAAATGAAGATAATAAATTACGAATATCAAAACTCTTTGATAATACAAATTAAACAGTTTTATTTAAATTTATTATTAAATTGATATTGAATGAACAAGTCTTAATTTGTAATCAGATAAATCTATCAAGAAAACATCAATCAGTTCTTATGGACCTTCATGAGGTTGAGCATTTCTTGACCTAAGGTGGCAGGAGATCTGCAGACCTTAATGCCAGCAGATTCTAAAGCCTTGATCTTTTCAGTGGCAGAACCCTTACCACCAGAAACGATAGCACCAGCGTGACCCATTCTTCTCTCAGGAGGAGCAGTAACACCAGCAATGAAAGAAACAACGGGCTTGTTGGTTTTATTGTTAGCCTTCAACCAGGCAGCAGCTTGTTCTTCAGCTTCACCACCGATTTCACCAATTAATAAAATACCTTTTTTTATAAAACAATTAGTGAGCAAGTTTTCAAAATTAATTACAATTTTTAAATAAATAATCTAAAATTAGTAAAATCTTTTAGCATTTTATTAAGAAAGTATTTCTTAAGTAAATTTACAAATAATATGTTTAATCAATATTATTTATTTTAAAAGCATTATATATTCTATAATTTTGCTATATTCTAAATCTTATTGCCAAATAATAATGCTATCTTTTAATAAGCTGAATTAATATAATTTTATTATTTTTTTTTACCTTCAGTTTCGGGATCTTCAACGAATCTTTCGAGGACATCGATGAAATTGGTACCGTTGAAAGGATCACCACCAATACCAACGACGGTAGATTGACCCAAACCAGCCTTAGTAGTTTAGTCAACAGCTTCGTAAGTCAAAGTACCAGATCTTGAGACGATACCTTTTATATAAAATATAAGAATTATGTAAGGAAGAAACTAAATTTAATCATTCATTTTAATTATTTCAATCTGCACCTTATCTACAAAATAAATAAATAAATTTAAGATATGCTTGATGTTTTTTGTATATTTATTTATCTATTAATTTAATTTGTTATTATTATTTTATTTTGAATTTTTGTCTAAAAAATAATGTTCTTTTGTATTCTTTTAAAGATATAAATAGTTCTATTGTTTTCTACACATCTTAAGTAAAAAAGAAAAACGATATAGTCTTTTTTAAGATACTTTTTATTAAGCAATTTAATCTATTTAAGTTCTTTCCTTCAATTAATTTAATAAAATTAAGGCAGAATATTCAGATTATTTTGAATTATTAAAAATGCAGTTAGCTATTAATATGCGAAACTTCTTAAGCATTCTCTTTTTTAGAATCAAAGTGCAAACTGAAAGGTAATTAAAAATATAGCTTGAGTGAATATTTAAGAGTAATTTGCTTACCGATTTTACCAGGCTTGTGAATGTAACCGGGCATAATACCAATCTTACATTCGTTGGGCTTAATGATACCAGGGCAATTGGGACCAATAATTCTGGTAATCTTTTGTTGTCTAAGAGCGTGCTTAACCTTGACCATGTCGTGTTATGGGATACCATCGGTGATGACAACGACCAAGGGAATTTCAGCTTCAATAGCTTCCATAATAGCCTTAGCAGCATGAGGGGGAGGAACGTAGATAACGGAAGCATCACAACCGGTGACTTTCTTGGCTTCTTGGCAGTTCTTGAAAACGGGTAAGCCCAAGTGGGTTTGACCAGCCTTAGCAGGATTGACACCACCAACCATCTTAGTACCGTATTCAAGAGCTTGTTGAGTGTGTAAAGTACCCTAAATTTTAATAAAAGGAGTTTTAATAAATAAATATCTCTAAATTTTTCTAATTTATTCTCTCGCTTCAAATGAATAAATAAGATAGATATATCTGTTTCCTTGGAAATACGATTGTTGATTCCCTTCTTTTTAAAGTTCTTTTTTTGCTTATTCAAATGAGATTTATAAAAGAGATTTCTTCTAATATGTAGCTTGTTTTGGATTTGACTGAATTTTGTTTTGCAGTAATAATTCAAATAATTTCTGTGTTTTAATACTCCCTTATCTACGATTTTAATGCTCTTTTGCTGAAATTTGAATTGGACTTTATTTATTTGCTTCGATTTTTTACAATTTGACTGCTTAATTTGTATTTTTTGATACTTGATAATCATTTTTATTTTCATGGCTATTTTACTTTTTAAGGTCTATTTGCTTTGAAACTTTCAAACTGAAGAAATATTTTCATTTGAAGAGGATATGGTTTAAAATGACTAATAGAGAAAATGAAGGAAAGGGAGAGCATTTGCTAAAATCCAAAAGCGAGCTGGAGAACAAATGAAAATAGCTCAAAATTTAGAAATTGATATCAATTCTTACTTGGTTACCAGTGATACCTTGGCAAATAACCTTAGTGTGCTTGTTAATCCAAACGTAGGGCTTGGTAGAGCTGAAGAAATTGGAAATAGTCTTTGACAACATTCTCTTTATTTACTTTTTATTTTTGTTTTTGTTTATTTTATAATAAATAATTTATGATTTTTTAATTAGTTTTTTTCTTTAATTCCTTAAGAATCTCCTCCTCCTTTTTATTTAATAATTATTTTTATTTATTTTTTATTTTTCTTCTTTTCTTCTATCTTGAATGAGGAATATCTCAGTATTTGTCACTCTCACCTTTGAAGGTCTATTCTCTGATTTATTATTACTACAGCTTCTGTCCTATCTGCTTAATTTCGCTAACAAATAAACAAGCAAGCAAGCGAGATAGCAATCAAATCAATAAACTAATAAACACTTATTAATTTATAGATTTGTGACTATCTCCTTAGTCTTCAATAGCGCTAGCAACTTACTAGAGATACAAAATTTTAAAAACATTTCTTTTAAACTTTCTATAGAAACTTATTAAGGTCTTATTTTATTTAATTGCAAATTAAAAGACAATTGTGATATATGATTTAATGCAAAGTGAGTTTATTTATTTATTTATTTAAGGACCTCACCTTCATAACCATTATAAATTAAAAGAAATATTAGATATATCAAAATCATTCTAATAAAAATTTAAGCTGACAAAAGTTTTTTGTATCTTTTAACGAAAAATAAAAAAATTTAAGTAATGCTGAAATTTTCTACATGCAATTATTAATATCATAAGAAATTTCCTCATTCATAATCAATCAATATTATCTTTATCTCCAACTTATTTTTAAATTAAAAGATATTCATTAGCTCCAAGAAAAGCCTTAGATATTCCAAGAAAGATCACACACTTTTCATTTTAACCATTTTCAAGATAAAAATTAATTTACTCAGTGTATTTACATATAAATTAGTCTTAAAATTTAATGCAAATAATTATTTACAAAATTATTTAAATTTTAATTATTTTATAAAATTATTATTTAATCTTTTTTTTTATCTACTCGGATTAACTTCTCAATAGTTGGTCAATTTATTTTTTGTATAAAAAATCTTGGATTTATTTCTAAATCAATAATTCAAATAAAGAAAAAATAATTTTAAATCTAAAAAAGTAACCCATTTATTTATTAATCATTCAAAATATATTTCTTTCTTAAAATTTGCTTCAATTCCAAAATTAAAAAAAACATTGTTAAATACACTTTTTAAACTTTTTTATTAGAAGTGATAATAAAATTATTTTTTTTTTATTATCATTTTTAATAAATATTTAAGAAATTTTGGAATTTTTAATAAATTTTTTACTTTTTAAGTTTACTTTTCTAATAAAAATAAGAAATTTATTTATTTATTAAAATTAAATATGAAGTTATTTCCAAGAAAAATCTTTTTTTATTAATGAAAAATTTAGAAAATATTTTTTTTAAATAATCCAATAAATCAATAATAAAAGAAGATTTATTTATTTAGAATGATAGTCATATTGAAAGATACATTTATTTATTGATTTATTATTTCAGATGATAAATTGAAAGAAAATATTCTCTGAAAAAGAAATGCTTGCAGCTTATTACAACAATACAAAGAAGAATTTATTAGATGCAGCACGATTGGATAGGATGCATGCGCATTAGAATACTGAATAGTATTAAATTAATATAGGTTTATTTATATATTCTGCAATTAATACTTTACTAATCTAATAGATACACTAATTTCCTTCATTTAACTAATTAGATTTAAACTACTATCCAAATAGCTTTATTGATCATAGATAGATAGTACTCTGCTGCATTTTAAAAATAACTTTATTTTTGATTGTAAAGCTTACAAACAGGTTAGCTACTGTTTAGATTATTTAATTTATGTTATTTTCTCACAAATATTTATCGTGAGGAGCTCTCTTTCTAACTTCGACGTTAGCACCGAAAACCTTAGGAATGAAACCTAAATCGACTAAGTGTTCATCCTTGGTCTTTTGTAAAGGATCATCACCAGCGGGATCTTCAGTTAAGTATCTCATTCTTTGGAATTATCTGTTATAGTAGTAATCGTAATTGCTGTTAATAGTTTGCATTTCCAAGAATTTACCACCATTACCTAATTTCATTACAAAATTAAAATTTAACACCTTATTTATTCCTTGAACTTAACAAAATTTTTTCTTAAATGATATCATTGTTTGAATTTCATTCCTAATTCTATTTATTTATTTCTTTATTCGTTTATTTTGCTAAAAAATAAAATTTGATATCTAAATTCATATTGAACTATCGCATGTTTTATAATTCGAACTAAGCCTTATTTAATTAATTAATCAATGACTTTTCGCCAAATAAAATAATTTCTTTTTCTCATTTTCAAAAGATACGCAATATTAAATTATTTGCTACTATGTTAAGATAAAATTCTGACTATGATATCACTAAAAACTTTAAAAAGGCTTTACCATTTTCACCAAAAATGTATTTATCAACAGCAGCGTCAATGAAAAATTTGAAAACTAAGCAACCTCCCAAAATACCACCTATTTATTTATAGTAAATAAAAAATAAATGATAAATTAAATTAATATTTTGAAAATATGATCGCTTGTATATTCGCGATAAATGCAACAAGTTGTTGGAAATTTCAAGATTTACCAATGTAGAATTTTGCGGCCTTGTAATTCTTAATGGAATCGTTGATCTTTTTCATTTCAACACCTTGATATTTATAGAGATCAGCGAATCTCAATTTGTTGGGATTGGGCCAGAGTTGGGGATTAACAATCTTAGGATCCTAGCTCATTTCTTTTTTCTTAATTTATCTTCTTTATTTATTTCTTTTTTCCTCTATTCAATAAATAATAAATATTCTTTAATTACTTTTACTTTTCCTTTAATTTTTTTATCATCAATAAAGAAAGCATTCATTCATATAATAAATCCAAATTAATTAAAGTAAAAACTTCTTTACATGAAAATTTCTCATACTAATTCAATGCACAGACAGCTCCAATTAATAATCAAAGCTCAAATCCATTATTTTATTTTTCCTTTATCTGTCCATACAATTTTTATTATTAAAATCAAAAATCTTTTTTTTTCCTTCTATTAGAAATCAAACAATTAAATTAAATGAAATAAGACTTTATTTATTTGGATTTGCATGCATCATCAATAAATACCTAAATAAATAAATAAATTATTTAAAATAAAATTAGTTTTTAAAATATTTAAACTTTAGTATTTATTTATTCTAGTTTGGAAATTTCATTTTTGATTATCCTAAATAAAAAATTCTAGTTTTCATTACTTTATCAGTTTATTTAATACTTTATTTCTAACATATTTAAAAAGATAAATTAATATAATTTAATTAAATTAAGATTGCTTATTTCAACAATTTTGAATTAATTTTAAATTTAGTTTCCATTTTATTTTTAAATATAACAAAATTTAATTGGATTTAATTTTCAGAAATGCTTTTTTTATTTTTTGAAATCATAATTTGCAGTTTAAAAATGTTTGTAGTTAAAAGATAAAAATTATTTGAGCAAACTAAAATCTATTCATTAAAATAAAAATTAAAATATTTTAAGATGAAATTTATTTAAATTAATTTTAAAATATTTATTAAAATTTAATTTAAATAAAATGATAATTTAATAAAAAAAAACAGAATATCGATTGATAATTTTAAGAGCAGATTTCTAATGTTCTGAAGATGCATAGCCTTTTCTTTAGGACTATGATAATAGATAGAAGATGAATAGATTCGTAAATGATCAATAAAAAATCAAAAGATTTCATTTTTTAAATAAAATTGAATTGTTTTTATGAATCGATAATGATTTAACAAATACAAAGAGTCTTTCATTCATTATAAGATATATTAATAGATTGATTGATACTTATTATATAAATTATTGCTTTTAGTAAAAACGAAAATAAAACTAAAAAGAAAAAAAATAAGCAAATTATTAGGAATGGAAATTGAAAAGACTGGATAAGCTGCTGCTCCTACCAATCTCAATGTAAATTAAAATTAAATTTGGAATCACAAGAATTCAGTTATCAATTATTTGGTGTTGTAGATTTTGGGGAATAAGCAAAAATTTAGAAAATCAAAAATCATTTTATGAAAACTTAACATTATTTGTTTAAACGAAGCATATAGATAGTAATCAAAATTATGAAAGTATAAAAGTTTTATCTATAAAATATTATAGGATTTAAGTGAGCAAGATTTATATCAAAAAATGAAAGAATTAGAAAAGGAATTAGAATTCCTTGATATCTAAGAAGAATTCATTAAGGATGATTAAAAGAAGTTAAAGAGAGAGTTAGTTCGTTCAAAGGAAGAATTAAAGAGAATTCAATCTACACCTCTTGTTATTGGTCACTTCATTGAAATGATTGATGAATTGCACGCATTAGTTTCATCATCTGGTGGTTCTACATACTATGTTAGAGTTCTCTCTACTTTAGATAGAGAATTATTGAAACCCTCAACAAGTATTGCACTTCATCGTCATTCTCACTCTGTTGTAGATATCCTTCCAAGTGAATCTGATTCTTCAATTTAAATGATGAAAGTTACTGGTAAATATATATTTAAAGGCATTATTTTTAATGAGTAAAAGCTAAGCTATCATATTATAATAGTTCAGATGCTTATTGTATAAGTTTCAAATAGGAAATAGGATAAATTTACACAATATATTTAGAATTAGAATAAGAAATATCAACAAAACTTGACAAAATTTGTGAAATATTTTGATAATAATTTATGATGACTGAAGTCTACTACTTATTGATTAATTTATTTAATAGAAACAAAATAAATAAATAAACAAATAATCAAGCAATCTAATAATAAATAAAAAGAAAATTAAAAGCTAAGATATTTTTTAAATTATTATTTTTTTCAATATATGAATTACAAACTCTCTATTGTCTTCAGAATAGATACGTTTAAAATAGGAACTAAAAATTTTAAATAAATTAATTAGTTTATAGAAATGTTTTAGCTCATATCAAAATACTTAAAATAAATAATTCTCAATTAAGCTAAAATCTTTTAAAAATAAATAAATTTAATTAAAAAATAGAAAAACCCGATGTTTCTTATCAAGATATTGGTGGTTTAGATCAATAAAAGTAAGAAATGAAAGAAGCAGTAGAACTTCCTTTAACATATCCTGAATTGTATCAATAAATTGGTATCGACCCTCCAAGAGGTGTTTTAATGTATGGTCCTCCTGGTACTGGTAAAACTATGATGGCAAAAGCTGTTGCTCACCATACTACAGCTGCTTTTATTAGAGTAGTTGGTTCTGAATTCGTATAAAAATATCTTGGTGAAGGCCCTAGAATGGTCAGAGATGTCTTTAAACTTGCCAGAGAAAATGCTCCTTCTATTATATTTATTGATGAAGTCGATGCTATTGCTACCAAACGTTTTGATGCTTAAACTGGTGCTGATAGGTAATTAATTAAAAATTTAAAAATAATATTTATGTTTTACATTACTGTTATTTAAAATTACAGAGAAGTTTAAAGAGTTTTAATTGAAATGCTTAACTAAATGGATGGTTTCGATCAAACTACAAATGTCAAAGTTATTATGGCAACTAATAGATCAGATACTCTTGATCCTGCCCTTCTTCGTCCTGGTAGACTTGATAGAAAGATTGAATTCCCTCTTCCTGATAGAAGACAAAAGCGTCTTATTTTCTAAACTGTTACAGCAAAGATGAACTTATCTGAAGATGTTGATCTTGAAGCATGTATTAAAATCTTATTTAATTAAATTAAGGGTTAAATATATTTTTAAATTAATTTAGATGTTAGCAGACCCGATAAAATTTGTTGTGCTGATATATCTGCAATTTGTTAAGAAGCTGGTATGCAAGCAGTTAGAAAGAACAGGTAATTTAAATTTAGCAGTTAAAGATTAGAAGTTAGTTTTTACAATTATTTCATAATTAAAATAGATATGTTGTTACATAAAAAGATTTCGATAAGGCTTATAAGATAGTCATTAGAAAATCAGAAAGAGAATTTAATTTCTACAAGTGAAGGGAAATCGTATATATCAAAATATAAATTTAATTCAATAAAAAAACACTTACTCAGCTAAACTAGTAATCAAGTCATCTTTTACAATTTTTATAAATGTATATTATGTAATAAACCTTCTACTAGTTAAAGATAATTCATTCTTACTTTACTGTTTTTGTATCAATTTCATAAAATTTTATTTTTAATTCTATTTTTGCTAATTAATGAAAAACCACAATCTTAAAGAAAGCAATTGTTAATTTTTCAATATATAAAAAAAAACTATTTTTACAATCAATTTTAACTTATTAGAAAGTTTTCATTTAAGTAATATAATTATAAACATCCAAAAAATGTTGAAATTACTTTTTTAAAATTATTTTCATAAAACAAAAATCTTTTCTCTTAAACCTTTTTAAGCTAATTATTAAAATTTTAGCAAGCAGTCAGTATATTATTTTATTACATTACTATTTAAATATTTAAATAGACAGAAATATATTTTCGATATAAATAAAAAGAAATTAGAAAGAAAATAAATAGAATAAATCCTCCCTGCATTTTTTCAATGAAATGAATTTTCAAATTTTTTGAAAATAAATATTCAAATAGCATCCAATAATGAGCTTTTAGGGTAAAAAATTTAATAATTTGTTTAAATAAAAAGTATTTTTTTTATTATTTAATTTATTTAATTTAATAAAAATTGTCTCTTAAATCATAAAATTTAAATATTATTATAAAATAAAAATATTTCTTATTGAGGTTAATTATTAAAATTGAATACCATACTTTAATATTAATATACTATCATTTAATATAAAATAAAAAAATTTTATTTGAGATAAACAAATTTATTATTTTAAATATTCTAATCTCATTTTATTAATAAAATAACATTTTTCAAAAAAAAATTTGTTGAGTAAGTACTAATAATTTGAAAGATTATAATTTAAAGAATTAAAATAAGTAATTCTAGTATTTAATTTTCAAATCTATCTAAAATAATTTTTATAAATTGAAGAATAAAATATAGTGTTTACAAAATTTTATAGAGAGGAAAAATAAAAGTTTATTGATTAGAAATTATCATAGTTAAATTTGATTGTTTACATTCTTTTATTAAACGATCATATATTGTTTTATTTGTGTTTGCTTCATTAGATCTTTGATTAGGGTTTTTTTAGAAATAATGTTTTATGCTGCAGCTGCTGTTACTGGTCTAGAGATAAAATCTTAGAAAACATCTCCATCATAAATATTGTAAGGATTACCGTTTTTGCATTTTGCATAAAATTCAAAATTTTGTATATGGTTAGATAAAGATTTCATTTACTCACTGTTAATTTAGGAATGTTGCTGTTAAGAAGGGTACTTCAAATCTGTCTAATTTCCTTGATTATTTGTTTTACTATTCTTAATCTTAGAATTATGCCAAGATTTTAGTTTTAAAGTGTTCTTAAAGACTTTATTTATTGACTAAGCATTCATAGTTAAATCAATTTAGTGCAACTTAGGTGAATTTAATATTTTTTTAAAATTAAATTCTTCGATTGTTTAATGCATAGACATAGCTTTATTTTATTTATAGTTAGGTAAAGGAGAGGATTATTTCCTATAGAAGTTATCTAAAGACTTCTCAATTTATTCAGATGTTGAAAGCTAATTATTTTGGTCTATCTGATCTTATATGTTTAAGTTAGACACTTGTTAGTTCATTAATTTTAAATTTATTAAGGCAGATAAAGCAGACATATTTGCTTTGTGTGATTATTCGGGATTAAAACCAACAAAACTTGTGTTTATAGAAGAACTATTATTAGCTTGTTATTATTATTATTAGTGAATATTTTACTAGCTTGCTTATTAGCTTACTATATTTATGCTAGGTATATCAAAACCTTTGGTTTTTATCGAGAAATCATATTTTTTTTCGCTCTTACTCCTTCTTATACGAATTATCTTTTTTACTTCATCAGAGTTCTCTTTATACTTTTAAAAAGGTGTTTTTTTTAGTTGTTAAGAAAATGGTGATTATTAGTTATCTTTCTTTTCTTAACTTTAATTTCTGCTCTTAATAGCACTGCTAGGAAGAGTTTAAACGTTTTCCTATTCACTTTTCTCGAAAAATACAGAGGTATTTTTAAATAAATCTGATTCATTTTTGTTTTCATCATAAAAGTTATTAATTTTTTAGCTTTTATTTACATTTTAAATAATATTTTTGTAATGGTTGTAATTTACTTTGAGTAATCTGCTAGTTTTATTTTAAATATTGTTTTGCTACTCAGCTTTATTTAGTTCATTCATAGAAATTTCCTGCTTTTCTCCTGCAGAAAATTCAACTATTTTATTTGAAGAATTTTCTAGGTCTTTGTTGCTTTATGACTTTAGCTCTGTTTTACTCACATTTCTATCCACTAAATATTATTATTGCTATAAAGGAAATTTTTAGATATTATACTTGTCTCCATTTTAAAATTTTGCTTTTTTAGAACCCAATACAAATGATTAGTTTTTGCTATTTTAAATAGATTAAGAGTTATTATTTTATGGCTTATTAAGCTCAAATTAATATAAATGCTGAGCAATAACATTGTATTTTATTTATTCCAATTTTTATGAAGGATTTTAATTATTTTATATTGTTATTTGTTACTGTAAATTTTCTCCATTGAGATGTTATGGGTTTTATATTAAATCATCTTTGACAATTAAAATTTAATTATTATTATTTTCATCTTTAATCTGCATCTCTTAATTTAAAGTTTTATCTATTTTATTAATCTACATCTGCTTGTATTTTCTGAGCTCTTTTTCTGTAAAGTGAAAGTTTGTTATATTATAAAAAGTCTAATTTTATCTTTTGCTGGTTTAAGAGAAACTTCTTTTTTTATCTTTGATTTAGTTATTGGTAATTTTTTCACCTATTTAATCTTCTAGTTGATGTTTTAGGTAGTGATTTAATTAAATATGATCAAGATCATCGTTTGTTACAGCATAGAGAATCTAGTTTTCATTTAAAACTTGCTCTCTCTAAAGCTGTTTCCTTCTGTTTTCTTTCTATTTTTATCTTTTAATTTCGTCTATGGTTTTTTCTAAAATTTGAATCCTTTCCATTTGTCTAATGCTTCTATAAATGCTATCTAAAAACTTTCTCTTTTTTTTCTCTTGCTATTATTCATAGCTATCTAGTCCTTCCTTAGCAGCAAAATAATTATAAACTAATTAAAATAATTTCTTTTCGATGCTATAAACAACAGTCTCATCTTTTTTGCAAACTACTTAATACTCTCTCTTATTTATTAATTTCGTTTCATTCTGATCTAAAATTCCCTCTTCACCAAAAACGCTAACACTTTATTCAAAATAATATATTTTAAAATGTTTTTCATTTAAATCATCAATTAAATTAATTCAAATATAAAATTTTAGATATTTTATTAAAACAATCTTTAAATAAGCTTTCAAACATTTATTTTTGAAGTGATTAAATTTCCTAAACAAATTATTTAATTTTACCTGTTGATTACTTCAATTTTTGTTCCTAATTGCAATTACTACTTTTTAGCCTTTTAACTATTAAAAATTAGAAAGATCAAATTAAATTAGGTTTCATGATAAATGATATAAATACTTATTTTGTTTAGTCACTTAGGATTATATATCTTGATTTTAATACAAAGGTTATAATTTATGTATCATTCCTGAGCAAAAAAAATAAATTTTGTTAATTTGTTCTCCAATATTAAATATCACATCGTGCATTTTGTATTAGTGCCTCTAAGAAATTTTACTAAATTCATAGATGCAATACTAAGGCCAATTATAAAATAATTATGTTTTTCTAAACATTTTATCACTTTCAAGGTGTAACAGAAAGAATTTATGAGCAAAATATTTATAGTAAGAAGATGGTTGAATAACTGCAAATTCGCATTTTGTTACACATACAACAGAATATAACTCTGGATAACGATATTCCAAAGATGTTTCCCCAAACATATCACCTACTTTTGCAAACTTTAAGAGCATGAAATTTTAAAACTTTTCTTCCATATCTTTTTGAAAATTCTATTTAACTTTATTTATGTCATTTTCTTTGTAAATTTCCTAATCATCTAAAATGTTTATCATACTTATAGAAGAGGATTTCGTATTCAATACCTTCCCTTAATTTGAAATAGATCTTCTTTTAGATTCAGATTTTTCTTAGACTGTTTGATTAGTTTAAATCTATTCATTAATCTTGATTTATGGTTTCAAGTCTATTTAAGTTTATGACTTCCTAAGGTTTATTTTGCTAACTGTTTATGAGTTTTTATCACTAGGTATTTATGTTAAATTGTTGTTATCGTTGCACTCTAATTTTTCAATACGAGGTATAAATATAGCCAACTCTCCTTTTAACAGAAAGAATATTTTGTTAGACTTAGACTCTATATTTAATATTTATTCAAAGGGTTAGCACTCTTAATACTCAAACTAAAACAACAAATCTTTAAAGCTTTTCATTGGTAAAAATGTTTTATATTTTTATAAAAACTCTAAATTATTTCCCAAAGTTATTTAAAGGACACTCAAATCTTTATCGTTTCTTTCAGATTTAGGTTTTTTCAAAATATTTTTGCATAATTCATATTCAGATGATTCACCTATCAAAGTTTATTGTTAGAAAAAGCTTGTTTAAATATCTTAACTTTGCAACATTGCAATACTTGCTTTTACTCTTTTACTTTCCCCTGTTTACTAAGTTTACTAGGCACTATTTTACTTGGGCGATAATGGCTATAAAACTTCTTAGGATTTAGTTGTAAAATTCAAATTACTATTATGATTTTTATGCTTTGAGCTTTGATTACAACTGCCAGGTATCAACAAATTGGAATCTAAAGATTTGAGATTCATTTTTTATAAAAACAACTAAACCTTGCTCCCATCTAAGTTTGATGTTTGCTATCCGTCATCCCTAGATCTTTAAATTTAAATTTCTTTAAGGTTTTTATCATTTTCAGATTATTCCTAAATATAGATTTCTAACTCGCTCATACCCTTAAGTGCTAATTAATTTAATAAAATTAACTAACTAACTAAACAAATTAATTTAATTAATATATAACCATAACTTGCACTTAATATAATATAAATATCTAAATACTCTTAGCCTAATAGTTAAAGGTTAATCCTTCATTTATAGATAAGTTTTTTGTGGATATTTTTAATAATAATATATATTTTTATATTTAGTTACATCTAAATAAATACATTTTTGTATTTGTAAGTATTTTTATAACTTACAAATAGTCACAAAACAAACTTAGAACAATCAACATATATTTTTTTACACAATATTTATTATTTTGTGAGAATAAATTTATGAAAAAAATGAAAGACAGACATTGATTTATTTATTTTTTTACAAAATTTGATATTTATAAATTTATTTTTAATTATAAAATGATAAAATCTATTTTCAATAAACTTAGTTAGAGTTTTATGAAAATATCAATGTAGATTTTTTTAAAATCTGAATTTCAAATAAAATTCTTCAATTAGATTTATATAAATTAACTAGGAATTAGAACATATTTTCTTAACTTGAGTATCCAGTCACAGGGAAAAGAGACTCTATCAGACCTTTCTTAGAATGTTGAGAAAAATTTTAATTATCATTTCCTAATTGCTGGTTATTAGGATTATTTTCAATATTTTAACTTTTCTTTTCTTTATGATTTTAGCTGTGTTTTTGGATTTATTTTTATATTATATCATCAGAGTATTGAGGAGGGAATATGAGATCTACAGATAATTTAAGAGCATCATCTATCATTCTAGGGATCAACATTTCAAGGAGAGGACTAGATTCTTCAATACAGGGATTTGTGTTGATTTCAATTAGCCAAACATTAAATTATTAATCTATAAAGAAATCATAGCCAAAAAGCTCAAATGAGTATTTTCTATCGTTAGCATTCAGCTTATTCTTCACACTTAGCATAGATATAGTTATGATCTCCTTAATTCTTGGCATTATATCACCTCTGAAAGTTTGAATATAACCTTTTTTCTAGAGGTATTCATCAAAATTATCCAAGCTTAGCTAATTACCATTCTCGTATTGCCCATATGAATCAGAGTATTTCTGGATTGCATTATTAGTTAAATGAATAAAAATATTATCCTAATCTGAAACATCGTATTTTTTACTGCTTGTACGAATGTAACCTTCTTTGAATAAGTAGACATCAAGATTTTAATTAACTAAAACCCACATACGAATATCAAATTTTCTTTCATTTATAAGGAAAGGTTTTTCAATATATTTTTAAATTACAAATGAATGTTCTTTCATTAAGTAGCCTCCAAATTCTGCTGATATACCATTACTATTTTTGTTACCTTTTTTTTCTGGAGAGTTTGGCTGCTTATTTTAATTGTTAGAGCTATTTCCGCTTGTACTACTATTAGTTGCAGCTTAAGTAATTATAGTTGGTTTTTTGGGAAGAGATAAATCACGTATACGTGAAATGTGAATATTATTATTGTAGTTGACATTATGGTTGCTGTTACTAGCTTTATTTTTTTTAATTTTTTGTTTTTTTGGTTTATTTTCTGTTTCACCATCTTCATTTTTTTTAGGGCTCTCTTATTAATCATTAAGCTATTCGTTTTGTAATTATTCAGTTTAGTTTAATGCTCCTGTTTGTTATGAGTTTGGAGTAAGTTCAATGTCTTTTTCATTTCGATTGTTATTATTTTTTATAATTAAATATTTATCTTGGAAATCACCATCATTGTTATTATTTAGATTTAAGCTTTTTTTCATTTAATCCACTTTTTTCCCTTTCTCTTCTTCTTTTTCTAAGTTATTAGGGGTTACATATAAGCTTTTATCGAATAAATTTTTCAAGACAGGTTCCTCCTTTTCGTTTTATTCATTTTTTTGCTTATTCTCTTGATTTGCGATACTCTCTGCCATGGCTATATCTAACAACATATCTTACTATTATTGCAGAGTCTATTTATCATCATTTGGTTAAGCTTTACTTTGTATAGGTTACTCATAAAATCCATCAAAATAATTATTTAAAAGAGTTTCAAGCTAGAATAAATTAGAAAATAATTCGATTCCTCTGCCTCTATTTAGATTTGTAGGTTTTAACAACCAAATATAGCTACTTTATGAATCACCTAAAAAAGTATTGTGAATTTTCATTTCTCCATATTTATCCACTCCTGGTGGAGCAACAATTCCAAGTTATTTCTTCTTGTTAGACTTTTAATTGTTCGTACGAATTTAGACCTATCTGAATTTACTCTTGATCTCAATGTAATTCTTTTTATATTCGTTCTAAGTTTTTAAGGGTTCAGGTAAATTCTTGTAAAAGAAATCGCAAAATCTTATTAAATCTAAATCCCAGAATTTTTCTTTCAAAGAAAACAAAAATGTTGTGGGAGTAAAATCAAAAATATTTAATCCTCTTTCACTGCAATATCTATGTTAATATTTAAAAAATAATGAATGATAAAAACAAAAAAGGAAATAACTTAAAAATAATTAATAATTTTTCTTTCTTTCTTTCTACCTTCCAATGTTTTTGATGATTCCATTTTTTGTAGTAATTTCTGCATGAAATTCAAAATGATTGACAATTCTTTTTTTATGTAAGCTCAAACTTTCAAATCTAATTATTTTTTTATTATTTTTATTGTTAAATTATTAAAAATTAGTTAATTAATTAATTACTTAATTCCCTTCGAAAATGGATGCCATCTAAAATTTAGATTGCTAGAGTAAACAGGAGACTCTCTCCAATTTGAGCGAGTAAGAAGCACTCTTCTAACTAAACCACTGTTGTTGCCTTTCTAAAAATAGCATGTATAAATTCCTTCAGGTAACTTCTATTATACAGTATAAGCAGAAGTAATTATATTGGATTTTATCTCTAAATTTTACTACTGCTATTGTTGTTGTTGTTGTTATTCAGGAACTTAAGATTTTATAAGTAATACTTGATCATTTAAATTAGAAGAAATGACAGCTCTTGGATTAGACTAACTTCTTTTTTCTGATTAATCTTCATTTAAAAAGTTGTACTCTTCCAAGTTATTCAATTTAGTTATATCGACTTAATTAGACATTGTATTACTATGAACATAAACTGCTTTCGTTTTATGTATTCTTGGAGGTGAAAACATGTTTTATTAATAATATGATTTATTCTCATAAAAATCAAACTATTTTTAATTATTATTTTAGTTGTTGTTGTTGTTGGTATTTTTTTCTTATGTCACAAAATTTAAATCAAACGATGCGTCTCCACTTCCTGCAATACTGAAGGTCCCTCCTTTAGTATAGTTAAATGAATTACCTCTTCTTTTTTATTATTATAATACTATGCGTTACTGGATAAGAGAAGATTAATTTTTGTCACCCTTTGTATTTTTTATTGGAGACAAAGTTTGGTCAGCACTCTTATTATTTATGCTGTTATATACGTTTTAAAAGTCAATAACTGGAGAAGTTTAGTTATTACTGTTAGCATTTCTTTTTGATTTTGGCGACACATTTAAATTACTACTATTTTGTTAAAGGTTTTATCCTACAGTGTTTGAATTCATAATTTAATTTTATTTTTTTTAATTTTGAGTTTGGCTTTCTTCATAAAACTCTGAATTGGTACCTGTAAGTTCTTTATTTTATGCATTAGTGTTTTTTTACTTCAAAGATGTTTTAGAGTTTTAGTTATTAGTTAACTTTCTATTTGATGAGATTGACTGAGTTAAAAAACTATTATTACTCTAGCCATTCGTATCATTTTCTTGAAACCCTCCATATGCATTATCCATAAAATTTTGAACATATGAAATATTAGATAAGGACTCCTCATATCTATCGTTATTGTTAAATTCCTTCTCTATCGTTTTTTGATGATCATTTTTTATTTCTTTTATAGATTATGCAATTCCAAAAGATTGATTATTTGTATTTTATGGAGTCAACTTTTTAGGACTATCGCTTTATGTTTTTTCATTTAGAGTTTGTTTAGAATGATTATATTAGTCAATTAAAGATTATTATTTCTAAGTAAATTCTGGGTCTTTAATTCCTTGTTAATTATAAAAATCCTAAAGGATTAAACGTTATTATGCACTATTGTTTCTATATTCACTTAGTAAAGCATTTAAATTGGTCGTATTTGTTTAATTTATCACAATATTATTTGCTTGTATATTATTTTGTTTAACTTAATTTTGATATTTGTTCTACGTCAGCTTTTATGTTTAAGAGTAATTTGCTTAGCTTTCATCTAATATTTAGCTTTTATTAACGAAGCAATTAAACGAATTATTGTTGTAGTTGCTATTATTATTTTTGGTATTCGCATTCATTCCATCATTTCTATATTACAGTGAATGGTTTTAACCTCTCCTATTGTTAACTGAATGATTGTGCACACTTACCTTTTTCTGAAGGAGATTTTTTCTTTTTTGCAAAAATTAGTTAATAACATAAGGCTAAACTCCCTTAGAAATTTATTGAAGAGACTATTGGTTACCATTAGTATATATTTCAAGAGAAGCTGCTAGAGCAGGATTTTTACTTAATTAAACTCTAATAGCTTTTTTAATATTATTTGCATGTCTTTAATCATTGCTCTTGGCTTATCTTTCTACTCTATAATGGATAGGTTTACTGCCTACTATTTAATCTTCTCCCATCATATACTTCTAACTATCTTAATTTTAAGAAGATCGTATACGAATTTAATTTTTCTTTTTAGAGTATTCATTAATTTGACTCTATTACTGTAACCTTGAGGATTAATAATTCTTATTAATACTTCCGTTCGGATGAAGCTTGGAGTCAATAGCCAATCCATCTACAATAGCTTGCTACTATTATCGTATAAAAGTGTATTCATCTTAGTCTTAAAAGATATTTGGTAAGCAAGATACATTTACATTTTAAGAAGCTTTTTTAGAGCGAGATTTAAAGGGACTTTCAGTTACAATACCAGACTATTATTTAGCTTACAGCGATTAATCTTCATTTTTTAATTTTTAGATATTTAATTAAATATATAATTTAAACATAATTACTCTGTCCTTGCGATAATAAAATAGCCTCGGAAGTATTTGTATGTCGCAATAATCCATGGTTAATAATAGCATCATCTTCCTAACACAGTGAATTCTATTTCTTATTTATTTATATTTTTTAAGTTTTAAATTATTCCTCAAATTTCGATAATTTGCTTTCTGTTAATGATTCGCCCTTTTTATGGTCATTATAATCTGATTTTATTATTGGAGTCATCGAAATATTTTTTGTGCATTCCTAATTTTGATTGTTATTGTGCTTTAAATAATGATCTTTTGATGGCTTTATAGGTGAGTTGTAACTAAAATTGGTGAACGTAGAATTCTTCATTTTGCTTATTATTGGTTTTCTAAAGATTTGTAAGCAAGAAAAAGATTAGAATAATATAGAAAATAAATTTGCTAAATTATGAACACAAAAAATATTTTCTTATTCTGTTAAAATTAGTTTTAGTTTTGTAAGTAATTATTATTGCTTAGAAAAAATTTGTTATTTTTTCTTTACTTTTTTGTTAGTATTCTATGAGACAGAAATATTAATTTGCAAATGATATTTGAAGAATTAATTTTAAATTACTTACAATACTTGTTTTCAATAATAATATAAATATTAACAATCACGTTAACAATAACAATCCATTAAATACAAACTATCTGTTTTTTTTACAATCTTTCATTTTTACATTATAATAAACATTGATTGAATCACCCTTATTATTTTTTGCTTAATATAAATATGTAATTAATTTTAAGATTCAATCAATGAATCATTTATTTATTAATTTATTGATTTAAATCTTTATTAGAATACTTAAATTTTATTTAACTTTATCATACAAATCATAACCATCCATTCTCCTCAATTGTATTATTATAGTTGCCTCTATATGCGTAAATTGAAAATTCGCAATAGCAATCAATATTATATTTTTTCAAAAAATATATTTATAAATAAGTTGTTATCAAACAACAAATTAATTTTCATTTTTGCTAATAACTTTTGAATATAAATAAACATTTATCATTTTTAAAATAATATAGTTTACTGAAAATATTTTTATTCTATTTATAGCAAATTTAATAAACAAAAAATAATAAAATTGGTTTAAATTATTTTCTAAAAATTAATTGTTTAAAGAATTAATTATTAAAATATTTCTAAATATTTAATAAGAGATAAGAAAAAAAAATTATTGAATAATTAATTATAGTAATATGTTGAACTCAAATGTTATCAAATATTAATTAGTTTATTATTTTCTAAATATTCATAATTTAGAAAACAAAAATTAAAATAAATAAATACTTTTATATAAAATTTCTTTAATTTTTTTTTTAATAAATAAATACTCTAATTTGTATCATAGTTTGCTTAGAATCAATTAATATTGTTTTATTTTTAATTACATTGTAAATATTTTTCAATCTAGATCTTCTCTTGAGTCAGAGTTGAGATTATCAGGTTCTTCTAATACTTCATTTGCTTGCACAGTTTCTTAATTATCTTCTTCATTAATCTAAGGAATGGTAGTTTCGTCTTATTACTATTCTGCTTATCCTATTTATTTGGGGATGCTGATTACTTATTTCTTTTTCTTTATTATTTTTTAGAATGCCATTATGCAATGAATGCTAGTTCCTGCTTTTGTAGTTTTAAAATATTCTCCTTTTCTTTCCATAATTCCTTTTTCGGGGTGTCTAATATCGTAGTATTAAGGATTTCCTAAAGATATATCTTTTGCTATTTCTGACCATAACCTAATGTGGAATGCAGGATATCTTTTACTTGGCTCTCCTATAAATATCCAATGGTCTACTTCATTGGGGTCTATATCCTATATATTTTAAATAATTAATTAGTTTAAACAAAATAGCTGCTAATTTTTACTTCTAATTTTTTATAAGCATCAGGTGGTCTACGAGGAACTATTTCATAGCCCACAGGACAGAAATAATGGTCATGAGCATGATAAATAAATGTCATATTTTCATTTCTTAAACCCTTTTATTTGATATTTTTAGGATTAAAAACTAAACTATTTAAACCAAATAATAAATTTAATACTTCTTCTAATCTGTCTAATGCTTCTTTTTCATCTATTCCAGGAGTACGATTATCTCCGCACATTTTCCAGAAAATATATGCTGTTCCATCAACTTTAAAATATTTGCAAAGGAGCTTGAACCATTTTATTAATGTACCATTTCCAGTGAAAGTTCCGAAATCAGTATCCTAAAAAAGCTTGCCTTCTTTTTCTACTCCTAAGATTTGTAAGGCTTCTTCTACAGAAATAGGTGGTAAAGTACCAACACCAAGCCAAGAGAATAAATAATTCCAGTTGGACATCTATTTAAATTAACAATTATTATTGAATGCAACATCTATAAATAAATTATACCAAGCTACTTATTCCACAAGAGCGCTGATATTGAGGTCTTGAAAGACAAAACCTAATTGTTAAATTAAAATTCATTCAATTGCTTTAAAAAATTTAAATTATTTACCATCTTCTCTAATCTAAATATTTTCTTTGTTTCATTTCTTCCTATGTTATCGTAAGATTCTTAGGAATTTCATTTTTTAGCTTAACCTCTGGTTAAATTACTTAGACATTCTTTGCATTTTAATCCATATTCTCTTTATTCTCGCTATTGATTTTTTATTCATTTCCTTTTTTTTATCTATTTTTCCCTAATTCTGGTTTTTTACTATGATTTTTTTTAAACAGTTTTGAGAAATCCATGACGACATTTTAATCTTCTTAATCACTCTAAGGTTTTTAAATCTATTTTGGTTTTTCATCTATAATTTTGAGTGCCTTTTCCAAAGCATTTAGCTCCAGATTTTTTAGAAAATCTTTCAACAACTCCTAATCCATTTGTTAATTAAACTTTTAAATTTTAAAAATTTTAATTAGAACTTGTAAAATTATAATTTTTTAAGCAATCTCTAATATTAATCATCTATCAATTAATCAACCACTAACCACTGGTTTAAAAATTTAAATTTACAATCTAATTGATTTATAGTAAATTGATTGACACTAAATATTTTTTAAAATAATTAAATAAATTTATATTTAATGATTTAATTAAAGATATAAAATTGATAAAAAAAAATATTTAAATAAAATAAATAATTTCCTTTTAAAATGGGTTTTAATAAAATTAAAAAATTTTAATATACATCAATGTTTTTATATTTTAAGATTTATTATAAATTAATTTATTCATTTTATTTTAAATATTATTTTTTATTTGAATATTAATGATATAAGTAAAAATTTTTATCTTATGAAATTGATTAGAATAAAATTTTAATAAATTTATTATTCATCTATTTATTTATTGGTGGGAATAGATTATTTAAATAGAATTTAAAATAATCTTGAAAAAAGAAGAATGTTTTGAAATAATATATCTAAACAAATGAAAATGTAGGCAAACAAAAAAATGTATTTTTATAGAACTTCAAATTTTAGTTAGTGATCAATGGAATATTTTCAAGCTAATCTGGTGTAACTAAAATTTATTATACAAAATAATGAATTGATTTAGTAAATTTTTATAAACAACAAAATGTTGTTTTTAGAAATATAATTTCAAAAATGCACATGTAAATAGAAGTAAATGATTACTGCTAAATTTATATTTTTTAGTGTGTAATTTGATAACCATGAAATATCTAGCTATGTAAGTCATATATTTTATAACACATTAAAAAAAATCACTAATTTGTGCAAGTTTTATCTTAATAATTTAATTAAATATTAACAAATATTAAAAAAGAAAAAAATACTAAAAAGAATTAAAGCTGTTTTTGTAAAACTTGATACTAAACTTGATGATAATAAGAAATAAAATATGAGCAACTTAAGTGACAGCGATTCCGAAGGGTATTCTATAAATTTAGGTATAATTTTAAATATTTGTATACAAGTATAATATTTGGTTTTATGAATTATAAATAGAATTAAATCCAAAAATATAGTAATACAGAGGTATAATGATTTGTAACTAACCTTAAAGATGGCAGTATTCTATAGAATAGGTAGGAAACAATCCTTTCATTAGAAATGATCTCAATTAAGAAGAAAATCCATTATTTATTAAGCAAGAGAAAAACCTTATAAAAAAATTCAAATAAATAAGAGTAAATAATAAATATAAATTAAGATCTCATTCAACGACGCTGAGTGAAAGGTATTTTGTATTTATCTTAATTATTTCTAGATTCATTAATTTTAATTATAGGGACGATTCAACGCAACCTTCTGGTCCACATACCATATAGAGAAATGAATCTTTTGTGCACTAAAGGAATTAAAATTAAGAATTCAATTCTATATAAAACTAAAAAAGTGAAAAAGTTAGCAGTAGAATTTATGAGAATATATAAGAAGATATATAGCTAAAACCTAAAAATTATATTTCTGCTATTAGTTATAGATGCAATAGCGAAAGTAGAGCAGCTAACTTAAAAGAAAAGTTCGATAATTATAATAGAGCAATAGCATAAAGAAATAAGTCACAAATTAAAAAAGACCTAGTATTACCAAAGATATTTGACAATAAAATCAAAAATTTCTTAGAGGAGCATGGACATCATGAGTCTATAAATAAAAACAACTTCAGTAATAAATACTATCCAGATAATATATTCAAAAATAATTCTAAAAATATTTAGAAAATAATGAATTAGTAATAAGTAATAATGAACAATATGATTTTAAATAAATTAAAAGATAATGACTAAGACTAATCATAATTAGCTAAAGAAATAGAGAGCTTTGAAATGCTAAGTTAATTGAATTAGACAGAAATATGTAATCTTAAGAGTTATTCTCCAGCTAAAAAGAAAAAATATAGAGTAAAAAAAATTCCAGAAAAGCTTCAAAGAGAGCTAAGTCCTTAAGAGAGAGCTAAATAAGACATTAAAAAGTTACTGAATAACAAATCAAATCTAACCAATCTTTACTATGAATTTATGAATTCTCTAAAATTTGTTAAATGAAGAGTTAGCTTCTAAGATTTTAATATCTGATTACTTACCAGTGAATTTATATAAGTACTACTAACACATTTTAACTAAAAAAAATTTAGATTAAAAATAAATAAATAAACAACCTAATAAATAAATAATAACCACAATCATTTTTAATCAATTAATTTTAACAAGAAAATTATTTAAATACTTTAACTTATATTAAATTTTATTTCCACTTTAATTAACTAATTAATCACCAACTAAAATGAATGATAAATTAAAAAAATTTTATTATTTTATTTAACTTAGTACATAATTATATTTAAATGTATTTTTTATTAATTCTCATTTTAATGTTTTTATAATAAATTAAACCTACCTTCTGTCATACATTCACAAAATTTCTATGGAATTTCTTTCTAATTTATCTAAATTATTTTATCATTTATTATTGAATTTAGGATATATTTATGATAAATTTTAACTTATTAATTGAATTCATTTCTTAAGTGTAATTTATCATAAAATCTTAAAAAAAAACTAATAAATAAATAAATTAATGGTTCTATTTACTGTAGACTTGATTAATACATTTAAAAATAAATTCAATTAATTATTTTTATTAAAATATTACTTACATACATCAATAGTACTAATTTAATTATAGGAATTGTTTTTAATTTTTTTTTCAATAAAAATCTATCTATTAAGTTGATATAAAATTTTATGCCACAAAAATAATTAATTATCTAGAAACTAATTAGAATCATTATTAATTATTAAATATATCAACTATTTAGTTTAAAATTTTAAAGGTTGATTATTTTTTTATAAATAAATTTAATTTACCCAAAATATAAAGATAAACTAATTTAAAACTCATAAAATAGCATAGAGGAATACATATTTTTATAACAAAGTTTTTCAAGTGCAATTTAAGCTGTCACAAAAAAATTGCTGCTATTAGCAATAATAAGAATAGTTCATTTTTTCTTGAGAAAGTATTTATTGTTTTTATTTTTACTTAAATAGGCAAGGTTGTTTATTTATTAGAAGATACTCCGATTGGTATTAAATAAAATCCTATTGAATCAAAGCTACTTGTATTTTTAAAACTGCTAACTATTAGTCCAGTTTATCCTGAATAACTTAGTTATTAAATACTTCCTGTTTATTCATCTTTTCTGTTCATAAAAAAGTAACAATCCTATTATTTGAAAAATATTTTCATCTGGCCATTATGCTAAGCTTAATCAATAATCTAATATTTGTATGAGTTTTTTATAGTGTTGGGTAGTTAATTTGGCTAATAATAAAAGAATATTAGGCTTTATTAATCTTAAATATCATGCATAGCAAGTATTGTCTACCTTTAATTACTTGATTAGCTGGCAAATCCTTTAAAAATATAGTTTGGCTCTGTAAAATATTCAATACATTTTATGTTTTCAAATAATTACTATTTGTTAAATATCATCTATATTTCAAATAATTAAAAATTACTAAAGCTAAGAATAATTTTTGTGAAATCTATCTAGGAGATACTATATACTTTTGAAACCTGACTTCCTTAATCAACATTATAATTCAAATTATTTAAAATATCTTTGATATTGATTACTTAAAATGAGTCAAAATTTTTAGAAATTTAGTAATATGCAAACCCATCTTGAGTAAAGAAAATATTAGATTAACACTGATAGCTCCACATAAAGTAAACTAGCTTTAAAAGCCTCATTTTTTCATAAACGGAGCAATTAAATGTAAATTGTCCTTCTTCTTAATCAGAAAGTACTATTTAACAAATAGACTATCCTATAATTTAAGGCTATTAGATTAAAGCAATAAGGCCTAAATTTGGATCATTAGATATTTTATTTAAAACTTATACGTTTTTATCAAATTAAATAGAAGTAGAAATCCATGATTAATTTGAAATAATTTAAATCTATGGATCTTAGCTGTACATTTAAGGCTATTATAAAACAGTTATTTTATTAAATTATTAAGTAGAAGAATCTTATTTATTTAAGCAAAGAGTAAAAAATGTTTGCTTAATAATATTTTTATTGATAAGAGGATCTAATGTGATCATAATTGATGATTCATCGGTTTGCAAATAGCAGTAATCGAGATTCTAGCCAAGATTCATGCTAAAAATATTTTGAAAAATTAATTTATTTTAGTAGGTCATTACAATTATTTCTCCAAACAAAATAGTATCATATGCATTAATTCCGTTGTTTTATTTGCTAATTAAGCTATTCTGAAGATACATTTTTAAATCTATGTTGTTTAAACTGTAGGTAATCTGCCAACCTAGAAAATTGCCGTAATAAGTATTAAAATCATTGAAATAGTAGAGATCATTTACTTTTAAAACTTAAGAGTCATAGTAATTTTAAAGAGATAAAATTCCATCAGATTGCCTATTTATATAACCTTATTATGAAGCTAAATTTTTTTAGAATTTGAAATTAAAAATCATATGCTAATCTTCTTAAGTTATTTTTTTTAGATTTTTTAAATTCGAATCTATTAAAATCTAAGTAGACATGGTGAATTAAAAATCTTAATTAAATTTCTACTATGAAATTTTATAATCCATCTAAAATTATAAATAATAGGAAAAGTAATAAAATTAAATGTCAGGTACATCGATATTTGTGTTGATGAAACCAATAAGTTTATTTCCGAAGAAGGATATGTTAAAGATATTAGGATCTACTGGTATAGAGCAGTAAAGCTAATTTTAAGAGTTGACTTGATATATTCTAAAAATTAATATAACTGAATCATTATTTGAGTTGATAGCAGGTATAGCAATATATTCTTGCATGTTAAAAATATTAGCAGATGTTTAGATTAGAGAAGGATTCGAAAGTTAAAGTTAGTATCCTTGCCCATAAAGTGACCTTAAGAACTAAGGATCAATATTGTCAGCGAGCAAATAATTTTAATCATTATAGCTATAAATATTAATTTCTGAAGAGTTATCTGCATATTATCTAAATACAGCAAAAGAAGTATAAAATAAAATTACATTTCTACTTATTTCTTATTTTTATCCTTGAGGTACATTAATATTGTAAGAAAAAAAATTTTTAACATAGTTATAGCTAATTATGAGGGTATTATTGGTCGAATAAACTATATTATTTTCATGATTACATTTGATGTTAGTAATTTTAGAAAATTAGAACTATGCAATGAAAGTTTAAGATATTATTTAGAAACTACTTTTTGAAAAAAAATAGTATTTATATATTAAAAGGAGATCATATGTTTCAAAAAATAAATAATTGTTCACTGGATCAGTCAGTATGTTAGTAACATTTTTATTTTATTAATTAAAATATCCAAATTCATATTTTTAAGATTCACTATTAAGTATGGGTATTAAAGCAACAAACCTTTCAAAATTAATTATACAAACAATCCCATTTTCATCTATTTTCATTTCTCCTTACTCAAAGTTAGCTTGGTCTAACACTTAAAAATCCAATTAATTATTACCAGTTTATGCGCTTTCTAAAAGATAAATGTCATAAGCTCCTTAATTTTGATAGATAGTTACAAAAATATTTTCTAAATAAGTAGCTGCCATTCTCAATAAATTTTTTGTTTCAAATGAATTATAAGAAATTTGATTAATTTATTAAACTAAAGAATATTTTGTTTAAATATCTTTTGCTTCTTGCTGATTAAAATTGAGCTTTAGCTCTGATCCTATTATATATTTTTCTATGTTTTTGTAAATCAATTTACCTTAATTTTATTAAATTACTTCATAAATATTTTATTAACTTTATAAAATGTTTATTTCTGATTAATTTGTATTCAATAGCTATATTTTAAAATTTACTGCTTAGCTAAATGGATTTTCTTGTTCAAGTATGCTAATCAACAATGGAGTTTTTTCAATTTAGGACATGTTTATTGCTAAAAAAGGAAGAGATAAACGAACTTAGTTTATTTAATACACTTCAGGGTTATTTCCTATTAAATATGTTAAAATTAAAGTCTCAAAAATTTAATTTGCAGACATTAAAATTGAATTAGAAGTCGGCAGGTGAGGAAATCTAGAAATAAGTCTACATTTAGCAACAGAAAATCCTAAAATATAATTAGATGTTATTATAGCTATTAAATCCTTTTGAATTATAAAAGCTCCAAGTATGAATTAACCCATAGAAACACTATTGAAATTTGTAATTTGTATTTGTAAGGATTGAAAATTTTAATAATATTTGACATTGTATAATGTTAAATAGATATATTATTAGTTCGAATAATATTCTAATACATAAACTTCAAAAGCGTTAATCGATTATACCATTGTGTTATATTCAATATTTGTTGATAGAGGATTTTAAAGATACTCACTTTTAATGTAGTTAATTTTACCATTTAATCCCAGATAAAAAACTGCAAAAAATTACTATTTTAAATTTTAGAGATTGCATTTAACAAGATAAAATGAATCATTTTGTAAATATTTCATATTTAAAAAGTTAACATCATAAAAGGTATCCTTTAACATTAAGTTTTGGTCTTTTATAATAAAAGAAATAATTGAGTTTTCTAAGATTCCTATAAAGTAAAGTTATAGATAAAATTGATACTATAAAGACTGTATTCTTGCTAGACTTTAATCTATGTTAATAGGTTAAATAAGAAGTTAATATAAGTTAGCGGTAACTTAATAAACTAAAGTTTATTAGATAGATGTAGCAATCACTAAGACTGAACTATATGATGGGATTATTTATGTCTCTATTTTCCCTAATTAAGGTCTAATTTTATTTTCGATTGTTATAGAATTTCTTTTTGTCAATGTTATTACGTTTTCTATATTTGTAATCTCTTCAAAGTACAATTTAAATATAATTTCTGAAGACAAATCATTATTAACTTATACATTAAATTTAATTGAAGTAGTCGAGTTGAGCTAATCAACGAAATATGAATCTATTTTCTCAAACTTATCTTGCTATATTGTTTTAGATATTAAGTTTATTGGGTTTATAATCTATATTCCATTTAGATTCTAAGTATTATCAACATAGTAATTGCCTTAAGATATTTCAAAATAATCAGATAAGTCTACCTGTTTTTATTCAAATTATTACAAATTTATTGCTATATTAATCACCTAGCTTGATGATATTTTAAGACTATTTAGTAAGAGGAAAGTCAATTTTAATAAAAAAATATAATTTAATATCATTAATTTCTTTTCTTTCTATTGATTTTACCAAAATATTAAGCAAATTAATTAAATATTTATTGAATTATATCATTAAGTTATTAATGCTAAAATTGGAATCTAAAATATTAAAATATTAATATTATTAGATATATCAATTAATTAAATCTGATTATAAAAAGGGATATCACAATGCTAAATTTATATATTTAATAATTTTTTTTGATTAAAATAAATATCATTTTTGGGATTTAAAGAATAATAGCTTTAAAATATTCAACTAAAATAAATACTCTAAAAAAATAAAGAAAGTAAAGATGTCTATTTAATCAACAAATAATCTAAATTTTTGTATGTGTTGATTTCAGGTTAAATATGATTATTTTTAGACTATTATTTAAATATTATTTCCTTAATATAAATCAGAGGACAATTAAAACTTTGCTATATTACAATTATTCAACAAGCATTTTTATTTATAAATGAGATAATAAAATAAGCAAATAAATCATTATTTTAAGCATAAACATTTAACTATTTTATAAATTATTTACTTAAATTAATAGATTATTAGGTAAATTTATATTATATGTTAATTCAGAAATATATTAAGCTTAATTTGGCTATACATTTTGCCACTCAAAAATGAGATAATTTATATTTTTACAAATTAAAATTGTATTTTTATATATTTATAGTATTTATTCTTAATTATATTTAAATATTTTTACTTCAAAATTTAGGAAGTAATGAACGATAAAAAAAAAATAATTTAATTTAACAGTTATTTTATTTATTAATATTTGGTATTCCTAATAAATTAGCTAATTTTTATTATATATTCATTATTTTCATAATTAAATAAAATCAATTAATTTAATGTAAAATTCAGTTTTAGTTTCATGAACTTATCAGCCTTGAGAAGTGTCAGTATTTGACTAAATTTCTCATATTCCTATTTATCTAGAATATTAAAATTTTAAAAAATATTTTATCTATTAAAATTTTAAAAAATATTTTATCTATTAAAATTTTAATAATTTGATTTGAAATATTACAGATAGTTTTTTAAATGTAGGAAAACCTGTATATTAATTGAATGTATATCTAGACTTAATAAAATTTTTAATTATTTTATATAATAAATATGGTTTGATACAAATAAAATAATAAAATATCTACTCTAAATTTCATTTAAAAGTTACTTTTTTACAGTAAAAATTCAACTTTATTTATTTCATTTATATAATCATATTTTTGATGATAAATTTATAAAAATTGAACTAATATATTTTTAAAAATAAATTAACTTGCAAAAAATAATTAATAGATATTTATTTTTGCATTTTTTATTGTAAATTAATAAATATTTTATTTATTTAATTTACATAACTTAAATTTAATAACTTCTAAAGATTTTATTTTAACCATGGCAACTATTATTGTTTTATATACATATTTTGTTTATCAATCATCTCAGTATTTTACTAATTATTTATACCCAAAATATAAATCTCAAAGTTTTCTCTTTAATTTGTAGATTTTTAATTAATCAGAGATTTTATCGCATTTATTTAGATTAAAATATGTGTTATTTAAAATTATTAATGAACAAAAAAGAAACTTTTTATAATTAATTAATTATTCAAAATTTTGCTTGTTACTCCTATTATTTTTAATAATTAACCTCTACTCACCGTTTAAATTAAACCAAATTGAATAATGTGATTGAAATATGGAAATAAAAATTACATATAAAACCACTTAAATATTAGGAAAAAAATACCTCAAAGTAGAAGTAAATGAACTATATTGATAAATATTTAATTTCTAAGCAGATAATATTAAAGGCTTATTTAATAGAATAAAAATACTTAATAACTGTGAATTGAAAAATCATCAGTAGAATATTCCTCGAGAAACTCATAAAATTTTCAGATATGATATCTTAATATTATTAAAAGACTTACTCACAGATAGGAGATATATTACAGAACATCTAGGTTTAATATCCTAATGTCCTTGAACTTTAAGCTAATTTTAATGCTATTTTTGAGGTATTGATGTCTTTAGAAATTTTAGATTGACAATTAGTGCAGAATTTAATTAAATAAGATTTTTTTTTACTTTTTTATCAAATTTTTATGAATCAATACATAGAATAAATAAATCAATTCAAAATTAAAAGGAAATTTATTTAATAAAAAAATTAATAATAACGTGTAAAAAGAAAAATTAAATTTAAGTAGTCACTATTCTCTAATATCGTCACTGATTGATTAAAGCAAAATCACTAGAATGAATTGACTGTAAGAATTAACTGCTTTTGAATATAATTCAATGTTAGATAGTTGAGTGTAAAGAAGAAAGCATCTTATAAATTAGTTAAAAAGAAGTTAGTATAAAAAATATAAATTATATTTTTATAAATTCAGATTAAAGTAATAGCCATCTTAAAATATATTATTTTAAGATAAAAAAATTAAATTACTGATTAAATTTTCCTTAAATGTTTGTGAATATTTTTTTAAAAAAATCTATTTTAGGTGTACAAAATTTAATTTAATCTAAAGTAAATAAATTTTTACACAAAATTTGATGCTCAATTTTTTTTTACAAATGTTTATGTTATTATCTATGGCTGGTTCTAAGTCTTAAAAGGTAAAATAAAACCAAGTTAAAATTAAATTGAATATAAGAATAGGTTAATAAAATATAATACTTCATTGAATTTCGCAAAAATGTAGTGTCTTAAAAGATTAAATTCCAAAAAAGAAATTCCATTTAAATTTTGCTAATAATTAATAAAATTAATTTATATTTTTTATATATCAACAAACAACAAGCAATTTATAAACGTTAAAAAATCATTTATTATTTAGATTAATATCATAATAAATATCAAGTCTTATTTCAAGGTGATAAATAAGATAGTGATAATTTTTTTAAATCAAGTGGAAGAAATGAGTATTATTTTAAATGTTTAAAATATGAAAGTAATATTTAAAAAAATATTTTTAAGGTTTTATTTTCAAAAAATGTAGTTTTGTTATATCTTTATTTTTCATTAACACTTGAGAGCATGATCATTTTTTAAATAAATGGACCTCTCCTTTTCCTACAAAAAAAATAATTAACTTTCTTTTTTGTCTTTTCTATATTTAAATTAAAAGAAATTGTTATTTCATTGTGTTTTTCTAATGGATTGATCATTAAATAATTTGATTTAATTTAATTTTTATTTTGATTTTATACCTTCTTAAAGTAATTCGTAGCCAGCTTTTAGATGAACTATTTTTGGGAATTTTTTGTTTAAATAAAATAAAAAATTTAATTTACATAAAAATTTAATGTATTAATAAATTAAATAAAATAAAAGTAAAAATAAGTTAAAAAAGAATGAATATTGCTAAATTTGATATTTTTTCATCTCATTTCTTATTTAACATTCAAAATTAAGACAGAAGAAAAGCAACTACAACAGGATTTATTTTAACTTTGGTTACTATCCTTGTTGTGTTTACATATTTTGTTTATTTGTCGTATCATTATTTCACAAATTAGATAGACCCAAAATACAGATCTTAAAGTTAAAGCTCTTAGAATGTAGAATTGCCAATAATCAAAGATCTCATCGCATTTAGATTTGAGTATGACTAAAATAAAAACATTAAAGAACTAGAACAAAAAAATAATAAAACTTATCTGAATCACTACGCAATGTTTAGACTTCAAAATAAATCAAATGAAAATTTAGTACTTTTAAAATTATAAAGCTGTTAGAATCCTTTGCTTTCAGACTACACTTGTATAGACACTTCTTCTGTTTCCGATTAACTTTTAGAGTTAAACAGCAAAGAAAACATCATTTCATAAATACTCATTCTAACTTTTACTTGCTATTCAGATTATTTTCAATAATAAACTCCTCCTAATTGTGCAAACCAAACAGAATTGAATAATGTTATTGGATAGTGGAGAGCAAAATTGCATATTAAGCTACTTACGTCTTAGTATAACATCACCTCATAGTAGATGGATATCAATTATATCGATAAGTTTTTATATTTAAGCACATCGCAGGGTTCTTTTACATATTTAACAGCATAAAAATACTTAACTACTATTAAAGATGGAATATTTTTCTAATCTTCAGTAGAATATTCTTCCCTAGGTTCATACGAGTTTCAGACATAATAACTAAATATTTTATAAGATAATATCCCTATAGGAGATCTCTGCTTATAACTAGGAAATATTATATAGCAAATCTATATTTAATATCCTACTTTTCCTGAAGTATTAGCTCTTGTTAATACGATATTCGCTATATTGATGACTCTAGGATATTTAGGTAGGCATTTAGCGCAGGAGTTAATAAGACAAGATTTTTTTTTACTTTTTTTACAAAACTTCTACTAGAATTCTTATGAATCAATTCTCAGAATAAATAATTTATTCCAAAATTAAGAGGTTATTTTTTTTGACAAGAAAATGAAAAAGTCTGAGGATATAGAAGAAAAAAATACAGATTAAGATAATGTGAGTGTGCCAACAATTTTAACAAAATCAAAAGAACAAATTAACAAATAGTAGTCATTTAAACCAATTTAATTTGATTTTAAAAATTATTTAGATGAATAAAAGGAATAAACTAAAGATGAAACACCAAAATCATTATTCTATTCAAAATAAATTTCTTAAAGTGATAAATTAATTTATTAAGAAAATGCATTACATAATAGTAAAAAAACAAGTAGAAAGTAAAATCATTTTCAAAATTAACAAGTTAAAAAAATTTTACAAAATGATACTTTATCATAAAAAAAAAATGAAATTTCAATGGCATTTTCTGAAGCAATAAAAACAGAAATTCCATAAATTACAAATTAAAGTAATAATTATCTAAGAACAGACAATACTTAATTAATTTAGGAAAAAAAGTTAAGTTGTAAAGATTATTTGTTTGATAGATTAAAAGCAATTTAAGATAAAAATAATCTAATTAAGGTGCACAAAATTTTATTTAATAAAAAGTAAGCTTAATTTTTAAAAGTATCATTGATAATAAAGACAAATTTTTTATTTTAAAAGGTGTTGTTAACTATTTAGAAAACCTGAAAATGAAATCTAAAATGAAATAAAACGTGAAATTGAATAGGAAGTAATGAGATATCTAAATATATTTGAAGTTTACAAAGATTTGTTATTGTTGAAAAAAGCTATAATGATGCTATTAACTCAAGAGTAATTAGCTGCAATAAAGTTTATAGGTTGCTCTCCTCCTTCTTGTTAAAAGTCGAATTAACAAAAAAAAGGTGACATGTCAAAATAAAAATGTATTCTTTTTATATTTGATAATAAAATTTAAATGATATTTTTTTTATTAAAATAAAAAAGTTAACTTTTTACAAAGTCAAATAGAAATATTGTCATCAGCAGAATTATAATCTTAATATTTCTAAAGTTATATAGAAAAGTGTTAAAATAGTGATAATTTGAGTGATTTGGACAAAAGAATAATATCCTGCATTTTCAAAATTGAATAAAATTGATAATATATTAAATTCATATAAATATTTATTTAAATACAGTAAATCCTCATTAATCTACACTATAAATTATTTTTCAATATGATTTTTAAAGATATTTAATACTAATAAAATAATAAAATACCTACTCTAAATTTCATTTAAAAGTTACTTTTTTACAGTAAAAATACAAATTGATAATTTATTCCATATGTATAATCATTTTTTTGATGACAAATTTATAAAAATTGAACTAATATATTTTTAAAAATAAATTAACTTGCTAAAAACAAATGATAGATATTTATTTTTGTGTTTTTTTTTGTAAATTAATAAATATTTTGTTTATTTAAATTACATAACCTAAATTTAATAACTTCTAAAGATTTTATTTTAACCATGGCATCTATTGTTGTTTTATCTATATATTGTTGTTTATTTATCATCTCAGTATTTTACTGATTATATAGACCTAAAATATAAATCTCAAAATTTTGTCTTTAATCTGTAGATTTTTAATTAATCAGAGATTTTATCACATTTGTTTAGATTTAAATATGAGTAATTTAAAATTGTTAATGAACCAATAAAAAAACTTTTTCAAATTAATTATTCAAAATTTTGCTTTTTACTCCATAATAATTAACCTCTACTCATAGTTTAAATTAAACCAAATTGAATAATGTAATTGAAATATGGAAATCAAAATTACATATAAAACCACTTAAATATTAGGAAAAAAATACCTCAAAGTAGAAGTAAATCAACTACATGATAAATATTTAATTTCTAAGCAGATAATAGTATAGGCTTATTTAATAATGACTGTGAATTGAAGAATCTTCAGCAGAATAGTCCTCGAATAAATCATAAAATTTTTCAGATATAATATCTTAATATTATTTTAGGTTAATAATTTATACAAGAGACATGCTCATAGATAAGAGATATATTACAGAAAATCTAGGTTTAATAACCTAATATCCTTGAACTTTAAGCTAATTTTAATGTTATTTTTGAGATTTGATGTCTTTAGAAATTTTAGATTGACATTTAGTACAGAATTTAATTAGATAAATTTTTTTTTTACTTTTTTATCAAAAGTTTTACCAATCAATTCATAGAATAAATAAAAATTTAATTCAAAATTAAAAGGAAATTTATTTGATAAAAAATTAAATAATAATGTGTAAAAAGAAAAATTAAATTTAAGTAGTCACTATTCTCTAATATCGTCACTGATTAAAGCAAAATCTTAAGAATGAATTGACTGTAAGAATTAACTGCTTTTGAATTTAATTAAATTCAATAATTAGTTAGATAGTAAACTGTAAAGAAGAAAGCATCTTATAAATTAGTTAAAAAGAAGTTAAAAAATATAAATTATATTTTTATAAATTCAGATTAAAGTAATAGCCATCTTAAAACATATTATTTTAAGATAAAAAAATTAAATTACCAATTAGATTTGCCTTAAAAGTTTATGAGTATTTTTTAAAAAAATCTATTTTAGGTTTACAAAATTTAATTTAATCTAAAGTAAATAAATTATACACAAAATTTGATGGTAAATTTTTTTTACAAATGTTTATATTACTATCTATGGCTGGTTCTAAGTCTTATAAGGTTAAATAAAGCCAAGTTAAAATTAAATTGAATGTAATAATAGGTTAATAAAATATATATCTCATTGAATTGTGCAAAAAATGTAGTGTTTTAAAAGATTAAATTCCATATAAATTTTGCTTAAAATTAATTTATTTTTTTTAAAATATCAAACAACAAGCAATCTATAAATGTTAAAAACTCATTTATTGTTTGGATTAATATCAGAATAAATATCAAGTCTTATTTCAGGGTGATAAATAAGATAGTGATAATTTAAATCAAGTGGAAGAAATGAGTATGATTTTGAATGTCTAATATATGAAAGTAATATATTTTAAAATTTTTTAAAGGTTTTATTTTAAAAAAATGTAGTTTTATTATATCTTTATTTCAAATATCATTTAAACTTGAGAGCATGATCATTTTTAAATAAAGGGACCTCTCCTTTCCTACAAAAAAAATAATTAACTTTCTTTTTTGTCTTTTCTATATTTAAATTTAAAAGAAATTTTTATTTTGTTGTGTTTTTCTAATGGATTGATCACTACATATTTGATTTAATTTAATTTTTATTTTGATTCTATACCTTCTTAAAGTAATTCGTAGCCAGCTCTTAGATGAATTATTTATGGGAATTGTTTGTTTAAATAAAATAAAAAATTTAATGTAATAATAAGTTAAATAAAATAAAAGTAAAAATAAGTAAAAAAAGAATGAATATTGCTAAATTTGATATTTTTTCATCTCATTTCTTATTTAATATTCAAAACTAAGACAGAAGAAAAGCAACTACAACAGGGTTTATTTTAACTTTGGTTACTATTCTTGTTGTGTTTACATATTTTGTTTATTTGTCATATCATTATTTCACAAATTAGATAGACCCAAAATACAGATCTTAAAGTTTAAGCTCTTAGAATGTAGACTTGCCAATAATCAAAGATCTGATCGCATTTAGATTTGAGTATGACTAAAATAAAAACATTAATGAACTAGAACAAAAAAATAATAAAACTTATCTGAATCACTACGCAATGTTTAGACTTCAAAATAAATCAAATGAAAATTTAGTACTTTTAAAATTATAAAGCTGTTAGAATCCTTTGCTTTCAGACTACACTTGTATAGACACTTCTTCTGTTTCCGATTAACTTTTAGAGTTAAACAGCAACGAAAACATCTTTTCATAAATACTCATTCTAACTTTCGCTTGCTACTCAGATTATTTTCAATAATAAACTCCTCCTAATTGTGCAAATCAAACAGAATTGAATAATGTTATTGGATAGTGGAAATCAAAATTACATATTAAGCTACTTACGTCTTAGTATAACATCACCTCATAGTTGATAGATATCAACTACATCGATAGGTATTTATATTTAAGCACATCGCAGGGTTCTTTTACTTATTTAACAGCATAAAAATACTTAACTACTATTAAAGATGGAATATTTTTCTAATCTTCAGTAGAATATTCTTCCCTAGGTTCATATGATTTTCAGACATAATAACTTAATATTTTATAAAATTATGTCCCTTTAGGAGAGCTCTGCATATAACTAGGGAATATAATTTAGCAAATCTATATTTAATATCCTACTTTTCCTGAAGTATTAGCTCTTGTTAATACAATATTCGCTATATTTATGACTCTAGGATATTTAGGTAGGCATTTAGCTCAGGAGTTAATTAGACAAGATTTTTTTTTACTTTTTTTACAAAACTTCTACTAGAATTCTTATGAATCAATTCTAAGAATAAATAATTTATTCCAAAATTAAGAAGTAATTTTTTTTGACAAGAAAATGAAAAAGTCTGAGGATATAGAAGAAAAAAATACTAATTAAGATTAAGATTATGTGAGTGTTCCAACAATTTTAACAAAATCAAAAGAATAAATTGACAAATAGTAGTCATTTAAACCAATTTAATTGGATTTTAAAAATTATTTAGATGAATAAAAGGAATAAACTAAAGATGAAACACCAAAATCAATATTCTATTCAAAATAAATTACTTAAAGTGATAAATTAATTTATGAAGAAAATGCATTACATAATAGTAAAAAAACAAGTAGAAAGTAAAATCATTTTTAAAATTAACAAGTTAAAAAAATTTTACAAAATGATAATTTATCATCAAAAAAAAATGAAATTACAATGACATTTTCTGAAGCAATAAAAACAGAAATTCCATAAATTACAAATTAAAGTAATAATAATCTAAAAACAGACAATTCTTAATTATTTTTAGAAAAAAAGTTAAGTTGTAAAGATTATTTGTTTGATAGATTAAAAGCAATTTAAGATAAAAATAATCTAATTAAGGTGCACAAAATTTTATTTAATAATAAGTAAGCTTAATTTTTAAAAGTATCATTGATAGTAAAGACAAATTTTTTATTTTAAAAGGTGTTGTTAACTATTTAGAAATCCTGAAAATGAAATCTAAAATTAAATAAAACGTGAAATTGAATAGGAAGTAATGAGATATCTAAATATTTTTGAAGTTTACAAAGATTTGCTATTGTTGAAAAAAGCAATTATGATGCTATTAACTCAAGAGTAATTAGCTGCAATAAAGTTTATTGGCTGCTCTCCTCCTTCTTATTAAAAGTTTAATTAAGAAAAAAAAGGTGACATGTCAAAACAAAATTGTATTCTTTTTATATTTGATAATAAAATTTAAATGATATTTTTTTTATTAAAATAAAAAAGTTAACTTTTTACAAAGTCAAATAGAAATATTGTCATCAGCAGAATTATAATCTTAATATTTCTAAAGTTATATAGAAAAGTGTTAAAATAGTGATAATTTGAGCGATTTGGACAAAAGAATAATATCCTCTATTTTCAAAATTGAATAAAATTGATAATATTTTAAATGCATATATTTAAATACAGTAAATCCTCATTAATCTAGACTATTAATTATTTTTCATTATGATTTTTAAAGATATTTAACTATATACGTAGTGGCTAATTAGAAATAATTGACCATCATATATTATACTACCTTTTTCAAGTATATTGGTAATAACAAATGATATATTATTTAGTAGTTTTAATTTCAATTGAATTTCATATTTATCATTAACATTAAAAACAAACATAATATTTTTTTAAAAGAAATGAACCTCTCCTTTATCAATAAAAAAAATTATTAACTATATATTATGTCTTATCAAAAATTTAAATTAAAAGAAATTGATTATTTTATTGTGTTTTTTAAATTATGGATCACTACAAATTTGATTTTATTTATTTATTGACTTTGCATGCATGTCTTATTAAAATAATTCATAGCCAGCTGTTAGATGAAAAATTAATTATTGGGATTTTATGTTTAAATAAAATAAAAAATTTTATGTAATAATAAGTTAAATAAAATAAAAGTAAAAATAAGTAAAAAAAGAATGAATATTGCTAAATTTGATATTTTTTCATCACATTTCTTATTTAATATTCAAAATTAAGACAGAAGAAAAGCAACTACAACAGGGTTTGTTTTAACTTTGGTTACTATTCTTGTTGTGTTTACATATTTTGTTTATTTGTCGTATCATTATTTCACAAATTAGATAGACCCAAAATACAGATCTTAAAGTTTAATTTCGTAGAGCGTAGACTTGCCATTGATCAATGATCTCATCGCATTTAGATTTGAGTATGATTAAAATAAAAACCTTATTGAACTAGAAAAAATAAACAATAAAACATATCTGAATCACTATGCAATATTTAGATATCAAAATAAATCTTTTGAAAATTTAACAGTTTTAAAATTATAAAGCTGTTAGAATCCTTTGCTTTCAGACTTCACTTGTATCGATACTTCCCCTATTTCCGATTAACTTTTAGAGTTAAACAGCAACTAAAACATCTTTTCATAAATACTCATTCTAACTTTTGCTTGCTACTCAGATTATTTTCAATAATAAACTCCTCCGAATTGTGCAAATCAAACAGAATTGAATAATGTAATTGGAATGTGGAAATCAAAATTACATATTAAGTTACTTATGTCTTAGTATAACTTCACCTCATAATAGATAGAAATCAACTACATAGATAAGTATTTATACTTAAGCACATCATAGGGTTCTTTTACTTATTTAACAGCTTAAAAATACTTAACTACCATCAAAAATGGAATATTTTTCTAATCTTCAGTTGAATATTCCTCCCTTGGTTCATACGAGTTTCAGACATAATAACTTAATATTTTATAAAATTATATACCTTTAGGAGAGATGTGCTTTTAACTAGGAAATATAATTTAGCAAATCGATATTTAATATCCTACTTTTCCAGAAGTATTAGCTCTTGTTAATACGATATTCGCTATATCTATGACTCTAGGATATTTAGGTAGGCATTTAGCCCAAGAATTAATTAAACAAGATTTTTTTTTACTTTTTTTACAAAACTTCTACTAGAATTCTTATGAATCAATTCTAAGAATAAATAATTTATTCCAAAATTAAGAAGTAATTTTTTTTGACAAGAAAATGAAAAAGTCTGAGGATATAGAAGAAAAAAATACTAATTAAGATTAAGATTAAGTGAGTGTACCAACAATTTTAACAAAATCAAAAGAACAGGTTGACAATAAGTAGTCACTTTTACCAAATTAATTGGATTTTAACAGTTATTTAGATGAATAAAAGGAGCAAAATAAAGATGAAACACCAAAATCAATATTCTATTCAAAATAAATTTCTTAAAGTGATAAATTAATTAATGAGGAAAATACATTGCGTAATAGTAAAATAACAAGTAGAAAGTAATCTCATTTGAAAAATTAACAAGTCAAAAAAAATTTATAAAATGATAATTTATCATTCAAAAAAAATGAAATTACTATGACATTTTCAGAAGCAATTAAAAGAGAAATTCCATAAATTACAAATTAAAGTAATAATCATCTAAGAACAGAAAATACCTAGTAACTTTTAGAAAAAAAGTTAAGTTGCAAAGATTATTTGATTGATAGATTAAAAGTGATTTAAGATAAAAATAATCTAATTAAGGTGCGCAAAATATTATTTAGCAAAAAGTAAGTTTAATTTTTAAAAGTATTTAGATAATAAAGATCAATATTTTTTAATTTAAAAGGTGCTGTTAACTATTTAGAAAGCCTGAAAATGAAATCTAAAATTAAATAAAACGTGAAATAGAATAGGAAGTAATGAGATATCTAAATATTTTTGAAGTTTACAAAGATTTGTTATTTTTGAAAAAAGCTATAATGATGCTATTAACTCAATAATAGTTAGCTGCAATAAATTTTATTGGTTGCTCTCCTCCTTCTTGTAAAAAGTTGAATTAAGAAAAGAAAGGTGACATGTCAAAATAAAAATGTATTCTTTTGTAATTGATAATAAAATTTAAATAATATATTTTAATTAAAATAAAGAAATTAGCTTTTTACAAAACCAAATAGAAATATTGTCTTCAATAGAATTATAATCTTAATATTTCTAAAGTTATATAGAAAATTGTTTAAATAGCGACAATTTGAGTGATTTGGACAAAAGAATAATATCCTCCATTTTCAAAACTGAATAAAATTGATCAGATATTAAATTCATTTAAATATATATTTAAATACAGTAAATCATCATTAATTTGCAGTATAAATTAATTTTCAATATAATTTCTAAAGATCTTTATATCAAAATTTTCAATTGAACCTTAATTTAAGAGATATTACACGATATCATAACATCATTTTAAGACTATACTAAAAATAATGTTTATTACAAAATGTAGAACTTCCACTTTTTAATTCTTGTGGATTCATAAATGTAGGAATTCAACTTTAAGGATTTATTATGGTTTAGTTTAATTAATTAAGTAATTTTATTTAAAATTTTATCCTATTAACAACGGCATTTTAAGATTTTTTAGTCTGAATAAGCAGTTTAAATTAAATATTTTAAAAATACATGAAAAATTTATTATTTACTCCTTTTCTAAAACATTCTGAAGAAAAAAGCAAATTTTAAATTTGTTAAATAAATATTTTGAAATTAAAAAAGAAATATTTGAAAAATTCTTGAAAATGTATTTTAAGTTATATAATGTTTCATTGAAAAAAATTAAAGATATTGTAAGTTCAAAAAATTTTTTTATTTTCTAAAAATTTTTTAAAAAAATGGAAAAATAAATTTTGTTTTCAGCTACTCGGATAAGGTATATCCAAGAGTATCTGTATTAAATTTTTAAAAATGAAATTTATTCAAAGCATCTTTTAATTTATATAAAATATGTTTAAAATAGAATAGAATACTTAATGAAAGTTAATTGAAATAAAACTTTTATTTAAAAATCACAAAATAAGAATCCTTTTAAAAAAATACTCTTTAAAAATATAAAAGATAAATAACATTAAATAATTTTAAGTTATCACAAAATGATAGATCCTATGAGTATTAAGGATAAGAAAAATTCTATTTTCTGTTGTGAGAGGTTGGTTACTTAACTTGTTTTTACTTAAACAGGTAAAGTAGTTTTCTAATTAGAATTAACTCCTAAAGGTGTTAAGTAGAATCCTATTTAATCAAAACTATTTGTTGTGTTAAAACTACGTGTTATTATTTAGCTTTTTCCAGTGTAGCTTATTTCTACGATACTTCCTACTTTATCATTTTTAATGTTCATAAAAAAATAACAATTTTATTTGACAAAAAATATTTTCATTTATCCATTTAGAGAAAGTGGATCAACAAGTTAATATTTAAAGGAATTTTTGACAGTGTAGAGTTGTTATGTAGTCTAGTAATAGAAAAATGTTATGCTTTACTCTTCTTAAAGACTATACATAGCAAGTATAGTTTATCCTTGGTCACTAGATTAGCTAGCGAAGCCAGCAAAAATATAATTAGGTTCTGTAAAATATTGGGTAGATGTTAACTTTTCAAATATCTTATCTTTATTAAAAATGATATTTACTTCAAATATACTAAAATTATTAAAACCCAGAATAACTTTTGTTGAGTCTATCTTGGAGATGCTATACGCTTTTATGACTTGATTAGTATAATTTACATTTTGGTTCTAACTATATAAAATATTTTTGATATTTATTACTTAGAACTTATCAAGTGTCTTTGAAATTTAATAATATGCTAACCCTTCTTAAGTAAAGAAAATATTAGATTCACATTGATTACTCCACATAGTATAAACTATATTTAAAGCACTCATAGTTTCATAAACTGAACAATCAAAACTAAATGGCCCTTGCTCCTGCTCTGAAAGATTTATTTAACACATAGACTATCCTATAGTTTAAAGCTATTGGATTGAAGCGATAAGCCCTAAATTAGGATCATTAAAAATTTTATTTAAGATTTGTGTGTTTTTATCAAATTGGATAGAAGTAGATATCCAAGATTAATTTGCTATTATCTAAATCTCAGGATCTTAGCTGTACATTTAAGGTTATTATAAAACAGTTATTCGATTAAATTGTTGAGTTGAAGAATTTTAATTGTTCTAACATAGAGTAAAAAATGTTTATACTATTTTATTTTTATTGGTAATAGGATCTAATGTGACCTAAATTGAAGATTCATCTGTTTATAAATAACAGTAATCTAAATTTTCACCAAGATTCAAGCTAAAAACATTTTTGAAGATCAACTTGTTTTGGTAGGTCAAAACAATAATTTCTCCAAATAAGATAGTATCATATGCATTCATTCCATTAGTATATTTTCCAATCAAGCTATTTTGAAGATATATTTGCAAATTTAGCTGAGGTAAGCTGTAGGCAATCTACCAACCTAGGAAATTTCCGGAATAAACGTTATTATCGTTGAAGTAGTAGAGATCATTAAATTTCAAGTTTTATGAGTCAAAATAATTTAATAGTGATAAAACTCCATTTGATTGCTTATTGATATATCCTTGTTATGATGTTAGATCTTTTTAGAGGTTAAGATTCATGTTCATTTATAAACTATCTGAATCTAATATTCGGAGGTTATTTTGACTATTTACTACTTAAATCTATGCAGATGTAGAAAAAAAAATATCTGAGTTAAAATTTTGATCTTAAATTTGATAATTCATAGATATTTAAATGAAATAGGAAAACTTGTAAAATGAAAGTGAAGGAGCATCTGTTTAAGTGTTGATAAAACCAATAAGCTCATTTCCAAAGAGAAATATGTTAAAGAAATTAGGATCTGCAGGAATAGCACAGTAAAGCTGGTTTTGTGAATTAACTTAGTTCATTCTAAAGATTAAATAAACTTTATCGTTATTTGAGCTTGTTGCAGGGATAGCAATATATTCCTGCATATTAAAAATATTAGCAGATTTTCGAATCATCAAAAAGTTAGAAATCTATAGTGTATATCCTAATCCATTAAGTGATCTCAAATACTAAGGATCAATAGCAATATTGCTAAAGCTAATTTAGTCATTATAACTGTAAATACTAATTTCTTAAGTATTATCTGAGTATTGTCTAAAGACAACAAAGCATGAGAATAATAAAATGACATTCCTATTTAATTCTTATTTTGAACCATAAGGGATTTGTATTTATTGGCTCTAGTATTAATTGAAATAATTATAGGAATATATTATTTTGTTGTCTGTAAAGTATAATATATTATTATATGGATTATATTATATGCTTTAAAAAGATTTACTTTATCCATTTATTTTTGACTAAACATAATTCATATATCTGCTTTATGAGTTAATTTTCTCAGGAAGGTATGCAAACACCATTACATATAATTCGTATGACATAAATATATATTTGTTGATTGGATCTGAAGAAAAACTTTGAAAATTACTTGAGTCTTAATAGATAATTGATCCTAAAATATAATTTTCATTATATGATATTGGTAAGAAGACCTAAACAAGTTATTTAACGGTGATGCATATGATTCCATTTATGTCTTATTATATATTTCCTTTGTTAGTACTTACTTCATCAATTATTTTAAAGCTATTTATGTTATCAGAATCTGCAGATAATTTGAGAAGTTTAATATTGTATGATTTTTATTCATCGTTGGCCTAGTAAACTCCGATATATATATCTTTTATGTATGTTGATGATAAATTTAATAAGTCCTTTGTTTCAAGTTACACTTTTGAAATCAATTGAGCTGGTTTTATCATTTCATATTTGATTTGAATGTCATTAGTGCTTTGTTAGTTAACATTTAATTCTAAATTAGAACCAAATATGTACTTTTCTAAATTTAAATTTTGCAGATTACCTTTGCTTTACTGAATCACTTAATAAATGTTTAATTAATTCAGTGTTAGGGTTGTGGTTGGTTAGGTAGAGCTTAAAGTCTAAATTTTGAAATTGATTATTTATTGAAATGGGTTTTCCTATTCTCTGACACTAAAATAAAAGGGAGAAGCTATGATTTATGTCATGTCAATAGTCATCAAAGGTAGGGACAAATTAACTTAATAAGTTTCATACATAGTTGGGTTTGTATCCTTTACATATGTGAATAATAATGTACTAAATACTTAGCTCACATCAATTAAGCTTAAGTTTGGAATACTCTCTAGCTCGAATTTATAAACGAGACTTCCTTTAAGCACAGAAAAACCTAAAATATATTTTTTTGTTACAGCAGCAATCAAATCATTTTGTATAAAGAAAACACCGAAATCAAAATTCAAATCAAAATCAGTTTAGAAATTTATTGTCTCTACTTATAAACTGTTTGTGTCTTAATAAAACTTAACCTTATACAGTTTCATTTAATTGAATGCAGTATCTGAATAAAGTTCTAGAACATAAATAAGGTTAATATTAACTGTCTTAGTGATAGTTTTTATTTAACTCTATTAATTTTAGACATTGTTTGCAAAATATTAATCACTCTTAACAAATTAAATTTCATCAAAAAAATTTTTCTTTAAGTAATACGCTACACCAAAGAAAAAGTTTCCTGTTTATAAAGTGCACTTGACTAAATAAAATGCATCGTTTTCAATATATTATATATTATAGTAATTATCGCCACAAGGGTTGTATAAATAACTCTTTAGTTTAATTTGTTATTCAGTATCTTCTGAAAAAGCAATTGATGGCTTTTAGATTCCAAATTAAAAGCAAAACCCTTAACTATATGTATCTTAATTTCTCAATTAAGCTTAAAGACCTTAGTAATTTATTAATTTTGAATCTATATCTACCTAACTATACCTATACATATTTGAATCGATACTGTAAATAAGTGTTGGTTAGTTTGAATCAATTACTAAGAATATTTTTCTATAATATGTTTTCAAAATTTGTATTCTGATGTTATTCATTTAAGTGGAATAAGGGTTAGCAATTTAAAATGAATTTAGATTATTAATTGTAATTACTTATTGTATATTTTAAATTTCATCTACAACTATCGTGAATACTGTATTTTAAGATGCATCCTATTAAATTTTTACACCAATTCTAACAGAGTAAGTACAATTTGTTTGAAAAATGACTTAGGAATCTAACTTTTAGAAGTTTGCTTCTTCATATTTTTGATTTTAAAAAACTAATGGATTAATTAATTTCACTCCATTAATGTTCTAAGTTGTGTAAAGGTAAAAGGGTTTTTAAATAACGCCAAAATATTCAGATAAATCTATCTCTTTATATTCATTCTATTACAGATTAATAGAAACATCGATGGACTAGGTTTAAGATATTGCTGCTAAATTAAGTAACAAAACAAAAACTAAAAGAAAGTTTTTCGCTATTTGTTTCATCCTTCAAATATAATTATCCTTTTCTAATTAATTTATCAATTCATAAAAATAATAAAAAAAATAGTAGTATCAAATCAAAAGTATTCCTTGATAAAAAAACTAAGAAGTCATAGTAAACTATTATGCAAAAAATATCTTGATAAAAGAGATAAATTATTAGTTCGTCATTATTTATCAAAGAATTTTTAGTAAATTGCTTCAATATATTTTTATAAATTAAATTAATTTTCTTAACAAAAACCAAAGAAAGAATAAATAAATTTTAATCGTATAATTATATAAATTTGAACAAACCTTTTTTTAAATATTTTTTAAGATTTTCATATAAAAAGAAAATTAAAAACTATCTTTCAATTTTAAATTCTTAAATATATTTTATTGTTTAAATTTTTTAAATTACTTAATTTGAAAAGCAAAAAGATAAATTTTTTTTTAAAAATTTTTTCGTTATTATACAATCCTTTATTTAAGTTTGATGAAGATTAAGAAAGTTTTTTAATCTTTTTATCAAAATAAAAATTATTTCAATAAATTTATACTATTTTTTCAACTTTTTAAACTGAATAAAGAGAAGAATTTTTAATTTACTTGGATGTTTTCACAATATCTCCACAAATATTGTAGATTATTTTATGAGTTTTATTTTTGTTTATGATTTTTTGAAAAATCAAAATAAATTTTTATGAGCTCAAATAATCTAAAACGAATTTAAACAATATTTATGCATATAAATAAATATATTTTATTTAATATTAATTTTTTGAAAAAATCATTTAAATTTATTTTTTTAGTCTTTCAAAAAAAAAAATAAATGGGCACTTCTCAAGAGAGTAGCCTTGAGTTATCAAAAGTAACAAACATCACTTATATATATAAATAAGATTTTTATATAAGCCAAAAAAGAATTTAAAAAATATAACACTCATTTGTTCTGAATAATAAAATTAATTAAAAGTAAAGTAGCTGATAAAAAGAATATCTAAAAGTAATTTAAAATTCTTTTAAAATAATTAATTTTACAATAATTTAATATTATTCAAATCAATCGCACTTACATCGAAAGTTCTAAGCTTAATTAATATGACGTAGTAATTTCATTTTTACTTTTAATAATTTTAACAGTATTTATTTAGTTTATTTTTGAAATTATTTATTATGAAAAGCTATAAATAGAAAGAAATATTACAATTGATTAAATAGCTATTTAAAAATTAATATCATAGAGAATTATAATGAAATGACTGATAGAATTTTATTCTTGAATAAAAACTTATTTTAGTAAAAAAAAACCTAAAAAAATTAGAAAAATACTAATTTATTTATGCAAAAAAAATTTTATTTTATTTAAATAGAAACTTGATCTTTAACTTACAGATAGTTACAATATAAATAAAACTTTGATTAGATTTATTTTACTAATTAATTTTAGATTCTAATTCAAAAAATTGGCTTATTTCTTAAATTGTAATTTTTATGAAAAATAAAAATTCATCATTAATTTAAAAAATCCACACATTTTTAAAAAATAAATACAAAGTTAATATAGAAAAAAACAAGAGAATATTTTTGTGTTTTTTTTACAATTAGTCAAGTTAGTTACTACCTTTAATTATTTAAAAAGAAATTTTAGCTCTTTGTTCTAAAAATAAAGAAAATTATTGTTTTTTTCTATTTCAAATTATTATTAAAACTTACATACCATAAAATATTCTTAAAGCAATATTTGTATAATATTACTTCTTTTGTTTCTTTATTTATTTAGAAAACAAATTCCTTCCTTTAAACTAGCATGAAGTATTTAATTACTTAAAAAAATTTTAGGAGCAAGTAAAAATTGTGTTAATAAATGTTTTGAAAATATAAATTTATGCAAGATTTAAAAAAATATACATTTGTTACAACTCAAGAAATAAAAGTTTAAATATTATTGTTATATATGTATATATACTTTAAATTAATTATTATAGAATCAATCAATTATAAATTGGTAGGCAATTAACTATTTATATATCTGTTTTTGTGTTTGTTTTGTTTATTGGCTAGATAATTGATTCTTTTTTGTTTGTATTTGTTAGTAAATTAAAAAATTCGAAGTTATTATTATTGTTTTAATTTTAGTAAGGAGAGTAGTTATTCTTATCATTATTAAAAGTAAGAAAAATAGATTATTTAATTGTGTTTTACATAAAATAGTTTTATGTAATGGGTTTAAGATTTTATTATTTTATACTTTCATTGCTCTATCAAGAATTTATACATAGGTAATTGAGATAAATTTTCTATGATTATTTGTTCATTAAATGGAGATATAATTAGAGAATCTGCAGAACTCATCCTAAATTTCTCTTTGTTAAGAATAGAATTAACCTTAGCATAAAGAATTACTGGAATAGAAGGTATGAGAGAAAAAGCCTCAAGCTATTTTATAGCTTGGCTTATCTCGTAGCCATCAAAACGAGTGTGTGCGCCTATTGAGGAGTCACAATTTATGAAAACTAAATTTGGCTTTTTGTCTTATATTATGGATATAGAATCATTCTAATCGTCAGAAAACAAAACCTTCACAGAGGGTTCAAACAATTCACTTAAATGTGAATAGGTATCTTTTTAGGTGTCAATAACCAGAATAGATTGTCCTCTAAGCTTTGATAATAAATGCTTTTTTTAAGCTGACATTTGAAATACTTTATTCTAATTGCTATGTTTATTTGTTAGACCTAAAAGTAGGTGTTTTGAATGTTTATTTTGCTAATATTCTTTGTTGTTAATTATTTTATTTATTTAATTTTTTGATTAATTAATTTCAAAAATGTGTTTGTTTGTTTATTTGTTTCTTGATTTAAAAAGAGTACTTTAAATTGATTCCAAAATTGTTTAGAATTAATTAATATATGAATGAATATCTTTTTTGATAATCAAATTTATTGGGATAACATTAATTTAATTACTTCTATGGGAGTGTTTCTTTTATGATTGATCAATTTTTTAGATTTTTACTAAGCGGTTGATTAATTATCATTCCATTGACTCTCAGAAATTTTGTTTATTTAATTAAGAAGTTGATGATATATTCAAGTTAATAGCTACCACTCCTAAAGATATCTTTCTAAAAACAATCGAATTCGAATATTGCATTAAATCCCTTCAACTATGCAGGTACTACCAACAATTAAGATCAAATAAAACTCCACTTTTTCATTTTTTTCATGTATAAGTCTATCAATTTTAATATAACAAGTGTTTGAGATATCAAAAATATCAAAAAAACTCAACAAATATGTTGTTTTTTTAGGGAAAATTAAAAAAAGAAGCATTTTGTATAACTAATATTATATATACAAGTTTGATACTTTATACTATTATTAATAAATCTATTTTTAAAATTGAAATATTTTTTTTCTATATTTATCATGATAACTGCTGTAAGCGAATTTGTTAGAATAAGCAAAAATCTAAAACTCTAAGTTTCAAATATTTAAAACCAATGAAAGTATTAAAACAGTTTATATTTACCATTTCAGGATAAAGGAGGAATATTTAGTTTTAAATGGATATTATATAAATTATGATTCCCCTAAGCTTAACTTAGTTATTAATAAATCAATGGTATCAATTTAGTTAATTGTATAAATTAACCTGAAGCTAATTTAATGTGACTGGAGGTATTTACATAAATTTGATAATTTTAAATCACTTAATTTAGATTATAATAAATTCCTATTAAATTCTGTGATATTTTAATGATTGTTAAATTCTATGATTTAGTAAAATAAAATACATACGTAACAAAATAAAGAAACAATATATAAATAATTCACTTAATATTAAGAACTCGAATTGCTTAAATTAAACATAAAAATAAAAAATATTTTAAGTAAATTTTGATGAGTTACTCTGCAATTTTATATTATCAACTTGTTAAAAATATTCTTTTTTTTACTACTGTTTTCAAATTGTGCTTCTATCATTTATTATCTTATTGTAAAAGTGTTTTTATAAAAAAATTGTTCAAAATCTTGTTGAAATAAATTACAAAATTATTAAAAATTAAAAAGGTAAATTTAAATTTTTGTCTTTTCAATAAAATATATTTTTTAATTATTTTTTAGAAATGAATTAGTTTTTTAAAAATATGATAAATTCCAAATTAGAAACACTAAATTAGGTATTTATTTTGAAATTTATTTATTTAAAATATATAGTATTTATTCACTTTAAAAAGTTATTTAATAAAGAAAAAGTAAATAAAATATATTTGAAAATACCCTAAAATTATTTAGAATTAAAAATTAATGCTAAATTTAAGAAATTTAAGAGATGGTTGATTAGAAATTAATGAATTTTCAGTTATTGTAATATAATTAAAATTTTTAAAGATATTTTTAGTACTCATTATTTTGGTAGATCTTAATATTTTTATTACATAAGTGAGTACAACTTAAAATAATATAGAATTCTTAAAATCTTTATCTTATATTATATTCTTAATAGAAGTTGAATATGGCAAATAAATATGAATATAAATATTATTTATTGCTTTTTATTTTATGCTGTATATTAATAAAACTAATGTATATTTTTTTTCTTTATTAATAAATAAATTGTTGGCAAAATATTTTTCAACTTGAAACTTTTAGTTCTTTAATTTTATTTTGTTTAAAAATATTGAAATCATTAGGATAATAACTATGTTTGATTACTTAAAAATAAAAAGGGAACTTTCAAAATTTGATTTGAAATATTCAGTAAACTAAAAATTTAATTTAAATTTGAAATTTATGCAGGTTGATAAAGTCCTTTAACTATTAAAAAATATAAAAATGATGACTTATAGGATACAAAATAAAAATATTTACCTTAAAATTTAATTAAAATTAAAATTTATTTCTTTACCTAAAAAATTATGCATCAAAAGCAGTAAAGTGTAAATAAGAAGATATTAATGAATTAGAGAAGAATGCAAATTAAAAAAAATAAAACTATCTAAAAAAGTCTTGATAATTTTAGAAAAGCTTAATAACCGTTTTTTAAGAGTGATTTCTAAAATAGTTAAATAATTATTTTTAGCTTATTAAACTGTTTAAAGTAGATCAGTATTGCCAGCATTATCAGAAAATGAGTTGAAATTTATTTTGGAATTATTTTAATTTTTAATAAACAAGAGTGAGTTTCTTTAACTATACAATACAAAGAGTGGAGCATACATAGATAGATAGATTTTTATCTATTTATGCAAGATATAAAATAAATTAATTTACATTTTTTTAATCTTAATTAATTGTCTTAATTAAACTATATTTTTATATAATTATTTAATTTTTTTAGTATGTGATTTAATAATGTTAAGTAAAATCATTTTTATAAATTCTTTATATTAAGGTTTGTTTATTGGTTGATAATTAGGTTAAGTCTAGAAAATAGATGAGATTTTTTTATTTTATTATATTTAGATTTAGAATAAAAGGATTTGCTTGCTTGCTTGTTTTCTTTTTGAATACTGGAAAATTATTTTTGGTATTCTCATTCATTATTCATATTTATTCAAACATCCTATTGTTATTCTTATTTTTTCTTTTGTAAGTAGACAGCAATTTTATCCTTTGCCTATTATAAAGTATTAGAATTATCTGTCAAATCACAATTTTTTAAGAATTCTTATATTTATGATTCAAGCCAGTCATAAAATTCTTTATTTTTAATCATAGCTTTTTCCCAATTAGTACCTGCGAAGTTTGTAGCTTTTTTGATAATTCTTTCGAAGAAATAAAGGGAGAATTTACGAGCACACCAATTTTAAATAGATTTAGGTACAAGTGGAATTTTATAGTCAACATTTAGTACAATTTTGACATAGCATTTATTAGGGCCTAAAGGTATAATATTGAATACATAGTATTTATATTCGAGTCTAACATATTTAGTTGTTTTGGGAATTTAAAGATCAATTTTACGGCAAAATTCAGGGTCGCTATGAATAGATTTGGAAACGAGTGGGATACTGCCAATTTCATCAAGTAAATTGTAACCAGTACCATAGAAATAACATTCTCTCTTAGAAACCATAGGGACATCCATGCAAGCATATCCAATTTTACTGGCTCTACGGATATCCTTAACTAATTTACCTTCCTCAACGAATGGAACATAGTCCTTAAAGTATTCAAATTCGTTACCCAAGCAAAGAAGATTTCTTAGAGGAAGATCAAGTTCGCTTTCCATTCTGAGACTCAAAGAATTAGAATCAGGGTATTAATAAGAAATTTTAATTTTTCCTTTTTCTTTTTCGGTAATCCAGCCCTTTTTAATTTAAAATAAATGTAAATATGTAATCATCTTGTGAAGTTTTGAAATTAATAGAACCAAAGATATTTTTTAGTTTTTTATATAAGAAAATACAAAAATATGAATAAATTACCTCTTCTACTTAAAGAACTTCAAGGTTGTAGTTGATCAAGTCTGTTTCATCCTTAATAAGTTCAATGAGTTTGAAATTCTTCTCTTTGAATTCTTCGATAGTCTATATTTTTGTAAAATTAATTCGATTAGATTTGAAAAAGATTTGTTTAAATGATTTTTAATTGTTATTTGGTTATATTTATTTAGATTAATCCAGCCTTTTTTTTTTGTGAATCAATATAAAATTAAATTTAATAAATTTTTAGGAAGTAAAAAAATGCCTCAGTGAAATTTTTTGATATGAATTAAATAGTAATACACAATTTTTCATAAATAATTTAATTACCTTTTTTTATTGTTCTGAAAGATCAAGTTCTTCACATTCACTTAGAATCTATTCAATTTTAAGGACCTTTCTATTTGCCTTTTTAAGTAAAATAAGATAAGTAAGCTAAAGAAATATTTATAAGTAATTATGTAATTATCAATAAAGTGATTCTCTATCTTTAAAAATAGAGATTTACTTTAAACTTATACATTTTTATATAGTAGATTAATAAACGAATGAAGGTTATTTACTGCAAGTATTTTTCTGGAATCTAAGAGTTCCTCAATATCCTTAATGTGAGAATTTGCTTTTTCCATATGAATTTCAAAATCACTTTTTGTGGGAACAGATTCTACAGCAGCAGGAGTGCTGATGTTAATGTTATTGCCATTAAGTTGTTGCAATTTTTACTATAAATTAGATCTATTACTATGAGATTTTGCCAAATTTAAATCTTGTAAATTATCAAGTTCTTGATATCTAACCTGATGATTCTTGTAATGGACAAAGCTTTCAATCTATTGTATAAATGTAAATTAAAATAAATTCTCATACAAACTAAATTTAATATTCTTTATAATAAATTGTCTAAATATGAAATGGCATTGAGCTTAATATCTAGTGTATGCTTATCAATTAAGAATATGGTAAAATTATTACTTGTATTTCTTCGTCAATATCTAAGTCTTAAGTTGGCTAGCTGATGTAATTAGTGTAGCTGCTGTATTTTTATGAAGGCTTTCTTTAGAATTATTCGTTAATAGAGTCGACAATAGGATTTTCATTTAATTTTGTGCAAATTTATGTCATTAAATCAATGAACTCTTTTGACTATTTTATAATTTTTTGATTAGTTATAAGTGTTTTAGATGGATAGATAAGTTAATTATATGGTGGTAATAACTGAAAGATAAATTAAAAAATTACATCAGGTTTCTCATTCATCAAGAAATATTAATCAACTTCTTATTAAATGTTTTTAATGACTTAGTAGCTATAGCCAGTGCATTGCTTTTCTTCGAATTCGCTGATTGCGGAATTAATCTATTTATATTCATTTTTATTCAGTTTTATTCAGTTATTAATACTTACTTCTTTAATAAGCTTGAGCTGATTTCTATGTAGAATAAAAAGTAATCATACCACAATAAAAATCAAGTCAAGCTCAAATATATAGAAGCACTTTATATGTAAAAAATTAATTACTCTGCTTTCAAATTTCTTCAAATGATCGAAATCGACGGCAGGAAGATCGTCAGATGAGTTAGACTATTATTTTAGATAAAATAAATATTATTTTTATGTTCATTAGCTAGTGCGCTTGAAATAATTTGCTAATAAATTATGAAAAAATATTTACAATTTTTGACATATTTTCTCTATACTGTATTTGTTTGTCCTTTTGTTTTTTATATATTTGTTTTTGATTAAGATTATTTTGTTTTGCTTTGTTTTTTGTTTATTTATTAGTGAGCTTGCCTCGCTGATTGATAGATAGATAGATTGATTTGATTTGCTTTTTAAAGGTTATTTTTCAATATTTGATTCTTCTTTTTTTAATTAATTTTTTATTAAGTTTTTAGATCAATAATTTCCCATATAAAGTTTTAAGGTTAATTGAAATTTAATGTCTATTGTCCTAAAGAAGTGAAAAAAATAATTCATTTAATTATATCAAAATATTAAATAGATTAAAGATATAAAACAAAGATTGTCGAGTAATAAAGAAATATAACACGAAAGCGGTGAAAGATTTATGATTTTGTGACAACTTTGCAATCAGCAGTAAATTTTACTCTTAAAATTTACATTTATTTTTAAATTTCTAACACTAGAATGCTTTAACGCAATTGCGTTTATTTCTTTCAAAATATTTTTCAAAAACGAATTTAAATATTAAATAATAATAAATACATTTCAAAATAAAAAAGTTTATTTTGATTTGATAATTAATGACATTTCTAAAATCATATTTTATGAGTACAAGCATCGGTTTACTTTATTTAAAAAACAAAATATTAGTTTTGTTTATTAGATTAATTAGTAATAAATTTCTGGAAACTTTATATTTGATCAAATCATAAATTTTATTAGGTTTTATAGCTTTAGCTGGCGAAACTTACAAAAATATTGATTTGAAATTAAAAAAAGGCAGGTAGATCATTTACTTTTATAATAATGCAGTAATTTACCTACAAACATTAAAAAAAAAAATAATTAATCTATTTCTCATGCTAATTAGTAAAATTAATCTCACGCTATTCATTATTAATTGATAGAAGTTAAAAATTAGAATGAACTTCACATGGAGGACAAGAATTTTATCCAAATAATCTTAGGAAAAAAATTTATACTTAAATTACATAAAATTAAAATATGTATATATTTTATCAAGTTTTTACTTTAATTAAGAAATAGAAATTTATAATTAATTTCAAAATATTTATGAAATGGGAGTAAATTAGAATTTGATTTGGTTAAATTTCGATAAATCCTGAAACAATATTTAAGATATTTCCATTAAAATAAAAACAAAAAATTAGTTATCTATCTATATCATTAGTAGATTCATGCAAAATCATTATCAGTAGTAAATCAATTAAATTTAATTTATAATTTCAATTTTAGTGCACTCACTGATTGAATATTCTTAATTTGTAAAACTATAGAAGCATAATAATTTGTGAAGCTTAGAACATATTTGCTTAAGTCGTAATTAATTTTTTGTCCCTCGTTACATTTTATTTAAAAAATATAACTTCGTTATAAAATAGATAAAGTAAGTTAAACGTAATTTTGATACGATAAAATAATTGTTGTTTTATAACTCTCTTAACTGGAAATAGAAAAAATTGTTTAGATCTAACTAAATAAAGGAAAAAGTTAGAAATAATCTATTGTGATTATAATTTACATAAAAATTGTGATTTATCTTTATAATCAGCAATCTTTTTATCTTTTCGTAATGAATTAAATATAATTCAATTAAAATGAGCAAACTGAACAACTTTATTTAAAAATTTAAATTGATAATGTCTAATTTTTTGAGCCGCAACAATATCTCATCACTATTTTCTTGAAGAGCTATGGGATGAAAGTATTTAAGAGTTAGTTTGGCAGAGATATTCTTTGTTTTAGTTTTTATTTTGAATAAATTGTCTCCATTTACATTGAATAATGATGTAAATAGTGAAGATTGTAGATTTGTTGGAGAAATTTCAAATGATTTTTGCAAAATAATTTTTAAAATTTTATTATAATTGGAAATTCAAACAATTTTATCATAATAACTATTATTTAACAGTTAAAAACAAATGTTAGTGATTGCATTTCTCAGCCAACTTTTATTCCAAATACCTTTTACATTCCTTTGAGAGGAAACTCTGTTTAAGTTGATGATTTACTAACAGTAAATTTTAATATTACATTAAATTATTATATTAAAGAAAATTTTTGATATTATAGCTTGAGGTGTATATTGTAGATGAAAATGTTCATACTCTTTTAGGGAGAGGAGTTATTTAACCCATTTAATATTTGTATTCTATTAAAGGCTCAAATAAATACTTGCTTATAACCACTATTCAAAAGCGAAAGGAAATAATCGTAGGATAACTATTACTGACATTACATTATTCTGTAATAGTTTTAATTTAAGTTAAATAACTTACAAATAGTAACTCTGTATATTACATAAGTTGGATATTGGGGAAATTATGATGAGTAAATCATTAATTTCGAGCTAAATATATATCCTTTGTACAAAATCATAAAAATATATTAGCAATTTTATTTTTATTATTAAATTAAATTTTAACAATAAAAGACAGATACAGAAGGAAATTCTTTAAGCTAGGAGCAAAGCGAATAAAACTATTTGAATCAATTACTCGCAAGAAGTTTTCTAGAAGGAGTCGAGAACCCTCTTTATGAAAAGTAGTATCTTAAAAAAATTATATCTGAAAAAAACATAGATTTGCTTGATCCTACTAACTATAAAGAAAAGTGGAAAATATACTCCTAAACTCTGAAAGAGAGGTAGTTAACTATAAATCAATATAAATAAATTTCAGAATAGCACGAAAGAATTCTTAGAGCATAATAAGTAATTAAAACTGACTATATCAAAGGAAATAGGCTTCTAAGATAGCTTTACAGTTTTAATAAGTAAAATTATAAAATTTAATATTAACTAATTTGTAACCAGTGAGGGAGGGAATCAATCAAGCATAAATTTGCCATTTTAAGAGATTAAAATTAATTTTTTATTATCAATATAATAACCATGCAAAATATATAAATATACTTTAATTAATTTTATCTATTCTTAATTCCATATAGAAATAGACTTTGGGGTGAGGAACATGTTGATTTTTCAATTTATATTGACCAAAAAATTCGATTGATGAATGAAAAAGAAATCTTTGCCTAAATGAGCTTAGTCTTAAACAAAGTTGTTTATTGGCAGAAGCTAAATGCAAATATTGAGAGTTTTTTATTGAATTCAAAGGCTCTGATTGAGAACTTGGGTTAGTTGCTACTAATGAAAGAAAATAGCAAAGAAGGATACAAAGATAGTGTTTATGTAAGAAAAATTATTGAAAATGAAGTTTCAAAACAAGACTACTACAAACAAAAGATAGTAAGACAATATAATTTTATAGATAAACTTAGCAAAACTATGGAAAATGTTCTGTTACAATACTAAAATAATGATCACCTAGAGAGAGAATATATCGATATGAGAGGAGATGTTCTCACTATTTAATCTAATATTAGAAAAAAACTATATGGTGAATAGCCTGAGTAAATTGAAGAACTATAATATTTATAGGATTTATGTAGAAAGCTAGATAGAATATGCAAATAACAATAGAATTAGATTATTTTTATGAGCAGAGAGTAAACTAAAAATAATTTTGCATCTGAATACCAAAAACTTCTAATAGATTTGAGAGGAGTGTAGTCAAAGTAATTAATAGCTATTACATTAATTAGTTATATAAGGATAAAAATTTACTTGAAATGCTTATAAAATTTATTAAATAATATCAATTAGGATAAATGCATTAGAAGATTAGATTAAGCTTAATGGAGAAAAATTCTCTCAAAATATTGCTAAACTTAAAGTTGAAATAGAAGTAAATAAATTTGCTAGCAAATATAATCAAACCATAAACAAATAAAATTAAAAAATTATTTAATTTTTAACCAAGGTAAAAAAGAATGCCATATCTACTGCATCAATATCGAACATATCTTACAAATTACCATCTGATGTCAATTAATAGTTTTGATAGTATATTTCTGACAATAGAAAATTGACAGATTTGATTTTGAGAAGTTATTATTCTGATAAATGAGAATTCTATTTATCTTATAGATGTTAATTACTTTTTTTATGGATTGTATAATTTTTTTAATTGTAAAGATTAAATGTAAGTGATCCAGTTAATTGATTTATGATACATTTCAAATTTACAAAATTTAAAGATTAATTAAAAATTTTCTCTATCATGTCTGATAGAAAAACAAAACTATAATTAAATTAATAAAATACTAGTCCCAAGAAAAGATAAATTACTTCATTAATCATTAAATTTTATATTTGCTGTAATAATTACCTATAATTAGGTCATAAATTTAAAGCTCTACCTTTAAATATATTCAATTTAAAAAACAGAACAAATCTAGAAAATCTTTGCATTTCTTATTGTTAATTATTTAGAGTATTTTAAAGTGTGATGTTAATTTAATCTTAAAGCTTTAAAGACTACTTTGTTATTAATATAAAAATTTACATTCAGATTTGGAAAAATAAATTAAAAATAGAATAAATCTAGGCAAAATAATTAATTTCATCAGGTAGATGAAATAGCTAACTATCAAGTATATTTATTTTACACTTTTTTAAACTATAAGTTTTTCTTTTCCTAAATTATCCTTTTTCTTCTTACTAAAATCTAACAATTAACTAACTATTTTTATCATCAAAACAATTTTTAATAAAAATGAAAAAATTAATTTACATTTATTTCCTCCTTTTTTCCATCTATTTAAATTTTTCTTTTTGTAAATATTTTACTCAAAAATTTGTTGCAATATTTGTATAACTTGCTTTCAAATTTTCATACTAATGATCATAATATATATATACAGCTGATACACTATAATAAATAATATTTATTCTTCAGTAAAGTTAAATAATACTTGCTTATAATTGTTCTAATATTAAAATAATTAATGGATGCTGCAAAATATGTGGTTTAAATTTATTCTAAGTTTCATTAACATTCTCTAATAAAATATTAATTAAACTATCTATTTTCTTTTAATAAAAATTCAACTAGCATTTTAAAAATAATATTAAGAGTACCCAAATAATATATTGACGAAATATTAAATTACCATACAAAGCTTAATTTATAATTTCTAAAAAGCATCAAAAAAAAAGAAACGAAAACATAATTTTTATAAAAACAATTTTAAATCCATTTATAATTAATACAGAGAAAATATAATTTTAAAATAATGTTTTTGGTGTTTAAGGATTAATAGATTATCTACTTAAGTTACACTTAAAAATTTAATATTATTAAGGTATTAATAATATCCATAATTTAGTTAATTTATTGTATGAAAATATTGAAAAATAAACTTATAATTATTTTATTAAAACTCAATTTATTGACTAAAAATAAATATTATAATTGAATTTGAAGAAGAATTATAATTTTTGTATTCATGATATTTTAAAACAAAAAATAAATATTTAAAATTAAGTAAACGTATTAGGATTAATAGTAGATAAGAATGAAAATTATCAAATGATTAGATAGTATTAAAAAAATAAAAATAATGATATTTGAATTTTATTAAATTAACTAAAATAATTTTAAAAGAATTTATTATTATTTTTTTACATTAATAACTAAAAATAATTAAATCTTACTCTCTTATAAAATTTAATTAAGTAATAAAACACTTTTTCTTATTATCATACTCAAAAATATATTAAAATTAAAAGAAATTAATTTAAAAAAGCAAAACAATATTCATAATAAATAATATAAATTAAATTGTATTATTTTATGTAATTTATTTATTTATTATTTGTTTTTTTCTTTTACATTCGATCTAAATTTTAAAATATATTTATAGAAATTTTTAAAATTCTAAAATAATGAGTGAGATTCTTCAAACTCTTGTTTTAAGTATACTATCTTCGTATATTTTTTTTATTTTAAGATAGTTAAGTAGATACAATAATTAAAATTTAATTATTTATTGTAGTTATAATAAAATATTAAATATGAAAGAGACTTATCATTATTGGTTGATAAGTAATCATAAATAATAGACTATTCAAGAATTACTCAAAATAATTACATTTATTTTTATTCAATTTACATATATTTTTTAGAAATATGATTTTTTATATGCATTAAAAATTAATTTATAAATTCAAATTATTTTTTAATTTTATTTTTCTGATGAAAAATAATTTCAGTATAATAATAAATAGCTTAATATTTTAATATTAGTTTTTTTCTTTGCTTTTTGATCTCTACAAAAAAATTATATATCTCATAGTTGGTTCGTTTAGTGTAGTGGTTATCACGTTCCCTTCACACGGGAAAGGCCCCGAGTTCGACCCTCGGAATGAACATTTTTTATTTTTGAGTAATTTAAAAGATTTAAATTGCAAATTTATGAAATCGTTAATAAATAAAGTTAATATATTTAATAAGCAAGCAAACGTAAGAGGCATTTCAAAAATAAAATTACAAAATAATTTTATTTTGTTAAAAAAAAATTTACTAATTAAAGTATTAATTTAAATAAATTATTAAATTAGAAATTTTAATATATTTAAATGAAATTTTTTATTTGATTTGACTAACTCAAGTAAATAAAATTAACTATCCACTATATGTAGTATTAATTTTTTATATGTTAATTACTACAATGTTCGTTTAGTGTAGTGGTTATCACGTTCCCTTCACACGGGAAAGGTCCCGAGTTCAATCCTCGGAATGAACAATTTTTTTATCTTATTGAAATTATGCTTTTTTTATAATAACAAGAAAAGTGAAAATAAATGTTATATTAAAGGAAAATACAAATATTAATTGTATTTTATAATATTTTCATATACTTTAATAATCTACATAGAAAAAATTTTTGTTATTTTTAATAGATTTAACTTGCATATCATATTAAATATTAGATAATTAATTTTATTTAATTTCTATTAGTTCTTATAAAAAAATAATGGAAAAAATATTTTGATTATTTTCTGTTAAAGATTAACAAAAAAATATGTAATATTAATTTAATAATAGATTATATTCCTGTTTTAATTAATTAAATTAAAAAATATAATATTGTTCAATGTATTAAATTAACTAGGCTATACTTTTAATTTTAAAACTTCAATAATAAATTTTGATTGAAAATATGACACCTCATTTTTTATCTGTGAATTTAATCAGTAATACTTTAAATGCCTGCTTTTTTGTAAAGCTTAAACAAAATTGACTTATAATTAAATTTTGTCTACATAATAAAATCTATCTTTTATACATTAAAGAATTTACATATTTTTAAGTAAAAGTATTAATAATATCCTTTAATTTGGTTTCTTGATTATAGTTTTAGTTAATAAAAATGAATGTAATTAGTTAATAGCAATATTAGACAAGTTATCAATTATTTAAGTATGTTTAAAATTATTTTAGATAGCATTTGAAGGGTGCTTTCATGGCAACTTAGAATAAGTTTATAAAACAATGACGTATATTGAGTAGTAGCATAACATTAAGATAGATGCTCTGATTAGTTGTGGAGATTTTTAAGCAATTAGAAATAAAGCAGATATGTATTCAATGAAATGTAAAGAAAAATATCTTGAAATAGGAAATTTCCATGAATATTATACAGGCGCTAAAAAGGCTCCCTATTTGACCATATTTGTAGGTGGAAATCACGAAGCATCAAATCATAATAGAGAATTGTAATTTTAAAAAATTATTTGCTATACTTATTAACTAAAATTATACTTAACAAAAGGTATTTTGGAGGATGGGCTGCTCCAAATATTTATTTTATGGGAGCGTCTAATGTTATCGTACTTAAAAAAGGGAATTAATAGATTCGTTTAGGAGGTATTTCGGGAATATATAAGTAATATGACTTTATTAAAAGCTAGTTAGAATCCTTTCCTTTTGATAGCAATAGTATAGTTTCTTGCTTTCATCAAAAATAAATAGATATATTAAAGCTTAGTCAAATTGGTTTATGCAATCCTACATCAAATATGGATGTTTTTTTGAGCCATGATTGGCCTACTGATGTTGTAAGCCATGGTAATGTGGCTGATTTACTTAGAAGAAAGAAATTCTTTGCAGAAGATGTAAGAAATAATTGTTTAGGGTCTTTTCCATTAAACTACCTTTTGAAAGCTATCAAACCGTAATACTAAATTGAATTGAGCATGTATAAATATTCTTTAAATTAAAAAATCAAAGTAAATATTGGATTAGTGGTCATTTGCATGTCAAATATTCTGCAGTTTTTCCTCATTCAAAAGACTCAAAAGAAGATGTTACTCACTTTTTGGCACTAGACAAATGTTTACCAAACAGAGATTTCTTGCAAATTATTCCTTTTTGCAAAAAATCTTGGAATTTATAAGAGGAAGATAACATTCAAAATAGTTAACTAGACCAAGATGAAAAAGATGATATTGATCAAGAAATAGAGCTTTTTTATGACGAAGAATGGTTAGTGATCTAAAAAAGTGTGTACGAAACATTTAACTATCATCAGAAATAAGATTTCTTTAATTTATAAAATAAGTAAATTCAACATTTATTTAAAAATGATATTTATTTGAAATATTTAAAATTAAGTTAAATCTAATTGAAAGATGTTGATTTCTAGAAAAAAGTTTAAGATTAAATTATTAAAAATAAAAATTATTTTGAAAATAAAATTCTAAAAATCCCTCTTAATTTCAAAATAACTTGTACTCCTTATTCAGGCCCATCTGACTAAAGTAAAATTAATATTGTAAAAAATAAAAATATCAATTTATAATTATTTTAAAGCCTGCATGCCAGATAAATTAGATTTAAATAATTAAACTCTTGATTATTTAAATCTTTTAGGAGTTAGCTATGAAAGGCTAAGAGATCTTTTGTTCTATGATAACGGTATTTATATATTTAAAAATATTAAGAATATCTTCTTAAATTTTTTTAAAAATAGAAAAACCTTAGCAAATGCTTAATCAAAATGCAACTATAAACTATAATAGTCATTTTGTAATAAAAAATAAAGATGAAATAGACCTCAATGATAGTGATGATTAATAAGAGTAAAAATAAATATAAACTAAATAGGATAGTCATTAACCAAATTAAATTGTTTAGAATTTAAAAGAAGATATAAATTAAATATAAAAATCTTCATAATAATAACAAAATAATGATAAAAATAAATAAGTATTTACTGACTCGTCTTCTATTAAAATAGATGAATTACCTTTTCTTTGATTATAATTTTATTTCTAATAAATAATAAATTTCAATCCATGTTGTGCAAAACAAAATTATAAAATATTTCAATTAAATTTTAGAATAAAAATTGTAAAATATTTCAATTAAATTTTAGAATAAAATAAAATAATAAATTTATATATTTATTAAAAGAAAAAAAGTATTTTATTTACAGAAGCTAAAACTTAAAATTAAATTTCGTTTAATTCAATTTATAAATACAATTTTTGCATCAAAAGTAAAATTAAAATTACATAAAATGAATTAATTTATTTAAAATATTGAAAAAATTCTTTGATTATCAGTAATGCTTTTTATTATTTTTTTTTATTACTTTAAGCAATAGAAAAAAAATAGAAAATGAAGAGAAATTTTAGAAAGTATAAATTATTATGTAAACGAATTTTGTTTATATAAATTCAATTTTTTTGTAAATTAAGAAAATAACTATCTGATGAATTTTGTTAATGAATTATATTTTGCATTTATTTTATTATAAAAATAAAAAAAGTATTTAATTTCTAGAAACTCTTACTAAAAATTTAATTTTTGTTCCAATTTATAAATTCAATTTTTGCATCAAAAAGTAAAATTAAAATTTCATAAAATGAATTTATTTATTTATTTACAATTAAAAGATAGAATAAAAGTACTTTAATTTTTCAGTAATGCTTTTTATTATAATTTACATTAAGCAATAGACAAAAAAAAGAAAATAAAAAGAAATTTTAGAAAGTTTTAATTATTATTAATCAAAAATTTTAGTAAATTAAGAAGATAATAAAATAACTACCTGATGAATTTTGTGAATGAATTATTTTTTTCATTTATTTTATTGTAAATCAAAATTGTAAATTTAATCTTTGAATCATATTTCTTACAAATAAAGACATAATTTACATATCAATCTCAACAAAATATAATGATGTGATATTGATTTTTGAATGAATTTTGCCTTTAAAAATGAAGCATAGTAATTTTATAATTTATAAATCATCAATAAATCTATTTAATAATCAAAAGAAAATAAGAATAAATGCTCAAGTCTTCTGCACACAAGAAAACTATTCTGATTGTAAAAATTTTTATATGAGTAAAAAATTAAATTTTAATTTTTTATTTAGGTTGGTGGCAGCTTTGGAGGTTTAACCGCTATTTAATATCTAAATAGTGATTTCAATGTGATTTTGATTGATAGAAAATCATTTTTTGAGGTAAAATTCTTTTAAATGAAAAAAAATATTAATTTTTATTTTTTAATATAGTATACTCCAAACTACCCTTTTACTTTACTTGATTCAAATTATATAGATGGAATGACCATTACTTTGTAAGATTTTGCTAAAACTCATAAATGCTAATTTATATAAGGGACATTAGAGTAATTATTTCAAGATAAAGCTTTAATTAAACAGCCTAATGAAGAAATACTGGAAATTTCGTTTGACTATTGTGTAATATCTACTGGCTCTTAGTATGCTTCATCTATAAAGCCTGAAAAATAAATATAAACAATACAACAGAGGAAAGAATAAATAACACAATAAATTCAAAATCTTTTAAACTTCAAAAAAGTTTTAGTTATAGGAGGGTAAATATTTTGAACTAATTATTATTAATTAATTATTTCATGTTTTTTAATTAATTAGAGGCCCTGTAGGTGTAGAAATAGCAGGTGTGTTATCAGATCATTACAAAAATCTCAAAGTACATTTATGGAGTAGGTCTAAAGATCTACTTTCATCATTCCCTGAGAAGTCAAGAATATTAGCAGATTAAATGCTTAGGAAATAAGGTGTGGCTATAGAGTATAACAAAGAAGTTAAGGAATTGCCAATATAAGGTAAATTTCTCTTACAATTATATAAAGCTAAAAATATTGATTGCTCTAATATATTTAATTTAAAGAATTTGATTAAGTATTTGATTGCAGAGGAAATGTTTATGCTCCTAATTTTATGATTGGTGAATTCTCATAATGTAAATATTTTTAGAAATTTTAATCAATAAATGAAATATATACAACCCATAAGTTATTTGGAATGTTTAAATTAATAAAAATAAATATAAAAGATGTTGATTCGTAAGGAAGAATTCAAGTAGATGAATATTGTAGATTGAAAAACCATAAAAACATATTTTGTATTGGAGATGCTTGCCTAACACCTAATAACGAATCTAAAATGTGCTATAATGCTGCTATTCAAGGTTAATTTACAGGACAAAATATTATTAGCTTAGAAAAAAAAAGTAAATGTCTAAAAAAGTAAGTTTTTTATTTGAAAAATGGGAAAATTATTTATTTATTATTTAAATAATTAAAGATTAGAGGGAACTGCTAATGTTTTTCTAATAACAATTAATTAAAAAGAAGCTATTTAATGCTTTGGCAGTAGGGTTTCTCAGACCTCTACTAGTAACAAGCACTCTTATCAAAATAAAGCAATTAAATCTCTTTAAGGATCTTATTTTTACTCATTTGTATCAAGCTTCTCAAGAAGAATAATTATATTAATTTCTGGATGTTCAAAAAAAAAGTAACCTTAAGAAAATAAATAAAGTTGATTTTATAAATAAGTAGCAAGTTACATACAGACAGACAGGCTGAATGATAAAATATTTGAATAAATTTTTGATTAAGATCATATAAAAATAATAAATAAATTACATATTAAAACGAATATAAATTAATTGTATTGGTATATATAATTTGTATCAAATTTTATTGTTTTCATTTTCATCAATAGATTAGTTTCTAAGTATTCGATATTAAATTTATATAAAGATAATAAATACCTTTAATAAAGAGAATAAGATTTTAAAGTCAATTATTTAATGATCTAATAATTTAAAAACTGTAGAAATTGTTTGTTTTATTAAATTGAGTAAATTAGACATTTTAACTAAGATAATGACATCAATAACATAATACCTAATGACATTAAAAATTATTATATTTGATTGAATTTTGACAGATAATTAAAACATAATTTTTTATCAAACAAAAAATCAAGGCTAAAATAGACAATTATCGAATAAGCTGACATTAATTTTTTATAAAATACTGATAAAATATAAGGAAATTCAGTATTAAAATAAAGTTTAATCAAATTTTTGTAAAACAGCATGTATTATTTTTAATGCCTGATTATTTCTGCTTTAATTTTGGGTATCTATTTGAATTTTTGTAGGCAATAAAAGTCAATAATAGTACTTAGTATAATTCAATAATAATTAAGAATTAAAAACTAAACTATTAAAGTCAATAAACTAAAATAAAAAGATATTAATTAACATCACAAATGGGATAATCTAATTCAACTAAAAAGACTGTGCTAATCGTAATATATTTTATCTGCTTATATAAATAAGTATTCTCATTATTTTTTGATTTTATCATAGATAGGTGGGAGCTTTGGTGGTTTAACTGCTGCAAAAATTTTAGCAAAAAAATTTAATGTAATTGTCGTTGATAAAAAAACATTCTTTGAAGTAAAATACAATTATTTTTAGACATTTAAATTGAATATCATTTTAATATTTAAAGTTTACTCCCTCCTTCCACTATGCCCTCTAAAATCCTGATTACATTGATAGAATAACTGCAGATATTTAAAACTACGCAAATAAAAATAACTTTAAATTTATTAGAGCATCTGTTACTAAACTAGATTCCAACTAAGCAACTCTTTAAGAATCTAAAGATAATTTCTAAACGGTGTTATTCGATTATTGTATTATTGCTACAGGTTCAAACTATGCTTCATCTGTCAAATCTACTGAAGAAATTTAGACACTTTAACAAAGAAAGGAATAAATGAAATAATTAATAGACAAATTTAATAAAAGTAAAAAGGTGCTTGTTGTTGGAGGGTAAATTATTATCTTAATTAATCAAATATATATAATATTATTAAAAATTAATCGTTATTAATTAATTAATAAATTTAAATAAAAAATATATTTTTCAATTTGTAGTTTAAAATTAATATTCCTTTTTTATCTATAATAGAGGTGCTGTTGGTGTTGAAATAGCTGGATTAGTCAAGGATTAATTCAAGCACTTATAAGTAGAACTCTGGACTAAGCCATAAGAGCTATTACCTTAATTCCCAAAAAGAGCTAGAAGGTTAGCAGATAGTGCACTAAAAAAATTAGGTATTAAAATAGAATATGGAAAAGCAATTGAAAAACTACCTGAATCATGTAATTTTATTTTTTTGATAAAATAAAAATTTATTAATTATTATTTATAATTATTAGAATATGACTATATTTTTGATTGTAGAGGAAATATTTATTCTCCAAGTTTCATGATGAATGAAGTTTTCAAATAATGTAAATAAAAATATTTCTAAAAAATAATTATAAACTAACAATTATTCATGTTAATAGATGTTGACTCAAAAGGAAGAATAGTGGTTGATTAATTCATGAGATTAGAGAATCATAAGCACATATTTTGTATTGGTGACGCCTGCATAACTCCTAATGATGAACCCAAAATGAGTTATAATGCTAGTATTTAAGGATAGTTTGCTGCCTAAAATATTATTAAGACTGAAAACAATGACACCTCTTTAAAAAGGTTTTTATTTAATTTATTTATAAAATCTAAACTAAAATTTTATTAATATTGAAAATAGATTAGTTGATTCTTCTAATATCTACAATATCACTACTTCAAAAAAATAAGCCATACTTTGTTTAGGAGAAAAGATTGCATTTGAGTCTATTACAGTATATTACACAAAAATGATGATTGAAATTATAACATGTTAATCTTTCAAGGGATCATCATTCTATGGTGTTGTAGGAGATATGTAAAAATCGCTTTTAATCTTTATGGCTTATGTTTTTAGCAAAATTAATAGAAAAAAATATTAAAACTAAAATTTAGATTCTTCCACACATTATTAAAAGTTAAAATGAATTGTTATATTGTTTTTTATATATTTTATATTATTTTAACTATGTTTACTTATACTATGATTGAAATACAATGAATTTAAAGAGTAAAGTTATTTATAAATTTATCCAATAATCTCACAGAATTTATTCTAAAATATTCATTCAAAAATAAACTTAAAATTTAGAAAACTCAGAATTTTCGAATATTTTCTGATATTTTTATTCAAATTAATAATATTCTGCAATATCATTTTAACTAGTATGTAATGGTATTTCTAATAATTTAAATTATAATTTTTTACTGATTCATTAATGTATTGATTGTACATAATTTCATTTATAATTTTTGACTTAATAAATCAAAAAACATCTTAATTTTCTAATTGGTGACAAGATGATTTTTTGAGAAACTTAGAAAAAAATGTTTTATGATATTTTTCTGAATTTTTAATACCAGAGCTTTCATAATAATTTCAATTTATAATGTTTTAATATCCACCAAAAATCTACAAAATAACTGATATTAAATTAAATATTTATCATAAAACTAAATGAAAATGAATTTGATTTAAAATGAAAAACTGCGAATATTTCTAACTTTAGGCTTAAAATTGGAATAAGGCTAATTTATGCATAATCATTTACTTGAAAGAATGAATCATACAGCAAAGGTATATTAAATCCTTGAAAATAGGAATAAATTGCAGTCTTTATTTATAGTTAGTGGTAGAGGTAATGGGATAAAAATCGAATCAAATGAGATGGCTTCCTATCTTTAATCTAAGATAAAAAAAAATAGTACAATTCTTTAAGAAAATAAATCAATGAATACAGCCGAAAATTTAATTTTCTCTTACTTTTTATTATGGAAACTTTACAACAAGTAGTAATCAATTAGAGACTTTGAGATGCACATAGTGACTTCTGATTATCATATAGAAAGAACATAAATACTTTACTACACTTTTAGGCCTAATTTTTAGAAAGCATTCTCACAAATAAATTTAGAAAATATATATTTTCATCCATCCCCAACATAGATGCAGAAAGAAATAATCAACTATAGATTCATAATTAACTAAATTTAATAGTATACAAATCCTGCTTTAATAAATTGGAAATAATTCGCTAAGGAGAGATAATTTGAAAATTAAGATTTAGATTTGATTGAAGAATTTTCAAGCTATTTAATAAAATGATTACTTTTTAAATATTAAAAAGCATTAAATTTATATTTCTAGGATTTTAACGAAATTTAAATTTATATTTTTAAATGTAAAGAAAAAAGGTTGATTAAATTACTAAAAGAAATTCATTTTAATATTTTAATGACATAGTTTACTTCTGTTTTATTTAAAAATTAGATATCCAATCTAAAAACCTAAATAAAATATTCCTAGAAAATGTTAATCTTAACTGTATTTATTGTGATAAAAATCACAGTGTAAATTTTTTTCAAAATAATATTTTATTTTATGTTATAAAAATTCTGCTTTAATTATTTAAAATATCAAAGTCTATCATAAAAATGGATATTTTTTATTAGAAATTGAGCTGTGATTTCATTAAACAAAAAGAAAGGCTTAATAACAAAAAATAAATTACGAATATCTTTTGCATTATAATTGTTAAAATTGATTACTTTATATTCAAATGTTGATAAAGTTAAATTTTTATAACTAAAAATTTTTGAATAGATTTATTTCAAATAAATTATTAAATAATCTAACAAAATTTTTAATTTTATGAATTATATTTATTTTTAATGCACATTTTTGATCTTTTTATATATTTATTTTAATTTATGAATTTTACATTTGCTAAATTTCAATAAATTAAAATCAGTTATTATTTGATAAAGAATTTTACTCATTAAATTTATCTAAAGAATGTTCTTACTTATTTCTTAATTAGAATGAAAATCACAAAAAACAATTTACACTTTAAAATATAATAAATTTCTGCATAATTTTTAAATTCTTAGATCAATAATTTTCTTTTTGTTTGAAAGTCAGATAAATACAAAAGAATACTTTAATTTATATAATAATTAAAAAAAATAAAACTAAATACCAAAATACACTTAAACCAAGGGTTAATAAAATATCTACATTTTTATATAAAAATAAAATTAGAAACTATTGATTTCAGTTATCAAAATAAATTAAAGTTTATAATTATATTTTTGTAAATAGAACACAATAAATCTTGTTTAATTTAGCTACAAATCAAGAAATTTGTTATTCAAACTTACAATATTAGAGTGTCAGGCTAAATACAAATAAAATTTGGATAAAATTAAATTAAACATGAAAAATATTATTTTATATAAATAGAGTAAAAAAAATGGAAAAAGGTTAGATGACTAATAAAACCTATTACAAATTTCGAATCTTATTGATTAATAAATTATTATATATGGTCACTAATTGAGGGGAAAATTTCTAAATAAAAGAATTAGCAAGATCTTTGATAAATAAATCTAAATTTTATTAATTAATTTGATTTTTTTTTTTTTGGATCGGAAAATGAAAATGTAGATGATTGATTTATTTAAAATGTAATTAAGTTATTTGTCTAAAATTCTTTTAATCAAATAATTTTCAGTAATATCTAGTAGAATTATAGGATAGTAATAAAATTAACCGTATGTTAATGTAAAAAGAGCAAAGAAAGTGATGGATAAATGTGTTTTTCTAAGCAAAAAAAGATTAAAATAATTATTTAAATAACTTTCTTTGATATAAAAAATTACATTGAAAGATTTAATAAATAGAGAGTGATATATATTTTATTATACAGTAATTAATCTCATAAATTATATAAATTTGTTAAAAAGTGTTTATAAATAATTTTATTTATTGTATGTATCCTACTACTTTAACTCATCCTTTATTTATTATTTACTATTTTCCACTTAGAACATTTTTAAATTTCTTGGTGATTTTAGTATTAGTTTCTCATTTATTTTATAGAAAATGAATGAATTTTAGTTGATTTTTTTAGGACAAATTAGATAATGGTTGAGTATGTTAGCAAGTGGGTATATTAATGATTCTATTATTTCAGTTATTTTGTTATGATGTTATTTTAAATAATTATTCTTTTGCAAATAGATTTCAGCATTCAGTAGCAGAAAAATATCTTGGTCTTTTTATTTTCCTTTTGGGAAGAGCGAGTAAGGCCACTCTGAAGCTTGTTTTATGCTATTAAGGTATTTTCATAATGATTCATTGGTTAAAATCCATTGAGATAATGCTAAGTACTTTGAGAATTGTTGCATTAAGAGTATATATTTATGTTACTGTTATTTTAGTTTCCAAAAGCGCTATTGAGAATATTTTAAACATAAACAAAGTTGTGTATATTCTCATTAAACTAAGTTATAGTTATGTTATATTTAGAGCAGAACATATTTACATACCCACAAAGATCATCGTAAGATGCAATTATGGCTGGGGCAAGAGCTCTTCTGACTCTATCATCAATATTAGCAGAGGAGTGGATGATATTTTCTAAATCTTCTCCATAAAAACCAAGCATTTCATCTTTAAACTAATTTATGCAGTCCATTCCAAAAATCAAGTTAGACCAACAAATGTTTTCAATAAAAGGAGAAAGATCCTTTATCAATTACAGACGTCCTTGAGATTAGCTAATTACCTAAGCATGGTCCTTCACTACATCGCATTTTCTTATAATTGACTCAGCAGCGCGAACATTCAGTATATTTTCAATGATAGAAGAGAGCTGATGTATTTCTTACTACTAATTTCTTGTATTCTACTAGCTGTTTTATATGCTAAGTAATAAATCTTTTTCCTTTTGCAAAATGACTGCTTGTCGACTGCAGTTATAATCGTTCAGCTTCATTTTAATTAAAGTACACATGTAAATAATTTTTGACTAATCAAGCTATTTTCTGTTTTGAGATCTGCTTTAACCCATCTATCTTAACCTTAAATATATTTTTGGGTGTTTTAGAATTAAGATTGAATAAACCAAGTAGATTGATTGATTGCTTTACTATTTTCTTTATTGTTTTTTGATTTTTTTGATTTTAGTAATATTTAATATTTTTTTAGATAGCTTCCTGGCTTACAATTAAAAGTTAGAAGTGGATAAGTATTTTTGAATTAATTTATTTATTTATTTTTTTCTTCATTCAATTTATCAAAAATCCCCATCAAATTTATTTAAATTAGGTGATGAAAAATATATTCTTACTCTTTTTTCATTCAATTATTTATTTTCCCATGGTAATTAATATTCAAAGCATTTCGTAACATCCCATCCCATACTACTAATAAGTATTTATTTTTCAATATTATTTATATATTTATTTATTATTTGCTTATGTAATTTTATTATTCTACCAAAGTTCTAAAACCACTATTTCAAAGTAAGAAAGAGGTTATATTATTTCAACTAAATAGGTATTTTGGAATCCATTGGTAATATTAAATTTTTAAACTTAAGCTAAGCTGAAAATTCATATAAAAATTAGTTTCAGCTTACAATAATTTTACCAAAAGCTTAAGTAAATTTTTATAAACTATAACTATTATTTTAATGCCACAATCACTAATTTCCCACCAAATTTTAAATTTATTTTTTAATCAATGAGTCAAAAATAAAAAATCAACAAATAATTTAACCCTAGTACAAATATTTAAAGAAATTTCTTATTTTTTTCACTTTAGCTAATTGAATGAATGCAAAAATATTAAAGATTTATATTCTTCTGTTTTTTTAGAAACAACAATAACAGCAAAAAAAATCCTCGAATAAAAAAAATAATTAGGCTCACACTCTAATTATGTTTAAAAATGAGAAATTTGTTTGTCTACAACATTTATTGACTTCTCTCTTCTCTATAAATTGTCTAATCCATAATATTTCTCAATTTCTACTAATTATAGAATGTTAAAATGATTAACTCTATTCTCTTAAATTTAAAAATAACTGACATAGATAAGCATCACATTGCTTCTGTTTTATTCTGATATATCGAAGAAAATAAAAATAAAAATCTATTCCTTTTATTCTTGATAGTTTCTATCAAGCTATCTTATTTGCTAAATCAAAATAAATAGAATAGATATAAAAATTTCTCTCCTATAGTTAAATATTACTAAAAAAGCAATTTTCAGATTAAGCTAAAATTGTTTCTACATTTCTTTTTAGTAAAATAAACTTACATTTCATAGATAAATTTATTATTTATGACATATAAATATAAGATGTTTGTTTTTTATTAATTTGAAATTTTGACATTTTTAAAAATCTGACAAATGGCATTTTAAAAAGCTTAAAATAGATAAAAATTTAAAAAAGAAGATTTCTTTATTTATTAAAAATATTTGCATTTGGTAAATTTCTTTATTTTTCTTATTTAAATTAATACCATTTTTCATTTTCTTTAGAAGAAGATATTATCTGTAAAATAAACTTATAATTTAGATTATTAAATATAATTGATTGTAAGATTAAAAAATAAATTAATTAGTTTTTTATGATTAAAAAAAACAACAATTTTATTCATAAAAATAAATTTATAAATTTGTTGACTTAACTTATTTATTTTTATTAAAATTAATGAGGTAAGTTACAAAGTAAAACAAATATATTTATTTTAATTATTTTGTTTTATTTTTAAATTAAATAAATAGGGTTAATAAAAATTAGAGTTATTTAGTTATTAGTTGCTATATTTTTTTAAAAGGTTAAAATAAAAAATTTAGTAAATTTGAATAAAAATAATACCCTGCTAATTTTTCTATCAAAAAAATATTTTTGTAAATATCATTAATCTATTTTAATATGTTAAAGATAAATTAACTCAAATGTGATGAAAGATAGGAGATTTTATTCAATCATTTTATAAATATAGTCAAAAGAATGGTAATAAAATATTCGTTATTATTTGGTAAGCTATAAATTCAATTATTCAAATAATAATCAAAAGAAATATGATCGATTGGTTGGGTTTTGAAGGTCATTCAAAGATTTAATGACAATGATATCTGCTTGATTTATTGGTAAATAGAAATTGAATGATTATAAAAAACCTTTAATTTTGATTAATTAAATACCAACTTTATGACAAAATTCAAAGTTAAAATCTGAATGTTTAGAAAATTTAACTTATATTAATTTTTCACTTTGCAAAAAAGAAAGAAAATCAATAGCTTTGAATTTGGTTATTTCATTAAAATAAAAATAGTTAAAAGCAGCAATTTTCATTAAGTCTTTCTAAGTAGCTGAAATATAATAGAATTAATCTTATCTGTCTTCATTTTAATGTTTAGGAAATAAGATTTTAAAAAACTAGATCTTTTAGGATCTGGCAAAAAGCATACAAAGATATTCAAAGTATAGCATTTGTAAACAGGTAAAATATATGCTTTGAAGGAGATAGAAGCGAAAACTTTAGACAAGTTGAATGAATATAAAGAAGAAGCAGTCTAACTATCAAAAGTGTAGAATTGCAATAATGTTATCAAATTTCATGGATACTACTTTTCGGAAACTTAGTATTAAACATTTCGTTTGGGAATTATTACAGAATTTATGGATCACAATACTAATTTAGAAATGATATATAGAAAGCGTAAGAAATTAGGAATATAATGGAAGGAATCTGAACTTGTTACCATTATGTTCTCTCTTATATCTGTGTGCTCACTCCTTTAGCAAAAAGGTAAACTTTCTAAGATGTTAAATAGATAGCCATTTCTTTAACTTTCTCAATATATAATATAGGAATTTGCCACAGAGATATTAAGCCTGCTAATATATTTATAATGGAAAATGGAGAAGTCAAATTAATTGACTTTGGCGAGAGCAAAGATTATTTTTATGATCCAGAAGATGAGTCAAAAAATACTTACACCGTAAGTTTTTTATCATTTAAAATATTTTTCTAAGATTTCAAAAAAAACTTCTAGCATGATCTTCTATCATAACAATTATAATCAATCAAGTGATTGATTGATAAATTTATAGATTTTTAATAATCCGTTAATAATCAAAATGCACAAAAGTTATTGCTATTTTAGCACAAATTAAAAAATATGAAGTCAAAAATATTAATTTGTTAAGCTAAAAGCAAACATATTTTAGATGCATGCTTATTTAAAAACATCCATATAATTTAAATTAAAATAATTTTAACAGATGGCTACAATCAGAGGAACTCCTCAATATCTGTCTCCTATTTTATGGAAGGCTCATGTAGTAGATGGAAATTCTCGCTACGTTGAACATAATATCTATAAGTCAGATGTTTTTTCTAGCGGATTGTTGATTTACTAACTTGCCGCTATCGAAGAAGTAACTGGATTTAATAATAAGACACCTCAAACAGATGGTGAATAACTGATTAAATAAGCTCTCATTGAATTAGAAAAGAAGTACTCTAATTAATTTGTAAATATCATTGCTCTTATGTTAATCTTTGAAGAGAGTGGTCGTCCAAGCTTTGTCGAAATTGAGTAGTTATTCATTGAGCATGAAAACTAAGCTCGCGAAACAGCTAATTTAAAAGAACCAAAAAAGCGTAAACTAAATGAATATATTCGCATGTATAACTAATAATTTAATACGCTTCTAAAAGCTTAGCCAATTGGTAGTTAATCAGTATCTAAATCTACTTAACTGATATCATAGTAGCAAAGTAATAATTTATCAAAACAAAGCAATAAAGAAAATTAAAATATCAATGGAGATTCCAATACAAATGGAAATCCTACGAGCACAAAATCTGCAATTAACAAAGAAAATTATGGATAATTTTATAAAGAATCAACTTTAATATTAAACGAAAACTGCTACTGGTTTGAATTCGGAGGATCATCAATAGGAAAATTCTCCATTCACAAATAAAAGTGGAAAATTGCTTAAAATCCAGACAAAACCAATTTCCCCTATCATTTTTCTACAATTTATATTCCTGAATAAAAAGGCTACTTTTTGCTAGGAGGATAAAGTAATATCAATTTTAGAACTTTTGTCAACGGAAAAATGGCTATTTCCAAAAATCCTATGCCAGTCATAAAGAACTTCTTTCCTGCAGTATATTACAGTCATCGTGTATACACTTTCGGAGGATACGATTCAAATTTAAAAGTGTAGCTTTCATCATGTGAATGCTATAATATATAAGCAGAAAAATGGTAATCGATAGGAGATTTAATTATTCCTAGAAGCTAATCCGCAGGATGCAGGATTAATGACAACGAAATATTAATATTTGGTGGTTACAATAAAGAAAAGGGAACTCTAGATTCTATAGAAAGATATCTAATTAATGAAAATAAATTTGAGGTTACCAACATCAAGCTTCCAATACCCTTAAGAAGATTTATGGTAGTTCGTGTTTCAAATAATAATGCCCTCATATTGGGAGGACTAACTAAATTTTCAAAGGAATCATAAAAAGTCTTTAAACTTGAATATGATAAGAAAGAAATTATAGAGCTAGAATCCTTAGAAAAAGGAGGAGTTATAGAAAATGAAATACTTGTAGATAATGAAGATTATATGCACATATTTTTAGAACATGCGAACGGAACTTCTCCTCATTCTCATATAAAATACTACTACGATCCAAAAGCTACAAGATATGTTACAAAACAAGAATGATTAAAATAATATCAAACAAATTCATAAATATTGTGATAAATGCTAATTAACTAATCCTTAAAAAACGAATAATATATTATAAATTTAATTTTCATGCACTGAATCATCATTACATACAACTTAAATTGTATTTTTATATATAAAAACGATTTACTTTTTGTACGTACTTTCATGTAAAATATTGATATTTTTTTAAATAAAAATGTTCTTTCTATTTTTCTTTAATTGATGGTTTATTTATTTTATAATTTAATATTAAATATGACTGACAGCGTTTATATTTAACACAAATTATAATTTATATAATAAAAAAATTACCATTTTTATTTTAATATAATAGTTTTAATAGTAAATAAGTTGTTTTATTTATATTAAGTTTCAATCAAACAAAAAGAAAGCAAAAAATTTATTTTATTTCAAGCTGCTTGTTGTGAATCACATTTCATTCATTATAAGCTTTTAAAGTATTTATTAAAGTCATTGTTTTAATAGTATTTGTTTGTAGCGCAATATTCGTAGAAGTGCTTGAATTCACTATATTTATCTTCAGGTACTCTGCCAAATACTGATTAGAATTCGGAAATCAACTTCTTATAGCAAGTAAAGTTGGTTGATTTATGATTCATGTTTCCAAGTGTTGAGAAGTCTTTAGAGAATCTGTCGAACAAGTTTTAGAATTATTTGCTCTTTTCTAAGGCTTGGACGATAAGCATTTTGTTTTCAGCAGTTGGGTTTTTTTTGTATTTATTCTGAAGGTAATTCATGTAAACATCTCTGGAATTTACTAAGTTAAGCTTTGTACTTTCTAAGGCTTTCTTGTATTTTAATTCTTCTTCAAGTCCGATGTTAAACATTCTTTTGAAGAAATCAGCAATTGGTGTAATCAAGTTAGAAAAGATGAAGTTATGAGTTGTTCCACTAAGGTAATCTCCAGTAGCTTCGTATTTGAATGTCAAAGCTAAATTACCCCATTGCATAACTTGAGAAAGATTAGTTTCTTCCTTTATAACTTCAAATTACTTCTAAAGTGGGTAGTGAGAAAGGCTCTTATGATTGTCAGTGTCTTCCATCCAATTTACAGAGAATAAGTCTCCCAAACATGATCCAATGTTTACGTTATTAACAACAGCTTGATCACCACTTTTAATTTAAATTGAGGGTTTATTGATTAAAAAAAGTGTAATTAGATAAGTAAATTTTTCAAATCAAAAAAATTTCAGGAATTAATTGTAGACTTTGTTTTCAAAATAAATGGAAATATTTTTTAGGAGTTATTAATGTTTTTAGTAAATTAAGTTTCTTTATTTTAAAAAAGAATTCAAATTTATTCAAAAAAAATAATACCAATAAGCTGCCCAAGAGGACTCATCAGGACTAGCAGCAGAAAGAGCGTAAATATTGAGATTTTTAGATAAATCAACAAACATGGAACCTGATTCACAAGCTTCCAAGTAGTAAACTAGTCTTTAGTACTTTTTGTTTGTGTGCATGTATTAGAAGGTATTTAATAAATCTGTAGCATAAAGATAATCTGAAGGGAATGCAATCAAACCAGGAGCGCCATGATCATAAAATGATAAAAATACCTTTTATTTAAATGTGTATTTTTAAATATTGTTTGTTCCTAAATTAATTTTTCAATAAAAAAATATAATAATGTGAGTTATTTATTACATGATCCTAAGGACCAGATTCGAGAACTCTTCCATTTCCTCCAGTTACTTTATCTTTTCTACCTTCAAGTATAGCCAAGTAGTTTTAAGGATTAACATCTTCACCTTAGTAGTCGATAACGCAGCCTTAGTTCACATCTACACCCTAGCCATTTACGTCAGGCTTATTGAAAAGCTTTCCAGGGAAAGGATTTTGAGGGTCGTTGGCTACATCATTGTATGACATCACAATGATATTTTCAGCTTTGTATCCTTTATTTAAAAGTGTATGATAACCATGACACACATCAGATTAGTGTCTGTAATTATAGTAATAGTTTGACCCAGCAACTAAAACTGCATAATTTGCAGCCATAGCGCAAGATAAAAGAGTCAACCCAATAATAATTAATTTATTCATACTTTTTTTTTATATTAGGAATTAATTTAATTAATAATTATTTCTAAAATTTTTATAACTTGAGGTAGGATTTAAAACAACAATTTACTCTAATAAATATATTTGTAAGTAGTATTTCCACATTATCACATTATGTCAAAATTATTTGAATGTGTTCTTAATCCATATCAAACAAAGATTATATTGTTTATTCAAACATTTTGAAGAATTAAATTGAAATATTTCAAGCAGCATTAGTGTAATTTGTTTAAATCTCTTAAAAAATACCACAAATTGAAAATAAATCCAAATAGATAGTTAGTAGAGACAATTAGAATATTTCCAGAACTTTTTATTAGATTACGCTATATTTTTTATCATCTATTATATATAAAAATTGCTAATTATCATTTATTAATTTAAATAAATTCTTTCATAAAATAATAGGAAAAATACAAATTTTTTTTGCAATTTGGTGGTAATATTATTATTAGTTACTTATATTTTGTTATCATAGTTGTTGTTTAAATATCAAAAGTGGTTTATTATTTTATTTATATTAAAGCTTATATTTAAATACTCCTGCTTAGATTTTGTAAATTAGCTAATTTTTAATTAACAAAGGTGATAGGTAGCATTATAATTACATTATACTTCAAAATCTTTTATATAACAAAAAAAAATAAAAAATCTTTAACTCTCAAGAATAATCAATCAATTTTAACAAATTTCCAGCATACATCTAAATAGACACAGTGTTATTTGATAATTTGTAAACGAACGAACGAATTTTCTAAAGAAAGAACTCATGATTTTTTTAAAGGTTGTAAATCTAAAGATTAATCTTTTCATAATCCAGAATAAAATAAAAGTGTGTTAGTTAGTTGACAGTTAAAAGTAAGTAAGTAAGTAATATTTGAATTAAAATAGTTTATTTGCAAATATTAAAAGTACTAATATATAAAATGAATTAATAAATGTATTATTTTATATAAAATTATAATCATTTAAATATATTAGTTTCATGCTTGTTTAATGCTCAGAGAATGATTCTCAAAATACTCAGCAGATGGATTAGAAGAATTGGAGAGTATTGACATTAGAGAAACGTTCTTGACCGCAGAATTCGTAGAAGTACTTCAATTCACCCAACTTGGATTCAGGGACCTTACCGCAAGTGCTTTCGAATTAGTCAATTAAGTTAGAGTAGCAAGAGAAGTTAGTGGTTAAGGCATTAGAAGAACCCTTTAAGACGAACTTTTCAGCGAATTAGACGAACTTTCTAGCGAACTTTTCAACCAACTTAAGAGCTTCAGAGAGTTCTTAGAAGTTTTCAGAAGTAGGTTTAGATTAGAATTTGTTGAGTAAGTAGTTAAGAGTAGCTTATCTGGAGTTAAGAAGACCCTTCTTAGGTTGATTGAAAATATTTTCTTCATTACCATAAGCGAAGAAAGCTCTAAGGTAGTTGTTAACCTTCTTAGAGGGAGTAGTGCTACCACTCAAGTAGTCGCCAACAGGTTCACTGGTGAATTCGAGGTCACCCCATTACATAACTTGGGATTCAGTAGTTAAGTTCTTAACGACGACGAATTATTCTTAGAGACTGTAGTTAGAAAGATCAGTATGAGCATCAGTGTCTTCCAACCAGTTAACGGAGAACAAGTCACCCAAACATGAACCAATATTCTTGTTGTTAACAACAGCATCGCTACCGCTATTTAATAAGAAAAGTCAATTATTAGATGTTATCATTTAAGTATAATAAGAATTCATGAAATGTTTAATATAATTTATTAGAATTAACTGCAATTAAATAATTTTCATAAAAGTCTTTTTCTTATTTAGATTATTTATTTATTTATTTTTCTTTTTTTTGTATGCTTGCTTGTAGCATTTATGAAATAAAAGATGTAATAGCTTACCAGTAAGCAGCCCAAGAAGACTCATCAGGACTAGCAGCAGAGAGAGCGTAGATGTTAATGTTAGCAGGTAAATTCTAGAACATGGAACCAGATTCACAGGCTTCCAAGTAGTAGACTAATCTAGCGTACTTGTTGTTGTTGTACATGTAGACGAAAGCATCTTGTAAGTCCTTAGCGTAGAGATATTAGCTAGGGAAAGCAATCAAACCAGGAGCACCGTGGTCGAAGAAAGACAAGAAGACCTATTATTTAAATTGATACAGTTTAAATTGGTACACGAAATAAAATAAAAAAAGTCAAGTGATTTTTAACAATGATTTAAATTAATGTTTTTGTCAATTTTTTTTTACGTGATCATCAGGACCAGATTCAAGAACTCTCTTGTTTCCACCCTTAACTTAATCCTTTAAACCCTTGAGGACAGCAAGATAGTTAGCAGGTGTAACATCTTTACCTTCATAATCGATAACACAACCTTAGTTAACATCAACACCAGGGTTTTTGTAGGTAGGTTTGTTGAAGAGGGTGCCCTTGAAGGGGTTTTATTTGTTGTTAGCAACGTCATTGTAAGAGAAAACGATGATATTGTTAGCACTGTATCCCTTGGCTAAGAGAGTGTGATAGGCATGGCATACATCAGATTGATGTCTGTAGTTACCATAACCATTAGAACCAGCAACTAAGACAGCATAGTTGTCAGCCATGACACCTGCGAAAAGGGTGACTAAAGCAATTAAAACGAGTTTGTTCATTTTAATGTATTTTTTTATTAATTTTTTGATTTATTTGCAAATAATTAATTTCAAATATAATTAATGAGACCTATTTAAAAAATTATGTAAAAAAATATCTTAATGAGTTGAATGAAAAAATTTCTATTAATGGATAGTAATTAATTTTGAGAATATGGTGTTAGTATAAGCAAAAAACTTTTAAGATTCTAATTTACGATTAATTCACAATTAAATCTTTTGTGATTTAAAAAGCATTATTCGGGCAGAAATTTGTTATTTGATTTTGAAATTGATTAATTTACCTAATCAGAGATTAAATGTAAATCAAAGATTTCTTCATATTGCAATGAAAAATATTAATAAATTCTTTTATTAACTAAAAAAGGAGAAACAAATTAGGTAACAAATTTTACAAACCACTTTTAAAAATAAGTTTGCATTTTTTATGAAAACCGTGGAATTTTAGTTATGTATACTAGTTTATATTTTTTATTTTTTAGCAGTAATCTTCATAGAATACAGGAGTAAAATATCTTTCTTCGTTATTTGGAATTCTTTTATTAATTTTGTAATATTTTTTTCCACATAAATTAACATCGTCTACAGCACTACATTAAAACAATATAGTGATTTGAATATATCTAAAAAAAATATCTTTTGAATTTATTTATAAAAATATATAGGATAATTAGTTTAAAAGAAATAATTCGATTAAATAAAAATAAAGTTTCAAAAAGGTTGTATTTATAGTTACACATAATCAGTGTTAGCTTAACATATTGATTAATTCTTTTCAATATTTTAAGTAATTTCTTTCTTTTGATCTTCATTAATTACATTATAAAATGAATGCTTAACTATTTTTTAAATGAACTATATTTTCTAATTAAAAGCAAATCTTGAAGATTTAAGCATGATTAATAATAAATTGTAAACCTTATTAAAAATATGATTAAAAACTATCTTGAAGATTATTATATTAAATATGAATACAAAATATGTTTTTCAAATTAATTTCTTTTATAAATTTATTTCAAAAAGGATTATTATTAATCCATTTTTGATGATCATTTTCATAAGAAAAAAAATAATTATGACTAATGATTACCTATTCTTCAACTTATTTGCTATTGATATTACTATATATAATAGAGTCTGATAAGCAATATAAAACAAGGGATTTGATATAAATATTACTATATATCATATAGTCTGATAAGCAATATAAAAATAAGGGATAAAATTTTTATAATTAAAAACAATGAGAAATATAATTTATTTGAAAGATTAAAATAATTATTGAAAAAAAACATTAATTAACATACAGTATTGATATGGATATTTAATTCTTGCACAAAACAAATAATTGAAAATATTTATTGAAATTTCGGATACAAAAATGCTCGAATTAATTTGTTTATAATATTTTAATGCAAAAATACAATCAATATTTAAATCAATATTATTATTACTTTTACAATTAATTTGCTGGTTAGTTTTTCTATTTTTTATTAAATAAAGGTATTATACAAATTATTCATAAGGCTTTTCTTAGAATTCGCTATAATTAGTTAGTTATTAAGATAATTGTGCTTTTTCTCTTTGTTTTTTTAAAATAATTTTTGTTTTTGTTTAAAGTGAAATCTTTTTATGTTAATTCATTTTTAAAAACTGAAATTTAATAAATAAGTTTAATTATTTAAGAAAAAATAAACCAGAATTCAAAGGAATTTTATTATTAGATTGATCAAAAAGCATTATTATATTTTATTTTAAGATTTTTTTTTCTGTCAAATGCCTGGTAAGATTAGTTTAATTAATTCATGAACAGCAGCTTTCTGATTCAGTTTTCTTTCTAGGACTTTTTTATACTTATAGTTAAAGTGCTTATTGCTACTCTTCCCTTTTTATCGAAGATGGAGACCTTATTAAAGAGTTGTCTAAGTCTAATTTTTGGTCGGATTATATATTTATTAACTCGCTAAAGAATTTATTCGCTATGTCATCTGCTATCTACTAAAAAGCCTACTATATGCCTTCGTTACTTTTTGCTGATGTTTCAAAGTACTAAATTTTATTTTAATTTGCCAAATTTTATATGTCTTGCTTTGGAATTTAATTTTAAGATATATCACATTTGTTTCCAAGGAGAATTCTACATGCTTCTGATCCAGAATATTATTTAATATTTTCGATCCAGTTTGAAAGAGTTTTAAAAGTTTTAGGATCAGTTAAGTCAAAAACTAAAATAATTCCCATCGCTCCTTTATAGAAATTTTAAGTAATAGCTCTGAATCTCTCCTAGCCAGCAGTATCCCAAATCTAAAGCTTTATTTCCTACCCTTTGACAAATAATTTCTTAAATCTATAATCTATACCTATTTTAAAATAAATATATAAGAAATATTTAATCAGGAGTGCAAGCTAGCTAGCACTAATTGTAAATAATGAATATTATTTCCTTAAAATTTTAGCTATTTTCATTTCAATATTACCTAAGGTAGGAATCATGCTTTCTTGAAAAGACCCTTCTGTATATCTTGTCAATATAGATGTTTTACCAACTTTTGCTTCTCCTATGACTAAAACTTTTGCTACAATATCTTTTTTTGATTCTTTCTAGTGCATTATTACGTTTACTTTAAGATACCAACCAACTATGTAACTTTAAATTGGCTTATTTACTAATAAGCGGCTTCTTGAATTAAGAAAAATTTCAACTTTTTCGTTTGCTACTTCGAAATTGATTATTGATGATTTTTTAATTGTATAAAAATTAAAAACAAAAATCTTAAATTTGAGCAAGTAATTAATTAATATATGTAATAGATATATATACAGATTGGTTCTATTATAATTATTATTCTACATAAATAACTTGGTTTATACTCTGAAGCTAATTATGAATTATTTATTATTTTTATTTTCAATTATAAACATACAAATTAAATAGAATATTACTAAATGTATTTAATTTTTTAATAACATATTTAGAAATATTTTTTTATAAGTAGTTTAAAGATAATTTAGAATTATAAAATGATCAGAAAAATATTTTTTGATCTTAAATAAAATCAAATCAACTGTTTTTAAAATCTTCATATTTTCAATCTATTTTTTATAATTTATAAAATTTAGTTAATCATTTTCAATTTAATTTATATAAAAATATTTACAAAATATAAATCAACTCTCCTTTTATTAGAAAATTTAGAAAAAAATTAAGGAATATACTTTAAAATAATGTAAAAGGGGGATAGAAAATGGAGAAAGAAGATTAAAATCATAAACAATAATATTTTTATATACAAAATTATATAAAATTTATAAACTAAACTTTTATTTTAGTGATAGTGATTAATTTTTATAAGAAAACATATTTATTTAGATAATTATTATAGATCGATTGATTTTGAATTTACCAATAAACATTTACTGCTACAATACTAAGCCTCCTTTTTATGTTTTATATTTTATAGTTAAATATTCAAGTATTAAGTACGCCTTTCTTATTTTTATCAACCTTCTAACGCATTTTTTATTAGGTTGATAGTGGTTTAATCTTCTTGCAAACGCTTATAAGGCATTAAATGAACTGTTTTTTTAATGAGGAAAAATCTTCTATAAATATTTTTGTAGACAGAAAAGCAGACTATAACGAAAGCTAAGGCGTAAAAGATACCTCCAAGTGTATAAATTAATATAATTTATTGCGTATAAGAGTTTATAAGGGTTTTAATGTCATTTAACATTTTTTGCTGGATTTGTAATAAAATTAAGTAAGTTAACTAAATTACTTGAAGTTAGTTTTCATATTCAAGTAAGTTGATGCTATCTATAACTAGCTGATTACTCCACTAATCAATTTGTTTCTATCCTACATCATCAGATATTTTACTAATTACTACATTCAAACCTTACTGCATAACGGAATTCATTGCTTTTTAACATAGTTGAACTTATAGTTCTGTAAATACAGACGCTTAAAGACACAGATTAGAATTTTAAATTTAATTAATGTAGCTGTTAAAGCTACTGCTGAAAATATTTTTTTCAGTCAAATACAAAAAATCAGACTAAAAAAATTAAGTAAATGCCTGAAGATCTAGAGCTTTATTTGTGTTAAGAGTTGTTATGTAAGAATCATCCAAAACGCCATATTATGATTTAAAAATTCTGATTACTCTTTAAGTAAAAATTTGATCAGAAGCATAAGCAAAAGATGAATATTTTTAAAGAGAATACACATAGTTTTGATATGTATTTAAAGCAGGATTCAATGAGTTGTTAAATTTAGATATAATAGAATATGCCTTTTATTAAGAATAATTTTTAATATTTATTTATTTATTTTTAGAAAAATATTTAAAAGAAAAATTTATTAAATTAAATTTTATAAAATTAAAAGGTTTTAATAAATAAATAAATTACTATGACGAAGATTGTAATAGAAAATATAAATAATCCTGTGAAGTATAGAGCAAAGTGATAAAGCTTAATCTTTGGATTATTGATTCTCTATGAAAGCATATAATTTTTTTTCATATGGTTCTTTTGAGTTTTATTTTTCAACTATTGATTAAAATGACTTGAAATACCTAAGTCCTCGTTTTATATCTGATTTATATCAAAGTTAGTATATTTAATACTTAAATATTTTTCATCAACCGATTTCATTAGCTACACAATAAACCTACAGAGTATTATTTCTTACTCAGCTTCTTTTTCTGTCATCCTTGAAACACTAAGTAAAACACCTTTAACATATATAGAATATCTCCAAAAAGGATATATAAGCATAGCAAAACAAAAGAAAAGCAAACAACAAGATACAATAATGAAGTTCTAATTTAAATAATCAATGCTGTTTTCTATAGAATTGATTTAAGAATTTGTTCCAGGTTTTATTTAATTTGTAATGACTTACTCAATGGGATAATAATTCATTTTCAAATTATATATCTCATCGATGTATAATTTGATACTTTTCTTTAAGTTTAAAAATATTTATTAATATTATTATTTTTTTTTTTAAATAAATAAAATATTTGATAAAAATTAAAGCTTAGAAAAAATGAACCCATCTCCTCCAAAGAATTTAAAAATAAAAAATCAATAATTCAACCAACCTATGTTTTGGAGGGGGGCTTAACAAAATATTAATATTATTTAGAGTTTTGTTAAAATTTATTTAAAATCTATAATAATAATGATAATAATAATAAGGATAAATGTTTTTATTACTTGTGGAACTTAGCTAAGATAATAAATGTTTTCAAATACTTATTTGACTGATTCAAAAAAGTAAAGATTTTAAGTTACTTATACACCACTTGATTAAATTCTTGATTCAACAATTGTTGAAAGATACTTGTCCTAGAAGCTATACTAAACACTCTAATCTATCATATTAAAAATATTTGATTAAAGTTATTTTAATGAACTTGTTTAGGTTTCATTGCTGAGCAATAGATATTACTAAGTAAAATTAATCATTCTTTCATTGCTCATGGAATAAGCATCGATACTAAGAAGATTTTATGAATAAGGAGTAAGAATTTATGTTGAGATATCAAGCTAATTCGTCAAGTCATTTAATGTTGAATACTAAGAATTGAATATCAAGCAAACTATGGCACAAACCAAACAAAAAAATAATAGCTGGAATCCTATTACTTAGAAAAATAGACTCATAAAAAAAGGCATTTTCTTGCTTTGAGCTGAATAATAAATTCTCTAAATCGTTGTGCTAACTTGGCTGCTTTGACTTGATGCTACACTATTTGCATTTTAGTTCCCTGCCGTGGGTTTTAGTTTAACCTCTTCCTTTAATGTACTTTCATCTTCAAAACTCTGCTGTTAGTTATCTTTATCAACAGTAGCTGCATCCTATTTTTAAGATATTTTATTAAAATAAATAAAAAATTTTTTTTAATTTTACTGATTCTTAGTCGTCATTTTTATTATTGTTATCTTGATTTTATTTACGATTAGAATATTTTGTTGATTCTCTGAGAAACTATAAATTCATAAGAACAGGATTTCCATCCTTCTCATAAGAAGATCCTCTGGTAAGAACTTGCTAACTATTAAATAAAAAGTTAGCTCTGCTTTTATTCTTATCTTAGTTAGGATCTTCTTCATGATCATTGTCATCACCATTATTATTTTATTATAATTATATAAACCTTGAGTTATTTACAATCTAATTAACTCCTTCAACCTCTGTCATATTATTAACCTAAGCCGTAATATTTATTGCATCTGTATCAAAGTTTATGGCTTAGCCACCTTTCATCAAAGGAGAGTTTTTATTTGCAAAATTTAAATTTTAATCTGTCTAAATATTTTCAGTAGCAAATTATTAAGTAATTAAGTTATTTTAGCTTTCTATCCTGTTAAAAGAATTTATTGATTTATCAGGATCACTATCATTGTATTGCTCTTAAATAATAGACATTCTATTTTTTTGCTATTCTTTCGACATAGCATTTTATTTCTAAGACTTCAATACACCTACCTCTTCACTACTTTTTAATTTAACTAATTGATCTTTTGTACCTTACTAGCCGACTTCTTACTTACTTAAACTCTTAGTTAAAGTAGCCTTTGGATTTTTTACTTACTAAGCAGAAGTTAATTCTTACTGCTTAAGTTATACTTGATTTTCTCCAGTTTCTTCTTGCTATTAAGAAATATTACTTCTGTTTGTTTCAACACACATTTGCTAATTATTAATTAACTCCATTCTAGCTGGAAACTATGAGTTAGGTAACTATTTTGTGGTGCCATGGGCATTTGCAACATCAATTTCATCATAAGATCTCCTAAGTTTATTCATTTCATCTTCAGTCATATCTATAACTTCATCGAATCTCTATCCATGATTTTTATTAGGGTTTAAATACTATTCTGTGTTATCTAGAGAAAAGCTAATATTATTATCTTTCTTTAAGATAGAAGTTTATTTTTTTAAATTATCATCGCTATTTAATTTTTATTCTTTTATTTCATTCATATTTATTTAGGATTGGATGACTGGAGAGTTATTGTTATACTTTTATTTGAGGATATTTTCCTATTGATTTTCTTACTTAGTTTTTTAAGGGGAGATATCTTGTCTTGAAGACATAAGCATGGACCTTTAATCTGAATTCATTTCCTGAGTATCGTTGTTTATTGATTAGCCATGTTTGAAGTGGAATTTTTTCTTTATTTAATCTTGTGAGTATTGATGAGTAAACATTGTTGAATTAAATTCAAACGGAGATTTTTTATTACCTTTATAATAATTAGACTACTCCTTCGAAGTTGTATTTACTGATTTATTAGGAATAAAGGAATCTTACTCTGTATTTGTTTTCATAGTTGTCTTTAAGCCATTTTAGATGATTTAGATAGGTTAAATATTTTAAATTTCAATAAGAAAAACAGTAAACGAAAATCCATTTAATAAGTTAAAATCCTCCTGAATCACATTTACTGTCCAGTCAAATATGTACACATCTTCTCTAAAGAATTTTTTGCTTTAGCTCATAAAACTATCTACAAGCTTTGAGTCACTGTAATCTCTTCCTTACATTTTTTTTAGGAAAGATTTATATCCCATAAAATATTTTGAGCAGCCTTTAAGTAAAAAGAAATTTATTTTTATAAATTTTACAACAAAATATTTTTTAAAATATTTTAAATTAAAATTCCATCCAAAAATCAAAATAAATTTTAATTTCAATAGTTTTTTTAAGATTAATTTGTGTATCTATTGAATGAAAACAGAAAAAATTGAGTTACTTTCTGGTATAATCATTGGTAATTTCAGTCCCTCCATTTTAAGTTAAGTTTGATGAAACTTTTTAATTGTTTCTGGTAAATCAGGTAGGAATAGCTGGATAGGAATCTTTTCTAGTAGTTCTTTTGTTACATTTTCATCTAGCTAATTAAAAAATTATAGAAAAGACTTGTTAGTTCCTTCAATTTAGTAACTTGTATTTAAAAGGAGATAGCTTGATTAAGAAGTTAGCTTAAGAATGAGAGCAGAAAAGACAAAATCATCATTGATTTAAAAGTAGTAGTTGACATAGATTTTTATTGGAAACAAAAAGCCTTCTTTGTCTTTTGCAATTGCAATCCTGTATCTTCTCATAATTTTAGGAGTGCCATCAACGATAAGCCTCTCAATGATTTAATCATGATTTGTTGAGATAATACTTGGCATAAGTTGCAATATACTTTTGACACTTGAATCAAAAGCTGTTTTTTTATATCTAATTTATTACAAATTATGAAAGGAAATTACTTTAAAAAAAAGCTAAAATAAAAAATTTGATAAAGAATGTTTGTTTGTTTGCTTGCTTGCTTAAATGTTTGAATGTTTGAAAGATTGATTACCCAAAGAATTAAGGAGTTCTTTCGGAATATTTCAAAATTTTTCCTTTCTCTTTTTTAAAACTAGATATAATTGATATAACATTTCCGTTAAGCACAGTGATTGAGTGTATAAGATTTTAATCTTATGCTAAACTCTTTGCATGTATCTCATCGACTTTTTTCTCTATCTTAGTTGCAAATATTGGATCATTTTAAACTCTTATTCTCATTATAGAGAGCATTTTTAAATAATATAAATTTTGTTAAGAATAACTGAGTTCACTCTTAACCAAACTCTCTAACCTCATAGACTCATCTATTAAGGTAATCATTTGATTTTGCATAGTGTCTAACTCTTCATAGCCTTCTATCATAGATTGCATCAAGTTTACTTTTTGTTCTATCAACAAAATAAGATCTTTTTTAAATTTATCTTTTATTACTTCACTCAAGACAAACTATTCAAAAACTTCATACTAAACTGCTTCCTCCATATCTTTTTTTCTGAATGAGTATTTAAGAGACCTGTTTGTTATTGATAAAAAATAGTTTTCGGTTAATTCATTTCAATTAAAATTTGATGAATATTAAAAAGAAAATTTACTTGTCTTTCTGCTTAATATTGTTTTCAATAAATCTAGTGATTACAATATCGATAACTTTGATAAAATAAGATTTACTAGTAAATTCTTCAAGTTATGATTTGATGGTATATAAACCATTGATTATATTGTGCCTATCGTTTACAAGAAAAAACCAATACTTTATACTCAAATCTTCAATATTATAGTTTCTTTCTTTTTTAGATTTGAAAATCAAGTATCTAAAGTGATAGTTGATAAATTCATATAACCACTTTTAGAATTGCTCTGGCTTATTCATGAGATCTGTGAAGTAAACTCCTTCGATTTCCTAATCATCAGCTTTTTCTAATTTTGCTTCAATTACTTCTTTGATTTGTTGAGGAGAAACAGTATCCCTTTTCTTTCTATTTTTTACTTCTTAATTTTCTTCTTTGACTTTTTCTACACCTAATTCTCGATCTATTCTTTCTTAATCATATTAACATGGACAGAATTTATCAACGCACGTACTTTAATGAGAAGCCAAAATTCCTTTATTTTTAATAAAAATAAATTTAATGTTATTTTAAAAAACAAATTTTAATTTTACCATGCAAAACTAATTTAGCCTGTGAATCAGAATCTTGAAATTTCTAAAAGAGTTAAAGAATTTCATAAAAATGCTGGCAAACTATATTTGGGTAGGACACAGGCTCATCTGAGAGCTTTATAGTGAGAACATGGATATTAATTTACTTATACAGAATAGAAAGGAATCCAAATATAAAAGAAGATCCTATAAATAGTAACTCAAGGTGAAAGGACTCTTGAATGTAATTAGTGAATTCTCTTAATGTCATCAATACAGAGCAGTAAATAAATATTCCTAAAATTTTCAAATAATATCCAGTAAGGTCTGCCCTAAAAAGTGGGAAAAAACTGATGAACTCAAATAAATAATAAGCAATTTTGATATTTATAAATATATAAACATATGTATTATCATGAAAGAAAGCAAGATATTGAGTAATAACAATTAGTGGATACTCTAAGAATTTCACTTCAGAGTATTTCGATTTGAAGGGATTAGATGGAGTGAATTCTGCAGAGTGATTAATTACAAATACTAAAGAGAAGCAAAATATTAGCGATAATATATTTAGTATGCACAATACCGTAATCGTCAAGCTTTCTCCGCTGCTCAAATTTTAAAAGCTAGGCAGATAGCTACAAAGTTATTGATTGGAGCTTTCAAAAGTTATTGGTTATCCTTGTGAAGGATAGGTGCATAAGAATTTAGCAAAAATTATTTCAGTTTTAAGCTGCAATAAAAACCACCGAAATAAATCAATATACATACCTAAAAACATTATTTTATTATAATTCAACTTGTAATTATTTTCATGTATTTTGGTTGATTTTTTTGCAAGCTGGGCAAAGAAATATATAAATAAGATATCAACAAAGAATAGTAATGCAAGATAAGCAGTCGGTACTATAAATCCGGTTGAGAAATATTGTAAAATAGGATTAAATCTTGAGTATATTGTTAATTTCATCCACAACCCAAAAATAGTAGCAGAAGAGCTTCCTTGAGATGCGTTGTTGAAGCTATCTGAATCTAAATTATGTTTAGAACACAAAACAAATAATCCTGTCATTTATATAAAATACCAACAATATATAATCACACCTCGCACTTGCTAGCTGCTTCTCTTTTCGAAGTCTCTCAGGTAGATAAAAGAATAAATATTTGCTAAATACCTTAATTTTGTCAATTCTTCCTTTTGCGTTAATGAAGGCATTTATTTTTAGGCAGATTCAAATTTTGCTTTTCAAATTTTTACAAGGGAGCTATACCTAATTTCTATTTTTCTAAAAACTTCAAGCCTCTAGTGAGTAAAAATGTCTTAGTCTTAAAGTAATCTTACCTATTTTATTTATAAGTTAAAGAAATTTTTAACTCCAAAATTATGTTCTTGCTTTAAAAATATATGTTGTTATTACTGTTTCTCTCTTAGCTTTAGTACTATAAAAGGAGGATTTAATTATTTATTAAAAAGTGAGTAGAATTCTTTTTTAATTTAAAACTTTGGTTTATTTTACAAAAAAATGCGATTCTGTTGAGTGAAAATCTCAATTTTTTAAAAGAATCTTCCCCAAACTATATTAACTCTTGAATTAAAATAAAAAATTAAGCAAATTTATTTTTACCAATCTAACTGAAAATAGTGTACTATAATTTAAATAGCATATTTCTTATTTAATTTTTAAAAATTTAACTAAACAGTTTGCTTCTACTATTTTTATTCAAAGGTCATAACTGCATTGTAAATTATACCTATTTATTTAGCTTTTTCATTTCATTTAATAAAATTGTATGGTTAAAAAATTTAGATAGATTAATTAGTAAATATCTCAAGAAACTTCAGTTCTAAATTTATATGATTTTATTGATTATTATAAAAATTGAATATTTATTATTAAGCCACAGTTTAAATAATTTATTTTAACTCCAAATTTAACATATATTTATTTAATTTGAATTTACATAATCATAAAATTTCCTAAAAAAAGAAAATAATATTGAAGATTCTTAATCAGTTCATTAAATATTTAAATATTCATCCCCTCTATTTATTTTATACTGGACAAGTTTTTTGCAAAATATATTTTGAATAAATAACAAAATTAAATTAAAATTAGTTCAAAATATTAAAATCGATATTTTCGATATTTGTAAATAAGTAAATAACTACCATATTAAGTAAAAGTCATTAAAATTAAAACAAAAATTAAACTTCAATAAATAACTACAAAAAAATCTAATTGTTTACTTTTTATTAATTTTTACCATAATAAATTTATGATTTCTGTTATAAAATATATATCTTATGCTTTTAATTCAAATAATGGCTTTCACTCTTTAATTGGAGATTGTTAAGCCTACTGTTAAGCTTGCTAATTATTTAATTTTAACTTTTTTCTTTCTTCTCTCGATATTTCATTTAATGGTTTGAATTTAGGCATATCTTCTAGTTTTGCAGGAAGAGGTTCTTCTTTAAACCAAGGATCTTGAAGTGCTTTTGTAGCAGTAATACGCTCTTTAGGGTTTAAAGTAAGCATTTAGCACAATAATTTGTAACCTGTTTATGATATTCTATTCCCTATTTTTTCATTCAAGGTACATTCTGATGGGTAATTTCTATCTTTAAAAAGCTTAGAATGTTTGAACTCAGTCCAGCCAGGCCATGAACGCTCTGTGGGACCTCCCATGGCATTGAATATACACTCAATTTAGTTTGTTTCATTTTTTCCTTTAAATAGCTAATCTTTAGTTATTAGTTCACCAAAAATGCAACCCACACTCCACATATCTAGAGCAGTTGTATACTTATCTTAGCCTAGTAATACTTCAGGTGCACGATACCACATAGTAACTACATTTAAGGTGTAAGGCTTATTACCTTGCCATCTTCTACCTAAACCAAAATCACAAATTTTTAATTACCCCTTATTATTATACAAAATATTTGAAGTTTTTAAATCTCTATGCATAATCTTCTTTTTTTATAAAAAATCCATTCCTAAAAGTAGCTACTAGACAAGACTTTTAATTTATGGTTCCTAAAATTCATCATGATGATTCTCAATAACATCCTTCAACTCATGCTCCATGTACTCCATAATCATATATATAGAATCTAGATCTGTACCCATCACAACTCTTTTTACAGCTATATTTTAAAAAAATCTTTATATAAATTTATAAAAAAATTAATTGAAATAAATAGAAAATAGACTTCATAAATATAATTATTCATTCATTTTCTTATATTTATTTATATATCAATCATGATATTTATTGATATAATTTTAATAGACGCGATTTTTTTATTTTGAAAACTTAAAATTTGAATTTATTCTTGTAAAAAAGCAACTTATTATATAAAATAAAGGTTTACCTACTATATTTTCATGTCTAAGAGCCATTAGAATGTTAAATTCTCTGATTGAAGTGATAGGAAATCCTTCCTTTTCTTTTTTGCGATCTATTTTGGTTTTTTTAATAGCTATAATTTCTCCAGTTAATTTATCGACAGCTCTATATACAACACCATAAACACCTTCATGAATTTTATTTAATTTTTAATAATTATCTACAGAATCACATCCTTCTAAAAGACCGCATATTTTCCTTTTACGTAATAATGATAATTTCTTTTCCGCTGATAATTCTTAAGAATGCTTACGTAAAATTTTTCTTTCTTCATCATCTAAATTTAAATTAATTTCATTTTTTTATTCATCCTATTCATTATCTTCTATATGGTCAAAGTTAGAATCAGAAGACTCATTTTCATTAAAGTGAGCTTCTTCTCTTTGTTTATCTATTTGCTAATCAGACATTTTAACTTATATTTAATAAAGCTTAGATGTAATAATAAATTCTGTTTTTATTACTAAAATATTCAATATATCTTGGTATTAATTTAATACTAATTTTTACCTTTTGCGATATTTTTACAGAAAATAAGTTCTTAAAAATTGTAAAGTCAATAATTGAATTTTTAAAGAAATTTATATTGACTAAAATGATAAATTTTTATGAGATAAAAATGTTTATTTTTTCTTCTTTTTAAATTACTTTCATAATTTAAAAAATGTATTAATCGTTTTAGTAGCTTAGAAAAATATTTTAAATTCTCTTTGGTTAGTTTGTTAATTTGCTTTTTTATTTTTAAATTAATAATAACCTTAAATTAAAAACATTAATTTCAAATTGAATCATTATTAGCACTCAATTATCTTATAATATATTTGAAAAAAAATATTTATTTGTTGTTAGGTACTTTTTTCAAATTTTATTCAAAAAAAAATATATATTTATATATTGAAGATACGTATCTGCAACTAAGAAAATGAATTCTATTTTATTTACTGAAGAAGAAAGATAGAAAGGGATAAACGTAGATTAAATACACCCATTAGAGTATGTACATGCAAGAAACTACTAGTTGCAAAATATACAACAAAATATATAAGTTTAAAGGAATATTCAGCAAACAAATGCACTAGATTCAGTTTATTTGACAAACTTATTTGATCAGTATAGAAAGAAACATTTAGATATTTAAGAGAGGAGAAAATAGCAAGAGAGATTCTTAAATCCTAATCATTTTGACACTATATTACTAAATGAAAATGAATTGACGCGTACTAAAAAATTTTAATCTGGATCAGTAAAAGAGGGCACATTTGGCAATACATAATATATTTCATAATAAGATGATTAAAATGACTTTAAAACAAGTCAATTTAATGTGCAGGATTCTTAAGGAGAGGAAGAATTAACAGAAGCAGAATTAAAAAAGGTAAAATTAAATATAAAATCTCTTTAGTTGATCAAATAATTTAATTGAAATATAGTAAGAAACTTTAAGAAATCAATTATATAATGAGTATATTGAAGGGTCTGAACTTGATCAAAATTAAGTGATAGGATCTGTTTTTTAACGACCAGTTACAAAAGGAGAATAAGTCATATATTCTGTAATTGAGCAGAAAAAGGAAGAAGACAATGACATAAAAGAACTTTTGAGCTTAAAGAAAGAATGGCTAAAAGAACTAAACTAAGAAATTGAATAAATTAACAAATAAAATAAAAAACTAAAGTAAAAAGCAGATAAATCAGAAGTTTGCCGTAATACAAGATTATTATCTAAATTGGCTCCTTCTCTGTTTACTCAGTACCATGTATATTTTGATGAAATATTTGATGCTTTAATGGATGATATATTAGAAGAAGAAGTAAAAAATATTATAAAAATATATAATTCAACTCAATCTAACTTTTATTCTTAAAAAAGGTAGAGTACTTTAATCAAGTAGAAGAAATGGAAGTATAGCAATTAAATGAATATGAAAAAAATAAAAACACGTATAAACTAAAAGAAGTAATAAGAAATTAATCATTATCTAGTAACTTATTCGCACTTATGGATAACTTAGAATAATATGCTGAAGAATTTAATGATAAATATAGTGATGAAGTATGACAAATAATTAACAGTAATTTAAATTAAAATATATATTTCAAATAAAATAAATTATAATTAATTAATCAATCTCTTAAAGTACAACAACAATAATAATTAACCAGTCAATTAAATTTTCTTAATATTAGTTAAATGTATATAAATTTTCACTCATTATATCAAAATTCAGTATTTTAAAATTTTTTATCTAAAATTACAAGTTTTTTTCACTTACTTTCTTGGGTTTTTATTTGGTAATTTTAATTGATAAACATACCAAATAAATTTAAATGTTATTATTCATTGCTAATTTAAATATTATTTAAATGCTATAACTAAGATTATTACTATAAATATTTATAATGCTATAACTAAGATTATTGCTATAAATATTTATAATGCTATTTAAGTTATTACAAAATTTAATATAAAAAAATTTATAAAGTTTATATCATATTTATTAATATTTTAATTTTGTATTTATTAGCAGCACAATTAATTTAGTTATAAAGCAGACAAATTTAAAAATTTTGAGTTGATTAAAGAATGGAGATGAAGAAATATATATAAAATTTACATTTATGTAAAATGCATGAATATAAACATTAAAAAATATATTTTATTTTTTATTTTAAAAGATTTTTTCTAATTTTTAATTTTTAAGTTTTTATGTAGGTTTTAAATTAAGAAATCTTTCGATTTACTTATTTATTTATTATATTATATTATTATTTATATGTCTTAATTTTGGTTATTTTTATGATTAAGAAAGAAATTATATAAAAGTTATAGATAGCTAGCTTCAGGCTAATTCGTTTATAGAGGGTAAAATGCTTAATTTTGCTTTTTTTTACTAATTGATTAAAGTTTTATTAAAGGTGATCAGCTTTTACTCTCAAAGAAAGTTAGAATCACTTCTAGTTTATAATATATAGCTTTTGTGTTATTGCTAAGCATTTCCATGCTTTAAATATGTATTGTTTGTAGATAATAAACTTGAAGAAGGATAGATGTTTTGGTTATTAGCTGAGTTTCCTCCATACCCTATTTGGTGATGGTGCACATTCTAACTACTTAAATAGCTATTATTGTATTGATAGTTTGTGTAGTTACTTTTATTAGTCAATACAGTATTTGTACTTGCATTACTAAGAACGCTATATTGAGTAGGTAAGTCATTGTCACAATAAATATTGTTATTATTTGTGTGACTGAATTGCAAAGGCTTGGTTATCACTTTATAAGTATTCTCTCCAGTGGGTACCTTATGATTGCTTGTATGGGTGGAAAGATTGTTTCTGTAATTGAATTTTGTGGGAATAGAAGAGCTAGTAGGAGCTTTGTTCTAACTTTCAGAATCACGAAGAAGCATATTTGAATTGTTAATGCTTAATACTGCAGGACGTTTAGCAATAGTATTTGTTTATACAGGTTAAAATTATGAAGAGAATTTGCTTTCTAAGATATTCAAACAATCTTAAAACATAGACTCATTGATTAAGTTATTACTTAAAGAAGTTAATTGTTTATTCCAAGCAGGAGTAATACCATTAATCTTTCTTAAGAAGCAAACACTGGCTGCAGAAATAACCTTAATGTGGAAATCGTTAAATCTATGATCTAATTAAATTAAAAATATTTATTTTTATTTTCAAAATTGCAAAAATTAATCAATAAATTAATATTAAAATTACTTTTAAATTTTATTTTGCTATTCTAAAAAATTAATTCAAATAATTTGAATTAAAAAATGATTAAAATCAAAAATTTTTAAAAATTATTTTGTCTTTTTCCAATAAAATATTTTTTACCTCTAATTATGAGATTAGCGAGGCGAGAATAGTCTTTTTCTATTTTTTAGACTATTTGGAAGATACGAGAGTCATTTAAGTCGCTAATTTAAACTTTCTTCTTCAAGTTATTAGTTGAGCTGCAAGAACCTACATAAGTAGTACCGCTATTCTCCTTTTCTCCGATAGAAAGATTATTTAATGCTGAAGTGAAGTCTTTGTTTTCGTCATTCTTTAATCCTTATGCCTTATTTGTAACAGAATTAGAGTTTTTATTTGATAAAGCGCTAGGAGTAGTATCGTTCTAATTATGCTTCTCTTTAAGAGCATTTTCTTCATTGAAACTTGAATTACTTGAACTCTCTTCAGTAAATTAATCAGTTGAAAAAACAATTCCTTGACTGAGATAGTACTCGATGACATCAATAGGGGTAACGCATTATAAGTTCCAATTAAGTTCTTTTAGAATTGATTATTCAACTTAGTAGAACTCTTTAGAATCATATGAAACCAAATTAGAGTATCTTTTCAATTTTGAAATAAAAGGGATTCTTTCATCTAACTCAATAGTTTTAGCTTTTATTTTATAAAAAACAAATTCATTTGAATTCAGTATAAATTATATTGAATTTTTATTTATTTTCCTCACAACAAATTTTGATTTTCTATGATTAAAGAAGGAATTAATAATCTATTTTTCTTTCAAAAACGAGCGATAATTTTATTTAAAAATTATATTTTATCATTAATAATTTTTCTATATTTTTTTTGAATAAAAATAATTTTTTTGATTTTCAAAACAATTTTTAGGTTTTATTTAATTTTTATCTACTATAAATTTCTGTGTTAACAACTCTAATTTTTAAATGAATTTATACAGATTTTTTGTTAGTAAGTAAATTAATTACGTTTTGCTTATTTATTATTCAAATTATTCTCTTTATTTTTTTATCTATAGAATCAAATATTTAAATTTCGATAAGGCTTTTCATAATAAATGCAATCAATTAATCAATGTATTTATTTATAGATATCAAAAAGTAAGATTAGAAATCAATTATTGTTGTTGAAGAAGAAATATTTTGCGAAATTAAATAAAATGTAAATTACCAGCAAGCATAACACAGGTAGCTGCATAAATTTGCATAGTCTTGTAAGAAACAGAATGGATTCTGCTTAAGGCGAAATCCATAAACATAACTGCTAAATGAGTTGTATTGACTGTGAGTTTTAAGCTATGACTGGTATCGTAAAGCAAATCAAGCAACTAATTTCTATTCTGGTTTATATTAAAAAATATAATAAATTTATTATTCAGTTAAGTCTTTTTATATTTTTTTGAAATAAAATATTAAATAGTTGAGAGTTAAACACTATCAACTCAAAACAAACAAGTAGAATTTGTTGAATATAATTCTTGTTAATAAAATAGTGTAATTGGGATTCTATGTGTTTTTTAGATTTATAATATTTAGCGCATAAGTAGATTACCTTGTAATATTCAGATTCCTTGTCAATAACTATTTAAGGTAGCTTTTGCTTCAAGCATGATGAAAAGAATTTGCTAGGATCAAAGTATGTGCCATATTTCATATTTTATGTCTTGTAAGCTTTTGCTCCATCCTATAAGATAAAATAAATATTTAGATGAGTTTGCTTGGTTTAGTAGCTGCATAATCTAAACTATATTCATTAAAATAAAGTGCTTACGTGAAGACATAGACCACATTTGAAGCAATTAAGTCTTGTCTTATGCTTAATAGTTTTAATGTGTGGACAAGGAAAATATTCAGAAGTTTTGTAGCATTGGCCCTCAACTGAGTCGCGAGAGGCAATAGAATCAGCAGAATAAACTTTATCAGTGCTCATATGTTATTATAAATTAAGTTATAATTTGAATTCTAGGTTTGTTGGTTGGGTAGAGTTGCTTTACGCTTCGAAGATAGCCGAGTGGCAAAATCTCTTTTTCTTTAATGTTTTTTGTTAGCCTTTCGAAAAAAAGCTAGTTGTTATTTTTTAGAAATGTGTATTTATTTGTTTTAATAATAATTAAATTGCTTTCGCGTGTTTTTGTTTACCAATTTATACTTTGAATTAATTTGCTTGACTTTTGTTTATTTGCTTGTTTGATTGCTTGCTTGTTTGCTTGTATTTTTAATTTATAGTTAGGATTTGATTAATCAAATCAAATAAACAAGCAAGGCCAATAGACAACTAAATAAATTTCGTTAGCTTTAATTGCTCTCTCTTTAAATTTTAAAGAGATAAGCAATAAATTTAAAATTTAATACTAAATATATTTTGATTTCTCTTGTACTGTTTTTCATATTTTTTATTTCTAATCCATTCATTTTTTGATTATTTTTTTCTTTCTTTTGGTCTTTATAATATTTCTTCATTGCGGATTTTTTATCAATCAATTAATTTTCATTTATATATGTATGTATATATTTGAAAAGTTCCCACCCATTCATTCATTTCATTCTCTTCACCTTAAGAAAAATAAATAATTAATTGAATTTATAAATAAAAATTTCTATTTTCATTTTTGACTTATTTTTCTTTGATAGCAACACTCTCTTATTTGATTTTTTTTCTGTTAGGATAGAGATATATCTTAGTCACATGCTACATTAAATATTTAATTTAACAGCAACTTCTTTATTATATTTTTCATATGGTATCCTATCATTCAAAAAAGCAAATTCTAACTTTGCATTTGAATCACTGATTCATATTATTTACTTATTCAATTAAACATGAAAATAAATAAAATTAATTAGCTTTGAAAATATTTGCTGATTAATTTATCAATAAAAGCAAATAATAATTATTTATTATTAAAATGACTTAATATTAATTGATTGTGTATTATTATTTTTCTTATAATTATATGGTATACTACTAAACCAGTAATGTCATTTGAATTTAAAATATCTCTAAATTCCATATCTTAAACAATTAACAGACTTTTGTGTTTGAAATTTGAATGTAATCTAAAGAGGAAATTCTTTATATTTTAAAGGAGATTAATGTGTTTTCTATATAATTAAGATATTTTAATAAAAGGATCATATTATATTTTATTAAATACTAAATTGATCAATTGTTCGACCAAAATATTTGAATAGTGAAATATATCCAAGTAATAAACATTCAAATTAAGATCCTATCTATTATTTACTTATCATCCTAAGGTTTTTCTTAAATTTAACTAAAATAAATAAAAAAAGAATGAATATTTTAATATTTTTAAATCTCTCTAATAAGAATAAAAAAAATAAATATTTTTAATATTTTTTTCCATTTTTAAATAAACTTTCTTACTAATTATTTAGCTATAATTTACTGGCTTTAAATAAATACAGTTAAAATTCTAATTTTATTTATTTATTTTTGATTAACTGCATTTGATATTAATATTTTGAAATTCTTTAATTAATTGATAAAAACTAAAATTAAACTTTATTTCTTACTTATTAAGATATTGAAAATTTTATAAAAAAGATATTTGGAGTTTAATAAGTCTTTTTTCAAATTCTTAAAATTTGTTTTATAAAATATTTTTTCTCATATAAGATATTCATTGAAAATAAATAAAAATAAACAGCTTATTTTTTATTTTTAATAAAATTTAAAGTATTTTTTTAATTTATTTTTACTAAGTTTTACATTTTATTTTATTAAAATATTCTAATTTTATTTAAATAAATTAAATTTTTTATTTATTTATTCTAATAATTTATTTTCATTATTTGTTGAAAAATCTTAATTAGAATTTCTAGATATTAAAATAAAGTTAATTTTACTGTTATTTAAATTACATTTTATTTAAATACTCCTTCATAAATAAAATTTAATTAATGCTTTCATATAAATATCTGTAAAATAAAGATTAAATTATTTAAAATTAATTAAATTTGTTGGTATCTTTTTTAGTTTAAAAAAATGAGTAAATTTTATCTTTTTAGAGAATATTTTTAACTGAATTTGAAATTATTTATTTAAAAAATTATTTTTTTTAATAGGTAAAAATAAATTCATTCAAAGCAGAAATATATAATGTCAATTTTTATACAATTAAATTTGACTAAGATATATATTTTAAAAGAAAAAATAATAATTTTAACCCTATTTAATATCTAAAAAAATATATTCTCAAAAATTATAATCATAATATTTTATTACTTTTTTTATTAAAGAAATGTCTTTATTTCTTAACCTAATAAATAAGATGAAAAATGCTACAAAAAATAAATAAATACCAATATCTTATTCTATAATAATTAAAATATTTTTAATTCAACTTTGAATGTTTTTAATACAACAGTTTCTAATATGTATTTTGGAAATAAAATAATAATTTTTGTTTATTTTAAAATATTTTGTTAATTTTATAAAATTTTTGAGTTTTAGAAGATAAAATTGATAAAAAAACAGCTTTTAAAAAACAAAAAAACTCACAAATTTATTTTTAGTTTGTGAAAAAAATAAAAAATAGATTTATGATAGATTAAATAAAGTATTTTTTACTAATTTCTTTTAAAAATTCATGATGTAAATAAATTACTTAATTTTATAGATATTACAAAGTTTATTAATTAAATTTAATACAAAACAAATTTAAAAGTGAGGTTAGAAAGTAAAAAGAAAGATCTAAATTTGACAAAATTTACAGATAGAGAGTAAGCTTATTTATTATTTTGTTCAAATAATATAAATACAAAGCAATATTCATATTAATTGTGGTAAATATTTAGATTTGATATTTTATAATCTTTTAATCTTATCTGATTTGCTTTTAAATTTTTGTGGGCTTTCAAATTATGTTTTGCTCATTTTAAGAATAGAAAATTTATTTGATATTCAATTAGATTTATTTATAAGATTATTTAGAAAAAATATTTGATTATATATATTATTTAATAGGTTGCAATAAGAAAGAATAAAATAAATTCCAATTTATTAAGCCAAACATATTTGTTTTTTACTTTAATGATTTTTTCTTTTGAAAAGTCATGCTTGCTTGCTTACCTTTATATTCTGATTATTTCTGAACAATTACAATTTTTTTAATTTATCAATCACATAAATCACTTTACATACTAAAAATGGAAAAAGAAATAATGTTTTATTGCATAAAAACGAGATCTTACAAACTATTTTCAAAAAATTGTTTGATTTTTTGATACAATATCAATATTCATATTCTAATTTAAGAATTTTTAACGTGATATTTCTTGTTTTATATTACTTTATCATGTGTTAAAATTTACTGATAATTTACGATCGTTTACAAGAGTAATCGTTCCAAACTAATTTTTTAAACTATTACTTAGATAGTACTCTAAAAAAAAAAGATATTTGATATTTTATTTAAAATTTATTTATAAGCATCCCTAAAATTTGTAATTAATAAATTTTTAAATTATCACATACCATTTCAAAACTCTAAAATAAAAAAAATCAATCACTCACTCACTCTAAGTGAATTCGATTATTTAAAAAAATTTCAATTATTGGCAATGAAGTATATTTTCCTAATAATTATTATTTCCCTTTCATTACTTAGTTGCTAAGAACCCTTACACCCTAGTTAAGAACCTGAAAAAATTTATAATCTTGATGATTCATGCTTGATAATGGAATGGGGCATGATTAGAATGTGCTGGATATTTACAGAAACTGATATCACTATTAGAATGTAATACAAATTTGACGGGTCATTTTTCTTTTAAATAACTTCAGATGAGGGTGCACCTGAAGGACAAGATAGAGATCTAATTGAACTTCTTTCTTCTCCAGACGGAAAATAATCCATTCAAGATTCATATTTGGAAGGTAGCATCCAAGTAAATGATGAGATCTTAGGAGGAAAAAACAATATCGAAACTCTCATGTCTAAAGTAAATTCAAAGCAAAATGGCAAATTAATTAGATTTAAAGCATCTAAAAAAAATCTTGCTATGGACACACCTGATGGAGCTTAAGATGAATACACTAATGAATTCCTTTTTAAGAGAGACCTTAATACTAATGATTAATATGATAGAATTTATACTTAAGGTGAAGTAGTCTGGATTAAATATTTTTGGACTAGTGAATAATATTTTACTTCTAAAGCTCTTTAATAAGGTGCTGTATAGTTCCCTTTTGAAAATGGGTATAATGGCATGGGGCTTATGCAATGGCCTATTGAACTTTACCAAAAAATTCACTTTTGGGTAAACTTTACAATGTGGGGTATTGTTATTGATATTGCTAATTGCGCAGCTAGATTTTTCAAAACTAAAAAATATTACATGCATGTTCACGGTTACCTGATGTTGCTTGTATGCGCTTCAACTTTAACAGTTGAAATGTGGACTCTGATTAAAAGTAATTTTTTAATAAAATTCCTCATTTCCTTTTTTGCATACAAATTAATTGAATAAAAATAAAGAAAATATACTTGCAAATTTACCAACCTAGTATATATTTCTAGAACAAATGAAATAAAGAAAGTTTAATAAGCAAACAAGCAGAAAATTTCCATTATAAGATATTTTTTTTTAGTTTTAAATTAGATAGATTTTAATTTAGTTTGTTTTTTTGCTTGGATAAATCTAGAAAAAATTAAATAAAAAAAATCTATAATTATCTTTTGAGAAAATTTTCTGATGGGATTTGTGATTAATTACTTAAAACTTACAAAAGCTAATTAAAATTATTAATTTAACAAAATTTAAAAATAAATTAGACCCTCAGCTTTTCAATAGATTTGATCAATTAGATGATTTGGTCGTCTTCCATTTCTTGATGGGCTTCATTTTCATGATTGTCATGATTACTCATTTAGTTGGCGGCTATATACTTTATTTGATGCTCATTAAAAATAAAACTGGTGGAAAGGGATCTTAATATTTTAAGCTTTATCATTAAGTAATAAAAAGTTTATAAATATTTTAATAATTAATTTTATCCTATTATATATTAGGTATTTGGCTATATTCTTTACTTGTTTGGCAAGGCTGGCAATGTTACAGGCTTCAAAGTTATCTAAGACGAATACACAGCGTAAATAATCTCTTAGATTTTAAAAATTTTTAATTAAAATATAATTTTTTAAAATTATAGTAATGTCTGCATCATTGTTTTTTCACTTTTAATTGGTCTGAGAATCACTCTAGAAGCATTCTTTATATTTTACCCAAGACTTTTTAAGAAAATACTCTTTATTGATCCTAAATAAAAGATGATAAAGGATATAGAAGATAAGAAACTCTCTTTGATTTCCAAGGAAGAGAAAATTAAAGATATAGTGCTTAAAATGAATGATAATTGTAAGAATAATTAAACTTATTAATTAAATTATTAATTCAATATTATTTAAATAGAATGCTTAACAAAAGAAATTGTTAACTAATACGATAAGACCCTTTTGGTTATTTTTGATAATGGAATTTATGATATCAAGAACATGTATCATCCTGGTGGTAATTTTATTATCAAAAAAATGAAAGGAAGAGAAATTGGTAGATTTATGTATGGAGCTTTTGGTTTAGAAACAAGCAATATGGCAGGTTACGAGCACTCGAAATATGCCTATGACATGCTTGAACAGTATTACATTGGAGAAATAGAAAACATTGACCTCTTCCTTCCCAAGTAATCTGAAGAGTCTAACAATTTATGGAGAGTTGCTTAAATTTAAAAGCTTGATAACGATACTTCTGTCTTCTTTTTTATTGGTAAAGATGCCAAAATAAAAGTGTAAAAGGTTTTCTAAGGATTGGAGTGGTTAGGTCGTCACTTTGTCATAAATGACAGCAATTATTCAAAGCATACTCGTTAATATACAAATGTTCTCTCTTTCAGCAATTACCATGTTGAGCTTAGAAAACAACTTCTATAAAATTACAATTAAAACTTTGGTGATTAAGTTACTAAAAATTCTGTTAGTTTAAATCATGAAAAGTTGAATGAACTTAAGGAAGACAATTTATTCCCAATGGTCATCAAAAAGTATCCTTCTGATAAAGGATTTTCTTAGCACTTACATGAAAATACCTAAGATGCTTACTACATTCGTGGACCTTATGTAATAAAATTTTTTATATAAATCTTTGAGCTTATATTAAATAAATATTTTAAATAATAATTAGAGTCGTGGCTTAGAATTGAGCGCAAAAAGTGAAGGAGAACATCTATTTATTTGCGGAGGAACTGGCGTTTTACCCTTCTACGATTTACTTGATTATTTATTTAAGTACATGATTTACAAAAGCTTTAAAACTTTAGATGGAAACTCTTTCCTCAAGTCAAACAGTTTTATTAATCATGAGAATACTCTCTCTCAATAAATTAATATTGAAAACGAAGATTATGAAAATAATATCAATCCAAACCTAAAAATCAAAGTCTTCGCATCCTTCATGAGTGTTTCTTAGAGTTTTGGAGCAGTTGAGTTATTAAACTAAATGATGAGATTCGAAAAAGAAAACAATCTTTAGTTATTTAGCTGCATAGTCAAAGTTTCAAAGAACCCTGAGGAATTATAAAAGTTTAGTTACTTAGAAACTACTTCTCAATAATTTAGCAAAGAATTTATTTATACAAATGCTAATCTCAAATAAACAAAAAGAGTCTTTATCTGTGGTCCTCCTATTCTCAATAAATCAGTATACAACGGTCTGGTAGATCTTGGTTATGAAGAAATGGATATCATGCTTGTCTGAGCTAATTAAAGTTCTACTAGCTTCATTTTTTATGATAATATTAAAAAAAGTATATTAAAAATGCAATAATTAAACTCAAATCTTATTCTAAAATTATTAATCTCCACTTAAAAATTATACTAAAAACTATTAAATTTTAAAACTTCCTCTTTAATTTCTATTTTTGTATTAAAATGTATTTTAAATTTTGTATTCATTTTCCAATAAATTGTGAAAATCAAATCAATTTAAATAAATATCTTCTTCTTTCTACTTTGTTTTTTTGTTTTTATCTTTATCATTCATTCATGTAATAAATATTAATACTTTTTCATAGAAAACAAATAAAAAATTTAATTTGTTTCTATTTGTAATGAAAAAAAAGAAAAAGAGCCACTTGGCGGGATTGAACCGCCGACCTTTCGCTTACTAGGCGAATGCTCTAACCACTGAGCTAAAGCGGCGAACTTGAAAAGTATAATCTTAACCACATGTTCATAATCGACTTTAATGTTTTTAAATCCTCTTGTAAATTTTTATGAAAAAAAATTATTAAAAAATACCATTAACACTAAACGATTTCTTTTAAAGAAAATATTTGAATTTCCATTTTATACCAAAAATAATTTTAAAAATCAATATTTTAAAAATTTAAAAAAATTAAAAAATACAATTTAAATTTATTGATAAAAATTAAATTTTTTAGTGTGTGCACTATTTTTAATGTAAGATAAATGAATTGACGAATGGCTAAAAAGATAGTCTTATATATATTAAATTAATATAAAAGATATACTTGATTAGAAAAAATTATTGGTTGAAATAAATAATATTGAGATAAATATAATAAAGCATTTCCAAATATTAAATATGCTTTATTTAATGATAAACAGATAAATAAATAGATAAAGAGCAAGCGGTGATAATTATTTATGCAAAAAATTTACAAATAATTGAAATAATCTCTAAACAATTTAGTATTAAAAAGAGATAGAATGAATAATAAATACCAATAAAAAAGTAAACTGTATTTCAATCTTAAAAATTAATAAATTTAACAGTTTGGGAGAGAGTTAATCATATTACATATTTTAGGAATGAATGAATAAATTAATAGGTGAACAAATATTATTATTAAAAATTAGTGATTCGCAAATTAAATAATAAATTAATAAAGGATAACAAAAAGTCTTTGATAAATTTGCTTAATTTTAAAACAAATATATAAATAAATAGATAAGATCCATTAATTTTTTAATTAGATAAATTTGAATAATGAGCTTGCGTTCACCATCCTTAAACTTGAGAAATACTAGTAATGGATACTATAACAAATATAATGGAAGCGTTTTAAGTAATAACTCAATCAACAGCTTGAACGGAAATAATCAATTTTACAATACTGATAAGCAAACTAATTATACTTCAAGATAACATAGTGCAAGCAACCATAACCATTTGGCTACAAGTGGAAATGGGAACTATTTTTTAAGTCTCAGAAATATACCTTATTGCACAAAGCCAAAGCATTAAAGTGAAAAGATTATTCGTGTCTGCGTTTAGCCAGAATGCAATGATTTAGATAGACTCTTATGTGGTCACTGTATTATTTATCATGCAACTCATCCAGCTAAACTAATTTCCATCTAAGAATTTGTTGAAAAATGTTCCTTAAGACACAAAGAAGTTAATCTTAATTAATTGAGTGAAAATTCAGTTGAAGAATAGCTAGTTAACCAAATAGAAAACAGATTCTAAAAAATTAGAGAAGAATTCTATGCTTTCTTGATGGAATAATAAGTTGCTCTTATAAGTAGATTTAGAAATATATTAGGATTTTCACGCGATTTTAATCTCTCTTACCTGCAGGAAATAGAAGGAAAGAATATCTAAGACTTGACAAAACCAGAATGGGATTTAATTATCAACCTGTATTGGAAAGACGATATCGATAATGCCTTAGCTGTTAAAGATGAATGTATAAGACAGGTAAATATTAAACAAAGTATTTTTAAGAGAAAAATAAATTTATATTAAATTTTGTAAGTTTTACGTCAATAAAAGATGGATAGAAAAAAAAATATACAAAAATTATAGCATAAAATAAAATAATTATTTTGTTATTTTTTATATTTTATTTAAAAATATAATAATAAATTAATTTATTTCTTTAATAGGTATCAGAAAATATCAAGAAAAATTTTGACATTATTGAAGCAGTGTCAAAAGATAATCAGAATCACATTCTTGGAGAAGTCAATCAAATGATGAAAATGGCACAAGAAGAAGTCAAGCGTAAAAATGCTCCTGTTAACATGAATAATTTAGATTAATGGAATAAAAATTATGAAAGAAGAATTCTTCTTGAGGACAAAAATATGAACATTAGAAAAATTGAGGATGAACTTGCTCGCTTAAATAGACAATTGTAAGAGCAAAAAGATGGATTAGAATAGTTATAAATGGAAATACTTAAGCATGATAATCGCCTAAAGGAAATAAAAGAAAAAGAATCTTACATAAAATATGAATTAGAAAAGTTATAGAGCGGTAACACTCCAAGTGGTAGAGATGAAGTTGAGTAATTAAAGGATGAACTTTCAGAAATTTAAAAGAAGATAGATCTGGTAACATAACATACTTAAGACTATCAAAATGAGATGAATAGAAAGATTGAAAACCTAAAAAAGAAAAGAAATGAGCTTAAATAAGCTTTGGCTACTGATTTTACTTAAGCAGGAGAGGCTGATAAATAGCAGTAATTAGATAAAATAGATTAAGAAATATAAAAAACATAGTTAGGTCTAGCAAAAACTAAAAAGTAATTAGATAGTGAAAGAGGTAGCTTACTGCTTCAGCGTGAAGACATGATGAAAGATTTAGAACGTAAATAATAATCAAAAGATTAATAAATTATACAGCTTAAGTAAGAGAAATAAAAATTGTATGATGAAAGAATGAGAATAGATGGCGCTTTAGATGGCTTGAGGAAAAAATTAGTTTAAAAGGAAGGATCTTTAAGAGAATTAAAGAGTGAAATTAAGAAAAAAGAATGGATAGTCATATAAGAGAAAGCTGAGTCAGAGTAGTTATAAATTGATATGAAGCAGGTAGAGGACAATACTTCAACAGATTACAATACAGATTCTACTGGTGGATATATGTGAAAGATAAAAATACTTTATACTATTTATATAATATAATATGATTTGATTTTATGCTAAAATAAAGAATTTCTCTTAGTACTTCATAGTATGATAAGCTGTACATTTAAAGAATTATATTTATTCAAGAAAGCAGCATTAATTAAGCAGACATTTGGATATTACTTTTTATTTATAGTAATTAGAATACTCAATATTAAAAATCCATTTTTAATTTTTCTCTCAAATTTATGTTTTTATTTATTATATATAGCATTTATTCAATACAAATATTTCTGTATTTTTATTCATCTCTTTTTCTTCTTGGTGAATAATAAAAAAAAATAACATTTGAAATAATTTATTTAGTTTTTCTGCTAAAAGATAACTGTGGAGATTGGCATGATTTCATATTGTAACTAAACTTTTTTGAAATTAATTATTTCGATTTATTTTGAGTTTTGTTTGAATTAAATTAACAAATATTATTAACAATTTTAAATTTAAATTTAATATTTTTATATTCTTATTAATTTAAAATTATTTGTACAGTCTTTAGTTATTTGCAAATGAATATAAATCTAAAACATCTAATATTAGCTTATAATTTGAAGATTTTGAGCATTAAAAAAAAAAATTAATAAGTATATTTATAAGTTAAAACTAACACCATATTTTTTATGAATTTAATGCCTTTTTAATTTTGGATAGGCTATACTAATGAATATTCAAAATTTGTATTAATTTCAAATTTATTAATATTTCATTTACTTATGAATGAAATTAAGTAAGTAAATACTTGTAAATTATCTTAATTAAATCAAAACATAAAATTTCGCTTACTTTAAATTGAAATGGCATTTTACTATAACAAAATATACACTATATAAAAAATAAAAATATGAAACCTAATTTTATGTATAGAAGTGAGCTAATTTAGTAAAATAACTTTTATTTTTCTAATTATTTTTAATTGCTTGTACTTGAGTTTAATAATAAATAAATTGCAATATTGAAAAATTCCTTATAAGAATTACGTTAATATAAATTATACATCTTATATTTATAGAATCATAAATCATTTAATTTTATAAAATTAGCTATATAATTTTTTGTTATTAGCCAAAGAATACAAATCAAAGACATCTAATGTTTGCTTTGTAAGGATATACTGTTTTTTGAAGTAGGTAAAAAATGTTATCCATATGAATATAAATATTGTGCAAATTATAACCATCTATAAAACGAAATAAAAGTAGTTTGAGCTAATCATATATGCATAGTCTCCCTATATTTAGTATCTAACAAATTTCTTTGATGCTGAGAAAATCTATTGAAGGTTTAACCTGAACTAATTCTATTAGTAAAATGTAAATGAATTTATTAAATTTTTTTCTAAGCTCATGAATTGAGAGAGATCTTATAGAGCTATAAGATCAAATTATTATTACAAATATTCATAAAAAAATGTTATTCCTTGTATTATCCCTTGAGAAAATATTTTATTGATTACTAAGTTACAGTCTGTTAAATTAAATCCACCACCAGTAACATAAGTAGCAAATTGTTAAGTCATGTTGCAAGCATCGTATTTATAAAGTCCATCTATGTAGTACATAAATAAAGTTTGGTTATTTCTCTTTACATACTATTATTATAAATATTAATCGTAATGCTACTAGTTAAGCTAAATATTTTATGCTATTTCTTTTTTGTATTTATTGTAGTAATAGTAAAACTCTTCAGGATAATGAATTTTTAATAGTAGTAACTTTGGAGTATACCCTGCACTTCTGTTCATCGCAACTTACACACTAGACATAACATCTATTGATATATTTATTTATTTAATTTATTAAAATTAAAATATTTAAAAGTAAAAATAATTTATTATGAATTAAATTAATTAAGAAAATTTCAAATAGAATTTAAGAAAGAATGAAAGAAATACCTAAAAATGATCTCTCTTGTGACAGGAGATTTAAGAAACTTTCAACTGTGACGAAACTTGCAAATGAATAGAGCTATACTAACGAAAGATTTAACAAACAAATGAGTGTTAGGAGTATACTAAATCTTTTAAGATTGATGATTTTCTTAGATCTTCTTACATTTTGTTTTTAATTAATCTCAAATTATTGTTTTTATAAATTTAGTTGGTTTGATTTTAATGTTTCTATTTATTTTTTAAATTGTGCCAAATGACTGGGATTTTTACTAATATTTAATATTTCTTCTATAATTTTTTACTTTTGTTTATTTTGATCAATCATTTATATTAATGAACTTTATCCAAAAAAACTTATTCCTTTAAGTATTCTATTCCTTTTATTTTAAATATAGCTATAAATGATTATAAAAAATATGAAAAAGATGATGGCAAAACAAAGGATAGTGTAAAAAGTAATTTTTGCATGGTTTAATAATTGTTAAAATTTTAACTGTATTGCATTTTCCATTGCATATTTAATATCTGTGTAAGATGCTTATAAATTTTCAAAATTATCTATTATCAAAGCATCATTTGATTGAATATATTATTTGTTGTTTGTCTAGATTGTAAAGACACTTTCTAACATAAAATATACTATGTGTTCTATCCTGTATATTGAAGTACTTTCTACTTTCACATATTAGTTTATTTTAGTTTCAAACTAGTAATCAACTCTTTAGCTAAGAATTTTATTCTCTACATCTTAAGTAGGATAAGTTATCAGGAGGTGTTTCAAGATATAATTTTTTAGCAATTTAAGCTAATTTTTCATTTAAGCTTATAATCTTGGCATTAAAGCAGAATTTTCATTTGGTTAATATAAATTATTAATAAAATATTAATCTGCAGTTAATTTTTAAAAAGTTAAGTCAACTACTTCTTGTTACAAAGAATTTTAAACTTGTTAGGGCCAATCTAAATTCAGTACTTCATTTTATTATTCTACAAAAGCATTATTAAGTATATTATAGTTGACAACCGATAGAATCAAAATTACTATGAAAAAAAGATACCCAAAAATATTTATCAATTTTAATCCTAAAATTTAATTTGTAGAATGAATATTTTTAGCCATTATTTTAAACCTAATTTTTACCAAAATAAAAGTTATTTTTTTAGAAATTAATTTATTTATCTAAATTTAATTATTTATTTATTTACTTATTGTAAGTCATTTCAGTTTGCCTTGATCTTGTTTCGCTCTAGTGAAATTTAGCATTTCTTTCTTCTTCATCATGCTCAGACATTTTATGCTTACCTTCAGTTTCTGCTTTTTCAAAATTCATAATTTGTTAAATTTTTAAAACATCACTTTGCTTCCTTATCAAATCTATATTTTTTATTTATTAAAAAATTTAAAAATTAACAAAATTTTAAGTCTGTTTGTTGTGATTTCTTATTTATTTTTTATTGTGTAATATTTATTTTTATTTTTAATTTAATAAGAAATAATTAATTTATTATTACTGTTATTTGAAAATACTCTATCTGAGTTAATAAAAGTATCCTGATTTGAATAGATTGCATTTAACCCTGCATCTGTTTAATATGACTGAAATCTCTTAGATTAAAGAGTGAATAAATCATCGTCTTAGACTTCCTACTAAACAAATCTTGATACAGGGCTTTACGTCAATTTGATTTAAGACCCTGAAATAATATTCAAAAAACTATTTTCGGTTGTAATAGCATTATTCTATATGACCTTTTTTTCATCATTGAAATATGATAACCGTTTTTTTGTCAAAACCTAACTCTCTTAAATGTTATTTAATAGCCTTAAGGTAATAACTTTTAATTAAATAATTCTTTTGAATGCACTTTTTTTATAAATGCAATCGGCTTTGAGAATATATTTTTGAGAATCTTCGCTAATATTAACTTCCTTTGATGAAGTCTTTTTAAAAAGGCTTTATCTTCTAACAGTTTGATAACTTGGCTTAGTTAAAATGGCTTCTAGTAAACCACATTCAAGATTATCTATTAATTTATTTTTAAAATTGATTAAAGCCTACAAGGTAATAATAATAATAAGATTTACTTTTATCTAACATGTTCAAGAATTGTTCTAACTCTGTAATAATTTTATTTATTTTGATATTTTTAATACTAATTAAGCCATTATTTTCTTCAAGCAACTTTATTTGCAAATTTTCTGAAATAGCAATAATTTCAAAAGTTTGAGCATCTGCAATCAAGCAATCTGAATATTCGTACTACCGTTCTATCCTTGAGCAGATTCCTATTTCAGAATCAGATAAAACAGTGAGCTAATATTAAATTAAATAAGGCACAGCCCAACCTTATCCATCAATACCTATTTATTGCCTAGAATCTATAACATCTAAAGTCTTACTTACTTCTTTGTAGTTTTGAGATTTAAAAAAATATTTGTTAATAACTTCATCATGATATCTGGCTATTACAGGAGGCATTAAAATATTAATACTTTAACCTATAAGTGAAGTTTTTTGATCAGTCCAATTTAATAAATCTGCATAATTTTATGTTGCTTTTTTGACTATGAATGGATTTTTTTCAATTAAAGATAAAAATAAAATGCAAGAATCGGTTAATGTAGTTAGTTCTATAGTTTGTTTAATATATTGCTTAATTTTTAAATTTGAATGATCTTTTTTTGAAAATATTTTTTTAGCTTTTTTAAGATATTTAAAGAGTTTCCTGTCAATACAAAACTCTGTTTCCATTACATCCACTAATTAAGGAAGTAGAATATTGAAGGGGTTTAAATTTATCAATTATTTAAGCGATATATTTACTTTATTTAAGACTTATTTAAGATCCATTAGCTTTTATTATAATTAAGATAAAGCTATAGTTTATGAGTATAGTAAAAAGTTAAGCATCTCATTTTTCTTCACTATGCATTTTAATATTTCTTGTGAAACATCCATTTCCTTTTCTTCATAGATTATAGATTAAATCAATTATAATTTTTGAGTTTAATCATTAAGTTATTAATACTCCTTTTCGTAAATTTCAATATTATCAATCTATTCATTTAAAACATTTTCCGATTATTTGCTTTGCGAAGCTTTTGTGAGATTAAAAATATAGTGCTCCTATGATTTTTATGGTAGATACCTAAAAGTAAATTAATAATATATTTATTGATTAAAAGAGGACTCTCTATCCCTTTTATTTTAGGTGGTAGAATACTGATTATACATTTAATATGCTAATATTGTTGAGGTTTATATATTTTTGCAAATATCAATCATGAAGTAGAGTAATCCAAATTAATCAAATTAATTATTTTTAATAGAGGCATAGCTAGTTCTGTAATAAGAAGATAACAGCTCACATAGTTGTTTTTATTATTACTTTTCTTAAAATGTATCTAAAGGATCTAATTTCTAAACATAAAAATAATTAAGTATAAATAAAGTAACTATATTAAAAAATGTTGAATAAAGTTATTAATAAATATAAGATAGAAATACTTTTTAGCAAAAACATTCATTATCTTTTAGCTTGCAGCCTATTTTATGAATGTAATTCAAGTAGCATTCCTATATGGAACTTGAGTTGTTGATGTAGTCTTCGTAGTTTATTTTAGAAAAATCATAAATAATTCTTAAAATATAATCTAAATCATAATTTGATCTATTCCCCAAATTTATTGTAATATTTTAGGGCAATTCAGAAAGAATTTTGATATATTTTCTTCTTAATAGAATTGATGTCAGCTTGAAATTTAAAGGAATCAATATTAAAAATAATGCGTATTTATCTGTTGAGTTATATAAATAATTAAAATCAATTGCTTACACTGTAAAAACAATAAAAATTGAATGCAACTAAGCTAACTCCACAAATTTAATTTCTTAAAACAAAATGTTTTTCTAACTAATCTCAATCACATATTTTAAGAACGTTATCGCCATCAAAAAATATTAAATTTACAGACTAGAAATCACATACCACACTCCTATCAATATATAATCTAAAATGAGAGATAATATCTTATATTTTGGAGTTCTAGATTGTAAGTAATCTTCTCTTTAATATCTGAAGTCATAATCATGTATAGCTACAAATAAACCTAAAATAATTTATAAAAAATTATAGTATTTTAGCTAAATATTATTAGTTAAAATTATAATTTTAAATTCTTAAAATTATTATTATTATATAAAGTTTTGTAAAAATTACTTAAAATAATCGTAGATCCAATATTGTAGAGAGAGATAATAGGAATTTAATTATAAGAATATTTTGTAGAAATAAAACTTAAAGGCAATAGCACGTAGTTGTATATCTAAAAGCAAAAAGAGAGCACTACTTTCGATTCTTCGTAAATCTTGTCAGTAATAATGTTAGCCATTAATGTGAGGAAACAAATTGAATTAATAACCATTATTACTTCTGAAACTATTTACCATATATTTTAAATTAACTACAATTAATCGCTGCTTAAATTTTATATTTCTTGACTAAAGGATATAAATATATAAGATAATTATTTAAGCGAGATCAATAGAATGCATAATGAATAGGACCTATTATAAGATTTAACCAAGAAATAGCTCTTTTACAAGTAAAATATCTTTATTATTTGCTTAATATTTTCCATATTTTGTATAAATTCTTTTCTTAGTAAACAGTTCTTTAATTATAACCTAATTTTACTGAATTATCAAATTTTTTTATTAAAAATTAATTAATTAAGTGAATAAATTAATAAATTAAAAAAATAAGTCTACTCATTCACTCGAGATTTTTCATTAATCGAATTATTCACGTAAGTTAAGCTTGAAAACCCATAATTAATATAATTGATTGTTCAGATTTTATAAAATTAAACACCATAGCGTTTCTAGATAATCAATCAATCAATAAATCACTTATCACCAACTAAAATATTTATTTAAAAATTAGCACTCATTTTAAAAATATTTACATTAAATTTTAATATTTTATAGAACCTTAAAATATGTATCTAATTAAAATTTTAAAAAAATATAATCTGTTAAATCAGTTTAAATATTTTACTTTAAAATAAAACTAATTTTGACTGTTTAGACTGGATATGAAACATTTTTATTATTTTGATATTATTTGGCATTAAAGCAGTTAAGAATATATAATTGTAAACTTTAAGTTTATAAATTAAATAATTTGATTGATTTTTATAAAAATTTAATTTAACAGCTTAAAATTATTTTTATAAATTTTTAAAATATCCAATTCACTACTTTTAATTTTTGGTATGATCATTAATATAGTTTTGATTAAGTTTTTTACCTAATTTATAAGCAAAAGGACTAAATATTATCTTTAATTAATGGGAAACCAATGCACTCCTTTTAAAAATCGGAGCAGATAGAAAACAAAATACCTAAATAATGATAGTTTTTAAATGGAATAAAATTATAGAACAGTTTCTATCAAAATAAGCACATATTTTACTCAGAATTCGTATGATTACTACTCAAATTTGATAAACCAAATAGATTCATAAAACATATCTCTGCATTTAAATATGAAAATTTCAAGCTACTTAGAGGATGAATAGTCTTATTTAAATATTTCTTAAATACTTTCTGATGCCCATAATGCTTCTATCCTTTCCTTAAATTTTTCTAATTCCCTATTAAGGAAAAGGATGATCTTTAAAATTATTAGTTAAAGGCTGCAAGAGTATCATCAATTAAGAGTTTTTCATCTAAACATAGGTTTTACTTATATTCCTAATTCTACTATGGAGATTTTTTTATCAGGGCTTAGCAAATGCAGGACAATAACTAAAATAAAATTAGATTTTTAAATTGATATATTCATTAAGAAGCGTTAGGACCAAAAAGAAGATAAAAAATCTCTACCAAACGATAAAATAGCTTATTTGGTAGCTGATCGCTTAATTAACTGTAAAAATGTCTAGTACATATCATTAAACTTTTCTTAAATTTAATAAAAAGAGCAAGATTATAAATCTTTCTTTAAGACATTAAAAAATGGACATCATTTCATATCTATAGAATTAATTTTAAACAACTGTAACTTAGACGACTTTTATCTGGAACAAATAGGATATATTTTATATGAAAATAAAAATTTACATACATTCTACCTACATGTTTCCAACAACAACTTTAAATCTATGAATTCTTTATTTAAAATATACATAAAATAATCAAATCTACAACTTAAAAATCTAGGATAGTCAGATTTTGCAACAAATAAACTTCAAAATTTTAAACTAGTTGCTAGTGGATTTGAGGCAAATGAACAAGAATTAATATAGTTTATACAAACTTTTAAATATTTTTCAAAGCTGAAATCATTTGAATTATTTATAAGTTCAAAACACAATAATATTTAGTTGTTTACTAATACTTTATTGAGTATTATGAAAAATTTAATTTGCATTTCACTAAATTTTAATATGCTTGGAGATGATTAACATATGATAATGCATCAAAAAAATAGGTTTTTAAAATACTGGAGGAAGTAAAAAAGAATTGTATGCATCAGAAACCTTACAATTTAATAGTGATCTAAAGTAGAAAAAATAAACATATTACATTTATATTATTTCTTAATCTAATAAAATTATATTAAAAATATATTCAATTTTTATTTAGTTACTTTTTATTCAAAAATATTATATTCATACACTAATAAATAACAAATATATTCTAAACATTTTTTCAACCAATACACATAGATATTAAATATAATCAATTACATTATTTAAACTATATTTATTAATGTTATTCATGCAGCTTATTTAAAAATATTATATTAAATATACCTATATTCACATCTAAATTCATGCAAATCTATTATCATTAATTATATACTTTCATTCATTATTTATGGGAACAATATTATTATTATTGAAGCCTTTGGATATCTACTTTTATTAATATTTTAAGTAAATATAATAATTTTTATTTATGGATGGAGACATAGTTTGTTTTAGTCTATTAGTAAATATCTTAAATATTCCTAGTATATCAACATTAAAATTTTTAACAATAAAAAGTTTTTTAAAAATTAAATAATAAATTTTATTTATTAAAATAAAACATGAAATTTATGGGAAATTTAATAAAATAAGCAAGTAGCTAGAAATGGTATTTTATTTACTATTTATAAATAAATTATAAATTATTAAGAAATTTAATAAAAATATAACTATTTATTCAATTAAAATATTATCAATTGTGTTTGAACAGATGACAGTGTTTCGTTTCATTTTTATGTTTTTAAATAAATTTTGTTCACACTCTAATTTCATTCTATTTGTAATCCATTACATTTTGATCAAATTATGAAAGTGAAAAAAATTTTTTTTTTACATATTTTCGAAAGAATTCTGCTATATTCTTTTAATAAATCTCTAAGAAAAATATATTTTTCAATTATATTTTTTATATTAAAATTAATACTAAATATAATAAAATTATATCGATAAATATAATATTTTTATTATTTTATTTTGAATTTTTAAAGGAAAAATACTTCTTTTTAAAAATAAATTTATCCTATTATCAATATGTACCACATCCTTTTTTAAAACATACTTTAGGTCGATGTAAAAAATAATAATATTTAAGTGAAAGCTCTACTGATTCACTTACTCAAAATTTAATACATTCAAATTAAAATATAAAGCAATATCAATAATTAAAAATATTAGATTTTTCAAAAAATTAAAATAAACTAAACTTATTTATTTATTTAACAATTTATTTTACTTAATAAAAAATACATAATTAAGATTTTTATTGAAAATAGTTTATTTTGCAAATATCAAATAGATCATTTATATTTGCATAAATAAGACATTATATACTAATTTTCTAATATAAAATTTAGATCTATTAGGTCTAAGACTAATTTAGTTTTTTAAATACTGTTAAACATATTTGAGTAAAATTTCAGATAAATGAACTGAGAAAGTATCACAAACAAAGCTAACTAAATAGATATCATTATGATATTTAATTTTATAAAATATGTGTAGTTATCATAAGATTTTTTCATAGTAAACTCAGTCAATGCATTTATGATGTAATCATAATACTTCTAGAAGTAGAATTAATCTGATATTGACAATTCACTAAAAACTTTGGACATATTTAATAAAAAAAAATCAGGATCATTTAAGTCGCCTTAATATAATTAATATTAGCTTTCAAACAACTATAAAAACCATTTTGTTGATGAAATCAAGCCTGAGGAAAAAATATTCTACTTTACTTAATTACATTCTGTAACATTAAATCCTTTTACTGTTAAATATTATTAGTTTTCATTAATCATTGAGCAAGAATTTTTTTAAAGAATTATCTCAATAAAATTATCATCAAAAAAAGAATTAAAATGCTCATTATTTTATAGATTATCCATAATACTATATAAGGAGTTTAATTTTTATTTTAATTGTTCATATTAATCTTTCTATTATTTTTAATAAGTTTAATAAAGATTATTTGCTCCATTATAGACTATTACCATTAATACCCTTTAATTTGCTATTGTTATAACATACTCAGCTATACTGTTTATTTATTCTAATTATTTTAAATAAATATTTTAAGATTAATATTTGTAAAAATGTTTTAAAAATAAATTTTATTTTAATAAAACAATTACATTAGAATTCAATATTCTTCTCAATTGCTTCAAAAAAATAGCTTTAATAAATACCTACTGTAACTGAATAGATTATATTACACAGTAAATAAATAAATGCAAAAAAGCAAATTTTAAAGCTACACAAATTCAACTTTGATGTAGAACTCAAACTTTTATTTTTTTGGATAGTTTGAATACAAGTTGAAGAAGCAAATGAAGATTTTATTCTATCTTTTTAACTGTCTAGATTTAATTAAACTTCATTAAATTGGCTTGATGGGTCTTGTGGCTACCTAGAAAGCTATTTCTTTATAATATCCTAAGAATCACTTACAAATTTTAGCATTTTTTAAAGTTTTTCAGGACTAAAAGTAGCCAAAAGAGCTAAAATTCTTTATCTCAGTTTTTGAATGTAAATAAAGATTGGTATGAAGCTCAAAGAAAAGGCAACTGAAATTAAGATATTCAATGATAAATATATATTAGCCTGTTATTTGATATCTTAATATTTCGTTTTAATTGAAATCATAGCATTTAAATCAATTTTATCAAATTAATCTATTACTTATTTGTAATTAAAGATAATTTATATCTCATTTTAAAGTGTATCATCTAATTGATAAGCTACTTTGTACTATAAAGCTAATAAAATTTTTAAAATATACTAAAAACTCTAATAGCTAACTAATTGTTTTCCTAATGGTTATGTAAAAGTAAAATTTAAATACTAATTCTCAACTTCTGAAAATAACGAATTTGTATAAGTAGAGTTTGCTTAGTAAGTTTAAATAATTAGATTTTTGTAATTGTTATAAATTTAAATTTAACTTGTTTAAATATCACCAATTAAATCTCTACCTGACTTGCTTTCTTAACCATCAAAAATGCTTACTTGATATAATTGTAATATCGATTAATACTGCAATATCAATTACTAGCACTTTTTTATGTTAAAGCTCCAATCAAAATCTTGATATTCTTCTCTTTGTCGCAATAAATTATTGTTTGTTTAAACAAAGTTAATTATATTCATGGCAATCATAGATAATAAGGCTAATATACCAGAATATTTTATTAATTGTAAACCAATTAATTTTGATGGTCTTTTAATCATATTGGTCATCTTCCTTTTTTATTTATTTAGTAAAAAAGTTAGTTCAATAAAAAATATTTTACTTTTTGTAGGAATTTTCAGATTTTTAAGATTATATGCTAGTTTCTTGAAGTTTTTAAAGTGATTCAATCTTTTTGTTGGTGAATTTTTTTTTTTTATCTCTTAGGGTTTTAGATTATTAAAATGATTTCTTTTCCAAATTCTATTCATGAGATTTCATTTTTTCTTTGAATGATTTAATAATATTTGATTAACTTAGATAGCTCGTTCTATGTGGATAGCTTACAATTTTATTAGGATTTTATATAAATTGATCAAACTTCAAATTTGTTTGAAAGTGATTAATGTTTTTTGGATAATCTAAAGTAAACTAGTCAATTGTGTCAATAGAATTGAATGGATAATTTTAATCTAAAATTTGGTTTCTAGCTTTAATATTTGGTGAAACTAAATTTTCCTAATATAAAATCATTTTATTACTATCCCTATTAGTACTTAAAATATTTATTGAGGAGAATAAAATTTCAGGTTAACTACTTATTTCAGCTTGAATCTGCTGATTTGTATTATTTTAAGCTTTGGTTTCTTCTTAAACTTTCTAGTAACTGAATTATTATGATTACACTTTTAGTTTTGTAATTTCTGCAATACTATTTTGCAAAATTTTTGAAGTAAAATCCAGTTATTAGCACTGTTAACTAGGGTTTTAAATTATATTTTCATTTGAAATATATTTTAAATTGCTGTTGTTAGATCCACTATAGGTTTTTTCAGAAATAAAGTTTCTACTATCTTCATTAATTTCGTTTTAAGTGAGAGAATTTTGTTTTTATTTAGCAAAAAATTTGCTTTTTTAATCTAAAATTTACTTTTGCTATTGAGTGAATTCTTAAGAAATGATTTGGAATTGCTCTAAATGGTCCATTGATTATTTTAAAAATTCTATTTTAAGGTGATTTTCTTCAATCAAATCTACTTCATAAATTTTTAATTATAAAATTTGAGTAAATTTATTTTCTATAAATGTGCACTGTGCAGATATTTTAAATATATCCATCTATAATAGTAATTCTATAAATTCTGGTGATTATTTTAAATTATCAAATTGAGCTTAGCTTTTATTTTTTGGTTTCACAAATATAGTCTCATAAAATGAGTTTTCATATTGTTCTTTAATTTTAAATAATATACTTTGTAATTTAAATAATATTTGATAAACAATTTATTACTTTTTTTGGTAAAGCTAGCTAAAGTAGGCATGTATAAATCTAGTCTTATTTAATCAAGTGAATTCTTATTCTGATTTTCTTTAAAGAGAGTATTAAAAAGCATCTATGAGCATGTAATTATATTAAAATTTTTTCCTATATCTACAGACAAATACAAAAAACAGTCTTTTATTTACTTAACCTAAGCGGTTACTCCATAATCAGATAAACCAATCATGCAAGTTTGAAGTTTAATTTAGTATGGGATAGCCCAACCTTGCTTATCGATTCCAATTAGCAAATTAAAAGATTTCGTATTTTATCTAGAAATGTTACTATCCAAAAAGTGTTTTATTAAATTACTATGAGCTTATGCTATTGACTGAGGAATCATATAATCAATATTCTTACCTATAACTTCATCTTATTAATAAATAGGGATAACATTATATAGATTATTTGAAGCTCTTATTATTTTTCCTATATTGATCAAACTTACAAAAAGCACACAACTTTAGTTTGAAAAGTTATAAATATTTTTATTTTAATTATAATTTTCATTTATACTTAGCGAATTCAGTAAGTTAGGTTATTAAATATTTTTAGAAAGTGGTTAATTATGAAGAAATACTTCTTAAAATATTTCAATTAGTATCTAAAGAGTAAAACATTATTTAGAAATATTTATCATTTTTAAAAGTTTATTGCTTAGTTTTCCTTTTTTATTTAAAAGAATCATGCTTATTTCGAATGATTCTTGTAAATCCACATAATTAACTCCAATTTTTTGTATTAAATTTTTTTTAATATTTAAACATTCTTTAAGCATTTATATACATTCAGAAAGTTCTTCATCAAATTTTATTTATTCAAAGAAGCTGTATTTTGATTAATTGACTAGATTTTACAAATCGAGGTTACTTTATGTAGGTCTTATAAGAAATGATTGTTAATTAACATATTTAATGCTATTAAAGAGCATTTATTTTTATGATAGATCTAATTTTTAATTTTATTCATTCCAGATTTTAAGAGCTAAAGTTAATGCTTTTGCTTCATTTTATAATACATCAACAAAAAGTGCAATTTATATGTTTGATACAAAAAACGAATTTCCTTAGCTATTTACATTTTCTAAAATATCCTCTACATACTTTGTTATGAATTTGTTTCTAATCCTTTCGCTTTCACGGTCTTATTAGGTTAGGATTTCCTATTTAATAAAGTAATATACAAATAAATAATTTTTTCAATGATTTAACTACATTTGAAAGATAAAATCCTTTGATTTTGATTGATTAAATTAATTAAAAATAAATATTTGAAATAGAAAGTGAGTTAAAAGAATTCAAATGAATAGGATTACATCAGAATACTTTTTTAGCCTTACAAAATTTTTAATTAAGTAAATTCATAATTAATTTAATTAATTTGTGTAAGATTTTATTAGATAATTAAGATCATGCTAAATAAATAAATATTACATTTGAACAAAAGCAAAATGATTGTTGAGTACATGAGATTCTATGGATATAAATAATCTATTCTAAAAATATTGATTCTTAAGAAATCAAATATCTATCATAGCTTTGTGGGCTTTTATGGTAAAAATGCTTAATAAAAATATCTAAATGCTCCAAATCACTTTAAGAAATATTTAATTTTCTCAAGTTATCTTTAGGAATATTAAATTTGAATTTCAGAGAATCAATCAAAAAGTTAAGTCTAGCTTCAATTAAACTCTATGCAATTTTATAGCAAAAGGGAATCGAAAAAATTATAAATAGATAATATACTTATACCTAATTGTCTTTCATATATAGCAAAATATAAATATTCTAGGCTAGATTAAATAAGCAAAACGAACAGTTCAAAATCTGAATGGTTTTATTCAAGTATGGAATATAGATAATATTAAGGAAAAATAAAATAGAATATTTGAGAATGTTATAGATTATCAAATAATTAGAATTAAAAAACCTATATAAAGTCATATTGAAGATGTCAATTAATACTTCCATGTAATATATCCATTTAAATCTAACATTTAAGTAATCTGTCTAGATAAATCTGGCATCATAGTTGTGAAAGCAAATAAAAAAGGCTTTAATAAAAAAAATTAATTTATTTGAAACAAATGAGAAAAATAAGTAATTTACTGATAGTCCATGTTAGAAAGATGTTAATGCTTGATAAAATTGTTTAATCCTTTATGTTAAATAAAGAACTCCTAGTTGAAATCAAAAAAAATGTATATCTATACACTTATAATATAGCAGATATAATTAGATCATTGCTATTATTGTTATTGTTACTAGATTTGTTAAATAAAATTATGCTTGATTGATCTTTTTACTTGATTTGATTTTTTGAAAACTTAACAAGTTTTATTATTATAAAAAATGTTATGATGCTATTTAATATTAAAAAAAAAATGAGAGAAGTAAAATTTTTTGATAGATTATTAAAGTATTATTCTAGTTGGTTAAGGTAGTGAATATTTTATTTATGTTATCGTATTGAAGAAGTAATTGAGAATGAAAAATAGAGAGATTGCTTAATTATTAGTAAAATAATAGACAGTAAGAATCCCCTATCATAGAGCTTCACTATGTCATATGTTTAGAAGACAATAAATTTTTAGAGTAGATTCTGTTAAAATAAATTTAAAAGTTAATTATTTTAATACATTATCTTCATTTTATTTTAGAATATATTTATTCTTTATTAATTTATTGATTTAATTAATTATTTATTTTAATTAATTTATAAAAAAATAATTACTAATTTTTGATCACAATATATAAAATAAAACATTAACTTCTAACCTTTAAAAAATCTTTTCTTAAGATTATACATTAATCATAGATTTGAATTTTTAGTTTTAATCAATTAATCAATTTTATATATCTTTACATTTAAGAATTTCTTATAATTATTAGGTAGGTTACAAATCTCAATCATAAAAAATATAAATTCTTAAAAATTGCAAAAAGCACAATTAGTCTATAAAATTTATCCAAAAATATAGAAAAATATTGATTCAGTTATCCATATAAATTCTTGATTTATTGTAATAAATAATTAATAGAGTAATTTAATAGACCTTATCACCTAATCGCATTCTTAAAATAAAATAGTATTAATTAGATATAATACCTAATGTATATTAATACTATTGATAAGTCTCTTTAAAGCGCTAATTATTTTCTAAGTAAATCAATAAATACTATTAAACTTTATAAAATAAAGTTAAATCACATCAAAAAAGTATTAAGCTAATAAAAAAATTATAAATTATAAATTTGGTTTTTAAATATAGAAAATGGTGTGTGTATTTTTTACTATTTACATTAATTTAGATTAAAATATCTGCATTTTAAGTAAATAAATAAATTTTTAATGTTTTTTTGTAAAAATAACATAAAACATTATTAGATTATTTTTATTTGAAAACTATAAAATTAAAGACATTTTTTTGATGTTTTTAATATTCATATTTTAATTTTCAAAATTGATTTTACCAATGAAAATGAAGAAAAATTAATTAGTGGATATCTCACATTATTTTTTGTGTAACCCGTCTTTTTTATTAAATTCAATCTAAATAAAATTTAAAAGTGATGTAACTTTTGAATTGAATCCAACAGCAAAAATTTTAAATTTGATTCCTTAACTTATGTTTTTTACTTACATTCTTCAGGATTGTTTATTACAATATATAAAACATGATATAAAGTCAAAAAGAGAAATATTTTATTGAGGAAAGTTAAACGAAAATCTAATTAAAATTTAGAATTATTATAATTATTTCATATTATTTTGTTTTTTGATTATTTTAACTAATGTTTTGTTCCATTCATTAGATAATTTGAAATAAGTTAATATCTATAAATTTTCTTCTAGACCAAGAAGAAGCTTTATTTATTGTTTATTACCTCTAAAATAATTTATAGTAAGCTATAAAAATCACCAAAATTTTACTAACAAGTGAAATGGCTACCAAAATATGATTTAGAGTAATCATTTGGTTATAGTGGTAATAAGTTAAATTGGTTACTTTCTACTGAACACTCTTAACTATATAAAATAGATAAAGTCTATAATAATATCTATCAATAAATGAATACGATTTTCCTTTTTCAATAATTGATCCCAAAAATAGTTTGAGATTTTTCGTGTAATAAACTGGGATTCTAGAGATATATTTATCACAAACTTGTATAATGGATTTGACTAAATCTGCATTAAATATGCCATTTGCTGCCTATTCACACTCCTTTAAAGAAAAACCGAATCTGTAAGTAAATCTAAATTTTGAGCGCCTGAGATATATTTATTAAATTCATCATGTTTGTATCCTGTAACAGAATAATAATTGTCGACAACAGAGTATAATAAATTCACTCTACCTTAGCTATTTTCAGCAAGAGCTACATGCAAAGCTAATTAATATCAAGAGCTACATACAAAGCTAATAAATCTTTATTTCAAGCAAGAGTTAATAGAACCAATGGTATTCTTACAGTATTAACATTAGAAGACGTTCAAAAAGTCATCTATATATTAATTAAAGTAAAAGCTAATTAATTAAAAATTTTTTTGAGATACCATAAAACTTCTTAAATCAACATGTGAAGGAAACCAAAATTATTAAATTAAAGTTTATTATAATAAACTTGACAAAAAAATGTTATTTTCAGAAAATGGCGTGACTTATTTTAGTATAATTACAATATATACCTAACAACAAAGAGTTTAACATTTTTTTAATTTTTGAGTAATGTGTATGTTATATGTTTTAAGTAATATATAAATTTATATATTTACAAATATCCTGTCATTTAATTTAAGTAAACTAGCTATATAATTTTCTGTTATTAGCCAAAGAATGCAAATCAAATACATCTAAAGATAATTTCGTTTGTAAATGTTATTTTCTAAAATAAGAGAAAAAGAACATCCAAACAAAAATAAAAATAGTGCAGCTTATAGCCATCTGTAAAATAAAGTAAAAGTAGTTACTATCTATAATACCTTAATAATCTCCTATTATTTAATAGCGAATACATCTCTTGTTAGCAGAAAATATTTACTGAAAGTTAACTCTGAATTGATTTTATTAATAAATTGAAAAAGATTATAATAACACTTTTTCATTCACTATAAATTATTTGATATTCATTTAAGCAAGGATTTCAAACTATTACTATAAATACGAATACTGACTAGTTAATGCTGCAATCATCCCTTTAGATAAAATAGAATCTTTTACTAAGTAGCAGTCAGTAATATTATACCCTCCTCCATTTACATAATAAGAATACTATTAGGTGATATTACAAGCATCTCCTGTAAACATCCCATTCATGAAATACATAAAAAAAGTTTAATTATTTCTATTAACATATTACTGCTACGAATACAATTAAAATAAATTATCATTCAAAGCAAGATTCTACTTGATTTCTGTTTTATATTTTTAATAATAATATTCAAACTCTTAAGGATAGTATATTTTCAAATGTAAAAGAATAGGTGTATAGGCTATACTTCTATTCATAGCTTATTAGACATAAGTGAGAGTATCTAATTTTTAAAAAAATATTAATTAAATTATTTATAAAAAAATATTTTTAAATATGAATGAAAATGGTTTTGTTGCCAAAAGTAACTTTTAAAGTTTTGATTCTTTAATTCTAAAAATAAAAATATAATTTACTTAAAAATAATCTTTCTTAAACTTGTAGCTAAGTGAAACTTTGCACTAAAATAAAATTCGAGAAAGAGTAAAGCTGGATTACAGAAAGGTTCAAAAGGCAAACGAAACTTAAAATAATATTTAACTATTTGAGTTAAATTATTTTTTTAGACCTAGTAACATTTTTTTTTTCATTGATTTCAAATAATTATTTTTCTTTTTGTAATTAAAAGTGTTAAGCTCCTTCCAATTATTTGTTATATTAAATACATTCATTTGATCTCTTACTGTAATTTAATACTTCTTCTAAATTGACTTATTTTTGTTTATTTGAATCAATCATAGATATCAAAGAACTAGAAGTAAATGAGCATACAGCCTTAAGGATTTTATTTCGTTTTTACTAAATATAATAATAAATTGCTTAGAAGAATAAGAAAAATGTAATTGCAACACCAAGTATTGTATAAAAGGTGATTTTAGCTTATATATTTAAAGCTTAAAATTTTAAATTTATTGCATCTTCAATAGCTTTTGAAACATTTTAGTATGAAGCTTGTAAATTTTCAAAATTATCCTTTATTAACCTATCATTCGTCTCTATAAACGATGAAGTTGAGTTAGCCACAGCAAATACACTTTCTAACATAAAATAAACAATGTGCTCTAATCTATAATCAGATGTACTATCTATTGTAACAAACTAATTAATTTTGCTTTCAAATTAGTATTATATTCTTTTACTGAGCAATTCATCCTAAACTTATTAAGTTGGATAAGTCATTAACAAGTGCTTTACAACATATCCTTTAAGTTAACTTAATTGATTCTTCAGCTGTGCTTTTAATCTGGGAGTTAAATTATTTTTCTCATTTTTTAAAAATAAATTATTCAGTATATAAGTATCCTGAGTCAACTATTAAAACGATAAATCTGAGACCACTTACTATAATGAAATTTGAACCTAAGATGGCCAGTCTAAATTGAGTATTTCCTATTACTGACTAACATAAGCATTATTAAGGATACTATAGTTGACTATTGATAATACCATAATTAAAATAAAGAAGGCAATACCAAATATATTAATTAATTTCAATCCAAAAATTTATCTCTTAGAATGAATATTTCTCGCCATCAATTAAAATCTAAAATAAATAAATTATTAATAAAAATCATTTTTATTTTAATTTACTTGTTGTAAGTTAAATCTGTTTATCGTGATCTAGTTTCGCTGGCTTAAAATTTAATATTTTCAATATTGTCTTCTTAAGACATTTTATCTCTATCGTCACTTTCAGCTATTTAAATCTATTTGATTTTTTATATCTAACTTTATCTTTTTAGCAAATCTACATATGATTATTAATTAAAATTTTTGATATTTATATTATATTTCAAATTAAATAATAAATATAAATTCAATTAAACATTTTGAGATAAAACTTTAAAAATATTATCAAATTTAATTAAAACTTTTTTGAAAAAAAATTAGAAATGGGAATAGAAAATTTTGATATTTTCAAAATGAAAGAAAATTAAAATAAATTCAATAATTTTTATTCAACTTCCACTCATTTTGATTTTATGGATATTTTCGATTCTCTTCTCTAATTGTGATGATGGAATAATATTTTCGAAAAAAAAAGTAAAAAGGATATTTTAGAAATACTTACTGCTATTTGAAAAAATTCTATCAGTGAGATAAAGATTGTCATTATTAGATTGTGTTTAACTTACTATTAGCTCAGTCCTTTAAGATAGCTATCTTTTTGCAGTTGGAGTTTCATCATCGAAATTTTCTATTTTAGAAAATCTGGATATGGGACTATTTTAAAATTTATTGAAAGACAAGGTTTGTAAATGGAAAAAATTTTTTTCATTTTGGTTAAAAATTTTAGATTAAAATAGTTTTTTATCATCAAAAATAGAAGAAATTCTCTTTATTTTTTCTGGTTCTAATTCGTTTAAATTATCTTATGAGCTATTTATTTATCTTAAGCTTATTACTTTTATTTGAATAATTCTTAGGTATTTGCTTTTTTTGTAAATACAGTCAGCTTTCAACTAAAACGCTACCGCTTCTTCATTATCCTATTGCCTTACAGATTTTTATATTAAGCTGTGTCTTCTTAACAATTCAATGGAAGGCTTTGTAAGAACTGTTTCTAATAACCCATATTCTGAATTATCTTTAAATAAATAAAGATAAAAATGATTTAAAATCAACTAAAATAATATTTTACTTTGATTTAATTCTTCAATAAAATTTTCTATATCTTTCATTATCATATTAATTTTTATATTTTTAATTTAGTTTGAGAGATTGTTATGACCAATTAATTTTTCATGTAGATTTTCAGAAATTGCTATAATTTATAAAGTTTTTGCATCTGCAATCAAACAATCAGTGAATTCTTTTTATTTTTATATTCTTGAACAGATTCCTATTTCTGTTGCTGAGAAAATAGTTAATTAAAAGTAAATCATATAACAAGTAGCCCAACCCCTTCCATCTATGCCAATCTACTCTCTTTAACTTATTGAGTCAAGAGTTAAACTGTCTTCATTATATTTCTATGATTAATAGTAGTATACGTTGATTGCTTCATCGTGAAAGCTAGCAATTTAGGGAGGCATTAATACATTTATGCTTTAACCAATTAATGGAAGCTTTTTGATATCCCAATTCAAAAAATCATGATAATTTAATGTAGCTTTCTTGACTATAAAAGGGTTTCTTTCTCTTAATGATAAAAAAAGTATAACAGAATCAGTTAAGTTTGTTAATTCAATAGTCTACTTGATGTATTGTTTGACTTTTAGATTTGAGTGGTCCTTCTTTTAAAAAAATGTTTTCATATTTTTCAAATATTAAGTTAAAGACCTATCGCAGCAAAATTCTGATTCAATAATATCAACAAGCTGAGGAATTAATGCGTTGAAGGGATTTAAATTAATAAGCTATTTTAGCTTTTCGTTTATATATTACAAATTCTATCTAAGAATAGTCAGCTTATCTTAGAGTTAAGATAAATTAATTATTTGTGAGTATAATAAATGATGGAGGAGCTCACATTTTTTAATTAGACATTTTAAAATATCTGAGCAAACTTGATACTCTTTGTCCTCATATTATATCGCTTAAATCAATTTTAGTTATTAATTTTGTTCACTCATATAAATTTATTCAGTTTCGTATTCGCGTAGTGATTAAATATTTTCCTAAAAGTTATTCTAAAATGATTTATTCTAAGACTTTTTAGTAAGATCAAATAGATAAAATTGCTAAGCCTTGAATGGTAAATACTTATAAAAAAAAGTATAATACATTTATTAAGTTAACAAAGACTATTATTTATTCGTACTCTACAAATTTTAGAAACTCCCAAATATCTTAAACGCACATAACGTTGATTACTAAACATTTTGACAGGCATCAATCAAAAAATAAAGAAACCCAAAAATAAATTTATTATCCTTAACGTCTTAATAATTATCAATTGAATAGTATGAGCAAATAATCTCAATTATTTCTTATTTCTACTTATTTTCTTTCAGCATTTCTAACGTTTCTAATTTCTATTTAATTTAAAATAATATTTAAAACATTAAAAAGATCAAAATGTTTACATTTTAACAGAAACATTAACTAGAGCGCTTAGTACAGTTTAGTTTATGATAAAAAAACAAGCTACTTAAGTAAATGGAGACATGATTATTAATATAATCATCATAATTAATTTTTGATTCTTGAAATAAAATTCTTAGAATGTAATCAATATCAGATAGTTTATTTTTTGATAAGAAAGATTAGTGATAATTTTAATCAATAGTGTTCATAAAATTGTATAGCAGATTCATTTCTTTCTTTACTATTAATTCGCTGGTAATCTTTATACTTAAAGGCAGTAAAAAAAATAATAATGCGTATTTGTCTTAAATGCTGTACTAGAAATTAAAATTAACAGTATAAACACCAAATGTTATGATTAGTGAAATAATTATTGATAACTTCAAAAATTTTATATTTTTACATAAAATACTTTCAGAATATAATTCAGTCAAATAATTAATTAATAGCATAATGATCATGCAAATTTTGAAAACGGAGTCTTAAATTAGATACCAAAGTATAAGTATAATTATATCCTCAATAATTTAAATAATATTATATTTTGGAGCTCTTGTTTGCAAGTAATCTTTACTAATATATCTTAAATCATAATCATGTATAGCGGCAAACAAACCTAATATTTTAGTAATTAAAATATTATGAAATTTAATTCTTTATATTTTGAAGCAAAATAAGAATATTTATAGTATAAAGATAAGCAAAAAATCATTTTACTAATAACAACGACCAGGGTAAAGTTAAAGATTGTCAAAACAGGCATTTAATCAAAATAATATTTTAGAGAAATTGCACTCAAAGGAAAAATGAGATTATTATAAATTTAAAAGTAAAAAGAGAGTATTTTTTTAGATTTTTCTAAGATTTTATAAGTCACTATGTTAATCATTAAGGAAAATATGCAAAAGAAATTTAGTATCAAAGTAATTAGTGAGATATTTTACCACATATTTTTAATTATTTATTGGTTACTACTACTAACTTAATTCAATATTTCTTAGCTAAAAAATAAATAAATTGAGAACGCATATTTAAAAGTGATTAGAATGAAACAAAACTAATAAGAACGGTCGTAATGTTTCACAAGATCGTAGCTTCTTTAAATATAGAATACTTTAAAAATATCTTTGATAGCCTGCATATTATTCAAAGTTACTTTTTTTTAACTATTATTTACTTATATTTCCTCTTACTTATTTTTATTAACTGTTTTTCTTCTTGGTTTTGTTTCAAGTTAATTATTTGTAATTTATTTGAAAAAAATTTTTATTTTTTTGCTTTTTAAATAAATGAGATCAAAAAAATCAATATTTAATCTATTTATTTGAGACAAAGAAAATAGTCTTTTATTATTTATTTTAAGACAATTATCCTTTCTATATGCTAAGAATTTCATTAATAAAATAAATCAATACAAGCTAAAATTAAAATTTTTATTTCTTATTTAAATGAACTTAATATACCTCTTTTTTTCAAAAATAATTTATGTTGGTATATAATTAGGCTTTTGATATATAAAGCCAAGTAGATATTTAAATAAAAACTAACTATTTTACAAAATAAAATTAAATTTTATATTTTAAATTAACTTCTAATTAAATTTTATATCTCCACTGCCAATAAAAAAAGAGTTATTTAATAAAATTTTTTATTAAATGTCAGCAAAGCTCAGTGATAATTTATTCTATTAACAGCTCAAACAATAATATGTATTATTGATATATTTTTTAGATTAAAATTAATATTAAAGATAATTAATTTTAAAGATAAATAAAATATTTTTTAATTATATTTTTAATTTAAAAAAATATATCTTTTTAAATCTAAATATACTTTTTTTAAAATAACAAAATAAAATTGCTTAGATCTATGTAATGAATAATTGCATGTAAGTTAAAATTTCTACTTATTCACTTACTCAATATTTATTTTAAAAATATCTGAAATTGACATTAAAGAATTCGAATTAAAAAAAATAAATATTGCGAAAAATGAAAATAAACTAAATTTATTTATTTAACAATTAAAATAATGAATAAAAAATACATGATAAAGTTATTTATTTAAAATATTTTATAAAACAATTTCAAAAAGATCATTTATGTTTGCACAAATAAGACATTATATACTGATTTTCTAATATAAAATTTAAATCTATTAGGTCTAATATTAATTTTGTTTTTTAAATACTGTTAAACATATTCGAGTAAAATTTCAGATAAATGGACTGAGAAAGTATTACAAACAAAGCTAGCTAAATGGATATCATTATGATATTTAATTTTATAAAATAGGTGTAATTATCATAAGAATTTTTCATAATAAACTCAGTCAATCCATTTATGATGTAATCATAATACTTCTAGAAGTAGAATTAATCTGAAAGAGTTAATTCACTAAAAGCTTTGGTCATATTTAAAAAAAAATAATCATAATCATCTAAGCTACGACCTTAATATAATTAATATTAGTTTTCAAACAGCTACAAAAACCATTTTGTTGATGAAATCAAACCTTAGGAAAAAATATTATATTTTACTTAATTACATTCTGTAACATTAAATCCTTTTACTGTTAAATATTATTAGTTTTCATTAATTGTTGAGCAAGAATTTTTTTAAAGGACTTTCTCAATAAAATTATTATCAAAAAAAGAATTAAAATGCTTATTATTTTATTGATTATCTATAATATTATATAAGGAATCTAATTTTTATTTTAGTTACTCATATTATTCTTGTTATTGCTTTTAGTAAGTCTAATAGATACTATCTGTTCCACCATAAACAAGCACCATTAATACCCTTTAATTTGCTATTGTTATAACATACTCAGCTATACTCTTTATTTATGCTAATTATATTAAATGTAAATTTTAAGATTAACATTTGTAAAAATATTTAAAAATAAATTTTATTTTATTAAAAAAAATTACTTTAGAATTCAATATTCTTCTCAATTGCTTCTAAGAAATAGCTTTAATAAATACCTATTGTAGCTGAATAGATTACATTACACAATAAATAAGTAAATGCAAAAAAGCATATTTTAAAGCTGAACAAATTCAACTTTGATGTAGAACTCAAACTTTTATTTTTTTAGATAGTTTGAATACAACTTGAAGAAGCAAAAGAAGATTTTATTCTATCTTTTTAACTGTCTAAATTTAAATAGCCTTCATTATATTATTGGCTTAGTATGCCTTATTGCTCCCTCAAAAGCTCTTTCTTTATAGTATCCTAAGAATCACTAACAGATTTCAACATTTTTTAAAGTTTTTCAGGAGTAAAAGTAGCCATAAGAGCTAAAATTCTTTGTCTTAGTCTTTGAATGTAAATAAAGATTGGTATAAAGCTCAAAGAAAAAACAACTGAAAAAAAAATATTCAAAGCTAAATATACATTAGCCTATTATTTGATATCTTAATATTTAGATTTAATTGAAATCATTGCATTTAAATCTATTTAATCAAATTAATCTATTACTTATTGGTAATTAAAAAGAATTTAAAACTCATCTTTAAAGTTATAATCTAATTGATAAGCTACTTTGTACTAAAAGGCTAATAAGATTTTTAAAATATACTAAAAGCTCTAGTAGCTAACTTAGTTTTTTCTAAATGTATATACAAAAGTAAAATTTAAATATTAATGCTCAACTTCTGAATAAATCGAATTTGTAAAAGTAAAGTTTGCTTAGTAAGTTTAAATAATTAGGTTTTTGTAATTGTTATAAATTTAAATTTAGCTTGAGAATATATCATTATTTAAATCTCTACCTGTGTTGCTTTCTTAACCATCAAAAACGCTATCTTAATATAATTGTAATATCGATTAATACTGTAATATCAATTATTAGGACTTTTTTATGTTAAAGCTCCAATCAAAATTTTGATATTCTTCTCTTTGTTGCAATAAATTATTGTTTGTTTAAATAAAGTGAATTATATTCATGCCAATCATAGATACTAAAGCTAAAATACCAGAGTACTTTATTAATTACAAACCAATTAATTTTGAAGGTCTTTTAATCATATAGATCATCTCTCTATTTTATTTATTTATTTATTTAGTTAAAAAGTTAGTTCAATAAAAAATATTTTACTTTTTGTAGGAATTTTCTGAATTCTAGGACTATAGGCTTGTTTCTTGTAGTTTTTAAAGAGATAGAATTTTTTTGTTGCTGAATTATTTTTCTTTATCTTTTAGGGTTTTAGCTTATAAAAAAGATTTCTTTTCCAAGATCTATTCATAAGATTTCATTTTTTCTTTGAAAGATTTAATAATATTTGTTTAGCTTAGATAGCTCATTTTTCGTGGATTGCTTACAATTTTATTAGGTTTTTATATATATTGATCAAACTTCAAATTTGTTTGAAAGTGATTAATGTTTTTTGGATTAAGGTAGTTATCTAAAGCAAATTAGTCAATTGTTTATATAGAATTAAATGGATAATTTTAATCTAAATTTTAATTTAGGGCTATAATATTTGGAGAAACTAAATTTTGCTAACATTAGATCATTTTATTACTATCCCTTTTAGTACTTAAAATATTTATTGAGGAGAATACAATTTCAGGTTAACTATTTATTTCTGCTTGAATCTACTGATATGTATTATTTTAAGCTTAATTTTCTTCTTAAACTTTGTAGTAGCTGAATTATTCCTATTGCTCTTTTGGTTTTATAGTTTCTACACTAATTATATTTTCGTTTGAAATATATTTTGAATTGCTGTTGTTTGATCCACTACTGGTTTTTTATGAAATAAAACTTCTACTACCTTCATTAATTAAATTTGAAGTGAAAGAGTTTTGTTTTTATTAAGCAAAAAATTTGCTTTTTTAATCTAAAATTTATTTTTGCTATTGAGTAAATTCTTAAGAAATTATTTGGAATTGCTCTAAATGATCCATTGATTATTTTAAAAATTCTATTTTATGGTCATTTTCTTCAATCAAATCTACTTCATTAATTTTTAGTTATAAAATTTAAGTAAACATATTTTCTATAAATGTGCACTATACTGATATTCTAAATATATCCATCTAAAATAATAATTCTATGAATTCTGGTGATTATTTTAAATTATCAAATTGAGCTAAGCCTTTATTTTTTGGTTTCATAAATATAGTCTCATAATATGAGTTTTCAAATTGTTCTTTAATTTTAATAATATACATTGTAATTTAAATAATATTTGTTAAAAAATTTATTACTTTTTTTAGTAAAGCTAGCTAAAGTAGGCATGTATAAATCTAGTCTTATTTATTCAAGTGAATGCTTATTATGATTTTCTTAAAAGAGAGTATTAAAAAGCATCTATGAGCATGTAATTACATTAAAATTTTTTCCTATATCTACAGACAAATACAAAAAACCGTCTTATATTTACTTAACCTAAGCGACTACTCCATAATCAGATAAACCAATCATGCAAGTTTGAAGTTCTATTTAGTATGGGATAGCCCAACCTTGCTTATCGATTCCAATTAGAAAATTATGAGATTTAGTAATCTATCTAGAATGTTTACTATCCAAATAGTTTTTAATTAAATTATTATGAGTTTATGCTAATGACTTAGGAATCATATAATCAATATTCTTACCTATAGCTTCATCTTATTTATAAATAGGGATAACATTATATAGATTATTTGAAGCTCTTATTATTTTTCCGATATTGACCAAACTTACAAAAAGCACACAGCTTTAGCTTGAAAAGTTAAAAATATTTTCTTTTTAATTATAATTTTCATTTATACTTAGCGAATTCAGTAAGTTAGGTTATTAAATATTTTTAGAAAGTGGTTAATTATGAAGAAATGCTTCTTAAAATATTTCAATTAGTATCTAAAGAGTAAAGCATTATTTAGAAATATTTATCATTTTTAAAAGTTAATTGCCTAATTAAGCTTTTTTCTTTAAAAGAATCATGCTTATTTCGAATGATTCTTGTAAATCCACATGATTAACTCCTATTTTTTGTATTAAATTTGTTTTTATATTTAAACATTCTTTAAGCATTTGTATACATTCTGAAAGATCATCTTCAAATTTTATTTATTCAAAAAAGCTAATTTTTGAGTAATTGACTACATTTTACAAATCATGGTTACTTTATTTAGATCTTATAAGAAATGATTGTTAATTAACATATTTAATGCTATTAAAGAGCATTTATTTTTATGATAGATTTAATTTTTAACTTTATTCATTCCAAATTTTAAGAGCTAAAGTTAATGCTTTTGCTTCATTTTATAGTATATCAACAAAAAATGCAATTTATAAATTTGATACAAAAAGCAAATTTCCTTAGCTATTTACACTTTCTAAAATATCCTCTACGTACTTTGTTAAGAATTAGTTTCTAATCCTATCACTTTCACGGTCTTCTTAGGTTATGATTTTCTTTTTAATAAAATTAAAAACAAATAAATACCTTTTTATATGGCAAAAATATATAATCGTTTGATTTTGATTTATTAAATTTATTAAAAATAAATATTTGAAATAATAAGTAATATAAAAAAATTTTAATGAATTTGATTTCATCAGAATTTTTTTTAGAATTACAAAATTTTTAATTCAGTAAATTCATAATGAATTTAATTTAATTTGTGTAAGAATTTATTAGATAATAAACATAGGGCAAAAAAAATATTACATTTGAACAAAAGCAAAATGATTGTTGACTACATGAGATTCTGTGGATATAAATAATCTATTCTAAAAAGATTGATTCCTATGAAGTCAAATATTTATCGTAGCTTTATGGACTTTTATGGTAAAAATGCTTAATAAAAACATCTAAATGCTCTATATCCCTTTAATAAATATTTAATTTCCTCAAGTCATATTTAGGAATATTAAATTTGAATTTCAGAGAATCAAATAAAAAGTTAAGTCTAGCATCAATCAAACTTTATGCAATTCTATAGCAAAGTGGAATCGAAAGAATAATTAATAGATAATATAGTTTTACCAAATGGTCATTAATATATAGCAAAATATAAATATTCTAAGCAAGATTAAATAAACAAAGCGAACAATTCCAAATCTGAATGCTTTTATTATAGTATGGAATATAAATAACATTAAGGAAAAATAAAACAGCATATTTGAATATGTTGTAAATTATCAAAATATCAGAATTAAAAAAGTTATATAAAATCATATTGAAGATGTCAATTAGTACTTCCATGTAATATATCCATTTAAATCTAACATTTAAGTAATCTTTCTGGATAAACCTGGTATCATAGTTATGAAAGCAAATAATAAAGGCTTTAATAAAAAAAAATTAATTTATTAAAAGTAATTGAGAAAATAAGTAATTTACTGATAGTCAATGTTAGAAAGATGTTAATACTTGATAAAATTGTTTAATCCTATATGTTAAATAAAGAACTCATAGTTGAAAGCAAAAAAAATGTATATCTATACACTTGTAATAAAGCAGATATGAATAAATCTTTGTAATTATTGTTATTGTTACTAGATTTGTTAATTAAAATTATAGTTGATTGATCTTTTTACTTAATTTGATTTGTTGAAAACTGAATAAGTTTTATTATTATAAAAAATGTTATGGTGCTATTTAATGCTAAAAAAAAAATGAGAGAAGCATAATTTTTCGATAGATTATTCATGTTATATTCTAATTGGTTAAGGTAGTGAATATTTTATTTATGTTCTCGTATTGAAGTTGTAATTGAGAATGAAAGATACATAGATTGCTTAATTATTAGTAAAATAATAGACAATAACAATCCCCTGTCATAAAGCTTCACTATACCATATGTTTAGATGACAATAAATTTTTAAATTAGATTCTGCTAAAGTAAATTTAAAAGTTAATTATTTTGTTACTTTGTCTTCATTTATTTTCTTTACTTATTTAGTTAATTAATTTATAAAAAAATAATTACTAGTTTTTTTATCTCAATTTATAAGTAAATACACTAACTTCTAGCTATTAAAAAATTCTATCGTAAAGATTCTACGTTTATCATAAATTTGATTTTTTTTTGTTTAAATTAATTAATTAATCAATTTTATTTATCTTTATTTTTAAGATTTTCTTATAATTATTATGTAGATTACATATCTCAGTCATAAAAATATAAATTTTTAAAAATTGTAAACTGCATCATTATTGAACAAAAGTTATCTAAAAATATAGAAAAATATTGATTCAGTTTTCCATATAAATTCTTATTTTGGTTTATTGTAATAAATAATTAATAGAGTAATTTAATAGACCTTATCATCTAATCTCATTCATAAAAAATAATAGTTTTAATTCATAATATACATATTACTTTTATTGATAACTCTCTTTAAAGAGCTAATTATTTTCTAAAGTAGGTAAATAAATAAGTATTATTAAACATTATAAGATAAACTTAAATTACATCAAAAATTTTGTTTTTAAAAAAATTATAAATAATAAATTTGGTTTTTAAATATTGAAAATTGTTTTTGTTTATTATATTATTTATCTTCAAAAATTTTAATTTGAATACCTTAACTTTTATTTTTTACATTCTTCAGAATTTAATGACTTCATACTACTTCATTTATTAATTATTTTAACTAATATTTAGTTCCATTAATTTAGATAATTTGAAATTAATTAATATGTATTAATTCTATACTAATACGTGAATTTCAACTAAATCAAGAAGAAGATTTGTTTCCTTGAGCTAGTCCATTTACTTTCAAAAAGAATTTAATGTAAGCTATAACTTTCACAAACATTAAACTAACAACTGATATGGCTTGCAAGACATGATTTAGAGTTATCATTAGGTTATAGTAATTATAAGTTAAATTGGTTACTTTCTACAAAGCACTATGAGCTATATAAAATATATAAAGTCTATAATAATAGCTATCAATAAATAAATATGATTTTTCTTGTTCAATAATAGATCCCATAAATACTTTGAGTTTTTTTCATGAAATAAAGTGGCATTCTAGAGACACACAAATCACAAACTTGTTTAATAGATTTGACTAAACCTGAAGTAAATATGCCATTTGCTGCCTAATCACGAAAAGTCTGAATCAGTAAGTAAATCTAAATTTTGAGCAACTTATTGGATTGTATTTCCCTACAATATATCAGAGATATATTTATTAAATTCATCTTGTTTTTATCTTGTAACAAAATAATAATTTTCTATAACAGAGTATAGTAAATTCAGTTCTAAATATATTTTACCTAAGTTATTTTCAGTACAAGCTATATACAAAGCTAAAAATCTTTATTTTAAGCAGTATTATTAACTAAAGGTATTCTTACAATATTAAATAAAATTAGAAGAAAAATCTGTAACATTCAAAGAGTCATCTATATATTAATTATAGTAAAAGCAAATTAATTTTAAATTTTTTTGAGATACCATAAAACTTCTTAAATCAACTTGTGAACAAAACCAAAATTATTAAAAAATCAAAGAATTAATTTTTAAAGAAAAAATATTTCTTTTTAAATCAATTTATTCTATTATCAAAATATACCATATCTTTTTTATAACATCGTTTTGATTAATGTAAAAAATAATAAAATTTAAGTGAATACATTATTAAAGGTTTCAAATTATAAAAAAAAGCTACATCAAAAATTAAAAGTATTAGATTTTTCAATAAATTAAAATAAAATAAACTTAATTATTTATTTAAAAATTCAATTACTTTATAAAAAATACATGTTTAAGATATATATCTAAAATATTTTATTTTAAAGTTTCAAGTAGATCATTTATATTTGCACAAATAAGACATTATATACTGATTTTCTAATATAAAATTTAAATCTATTAGGTCTAATACTAATTTTGTTTTTTAAATACTATTAAAAATATTCTAGTAAAATTTCAGATAAATGAACTGAGAAAGTATCACAAACAAAGCTAGCTAAATAGATATCATTATCATATTTAATTTTATAAAATAGGTGTAATTATCATAAGAATTTTTCATAATAAACTCAGTTAATCCATTTATGATGTAATCATAATACTTCTAGAAGTAGAATTAATCTGAAAGAGTTAATTCACTAAAAGCTTTGGTCATATTTTAAAAAAGAATATCTGAATCATCTAAGTTACTACCTTAATATAATTAGTATTAGCTTTCAAACAACAACAAAAACCATTTTGTTGATGAAATCAAGCCTGAGGAAAAAATATTATATTTTATTTAATTACATTCTGTAACATTAAATCCTTTTACTGTTAAATATTATTAGTTTTCATTAATTGTTGAGCAAGAATTTTTTTAAAGGACTTTCTCAATAAAATTATTATCAAAAAAAGAATTGAAATGCTTATTATTTTATTGATTATCTATAATATTATATAAGGAGTCTAATTTTTATTTGAGTTGCTCATATTAATATTACTATTGTTTTTAGTAAGTTAGATAGATAGTATCTGTTTCATCCTAAATAAGCACCATTAATACCCTTTAATTTGCTATTGTTATAACATATTCAGCTATACTCTTTATTTATGCTAGTTATTTTAAATGTAAATTTTAAGATTAAAATTTGTAAAAATATTTAAAAATAAATTTTATTTTATTAAAAAAATTACTTTAGAATTCAATATTCTTCTCAATTGCTTCTAAGAAATAGCTTTAATAAATACCTATTGTAACTGAGTAAATTATATTGCACAATAAATATATAAATGCAAAAAAGAAAATTTTAAAGCTGCACAAATTTAGCTTAGATGTATTACTGAAACTTTTATTTTTTTGGATAGTTTGAATACAAGTTGAAGAAGCAAAAGAAGATTTTATTCTATCTTTTTAACTATCTAGATTTAATTAGCCTTCATTAAACTGGTATGGTAGGTCATATTGCTCCATCAAAAGCTCTTTCTTTATAGTATCCTAAAAATCACTTACAGATTTTAGCATTTTTTAAAGTTTTTCAGGAGTAAAAGTAGCCAAAAGAACTAAAATTCTTTGTCTCAGTTTTTGAATGTAAATAAAGATTGGTATGAAGCTCAAAGAAAAGACAACTGAAATAAAAATATTCAAAGCTAAATATATGATAGCCTGTTATTTGATATCTTAATATTTAGTTTTAATTGAAATCATAGCATTTAAATCAATTTTTTCAAATTAATCTATAACTTTTTAGTAATTAAAGAAAATTTATTATAAATCTTAAAGTGCACCATCTAATTGATAAGTTATTTTGTACTAAAATACAAATAAAACCTTTAAAATATACTAAAAGCTAAAATAGCTAACTAATTGTTTTCCAAATGAATTTGTAAAAGTAAAATTTAAGTATTAATGTTAAACTTCTTAATAGATGGAACTTGTATAAGTAGAGTTTGCTAAATATGTTTAAATAATTAGGTTTTTGTAATTGTTATAAATTTAAATTTAGCTTGATTAAATATCCTTAATTAGATCTCTACCTGTCTTACTTTCTTAATCATCAAAAATGTTTGCTTGATATATTTGTAATATCGATTAATATTGTAATATCAATTATTAGCACTTATTTATGTTAAAGCTCCAATTAAAATTTTGATATTCTTCTCTTTGTTGTAATAAATTATTATTTGTTTAAACAAAATTAATTATATTCATGGCAATCATAGATACTAGAGCTAAAAAACCAGTGTACTTTATTAATTGCAAACCGATTAATTTTGATGGTCTTTTAATCATTTCAATCATCTTCCTTTTTTATTTAATTATTTAGCTAAAAGTTTTTTCAAAAAAAAATATTTTACTTTTTGTAGGAATTTTCAGATTTCTAAGATTATATGCTTGCCTCTTGAAGTTTTTGAAGTGATCCAATCTTTTTGTTAATGAATTACTTTTGTTTATCTCTTAGGGTTTTTGTTTTAATAAAAGATTTCGTTTCCAAGTTCAATTCACAGGATTTCACTTTTTATTTGAATGATTTAATCATATTTGATTAACTTAAATATCTCATCCTGCTAACAATTTTATAAGACTTTTATATAAATTAATCAAAATTCAAATTTGTTTGAAAGTGACTAATGTTTTTTGGATTAAGGTAGTTATCTAAAGCAAATTACTCAATTGTATCTATAGAATTAAAATGATAATTTTAATCTAAAATTGGATTTTTGGCTATAATATTTGGAGAAACCAAATTTTGCTACTATTAGATATTTTTAGTACTATCCCTTTTAGTACTTAAAATATTTATTGAGGAGAATAAAATTTCAGGTTAACTACTTATTTCTGCTTGAATCTACTAAGGTGTATTGTTTTCAGCTTAATTTTCTTCTTAAACTTTGTAGTAGCTGAATTATTATGAATACTCTTTTAGTTTTGTAGTTTCTACAATACTATTTTGCTAACTTTTTGAAGTAAAATCCAGTTATTAGATCGTTTATCTAGAATTTTAAATAATATTTTCATTTGAAATATATTTTAAATTGCTGTTGTTAGATCCACTATATGTTTTTTCAGAAATAAAATTTCTACTATCTTCATTAATTTCGTTTTAAGTGAGAGAATTTTGTTTTTATTTAGCAAAAAATTTGCTTTTTTAATCTAAAATTTACTTTTGCTATTGAGTAAATTCTTAAGAAATTAATTGGAATTGCTCTAAATGGTCCATTGTTTATTTTAAAAATTCTATTTTATAGTCATTTTCTTCAATCAAATCTACTTCATTAATTTTTAATTATAAAATTTAAGTAAATTTATTTTCTATGAATGTGCACTATGCTATTATTTTAAATATGTCCATCTACAGTAGTAATTCTATAAATTCTGGTGATTATTTCAAATTATCAAATTGAACTTGGCTTTTATTTTTTGGTTTCACAAATATTGTCTCATAATAAGAGTTTTCATATTGTTCTTTAATTTAAATAAAATACTTTGTAATTTAAATAATATTTAACTAATAATTTATTACTTTTTTTAGTAAAGCTAGCTAAAGTTGGCATATATAAATCTAGTCTTATTTAATCAAGTGAATGCCTATTATGATTTTCTTTAAAGAGAGTATTAAAAAGCATCTATGAGCATGTAATTACATTAAAATTTTTTCCTAAATCTACAGACAAATATAAAAAACCTTCTTATATTTATTTAATCTAAGCAGTTACTCCATAATCAGATAAACCAATCATGCAAGTTTGAAGTTTAATTTAATATGGAATAGCCCAACCTTACTTATCGATTCCAATTAGAAAATTATGAGATTTAGTAATCTATCTAGAAATGTTACTATCCATAAAATTTTTTATCAAATTACTATGAGCTTAAGATATTGGCTTAGGAATCATATAATCAATATTCTTACCTATAGCTTCATCTTACTTATAAATAGGTATAACACTAAAGATATTATTTGAAGCTTTTATTATTTTTCCAATATTAATCAAACTTACAAAAAGCGCACAACTTTAGCTTGAAAAGTTAAAAATATTTTCTTTTTAATTTTAATTTGTACTTCTAGAATTTAGTAAGTTAGGTTATTAAGTGTTCTTAGAAAGTGGTTGATTATGAAGAAATGCTTCTTAAAATATTTCAATTAGTATCTAAAGAGTATAGCACTATTTAGAAATATTTATCATTTTTAAAAGTTAATTGCCTAGTTAAGCTTTTTTCTTTAAAAGAATCATGCTTATTTCGAATGATTCTTGTAAATAAACATAATTAACTCCAATTTTTTGTATTAAATTTGTTTTTATATTTAAACATTCTTAAAGCATTTGTATACATGCTGAAAGATCTTCATCGAATTTTATTTGTTCAAAAAAGTTAGATTTTGATTAATTTACTAGATTTTATAAATCAGAGTTACTTTATTTAGATCTTATAAGAAACTATTATAAATTAACAAATTTGATGCTATTAATGAGTATTTATTTTTATGATATATTTAATTTTTAACTTTATTCGTTCCAAATTTTAAGAGCTAAAGTTAATGCTTTCGCTTCATTTGATAGGACATCAACAAAAAATGTAATTTATAAATTTGGTACAAATAGCAAATTTCCTTAGCTACTTAAACTTTCTAAAATATCCTCAACATACTTAGTTATGTATTTATTTCTGATCCTATCGCTTTCACGGTCTTCTTAGGTTATGATTTTCTTTTTAATAAAATTAAAAACAAATAAATACCTTTTGAAATGGCTTAACTTCTTTTGATTTTGATTCATTAAAAATAAATATTTGAAATAGAAAATGAGCTGCAAGATTCAAATGAATTTAATCACTTCAGAATATTTTTTTAGACTTTCAATATTTTTAATTCAGTAAATTCATAATTAATTTAATTTAATTTGCGTAAGAATTTATTAGTTAATAAAGATTGGATGAAATTAATATTACATTTGAACAAAAACAAAATGATTGTTGACTGCATGAGATTCTGTGGATATAAATAATCTATTCTAAAAAGATTGATTCCTATGAAGTCAAATATCTATCATAGCTTTGTGGGCTATTATGGTAAAAATGCTTAATAAACAAATCTAAATGCTCCAAATCACTTTAAGAAATATTTAATTTTCTCAAGTTATCTTTAGGAATATTAAATTTGAATTTCAGAGAATCAATCAAAAAGTTAAGTCTAGCTTCAATTAAACTCAATGCAATTTTATAGCAAAAGGGAATCGAAAGAACAATCAATAGATAATATACTTTTACCAAATGGTCTTTCATATATAGCATAATATAAATATTCTAAGCTAGATTAAATAAACAAAGTGAACAGTTCAAAATCTGAATGCTTTTATTGTAGTATGGAATATAGATAACATTAAGGAAAAATAAAACAGCATATTTGAATATGTTGTAAATTATCAAAATATCAGAATTAAAAAAGTTATATAAAATCATATTGAAGATATCGATTAATGCTTCCATGTAATATATCCATTTAAATCTAACATTTAAGTAATCTTTCTGGATAAATCTGGCATCATAGTTGTGAAAGCAAATAAAAAATGCTTTAATAAAAAAAAAATATTTATTTGAAAGTAAATGAGAAAAATAAATAACTTACTGATAGTCCATGTTAGAAAGATGTTAATACTTGATAAAACGGTTTAATCTTATATGTTGAATAAAGAACTCATAGTTGAAAGCAAAAAAAATGTATATCTATACACTTGTAATATGACAGATATAAAAAGATCTTTGTTATTATTGTTGTTGTTAATTGATTTGTTAAATAAAATTATACTTGATTGGTCTTTTTTCTTAATTAGATTTATTGAAAACTGAATAAGTTTTATTATTATAAAAAATGCTATGATACTATTTAATGTTAAAAAAAAAATGAAAAAAGCATCATTTTTTGATAGATTATTCATATAATATTCTCTTAATTGGTTAAGGTGGTGAATATTTGATTTTTGTTATAGCATTGAGGATGTAATTGAGAATGAAAAATACAGAGAATGCTTAATTATTAGCAAAATAATAGACAGTAACAATCCTCTGTCATAGAGCTTCACTATGTCATATGTTTAGAAAACAATAAATTATTAGAGTAGATTCTGTTAAAATAAATTTAAAAGTTAATTATTTTGTTAAATTGTCTTCATTTTATTTTAGAATATATTTTTTCTTTATTAATTTAATTATTATAAAATAATTCCTAGTTTTTAACACAATTTAATATAAAATACATTACTACTAAAGATTAAAAATTCTATTGTAAAGATCATACATTAATGATAAATTTTATTTTTTTTAGTTTTAATTAATTATTTAATCAATTTTATATATCTTTACATTTAAGAATTTCTTATAATTATTAGGTAGCTTACATATATCAATCATAAAATTAATAATTCTTAAAAATTGCAAAAAGCATAATTAGTCTATAAAATTTAATTAAAAATATTGAAAAATTTTGATTCAGTTAAATAAATTCTTATTTTAGTTTATTATAATAAATAATTAATAGAGTAATTTTATAGACCTTAACATCTAATCTCATTCTTAAAAAACAATAGTTTGAATTATATATAAATTATAATATATATTTTTTTTTTGTTTTGCTAATTATTTTATCAATAAATCATGAATATTAAACTTTATAAGATAAAATTAAATTTACATCAAAAAAGTATTTAATTAATAAAAAAATTATTATAAGCTTTTGAAAATTGAAAATAGTTTCTTTAATTTTAGTATTTTTATTAATTTAGATAAAAGTATTTTAATTTTATCCAAATAAATTTTTTAATAATAACCTAAAAGTAATATATTATTTTTATTGTATAACTATAAAAACGAAAAACATTTTTATTATGTATGTAATACCCATATTTTAATTCATTATAATTGGCAAACTTAATTTTTACTATTGAAGAAGATGATTAATTAAGTAATAATTAATGGAGATTTCACCTTATTAAAATTATAGTGAAACTAGTTTTTTTTATTAGATTCAAGATAGATATTTTTTGTAGAGATGTAACTTTTGCATTAAATCCACACACCTAAATTTGATTATTTAACTTTTATTTTATTACATTTTTCAGAATTATTTATTACAATATATACACATGATATAAAGTCAAAAAGCGAATATTTTAATAAGAAAAGTTAAGTAAAAAGTTAATTAAATTTAGATTTTTATAGAATTATTTCGTTTTTTGATTATTTTCACTAATCAATTAATTGTTCTATTTATTTAGATAATTTGAAATATAATAATTAGTTCTCTTCTAGTCCCTGAATTTTAAGAAATTTTGTTTCCTTAAGCTCTTTATTTACTTCTAAAATAATTTAAAGTAAGCTATAACTATACCAACATTTAACTAATAAGTAAAATGGCTAGCAAAACATGATTTAGAGTAATTATTAGGTTATAGTGATCATAAGTTAAATTGGCTACTTGTTCGGCTATTTAGAAAAAAAAGGTTATCTCATCTACTGTAAACTCTGAACTATGTAAAATAGCTAAGATTTATAATAATTGTGATTAATAAATGAATATGATTTTTTTTGTTCAATAATATATTCAATAAATACTTTGAGATTTTTGATGTAACAGACTGGCATTCTAGAGACATATAGATAGATCACAAACTTATTTAATGGATCTGACTAAAGCTGAATTAAATATGCAATTTGCTACCTAATCACATTCCTCTACAGAAAAGCTGGAATCTGTAAGTAAATCTAAATTTTGAGTAACTTATTGGCATGCATTACCCTAAAATATACTAAAGATATTTTTATTAAATTCATCTTGTTTGTATCTTGTAACAAAATAATAATTGTCTACAACAGAGTATAGTAAATTCAGTTCTAAGTTCACTCTACATAAGTTAGTTTCAGCTCGAGTTATATACAAAGTTAACAAATCTATATTTTAAGCTAGATTTAATATAACCAAATGCATTCTTACAATATTAACATTAGAAGAAAAATTTGTAACGTTCAAAAAGTCATTTCTTTATTAATTAAAGTAAAAGTTAGTTAATTTAAATTTTTTTTGAGATACCATAAAACTTCTTAAATTGACTTGTGAAGAAAATGATTAAATTAAAGTTTATTATCATTAATTGTAATTTTTATTAATTTTTTTGAATCCACGCACTATTAAAAATCTAAATACATTATCATTTATTTTCTTTTTATAACTCTATTTTAAATTAATATTTAATTTTATTCTTTTTTAAAATATCAAATTGCTATATACTATTATCTTTTTTTATAAAATTGTATAGACAAATGTAAAAAATAATAAAGTTTAAGTAAAAATTCTACATATTCACTTATTTTCTTAATATTTAGCAAATGAAATCATAGTATATCAAAATCAAAACGCATTGTATTGATCTATCATAAAAAGAAACAGAAACTATTTAAATAATATATAATTTATACAACTAATAATCTTCATTATTTATTTCATTGATTCGATTATTAACATTCTTGGAGCTTATCTTATATTCTCTTTTGAATAATTTTAATAGGTATTTTAAATTGTGTCAAATATGTTATTAGAATTATAAAATATTGTTTATATGTCTTTGAACAGTTGCTCTTTGGTTTCTATGGTGTCTTTAACATCAACTAATTCCCTCTTTATCATTGTTAAGTTATTTTCAATGATGCTCAAATATGGGTTATATGGAGGAAACTCCAAAAATTTCATTTTTCTCTTAGTTTTTTGAGTAACATGATCCTTTGTGTTATCAAACTATAAGATTTTATCTTCTTTTATCAAGCTATCTACTATATAAATCAATTGCAACGTCAGGGTTCACACTACCTTCTAGTAAACGTATCGCTTCGGCTCCCTCATAACTGATTAAAGCCCATAAGTGAATGCGAAAATTTGGAAACCTAGTTTTTATAGGAACCATAATCTTATCCAGTTCACTTTTAGTCTTTTCCCAAGCAAATTTATTACCATTAGTCTCAGTGTTAAACATAAACTCATCACTAAAATAAACATAGTACCACCTATCGACTCATTATTTATGATTATTTAAAAACTTCATTCTTTTTACTTCAATATTCTCACTATTTCTGTGCCTTATATGTACTTTAAAACACTTAAGCCCTTAGTCATTTAACTATCGCCTCGCCTTATTTTTTGTGAGAAGCATAATATATTAATATTATTGACTGCTTGAATTTGTCTAAAGCTCATGTTTTGGTTCTTTTAAATTGCTTACCTTACAAAATGAGTAAATTATCTAGTTATTTTATAAGCATTTTTATTATATTTGTTCTTTAACTCAATGCTACCAGTGCTCTTATTTAACCTAATTATTCTATCAATTTTATGATATAGAATAATCCATACCCTAATGAAAAACATCCTTGACCTCCATTTCATGTAAATTGTTCTAAACTAATTTTAATAACTTAATAATAAAAAGTCAATAAAGAGAAGATAAAAGATAGTTAAACTCACAAAACATTTTGATTTTGATATACTATATAATTAAAGCATTCAAATAAAAATTTAAAGTAATGTCAAAAAATAAAAAATATTATTTATTTATTTAACAATTCAAATACTTAATAAAGATATATGATTAAGAAATGGTTTATTCTGGAAATTAAAAATAGATCATTTATATTTACACAAATAAGACATAATATATTGATTTTCTAAAATAAAATTTAGATCTATTAGGTCTAATACTAATTTTGTTTTTTAAATACTGTTAAACATATTTGAGTAAAATTTCAGATAAATGAACGGAGAAAGTATCACAAACAAGGCTAGCTAAATAGATATCATTATCAAATTTAATTTGATAAAATACGTGTAATTATCATAAGAATTTTTCATAGCAAACTCAGTCAATACGCTTATGATATAATCATAATATTTCTAGAAATAGAATTAATCTGAAAGAGATAATTCACTAAAAACTTTGTTCATATTAAAAAAAAAAAAAGAATCATCTTAGCTATCACCTTAATATAATTAATATTAATTTTCAAACAGCTACAAAAACCATTTTGTTGATGAAATTAAGCCTGAGGAAAAAATATTCAATTTAACTTAATTACATTCTGTAACATTAAATCCTTTTACTGTTAAATATTATTAGTTTTCATTAATTGTTAAGCAAGAATTTTTTTAAAGGACTTTCTCAATAAAATTATTTTCAAATAAAGAATTAAAATACTCATTATTTTATTGGTTATCTATAATATTATATAATGAGTCTAATTTTTATTTTAGTTGTTAATATTAATCTAACTATTGTTTTTAGTAACTTAAATAGAGATTTTTTGCTCCATTTTCGACAATCACCATTAATACTCTTTAATTTGCTATTGTTATAACATACTCAGCTATACTGTTTATTTATTCTAATTATATTAATAATAAATTTTAAGATTAATATTTGTCGAATTACTTTAAAAATAATTTAAATTTAATAAAAAAAAATTACTTTAGAATTCAATATTCTTCTCAATTGCTTCTAAAAAATAGCTTTAATAAATACCTATTGTAACTGAGTAGGTTATATTACAAAATAAATATATAAATGCAAAAAAGCAAATTTTAAAGCTGAACAAATTCAGCTTAGATGTGGTACTGAAACTTTTTTTATTTTTTTGAATAGTTTGAATACAAGTTGAAGAAGTAAAAGAAGATTTTATTCTATCTTTTTAACTATCTAGATTTAATTAGCCTTCATTAAACTGGTTTGGTAGGTCATATTGCTCCCTCAAAAGCTCTTTCTTTATAGTATCCTAAGAATCACTTACAGATTTCAACATTTTTTAAAGTTTTTCAGGAGTAAAAGTAGCCAAAAGCGCTAAAATTCTTTGTCTAAGTTTTTGAATGTAAATAAAGATTGGTATGAAACACAAAGAAAAGGCAACTGAAATAAAAATATTCAATGCTAAATATATATTAGCTTATTATTTGATATCTTAATATTTAGTTTTAATTGAAATCATAGCATTTTAATCTATTTTATCAAATTAATCTATTACTTATCCGTAATTAAAGAGAATTTATACCTCATCTTAAAATGTATCATCTAATTGATAAGCTACTTTGAATTAAAAGGCAAATAAGATTTTTAAAATATACTAAAAGCTCTAATAGCTAACTAGTTGTTTTCCAAATGGATCAATAAAATTAAAATTTAAGTATTAATGCTAAACTTCTGAATAAATGGAATTTGTATAAGTAGAGTTTGCTAAATATGTTTAAATAATTAGGTTTTTATAATTATTATAAATTTAAATTTAGCTTGATTAAATATCATCAAATAAATCTCTACCTGTCTTACTTTCTTAATCATCAAAAATGTTTGCTTGATATATTTGTAATATCGATTAATACTGTAATATCAATTATTAGCACTTTTTTATGTTAAAGCTCCAATTGAAATTTTGAAATTCTTCTCTTTGTCGCAATAAATTATTGTTTGTTTAAACAAAATTAATTATATTCATAGCAATCATAGATAATAGCGCTAAAATACCAGAATACTTTATTAATTGCAAACCAATTAATTTTGATGGTCTTTTAATCATATTAATCATTGACCTTTTTTTTTATTTATATATTTAGTTAAAAAGTTTGTTCAAAAAAAAATATTTTACTTTTTGTAGGAATATTCAGATTTATAAGATTATATGCTTGTCCCTTGAAGTTTTTGAAGCGATCCAATCTTTTTATTGGTGAATTACTTTGTTTTATCTCTTAGGGTTTTTTTTTTTAAAAAAGATTTCATTTAAAAGTTCGATTCACTAGATTTCTCTTTTTCTTTGAATGATTTAATCATATTTTATTAAGTAAGGTAGCTCATTCTACATGGTTTGCTTACAATTTTATTAGATTTTTATATAAGTTAATCAAAGTTCAAATTTCTTTGAAAATTATTAATATTTTTTGGATTAAGTTAGTTATCTAAAGCAAATTAGTCAAATTTTTCTATAGAATTTAATTGATAATTTTAATCTAAAATTGAATTTCTGGTTATTATATTTGGAGAAACCAAATTTTACTAATATTAGATCATTTTAGGACTATCTCTATTATTACTTAAAATATTTATTGAAGAGAATAAAAATTCAGGTTAACTAATTATTTCTGCTTGAATTTACAGGTGTGTATTGCTTTAAGCTTAATTTTCTTCTTAAACTTTGTAGTAGCTGAATTATTATGAATACTCTTTTAGTTATGTAGTTTCAAAAATACTATTTTGCTAACTTTTAGAAGTAAAATCCAGTTATTAGATCGTTTATCTAGAATTTTAAATAATATTTTCATTAGAAATATATTTTGAATTGTTTTTGTTTAATTCACTGTTGTTTTTTTCAGAAATAAAATTTCTACTATCTTCATTAATTTCGTTTTAAGTGAGAGAATTTTGTTTTTATTTAGCAAAAAATTTGCTTTTTTAATCTAAAATTTACTTTTGCTATCGAGTAAATTCTTAAGAAATTATTTGGTATTGCTCTAAATGGTCCATTGATTATTTTAAAAATTCTATTTTATGGTCATTTTCTTCAATCAAATCTACTTCATTAATTTTTAATTATAAAATTTAAGTAAATTTATTTTCTATGAATGTGCACTATGCTGATATTTTAAATATGTCCATCTACAGTAGTAATTCTATGAATTCAGGTGATTATTTTAAATTATCAAATTGAACTTGGCTTTTATTTTTTGGTTTCACAAATATTGTCTCATAAAATGAATTTTCATATCTATCTTTAATTTTAAATAATATACTTTTTAATTTAAATAATATTTAACAAATAATTTATTACTTTTTTTAGTAAAGCTAGCTAAAGTAGGCATATATAAATCTAGTCTTATTTAATCAAGTGAATGCCTATTATGATTTTCTTTAAAGAGAGTATTAAAAAGTATCTATGAGCATGTAATTATATTAAAATTTTTTCCTAAATCTACAGACAAATACAAAAAACTGTCTTATATTTACTTAACCTAAGCAGTTACTCCATAATCAGATAAGCCAATCATGCAAGTTTGAAGTTTAATTTAATATGGGATAGCCCAACCTTACTTATCGATTCCAATTAGCAAATTATGAGATTTAGTAATCTATCTAGAAATGTTACTTTCCATAAAATTTTTTATTAAATTACTATGAGCTTAAGATATTAGCTTAGGAATCATATAATCAATATTCTTACCAATAGCTTCATCTTATTTATAAATAGGGATAACACTGTATAGATTATTTGAAGCTCTTATTATTTTTCCGATATTGATCAAACTTACAAAAAGCACACAGCTTTAGCTTGAAAAGTTAAAAATATTTTCTTTTTAATTTTAATTTTCATTTATATAACATGAATTCAGTAAGCTTGTTGATTAAGTATTTTTAGAAAGTGATTAATTATGAAGAAATGCTTCTTAAAATATTTCAATTAGTATCTAAAGAGTAAAACACTATTTAGAAATATTTATCATTTTTAATAGTTTATTTCCTAATTTTCCTTTTTTCTTTAAAAGAATCATGCTTATTTCGAATAATTCTTTTAAATCCACATGATTAACTCCAATTTTTTGTATCAAATTTTATTTTAAATTTAAGCATTCTTTAAGCATTTATATACATTTTGAATGATCTTCTTCGAATTTTATTTATTCAAAGAAGCTGCATTTTGTTTAATTGATTAGATTTTTCAAATCATGGTTACTCTATTTAGATCTTTTTAGAAATTATTATTAATTAACATATTTGATGCTATTAATGAGCATTTATTTTTATGATATATTTAATTTTTAAATTTATTCATTCCAAATTTTAAGAGCTAAAGTTAATGATTTCGCTTCATTTTACAATACATCAATAAACAATGCAATTTATAAGTATGATACAAAAAACGAATTTCCTTAGCTATTTAAACTTTCTAAAATATCCTCTACATACTTAGTTATGTATTTGTTTCTGATCTTTTCACTTTCGCGGTCTTCTTAGGTTAAGATTTCCTTTATAATAAAATAATAAACAAATAAATATCTTTTTAAATGATTTAATTTCTATTGAAAAATAAAAGATTTAAATCAATTAAATTAAATAAATATTAGAAATAGAAAGTGAGTTGAAAAAATTCAAATGAATTGGATTACATCAGAATATTTTATGAGACTTACAAAATTTTTAAATTAATAAATTCATAATTAATTTAATTTAATTTTTGTAAGAATTTATTGGATAATAAAGATCAGACGAAATAAATATTACATTTGAACAAAAGCAAAATGATTGTTGACTGCATGAGATTCTGTGGATATAAATAATCTATTCTAAAAATATAGATTCCTAAGAAGTCAAATATCTATCATAGCTTCGTGGGCTTTTATGGTAAAAATGCTTAATAAAAATATCTAAATGCTCCAAATCACTTTAAGAAATATTTAATTTTCTAAAGTTATCTTTAGGAATGTTAAATTTGAATTTCAGAGAATCAATCAAAAAATTAAGTCTAGTTTCAATTAAACTCATTGCAATTTAATAGCAAAAGGGAATCGAAAGAACAATCAATAAATAATATACTTTTACCAAATGGTCTTTAATAAACAGCAAAATATAAATATTCTAAGCTAGATTAAATAAACAAAGTGAACAGTTTAAAATCTGAATGCTTTTATTTTAGTATGGTATTTTGATAACATTAAGTAAAAATAAAATAACATATTTGAATATGTTGTAAATTATCAAGACATCAGAGTTAAAAAAATTATATAAAGCCATATTTAAGATGTCAATTAATACTTCCATATAATACATCCATTTAAATCTAATATTTAAGTAATCTCTCTAGATAAATCTGGCATCGTAGCTGTGAAAGCAAATAAAAAAAGCTTTAATAAAAAATAAATAAATTTATTTAAAACAAATGAGAAAAATAAGTAACTTACTGATAGTCCATGTTAGGAAGATGTTAATACTAGATAAAACGGTTTAATCTTATATGTTGAATAAAGAACTCATAGTTGAAAGCAAAAAAAATGTATATCTATACACTTGTAATATCACAGATATGAATAGATCTTTGTTATTATTGTTGTTGTTACTAGATTTGCTAAATAAAAGTACACTTGAATGATATTTTTACTTTATTTGATTTGTTGAAAACTGAATAAGTTTTATAATAATAAAAAATGCTATGATACTATTTAATGTTAAAAAAAAAATGAGAGAAGTATAGCTTTTTGATAGATTATTCACGTAATATTCTCTTAATTGGTTAAGATGGTGAATATTTGATTTTTGTTATTGTATTGAGGATGTAATTGAGAATGAAAAATACAGAGAATGCTTAATTATTAGCAAAATAATAGACAGTAACAATCCTCTGTCATAGAGCTTCACTATGTCATATGTTTAGAAGACAATAAATTTTTAGAGTAGATTCTGTTAAAATAAATCTAAAAGTTAATTATTTTGTTAAATTGTCTTCATTTTATTTTAGAATATATTTATTATTTATTTTAATTAATTTATATTAAAATAATAATTAGTTTTTGACACAATTAATAAGATAAAACCCTAATTTCTAACCATTAAAAAACACTATCATAAAGATTCTACATTAATCATAGATTTGATTTTTTAGTTTTAATTAATTATTTAATCAATTTTATATATCTTTACATTTAAGAATTTCTTATAATTATTAGGTAGGTTACATATATCAATCATAAAATTAATAATTCTTAAAAATTGCAAAAAGCATAATTAGTCTATAAAATTTATCTAAAAATATTGAAAAATTTTGATTCAGTTAAATAAATTCTTATTTTAGTTTATTGCAATAAATAATTAATAGAGTAATTTAATAGACCATATCATATCATCTCAGCTGATTCTTAAAAAATAATAGTTTTAATTATTTATAATTTATAATATATATTATTTTTATAGATAAATTCTCTTTAAAAGTTAATTATTTTCTAAATAAATCATGAATATTAAACTTTATAAGATAAAGTTAAATTAAATCAAAAAAGTATTCAATTAAAAAAAAAATTATAAATTATTAACTTGTTTTTTTAAATTGAAAATAATTTATGCTAATTTACTTATTTTAAATAAAAATATCTTCATTTTAAGGGAATAAATTTTTAACATATGATTGTAAAAATTACCTAAACACAATTTTAGATAGTATTGTATAACTATAAAAACGAAAGCCATTTATATTATGTTCATAATACTCATATTTTATTTCATTTTTAATTGGTAAAATTGATTTTTCAAACGAAAAAAGAAGAAGAATTAATTAATTGATATCTCATCTTATTTACAGTGTAACTCGTTTTTTTTATTAAATTCAAGATAGATATTTTTTGAAAGAGATGTAACTTTTATATTGAATCCACACACCAAAGTTGATTATTTAACTTTTATATTCTTCGGGATTGTTTATTAGAATACATACACATGATATAAAGTCAAAAAGAGAATATTTTAATTAGAAAAGTTAAGCGAAAAGTAAATTAATATGTAGAATTGTATAGAATTAATTTGTTTTTTATTATTTTAACTAATCTTTTGTTACATTCATATAGATAATTTGAAATAAGTTAATATATTAATTATCTTCTAGTGTGTGAATTTCAACTGAATCAAGAAGAAGCTTTGTTTCCTTAAGCTAGTTCGTTTACTTCTAAAAGAATTTAAAGTAAGTTCTAACTGTCGTCAACATTAAATAAACATGTAAAATGGCTAGTAAAACTTTAAAATAATCATTAGGTTATAGCAATCATAAGTTAAATTGCTTTTAATGTAATAGATTTGTATTCTAGAGATATATAGATCATAAACTTTTTTAATTAATTTGACTAAACCAGCAGTAAATATATCATTTGCTGCTTAATCACACTTCTCTATAGAAAAACCCGAATATGTAAGTAAATCTAAATTTTGAGCAAGTTAATGGCATTCATTTCCATAAAATAAGAGAAAGACTGTAATGGTTCATATATTAAGGCCACCTCGATTTCAGTTTAGACATCTCAATTACCGGCTTTTTGAATGTAAAAAAAATCTATTTAAATATATCATATTTATATTTTTTATATTAAAATTAATATTAAATATAATTATAATAATAATTTAGAGATAAATAAAATATTAATCTAATTTTATTTTCAATTTTTAAAGAATAAATATTTCTTTTTAAAATCAATTTATCTTATCATTAAAATATACAATATCTTTTTTTATAACATCATAGATCATCTAAAAAATAATAAAAATTAAGATAATACACTGCTTATACACTTATTGAATATATAGTAATTGAAATTATAATTAAAGCATTCAAATTAAAATATAAACAAAGCAACATCAAAAATTAAAAATATTAGATTTTTCAATTAATTAAAATAAATTTATTTATTTGGATAACAATTCAAATACTTAATAAAAAATACATCATTATATTTATATAAAAAAGTTTATTTTGTAATTTTCAAAGAGATCATTTATATTTGCACAAATAAGACATTATATACTAATTTTCTAATATAAAATTTAGATCTATTAGGTCTAAGACTAATTTTGTTTTTTAAATTTTGTTAAACATATTTGAGTAAAATTTCAGATAAATGAACTGAGAAAGTATCACAAACAAGGCTAGCTAAATAGATATCATTATGATATTTAATTTTATAAAAAAGGTGTAATTATCATAAGAATTTTTCATAGTAAACTCAGTCAATGCATTTATGATGTATTCATAATACTTTTAGTAGTAGAATTAATCTGAAAGAGATAACTCACTAAAAACAATGGACATATTTGAAAAAAAAAAATCAGAATTATCTAAGCCATCAGCTTAATATAATTAATATTAGCTTTCAAACAACTACAAAAACCATTTTGTTGATGAAATCAAGCCTGAGGAAAAAATATTCTATTTTACTTAATTACATTCTGTAATATTAAATCCTTATACTGTTAAATATTATTAATTTTCATTAATTGTTGAGCAAGAATTTTTTTAAAGGACTTTCTCAATAAAATTATTGTTAAAAAAAGAATTAAAATGCTTATTATTTTATTAGTTATCTATAATATTATATAAGGAGTCTAATTTTGATTTTAATTGTTCATATTATCCTTATTACTGTTTTTAGTAAGTTTAATAGAGACTATTTGCTCCATTATAGACAATCACCATTATTACCCTTTAATTTGCTATTGTTATAACATACTCAGCTATACTGTTTATTTATTCTAATCATATTAAATGAAAATTATAAGATATTTTTGTCAAAATATTTTAAAAATAATTTAAATTTAATAAAAAAAATTACTTTAGAATTCAATATTCTTCTCAATTGCTTCTAAGAAATAGCTTTAATAAATGCCTACTGTAACTGAATAGGTTATATTACACAATAAATATAAAAATGCAAAAAAGCAAATTTTAAAGCTACACAAATTTAACTTTGATGTAGAACTCAAACTTTTATTTTTTTGGATAGTTTGAATACAAGTTGAAGAAGCAAAAGAAGATTTTATTCTATCTTTTTAACTGTCTAGATTTAATTAGCCTTCATTAAATTGGTTTGGAATGCCATATTACTCCCTCAAAAGTTCATTCTTTATATTATCCTAAGAATCATTTACAGATTTCAACATTTTTTAAAGTTTTTCAGGAGTAAAAGTAGCCAAAAGCGCTAAAATTCTTTGTCTCAGTTTTTGAATGTAAATAAATATTGGCATGAAGCTCAAAGAAAAGATAACTGAAATAAAAATATTCAAAGCTAAATATAAATTAGCCTGTTATTTGATATCTTAATATTTAGTTTTAATTGACAACATAGCATTTAAATCAATTTTATCAAATTAATCTATTACTTATTGGTAATTAAAGAGAATTTATATCTCATCTTATAATGTATCATCTAATTGATAAGCTACTTTGTACTAAAAGGCTAATAATATTTTTAAAACATACTAAAAGCTCTACTGGCTAACTAATTACTTTCCATATGGATATGTAAAAGTAAAATTTAAAAATTAATGCTAAACTTCTGAATAAATGGAATTTGTATAAGTAGAGTTTGCTTAATAAGTTTAAATAATTAGGTTTTTGTAATTGTTATAAATTTAAATTTAGCTTGAATAAATATCATCATTGAAATCTCTACCTGTCTTGCTTTCTTAATCATCAAAAGTGTTTGATTGATATAGTTGTAATATTGATTAATACTACAAAATCAATTATTAGCACTTTTTTATGTTAAAGCTCCAATCAAAATTTTGATATTCTTCTCTTTGTTGCAATAAATTATTGTTTGTTTAAACAAAATTAATTATATTCATGGCAATCATAGATAGTAGCGCTAAAATACCAGAATATTTTATTAATTACAGACCAATTAATTTTGATGGTTTTTTAATCATATTGATCATTTTTCTTTTTTATTTATTTATTTATTTATTTAATTAATTAAAAAGTATGTTCAAAAAAATATTTTACTTTTTGTAGGAATTTTCAGATTTCTAAGATTATGTGCTGGCTTCTTGAAGTTTTTGAAGTGATCCAATCTTTTTGTTTGTGAATTATTTTTGTTTATCTCTTAGGGTTTTAGTCTATTAAATGGATTCTGTTTCCAAGTTCAATTCACGAGATTTCATTTTATCTTTGAACGATTTAATAATATTTGATTAGCTTAGATAGCTCATCCTACGAAGATTGCTGGCAGTTTTATTAGGCTTTTATATAAATTAATCAAAGTTCAAATTTCTTTGAAAGGTATTAATATTTTTTTGATTGTAGTTATCTAAAGTAAATTAGTCAATTGTTTCAATAGAATTAAAAGGATAATTTTAATCTAAAATTGTATTTCTGGCTATTATATTTGGAGAAATCAAACTTTGCTATTATTATATCAATTTAGTACTATCCCTTTTAGTACTTAAAACATTTATTGAGGAGAATAAAATTTCAGGTTAACTGCTTATTTCTGCTTGAATCTATTGATATGTATTGTTTTAAGCTTAATTTTCTTCTTAAACTTTGTATTAGCTGAATTATTATGATTACTGTTTTAGTTTTGTAGTTTCTACAATACTATTTTGCAAAATTTTTGAAGTAAAATCCAATTATTAATACTATTATCTAGGACTTTAAATAATATTTTCGTTTGAAATATATTTTAAATTACTGTTGTTAGATCCGCTATAGGTTTTTTCAGAAATAAAATTTCTACTATCTCCATTAATTTAGTTTTAAGTGAGAGAATTTTGTTTTTAGTTATTAAAAAATTTGTTTTTTTGATCTAAAATTTACTTTTGCTATTGAGTAAATTCTTAAGAAATTATTTGGAATTGCTCTAAATGATCCATTGATTATTTTAAAAATTCTATTTTATGGTGATTTTCTTCGATCAAATCTACTTCATTAATTTTTAATTATAAAATTTAAGTAAATTTATTTTCTATGAATGTGCACTATGCTGATATTTTAAATATGTCCATCTACAGTAATAATTCTATGAATTCAGGTGATTATTTTAAATTATCAAATTGAGTTTAGTTTTTATTTTTTGGTTTCACAAATATTGTCTCATAAAATGAATTTTCATATCTATCTTTAATTTTAAATAATATACTTTGTAATTTAAATAATATTTAACAAATAATTTATTACTTTTTTTAGTAAAGCTAGCTAAAGTAGGCATATATAAATCTAGTCTTATTTAATCAAGTGAATGCCTATTATGATTTTCTTTAAAGAGAGTATTAAAAAGTATCTATGAGCATGTAATTATATTAAAATTTTTTCCTAAATCTACAGACAAATACAAAAAACTGTCTTATATTTACTTAACCTAAGCAGTTACTCCATAATCAGATAAGCCAATCATGCAAGTTTGAAGTTTAATTTAGTATGGGATAGCCCAACCTTGCTTATCGATTCCAATTAACAAATTATGAGATTTAGTAATCTATCTAGAAAAGTTACTATCCAAAAAATTTTTTATTAAATTACTATGAGCTTATGCTATAGACTTTGGAATCATATAATTAATATCCTTACCTATAGATTCATCTTACTTATAAATGGGGATAACACTATATAGATTATTTGAAGCGCTTACTATTTTTCCGATATTAATTAAACTTACAAAAAGCACACAACTTTAGCTTTAAAATTTAAAAATATTTTCTTTTTAATTTAAATTTCTTGAATTCAGTAAGTTAAATTATTAAATATTTTTAGAAAGTGGTTAATTATGAAGGAATGCTTCTTAAAATATTTCAATTATTATCTAAAGAGTATAGCACTATTTAGAAATATTTATCAATTTTAAAAGTTAACTGCCCAATTAAGCTTTTTTCTTTAAAAGAATCATGCTTATTTCGAATGATTCTTGTAAATCTAAGTGATTAACTCCAATTTGTTGTATCAAATTTTTTTTTATATTTAAACATTCTTTAAGCATTTGTATACATTCTGAAAGATCTTCTTCAAATTTTATTTATTCAAAGAAGCTGCGTTTCGATTAATTGACTAGATTTTTCAAATCATGGTTACTCTATTTAGATCTTATAAGAAATTATTATTAATTAACATATTTGATGCTATTAAATAGCATTTATTTTTATGATATATTTATTTATTAACTTTATTCATTCCATAATTTAAGAGCTAAAGTTAATGACTTCGCTTCATTTTATAATACATCAACGAAAAATGCAATTTATAAGTTTTATACAAAAAATGAATTTCCTAAGATATTTACACTTTCTAAAATATCCTCTACATACTTAGTTATGAATTTTTTTCTAATTTTTTCGCTTTCGCGGTCTTCTTAGGTTAATATTTCCTTTATAATAAAGTAATATACAAATAAATATCTTTTAAATGATTTAACTTATTTTGAAAAATAGAATCCTTTGATTTTAATCGATTAAATTAATTAAAACTAAATATTTGAAATAGAAAGTTAGTTGTAAGATTTCAAATGAATTGGATTACATCAGTATACTTTTTTAGACTTACAGAATTTTTAATTAAGTAAATTCATAATTAATTTAAATTAATTTGTTTAAGAATTTATTAGATAATAAAGATCAGACGAAATAAATATTACATTTGAACAAAAGCAAAATAATTGTTAGCTGCATGAATTCTTGTGGAAATAAGTAATCTATTCTAAAAAGATTGATTCCTAAGAAGTCAAATATCTATCATAACTTTGTGGGCTTTTATGGTAAAAATGCTTAATAAAAATATCTAAATGCTCCAAATCACTTTAAGAAATATTTAAATTTCTTAAATTTTCTTTAGGAACATTAAATTTGAATTTCAGAGAATCAATCAAAAAGTTAAGTCTAGCTTCAATTAAACTCTAAGCAATTTTATAGCAAAAGGGAATTGAAAGAGCAATTAATAGATAATATACTTTTACCAAATGGTCTTTAATAAACAGCAAAATATAAATATTCTAAGCTAGATTAAATAAACAAAGTGAACAGTTTAAAATCTGAATGCTTTTATTTTAGTATGGTATTTTGATAACATTAAGTAAAAATAAAATAGCATATTTGAAAATGTTGTAAATTATCAAGACATCAGAGTTAAAAAAATTATATAAAGCCATATTTAAGATGTCAATTAATACTTCCATATAATACATCCATTTAAATCTAATATTTAAGTAATCTCTCTAGATAAATCTGGCATCGTAGCTGTGAAAGCAAATAAAAAATGCTTTAATAAAAAAAATAAATTTATTTGAAGCAAATGAGAAAAATATTTAACTTACTGATAGTCCATGTTAGAAAGATGTTAATACTTGATAAAACGGTTGAATCTTATATGTTGAATAAAGAACTCATCGTTGAAAGCAAAAAAAATGTATATCTATACACTTGTAATATCACAGATATGAATAGATCTTTGTTATTATTGTTGTTGTTAATTGATTTGTTAAATAAAATTATACTTGGTTGGTCTTTTTACTTAATTTGATTAGTTGAAAACTGAATAAGTTTTATTATTATAAAAAATGTTATGATGCTATTTAATGTTAAATAAAAAATGAGAGAAGTATAATTTTTTGATAGATTATTCATGTTATATTCTAATCGGTTAAGGTAGTGAATATTTGATTTATGTTATCGTATTGAGGTTGGAATTGAGAATGAAAAATACAGAGAATGCTTAATTATTAGCAAAATAATAGACAGTAACAATCCTCTGTCATAGAGCTTCACTATGTCATATGTTTAGAAGACAATAAATTTTTAGAGTAGATCTTGTTAAAATAAATTTAAAAGTTAATTATTTTGTTATATTCTCTTCATTTTATTTTACAATATATTTATTCTTTATTTATTTAATTATTTTAATTAATTTATAAAAAAAACAATTCCTAGTTTTTGACACAATTTATAAGAAAATACCCAAACCTCTAACCATTAAAAACTATATCATACTAATCATAGATTTGATATTTTTAGTTTTGATAAATTAATAAATTTTAGAAATTTTTACATTTAAGAATTTCTTGTAATTATTAGGTAGGTTACATATCTCAATCGTAACAAACATTAATTCTTAAAAATTACAAAAAGTATAATTAGTCTATAAAATTTATCTAAAAAATATTCAAAAATCTTGATTCAGTTTCTCATTTAAATTCTTATTTTGGTTTATTGCAATAAATAATTAATAGAGTAATTTAATCAACCTTTTCATCTAATCTCTTTTTTTAAAAATAATACTTTTATTTAGATATAAAATTTACATAAACATATTAATACTGTTTATAATTCTTTTTAAATCTTTAATAATTTTCTAAATAAATCAATAAATATTAATAAATTTTATAAGAAAAAGTTAAATTAGATCAAAATAGTATTTAATTTCAAAAAAATTATTTGTTTTTTTAAAATTGAAAATAGTTTGTGTGAATTTATTTTATTATTTATCATAATTTAGATAAAAATATCTGCATTTCAAGTAAAAAAATTTTTAAATATATAGAAAAATAACCTTAAAACATTATTAGATAATTTTAATTGCATAACTATAAAAACGAAAGCCATTTTTATTATGTTTGTAATGCTCATATTTTATTTATAGATATTATTAAATATAGTATTCTTAGACAAAAAATGAAATATTACAATCTGAGGAACATCTTCTCCGTTTAATTAACTATAATCATTTGACTAAAAAAATGTCCTTTATAAAAATAGATTTGAAATACTAATGTACAAATTTATTTCCTTTAATAAGCCTTTAAATTAATTAATGGTAAAATTGATTTTTACCAATGAAAAAGAAAAACAATTAATTAATTAAAAATTAATGAATATCTAACCTTATTTATAGTGTAGTTCGTTTTTTTATTAAATTCAAGTTAGATGTTTTTTGAAAGAGATGTAACTTTTGCATTAAATCCACACACTAAAATTTGATTAATTAACTTTTATTTTTTTACATTTTCAGAATTGTTTATTACAATATATATACATGATATAAAGTCAAAAAGGGAATATTTAGAAAAGTTAAGCGAAAAGTTAATTTAAATTTAGAATTATATAGAATGATTTCTTATTACTTTGTTTTTTGATTATTTTAACTAATTTTTGTTCCATTCATTTAGATAATTTGAAATAAGTTAATATGTATTAGTTCTCTTCTAGTGCGTGAATTTCAACTAAATCAAGAAGAAGCTTTGTTTCCTTAAGCTAGTTCATTTACTTCTAAAAGAATTTAATGTAAGCTATAACTATCGCCAACATTTAACTAACAAGTGAAATGGATAACAAAATATGATTTAGATTAATCATTAAGTTATAGTGATCATAAGTTAAATTGGCTACTTTCTACTGTACACTCTGAACTATATAAAATAGATAAAGTCTATAGTAATAGCTATCAATAAATGAATATGATTTTTCTTGTTCAATAATAGATCCCAAAAATACTTTTAGATTTTTAATGTAATAGACTGGCATTCTAGAGACATATAGATCACAAACTTGTTTAACAGATTTGACTAAACCTGCAGTAAATATACCATTTGCTGCCTGATCACACTCTTCTAATGAAAAGCCAGAATCTGTAAGTAAATCTAAATTTTGAGCAACTTATTGGCATGCATTTCCCTACAATATACCAGAGATATATTTATTAAATTCATCTTGTTTGTATCTTGTAACAGAATAATAATTATCTACAACAGAGTATAGTAAATTCAGTTCTAAACTCACTCTACTTAAGTTAGTTTCACCACGAGCAATATACAAAGCTAATAATTCTTTATTTTAAGCAAGCGTTAATAGAACCAAAGGTATTCTTACAATATTAACATTAGAAGAAAAATCTGTAACATTCAAAAAGTCATCTATATTAATTAAAATAAAAGCTAATTAATTTAAAATTTTTTTGAGATACCATAAAACTTCTTAAATTAATTTGTGAAGAAAACCAAAATTATTAAATTAAAGTTTATCTTAACAAATTTTTTAATATGCTCTCAAAACTTTATAAATCATGATGGTAAGCACTAAAAATTGTGATAAATAAAAATTTCAATTAATAATATAAAAATCATAAACCGTATACTACATTTGATATTTGATTATATTTCTAATGCAGGTATAAAATTAATTAATCTTAATCGACTTATTTTATTTTTTTAAGATTGTTATTTTGAAATTAGTAAAATATTTTTATTTCAATAAGAAAAATTTGATTAAATAATTTGTTGATGGATTCATGTTTATTTACTTTCTTTATTAATTGATTGATATTTTTTTAAATAAATGTTTGAGAAAAATATGAATTAGTTGAAAATTACTTATAAATTATCTGTTGGATCTCTCTGAGGTAAAAAAATCTTTGACTAAAAAGTAACTTGTCATTGAATGTATTTATACTAAAACAAAGAACAGAGCTGAATATAATAAAATTTTAAAATCGAATCTGGGTAAACGATTAAATGTGCTAATATTCTTTTTCTTTTTAATTAAGTTCTTGACGTCTATATTGTTTGCCTGTCCATAAGATTTAGCTAAGTCCTTCTTTTTGTGATTATTTTGATTTCTATTTAATTTCTCTTCACTAATCTAGAGAATATTTATATAGTTAATAGTTTCACTAAGTAAAAACATGAGCTTATTTGGTGGGAAAGTCGTAAATAGAATTAGGATTTCTTGCCTCTTACTTTAGATTAAGGAATAAATAGGGATAAAACTAACTGAAAAAATAATAGAAGTCACTAGTATAATAGTCATTGATATGAACTCCTATCTTATAGTGCTATCAAAATTGTCATTTAATTTAGCGTTAACATAATTTTGAATAGCTTAGACTGAGTTAGTTGTGTTTACATAATTCAAACTAATTTACAATGAATTCTGTCCAAGGGGATCAAGAGAGTATACTTGCTAATACATATATGCAAATAGAGCTTCTTAAATGTAGCCAAAGCCTAAATAATAATTTTCAATTCTTACTGTAGTAAATGCAAATGTGAATGTTTGATGATAATCCATAGCAAATGAAAAAGTATCTGACTCAGATTTATCAGAATTTACATAATCAATCATTAACTATTTCATAATTTGATGTCTTTGGATTTATTTACTTTATATATTTTTAATAATATTTTTCTAAGTATCTTGTTTAGGTTAGAAATAAGGAATAGAAAGTGCTTGCATTAACATTTAGTCACATATTGATTAGCTTAGAGTAGTTAGTAACTTAGAGCCCCAATCTATATATTTATACTATGATTTTTAAGTTTTTAAGCTTTAGCCTAAAGAGTAATAGTTAAAGATATTTAGTATTAGAAACCCAAAAAAAGCAATACTCCAAGTTAATTTGACAAGTGTAAGTCCTTTTATCTTTAATGGTGCTTAAATGCTTTCAATTATTGATTTTCTGTTTTAAAAATTGTTAGTTAGAAAAATGTCATTGATTTAAATAAAAATTTTACCTAAAAGATGTCCTACCAGACTAAGATGTTTGCACGCTTCCCTCTACATGTATGTCTTATTTAATGTTTATTTATTCAATTTAACGAGATAACGAATCTCTCATTGTGCTATCTTTTTAACTAACCTGTTAAGGATTATTACTAATAAAATTATTATTTCTTGAAGTAGACAATAAACCCTATTGCTGCAGTAGATTGCACGAACTAAGTTTTGTTTGCTAAGCCTGAAAGGTATCTGCTGATTATTTTGTACCTTCAAATGTACTTTGCTACTTTCTATTTTGAAATACAAATCTCTTTTATTGTGAAAGGAAACTCATTTTATTGTCATATAAAAGCGAATTGTCTTTTTCATCTTAAACGATCTGTTAACCTACTTGTTTATTTATTAGATTTATACTTGTCTAAGGTGATAAAATTTTAGTGAATTAGAATTCATCTTCGGCCTGGTAATATTGGTTGCTATTTTCATAATTAATTTCTTGTATAAAAGATAGCTAATTAGCTGATAATTCATTTTGTAAATCGTTATTTTAGGAGTATGGATTAATTTAGTTCGCTTGAGATGTTAACTAATTTATAGTATAATTTTGCTATTCTTTGCTGCTCTAAATTTAAGTTTATTTTTCTAAACTTATTTTATTTTATAGAATGGGACTAGATTAGCTATTTAAATATTTGTTAGATAAGAATTCTAATGAGTGGGTTTTTTCTTCTGAATAAATTTGTTCATAATAATCTTTATTCGAGATTATCTGCTGTTGGATACTTTTGATTTCTTCAATTTTAGTATTTTAATCACTTAGATGCATCATATCTTCTATCTCAATTTATAGTAATTGAATATAATGGTTAGAAATAGAATATAATTTTCCTTTAATAGAAAATAAATCAAATTCTAAAAGTTAATTCAAATTTCCTTGCTTCAATATAAATTCGTTTAAACTTGCTATTTCTGATTTATCTTATGGCTTTATCATTATTGTTGAAAATGTAGTCTGAAAGTTTTCACCTTCTAATTTTTATAAAAATAATGTTTTTAATATAATAACAACAAAATAATTACCTTTGTAATTCTTTGAAAGAATTAGCCTCAAAGATGGAATAAGTTTGCTAATATTTATGTCTTGCAATTATTTTTTTGAGACAACTTTAGATAGAATCTAATTGTAGAATTCTTAGGAATTGCAAATTATTCTAAAGTCTTTTTAGTCAACTAATAAAAACATATTCAACCCTTCTATTTGCTTAATTTAGGCACATATACCAAAATCCTTTGATTCTATTAAGCATGGTTGAAGCTTGATGTCATAAGGTATTGCCCATCCTTCTCTATCGATTCCTATTATAGGACTCAATGAGAGTTAGCTTTTTTAACTTCTGATTTTAGTTAAGTAGTTATTTAGAATTTTATCATGAAATTGACTTACTGCTGAAGGTTACATAAAGTTAATGTTTTTACCTATACTTTCGCTATTACTAAAAATAGGTACAACTTTCTCAAAATTGTTAGAAACCATAACAATTTATCCAATATTAGTTAGTGATATGAATGCACTACATGTTTGTTGATCAATTAGGTATAATGGCTTTTGCTATTGGTCAAACCTAAGAAAACGTTAGTTAACCTTTTTCTTTAAAGAGCTTAGCTTCTCATCAAAGCAAAGAGATTTTTCAAAAATTTCAATTAAAAAATTCATTTGCTGGCTTGGAATTTATTTTCTAATAAGATTATAAAGAGTAGTAAATATTTAATTCCTTTTATCCCTAGTTAGCTTAAGTTACAACCAAATAGATTATATATCAACTGTGTCCTAACCTATTTATTAGATAGCAGATTTTTTCATATTTAGGCATTCTTATATATTTTTATAGCATAAATTAATATCCACATCAAAATTTATAAAATTAATGTATTAAGCAGTATTATTGAGAGATTAATTTTAGAAGAATTTATTTTGATTATGTTTGAAAAGAGCGTCTTTAGCAACCTCAATCAGGTTATTAACAATTTAGCGATAAATAATAGAATGTTATTTACTCTATGATAGCAATTAATAAACTTTTACTAAGCATTTATTTGGATTTTTTTGTACATCTACCAAAAAATAAAGATAGCTTATGTGCAAAATATTATATTATTTGCTTTTTTGTATTTCATTTTCATAATATCTCTCTATATAGTCATATAAATAGTCTTATCGAATTGTGTTGTCTTTTTCATCGAACAACTATTAAGTTATTTTTAAAAATTAGTAAAATTAAAATTTTTGATATTATTTCTAATAATAATAGGATTTTGATTCCAGTCCATAATTAAGATTGTAATCTCCTGGTAAATAAATAATACTTAAGTAAAGCAGATAATGTTAATAAAATTAACTAATCATTAAAAGCCAGACTTTATTAACTTCTAGAACTAAGTTTTGCTTTAATAAATTACTTAAATTTAAATAAAATTAATTAATTTACTTATGTACAAAAGCAAAATTATGGTTAGATGCAATAAATTTGATGAGAAGTAATTAGATCTTCTAAAATGAGTGAATTTTTTGATGAGAGATAATCATCAAAATCAGTTTTAACAGATCTGTGTATTGATCTTAAAAAATAATCTACAATGAACGGTTTATAGCTTTTAACATATTAATTTATCATTTTTTTATTTCCAGAAGTAAATAGAATACTTCTATCTCTGTTAATAAGCCTATTTATTATCATGTATTTTTTAGTCTTATGTATAGCTTTAGACATCTTGTATGAGAGCGGAAATAAAAGAATTAAAAATAAATTAAAAATATTCCATTTATCAACTTAAAGCACCAAAATCAAATTAATTGCAAAAAAAAAATGAAATATTATTCCAAAAGTATTTAGGACATGAGTTTCCCTGTTTATATAAGGAACATAAACAGTTTCAATAGCTAATAATAAAGAGAAAAAGATTAAATTTATTATTGATACTTCATTCCATTTTGCATAGTTTACAACAAATACATTTAAGATTTCTATCAAAGTGATGATTAACTTAGCTGGAATAGACTTAAATGACAGATAATCTTAAGTTTCGTATCTATAGTCATAATCATGTAGACTTTATATGAAGGCTATTATTAATATTTAATCTTAAAAAAAATATTATAAAAAAATATAATTTACTTATAAATAGAATTAATCCAATATTGAAATATACTTCGATAGGATTTTCATTTATTAGATTAAAAGAAAGCATTAAAGAAGGTAAAAACAAAGTATAATAGTAAATCTAGAAAAAGAATGATATCAGTAAGTTAGTTTTTTTTATTTTTTGCGAGCACAAAAATATCCCAAAATATGCTAAATACGTTATTACAAGTACCCCATTAATACCCATAAATATGTAAAAGAATTTCTCTTATAAGTTATTGTCATTAAATAATAGCATGAAATACTTTATGAAATCATTGTTTTAATCTTTAATCATTAGTTATGTCTTAATTTCAGGAGAGACTTGGAGAAATATGAACTAAATATGCTTGATCAAAAGAAGAAAAACACTAACTTTTTTATTCCTATTGAAGGATTTCAGAAGAGGATAGCTACATTTAGTATAGAAGTCTATGAATCTGTTTCTTAAATCTTATAATTATTAGTTTTGATTAAGGCTTTTAGGTATCATTTTGGTTAATTTTAAGAAATCGCTTTTTTATTAAAGTTTTTAATTAATAAATTAAAATAAAATTATCTGATACTTTTTTATCACAAATCATGACATGTTTTAAGAAAACGATAAAGGTTTGCATCGCTTTAATTATTTATTATATTGATATCAAATTTAATTAATACTTGTATCAAAAAATTTCCTAATTTGAGGATCAACTCCTTTACATTAATAGCGAATTATAATTTTTTATTAGTAAATCTTGAATATAGTATTTATAAAAATCAAATTAGAATGACTTAATATTACTCAATATATTTAAGACAAATTTTCAAGCAGATATCTTAAAAATTAAGTCAGTTAGGGATTTCTTTATTTTACAATTTTGTAGTGTAGTTTGCTCTTGAATTTTAAATTAAGAATACATTTATTTATCTTACATTAAAATTAATTTAACTATTAAAGTGAGAAATGTAACATAAAAAAGATAAGTAATTTTTTCTATTAAAAATAATTAATGTGATGATAATTCTTTAATTAAATTTATATTTAATTAATCCCTTATTAATCAAAAAAAATCTTCTTGTAAAAATGGATTGACAGGATATTAGAGGATGGATTTAGTGATTATTTATCTTAATATTTAAAAGAGTAACTATTTATGAAATAAAAAAAATAATTGTCATTAAAATAATATATTATTATTCTATTTATTTATGACTTTTTTATTTTCAAATAAAATAATATTTAAAATCCCCTTAATAAAATAAATTTTAATAATATGAATTTGATATTTGTTTTATAAATATAGTTTTGATTGGTTACTTTTTTTAATTTTTAAGTTAAGATTAGTCAAATTGAAGAAATTATGATGATTAAAACTCTACTTGTTAGCCAATAAATTTTTTAGATAAGGGAAATAGTAATACATAAATATCAAATAAAAAATTGTTTACTTAGTTTTAAAATTTTATCTATCTTAGAATGAATTTATTTTCTTAAATAATTTAAATATCAATAAGGTAAATTAATAGTTTTGTTTTTATAATTTCATTGATTACAGATTTGAATAACCTAGAATATATTTTATATAATGATAATTTAAATATGATTATAAGAATAGGTAAATATAGCTAATTAAAAACTTGAAATTGTTGTATTATATTCCATTTTTGCCATTTTCTTTACTAAAGTTTTAATACATTTGAAATTGGTTCTTCCATAAAAATTTTGAGCATTATTGAATTCCTATTCTTAAATTAAAATTAATTTAATTATTTATGCTAAATCATGTCCAAGAAATACTGATTTTCATTGGTATAAATATAATTATCAATGTATTATTAAGCATTTTTGTGTCAAAGTAGTAATTAATTTAAACTTTTTATAGTAAGTAATAGTTTAAAAATGGAAATAAAAGAGGATAGTTTATATCTATTCATAAACTTTTATAATTATTTATGATTGAAATACAATAAAAATAATAAATGAATATTTGAAAAAATCATATTTAAAAATTATTTTTTAAACATAATAAAAAGTAAATGTAAATATAATAATTATTATATTATTGATTTTATCATTAACTAAATAAGTGGTAATATTATTATGATATAAAGTTAATTATTTATAAATAATTGTTGATATTTTTAGATATTTTAAAATATTAATAAAAGCAACTAAAATGTCAATATATTGAAAAATTAATTACTGTAATTTTATTTATTCTGATAATAAACATCGAGATAAAGCAGAATAATATTATTCAAATTATTAGCAGCTAAAAAATACTAAAAATGATTTTTTGCAAATGTTTGATTTTGAAAAAATATAATTGATAATCTCTATTAAAATAAACTAACAAAAATTATATATTATTGCTTTTATCAAAGTTTGGTAAAAAATAAGTTGATTCAGTTTTTTTAAAAATAAATAAGAAAGATTCATATATTTTTTTATCAATCCTAAGCAAACAAAATTTTATTTCAGATTTAAGAATATTCTATTTATGTATTTATGAATATATTTTAAAATAAAAATAATAATTAAAATTTATTTTAAATATATAAATTTGCTATAAAATATACTAGTAATATAATATTTATTCTGGTTATTCTGACTAAATTTATTAAGATTGTGTTTTGCTACTCTTTTAAATTTTTAAATTAAGATTAGAAATCAGTAATCCTAGTTATTTACCAATTAGTTTTTTATCAATCGAAAGTAATAATATATAAAATCACTGATAAAATTGGAAACCTCATTTTTAAGTTTTTAAGTAGCTTAGAATATATTGATTTTCTTCAATAATTTAAATATCAATAAGGTTAAGTAATAGTTTTGTTTCTTTAATATTATTAATTAATGATTTGAAGAACCTAAAAAATGATATATATATTGATAGTATAAATGTAATTATAGCTAAGAACAAGTAAATGTAGTTCATCATAATCATGAAATCATAGTTTTCATATGTTATTTATGTAATTTTCTTTACCATTGTTTCAACAATATATTCAAAATAAATTCTTCCATAAAAATTTTGAGCATTACTGAATTCTTACTCTTAAATTAAAATTAATTTAATAAATTATTCCAAATCTTCTCCAAGAAAAGCCGAATTTCTTTAAGCATTAAGATTTATTAAAAATTGCGTAGCTTAAACAAACCCATTGTTAAAAATTCCATTTGCAATTTATTTGCATTCATCTAATTAAAATAGATTATCACTTAAAAGATTTTAATTTTAACTAACTGCCTCACATGCATTTTATTAAAAGACTTTAATAGTAAATTCGTTGAATTCAGCGTCTAGCTCATATTCATGCAATTAGATTACCAAATCATTTAATATTTATATGTATTTTTATCTTTTATCAGCATTATTAATTGCTAGATTAACATAGTCTTCACTTATAATTTATTAAAGCTTTAAAATAATAAAGGGAGCTCTTAAAATGTCTATATTTATTATATAATCACTGATTGTCATTAGATTGCCTTTGATATAGATAATGTTAAATATATTTAGAGTAATAATTAAAAAATAAATAATACCTATAAATTTCCTGCTCGCTTTCTCCTTCTGAATAAAGCTCTTTAGATAAAAATAGTTTGTCGCACTAGCAACTTATGTCAAAATAAAAAATACTAAAGATAAAAATACAACTCTCAGTTGTAGCTTATTGATATTATTTGTAGCACTTATATTTTTCTTTTTTTAAATTTGAATTTCAATTTAATTTTCATGATTTTATTTTCTTGGGCTTTTTTCTTTTGTGTGGCTATTTCCATCAGCTGAATATAAATAATTCGATTCTATTAAGTTCAAGCAATTTGTAATTTATTAAATCATATAAATTAAGTTTTTAGGTGTCAGAGTGGCAAATAATTTTAATATAATTTATATTTTTTATAAAAAGTAGTAGTTTACTAAAGGAAAAGAAAGAGCAAAAATCAAACTCGTTGTAGTTATGATAATTAAAAACGTTAACATATTTTATAGGTTTGAGTCAAAATTTTAATTTACTTTATTAGAAACGTCTTAAGTTATATTAGACAATAATTTATAGTTAGATATGTAATTCTATGAGACTTCTTTAGAACTTAATCCTTAAGTGTCTAAATTGAAGCTGATATAATAAATTTAAGCATAGTTAATTAGTAAAGAATATCCAAAATAAAACTCATTAACAGAAGTAGTGGTGTTTGAACTCACTAGCATTTAGAGAAATTAATTATCTAGAACATAATTGTAAAGATCTGTTTTAGTTTTATCTGAATTGATAAATTTGATAATGAGCTTTTTAATAATGTTGTAATTTCTTGTTTTTTATTATTAAATTCTTTGTAATAATTAAACTTAATCCTGATATTCAAAACTAAAAAGAGGAATCTAAATTAGGAAACCAAATAGTTAATCTGAAATTATTTCTCCTATAGGGCTTTTAATTTACGAACCCCAGTTAATATTTTAGTAATCTTCTTTCTAGTTTTCTAATTATAAATTTAGGCTATAAAAAAGTACACAGCTCACAATCAAAAAGGATATTAATCCTATAACTCCAAAAAACCTGACGACATAAATCCCTGTGAATTTTTCTTCTTTTTTAATGTTTTTCACAATTTATTTTCTTAAAAAAAATAAGTTAAATAAATATAATATAAATTCTCAATTATGATTAAAAATTAATTACAAATTTAGATTATATTTATAAATTATACTTTAGTTAGATAAAAAAATTTTTGGCTATAAAAAGTACCAAAAAATAATAATTCTATTTGATAATTTTCCAAATAAATAAATTCATTTTTTTAGTTAGTAATTTTGTTTACTTAAAAAAATTTTAATTTAATTAAAAAATATTAGTGTTAGATTTGCAAAAAATTATAGCAAGAATTTAAATTATTTACCTTGAAATTTAGCTTGATTGAGACGAACGTATACTTGTTGCCATCTTTGTTTCTTGTTTCTACTAGTTTTAGCTTATAAAATTAGTTTGCTTTTCACTTTTACTTGAGATAATCTAATTGTTTGCATCGAAAGGTTTAACTAACTTATGAATAGAATTCAAGCCAAATTATTTATTTTTCACTGTATCTACAATGTTACTTTCAGATAAAAGTTCTACTTTTTATACTTATGGGTATTTCACAATACTATTTAAAGGGACTCTTGCAGAATAAATTACTTAATTAAATGTATGGGATTAATTATTTTTTTCCATTATTAATTTTTTCTTAAGTTAATTATTGCTTTAAGGTAAGTTGAAATTCCTTTGAGAATCGATAATATTTTCTTGTGAAAGAGCTTCATTTAATATTTTTTCTTCGTTTGTACTAATTTTTTGTATCAATTAAGGGGATAAAAGAGCTCCTGTTTCATATGAATATTAGAACTCAAGTTATTTACAAATATGCACCTCTTTAAAAGCCTCTTGTGAGTTTTAGCTACTTTCAATATTGCCATAATAATAATAATTATTATTTTCTGAAAGCTCATTAAGGATTTGATTCTCAATAAAATTTTTAGAAAATTAAGTTTTATTTAATTCCATTTACTTTTAAAAATAGTAAAGTTATTCAATTTTTTAACTTTCATCCAAAAATTAAACAATTTCTTTCACTTTAATTTAGATTATTTCAATGTGCTAGTTATTGACATACAAAATGTCTCCTTTCACTAAAAAAATTTGAAAATATTAGAAGTTAAATAAAGTTTAATAATCATAAGCTTCATTTTAAAGTTTAATTAATTAATCATAGCTTTTTGGCTTAAATAATATTGTTGAAAATTCACTATCCATCATTTAATCTTCTTTATTTATATTGATATCTTTTTTTTTTTAATTAAAAATTAATTAATATTACAATTTTGTAAGTTAAATTACTTTGTTTGAACTTTTCAAAAATGAAAGGAAAACAAGGAATTAAAGTACTAAGGCTGATCTAAGATATTTTATCTTATGGTATTAATTCAGCTAAAATTAATTAATAAAATTGCTTTGAAACAGTAGATAGTTAAAATCTTTATTTTTTATCAACTAAAATGTACATGTTATTATCATTTACCAAGCCAATTTAAGCACAAATACCATAATGGTTTTCTAATAAGCAAGGCTATAATTTTATTTCATAAGGTATAGCCCATTTATCTAAATCTATACCAACAATTGGAGTATGATTCATATAGCTGCTTTTGCTTTTGTTTTTTTTATCTAGAAAAGATTTTAAAATTTAGTCATGATATTTAGCTATTATACTAGGTTAAAAAAAGTTAATATTTAAGCCAATAACGTTTTTATTATTTGGTACTTTCACTATTTTTTGAAAGTTATTTGAAACAGAAATAATTTACCCAGTATTTTCTGAAAGACTAATAAAAGCAAAGGCCTTTAAATCATCTTTTACATAATTTTAATTTAATTTATTTTAAACCTGATTTTTTTTGAGGTTTACTTTTTTATATCGTAATTTAAATTAGTTCCTCTCTTACAAATAGTTTTCATAAATTTCTATCAAAAATTCTAATTACTGACAACATATCTATTTTTTTATTAAATTTCTGATATTCGTTTTTATTTCATTCCTTAATTTGTAAATTTTTGAAAGATTTTGATCCATAGATATTAAGTCAATAAAATCTTAACTTATTGAAAGCACAGTTTACTTTTTTTATAACAAAAAGTGTTTAATTTGATTAAAGCATTTGTTAATTATTTCATCGAATTCAATAATATCAATAAAATCTAGCTATTATTCTTCTGTACTTTTAGAATACATTTACAGAGTATCTTTTTATTTATCCTTGGCCATTTATATTAGCAATTTTATCTGGATCATATAGAATATTTAGTTCTCACAAATATTTAAAATTTGATTTGCCTTTACGAAAAATTTGTTTAAATTGCCTTAAACGTCTAATAAAAATGATAAATAAGATGTGTGAAGGGAATTTATCTTTTTGCATTTAGAAATTTCATACTCATAGAATTTTTCTATGTAATCATATAGAATATTGCTTCTCAAGGTTTTGTCTTTTTCATCTATTTACTAAAATATCAAAATTATAAAAAAATTGTAAAAAATTTGTTTGATTTTTATTTAAATAATGTAAGATGAATTAAATAAAGTCATTTTACATCTTAGCAAAAGCAAAATTTTGGTAAGAAACAGTTTTAAATGTGATCTATATAGATTTTTTCTAGCAAAATAGATGTTTAAGAGGAGAGGTATTCGCCAAAATCAAGCTAAATATTCTAATAAAGAGTCCTTAAATAAAAGTCTATCACATAATAATTTTTTTGATTATTCACAGTATATCCTAAGTAATTGAATTATTTTACATCACTTATATTTTAATTAAAAAGATTGTTTCTGATCTATTCTTATCTAAAATAAAAAATTTAAGAAGCTATTTTATAGGCTAATGGGATAGAAATCAGTAATGAAATATTAAAGTAATTCCATTTATCTATATAAACCGTCGCAAGTATATTACAGCTGAGCAAAAGATTAAATGTTATCAAACGTTAATAAAATAACTAGACATTTAGATTGATAAATGGAGTATAAATAATTTGTAATAAAAATAGAGTTAAAAAGAGAAAAAAGCTAACTATTGATTATCTCCTATCTTCAAGAATAGCCTATAAAACTACAGCAACTGTTTCTAAAATATTTTTTAATTAATTGATCAAAACAGATCTTTCTGAAGTAAAATCTGATATTTTAAACTATAAATTAGAACTTTGTAAACTATAAAAATTAACTATTATTAAAAATTTTATATTAATTTTGTTTAGTTTTTCCTATAAAAATATATTTTACCTAATAAATTTGCTAGGATAATATTAGTAATTGATATATAAATATGATTTTTTAGCTAGAGACCTGAGAAAATTAAACATGGTAAAAAAATTATATTTTAGTAAACCTTAACAATCATAGGTTATACAATAGTATTTATTTATAAAATTTGTCTTCTATAAAAAAAATATACTATGTAAGTTAGAGTCATTAGAATTAGAATTATATTAATTAATAATAACAGTATCAAGCAATAGAGCTAATCATCATCTTTACCAAATAAGATTGTAAAGTTTTTAGTATAATTACTATTATTAACTTTCTAAATGAGATCATCAAAAACGGAAGAAGTAATTTGAAGTTGAAAGTATTAAAATTATTTAATAAGTATTAGCATAATGCTAACTCCAAAACTTCTATTAAACTACCTAAATAGGGGTATACTGTTTTTTATCAATAATTGTTCTAAAACATTACTTTTCAATTTTAGTTTATGTATATTTTGATTTTTCCTCATTTTATTTGAAGAATGTTAAAATGTAAAATAAAATTTTTATTAAATTATTTACCTACAATAAATAACTTTATAGTTTGTAAAAAGAATAAAGAAATGAGAAATGCTCCTTAATGAAAAATAGAAATAGATATAAAAGTGATTGTTTTTTTTTTGTATTAGTTTAATGTAATTAATTTTGATTAATGATTTAAATCAGGTTAATTCTTATTTTAGTTTTTAGATTTTTGATAAGTTTTATTAATCTTTTTTAATTTAAATTGATCATCAAAAATACAATTTAAAAATGATAATATTTATTGTATACCACAAGATACAACTAATCAATAAAATTTTATAAGTAAATGGTTTAATTTTCACATATAAAATTATTAAATCTGAAAGGTAATTTAAAAATAACGAAGTGGAAATGGTCATAATTTATTATGTGGTTTACTTACAAACAATTATATAAATAAATAAAGTATAATTATTAATTTATTTCATTTTTAAATTTTTAAATATGTTAATATGTATTAATTTTCTTCAATAATTTAAATATCTATTAGGTTAAGCAATAGCTTAGTAAGTTTAATTTTATCAATTAAAGATCCAAAAAACTTAAAAAAAGATATGTACATTGATAATATGAATGTACTTATAGCTAAAAATAAGTAAATATAATTGATTTTAATCATATTGTCATAGTGATTATATGTTATTTCTGTCATTTTCTACACCAAACTTTCAACTACATATTAAAAATAGATTCTTGTATAGAAATTTTGAGCATTATTAAACTCTTTTTCTTAAGTTATAATTTCCTAAACAAATTTAGTTAAATCACTTTCAACAAAAGCCGAAACTCTTTATGAATAAATATTTATTAAAAATTATGCAACTTAAATAAACCCTTTGTTAAAAATACCATTTGCTATTGATTTGCACTCTTCTATTTAAAATAGATTATCACTTATAAGATTTTAGTTTTCACTAACTGCCTAGCAAGCATTTTATTAGAAAACTTGAATAGAATATTCTTTAAAATCAGATTATATATCCTAATCATATAATTAGTTAACCAAGTCATTCAAAATTGTAAGGTATTTTTGCTTTTAATATGCATTATTTAAGAATAGATTGTAATAATCTTTAGATATAGCATTCTATAATTTTAATATGATAAATGGAGACCTTAAAATCTGTAAATTTATTACATAATCACTAACTATCAGTAAATCATCTAAGTAAGTTATAAAAAATATTAATTATGATTTGAATAATAACTAAAAAAATAATACCTATAAATTTTCTATTGGCTTTCTCCTATTATATAAAATTATTTAGTAAAAAATAATTTGTCACGCTGGCAACTTAAGCCAATAAGAAAAAAGATAGAGATAAGATAGCAACTTTAATTTTAAACTGATGGATACTATTTGTAGCGCTTATATTTTTCTTTTTTTAAATTTAATCTTCAATTTATTTTTAAATATTTTATTGGCTTGATATTTTATTTTTTGTTTGTATAAATTTATCATCTTAATTTACTGAATTTGATTCTATTAGATGTAAGCAATTTGTAATTTCTTTAATCATAAAAATTAAGTTTTTTGGTGTAAGAGTAGCAAATAATTTTAATATAATCTAGATCTTTTGCAGGAAGTAATAGTTTATAATAGGAAAAGTGAGGGCGAATATAAAAGTAGTTATTGCAATTGCTATTAAAAATGTAAGAACTATTTCTTCGTTTTAATCAAAAGTTTAGTCTACTTTATTAGAAACTTCTTGAGTGATGTTAGACAATAAGTTATTATTAGAAATGTAATTTAAAGTAATTTGGTTTTGGTTTAATCTTTGAGGATCTTAATTATAGCTCACAAAGAACAAATGAGCTAAATTTATTAACAAAGAGTAACCAAAATTTAGAAGTTTCTTAGAATAAGAAGTTGAATTTGAATTGAAAAATCCATAATTAAACTAATTATCAAGTACGAAGTTATAAAGATCTGTTTTGCTTTTATCAGATTAAATATATCTGATCATTAAGTTTTTAATAGTGTTATAGTTTTTTATTTATTATTGTTAAATTCTTTTAAATAATTAAATTTGTTCTTATCCAGAAAAATTAAATGGAGGATTCTAGATAAGAAGTGCAAATAGCTTATCTGAAAGTACTTCTCCCATTGGGCTTCTTATTTAAGAACCCCAACTAACATTTTGATAATCGTTTTTTTAGTTTTACAATTATAAATTTAAGCTATAAAAAAGTACAGAGCTCACAATTAAAAAGCTTAATAATCCTATGACTCCAAATAGTCTGACCATGAATATACCATTGAATTTTTCATTTTAATTCATTTTCTTGATAATATGTTTCCTATTTGTTTGTATTGAATTTTTTAATGCTTCAATTAACTCTTAAAAAATGCTTAATTTACCTTAAAACTGAGCTTTATTTAGAAGAATGCATACTTGTTTCTAATTTTAATTCTAATTATTATTCATTAGATGAAAATAATTAGCTTTCTTTAATGTCACTACTGAATTATTTTTAGCAATTCTACTAATTGTTTGCTTTTACTTATTAATTATCAATAAAATAATTCAATCCACTCTATTTATTTCTAAGAGTATCTAAAGTGTTGTATTCAGATTGAAATCCTGCTCTATATGTTGTAAAAAATCTTAATTCACTATTTTTTATTTAATATAATTCATTATTTCTTATAGAATATGTTTCTTAATTGTTCATGTAGAATTATAAATCTTTTTCTCCAGTATTTAAAGGATTGAGTTAAATATTATTTTAAGTTATGCTAACATTTTTATGTGCATTAGAATTAGCCTATAGCAATCTTGTATTTTCTTACAAATATTACTCATTAAATATTCTTTCTTCACTTAAAAAAATCTTTTATCTTAATTAAGGAGATAGAAGAACTCCGGTTTCAAAAGAGTTTTAGAATTCAATCTTTTTAAGATTCACTGTTTCTTTCACTCCTTCTTAAGAAATTTGACTGCATTCAACAAAACCCTAATTATTATAATTTTCAGAGGGCTAATTAAATAACTCATTCGCCATTTAATTAAAAGAATGTGGAGTTGATTCTGCTTTATGTTTGTTTAATTCCATCCAATTTTATAGTTAATTCAATTGTTCAATTTTTAAATTATCATCAAATATCTAAACTACTTCATTTATTTTAATTTAAACTATTTCAATATGTTCATTCTAGATATGATAAATATCTCCTTTAACCCCAAATATTTAATAATCTAACAATTAATTAGATTTTTTATAATCAAAAACCAGACTTTAAAGTTTAATTAATTATTCATAGCTGTTTGGTTTAAACAATATTGTTGTGAATTCTCTGTCAACTGATTTATCATCAGTTTATTTTTTAATATCTAAATGGTAAATAAAATAAATTTATTTATAAATCATTATATAAAAATAAATTTAATTTACTTTATTGGTATACATGAAATATAGCAGGGAAACAAGGAATGAGAGAACTGAGGCTTATCTAAGAAATATTTTATTTTGTTATTGATTCAGCTAAGATTTATGTATAAAATTGGTATGAAACAGTAGATATTTAAAAATTTTATTTCTTATCAACTAAAATATACATTTTGTTATCATTTATCTAACTAATTTATCCACAAATACCAAAATTGTAGTTTTCTAATTAGCAAGGTTGAAGTTTTATATCATATGGTATAGCCCAGTAATCCTAATCGATTCCGATAGCAGGATAAAGATGGGCAGTTTTGTTGATTTTATTTCTTTTATTTAGAAAACTTTACAAAATTTAATCATGACATTTGGCTATTACACTGGGTTAGAGAAAATTAATATTTTTACCAATGGCTTGTTTATTATTACATATTTTTACTATTTATTCAAAGTTGTTAGAAACTTTAACAATTTGGCCAATATTCTCAGAAAGACTCATAAAAACGAACCCTTTTGTTTCATCTACTGCATAAATTTATTTCATTTAATTATGCATCTATATATTACTTTATTTAACTCTTTTGTATTACTTGCTTAAATCATTGCCTATTAACAAATAATTTTCATAAATCTCTATTAAAAATTCTAATTACTGGCTATAAATTTTTTTTTAAATCAAGTGATTAATATTTTTATAAATATCTTTTCTTTGTTTATAAATCTTTAAGAGGTTTTTATTCATAGCCTTGATATCAATAAAGTCATTGCTTATAGAAAGCAAAGTTTATTTTTTTTGTTGCAAAAAACATTTAATCTGGTTAAAACATTAATTGATTATTTCATCAAATTCTATCATTTCTATAAACTCTAGTTACTATTCTTCTGTATTTCTAGAATTAAATAAAACACTTTTTTGAATATCTTTAGCCTTTTATATCAGCATTTTTATTTGTTTCATATATAATATTTAGCTATCGCAAGTATTTAAAATTTAATTTGCCTTAACAAAAAATTTGTTGAAATTACCCTAAACATCTAATAAAAATGATAAATAAGATGAATGAAGGAAACTCATCTTTTTGCATTTAGAAAGCTCAAATTCAAAGTATCTTTCCATATAGTCATAAAGGATGTTACTTCTCAAGGTTTTATCTTTTTCATCTACTTACTAAAATTAATAGTACAATATGTTTTTAAATTAACAACATTAAAATATGATAAAATTTTAAAGAAAAAAGTTTACATTTTAACAAAAGCAAGACAGTTGCTGTAAGCAATTTTGAATATGATCTAAATAAATTTTTTCTAGAAAAATAGATGTTTAAGAAGAAAGATATTTATCAAAATCTATCTAAATACCATAATAAAGAGTTCTTAAATAGAAATCAATTGCATAATGCTTGTATCTTTTCTATTAATTATTTATAGAGAAATTAAACTCTTTTTGATATTATATTTCATTAATATTTTCACTAAAAAGTTTTTTGATAATTTATTCTTCTCTAAAATTATAAATTTAATATGCTATTCTAATTGCTATTGGGATAGAAATAAGTAAAAATATATTAAACTAGTTCCAGTTATCTATATAAGCTGCCAGAAGCAAATTGAAACTTAGTAATAAATTAAAAGTGATTAAGCATTAATGTTTTAATTAGACAGTAAGATTGATATAAGGAGTGTAAACGATTTATATGAAAAATAGTGATAAAAAGAGTAAAAAGCTAACTATAGACTATCTTCTATCTACAAGAATAGCCTACAAGATTACCGCAACTGTTTCTAAAACAATTTTTAATTAGCTGATCAAAATAGATCTTTCTGAAGCAAAATCAGACATTTTGAACCTTAAATTAGAGTTCTGTAAACTATAAAAATAAGCTTTATTAAATAATTTTGATTAATTTTCTTTAATTTTTCTAAAAAAAAAAATATTACCTAAAAAATTAGTAAGAAATAAATTCATTACGGAAATAGCTATATTATTTTTTAACTAAAGACCTGAGAAGATAATAGATGGTATAAAGAATATGTACGAGTAAACCTTGGTAATTATAGATAGTGCGATATTTGTTTTAAAAAGTTGTCTTTTGAGTAAAAATATTACAACATAAGCTACAACTATTAAAATGAGTAGAATATTAAAAGATAATGAAATTATCAAATAAAAGAGTTAAGTATCATCTTTTCCAAATAAGATCATAAAATTCTTAGCATATTAGCAATTATTATCTTTCATACTGAGAATGTTAAACATCTACGAAGTGATTTAAAGTTGAATATATTAAAAGTTCTTAATAAATATAAGCAAGATACTAAATGCCAAATTCCTATCAAAAGACCTGAATAGAGGTGTACTATTTTTGATAAAGAATTATTCTACAAAATTACTCTTCAATTTTTGCTTCTAACTATTTAAGATATTATTCATTTAAAAATTTTAAGAATGTTTTTGATAGTAAATAATTATTTTTATTGTTAGTTTGTCTTGCAATAAATTAGTATCAATAAAATAGATTGAGAAATAGAATATAATTTGAGAATTAAAAATAAGTAACTAAAAGAAAATTAATTATTAAATTTTATGGAAATTAGAGTATAAATAAAAAGACAGCTATCGTTTTATTTTTTGAATTTTCTTAAACAACCTTCCTTTTTAAATAATAGAATTTACATTTGAAAAATTACGAGATCTAGGTTTTATTCTGATTGAATGTGTAATTATTTTTTCTTCATTTTAATATACGGGTTAATTCTGATTTTATTGAGTATTTTTACAAATATTTTTTTTTCTTTATTTAAAAATTGATGAAATTAAAAATTACAGGATTTATATAAATATTTTTTTAATTTGAAATATAGGCAATCCATGCATTAATACTAATACTTAAATTCCTCTTGGTAAACAAAATTTAATTCTAAAATAATGTTAACTTGTAAAATAATGATATAAATTTAATTAATTAATATTAATTTGGTTGCAAATGATGAATGTTACGCAGTAAAAATTCATCTAATGTTATTCGGCGATATTTAAATTTGACATAATATTTGTATTGATATTAATACTTAGATTATATGTTTACAAAAATTTATTTAGTTTTACGTAATAGTATCAATACTTATAAGTTTAAGTAAAAAGTGTATTTTTAATTTATGAAATGTAAATAATAACAACAGTTATTAGATATTTAAATGGATTTATTTTTTTTTTCATTTAAAAATGTTTTAAATAACTTTTTTATACTTTAATGAAGTGGCTAAGAGAAAGAAAATCCAATTATAAATCATTTAACAAAATTTGCATGACTCTTGTGAGCTAGATATAAATTCCTTTTACTTTGTTTGTTTACATAAAAATAAATGAATTAATGCCAATAAACTTGTATTTCAAATCAAATGTTTAACTTTGATAAGTAAAGATTTTTTTTAAAAAAATCTACTTTCGTTTAAATAGAGCAATATTGATTATCCCATCAATCAATTATAAATTATATTTGTTTTTGGGAATTTATATTTTATATTACTCAGCTATCTAATCAATCATTCAAATTGTAAAGAAATTTTAAAGGATATTTTATTTTGAAATATAAATAATACCAGCAGAAAAGTTATTTTTGATTAAATAACTAAATTCAAAAATACCTCATATCTGCAATTTAGCGATGATTAAATTAGTTTGATACTAAAGAAAAAATTCATCTTTCCTTTGCTTTGATTTCTCAAAAATGTTCTTAAGAATATATTTTTGTAAATTAAAATTACAATCGTTATTAAAAAAATATGTTACATTTATCCAATTCTCATACAAATTCAGCAAATCAAATAGATATATAAATTCTTCAAAAAATAAAATGGTTTTTATTTTTACTTTAAACAAAATAAAAGTTGTTACTTTAATAAATTTAATAAACTGATTCATCTTTGAATTTATAAGTAAGTTAAAATATATTAATTATCTTCTATAGCCTTAATATCTAGTAAATTTAGTAGAAGCTTTGACTATCTGATCTAACCAATTGAATATTCGAAAAACTTGAAAAAGGAAATGTATATTAAAAATAGAAATGCTACTACTGGTACAGCGAATATTATCTAGTTCATTTTAATCATATATTCATAATGGTCGTATGTAATTTGAGCAATTTTTGATTCAATAAATTCAATAACATATTCAAGGTATATTCTTAAATAAAAATGGTCAGTTTCACTCAAATCCTATTCTTGTCGTATTATCATTTCAAAAAAGTTTTACATGTCAGATTTTAAAATTTCAGGAGATCGTTATGAGTACAAGTCTGTATGTAATTTTACTACTTAAATAAATCCTTATTAAAAAACTCCATTTGCAATTGAATTGCATAATTCCAACGAAAATTATGGATTATCCAAAAAATTTAGATTTTATTAAATTACTAAACAAGAATCGTCTTGTAAGGCCTACATCACAAAATTTTTAAAAGATTATTATTCATATCTTTTATCGTTATATACTTTATTTACTAAATTATATATTGTTTTTAAGATTCCGTCTGCCATTTATAGTTTCTAATTAATCAGATCTATATAGGTTTAGGATAAATTGTCTTGTAACTTATAAATAATCAAAGGAATTCTTAATGTACTAGTAGTGATGCAGAACTCATAAATATTCATTAAATCACCTATTAAATATGAAAAAAATTTTCAAATTAAATTATTTTACCTTGTATTTATTTTTCTTAAATTTTAAAAAATTTAAAAAATAATAAAAAATAGATAATTAATTATTCCCAAAAATTCTATTCGGGAATAAAAATGATTGAAATAAATATCAGATTTTTAAAAATACAACTAAATTCATTGGTGACTACAGATAGAAGTTCAAGTAAAATTAAATATTTTTTTATCTCTAAAAAATATATCTGAAAATAAATTTAAATATTATTAATATAGTTCTTCAACCTTCTTTATCAATCATTCATTTCTTAGTTTTTAAATTAAAATTTTTTTTCTTTTAATTAAATTATAAAATTATTAAATCTGAAAGGTAATTTAAAAATAACGAAGTGGAAATGGTCATAATTTATTTTCTGGTTTACTTACAAACAATTATATAAATAAATAAAGTATAATTATTAATTTATTTCATTTTTAAATTTTTAAATATGTCAATATGTATTAATTTTCTTCAATAATTTAAATATCTATTAGGTTAAGCAATAGCTTAGTAAGTTTAATTTTATCAATTAAAGATCCAAAAAACTTAAAAAAAGATATGTAAATTGATAATATGAATGTACTTATAGCTAAAAATAAGTAAATATAATTCATTTTAATCATATTATCATAGTGATTATATGTTATTTCTGTCATTTTCTACACCAAACTTTCAACTACATATTAAAAATAGATTCTTGTATAGAAATTTTGAGCATTATTAAACTCTTTTTCTTAAGTTATAATTTCCTAAACAAATTTAGTTAAATCAGTTTCAACAAAAGCCGAAATTCTTTATGAATAAATATTTATTAAAAATTATGCTACTTAAATAAACCCTTTGTTAAAAATACCATTTGCTATTGATTTGCACTCTTCTATTTAAAATAGATTATCACTTATAAGATTTTAGTTTTCACTAACTGCCTAGCAAGCATTTTATTAGAAAACTTGAATTGAATATTCTTTAAAATCAGATTATATATCCTAATCATATAATTAGTTAACCAAGTCATTCAAAATTGTAAGGTATTTTTGGTTTTAATATGCATTATTTAAGAGTAGATTGGTATAATCTTAAGTTGTAGATCGCTATAATTTTAATAAGATAAATGGAGACCTTAAAATCTGTAAATTTATTACATAATCACTAACTATCATTAAATCATCTAAGTAAGTTATAAAAAATATTAATTATGCTTTGAATAATAACTAAAAAAATAATACCTATAAATTTTCTATTGACTTTCTCCTATTATATAAAATTATTTAGTAAAAAATAATTTGTCACGCTGGCAACTTAAGCCAATAAGAAAAAAGATAGAGATAAGATAGCAACTTTAATTTTAAACTCATGGATACTATTTGTAGCACTTATATTTTTCTTTTTTTAAATTTACTCTTCAATTTATTTTTAAAGATTTTATTAGCTTGACATTTTATTTTTTGCTTGTGTAAATTTATCATCTTAATTTACTGAATTTGATTCTATTAGATGTAAGCAATTTGTAATTTCTTTAATCATAAAAATTAAGTTTTTTGGTGTAAGAGTAGCAAATAATTTTAATATAATCTAGATCTTTTGCAGGAAGTAATAGTTTATAATAGGAAAAGTGAGGGCGAATATAAAAGTAGTTACTGCAATTGCTATTAAAAATGTAAGAACTGTTTCTTCGTTTTAATCAAAAGTTTAGTTTACTTTATTAGAAACTTCTTTAGTGATGTTAGACAATAAGTTATAATTAGAAATGTAATTTAAAGTAATTTGGTTTTGGTTTAATGTTTGAGGATCTTAATTATAGCTCACAAAGAACAATTGAACAAAATTTATTAACAAAGAGTAACCAAAATTTAGAATTGTCTTTGAAGTAGTTGCACTTGAACTGACAAATACATAATTAAACTAATTATCAAGTACGAAGTTATAAAGATCTGTTTTGCTCTTATCAGATTAAATAAATCTGATCATTAAGTTTTTAATAGTGTTATAGTTTTTTATTTATTATTGTTAAATTCTTTTGAATAATTAAATTTGTTCTTATCCAGAAAAATTAAATGGAGGAGTCTAGATAAGAACTGCAAATAGCCTATCTGAAAGTACTTCTCCCATTGGGCTTTTTATTTAAGAACCCCAACTAACATTTTGATAATCGTTTTTTTAGTTTTACAATTATTTATTTAAGCTATAAAAAAGTACAGAGCTCACAATTAAAAAGCATAATAATCCTATGATTCCAAATAGTCTGACTATGAATATACCATTGAATTTTTCATTTTAATTCATTTTTTTGATAATATGTTTCCTATTTGTTTGTATTGAATTTTTTAATGCTTCAATTAACTCTTAAAAAATGTTTAATTTACCTTAAAACTGAGCTTTATTTAGAAGAATGCATACTTGTTTCTAATTTTAATTCTAATTATTATTCATTAGATGAAAATAATTAGCTTTCTTTAATGTCACTACTGAATAATTTTTAGCAATTCTACTAATTGTTTGCTTTTACTTATTAATTATCAATAAAATAATTCAATCCACCCTATTTATTTCTAAGAGTATCTAAAATGTTGTATTCAGATTGAAATGCTGCTCTTTATGCTGTAGAAAATCTTAATTCACTATTTTTTATTTAATAAAATTCATTATTTCTTATAGAATATATTTCTTAATTGTTCAGGTAGAATTAGAAATCTTTTTCTCCAGTATTTAAAGGATTGAGTTAAATATTATTTTAAGTTATGCTAACATTTTTATGTGCATTAGAATTAGCCTATAGCAATCTTGTATTTTCTTACAAATATTACTCATTAAATATTCTTTCTTCACTTAAAGAAATCTTTTATCTTAATTAAGGAGATAGAAGAACTCCGGTTTCAAAAGAGTTTTAGAATTCAATCTTTTTAAGATTCACTGTTTCTTTCACCCCTTCTTAAGAAATTTGACTGCATTCTACAAAGCCCTAATTATTATAATTTTCAGAAAGCTAATTAAATAACTCATTTGCCATTTAATTAAAAGAATGTGGAGTTGATTCTACTTCAGGCTTGTTTAATTCCATCCAATTTTATAGTTAATTCAATTGTTCAATTTTTAAATTATCATCAAATATCTAAACTACTTCATTTATTTTAATTTAAACTATTTCAATATGCTCATTCTAGATATGATAAATATCTCCTTTAACCCCAAATATTTAATAATCTAACAATTAATAAGCTTTTTTATAATCAAAAACCAGACTTTAAAGTTTAATTAATTATTCATAGCTGTTTGGTTTAAACAATATTGTTGTGAATTCTCTGTCAACTGATTTATCATCAGTTTATTTTTTAATATCTAAATGGTAAATAAAATAAATTTATTTATAAATCATTATATAAAAATAAATTTAATTTACTTTATTGGTATACATGAAATATAGCAGTGAAACAAGGAATGAGAGAACTGAGGCTTATCTAAGAAATATTTTATTTTGATATTGATTCAGCTAAGATTTATTTATAAAATTAGTATGAAACAGTAGATATTTAAAAATTTTATTTCTTATCAACTAAAATGTACATTTTGTTATCATTTATCTAACTAATTTATGCGCAAATACCAAAATTGTAGTTTTCTAATTAGCAAGGTTGAAGTTTTATATCATATGGTATAGCCCAGTAATCCTTATCGATTCCGATAACAGGATAAAGATGGGCAGTTTTGTTGATTTTATTTCTTTTATTTAGAAAACTTTACAAAATTTAATCATGACATTTAGCTATTACACAAGGTTAGAGAAAATTAATATTTTTACCAATGGCTTGTTTATTATTACATATTTTTACTATTTATTCAAAGTTGTTAGAAACTTTAACAATTTGGCCAATATTCTCAGAAAGACTCATAAAAACGAACCCCTTTGTTTCATCTACTGCATAAGTTTATTTCATTTAATTATGCGTCTATATATTACTTTATTTAACTCTTTTGTATTACTTGCTTAAGTCATTGCCTATTAAAAAATAATTTTCATAAATCTCTATTAAAAATTCTAATTGCTGGCTATAAATTTTTTTTTTAATCATGTGATTAATATTTTAATAAATATCTTTTCTTTGTTTGTAAATCTTCAAGAGGTTTTTATTCATAGCCTTGATATCAATAAAGTCATTGCTTATAGAAAGCAAAGTTTATTTTTTTTTTTGCAAAAAACATTTAATCTGGTTAAAGCATTAATTGATTATTTCATCAAATTCTATCATTTCTATAAACTCTAGTTACTATTTTTCTGTATTTCTAGAATGAAATAAAACATTTTTTTGAATTTCCTTCGCCTTTTATATCATCATTTTTATTTGTTTCATATATAATATTTAGCTTTCACAAGTATTCAAAGTTTAATTTGCCTTAACAAAAAATTTGTTGAAATTACCCTAAACATCTAATAAAAATGATAAATAAGATGAATGAAGGAAACTCATCTTTTTGCATTTAGAAAGCTCAAATTCAAAGTATCTTTCCATATAGTCATAAAGGATGTTACTTCTCAAGGTTTTATCTTTTTCATCTACTTACTAAAATTAATAGAACAATAAGTTTTTAAATTAAATTATCAACATTAAAAAATGATAAAATTTTAAAGAAAAAAGTTTACATTTTAACAAAAGCAAGATAGTGGCTGTAAGCAATTTTGAATATGATCTAAATAAATTTTTTCTAGCAAAATAGATGTTTAAGAAGAAAGATATTTATCAAAATCTATCTAAATACCATAGTAAAGAGTTCTTAAATAGAAATCAATTGCATAATGCTTGTATCTTTTCTATTAATCATTTATAGAGAAATTAAACTCTTTTTGCTATTAATTTTCATTTATATTTTCACTAAAAAGTTTTTTGATTATTTATTCTTCTCTAAAATTATAAATTTAATATGCTATTCTAATTGCTATTGGGATAGAAATAAGTAAAAATATATTAAACTAGTCCCAGTTATCTATATAAGCTGCCAGAAACAAATTGAAACTTAGTAATAAATTAAAAGTGATTAAGTATTAATGTTTTAATTAGACAGTAAGATTGATATAAGGAGTGTAAACGATTTATATGAAAAATAGTGATAAAAAGAGTAAAAAGCTAACTATAGACTATCTTCTATCTTCAAGAATAGCCTACAAGATTACCGCAACTGTTTCTAAAACATTTTTTAATTAGCTGATCAAAATAGATCTTTCTGAAGCAAAATCAGACATTTTGAACCTTAAATTAGAGTTCTGTAAACAATAAAAATAAGCTTTATTAAATAATTTTGAATTAATTTTCTTTAATTTTTCTAGAAAAATAATATTACCTAAAAAATTAGTAAGTAATAAATTAATTATGGAAATAGCTATGTGATTTTTTAACTAAAGACCTGAGAAGATAATAGATGGTATAAAAAATATGTATGAGTAAACCTTGGTAATTATAGATAGCGCCATATTTGTTTTAAAAAGCTGTCTTTTAAGCAAAAATATTACGACATAAGCTACAACTATTAAAATGAGTAGAATATTAAAAGATAATGAAATTATCAAATAAAAGAGTTAAGTATCATCTTTTCCAAATAAGACCATAAAATTCTTAGCATATTAGCAATTATTATCTTTCATACTGAGAATGTTAAACATCTACGAAGTGATTTAAAGTTGAATATATTAAAAGTTCTTAATAAATATAAGCAAGATACTAAATGCCAAATTCCTATCAAAAGACTTGAATAGAGGTGTACTATTTTTGATAAAGAATTATTCTAAAAAATGGCTCTTCAATTTTCGCTTCTAACTATTTAAGGTATTATTCATTTTAAAATTTTAAGAATGTTTTTGATAGTAAATAATTATTCTTATTGTTAGTTTGTCTTGCAATAAATTAGTAGCAATAAAATAGATTGAGGAATAGAATAAATTTGAGAATTAAAAACAAGTAACTAAAAGAAAATTAATTATTAAATTTTATGTAAATTAGAGTGTAAATAAAAAGACAGCTAGCGTTATTTTTTGAATTTTCTTAAACAATCTTCCTTTTTAAATAATTGAATTTACATTTGAAAAATTACGATTTAGATTTTATTCTGATTGAATGTGTAATTATTTTTTCTTCATTTTAATATAAGGGTTAATTCTGATTTTATTGAGTATTTTTACAAATATTTTTTTTTTCTTTATTTAAAAATTGATGAAATTAAAAATTACATGATTTATATAAATACTTTTTTTATTTGAAATAGGCAATCCATGCATTAGCACTGATACTTCAATTCCTCTTAGTTAACTAAATTTAATTCTAAGATAATGTTAACTTGTAAAATAATGATATAAATTTAATTAATTAATATTAATTTGGTTGCTAATAATGAATGTTACGCAGTAAAAATTCATCTAATTTTATTTGGTGATATTTAAATTTGACATAATATTTGTATTAATATTAATACTTACATTATATGTTACAAAAGTTTATTTAGTTTTACTTAATATTATCAATACTTATAAGTTTAAGTAAAAAGTGTATTTTTAATTTATGAAATGTAAATTAACAACAGTTATTAGATATTTAAATGGAATTTATTTTTTTTTTTTTTCATTTAAAAATGTTTTAAATAACTTTTTTATACTTTAATGAAGTGGCTAAGAGAAAGAAAAATCCAATTATAAAGCATTTAACAAAATCTGCATGACACTTGTGAGCTAGATATAAATTCCTTTTACTTTGTTTGTTTACATAAAAATAAATGAATTAATGCCAATAAACTTGTGTTTCAAATCAAATGTTTAACTTTGATAAGTAAACAGTTTTTTTAAAAAAATTTGCTTTCATTTAAATAGAGCAATATTGATTATCCCATCAATCAATTATAAATTATATTTGTTTTTGGGAATTTATATTTTATATTACTCAACTATCTTTTCAATCATTCAAATTGTAAAGAAATTTTAAAGGATATTTTATTTTGAAATATAAATAATACCAGCAGAAAAGTTATTTTTGATTAAATAACTAAATTCAAAAATACCTCTTATCTGCAATTTAGAGATGATTAAATTAGTTTGATACTAAAGAAAAAATTCATCTTTCCTTTGCTTTGATTTCTCAAAAATGTTCTTAAGAATATATTGTTTGTAAATTAAAATTACAATCGTTATTAAAAAAATATGTTAAATTTATCCAATTCTCATACAAATTTAGCAAATCAAATAGATATATAAATTCTTCAAAAAATAAAAATGGTTTTTATTTTTACTTTAAACAATATAAAAGCTATCAGTAAAATTAATAAACTGATTCATCTTTGAATTTATAAGTAAGTTAAAATATATTAATTATCTTCTATAGCCTTAATATCTAGTAAATTTAGTAAAAGCTTTGACTATCTGATCTAACCAATTGAATATTCGAAAAACTTGAAAAAGGAAATGTATATTAAAAATAGAAATGCTACTACTGATACAGCGAATATTATCTAGTTCATTTTAATCATATAATCATAATGGTCGTATGTAATTTGAGCAATTTTTGATTCAATACATTCAATAACATATTCAAGGTATATTCTTAAATAAAAATGGTCAGTTTCACTCAAATCCTATTCTTGTCGTATTATCATTTCAAAAAAGTTTTACATGTCAGATTTTAAAATTTCAGGAGATCGTTATGAGTACAAGTCTGTATGTAATTTTACCACTTAAATAAGTCCTTATTAAAAAACTCCATTAGCAATTGAATTGCATAATTCCAACGAAAATTATGGATTATCCAAAAGATTTAGATTTTATTAAATTACTAAACAAGAATCGTCTTGTAAGGCTTACATCACAAAATTTTTAAAAGATTATTATTCATATCTTTTATCGTTATATACTTTATTTACTAAATTATATATTGTTTTTAAGATTCCGTCTGCCATTTATAGTTTCTAATTAATCAGATCTATATAGGTTTAGGATAAATGGTCTTGCAACTTATAAATAATCAAAGGAATTCTTAATGCACTAGTAGTGATGCAGAACTCATAAACATTCATTAAATCACCTATTAAATATGAATAAAATTTTTAAATTAAATTTATTTACCTTGTATTTATTTTTTCAAATTTTAAATCACATTTATCATTAAAAAATATGTCAAAAATAAATTTCAGTATTAATATAGTTCTTCAACCTCCTTTATCAATCATTGATTTCTTAGTTTTGAATTAAAAATTTTTTTCTTTAAATTAAATTATAAAATTATGAAATCTGATAAGTAATTTAAAAAACGAAGTGGTAATAATTTATTATGTGGTTTACTTACAAACAATAATATAAATAAATAAAGTATAATTATTAATTTATTTCATTTTTAAATTTTTAAATATGTCAATATGTATTAATTTTCTTCAATAATTTAAATATCTATTAGGTTAAGTAATAGCTTAGTATGTTTAATTTTATCAATTAAAGATCCAAAAAACTTAAAAAAAGATATGTATATTGATAATATGAATGTACTTATAGCTAAAAATAAGTAAATATAATTCATTTTAATCATATTATCGTAGTGATTATATGTTATTTCTGTCATTTTCTACACCAAACTTTCAACTACATATTAAAAATAGATTCTTGCATATAAATTTTGAGCATTATTAAACTCTTATTCTTAATTTATAATTAACTATACAAATTTAGTTAAATCATTTTCAACAAAAGCCGAAATTCTTTAAGAATAAATATTTATTAAAAATTATGCTACTTAAATAAACCCTTTGTTAAAAATACCATTTGCTATTGATTTGCATTCTTCTATTTAAAATAGATTATCACTTATAAGATTTTAGTTTTCACTAACTGCCTAGCAAGCATTTTATTAGAAAACTTGAATAGAATATTCTTTAAAATCAGATTATATATCCTAATCATATAATTAGTTAACCAAGTCATTCAAAATTGTAAGGTATTTTTGGTTTTAATATGCATCATTTAAGGCTAGATCGATATATTCTTGAGTTGCAGTTTGCTATAATTTTAATAAGATAATTGGAGACCTTAAAATTTGTAAATTTATTACATAATCACTAACCATCATTAAATCATCTAAGTAAGTTATAAAAAATATTAATTATGTTTTGAATAATAACTAAATAAATAATACCTATAAATTTTCTATTGACTTTCTCCTATTATATAAAATTATTTAGTAAAAAATAATTTGTCACGCTGGCAACCTAAGCCAATAAGAAAAAAGATAGAGATAAGATAGCAACTTTAATTTTAAACTCATGGATACTATTTGTAGCACTTATATTTTTCTTTTTTTAAATTTGATCTTCAATATGTTTTTAAAGATTTTATTAGCTTGACATTTTATTTTTTGTTTGTGTAAATTTATCATCTTAATTAAGAGAATTTGATTCTATTAAATGTAAGCAATTTGTAATTTCTTTAATCATAAAAATTAAGTTTTTTGGTGTAAGAGTAGCAAATAATTTTAATATAATCTAGATCTTTTGCAGGAAGTAATAGTTTATAATAGGAAAAGTGAGGGCGAATATAAAAGTAGTTACTGCAATTGCTATTAAAAATGCAAGAACAATTTCTTCGTTTTAATCAAAAGTTTAGTTTACTTTATTAGAAACTTCTTTAGTGATGTTAGTCAATAAGTTATAATTAGAAATATAATTTTAAGAAATTTAGTTTTGGTTTAATGATTGAGGATCTTAATTATTGCTCACAAAGAACAATTGAGCAAAATTTATTAACAAAGAGTAACCAAAATTTAGATTTGTCTATGATAAAGTTGTATTTGAACTGACAAATACATAATTAAACTAATTATTAAGTACGAAATTATAAAGGTCTGTTTTGCTCTTATCGGATTATATAAATCTGATCATTAAGTTTTTAATAGTGTTATAATTTTTTATTTATTATTGTTAAATTCTTTTGAATAATTAAATTTGTTCTTATCCAGAAAAATTAAATGGAGGAGTCTAGATAAGAAGTGCAAATAGCCTATCTGAAAGTACTTCTCCCATAGGGCTTTTTATTTAAGAACCCCAACTAACATTTTGATAATCGTTTTTTTAGTTTTACAATTATTCATTTAAGCTATAAAAAAGTACAGAGCTCACAATTAAAAAGCATAATAATCCTATGACTCCAAATAGTCTGACCATGAATATACCAGTGAACTTTTCATTTTAATTCATTTTTTTGATAATATGTTTCCTATTTGTTTGTATTAAATTTTTTAATGCTTCAATTAACTCTTAAAAAATGTTTAATTTACCTTAAAACTGAGCTTTATTTAGAAGAATGCATACTTGTTTCTAATTTTAATTCTAATTATTATTCATTAGACGAAAATAATTAGCTTTCTTTAATGTCACTACTGAATTATTTTTAGCAATTCTACTAATTTTTTGCTTTTACTTATTAATTATCAATAAAATAATTCAATCCACTCTATTTATTTCTAAGAGTATCTAAAGTGTTGTATTCAGATAGAAATGCTGCTCTTTATGCTGTAGAAAATCTTAATTCACTATTTTTTATTTAATAAAATTCATTATTTCTTATAGAATATATCTCTTAATTGCTCAGGTAGGATTAGAAATCTTTTTCACCAGTATTTAAAGGATTAAGTTAAATATTATTTTAAGTTATGCTAACATTTTTATGTGCATTAGAATTAGCCTATAGCAATCTTGTATTTTCTTACAAATATTACTCATTAAATATTCTTTCTTCACTTAAAGAAATCTTTTGCCTAAATTAAGGAGATAGAAGAGCTCCTGTTTCAAACGAGTTTTAGAATTCAATTTTTCTAAGATTCACTATTTCTTTTACCCCCTCTTGAGAAATCTGGCTGCATTCAACAAAGCCCTAATTATTATAATTTTCAGAAAGCTAATTAAATAACTCATTTGCCATTTAATTAAAAGAATGTGGAGTTGATTCTGCTTCAGGTTTGTTTAATTCCATCCAATTTTATAGTTAATTCAATTGTTCAATTTTTAAATTATCATCAAATATCTAAACTACTTCATTTATTTTAATTTAAATTATTTCAATATGCTCATTCTAGATATGATAAATATCTCCTTTAACCCCAAATATTTAATAATCTAACAATTAATAAGCTTTTTTATAATCAAAAACCAGACTTTAAAGTTTAATCAATTATTCATAGCTGTTTGGTTTAAACAATATTGTTGTGAATTCTCTGTCAACTGATTTATCATCAATTTATTTTTTAATATCTAAATGGTAAATAAAATAAATTTATTTATAAATCATTATATAAAAATAAATTTAATTTACTTTATTGGTATACATGAAATATAGCAGGGAAGCAAGGAATAAGAGAACTAAGGCTTATCTAAGAAATATTTTATTTTGGTATTGATTCAGATAAGATTTATGAATAAAATTGGCATGAAATGGTAGATATTTAAAAATTTTATTTCTTATCAACTAAAATGTACATTTTATTGTCATTTATCTAACTAATTTATGCACAAATACCAAAATTATAGTTTTCTAATTAGCATGGTTGAAGTTTTATATCATATGGTATAGCCCAGTAATCTTTATCAATTCCGATAACAGGATAAAGATGGGCAGTTTTGTTGATTTTATTTCTTTTATTTAGAAAACTTTACAAAATTTAATCATGACATTTAGATATTACACTAGGTTAGAGAAAGTTAATATTTTTACCAATGGCTTGCTTATTATTTAATATTTTTACTATTTTTTCAAAGTTATTGGAAACTTTAACAATTTGGCCAATATTCTCAGAAAGACTCATAAAAACGAACCCCTTTGTTTCATCTACTGCATAAGTTTATTTCATTTAATTATGCGTCTATATATTACTTTATTTAACTCTTTTGTATTACTTGCTTAAGTCATTACCTATTAACAAATAATTTTCATAAATCTCAATTAAAAATTCTAATTGCTGACTATAAATTTTTTTTTAAATCATGTGAATAATATTTTAACAAATATCTTTTCTTTGTTTGTAAATCTTTAAGAGGTTTTTATTCATAGCTTTGATATCAATAAAGTCATTGCTTATAGAAAGCAAAGTTTATTTTTTTTGTTGCAAAAAACATTTAATCTGGTTAAAACATTAATTGATTATTTCATCAAATTCTATCATTTCTATAAACTCTAGTTACTATTCTTCTGTATTTCTAGAATTAAATAAAACACTTTTTTGAATATCTTTAGCCTTTTATATCAGCATTTTTATTTGTTTCATATATAATATTTAGCTATCACAAGTATTCAAAATTTAATTTGCCTTTACAAAAAATTTGTTGAAATTACCCTATACATCTAATAAAAATGATAAATAAGATGAATGAAGGAAACTCATCTTTTTGCATTTAGAAAGCTCAAATTCAAAGTATCTTTCCATATAGTCATAAAGGATGTTACTTCTCAAGGTTTTATCTTTTTCATCTACTTACTAAAATTAATAGAACAATAAATATTTAAATTAAATTATCAACATTAAAAAATGATAAAATTTTAAAGAAAAAAGTTTACATTTTAACAAAAGCAAGATAGTGGCTGTAAGCAATTTTGAATATGATCTAAATAAATTTTTTCTAGCAAAATAGATGTTTAAGAAGAAAGATATTTATCAAAATCTATCTAGATACCATAATAAAGAGTTCTTAAATAGAAATCAATTGCATAATGCTAGTATCTTTTCTATTAATCATTTATAGAGAAATTAAACTCTTATAGCTATTATATTTCATTTATATTTTCACTAAAAAGTTTTTTGATAATTTATTCTTCTCTAAAATTATAAATTTAATATGCTATTCTAATTGCTATTGGGATAGAAATAAGCAAAAATATATTAAACTAGTCCCAGTTATCTATATAAGCTACTAGAAGCAAGTTGAAACTTAGTAAAAAATTAAAAGTGATTAAGCATTAATTTTTTAATTAGACAGTAAGATTGATATAAGGAGCGTAAACAATTTATATGAAAAATAGAGATAAAAAGAGTAAAAAGCTAACTATAGACTATCTCCTATCTTCGAGAATAGCCTAGAAGATTACCGCAACTGTTTCTAAAACATTTTTTAATTAGCTGATCAAAATAGATCTTTCTGAAGCAAAATCAGACATTTTGAACCTTAAATTAGAATTCTGTAAACAATAAAAATAAGCTTTATTAAATAATTTTGAATTAATTTTCTTTAATTTTTCTAGAAAAAAATGTTACCTAAAAAATTAGTAAGAAATAAATTAATTATGGAAATAGCTATATGATTTTTTAACTAAAGACCTGAGAAGATAATAGATGGTATAAAAAATATGTATGAGTAAACCTTGGTAATTATAGATAGCGCCATATTTGTTTTAAAAAGTTGTCTTTTGAGCAAAAATATTACAACATAAGCTACAACTATTAAAATGAGTAAAATATTAAAAGATAATGAAATTATCAAATAAAAGAGTTAAGTATCATCTTTTCCAAATAAGATCATAAAATTCTTAGCATATTAGCAATTATTATCTTTCTTACTGAGAATGTTAAACATCTACGAAGTGATTTAAAGTTGAATATATTAAAAGTTCTTGATAAATATAAGCAAGATACTAAATGCTAAATTCCTATCAAAAGACCTGAATAGAGGTGTACTATTTTTGATAAAGAATTATTCTAAAAAATGGCTCTTCAATTTTCGCTTCTAACTATTTAAGGTATTATTCATTTTAAAATTTTAAGAATGTTTTTGATAGTAAATAATTATTCTTATTGTTAGTTTGTCTTGCAATAAATTAGTAGCAATAAAATAGATTGAGGAATAGAATAAAATTTGAGAATTAAAAATAAGTAACTAAAAGAAAATTAATTATTAAATTTTAAGTAAATTAGAATGTAGATAAAAAGACAGCTAGCGTTATTTTTTGAATTTTCTTAAACATCCTTCCTTATTAAAATAATTGAATTTACATTTGAAAAATCACGAAATTTAGGTTTTCTTCTGATTAAATGTGTAATTATTTTTTCTTCATTTTAATATACTGGTTAATTCTGATTTTATTGAGTATTTTTACAAATATTTTTTTTTCTTTATTTAAAAATTGATGAAATAAAAAATTACAGGATTTATATAAATATTTTTTTAATTTGAAATATAGGTAATCCATGCATTAACACTGATACTTCAATTCCTCTTAGTAAACTAAATTTAATTCTAAGAAAATGTTACCTTGTAAAATAATGATATAAATTTAATTAATTAATATTAATTTGGTTGCTAATAATGAATGTTACGCAGTAAAAAATTCATCTAATTTTATTTGGTGATAATTAAATTTGACATAATATTTGTATTAATATTAATACTTACATTATATGTTTACAAAAATTTATTTAGTTTTACTTAATATAAACAATACTTATAAGTTTAAGTAAAAAGTGTATTTTTAATTTAATGAAATGTAAATAAAAACAACAGCAATTAGATATTTAAATAGAATTTATTTTTTTCCATTTTAAAAATATTTTAAATAGCTTTTTAATACTTAAATCGAATAACTAAAAGATAAAAAAGCCCAATTATAAAACATTTAACAAAATTTACTTGATGATTGTGACTAGTTATAAATTCTTTTTACTTTGTATGTTTACATAAAAATAAATTAATTAAATCCCAAAAAAACTTGTATTTCAAATCAAATGTTTAATTTTGATAAGAAAACAGTTTTGTAAAATATATTCGCATTCATTTAAATAGAGCTATATTGATTATACCATCAATAAATTATAAATTACATTTATTTTTGGAAATTTATATTTTATATTACTCAACTATCTAATCGATCATTCAATTTGTAAAGAAATTTTAAAGGATACTTTATTTTGAAATATAAATAATACCAGCAAAAAAGTTATTTTTGATTAAATAACTAAATTCAAAAATACATCTTATCTGCAATTTAGTGATGATTAAATTAGTTTGATACTAAAGAGAAAATTTATCTTTCCTTTGCTTTGATTTCTCAAAAATGCTCTAAAGAATATATTTTTTGTAAATTAAAATTACAATTGTTATTAAAAATATATATTAAAATTTATCCAATTCTAATTTAGCAAATTAATTAGAAATATAAATTCTTCAAAAAAAAAAATGGTTTTTATTTTTACTTTAAACAATATAAAAGCTATCACTTTATTTTACTTTAAACAATATAAAAGTTGTTACTCTAATAAATTTATTAAAATGATTGATTCATCTTTGAATTTATAAGTAAGTTAAAATATATTAATTATCTTCTATAGCCTTAATATCTAGTAAATTAAGTAGAAGCTTTGACTATCTGATCTAACCAATTGAATATTCGAAAAATTTGAAAAAAGAAATGTATATTAAAAATAGAAATGCTATTACTGATACAGAGAATATTATCTAGTTCATTTTAATCATATAATCATAATGATCGTAAGTAATTTGAGTAATTTTTGATTCAATACATTCAATAACATATTCAAGATATATTCTTAAATAAAAATGGTCAGTTTCACTCAAATCCTATTCTTGTCGTATTATCATTTCAAAAAAGTTTTACATGTCAGATTTTAAAATTTCAGGAGATCTTTATGAGTACAAGTCTGTATGTAATTTTACTACTTAAATAAGTCCTTATTAAAAAACTCCATTAGCAATTGAATTGCATAATTCCAACGAAAATTATGGATTATCCAAAAGATTTAGATTTTATTAAATTACTAAACAAGAATCGTCTTGTAAGGCTTGCATCACAAAATTTTTAAAAGATTATTATTCATATCTTTTATCATTATATACTTTATTTACTAAATCGTACATTGTTTTTAAGATTCCGTCTGCCATTTATAGTTTCTAATTAATCAGATCTATATAGGTTTAGGATAAATTGTCTTGTAGTTTATAAATAATCAAAGGAATTCTTAATGTACTAGTAGTGATGCAAAACTCATAAACATTCATTAAATCGCCTATTAAATATGAATAAAATTTTTAAATTAAATTATTTTATCTTGTATTTATTTTTTTAAATTTTTTTAAATTTAAAAAATCAAAAATTACAAAAAATCTATTTGGTAAATAAAAATTTTTATTTTTCAACAATCAAACAAAATTTTAAAGTTTTAAAGATTTTCAAAACTAGTTATATAATTAAAAGACAATATTTAAAATAAATAAAGTTACCTATGAATTCTCTGTTTGCTTTTTCCTCTTCTATGAAATTATTAACAAGTATATAATTCGTAACTGAACCAAATTAAGCCAAAACAAAGAAAAATAATGAGAGTAAAACAACTTTAAAGCTAAAATAAGGAATGTGGTTAGTTATGCTAATATTCTTCCTTTTTTAAACTAAAATCCCTTAATTAAATTACGAAACACTTTTTTATTCTGTTTAGTTATTTAAATTTTTGGAACTTAACTTTTTTTTTTGATCAAAATTCTTTGAGTTTTTCTCCATTAAATTTTGACAATCTGCAATATTAGCAAGCATGTATGCTATATTTTATGGTGATATAGTAGCAAATAAGCTTAAAATTTTTTATCTCTTCAATTATATATAGTAATATATAAGAGGAAAGCTTAAAGCAAAAATTAGGGAAGCAAACATTATCGCAATAAACTAGATTGTGATTAAATGTTGATTAGTGTCAAAAGTTTAGTTTACTTAATCACCAGCCTGGGTTTTAAAACGAGTCAAAGCTTCAGAAATGCTAACCAAGTTTAATCCTATTTGTATTAGATTAAGAGTAGTAGTATCTAAACCATTTACTACTTAAAATGATAATGCATAAATCATTTCAAGAGCATACCCAAAATTAACACTATGTATATCGTATAAGGTCATAGATTATAAAAAAGTATAATCAATATTCTCATTAAGCACGATATTATATAACTAAGTAGTAGATTTATCTGATTTCATATATTTTTCTATTGAAGCTTTGGTATTATTGTAATTAATACGCAATTCATAGTCTATATCTTTACTTAATTAAACTTATTTTTATTATGGAATGACTAAAAACGGAAGAAAAAATGTCCTAGAGAAAACATTATCTGTAATTATTTCAGCTATTGGCGATTATAAATGAGAACTCCATGTTAAATTTGAGTAGTCATCTTTTTGGTTTTCCAGTTACTTATTCAAAGTTAAAAAATAAACCAGTGTTACAACCAAAAATGTAACTAGCCCCAAAATTCCTAAAACTCTAACTAGAAGCAATCCTAAAAATTTATCAATTTGTTTTATATTTGTCAATATGTTTTTCCTATTAACAAAAAATATTATTTATTATAAATGATTTAACTGAAATTCAAATAGTGAAATAATAAAATAATGTTTGATAATTCAACTTCAAATGTAACTAAAAATATTAACCTTGAAGATGAATGGGAATTAAAAGACTATAGACTTCCAGCTGCTTTGAAATTTTGTTTGTTAGTTTTTGCTTCTTGCTTTTTGTTAAACTAGGCGATTTAGTTATTTTGATCTTATTCTTATTGTTTTTGAATGTTATTTTTTGATTTGTGATTTTCTATGTAGTAGTTAAGAGTTAGTGATTTTTATTTTAAAGAATTAAAGGTGTTAAATTCATTTTAGAGATTAGATTTTTGTTTGCTAAATCTTTTTTTATTCAATAAGGTTAGTTATTCTGCTTGATTTCTACTTGTTATAGACAATTCTCTATCTGTTGAATTTAGTTAATAAAACTACTTGCTATTTAAAGCTACAAAGCTATTTTATGGAGAAAGTATTTAAGTTACTCTTGTTAATTCTAAATTATTTTCATTTAAATAGTCATCTCCCTAAGTCACTCTAAACCTATTTAATGGTGAGAAAGTTTATAGTTTAGTGTCAAGAGTATTTTAAGCTTCTATTCTTTGGTTTAGTTATCTTTCTAATGGTAGCTCATCAGAATATTCTGACTATTCTTAAATTTATTTGGCATATTAATCTGTTAAAGTATTATTATTACTATTTTTATAGCTATTAAAAATATTATCGCTCTATGATTATCTGGATTATTGTGGATATATTTATTCTAAAGACATCACAATGTTAGAAAAGCTTGATTTTTAAATCTAACGCTTTTTTAAAATTGAAAAAACGTTTTATAATTGCTCAATTTTTTCATGAATTTCTTAGATTTAAACTATTTCAAATATTTTAAGCTAAATCAAATGGAGAAATTAATTTTCAATAGAACTCATTTCGCCTTTAATTGCATAAATATCTAATTCCAAAAAATTAGAATCGCTCACATCGTCTAGAATAGGATTTTTCATCCAATCTAATTAATTTTTACCTTGGGGCTTAATCATAACAGTGGTAAAATTATCGCAATTAATATTTTTCTTAATAGTCTAACCTAATTTTAATAAATTTTATTAATATAAAATTTAAATGTAACCTAAATTCTTACTTTCTTTTATATTCAAATACATATCAGGCAAACAAGGAATAATTTAGCTAATTTTTAAATGACTGACGGTTTATTTACCCACAGATTATTCGAGTATTTATTTATAGAATGAATTTGAGACTGTAATGATTTCGTAGTTTTTAGCTTAATCGATTAAAATATATTAATTGCAATCTTCGATTAAATTTATTTGAGCACAAACACCATAATTATATGTTGCTAATTGGCAAGTTTATAACTTTATTTAGTAAGGAATTGCCCAATTGTCCTTATCAACACCTATAATTGGATTTAGGTGCATGGAACTATTTTTACTTTAAAATTTAGTTAAATAGTTATTTAAAATAGCATCATGCACTTTAGCAATAGAGCTTGGCTGCATAAAGTTTATATTCTTTCCAATCACATCTTTGTTCGAAGTATTTGGCACTATCTGATCAAAATTATTTGATATTTTTATTACTTATCCTCTATTTTCAGAGAGACTTATAAAAGCATAACATTTTTTGCCATCTATTTAAAAATTATGGCTTTTCTGATTTAAAATATTTTTTTTGTTTAATCTAATAAGCAGTTAACTCAGTTAAGTTTCTGGAGAAAGATAATTTTCATAGACATCAATTAAAAAATTCAGTTAGTTATTTGAGATTTACTTTTTTATCAATTGCTAAAGACTTATGTAAATTTCTTATCTAAAATGAAATAGCTTCAGTAAATCAGAATTTGCTTTATTTAAATCAAAGTAATCTTAACCAATATCTTATAAAAGTTGCTTTTTTTAATCTAAAAACTGCTTTGAGTAAAGGAAACACTAATTAATTTTATCATCGAATTCAAGGATCTCAATGAATTAAATATTTTGTGGATTTTAGTTATTTTTTTAAAATAATGCTCCCTTTTTGAAGAGGATACCAATCTAAACCAATAATTTAATAGATTTTAAATACAAAATTTAACTATCGCATTTCCTCATAATTTAGTTTGCCTTCACAAAAAATTTATTGAAATTCATTTAAACATCTAAAAGAAATGCCAAATATGAAACATGTAAAAAGCTCAATTTCTTGATATTTTCCAATTCCACTTCAAAATACCTTTCTATATATTCATAAACCAATTCACTTCTTTTGTATTTATCCTTCTCATCAACTTTCTTTTTTTTTAAATTAATAATCAAGGTTAATCAAATATAAAATATCTTCTTTAATTAGAAAGATGTTCGTTCATTCAAATTGAATTTTTTATTTATTTTATAGTGTTATTTAAAAATTTTAATAAAGTTACAGTTGAGCAAAAGCAAAATTAAGGCTTTTAGCAATACATCTAGTGCTGTAAAGAAATGTGTTCTAAAAAAATAGACGAACCAGAGCATAGATACTTATCAAAATCTAACTCAACGCTATTGTAAATAGAGCGTAAGTAATAATCAACAAGATACATCTTATTTTATTGAGTTGGTTAAGTATTTTAAGCATTAAATTTATTAAAATATAAATCCTACAAATTTGTTCTTGCTAATTTCTACATTATTTTATTCTTTCGATATTAATTAATTGCTTACGCTAATTTATATGAAAAAGGAATCATAAGAACTAAAGTAAAATTAAAATAGTTCCATTTATCTACAAACACTGTTAATAGAACATTAATACTCAGGATTAAATTGAATGTTGATAAGGATAAAGATAGCAGCTGGATTCTTTGATCTAAATAAGGATTATAAATTGCTTACAACAAAAATAAGATAGTTAAAAATATGAAAGAAACTACTGAGTTAGACTTACTTTTCATAGCGAATTACAGTATTGAAACACATATCTCTAAAAGAAAAATAAATTGTTGCAAAATAATAGACCTTTCACACAGAAAATCTGTCATTTTATATCTTAAACTATAGTTTGCAATATTGGTACCAGTTCCTATATTGATAAAAATAACTCAAATAAATTAACTTAAAAAAAAAATAAGTGATTTACCAAGGTAAAGAATAAAAACTAAATTTATTAAATATAAAGCTATCTAATCGTTGAATTGCTTGGAGCTAGAGATTAAAAAGGGTAAAAGCAGTACATAAAAGTAGCATCTAAATATGAATGAGAGCAAAAAATTAGAGCCAAATACTCTATTCCTTATTTTAAATCTAATTAAGTATTAAACCAATGATAATACCAAAAGAGCGTTTATTATAAAGGAACAATAGAATAAGTTATCCTGTAGAAATTAGTTATCGAATAAAAAAGTAAAATAGCTTATATATGAGGAGTTGCTATCTTTTGAAATCAGAGCATCTTTTATAGGAGGTGTTAATTGTAACCAAATATATTAGATATGCTTGAAAAACAATAGAAGTTAACTAAATCGATAGCTTCTGTCAAATTACTTAAACAATTAAAAGCTATTTGTAATAAAAAACCTTTCAGCAAATGTTCCTGAAAGATCATTTTTCTGAGCTTATTTGTTTTTTTAATTCATTTTTTATACTTAATTAGTAACTAATTATTTATCTATTTGATTTTTTTAATTAAATTTACTTATATTATTTAATTATTTATTTAATTAATTAATTATTTTCCAATACTTTTTGAAATTATCTAACTAATTAAATCAAAATAACAAATAAATAGACTGAATTATACTTTATACACTAATAGCATTTTTAATGCAAATGCTATTTTGTTTCGATTACCAAAACAATCATCTACCCATCTTTTTAGAGTAAGAGACCATCTTTATTTTTTTAAAATATGGTAGATTTTTTGAAAACCATATTCAAATTTTGTAAGTTATCCTTTAAAACAGTAATTCAATTTAGAATATGGCGAATTTGTATTAAAAATATAAGAAAAAATACAAATTAGACACGAAATTTGAATAGTAATTAATATAAAACAGTAGCTTAACAAGAACAAAGAAACCTATAGTATGAAGCAGACAGAAAATAAGAAATTATTACTAGCCTAATAAGTACTATATTTATAAAAAGAATATATGGAATACTATTTATATTTTATATGCTTGTAAGCAGTAAATTAATTTAAAATATGATACTAATCTGGATTTTATTTCATTTTTTTCTCAATTTATTCACTAAAATTAACCCTAAATATTTGAAATTTTGAAATCTAAAAACACTCATAAAATTGTTACATAGTATATAAATAAAAATTTTATTTTTTGAAAATTTATCTTAATATTTCAAATTTTAACATAGGAGTATTTAGATTAGATATTAAAAAGATAAATAATGATGTAATTTTATGGTAGGGATTAAATGTAAATTTAGAGAGTAAAAAAAACAGATATAAATTAATTAACAGCAAGCCAACTTTTCTTAGAAATTGGATGGCTTTTTTCAAAATTATCTTATTTTCTTTTATTGATTGATTTATTAATATGTAAAAAATAAAAAATTTAGGTTAATTAATAAAGTTAATAAATAAGTGAAAAAATAATTGTGTAAGATACAATCAACTAAATCTTATTCAATAATTATATATGTTTATGATTGATTACTACCTCAAATAAAACACATTTGATATAAATCACTTAGATATTTTAAAATAATTTTAAATATATTAATTTTCATTTAGCTCGTTGATATCGATTAAATCCAAGAGAAGTTTTGTTTGTTTCAGTTTATTTACTTGATAATTAAAGAATTTAAATTAATAAATGTAAAATCCAATCACAAATATAATAAAAGAAACCAAGAATAATATTTCGTTTGCTTGAATCATAAAATCATAGTGGGAGTGAGTGATTATTTTAATTTTTTAATAAATACTATTTATTATTATTAGATAATAAGTTCTTAACTAAAAATTATCTATTTCGCTAAGATCTTATTATTAAGCCCTTATTTATCTTATAAAGAGATCAAAGTTATTTTCAGTAAAGGTTGGCCATCTTTAAATAAAAAGGTCTATTTCATATTTTACTACTTTTACAATACCCGTGTTAATTATACCATTTTAAACTTCAAGACAAGCGCTCAGTGAAAAAGTTGAAGAATTTGTGATCAAATCAGTGTTTTAAGATAATAGAGTGCATGCTTCTCCTTCAAATGCTGCAAATAAATAATTATCTAATTCCGTTTATTAATATCTATCAACTTAGTACTAACTTTAAACTAACTCATATAATTAATTCAGTTTTGCCTAATGCTAATCCACATTAAATTGAGTACGATTTAAGTAGAGTTAAAAGACTGAAGTGTTATTTTACAGTCTTAAAAGCATCAGAGGTAATCTAACAACATTAAGACTCACAAAATAATCTGAAATATCTTCTAATCCATCTAATTATTTATTCATTTATTGTTATTTTATTAAAATAAGATAATTTCTAAAAATTAAATAAATTAAGAATAATTTAAATAAAATAGAAATTTAATTATTGAAAAAATACTTATGAGCTGTCTGTTGTTCTTTTATATTTATATAAAATTTTGGGTCATTATAAAAAGTGTAAACTCTTAAACTTGCATAAGGATAAAGAAAATAAGGGAAATAAGTAATATCTTAATATGAAAGCGATTTAGTTTATTGTAATAGCTAATATTCTTTTTTTTCTAAATTAAGTTAGAACATTCTTAAACAATTTTGTTGTAATTATTATTATCATCTTTTTTAGTAGTTTTTTTTACATTTTTTTACTAAAATTATTGATTGAAGAATAGCTCTAAACAATTTATTTAATATGAAATTTAGATAAGCATTTCAGTTAATTTTTTTGGTTAGAATGTAGAAAATAAGACCAAAATATCTTCACGCTTTTTCTGAATGTAGCTATAAATATAAATAAAACTAGCAGAAAAGAGAATCGATGCAATAAAAATGATTATAAAGCTAACAAATGTACTGCTAACAATTGAATTAAAGTTACTATTTTATAATTCAGAAACATTTTATTGTATGGCTTATAATTAATCTTGAGTTTCTATTATATTTGATTACAGTTGTAAAATATTATCTTATTGAAAATCGATTTAAGTAGCTACTTGATACATATAACCATAAAGCACTGTTTATAGATACCCAAATTTTAGAATTTAATATTAGAATTTTTGTTGAGTAAAAGAAAAAGTAAAATTTGAATCTAAATTGAGTATATAATTAAAAAGATTCGTTTTGGTTTTATCATAATCTATGTATTGCTCAATCAAATTTAAAAATTAATTTTTTAATTATATCTAAAAATCTTGTATTTGTATAAATGCTTGCATATTAGCTTATTAATCTGTGTCAAATAAAGGAATTTGTAATATTTAAACTAAAAATTAATTATAAACAATTTAATCTAGTGTTATCCTTAGATTAGAACCCCAATCAATATTTTAATAATCTTCTATTTAATTATTTAAGGCGCTATTTAAGGTTTAGAAATTTACAAGGTTTAAAACTAAAAATCCTAGTAAACAGGAAATGCCTATCCATTTGATAATTCTAAGAGTTATATATTTTCTCATAGATTTTATGTGCTGTTCAATATAAACCCTAATTTATTTATTTAAAGAAGTTTATTTTGATAAAATGAATTTCTATATTAGTTTTTATTAAAATTGTATAAAGTTTTTCCATTTAATTGTTATTAAAATGTAATAACCAAAATTAAATATTTTAAAAATTTGCTACAATAATAATAAATTTTTAGATATTATTAAAGCAGTATTCAAATGATAATGTTTTTTAGTGTTATAATATAAGTGCTACTTGGAAATATTTTTTAAATTAAAAACTATTTGATATTTGAAATTTAGGAAATTAAATTATAAAAAATAGATTGATAGTAGAGAAAATATAAAATAAATTTATAAAAAATTTAAATTAGCTAGTCTATTGTAATTAAAAATATTCTTCAGAATTTAAATCTTTTATTTTTAAGTTTGATTTTGATAAGAATTAGTGAGCAATGCTAATAAATAAAAATCATAAGGGCTTTAATTTTAATTTATTTAGGAAATACTTTTAGGAATTGTAAAAATCAGGAACTTTCTAATTTTCAATTAAAATTTTGTTTGATTTTTGCTCACCCATATTATCTTGTATTTTAAGGATACTCGATGAATTTGATTCAATATATAAATAATTAATTACCTCATAATACTCGAATTAGTAGACTTCTAAGAAGCAATACTTCCTGTTTTTTATATCTCTGTATTTTTAAAAGCTTCTGATATGTCTAATACGACAGAGCTATTGCTTCTTATATTAGATTTTTTATTCTAAGACTCTTCTTAATTAGAGCTTTATAATTAAGATTGCTATTAATGAAAAAATACTGAAAACGATTTATCCTTTTGTTTATCATTTAAATTTGAAGATTATTTTTCAAGTTGATCACTGCTGATTGTGAAAGTATTTCTTTTCAAACCATAATTACTATTTCTTGAAAATCTTTATACACTTGTATCAATATTTTATTAACTTTATTTAATTTATCTGAGCTGATTGCTTTCTAGTTCATAATTATTTTTTATGATTCTTTAATCTGTTCCGCTTCTTCCTGTTGAAATAGGAGATAAAATTTGAGAAATTTCTTTTGTATTTTCTTCTTAAATGTAATCTTCCAACTAGTTATTAATGGCAGAGGTATTAAAGTTTAGTAGAGCTCTGGGAGTATTTTAGGTGTTAGATTCTGTTGTAAATAATTACTTTTCTTAATCCAATCTTTGAGAATATTCTTGATATTAAATTGCAAATGTTTTAGTATCTTAATCATTTTCAACAAAGCTATCTTAATATCTTGACTCTTTATATTTTTTACTATAATTTTATAATAGACATTCCAATAGTTAATTTTCTTTGTATTTGAATTTATTCTTTTTATACTACTTTTTGATATCTTAATTTTATTATAAATATTTTTACAGATTTGCTATTTCTTCAATTACTTCGTTTTTTTTGTTGATTTTTTTTACTTCAGATATTATGCATTAAATAACAGATATAAACTCATTTCTAATACAAACTAACTCACCTTAGACTCTACAAAATTCATAATCTAAAATATCAAAAACATTTTCTTCTTTTATCGTTATGTTTTGAATGTATTGATATTATTATTTATTTCTTGGGAGGATGATCAATGTTTAAAATTTTGAGTTTTCAGCTGTTTCATTAAAGATTTTATTTAAAATATTCAAAAATAAATAAATATTAAGAAATTAGTTATTTATTCATTATTCACATATTTGAAAAAAAGAAGAAAAATAATTTTTTAATTAGTGGTGATTTTGATTGAAAAATAAAATTAATTTATAATAAAAATTGAATTGAGCTTTATAAAAATGAAAATTAAATTAAATTTTACGGTTAAGTTAACAATTAAGGAAGATCAAAGGAAAAGCGGGAATTATTTTAGAAAGATAAACTTCTTTAATATGGCTGTAAGAGATATATTACTGAAATAAATCTAAATACAAACTTTAAGAAAGAGTGAGCACTTCAAAGTTTTAATTTTGAAGAAGTAAAATGTATTAATTAGAATTTGGTATTTATCTGATTAAAGCACAAATTCCAAAATCCTAATCGCCTTTTAAGTAAGTTTGTACTTTTATTTAGTATGCAACAGCAAATCCTTGATTATCAACTCCCAAAATCAAATCAAAATTAGATTATGTTTGTTAAGTTACAGATTTATTTAAATATTTAATTAATATTTTATCATGAACTTCAGATATTAAACTAGGTTGCATAACACTTATATTCTTTCCAACAATTTCTTTGTTATTTAAAACAGGTACAATCTTTTCGAAATTTGTGGAAACTTGTTTAATTTAACCCAGTTTATTTGTTAAAGAAACAAAGACAGAACAATAATCAGAATTAAAATAGGTATCAAATTCATTATTTCTTTTATTTAAATGCCATTTTTTATGAAGGTTTTTTTCTAAATTACCTAATTGCCTATCAAATGAAAGAGATAGTTAAAAAACTTAAATTAGATAACTCAGCTAACTATTTTTTATTTTTAATCTTACTTATTACTCTAATTTTTAATTGATTTATTCTCTTTGCTATCTAACAACAAAAAATTATTTGTATATTTTTTCAAGCTCTAAATTATCATAACCTAAAGTTTTAATCATATTCTTCTTTTAAATCAAACAATTTTTTGTATCCTTAAAAATATTTATCAAATTTTAATCAAACTCCATAACTTCATAAATATGAAGGCTGTCCTTTTTGTCTTTGTTTAAAAATTTAAAGCTTTCTGCCTATTTAATTTGTTTTTACTTAGACTATTAAAGAAAGTTTTGTATTACTTAGCTCAAAGAAAGATGCTATTTTTAAAAGGAATTGAGGAGTAAGATAGCTTTTACTTAGCATTTATTAATGTTTTCTTTGACATCAAGTAAAAAAGATAAATAGCTTAAATGCAATATATTAATATCTTTACAATTGTGTAATTCACTTTCATAGTATTTTTCAATATAATCAAATAAATACTGGCTTCTGGTTTATTTTTCATGAATGTTTTTTTCCTTTTATTTTTAAATGCAATTTAAAAATATTAAAAAAATAAAGTAAAAATGATAACTAGAAAATATATTAGTGAAATGAAATAAACAGGTACTACTAAAAAATTTTTTATTTCGTTTGATTATCAGCCTTGGGATTTCATTCAGTTTTTTATTATATTTATGTAGAATCATTATCAACTTTTATAAACCATCGAAAAATTATATGGTTCCTAAGAAAATTTAAAATAGTGTTGGAAAAAAATTGATATTCTAATAAATATGAAATTTTTGGGGTTATTTTTATAATTTATAAATCTTTTTTTATTCTAAATATTCTATTTTTGCAATAATGAAATTTATAAATTGGTGGTGACTCTAAAATCCTTTGGAATTTTTAAAATTTGATTTCCGTTTAGGGTAGGACTACCAATTTTTTGGAAATTCCAAAGACTTTTTTGATAAAATTACACTAATAATTTAATTTGAGAAACAAATATGATATGGTTTAAAATGTTGCTGATTTATTAAAGGCTTATTATAATGAAGGTGGTTAGTAATAATATTATCAAATTATCTTATAATTGATGCAATTCGTTTAGAAATAAAAAAAAAGTTGATGATATTTTAGGAATGAAGCTAGATATTGTTTGAAATTTGGTAATTAGTTTATAATTATGCAAATTATTATTTAATTTAATTCAAATAAAAATAATAAAAAACTTACTAGAATACAAAAGCAATAGCTAGGATTATAGCAATTTTATTAATGGGTGACAGTAATTTCTTCTAAAATTAAAGAAGATTTATTTTGTAAATAGTTATCATAATCTAGTTTTGTTTTTTTGTATAAATTTCTTAAATAATAATCAATTAGACGTGGTTCTTAGCTTTTTTTTTTACTTTCTGTTTTTTTAAAAGAACTAAAAAAGGCATTTTTATTAATTAAATATTTGTTTAAGATAGAAAAAAACTTGTGATAGTGTATAGTTTTGGAAATTTTATACGAAAGTGGCAATAAAGCTGGTATTAAGAAATTGAATATATTCCAACTCTAAATATTCAAAGTTAGAAATTAGTTAACACTGAACATGAAATTGAATGTTTTTCCAAAAATATTTATTATCGAAATTTTTCTATCTAAATTTGGGTAGTAAAAAATGTCAACAGCTAATAGAGCAAAGTATTAGAAAAAGGAAATAATAGTTTATCCCTAATGATCAAATAAGCTAAACAATCCAACATAAATCACTTCTAAAGCAATTATTAAAGCTGTTAGCCATGTATTATTTTAACTTAGATAATCATTGATGATGTATCTAAAATCATAATTGTGTAAACATTGTATTGCAGCTATTTACAATATATTTATAAAATTATTAATATGAAATTTTGAAAAATATTTTACCTATCACTAAAGTTATTATGATATTTATTGTAGCTATAATAGAATATTTTTGGAACTAACTAATAGAAAAAAACACTGAAGGTAGAAGTAAAACATGGTAGTAAATTTGATAGAAAAATGAAATAATCTTGTCTTGATTGTTATTTGTTTCAGTTACCAAAATCACTATAGATTAGATAAGTGATGAGAAAATAATAGCACAATTAATTGAAAAAATTAAGTATAGGCATAATTTTTGAGTGCCATCGCTATATAATTATGGAATAAAATATTGCAAATATGAGCAGTTTTAGTCTTTAATAATCATTTGATTGTAAATATGAGGTGATAATTAAATCTAGGTGTACTAAATGTTTTTGATAAACAATAGAAATAAGCTAAATGGAAGATTTCTATTAAAGTTCTTAACTAATTCATAGCTATTGTATATAAAAAATTGTTTTAATTTAGTGAGTAAATTTTGTATTATTTCAGTCATATCAACCAGTATATTTATCTATTGTTTAAATTCTACTTGATAATTTATCTACTCGTTTTTTAACAACTTTTAATCAAATTCTTAATATATTTTGCTTAATCTATTAATTTTTATAAGCTAACCAATTTTTAGAGATTGCTTTAAATTTATATGATTTCATTCAAAAATATATTTTAAATAAATTCTAAATTATCAGATTAGCTTTTTATCATCATTTTCAAGTTAAAATTAACAACTTAGGAATTTATCTATCATTAAACATGTTTTCACTCATTAATTATAATTTTTATTGTTATTCTTTAAATTAAATTGCTTCATTTTAAGTAAAAAATATTCATGTCGTTAGTTTGTAAATGAAGTTTTTTTAAATTTATTCTTAACATGAAAATAATTATCTTAAATATATAAGTAATAATAAAAAAAAAATCACTTTATAATAATATTAGTATTTTTTTGATTTAGAAACATAAAAATCTTATTTATTTATTTTTTATTATTATTTAAATGTAAATTTATATTGCAAATATTTCTTTTTTATAAAAGTGATATGTGTTAAGAATAATTACAATTTTTATGAAGATAAGTTAATTAATTTAATATTTTTTGTAAATGACTTGTAAATTTATGAAAGTTGACAATAATTATAAATGAATAAAAAATATAAACCCTATAAACTGCAAAATTCATTTTATGAAACTCTCTTTTCAGTAAATTTATTCACTTAAATTTTTTAAAATAGTTCATAATATATTAATTATCTTCAATTACATGGATGTCTATTATATCAAGTATTCTCTTAGTTTCAGTTAGCTTCTCAATTTAAATTACGAAATATTTATGATAGATTAGATAAAATGTAAAGGCAAAAGAGACCAGAGATATAGAAATGAGAATGTGATTGATTTTCAATATATATTGATAATAGTCATTGGAGAGCAAATTTATTTTACGATATATTGTCTCTATTATGTAGTTGAAATTAATTCTAAAAAAATAGCTATTAAATGTGCTAAAATCCTTTTCCTATAGAAGAATTTATTACATAAATAATTTTGGATCTTGAATTGAGTAAACAGGCATTCTTGACTTAAATGTTTCGAATAAGAATTAAACTGACTTAACTAAGCCTGTATTCAATACTCCATTTTATGTAGATAAACATTAATTGTAATCAAATCCTTATTCAATAAGTAGATTAGTATTCTCTTTTACTGCATTGCAAGCATCACTCTATAGAATCCTATACACATAATCTTCGAAAGAGCTTTATTCAAATCTAGTTTCTTTATACTATTTTTCAATTAAATTATAAAAAGAATTTTATTGCTAGCTTAAGGCATTTAACAAGTTCTGTGTTCTTACTAAATAAGCATAAAAATAATCTTAATAATTCAATAATTTTGTAATTATAAGAGGAGCCCTAATACCGCTTATTGAAATAACATAATCATTTAACTTTTATAGTCCATCTAATTTTTATATTAAAATTAATCAAATTAATAAATATTAACACTTTTAATTTAAATTAAACAAAGATTTTAAAAAATTTACTTAAAAATTCTCTATTTGTTGTCTCATTACTTCTAAAATTTATTGAAATTATATATAAAGATATTGCATGCATCTAAGTTAATACTAAAAAGATACAAGAGTAATAAAGAGCTTGTAATTTGAATTTTGGTAATCTATTTGAAGTGCTTATCAGTTTTTTTTTCTTAATCAATACACTGCCATTTTAGTTTTAGTATTTTACTTGATAATTACAGGCTTTAATAAACTAATTTTTTTATTTATTATTTACATTTTTTTTGCTTTTATCTAAATAATCTGTCTGTTATTACTAGAAATAAATAACTTATTGTAAGTAAAAAAGGGTATCCTCCATCATCGTAATGATCTTTTAAGGAGTAATCGTTGTTAGTAAGATCAAAATTTCTTCTCTTTTTCTTTAGATAAATGAAAATAGAAAGATAATACTTAAAGAAACCACTGTTGAAACACAAACTATAATAATGAGAGATAATTGAGCTTGATTTACAATATTATCTAATTCTTCATTTAGTTTATTATTTACATCAGATTGCAAAGAATCAAGTTATGTAACAGTTTCAAGATAGTTAACTATTATCTATAATTAATTCTAAGTTTAGACATCTATTTATTAAGAAACTTAATACATGTACCCAAAAGTAGCTATTTGTACATACCCAAAATAAGAATCAAAAGTTACATTTCTTGTAACTGAAAACCCAAAATATAATTTTTATTTTGTATCTAACATAAACTCATACAAATTTGTTTTAGATTTATCTGTTTGCTCATATCTTTTAATTAGAGTTTATGTAATTGTGTATCTCTGCTTTTGATAGTCTAGAATACTCTTTAAAATTTGTGCTTGCTGCTAAGGTGGGTTCTTAAAATATGGAATTTGTAATAGTCCTAAAAGATTCTAATCACCTATAACCTAGCTAAAAGTTTCTCTTAATGTAGATCCCCAATCTATATTAATATAATCGTCTCTCTAAAATATTACTTCTTATTCCAGTAAATAGAAGTTTAGAATATTAAGAAACAAGAATAGAATTAAAGAACAAATTCCAAATAATTTCAATATTAGCAATCCTGTTAAACTTTATTTCTATTGTATCTAATTAATAAGCAAATCTCTATATTTTATTTAAAATAAATAGCATAAGTAAATTATTCTTAAAATTAAAAACCATTTAACTACCATACATAATCTAAAAAAGGATGATAATTTTTTTAATAATTTTTTTTTTTAAAAGAAAGAATTTTGTAAAAAGGATTTTTTAATAAGGAAAAAAAATAAGCTGATTATTGAAGACTACATACGGTGCTTATGTTATATTTTAATATTATTTTCTTTTTACAATAATCGATTGAACAAAAAAGCTAGTTTAACATTTATTTTTTGAAAATATTTGTAAATTTATTATTCTTTAATAATGATTTTGGTAATCATTAAATTAAACACTAAATTTATATATTGATTTTTTTATTAGAATAAATTAATACCTTTTAACTGATCTTGTAGAATTCTGAGAATGAACACTTTAGGCAATCTATCCTTCTTAATTTTTTTTTGTAGATGTTCGCTTAAATTGTGAATCATCTATTTCTTATTGATTATCATCACTTTATATGCTATAATCGATATTTTGATTATTTTATTTCATTTAGGTTAACTCAGTCATCTATTTCAAATTATTTGTGGATTATTCAATATCTTTGTCACTTAAAATTTTAGTGATAGTATCTGTGCCAAATTGTGAATAATTTTTAATACTATTAAACTATCTTTGCTAATAGATTTCTTGGCTAAGAAGGCTCTTTTCTATTTCTTATTACTTACTAGAAAATTGTTTTTAAACTTATTAGATTTGTGGTATTTCCTAAAATTTAATTAATAATTAATTTGAACTCTAATTTCTAAATGAATTTAATGGAGAGGTAATAAAGTTATTTGTATTTTTATTTATGTCAATTGTAATTCCTAGATCCAACTAATCTAAATTTTCATTTTAATTTTCTCTCATTGATTACTGATTTATTGAGTCCATAAAATTAGATTAATTCGTTATTTCTTGTTTTTCTTAAACTATATTTATTAATCTTTTCTACTTAGGATATTATTTTTAAGTAGGAGATATACCTGATTAAAGAATTTGTTGTAGCTCATAATTTTTTTGCTAATTAAAATCAATAAATTCGTCTTAAGAATTTTTACTTTCAAATTTATTATTTTGGATCAAATTAGAGCTGCTATTCTAAATAAGTTAATTTAGCTAAAAAATTTCATATATTTTTGAAGCTCTATCTTCCAAGCAATTAATAATATTTATTTTTATTTATAAAATCTAAATATATTAATTATCAATAATTTGATACTCTCCACTAACTAGAAGCAAGTTTAATTCAATAAGGCTATTTAAATTTGAGGTACTTTTATTTATTGTTCTAAGCATGTTAAATTCTTACTGATTTCTTGGATTGACAATAATAGTCTGAAACTAATTAAAAGCTCTTTTATCTAATATTAATTTACTAAATTATTATAATTTATTTAAAATAAAAAAATGTACCTTAGCTTTGCAAAAATACTTATTTAAATGTAGGCATTAAAATATCAATATTTATTTTTTGAGCATTACTTTCATTCAAAGCCTTGGATAAGAACATTTCATAAAATTTTTTTTACATTGCCAAAATTTAATTTTGATTACTTAAGTTAACTGATAAATAAATATTACTATCAACAATTTATTTTAGGATTGCACAAACTCCAAAATCTCTCATTTCTAATTAAAAGGTTTGCATTTTAATTGTGTAAGGAATACCCCACCCTTCACTGTTTTTTGCAATTTGTAAATTAAGAATATTGTAACTATTGTTAGGAGTATAATTTTCTATGTACTTTTCTAATATTCTATCATGAAATTAAGCTATTTCATATGGTATCATAAAGTTTATATTTTTTCCAATAACTTCACTATTTGAAGAAACAGGTACAACTCTTTCAAAATTATTTGAAACCATTTTAATCTCACCAATTTTTTTAGTTAGAGAAATAAAAACAGTGCAAGTTAATTAATCTAATAAATCTTCACTCTTTGGCAAACTGTGATATTTCTTTTTTAATTTAGAAAGATTACGACCCAGTTTTTAATTAAATTAAAGAGTTGACTCAAAAATATCAACCAAGTAAATCAAAACTTGGTTATTATAATGCTATTCACATAACTCTTTTAATATGCACTCTAAATGATTTCTTTTTTTCCTTATTTACATAAAATAATTTTCAATCTATTCTAAATTTATATCGTCTTGCCCTATCTGTTACAAAGCAATTTTTTTCTCTTCCAAGCATTATTTGAGCAAATTAAAACATTCGCTTATTTTCTTGTCAAAAACAATATTATTATAAAAAATCTTCTCTTGTATTTGAGCTAATTAAGACTCTCTTAGGCTTTCCTAATTTTTAAATTTCTACTTTGCAAGAAGTACAATTTAATATAATTATTGATTTAATAGCCAGTTTCTTTTATTTGCATTAGAATATCTTAGAGCTTAAACAATACTCTTTGTTGGATTTTGTATGACATCTACAATAAACATTAAATAGCTTATCATTGTAATATTCTCTACTTTCTAATTTTTGAATATTGATTCAAAGAATATTTCTATGTAATTGTTAAAGTATCTGCATCTAACACTCTTGCTTGCTAAGTTATTAATATCATTGGCCTTTATTTATTTGATAAAATAAATATTATTTAAAAAATCAATTAAGTATCCTATCTTATATTAAAAATCTAAAAAAAGAAAGAATTACTTGAGAACAAAAGCAATATTTTGGCTGATTGCAATTAATTTAGTGGTTAACGACAATTTGATCTAATATAATTGAGGCCTAAGAAGTTAAGTATTAATCGAAATCAAATTATATGTGATTAATTAAAAATCTTATACAAAAATCAATATTTCTGGCTTTCATAAAAGACCCTGATTAAACCTTTGAATTTTTTTGTTAGATATCCAATAATCTAAGTTAATTGATGAGCTAAAAGCTTCTATATTCATATATCTTTGCAGAAATTTTATAGGATAAAGGCAATAAAATAAAGAAGCTAAAATTAAATATAGTCCATTAGCTTAAGTAAACAGGCAGTAATATATTTAAACTTATTAACGCATTATAAATATAGCCAGTAGTGCTTAAAATTTAGATTGTACTATTTATATAAGGGGAATAAATAATATCTAAAAAGCAGTACGTTAAATTTATGATGATATTTAGTATGCAAAAACCATTTTTTGGTACATTATACTGTAAAAGTGATTGGCCTATTTCTATAACTAAAAATAAATATCGTAGAAGTGGGTTTCTTAAAGCTAAGTAATCCTTTTACTAAAATCTGTAATCATAATCATGTATTGAATGTATTATACCTACGTTTTTATTTTATATTAATATTGATAATCTATTTAATTTAATCTAAAAGTAAATAAATTTGTTAATCAAAGAAATTTACAGATTAAAATTGTGGTCATTATTGCTGAGACAGAGATGTAATAATTTTAATTTACATTAGCCAAGGCCATATCGATTGTCATTTTAAACAAAGCGCAATAATGGACTTAGAAGTAAAATGACAGTAATGTATTTTTCATATTTTCCTTCTTTTGAAAAATGAAATAAATCAAATATACCAAATAACAGACTATCATTAAAGAGTTTGCTACTAGCAAAATGTACAAAATGTTAAAAGATAATTGCGAATTATAGTTGTAAAATATGATATATTTAATAAAGCTGGTATTGCTATCTTAACTGTTTAAAATATCAAGGACTTCATTGTTAATCTAAGATTAAAGATACTATACTTGTTTTATTAAAATCAATGGCAAGCTTAAGCTAAGTGGCCTATCAAACACTTTTATTAAGCTGTATGAATTTCTTTCAAAAAATTATTATACTAAATGCATATTCTTTTCTTTTCTCTTTTCTTATTATTTGTTTATTTATGTAATTAAAAGAAAATGATTAAAATTATCTCTAATTAATTAGGAAATTCAAGAGATTATTTAAATTTACACTTTTTTAATATGAAGAAGGAACTCTTGTATATCTCTTCAACTTCAAATGTTTCTGGTTCGATCTGTTTAAAATTTATTGTTAAATTTTCATTTTAATAATAAGTTAATAATAATTACTATAAAATCACAAAAAAAACAATTAAACGCCATCCAAATAATACAAGATTAAGATATGTTCTTAAAATATGAGTTGTTTAATTGTTAAATATTTTAATTTACCTTAAATTTTTTAATTCAGTCATTATTATCATCATCTGGATAATATTTTGATTTACCTTCCTACTTACATTTATAACTAAAAAAAAGTTACTCTAAAATTGAAAATATCTTTTAAATATACAAACTTCAGTGTAAACCAAATCAAAAAAAAAACTTGGAAATTATTTGGCTAAGATACTGCAATCATATAATTATTTGTATTTTTGCCATTTTATTTAAAATTCTTAAAATAGTAAATGCGTTAAACAAAAATAAAAGAAGATTTCAAGATAAATACCTATTTATAAAAATAAGTCACAAAATCCAAAAATTATTCTAGAACTTTTAATTTTCTGTAAACAACTTTTTAAAATATTAAAAAATAAATGGGATTTTTTGCCTTTTTTATAAATGTAAACATTTGTATTACACAAAAAATATGAAATAGTTTAATTGATATATCATTTTATTATTTTTTATAATTAATTAATATAAAATCTAATATTCTTAACTAAATTTCTCAAATATCAAATAAGAATTTAAAATGAATTCATCTATCCTTTTTTTAATTAATAATTAAAAAAATTTCAAAAGAATTCATTTAACAATTAAGATTAAAGTATTAAAAATATTTTACTTTAAAGCTCCCTTTTTATTTTATGATTTTTTCTAAAAATTTAGAAAAATATTATGAAGTGGTATTTTATGAGTTTAAGTTAAAACCAAGAACAAAAATGATTATTAAAAATTGATATGTTTGAATTTGTTGCATTTTGTAAAAATATTTATGAATTTTTTCTTAATCAATCAATCAACTAGTTTTGTAATATTTAAATTTGTTTTATTTTTGAGTTTTTAATTTATCATAAATGAAAAAGATCTGCTGAATATTTTATTTTTTTAATGATATTGAGTCAGGAATAACAGATTTTCTTTCCTATTCTTCAAATTCTTTATCCTTTTTCTAACTTATTCCTTCACTCTTCTTCATCTTTGTTTCTAATCTTTCTTTGGCCTTTTTGTTTCTGTTTGTACTGATAACTTGTTGTTAATGAGTAAAAACAAACATACAGACAAAAAATATGTTTAAAAACTAGTAATTTGATTGTTTTTTTATATTAAATTTATAATTGTTTAATTTTTCTATAGAAATTATTACAAAATTTTTTAAAATGTAAACATTAATTATAAACAATTTAGTTAATATTAGGAATTTTAATATAATTAAATATATAATAAGAAATAGGTAGTAGGATTTGGTCACAAACTCTTTTTTAGATATGTAACTATGTAGGAATTATCCATTAAGATTTAGACTTCAAATAAATCAAGCACGTATTTAGTTTATAATAATAAAGTCTATATTTAAGAATAATATCTAAACCAGCCAAAAACTATTATTATTAAAACAGCAAACGATTATATTGAAATTAAAATAATGTTTGCTGTTATCATATAGTCAAATAAGTTATCACTTACATGGTTCATAAATGTAAGAGATGAGTTTATTGTGCTATCAATTTAGTTTCTAAATAAGTCTAAAATATAAAAGTTATTCTGTTATTAAAAAATATTTAATTGTTATATATAAAGTTTTTTATTGTTAATTTTAAAAAGATCCACTTATTAAGTTAATAAAACTGTCATTTGCTTAACAGCGTTAATCAGTCCATAATTTAGCTAACCATCTTATACTGTTGTGCATTAAGAGTAGTTGAAATTGGTATCAAATGTGTATAAGGGAAATTTTTCTAGAGTATTGCAAGCATTCTTTTCAAAAACTGGTCTTAAAAAGGAATTGAATTAATCCTGCTGATATCTATCAAAACTATGCACTTCTTATTGTGCATTATATAAATCAGTAAGTACTTAACTTGTTAGGTTTGAAAGATAGTAAGCTCTACCAAAGTATAAATCATAAGGAGGAGGTACTAATTATGGAGCTAATATTACTATGTTCATAACTTAGTTCATAGCAAATTATGCTGATATTTAGCTTTTAGTTTCTGTTAATGCATCTGTTTTTATATTATTAAAGTTTATAAATTAATTAGAATTTATAATTTTAATTTTATTCATATCGTTGTATAAAATAATTAATTTAAAAACTATTTCTTTTCAAACAATTAATCAGAAAATTTTTTGATTAATTTTTAAGTAAAAAAGTCTAATTAAGAAAGTATGTAAAATAATAAAAATAAATCAATTTTTTACTCATTATAGTTCTGTTACTGGTGCTATTCTTTTTAAAGTTACTTACAAAATATAGAATTAAGACTGAATAGACTTGCATGAAAACGAAAAACACTAAAACCCAAATTAATAATTTGATATTTAGTTTGTTTAATGGTTTGATGCTACTTATGTTTCTCTTTTTCTATATTTGAGTTTATGCCAAAAAGAATAAATCATCATCATTTTGAGATACTGCTGTGCTTTATTAGCCTTTCTTCTTTTTATTAGTTGATTCATTAAAGGATGCTTAGTTATTTTTATATTAATGAGTGTTTGAAATTTTTTGCTGCATAAGCATCTCGTTGATTCTTTATCTACTTTTTAGCAAATTAGCCATCATTAGCTTTAGCTTTTCAGGAGAAAAGGTAGATAATAGTTTTAGAATTTCTTATCTTTTAATTTGTATAAATGAGAATGTTGGCAAAACACTTAATGAAATTATAAATGTAGTAACTAGCACGTATATCATTTAATTCATTTAATCATTATATATACTATTCAAAATATTATCATATTAATTATTATTTTAAGTTTAAAGCAATGTTAGATGATTAATAAGTCCTTCATAGTTTTAATTTGCATTTATTTAGTGGATTTATGTTTTATCATTTAAAGTTGCATACATGGCAATATTTCCTAGTTAAGTTATTAAAGCATAGTCAAGGCTCATTGTAATATTGTAAAATGATGTTGGAGTTGAATAAACAGAGACATTCATGTTAGTATTTAAAATAGTATTAAAAACGTCCACCTGATTTTTATCTTAATTTGTATATTATACCATTAATTGCTTATAAGTTTAATATGAGCTATTTAATCTTTGAAGAGCAAATTATTTGTATTCTGAAAATTATTACATGGAAGTAAATTATACAATTTTAAGCTACATCATTACAAGCAAATACATGTCTGATAAGCTGTAAGCATAAGATAACCTCAGCTATGAGCACCAATCTATTAGATGAAATGCAGTTTTTTCATTACTCAACAAGTAATTAAGACTAGTAAAGTTATAAATGTTCAACAAATATAATCCAATAATTGTAATAATACCAATCACGTTTATTCCAATTAATATTCTTATCTTTTTTTGAGATTTTATTTTTGAAATAATTTCTCTCCTATTTTTTTTATGTTAAGGATTATTTTAAAATATAATAATTATTAAATAAAAATATTATATAAATTATAATCAAATTTTTATTTAATTTAAATTGTATCTAATTTTAGTAAAAAAAAAAATACTTTAAGCCATCATGGGAAGTTTTACTAGAGTTTACACTACTTTCATAGTCAACCTACTATCCTTATTTATTTCTTTTTATTGAGTTAAAGATTTTGGTTTTTACTATTGCTGGAGAGCTGTCTTCTTTTGAAGTGTTTTTTTCTATAGAAGTTGAGTGGTTGATTAAGTTAGATCCATGTGGAAAGGAATTGATAGACTACCTATGTGGGTGAAGTATATTCTTCATAGTGCTAACTTAGTTTTAGGTTATTGAATTAGAAAGCTGATAAAATGGAGAATAATCATTATTATTAGGTGAAAAAGCCAGATACTCAATAGAGAAATTATTTATATTTAATTTATTAGTTTATTTTATTTCCTAGTAAGAAGAAATGTTAGGATTAGATTAAAAATTATCATTTTTTTCTTCTTAGAAAGAGGGTTATTTTTTTAAAAAAATGTTATTATTTGAGACATTTATTTAGTTTATTTCTTCACCAAAGCTAAGGCCACGATCACTTCTAAGTAAGTCTACTAATGATTAGTTTTCTCTATTTGTAAGTGGTATTTATGGTAAACTTGGGAAGCTTATTTTATTAATAGATAAATTATAATTTTTTTCGAGGTGCTCTTCTTCTTCGTCTACTTATTTTACTTCTTTGAGATGTATCAGTTCATATTCTTTGTCCTAATTTGAAAATTTTCTTTTGCTGCCAAATTAAATTGACTGATATTTTCTATATTAATTCAGACTGGAAGAATTTAGGGATCCTTTTCTATTTGAAGGGGTTATATCTATCGAAGCTTGATTTTACCTTTATGAAATTTATCTATTTATTGGACTACAATCCTCAAGCTATATATCCACCAGTTGAGATTATATCTCTTCTTGACTCCATTCACAAATTGAGATTAATTATAAGCAAAGAGATTTAATTCCTTCTATTTTAAGGCTTAGATTGTTGCTGTTATCAAAAGAATTTGTTAAGTTTTATACAGTATTATGTAAATTTCTCATGCTCTTAATTTGAATCTATAAAATATTCATATATTTATTTTTTACGATGCTAACTTCCATCTAAACCCAATGTAGTTACAGTTTAGATATTTATTTTATTAAACTTGCTCTATGAGGTTATTTCATCCAGTTAGCTTGCTTCTAATCTTGCTTTACTTCTACTAATAAAGTTTCATATATTTCACCAACTAACTTTGAATGATTTTCAATTTCTTGTTTTTACTAATAATCCTTTATAATTCCTTCCAGAGCAGGAATCATGCTAAATAAAGAAATGGTATGTATATCTCTTTAATGGAAATGAGTATGTATTACCTACTCAAAGAAATGTTATGATGCATTTATTATAGATGCATTTTAGTTTAAGTTTGCATTGATAAATTAAACATCCTAAAAATGATTTTAATAGTTTAAATTAAGTCGCTTTATCCAAGCACATATACCTAACTCATGATTAATAATATCGTGATAGGTTTATAATTTTAGGGAGTATGGTACAGAGAATCCGTTTTTATCAACACCAATAATTAAAGGAAGATCTTTGAGTGCTGTTTACATAATTTCTTATTTTCCAAAATCTTGAAGAATAGCATCATGGGCAGCCTGAAGCTAAGGAGGAATCATACAATTTATTGAGCTACCTAAAATGCTATTTTCTTTATTTGTGAAGTTTGGTATAATTTGAGAAAAATTATTTGATACTTTAACTATTTTTCCAACTTTACCCATCAATGAAACAAAAGCAACAGTGGAGTCAGGTGAATAAAATTTTTAAATTGTAAAAAAAATTTATTTTCTTTTACTGTTTGAAGATTCACTTTCTCTTTCTTTCTTTTTTTTCAATACTTTGAGCAAAGATAAGTCAAAATTAATTGTTGAGTCAAAAAATTAGCACATCTCCTCGAGTTAAGAACAGTAACTATTTAAATTGATTAATTATTTTAGCATTTTCATGAGATCACGTCTTTGTTTTCTTAGTTTTAATCCATCTTGAAACACTTGTTCAATATTAATTTCTGATTAAGATAAGTTTTTAATTAATATAGACTTATCTTCAATGCAATTTCTTAACATTTCCTAAGCAATATGCATCTTTTCATCAAATGACATAATAGAAAAGAGCATATATTTCTCATGTTATTTATTTCTCAAATGAATTTACTGTTAGAATTTAAAGCTATACAATGATCTCTAGTAAAGATACCTGACTATGAGTTAGTCTCTAAGTGATAGCTAAACTGTTTATTTTGTTTTATTTTTAGATTCTTTGTTATTAAACACATCTTTCATATCTTGATTCTGATCTATTTCAGAACAAATATCTTTACCAAGAGACAACAATTCTTTAAAAGCTAAAGTTTCATTTCGCTGAATCTCAATAAGATAAGAAATGAATTGGAATTTTAAGATATTTGCTTGTTCATTAATATAAAAATAGCGATTCTTTAAATGCTCTCTTTCTATGTCTGATAAAGGAGCTCTTTAAAGCTTCTAAATTGAATAAACAAAGAGATCAGTAATGTAGCTATTCAAAAATTAAAAACGCCATTTTTTATCTAAAAACTAATTTCTGTCAATGTCCTCTTATTTATTTACCTTTTTTTTAAAAAATTCGAATCATTTTGTGCTTCATGGACTTTGAAGGTTTTAAATCATCTGAGCATGATAAAATATTAAGTGGATAGATATTTCTTGAGAATTTAATTAAATAATATATTGGGTAGAATTTTGAAATTTTGTAAAACTATAAATTTATAAATTTGTATTTTAATTGGGGAAATAATTATAAAAGTGACGTATGAAATCTCTTAATTTGTAATTTCAGCCAATCTTATTAATCAAAGTTATTTTCTTAATAAATTTTTTGTTCCTAATAATTTCCTTGGCTTACTTTTTAAAAGTTGATTAAGGTTAGTGGCTGACTGGTATTAAATTGAAGTAAAATATGTGGTTTAAAATTTAATTTACAATTCTACAAAAGCAAGAAGAAGCTTCTGACTCAAAACAATTCTCTTTGTGTAATTCAATTATATCTTAAAGCAAAATTCCATATTAGCTGTTTGAAAAATCATCAAAAAAGCATTTCAAGTTATCTAGAAGGAATCTAATGTAAATTTCGAACTGTAATATACCTGGTGAGTTTATATTTGTTTAATTTGAGTGAAGTATATTTTTTTCTCTCTGATTGGTTAATCCCATTTGTTTATATATATCTTTAAATTTTTAATGATTTTTAGTTACAATACTACTAATCCTGTACTAGGCTAAGTTATATCCTATCTTCCAACTTAGAGGTGCGATGACAAAGAAACTTAAAAAGTTATCAGCATTTACTGACAACTGCTTATTGAATAAGATTTAGGCTGTTACAAAAAACTGCATTACATAAATACCCAATGAAAAATATTAGATTGTATTTTAAATAATAGGTACATAATAGTACTCGTAAACAGCTATTACGAAGAAATGAGATATATTAATGCCTAGTAAGACTGAGCTGTTTGACTGCAATTATAGTACGCAAATAGTAGTAGTGTCTAAAATAAAAATAACCATTTAAGACCAATAATTTCTACGTGCTAGGTAATCTCTTTCTTGAGAGAATTCATAATTAAACTCATGTAAAGAAACAAATAAATCTATTTTATTGAATAAAATGTTAAATTTTGCAAGCCTAGAATAATTTGAAAAAGAAAAATGAATGTCTAATTAAAAAAATCAATTTACTTATAATGATAGTAATTGGTAGATTAATATAAGATAGAAAATTGAGGTTCTAAAGAGATATACTCAACGAAGGAATGTATATTATATAAGGATAACATTGGAGCAAGAGTGATAATATCTTATAAGTTGTAAGACTCCGGTTGAAAAATTATGATTCTTTTTAATTTTCATTAATACTATTTATAGTATTTATTTCGCTTTCTTCATCTTCAGTAATTGAAAAAATTTATACAGAGGATTTAAAGGTATTTGATAGAGATATAAAAAACTCAATAGCTAGAATTAATAAAATATAAACATTGATAACTAAAATAAATTATAAGATGCTCTATCTATAAGAATTGTTAATATTATAGTTTATTGAATCTATTTTAGCGCTAATAGATGTGCTTTGACTTTTGTCCAAATAATTTTTTATATCTAGATCAACATTAGTCAATAAAAGAAGAACTGATTTAAGAGCTAATAATACAAAAGAAAACCAAAAGGAACGCTTAAATAGCTTAATTAGAGGGTAACATTTATTTAAATAGTATGTGCGATATGATTTGGCTATGAGTTAGAAGAAGTTAGGTTTGGATTAGAAATTGTCCTTATGTTAGTATTTAGAATTGTTTTAATTGCTCATTTTTTATGCTGCTTTTATATTAGTTGCTATTGTTAGCAATTTATGCCGTATTATTTATTTATTACTTTAATTTCTAATTGAATAATATTTTGAAAGATTAAATTTTTGTTGTCATAAAAACTAATTTAAGTTTTTAATTACAGGCATTTTTGTTCTGTTCACAAAACCTTATTAGATCTAGTTTTATTACAAAAAATAATAATAATCATAGCATCAAATTTACCATCTATATTTTTGTAATTAAATCAAAGATTTTGCTAAAGTAATAGTAATTAATCTTCTATTACATCTTTTGAATATTTCAAATACTTTAGTAAATATTTTGAATTTAAGCTAAATTTTAAAAGTTGCTATTTGTCTAAAAATATAGTTTGCACTCTTCATACATTTTATTAAATAAAAAAGACAAATTATTCTTACTTAAAAGCAGTTGCTTTCAAATTAAAACTGATATAAAAATAAATTATTCATTTTACTTATAAGAAAAATAATTTTCTTCAATAAAATATAAGATCTTATAATATGCTTTAGAATTATATTAGATAAGGAGTTTATAATAAGCTCCTATTGTTAACTTATAACGCAATTTAATGAATTTAAAATCATTAGGGTTACAATAATTTATTTATTTCACATTTAAATAGCTCTTTACTGTTTTAAATGAATCACTGATAATTAATTTTAAATTTTGTCAAGAGGGAAAAAATACATCATACAACAAAATTTTTGTCACTAATTATTACGAAAATTTAATTGAATATTCTAATTATAATTGCAAATTAAAGGCCGTCATTAAAATTGTATAATCCAGCGTCATTATTATTTGTAGATACTAATTACGCATATAAAATGCTTCTTTCTAAAAGAAAGAGGCCATCAAATGCATTAAAATAAAAAATTCAATTAATATTATTTTGAAATTTCTTTCATTTTTTTAAATAAAGTTATAATTTTTTAAATAAATATCTTCTAGTACTAACTAGCTTGTTATACACATTCATGCATTTTTTAAACTGAAAAATTAATAAAAAACTGTAATTGCCTTTGTAATTTTCTTATTATATGAATTCATTATATAAAATTTGTGGCTCTTTTTAAAAATGGAAAAATCGTCTATATTTTGTTTTTTTCAAAAATATTAAAATTTTTGAATCAAATAAATGTTAACTAAATAAATCAGTTCAAATAACCATTATTTTATTTGAGTTCTTATTATTTCAAAAATAAGTTGCTTTTCTTTTTTCTTTAAATTTCCTTTATATTTTATTAGAAATAATTATCAAAAATTAAAATGTGACATAATCAAAAAATACGCATGATTCGTAGATATTATAAAAATTGTATATATTTGTTTTTTTTTCATTTGTTTAACACATATTATTAAGATAATTAGATATTAATTTGAAATATTTTAGCTGATACTATATTTGAAACAAAATTACTTAATTATGAATAATTATTATTTTTAATAGAAAGGTGTAAAAATAGTTTTAATATTTTTTAAAAGACCAAAAAATAAATTGAATTATTATTTCTAATTATTGTTTTGATTTTTATCACAGATTTTTTAATTATCAGTACAATCTATTAAATTTTTGCTCTGTAGATGGTAATAATTGAGTTTCTAAATCAAACACTTTTATAATCTAAATGGGAAGTAGAGAATATTATTGATTTTCTTAATAAAATAGCCTTGACCTTACAATTTGTGAAATTACTTTAAAAATAAATTAAAAAATTTATTTTGCTTTTACTTGTCTTTTATAAAGTATTAACTTTAAATTTATCACAGTTTTTAAGATTTTTAATTGATAAGATACTTGATAAGAAAGCCAAGAATTATAAATTAAATTATTTTTATCCTTAGAATCCAAAAAAATAAATTATTTTGAAATAAACACATAAATTCTTTTCACGTTTCATATTGACTAAATTTTACTGAATACAAAAAATGTGTAAATAAAACCTTTAATTAAAAAGAGGTATAGAATTTTTATCAATTAAATAGTATATTATCATTAGAAAATTATTAATTGGAGAAAATAATCAATAGTCACCAAGATTTATATATTTATTTCTTCATTCATTCATGATTGATTCATCTGTTTGCTTTGAAGTAGGATACCACATATGAATTATCAAGTAATACATCTATATCTATTACTTCCAATAATTATTTTGTATCGTGTAAGGATTTTTCTATTCTCTCATAAAATCTATACCATCCAAAGACCAAAACTATTATAGTTGCAGTTAATTGTGAGATTAGCAAAGCTAGATTTGCAATTATCCAAAAATCAAATAATTCATTTGTCATAATTTTAAGAAAATAATTAAGCTACTGAATAACTATACTAATTTACTGTATTACTAAAGGATTTTCTATTAAAGACTTTGCTGAATCAAGATTTTTTAGTGCAATGTAAAATTGATTAGAGTCATCTATATCGTATAAATCACTTATTTGTCCATTAAACTCAAATACTGATTTCAAAGACTACACAAGCCCTTAGTCTAATAATTAATCACCTGTTTACTTGCATTAATTATAGTCGAAGTCTATATTTTTACTTAATAGTTTTGGGTTATTTTTTATTACATCACATGAGTTTTTCTCTAAGACTTTTATGATGTATTAATTGTAATCTTCTTATTTATATCTCGAGTGCCCATAAAAATTGTTTTGATAGCTATAAATGTTATTCAGATAGCTTGATGAAGATTATTATAATTATTTAATTTTATTGAACAAATACTCTTAAGACGTAGGAAGAGTTTATGGTGCAAACTTACCAACAAAACCAATGTATACAGTACCAACATAAATCTAAAGAAAATGACGAGCTTCTGCTAATTGATCTTAATAAAATATAAAAAATAAATCAAAGTTTAATAAAAATATGAAAATATTAATTTACCCATAAACAACCTATTGTTGATAGAGTTATCCTAATACATGTTAATTATCACATAAATTGAAAATGAGTAAATCTACATAAGAATAAAAAAGGCTAATGATCCAAGTAAATATTTGAAATTTATTTTTGCAAAATTAGAAGTTTAGCTAATATTTTTCTTTTTTTGGATAGAAATGTTAGAAAAATACTCTTAGCTTTTTTATTAGCTTAAATTTTCACTTTGTTTTAAGAATCCAACAACTTTTTTTTTTGAATTTTTTTGTTTCTCTTATTAAGTTAATTCTTAGTCTATTTAAAACAAATAATTACTTGTTGTTCCTAACATTTATTTAAGTTTTTCTGGTGAAATATTAGTCATTAGTTTTAAGATTTACTCTCTTTTTTTCTGGATAAATTAATAAATAGGTAAGATGCTTATTGCACAAGTTAAAGTAATAAGTGAAATTGATACTAAGTTGTATTACTGCTATAATAAAATTTAATTCATTTTATCACTATAATCATTAAAAGAATTATCTTGAATTTCTTTTAAGGTGTCATCGAAAAGCTGAAGATTATAGAAAATAGTAACTATACTATTTATATCATAGGATTATGGTATTAATCTAAATGAATCTAAATAACTTTTTTACATAGCTAATGTGTATCCTAAATTAAAATTGGTTGTATAATTTAATCCTTCAATAGTATGAATATACATAAATTTTTTTTCCATAATTAATTTAAATTATTGAATTTTGTCCTTATCCCCTTTTGAATATTCACTAGTCAAATTAGAGTAGTATATCCTTTGTTCTTGCATTTAATTTAAAAATAATTACACGTATTAAGTTGTCTTTGTAGGATCTTTTGGCACCAAAAGCTACAGATTTACTAAAGAATTCATATATAAATTTGTTAAGATTGAACTAAGCGCTATTCTCAAATCGCTATTCCAGTCTAAATAATCAAAAGATATTTTTTAAGTTAAAAGAAAGTTTTACAGATCTATAAAATTAATTAAAATGATAAGAAATATAGTCACTAAGGCTAATATACCAATATAATTAAGTATTATCAAACCTAACATTCTTTTTGAGGATTTTATTGAGTTTATTATTTCTTTCCTATTTTAAAATATTTGAGTTAATATCTAATTTAAAAAAGTAGAGTTTAAATGATTTTTTAATATTGGAAAAAGAAATTTAAACAAATGTTTTATATCAAAAAAAAATAGATTATTTTTTGAAAAATTGATTTTCCATTAATTTAGAAAATTATTTATTTGGGTTTTTTTTAAATTAAAAATTCATTAAAATTTTTTTGTAAATAATCTAGTAAAGAAATAAACAAATGAATATCATTTAATTAGCTTTTAAATAATTTTTTTTATTTTACTTTGTTTTTGAATTTGTTGTTTTCATAGAACTTATACTCTGCTCTTACTAGTTTATTTTAGTTAAAAAAGGCTTTTTATGATAATTAGGAACATTTTCAGGTAGTGTTATAACTTTATTAGTCAATTCTTTGAATTTTAAATTTTTGGTTTATTTAGTTAAAGGATCTAATAGTTCTGTGGATATTTACTTAGTAAATTAATAATTATTTATTAACTATTCAATATTTTAGTCGTTATTCTTACTTTTAAAAATAGAATTTGATTATGTTTAAGAATTGTATTATAAGCTACCTTTTCCTTTTTAAAATTCTATTTAAGTTGAAGACATACCTTAAATCATTTACAAATGATCTAATTCATTCAAAGTTAGTGTTTAGTTGAGTAAATTTCTGCTAGTGATATTATTTTAATCTAAAGATATTTCTTCTTTTTCGTTTTGTAGCTAAACTTCTTCATATAAATAATGGTTATTTTCAAAGCTTATCATATTATCCTTATATTTTAATAAGGAATTATCTTATTTATTTTATTTTTAGTTCGAACTTTGATTAATCATTTCAGGGGTTGGTTACGAGAATGTAGATTCATCTCTAGATTAAATATCCTCAATACTTTTATTGGTAAAATAAAGAGACTGTTTAAAATTAAATTAAATAGTTTCGTATTAATTAGGTAGATTGTAATTACAAAATTTTGTAAGCTAAATATTCAGTAATTTAAGACTTTCGTATTTTAATTATTATTGTTCTACTTTTGTAACTTAAAACAACTCGAGTTAAGCAAGGTTGATAAATTTTGATTAAGATCTGTAAATTTTAAATTAAACACAAAAAATTTCATTATACTAAAAAATATCATTGAAATATGACTAATTCTTGTTATAGTCTAATTAATTATTAGTTAGCTAAGCTTTTGAAATTGGTTTTATAATGTAAGTTTCTTTCTCTTCTTAATTATCGCATTTATCAATAATTGCATATAGAGCTGGAGCTATTAAATTCATATTAATTGTATGAATTTGCTTTTATGTATATACTTCTTTAAAAATTGATTCAAAAAAGGCTTAAGACATAACAACTGGTGAGCATTTTTTTTCATGTTCATCTAACAATAGACTAAGATATTAATTAGAGTTTCTTTCTTACTTTCTAATCCATGCCGAAACACCTATTTCTTATTCTCCAATTTAATGATATTATATTTTGATATTTAAAGGAATAGCCCATCCATCTTTTGAGTTTCCAATTTATAATGGGAAATTCTTAATTTAATTTGTACTCTCCACATTTTATAAATAGTGTTTAAGTTATTACTGATGTGCTTCATAAATTTAATTAGGGATAATAATGTTTAGGCTAGAGTTTATAACTTCTTGATTGGTGTAAGAAGTTATTACTTCTTGGAAATTCTTTGATACTCTAATAATACTTCCATAATTATTTATTAAAGAAACAAAAATTACACAAGAATCTGAACTTTTTAATGGTAATTTATTGATAACATTAAATTTATTTGTTTTCTTTTTGAAAATATTTAGCTTTTCACTAAACTAAAGAGTTTTTTCAAAAATGCTACAAATATTTAGAAGCTCTTGGCTATATTCGTTCTGTGCATGCAATTATATAAGCTGTGTTTATAATAAATTCTTTTGTTTTATAAGCTATGACGAAGTTTAATAAAGTTAGTTTAAATCCACAAAATTATTTCCAAGAATTTAAATAAGATTAGTTTTCAACAAGAGGCAGTCTTTCATAAGCTATACAGTTTAAAAATATTATTATTCAAATAAAATGATATCATATAAGCATGTCTAACTTGACTATTCAAGTTTACTTTTTTAATTAACAGAGATATTCAATTTTTTATGAGCCAATTCTTCTTATTACTATTGGGTAGATGCGTAATAAAATAAATAATTTATAGCTTACATATAGATTAAAGACTTTTGAATGTTTTTTTTTCTCTTTAATTAAATTATTTCAGAATAAAACAAACGAAAGTTTTTGACATGATCTATAAGATAGGCAAAATAGCTAAAATGTACAAAATCTATATCCTTTTTTAGATTATTTAAGTAATTTTAGTATGTTACTATGGTGTATTCCGTTATAAACTACTTTCGTATGTTCTCATTTAAGAAATTTTCACCGCCATTTACTATGTTACAATCCTAATTAAATAATAAAAGTTAATAATTCTTCTATAAATTTTTATATTGGACTATATTGAGTAATACTTGATGAAAATTTTAGTTTACAATCAATATTTCTAAATAATTTTATAAGAAAAAATATGAAGCAATTTTTAATAGGAATTGAAATATCTGTCTTGATCTTAAAATATTTAATAATAATGTGAAAAATAAACTGAGAAAATGATATTTTAAAAAAATATAAATATTTTAAAAGAAAGCTTACTTAACTACAGAAACATTTATGTGGTTTAGAACAGTTTTCTTTATGTTAGAGTATGATAGATTCTAAAAAAATTGAGTGATTGCTGTTAGTATACTCATCATATAGATATCTAATTTTTTGGTTAATATCTCTTAGAAATATATCAATGTTTGATTTATTAGAATCTTCTTAGGAGTATTTATTTTATTTTGCACTTTTTATTTCCTAGAAGTTTTTTTATTAACTTTAAAAATAGAAGATTTTATTTCGGATGGTATTTGGTGCTGCGTACCCAATTATTACAGTGATAGGTAATGTAGATAGAAAACATATGAAATAATCGAATTTATTTTAATCTAAATTCTAAAGACATATGCTAAGAGCGATCGAAATGTTAAGGCAGTGCATAACGTTAATCAACTAATGAGCTTAAAGATTGAGTACTTTATTATAAAAGCAGTAATAAAATATTTTTAATAAATGTTTAGAGCTATTGTAAATACATGGAAGAGTTAAATTATCTGTTAACTTTAAAATAACATGGCTAATTAAATCAAAGAATATTCTTAATAACGATAACAACTAATTTCTTTTAGCAAGGAAATCTGCGTTTTCTGAAAACCTAAAATCAAAGTCATTTAATTCAATCAGCATCACTTTTTATAAAAGGAAAAACATAAATAAATTTGATTAATTTAATCCAAGATAATCACTAAATAAATTTAACTAAATGCTTACTTAATAAAACTGTTAGAATCATGTTAATGATTTTTAGTTCAGAGATTTTTCCTAATAAAGACCATCTCAATGAAGGAATAAAAAATAAGTATTCATAGGTTTATAATACAAATGAAACTATTTTGTAAATGTTTTCTTGCTATTAAATTGTAGGGCTCTTCCATAAAAAGTAAATAAAGTCTAGTAAGAAAAATAACACTATAATTGAGTTCACAGAAAAAAGCAGTAATTAAATAATAAGAGAATCCTCATTTTCAAACACAATACTCATCAGTTTTAGAGCTTACTTGTCATAGCTTAAGTTTTAAATAAAGCTTTGATAGGTCTGATTCTTTAAATTGGCCATGAACAAAAAAAGACATTTAAATAGTATTAAAAAACAGCATAAATGCTTTGACCTTTTATATTACCTCTAGACAGTATATACCCTTGAAATAAAATATTCTTAAATATTTTCCTTAAATTTCTTGATACCAAAAGACATGTTTTTTAATTTAACTTTTTTAGGGATTAATTAATATTTAATAAGATAAATATGAATTATATTTTTTTTTATAATTCATTCAATCTTATATTGGTCACAATTATAGTACATTTTAAAAGTAATAAATAATTAAAGGCTTATTTTTAATTCACAATTTTTATTAATGTTATTTTTTAGCCTGTAAATATTAATTAAAAAAATACGAGTATACACTCAATAAATTATTCTTTACTAATCATACATACTAAAACGAGTTTAAAATCTATTATTTTATGAATATTACATTTAAATATTATCACTTAAAAGTAGCTGGATATTTTAATAGAAATAAACGTTTTATTACATTAGTTTTTAAATAAATTTGTAGATTTAGAATATATTTTTATTATAATTTTATAATTGGCAAATTTATATTTATTAATAAATGGCAATACATCAATCGGAAATAAAAATATAGGGAGTATTTTACAAATTTTAAAAGTAAGTAAATATTAAATTCGCAAATATTGAATTTACATATTTTAACTTCTAATAAATAATATTCATGGTATTTCTTCTGAATCGAGGCTATTATTCTAGAGCCATATAAAAAATTATAATTAATTATTACTGTGATTTTCTAAAACCTCTAATCTTAGTTACTCATTTTGGCATTGTATGAAGCAATACAATATTTATTTAATCACTAATAAATTATTAAATTAATAAATCTAAGAAACAAAATTTAATCTAAATATTTGATTTTAAATCTCTCTAATTTACTTACATTTTTTGTTAAGACTAACGCTTAAATAAATTAGAAATTTTTTTTCAATTTTTTCTAAAAACCATCTTATTTATTTTTAAAGAAAAATTAGATTTCATAATTTTAGAGAACAAATTTATTATGAAAACCATCATTACAATTTATTTGTTTATATATTTTTTGAAAAATATAAATATAACAACCTTTTTGAACAGATAAACCTTCTATTAAAAAAAATAAAGTTATTTATTTTATACATCTAAAATAGATAGGATCTATTAATTTATAATTATTTCTAGAACAAGATCTATTTCTTATTTTTGCTTAACATTTTATTTCAAGTTAAGTTGTTAAAATTTTTATGACGGATTACAACAAATAAAACTATATAATTGTATCAATTTTCAAGTTAAATAGTTATAAAGAAGTAATTACCACTTTTTATAGAATATTATTTTCAATTTAACACGATTTTTGCTATCCAAATTCTATAAGAAATTCAAAATTATTGTATTCGTAAAAAAATAGCCAATTTAATAAATACATTTGTAAGTATCTTTAAACATTCAGAATGATTTTTCATTTTATCTTATCACTAGATTTAATTGACTAATCAGCGGATTTTTTGACTGTTTACTTAAGAATTTTTTAGATTTTTTATTCCAAAAGACGCTTACAATTTAATATAGTTTTGCAGAAACAAAATTAAAAACAAATTTTAGTGTTTCTTTTTTCTTTTCTAACAGTTAAAAGTTGTTAAAAACATAAGTAACAAAAAGTAAGCAACTGATTAAAGTCTAAAAAGCCAAAATAATTAGTTTAAAGAACCAATTAAAAATGTTACAGAAATATCAAAAATTAAAACCCATGAGAAACTAGCATTCAAAAAAATATCATTCGGGTCATTTGGGGTTTATTAAGGGTGCTGGTGATACTTATGTAATTCATAATAAAAAATAAAAGTATTGTGCTTATTAATTTTGAATAATATTAAATTGGATAAATAAAATATGAATAGAAAATGTTTAAATACTCATATAAAATATATTATTTTTATTATTATTATTAGTTTTTAATTAATTAATAAATTTATCAAAACTTTTGGATGTATTTTTTTAATCATTTGTTTGCTTTAAAATAAGAAATCACATAAGAATTTTCTAATAGTACATCAATATCAATTACTTCTAATAACTATTTCGTTTTTTGTAAAGACTTTTCTATTCTCTCATAAAATTTATACCATCCTAAGGACAAGACTATTACAGTAGCACTTACTTGAGAAATAAGCAATGCCACATTCACATATATTAAATAGTCAAATAGTTCGTTTGTCATATATTCTAAGAAATAATTTAGTTACTGAATAACTATACTTGCTTACTGAATTGTGAAAGTTGAGTCTATTAATGAGTTTGATGAATCAAGCATTTAAAGATTTTTCTAAAATTATAAAGGATTATTTATATTATATAAATCACTAATTTAGCCATTAAATACAAATATTGTTTTCAAGCTTTAAACAAGGCCTTAGTCTAACAATTAATCACCAGCTTACTTGCATTGAGTATAATTAAAATTGATATCACTGTTTAAATATTGAGGGTTATTTTATATTACATCGCAAGAGTTTTTCTCTAAGGCTTTGATGATGTATTAATTATAATTATCTTATTTATATCTTGAATGACCATAAAAATTATTTTAATAATTATAAATATTATTCAAATAAGTTTATGAAGAGCTTTATAATTATTTTATTTTATCAAACAAAGGTTAGGGTGATATTGGTAAAACTTTTGGGTTAAGCTTTGCTACAAATCCTATGTACAAAGACCCAACTTAAATTTAAAGAAAGTGACGAGCTTCTGCCAATTAATCTTATTTTTAAAAACATAAGTTAAATAAATTATTTTAACAAAAAAAATAACTTACTCATAAATAATCTATTATCTATTGTATTATCAGAGTACATTTTTATCATAATAAAAATTGAAAATGAGTAAATCTGCAACAGGATAAAAAATGCCAAAGATCCAAGTAAGTTTCGGAAATTCATCTTTGCAAAATTAGAAGTTTGGCTAATATTTTTCTTTTTTTAAATTGTAATGTTAGACAACATATTTAAGTTACTTTATTTGATATACTTTCCACTTTCTTTTAACAAAATAGTCACGTTTTTTTTCATTTTTTTTTATTTATCTTTTTAATCTAATTCTTAATCTATTTAAATAAAATAATTACTAGTTGTTTCCAACATATATCTCAACTTTTCTGGTGAAATATTTGTCATTAATCTCAAGATTTATTCTCTTTTTTTTTGGATAAATATATAAATAGGTACTATGCTTATAGCACAAGCTAGAGTTATTAGTGAAATCGATATTAAATTTTATTGTTATTACAATAAAATTTAGTTCATATCATCACTATATTCATCAAAGGAATTATCCTATATTGATTTTAAAGTGTCATCAAGGTCATAAAAATTAAAAAATATTGTTGTCATGCTATACAAATCATATTATTTAGGAACTAATCTAAATTAATCCAAGTAACTTTTCTACATAATTAAAGTGTATCCTAAAGAAAATTATGTACTATAATTTGCCTATTACAAAGCATGAATATATGTATAGTTACTATCCATAATTTACCTAAATGATTGAATTTCATTCTTATCTCCTCTAGAGTATTGACTTGTTAAATTGGAATAAAAAATTCTTTGATTTTACATTTAATCTAAAAATTGTTGAATATAATATGTAGTCATTTTTGGGTCTTTTGGTTTTAAAAGTTTTATACTTATCAAAGAATTTATATAAAAATTTGTTAAGACAGAGCTAAGAGCAATTCTCAAATTACTGTTCCAGTCTAAGTAATGAAAGGATGTTTTTTAAATTTTAAGAAAACTTTATAGTTGAATAAAGTTAATCAAATTAATTAAAAATATTGTTGTTAAGGCTAGTATACCTATATAATTTAACAATCTCAAGCCAAGCATTCTTTTTTAAGATTTTATAGAGTTTATCACTTCTTTCCTATTTATAATAATTTTAAAATCAATAATTGAAAATTAAAATACTGTAATTTATTAAAAATTAGATTTAATCAAATCAAAGTGAATTTAATATTCTAAAGTTTAAAAAAATAAATTTTTTAAAAGATTACTTTGTTTTTGAATTTGTTGTTTTCATAGAACTTACGCTTTGCTCATATTCGTTGACTTTATTTTAGACAGGAATCTTATCTTAAACATTATTTTTAAAAAGTCTTATCATCTTGTTACTTGTTGAATTGGATATTGATTATTCTTAAATTTTTAGCTTTTTGGTTTATTTTGCTAAAGGACTGTATTATTCTGTAGAAGTTTATTTTGTTAATAAACGGTGATTTATTAATTGTTCAATATTAAAATCATTATTTTTATTTTTCAAAATAGAGTTTGTTAATATTTAAGAATTTTATTATTAACTATATTTTCCCTTTTATAATTCTAATTAAGTTGAAGACATGTTTTAAATTAACTATAAATTATCTAAATCATTCAATGTTGAAGTTTAATTGAGTAAATTTCTGCTTGTTATATTATTCTAATCTAAAGAAATTTCTTCTTTGTCAATGTATAGCTAAACTTCTTCATATTAAAATTGGTTTTAATCAAAGCTATTTATTTATTGTTATAAATTTTGTTAGAAACTTACCTAGTTTTTTACTTTTTAGTTTGAATTTTAATTAATTTATTTTGGAGTTGGTTACAGAAGCTAGACTTGATTACTTGATAATGATTCTTAACTATCTTATGCGACAGAGTTAAGATATTTTTTTAAATTAAATTAAATTGTTTCGTATTATTTAGTTGAACTGTAATCACAAAATTTTGTAAGCTATATATTAAGTGATTTAAGACACTCATACTTTAATTATTTTTCTTCTATTCTTGTAACTTAAAGCAACTCGAGCTAAGCAAGATTGATAAATTTTGATTATGATCTGTAAATTTAAAACTATATACAAAAAATTTCATTATGTTCGAAAATGTCATTAAAATAAGTCTAATTCTTATTATAATCTAATTAATTATTAGTTAACTAAGCTTTTGAAATTGGCTTTATAATGTAAGTTTCTCTTTCAGTTATGCTATTGTATTTGTCAATCATTTCATACAACGTGGGAGCTAGCAAATTCATATTAATAGATTGGACATGCTTTTATGTACATGAGTCTTTAAAAATACTCTCAAAAAGGGCTTACGACATAACAATTGGGGAACATTTTTTTTCTGTTTCATTGATTAATAGGCTTAAATATTAGTATGAGTTAGTTTCTTACTTTCTTATCCATGCAGAAACTCCTATTTCTTATTCGCCGATCTGATGAAACTAAGTTTTAATATTTAAGGGAATAGCCCATCCGTCTTTTGAACTTCCAATTTATAATGGAAAATTCCTTATATGAACTCGACTTTCTTGTTTTTCTAAATAATGTCTCAGTTCTTATTGATGAATTTCATAAATTTAATTTGGAATTATAACACTGAGGTTACTGTTTATAACTTCTTAATTAGTGTGTGAAGTTATTACTTCTTGAAAATTCTTTGATACTCTAATAATGTTTCCAAAATTGTTCATCAAAGAAACAAAAATTACACAAGAATCTGCACCTCTTAATGGTAGTTTATTGATAACATTAAATTTATTTATTTTCTTTTTGAATATATTTAGCTTTTCGCTAAATTAAAGAGTTTTTTCAAAGATGTTACATATATTTAAAAGTTCTTAATTGCATTCGTTTTTTGCTTGTAATTACAGAAGTTATGAATACAGTAAATTTTTTTACTTAATTAACGAAGATGCAGTTTGGTAAAGTAAATTTAAATCCACAAAATTATTTCCAAGAATTTAAATAAGATTGGCTTTTAACAAGAGACTGTCCTTCATTAGCTAAAGAGTTTGAGTATATTATTCATCAAATAATATAATATCATATAAGCACATTTTGGTAGATTCGTCAGCTTTATTTTTTTAAACAACTAAATCGTTTAATTTTTAGTTGGCAGATTCTTCCTTTTACAGTTCGATTGGTGCATAATAAAATAAATAATTTACAGCTTACTTGTAAATTAATGATTTTTAAATGTTTTTATTTCTTTTTAATTAAATTAATTCAGAATAGAAGAAACGAAAATTTTTTATCTGGTCTATCAAATACGCAAAGTAGCTAAAATGCGCAAAATCTAAATCCTTTCTGGGATTATTTAAAAGTGACTAGTATAATTTCAGTGTGTACTCAGCCATGAATTGCTTTCTTATTTCAGCTCCTAAGAACTACTCGCCTCCCTTAACAGCATTACTATCCTAATAAAAAAATTAATTGAGTAATCAATTTAATTATTCTTTTACAAAAAAAACATAGGACTTTTATTGAATTAATCATGTAAACAAAAATATTAGTTTACATTTAATTATTCTTTTTAAAATTTCTAGAAAAAAATATGGAGTTATTTTAAAAGTATAACAAGTCTTTGTCCAAAAATACCAATTATTTATTGCTTGAAAATAAAATTAACTGAGAGAATGATTGGAATAATAATTAAAAATATTTTATCAATTGATCTTACTTTGCTGCAGAAGCATTTTTCAGGTTGAGAGCAATTTTCTTTATGCTGGAGTATGATAGATTCTAAAAAAATTGAGTCTTAACTGTTTGTATATTCATCATATAAATATCTAATTTTTTGGTTTGTATCTCTTAAAAAAATATCGATTTCATCACAACTAAATTCTTCTTTGAAGTTTTTGTTTTTAATCACTTAATCAGATTTAGCATTTATTAGTTCTTACAAGCTTTTGAATTTATTTTTTAAATTACAGATTTGCATTCGAGTGATATTTGACACTGAATATCCAATTATTATCGCAACTGGCGATATTGATAGAAAACAAATGAAATAATCAAAACTATCTTATTTGATATTTTAAAAGCTTAAACTAAAAGCTAATGAGATATTTAGACAGTGCATGATACTGATTAGTTAATTTGCCTTTATGCTAATAATTTAATTGTAAAAGCAGTAATAAAAAACTTTTAAAAGATGCATTAAACCATTGTAAATACAAGGTAAAGTTAGATTATTAGTAGCCTGCAAAACAATATGACCAATTGCATATAAAAATATTCTTAAAAATGACAACAGCTAACGTCTTTTTGCAAGAAAATCTACATTTTGTGAGTACCTAAAATCAAAGTCATTTATTTCAATTAGTATCACTTTTTTATAAAAGAAAAATAATAATTAAATTTCATTTTAGTGAATAGTTAGTTAGTTATGAGAGTCTAATTATTTACTTAACAAAATTGAAAGAATTATATTAATAATTTTTTCTATAGAGATATTTCCTAAAATAGACCATCTTAATGTTGGAATAAAAAACAGATATTCATAAACTTATAATACAAAAGATACTATTTTGTAAATTTCTTCCTGTTATTAAATACTAGGATTTTTCCAAACAAAGAAAACAAAGTCTAAAAGGAAAAACAGTATTATTATTGAGTTCAAAGAAAGAAGCAGCATTGATATAAAAAAGGAATCTTCATTTTCAAAAATTATACTAAATACTTTTAAAATCTAACCATCGCTACTAGATTTTTGTATTTAGCTTTGATATGTCTGATTCTTAATATTAGCCAGGAACAAAAATAAGCATTTAAATATTATCAAGAAGCATGATAAATATTTTGGTCTTTTATATTACCTCTAGACAATATAGAGTCTCGAGATAAAGTATTCTGACATCTCCTATTTAATTTTTTTCATTTCTAAGTATTTTTACTTTTTTTGCTTTAATTTTCAGTATTTAATAAATATTTACAAAAATAAATTTCTAATTATTCTTTTCATAATTAATTCAATTTTTCTGTTAGCCGTGAATTTGTTTCGTTATAAAGTAAATTAATTACTTACTAATGGATTAATTTTTTAATTGCTTATTTATATTTTGGAAATCAAGTAAATTTAAGCTCATCAGTATTCTTTATTAAAAACTTCAGCTTACAGATTATAAACTGACATATACTGATATTGTTTAAAATAAATCAAAAGATATCTTAGCTTGACTATATAAAATAAGATAGCAATATAACTGCCATAATTTAATCAAAGAAAAAAAGTCAAATCTATAAATTTGTAGCTAAAAAAATAAGGTAGCCTTTTAAAAAATAAATTAGATTTTGAAATTTTGTTTTGTTTGTTACAAATCACGAAAGCTCTATCGAAAGATAATATTATAAAAGTATAAATTGATTAAAAGCAATTAAATAAATAATTAAAAATATTTGGAGAATTTTACAGATTGATATATATTAATTATAATAGAAGAAATGATTCTTTTAATATGTAATTACCTTATTTCCTCATAAATTTTATTACCCATTTAAATATAGCATACTAGCTTTATTTTTAACATTTTTTTAAATATCTTGCGTATTTTGTATTTTGTTTGAAGGGGAATTTTAGTGAGGAAATCGGATATTTATTTAAGGAGAAGAAATAAATTAATAAATAATATGAAAGAAACTTAATATACAATGTAAATACTATTATTTAATTATAAAATCTAGATTATTTCCTTACACTTTTAATTAGGGTTAAGTGTAAAACTAAATGAAATTCTGTAAACTAAATTATTCAATAAATAAGTTCTTTTTTGAAAAATGATTGAATATATTGATTCTTGAGTATAATTTTTGGATCAAATATGTCAATACACTCTTTTGTTTTTTATAGCTTTTTTGAATTAAAAGTTTCTAATTTTTATGCCTTTATGATGATAAAAATTACAGCCGATGTGATATTTATAATGAAGATTATTATTGAAAAAGATAAGAATTTTTCATAAAAATTTTAAAAGGATATCATCTGTTTGTTGATTATACTTTCTAAAAGAAAATCTATAGCCTATTTAAGCAGAAATATACTTTAAATTGAATTTTAGTTATTATAGCTTTTTATGAACTATTCTTGATTTACATTATCTGATGCTAAAATTTACATTATTGACTATGTTTTTTAGTTATAAAGTTTTAAAGAGGAAACTAATCCTTTTTACAGGATTCCATTTTCAATTTAACTGCATTATTGCTAAATAAAATTATATAATTTTGGATTTAATGTTGAATCTATTAATTTCATTTATTAGCAGGAATTATTCTCAAATATATTTTGTACAAACTCTTAGTTGCTGTAGTTATTTTTATTAATTTCAGTTACTAGAAGTTAAATTATGCTGCTACTTTGAGAGATCTAATTATTAATTTCAGCTTGTAAATTTGGGAAATTAATATTTTATTCATCCTATCCTAGTAAACAGTATGTACTGATAGATGTTACAGTTAACTAATTTGCTATATTTTGCTCTGTTTCAGAAACTATTTCTAAAATTTAATAAAAATTCTTTTTAAATAAAAAAATTAAATTTCTTAAAATTAATTACATATGAATTTTTAGTTATCTTGGATTTGTTATATTGTTGTTGACTGAAGAATAGATATAAGAACAAAAGTTATAATGATTAGAATAAGAGTTAAAAATGAATAGCAAATTAGATAATTATTGTAGACCTTCAAACCCTGAGTAGAGCTTATATTTTTTCTCTTCTTAATTTAAATATCTGCTGAGGAAAGTATTAATTCTTTTTTCACATTCTCTTTTTTAAAATAATTCAAATCTTTCTAATTTTACTAATTAGCGAGTACATTTTATTTGTGGTTAATAATTTATTATTTTGTTTTTTGGATTTCTTAGTTACAAGATTCTAATAAAACACTAAGATCTTATGGAGAAAAAGTCGAAAACAGCTTTAGAGTTTCTTCCTTTCTTTTTTAGAACAAAGTAAAGTTATAATTATAGATTGCGATTAAAAGAAACCAATCAATTAGAATTAAAATAGTTAAAATCATCAATTAATTAATATTTTGGTCGTGTGAATTTTGTATATCATTTTAGTTAGCTTGCTATAATTTTTATAACTCATCTTTGTAGTTTAAATTATTTTCAGTAAAGTAAGAAATTAAATTATTTAAAGGTGGCCTGTAAAAATCATTTAAGAGCTAAGAATATGTTTACACTATTGAAACTTCTAAATTTTATTTTTTTGATAACTTTGTATTGCCTTTAATTTCAGTAATATAAGTCATAGTTGAACTAACTATTTGCTATAAAATTGTATTTTCAGTATCTTTGCTATTAAATATGATGCTGCTAATTAATTTTTAATAATCTCCAAATGTTTAAACTGTCTCTAAATTAATCAATTAACTAATTAAAGATGAATTAGGTTGATTTTGTATAAGATTATTTTAAATCAACTTGCCTAAGTATTTATATGTTATCAAATCTTAAATTGAGGAATTAATTTCATTAGCAAAAATCATAAATTTAGACTAGTTTAAACCTTACTATTAGCTTTAAATTGATAAAATTAAGAAGAGAACACTCATCAATATAACACAGAGGACTAAAAAAAGACTAAGTACATTTAGTCCTATTGTTTTAATATCTATTTTCTCTCTTGATATATTTCTCTTTAGAATTTAACTTTTATTTAAAAATAATTTTATATTATTAAATATTATAAAATGAATTATATTTACAATAAACTCAGCTTGGTTGAATCAGAACTGATGGAGCTTTACTGATATCTATATTTTTTTTACTTTTTTTTTATTTTCTCAAGCCTCTTTACTGGTTGTTCCTAACTCACTGAAATTTAATTAGATGTCTGGATCTCTGTTGAAGCTAATTAATATTGCAACAATTTAGAGTTTTCTTTGGGAGTCAAAATTCTATTTGTGCTTAATATCATATTTTCTTAGGAAGGGATATTCTCTCTTTTTGAGCTTACCATAGGAATATTCATAAATGAAATACCTTTATTAGCTGTAGGGGTTTGAAGTTTAAGGCTCACTTATGAACTAATTTACTCATAATACCTAGCTAACTCGTTTCTTGGAGTTATTATCTCCTAATTCTATAGCTATGACTAGCTTATAAGTTAAGTGTAATTACTTTTTAAAAATGTTGATCTTCTCTGCTCATAATTTTCTGTTATTTTGGCTAAAGTTGGAGGAGAGCTTTCTTCTTAATCTTCTGAAGAATTTTCATTTTAAATATCTCTTTTTGTAAAGAGTAAAATTGTTTATGATTTTGATTAGTTTAAAAAGTTTGAATGAAACTAAAAAAACTAATTTAAATGACTTTCGACATCTTCAATATTAATTCCTTGATATTCTACTAACTATTTAGCTAGAATCCTAAAGTTTTCTCTGATTTCTAATGTGCTTTAAAGTTTAGATAGATACTTAATCTTCATTTAAACGAAATGAGTAAATTTGTTTTTGATTTGTATTAGTTCTGCTCTCATTACAAATAACTCATACTAATAAAGTTAAAAAAAAACATTTGTTTATGTATTGCTGTAGTCGTTTGAGAAGTTTATATGAGTTTTCTTACAGTCTTATTTTGTTTTAGGTTTCAAAAATAATATTTCTTATTCTCTACTAAGATCTGCTTTTTAGAGTATTCCCATCAAAGAAGGGGCTAAGTTTCCAAAATAAATATTTTGAATTTCAGATTGTTAAAATACATCCTAAAATAAGATATCATAAAACCTTTTATCTAATGCAATAGCATGATTGTAATTGCTACCAGAGAAAGTGTTATACAAGGTTTTTTGATATTCATCTTAAGAAACTTGCTTAAGCCAAGCAGAAGCTCCAAGTTCTTGATCCGACACTAGAAAAACTTATATTTTAACATCATAAGGAATTGCCCATCCATTTCTGTCAACACCTATCAAGAGAGGATAATTTGATATACCTTCTGATATAAGCCCTCTTTGGACAAAATTTTTTAAGATTAAATCATGGACAGTTGATATTTCTTAAGGCATCATGAAACCAATATTTTTTCCTATTGCTTGCTCGTTTGTCATAATGGGAACAACGTCTTAGAAATTTTCTGATACTTTGCAGACAAGGCCTAAATTACCTAATAAAGATACAAAAATAACACATGAATCTTTAGAAAACTGATAAAAAGCATTCAATCCTTTTCTATACTGCAAAACCATTTTTTTTGCATTTTAAACATAAAAATTTGTAAAAATCAAGTTTTAGTTAGTAAGATTAGATTCATAGTCGATACATAAATTTTAAAGCTCGATAGATTAATAATTCAAAGTAACCAATTAGTATAAATTATTATAAAGAAAACCTTTTTGTTTGGTAATTTCTTAAAATTATTTGTCTAATTAGTTGAGCTTAATGTGGTCATTAGAAATAGTATCTAAGAGGCTCTTTTTGAGCTCTAGACAAAATAAATACTATTTTTAAGCTTCAAATAATTTTTACTCAAAATTAATTGTTTCTATAAGCTTCACTTTTTACTTTGATCTCTTGATTTAGTTTACTAATTTTTATTGTGCATTTTTATTTAAGTTTTTCTATATTTAAATAGTTTAATTGCTCTATGTTTCCAATTTATCCTCATCTCCAGTATTGAAAACTGCTTTGGCATAATTAAAAGCAACTTCTACTTTCTATAAATTGATCATACTTTTTTTGCAGTATTTTTTAGATTTAAGAATCTCAACCAAAGATAAAGTTTAGTTTTCCATTACATCTATTAAGAAGTAGTAAAAACTTTATTTGATCATTGGAATATCTTGATCTGATCCTAAATTATTTAGAAACATCTAGCGAAAAAAATCATTCAAGTATTTGCTTCTTAGTTTGTTTCCTAGAAATTCATCTCTTTAGGAAGTCTCAAACAACAAACTCTTGGTATAATTTTAAAGGTAAATTTAATAATTATTTAATTAAATATTTTTAAATAGAAATTTTATGAAAAATAATTTTTTACCCTTGAACAATAGCAATATATTTAATTTGAGCAGTTTTATTTATGCAGCAAAACTATTTATTCGAAAATGATGCTCCAAATATTATTTTAATATTCATCTTAATGCAACTAAATAGATTAATTCAACTGTCTTATAACTAAATCTAATTGATATTGATTGATTTTAAAAAAATCATTTGAGTGTGAATGCTAATTCTAAGGTTATTCTTTTATTTTTAACAATCTTTATATAATATCTTTAGTAAGTTCCTCTACATTAAACATTTTCTAATAAAAACAGGAATTTCCAAGAGTGTAAATTAAAGGAATTAATAGGGTTAAGCAGATGAAAATAGAAATATTACTTATCATCTTAATAATTAGGATAAATATAATTCCACTACGTATTGTTTAAGAAATAATTTGTAATTTAAAAATCTTGGTTTAAATATAAAATATAAATTTGAAGAGTAAGTAAATTTCAATCGAATTAATTATCATTTGTAATAGTAGCTGAAAGAAAGTTAAATTAACTGAGCTGATCAACTTGTAGATGCAAAATTAAAAGACCTAAAAGAACACATTTTAAACACAATACCTTTTAGCCAAAAAATCTTAATGATTGAATCTAAAATCATAATCATTTAAATTTATGAGCAAAACTATTAAAATTAAATATTTTATTAACAAAATTATCTATCTATAAAATAAATTTTACCATTCAAAAGAGAAATCACGATATTGCAAAGACTTAGAGGCATAAATTATTAATTTATAGGTTGAATAGCAAACAGTATCTAAAATGTATAAGGATAAATTTATATTAAGAAAGAAAACACTGTTTGTATAGTGTTTACTTAATTTATTGGTTTCTAAACCATAACTGAATAGGCTAAGTAGAATATTAAGGAAGTATTTATAACAATATTTAATATTTCTATACTAAGCTATAAGGATTGGTTTTTATTTAATTGAAAAAAACTCTATTAAAAATAACTAGGTTCTTCATAGTTGTATTCGTAAAGGAGCTTTGAAGTTAATGGAATTAAAGGCAGAATGTTTTAAATTATTACTAAAATAACGCTAATATTATAAGGCCTTTCATATATCTTAATCAAGAAATATAATCTTTTGATATAAAATTATTAAATTTTTTTAAGGGCTTTAGAAAATAAGCTTTTCGATTTTGAGCACTTCATCTTTTTGGTATTTTTAAATTTAAATGAATGATTTAAATATTATTTATTAGTTCTAAAATATCACACTCCGCGCTTTTATTTGCACACCAGAAGTAGAAGAATTAATTCGATTTATTAATATATTTTTAAATTAAATCAAAGTAATAATTTTGTAATTCTATTTTACATATCTTATTTATAAAGCTATAAAAATTTAATTCTTGATAAATACAAAAAGATCAATAATGTTCTCAAGCAAAGAGATATTTATGCATGATATTTAAACAATATTTTTTTGTTAGTAAATTTAAAAAATGGAACAAATCTAGATTTTCTTTAGAATAAATAAATCACAAAATATGACTTAATTTTGTTAATTAGTTAAAAAAATTTAATCAATCTTAAAGAAAGTTCTATTTTACTAATTCTTTGAATGAAAGAAATACACAATAGAAACTAGTAATTAATTCTTATATATATAATGCGAAATTAGAAAATTATGTTTTTTACATATACGCAATTACTAATATAGCTTGATTAGCTTAATCATATTATAGCTTTCTTGAATCATTAAATAAATTTTATATTTTTACCATTATTCAAATTAATAGGTTACAAATAGTATATTAACCAAATTTTTAAATTCATTGTAAATTAAAAATTTTTATTGAAAAAATTAGTTGCCACCAGATAGTTGTAATTGTAATATAAATAATTAGATTTTTAGAAATTTCTAATTTAATTTATTTAACTAAATAAGCTGAAAAGCTAGCTACAGAAACAATAATATTAATTATAATTATTTACTAAGGCTTTAGATTTTTAAAATAATATAATATTTAATAAAGCAAAATTAAAAAATATTTATTTAAGATTGCCATTTTAAAATTTTAGAGAGTAAATTAAAAAGTTTTTTTGTAAAAAGTTATTTTTAGATAGATTTGATGAGCAAGTTAAGCTGCTTTAATTAAATTTTGTTTACATTACTTTTTCATATTACTTTTCTTTGAATATAGGTATGTTAGCTTACATTAATTTATATAATTTTACATAAAAATGTTATAAGTATTGTTAGAATATTAATGAATAAATTTTAAATAGTAAGATATTAGGTTAAGAATTTTTTAAGAAATCAAACATTTTTAAAAATAATAAGTTTTCATTGAATATGAAATAATTTATTTAGATTAATTTTGATTAGCTTGAATAATATTTTATAAAATACAATTTTAAATTTATTATAAAATGAAGATTTACAGGAAAAATTATTAAATAAATTTGTTATTAAAATATGAACAATTTCAAAATTTTTTATTAAAATATTGAACAATTTTATTGTTTTGTAATAATATTTCTTCATCTATTATCAATAAAATACGCTTACTTTCAATAAGTTAATTTTACATTAACTTGAAATATTTAAACCATCCTAAATATATTACTAAGGCTATTATCATAGTTTGTAATGCAAATAAAAGAATGTATATACTAGAGACCTCATTTAAAATTGAATTTGTTTAAAGTAAGATAAAGTTTTTTAGAAGCTCAAAAATTTAAGAGATAGATTAGTTTGTTTAGAAAAATTCATCCAATTAGTAGGCTTACTATAACTAATTTAAATATGAGAAAGCTTCTTAATTAGGATTAATTAAAATGATATTTATTATTTATTTTTCAATATCAAAAATACTTTTGATAGCAGTTATAAGTCCTTGTTAAAATATCCCATTATTTTGCTCAATACAATCTTATTAATTGATTTGAAAATCATCAGTTAAATATTAAGGATATTTAAATATGGCAGTGCAAGCATCACTTTCTAAAATTTTAACAAGATAATCTTCATAAATTTTTTATTTTTTTGTAGATTAACTGCTGAAAAAATTTTGATACTCTAAAAGTTTATTTAAAATTATGGAGTTTTAGCTTTTATAAGTATTTTAATTGATAGTAATATAATTTGCAGCATCTCTATTGAATTATTATGGTTGAAATTTAGCAGAGATAGAAACGTATTACAACTACTCTAAGTATTTCACTTAATATTGAGAATCATTTAAAATACCTATAATTTTAAATAGATTTTAATAAAATATTTAAAATATTTGCTTATTTTACCTTAAAAAGTAGAGTTATCTTATATGTTCTGACTTTACAGCTTGAAGTAGAAATAAACAGAAATAGAATAGAATTGAAGAAGTAAAAATGCTGTTGTTAATAACGATATTAAACTAAACCTTATTTTTTTCAATTTTACAATTTCAGAGAAGCCCCTTTTTTTCTAAATTTTATTTTAAATATGATCTAAACTAGCCTTAAAGGAAAGAAATTCTAGGTTAAGTTTGAAAGCATTTTTCTCAGTAGATTAATTATTTTTTAACTTGAATGTTGAATTTTTTAGCTGTTAGTGAAACGATTAAACACTTTTCTAAATTTTATAAATCATTTTTCTTAACTATTCAGGGTGAAAAGTTGTTAATAAAAATATAGTTTTTTCCCTATTAAATTCTATATAAAAATATATAATAGTAATAAATACTATTAGCAATAGACTCACAACTAACATATAGAATAGTTAATAATAGTTCTAACTAAGTTTCTCATTTAAATCAGAAGTGAGTTTGTCATTTGAAAGTTAGTTTATATCTATTAGGGACGACCTCACTTTATCAAAATTATCATACAATTCTATAAGACCTTACTATTCCAAATAATAATTTTATTTGTTAGAACTTAAATCCCCAAGCAAATTAATAAGATTGAAACCTAAATATGTATTAATCCTACTATTTTAGTTTTCACTTTAAAAATAAATGATCTCCTTTGCATTTAAAATTTAATTTTTTTGAAACTCATCACCAAGGGCTTCGTTCATTATTTAGTTTAAATCATAATTAATTTTTTGTAAAAGTTGATTATTAAGTTTATAAATTGTTTAAATTAAAAATTCTTTTTATTAATTCTAGTTCAATTATAATAAGTTATTATCTATTAAAAAGTAAAAAAAATAATTGGAAAAAATTGAATCAAATTAAATTCTTAAGCCAGAATTCCAACTTGATTTATCAAATACAGACTTTTAATCTTTGAAAAATTATTAAAATCCTATGAAATTGACTAAGTAGAGTATATAAACAGTAAAAAATAAGACTATCCCTAAAATATTTATAATAAAATATCTTCTTGTAGTCTTCTCTGATTTGATCTTCTAAAGAGTTTGCCTTTATATTTTATTTTAAATATTTAAAATTTAATATTAATTAGATTTTTTAATTAATGAATTACCTGTTTTTTAACTAGAAAATGTTCATATTGCTTTATTCTTTAATATTTTCTAAATTGAATTATTATTGTTGTTATTATTATTATTAAGATTATTAGTTTTACTTTCCACTTTTTTGATTTTATTAAATTGCTTTCAACTAAATTTAAGCTACCTATGTAAAGTTTTAGTTAGAAATAGCAAATTTATCTGGAGAAATATCAGTTGGATTCTCTTAGATATAATTATACATATAATTATTTTCCAATTTGCTATCGCTTAAAATACCCCTTGAAGTTGAATACTGTTATTGATATATATTCTTTATTCTATCATTTTCTTAGTTTAGTTCTAATGATTATTATTTTAAGTAATAGGGATTTAATTTGAATTCATATCTACTTGTATAATTTTATGGTGTTCCTTCTTATTCAAAATTATTTTTATAACTTTGCAACAACTGTAAAGTTTTATCAGTAGAGAATTAAGGCGATGTTATCTAGATGATATTTTATTCAATATTAAGACCTCTTCTTTGACTAGCTAATTAATCAAAATCCATTAATTCTTAAATTGAAGGAGAATTAGTCTTACATAGTAATTGGTTGGCCTGCTATTACTTATTATAGATGATATTTTAGTTTTCTTAAAAGTTCATTTATGCAAAGCCCTTGTTTAAATCTTATTAGCTTTCTTGTAAGAGTTTGTTAGTCTAAAAAATTCGTTAAGAAAAGTGCTTGTCTTTTAGCTAAATACAATTTTTATAAATTTCATCTAAACTAGTGCTAGATTGCTCCTGTATAGCATCTTCAAGCTATTCAAATTCTTTCTAGAACGCTTCCAATACTTCTTATTTAAGCTAGCTACTCAAGATTAATTGCATATTTTCAATTTCAATTTAGATCATGCATACATATTTATTTTGATATCTATATTGATTTATTACTCCAAAAAAAATTTATTTCTTATCTAAATCTCTATTTTCAAAAAATGAGATGTTTCTATTTTGTTTTTTATAAATTTCATTTACTGATTCTACAACAATACTTTCGTAGCTTAAGTAACTTTCTTGAGATTTTAAGTAAAATTATAATATAGGCATTATGCTGACTGGGTTAATTTTATTCAATTCTTAGTTGCTAAAATGACCTTTACTAAAAATAGCAGAGTAAAAATTTTAGGAAACTGTTAAAATTTCGTAATTTTTGATTTCTTCATTATAAAAAAGGCTCATATAGTATCTATTATTGCTATTCAATTTTTTAATTTATCCGCAAAGGCCTATGTCATCATTTCCTATTTAATGGTTTTACAATTTTAGTTGATAAGGAATAGCATAACCTTCTGAATCAACTCCTAATTGCATAGGATGTTTTTTCAAATTTTTAGTAAATGAAGTTCTTTCGCTGTAACCTTTAAGCATATTTTAATGAGGATCTTAAAATCTCTTTGGAAGGATAAAGTTAAGAGTCTTTCCTATGATTGAAGAGTTGCTATAATTTATGAATACCTTTTCAAAATTCTATGAAACTTTAACTATTTGGTTTTCTTTCTATAGCAGAGAAATATAAACAGCACATGAATCTTGCTCATTTAAAATTCTAACAATTTCTTCCGAAATAGAATTTTTTTATGTTTTAATTTCTAATTTTAATTTCTCATCACTAGAAATTACATAAAAATATTAATCACACAAATGCTTTAGATTCTGATTGAAATTATTTTGTTTGGCAAGTTTACTGATCATCGCAAACAGTTTTTTGTTCTAAATTTAAAATTTTTTACAAATATTGAGTAGCTAATTCAAGTCAACTATGTCTTATCCGATAGTTAAAATCACCTCTACCTTTAATTTAAGACAATAGAAAAATTCTTTTAAAGCAGATATCAGTAATTCATCAAAAATTATTATATCGTACAGACTAAATTCTTTGATTGATAGAAACTATGAATTTTTATTAAGCTAATTTAATCTTAAATTAATTTTGTTCGTGGTAAAGGACTTTTAGAGAGCTAAATAATTTAAAATTTAGAAAATTTATTTTCCTTTCGATGTATTTAAAAGCTGCTTGCAATTATTAAGTTTAATAACCTCTAGTTATATGTGTTTTTCGTTGTTCAAAACATCAAGCAAATAGCTGTAGTAGCCATATTTAGCTTAACTAAACACTTCTTTCTCATTTTTTATTTTTTGTTTATAAAGATTTATGGTGAAATCTTAAATGTATTTTTTTCTTATCTCATCACCTAAAAATTAGTATCTTAAATCTTCTTGTTATTAATTTTACTTTGTCTAAATAAAAAATTGAAATTTTAGAAATAATAATGATATTTGAAAAATGGGTTGATTACATTACAGCAAAAGCAATCTCTTTGGTTACCACAAGTTAGCTAATGACTCAAAATGATATGCTCAAGTATGATAGAATGTTTATTTTATGCGTAATCTATGTAAATAGTTTTCATATTCTAGTTTAAATATCTCAAAATTATGTCTATTTCATTGGCTGAAAGATTTACTTCTTTATACTCTTAATTAAGAAAATATAGCTGAGTAGTTTACAATTTTTTAATAAGAAAATTGATTCTTGTTTCCATCAAAATCTCAGATAGTATGTAACCAAAAGGGAAGAGGGTGATTATGTAAAATGAGAATGTAGTTTAAGTATTTTCAAATGGTTAAAAAACTAAAATAGCCAGCGAAAAGAGTATTTAATATAAATAAACTGAATTTATAATCACTTAAATTTTATTTTTAATATATGGCTGATAAATTAAGTTGATAGCAAATACAATTATGAAGGCAAACAAGTTAAGAGTACTAATTAAATTTTGATTGGTTGCTAATCTTGAAGCTAAAATTTGAAATATCTCTACAAATTTTGAGATTAAATAGATTGAGTTTATTTTCTTAGATAAGAAATCTTTGGTGTGAAAATTTAGGTGAAAGTCATTTCCATCAAGAATAAGGACTATATTTATTAATATTAATTACATAATCTAATTAAATTTGTGTAAATTTAAACCAACAAACTAAATAATGCTTTATTTTTGGTTAGTTATTAATTCAAACAAAATTACTTTTGGTGAGTTATTTATTCAAATAAAATTAAGTTTTTTTATGGCATTATCAATAATTAAATAAAATATAGTAAATACGCATGAATATCTATGAAAGAAGATATTTAAAAAATTTAAAAATTATATTGATATAAAAAAATTTACCTATTATAATCGTCAATACTATATTAGAAATTTTGATAGCTGAAATATCTCCAGAAAACGACAGTCTTAAAATCGGTATGAATAGAAAATAAGAATAGAAAGATAATATAGCTGATAGAAGGTAAGAGGTAAGAGTAAATTTAAATTCAGTCTTTTTCTTCATTTCACTGAAAATGAATAGGTAAATAAAATAAGAAATGAAGTAGAGAATAACCATTACATTTAAAAGTAGGATTATTACTGAAAATATTTAAATCTTGCTTTGCTCTTCATATAGATTGCTCAAATATATTAATTATTAAAGAATTTAATCAGAACTGTTTTGTAATCTTTTAGAAGAAGACAGATTCAAAATAGTGAGATTAAGAAACTTAAATAGTATCGAAAGACCACTTATTATTTCATTTCGTTTAAATAATCTTAGCTTGAAGTATAATCTCCAAGCATATTCTTTATCAAAGAATAGCTTTAGCTTTTTGAAGTAATTAAGCATGGCCGAATTTGTATGAATTACTTTTTAATTGTGCCTATTTTTAATTAATAATTAAAAAAATTAACCTTGAAATAAACTTTGATACTATTTATTTATTATTGTTTATCCAATTAAATATTTTTAAATTATTTTCAAAATTATTAATGTTTGAATATTAATATACTGTTTAAAAAAATTTGATTCAAATAATTTGCAGATGTATTTATTGCTCTTACTTTTTTTTTGTTTGATTACTAGTTGAAATTTGAAAATTTTTTTGAAATAATTAGATTATTTTATTTTTTTTGAACAATTTGATGAGTTTTTAAATCATTTTTTATATCATTTTAAATTTCAAGAAAAAATCTTTTATTATTTAAAATTTAAATTAATATGTTTATCAAAGAAAATTGTAATAAATCCATAAAATCAATAAACGGCGAATTATATATATAATTTATACTGTAATTGTTTAAAATCAAAATTTTAATAAACTATTTAGATTTATATGGGATATAAGTTATTTTTCAAATAAGTAAAAAAATTATATATGAAAATAAATTAATATTATCATTTTAGTGATTTATTTTAAACAAATAATATAATGTAGCGTATAAAAATAGATAATTACAAAATAATTAAGATTTAAATTAATATAGTATTAATATATATAATTAACTAGAAAATTCTAGTTTACAAAAACAAAAAATAAACCTAAAGCATTTAAGTATGAACATTTCTACTTATCAATGTTAATGGAATTTCAAATTCTATATGTAGTTTATAAATAAATGATATTAAATTCTTAAATATTTGTATGGAAGATATTTATAATTTTAAATTTTTATCATGATTATAAAAGAATCAAGAAGATAAATCAAATCTTTCAAATTATTAGATTTTGTCAATATATAAATTCTATTAAATCAAATAAAATAGATTATAAAAGAAAATAAAAAGTAATCATAATAAAAATCCTAATAATTTTAGAAAATCTCCTAATAAAGTTACTACTGAATTCGCATATCAATCTGTTTTTTGCATTTGTATGGTAGAAACGTATTGTTTTGATTAGTAAATAAGATAAAAAATTAAGTTATTGTGTACTTTAAATTTATGATATTAACTAGTAATCATTAAAAATTAAAATAAAATCTTCGAAATTATTGGAATTATGTTCTATGGTATAATTTTATTTCTGGAAATATTCTATTAATTAATGAAAAAAGTAAGTTAACAACTCTATGACTAAATTAAAAAATACAGACTATCAATAGTTATTTATTTACTTTATGAAATTAGATAATCAATTTTGAAAATTGTTGTACTGCTTAAAAAAACAATTTAACTTTTTAAATGAAATTAAGTTAAACATTTTATTATAGTATTATTATTTTTGCAAAAAAAAAAAACACCTTTTAATATATATCCTCTTTTCACATGCCTCTAAATTCACCTTATGGTCACAGACCTATAATTATATTTATTCCTAAAAATATTTTTTGACAATAACAATAATTGCTTAAATCTTAGAAACATATACACTATATTTTCATATAATCTAATAATCTAAAATATCTTTAACAAATTTATATATTAGATTCTATATAAATTTTGTTTAAAAAATTAATTAAAAAATGTTTTAAAACAACTAGAAAATATTTAATATACAATAAGAAAAATATGTTGCTAAATTTGTGGATTTTTTGAAATTTATTAACATATGTATTAGAATATCAACAGTAATTGATAAATATATTTGTTATAAATACATTTATTTTTCTATAATTTATTAAGAATGTATCTATTTTCTTTGACTTTTGAAAATGATTTTAAATGCCTAGTAAATTATTAATTAGTAATTCATTTTTAATTTGTGTTTAAAAAAATATTTAAAACCCAAAAAAAAATAAATAACCAAGATTTATGGCTTCTATTTGCATAAATTATATTTGTGCTAAATTTTTTTACTTTAGCTTTGAAAAGTTAATGATTAAAAAATAATAAGTAAGTTTGTTGGTTAATAGTAAAATAGTAAAACAAATATATAAGTTATAGATAACAATTATTTTTTAAATTTATTTAATCCTTATTGTATAGTTTTTTACAAAATTAAACTATTTTGTTGTTGAAATTAATCACCAATAGCAATACTTTAAAAACCATTTATTTATTCTTACTAAATATTTCCTAGATTCATCCCAAGCTAGCACTAAAATGGAAAATGGAGCAGCAGGAAACATAAACTAAAAGAAATCAAGTGGACGTCCACCAAATACATTATTTACACCAGGAGTTAAGACTAAGAAAATTGCTAGTATAGTTTCAAAAGCAATACCTTTAATCATTTAACTGTTATATGGCGAAGTTGCAAATGAAGATTTTCTACTCTTGCAAGCAAAAATATTACTCCATTAAAAGAGTACTATGCAAACAAAGAAACAAGATTATGTATATTTTAATCCATCAGTAGAGTAGCAAGCTGTGTTATGAACAAAACTTGAGTAGTTGTGGTCAGAGTTAACATGACATTCACTCCATTTAGAAACAAGAGATTTCCATTAACCAGTTTTTGAATCACAACTTATAAATCCTTTTCTTAAATCATATTGACCATCTGAAACCAAGAACCAGTCAGGAGTCCAGCTATATTAATCTAAGATAGATTATGGGACTTTTGTACAATCTGTGTAGTCTTTTAATGTGACAGGATCTTGCATAACATTTTAGTTATACATAACTCCTAAAGGCTTATTAGAATAGTCACCAAAATCATGGATAGGAGGGTAATATCCACTATAGTTGGCCATTCCAAATAATTCCATTATGGGGAATCCGTAATAATTTCTATTTTAGAAAATTTTGTTAAGAAAATTATTTATTATTTTAAAAAGCAATTATATGATTTAATTTAAAAAAATATTACAATGAAGTAAAGTATGCAATAAAACCAGCAGCCATTGACATTATTCCCATAAGGCCATATGAATGTGTCATTAAAACAAGTGAGACAATATGGTCATCTTTTGATCTTGGTTTTCTTGTCATGATATCAATTTCAGCTTCTTCATATGCAAGAGCAATAGCAGGATAAAGATCTGTTCCGACACAAATGCAAAGCATATAAATATTTGTTAAAGGAAGGGGAATTGCCCAAATGATTGTTGCGAGGAAAGGAAGAATTTCTGGGACATTTGAGCATAAAAGGTAAACGAAGGTCTTTTTAAGGTTATCAAAAATCTTTCTACCTTCTTCAACTCCTGATACAATAGAAGCAAAGTCATCATCAAGAAGAACCATATCAGCTGCATCTTTTGTGACATCACTTCCGGTTAGATTCATAGAAATACCTATATCACCTTACTTAATAGCAGGAGAGTCATTTACACCATCTCCTGTAACGGCAGTGATAAATCCTTCTTTTTAGCAGGCTTAGACTATTTATAATTTTTGAGCAGGAGTTGTTCTTGCAAATACGCAATAAGGTTTTTTAACCCATTTTCTTAAAATAGAATACTAAGGTAAACCTTCCTCAATTTCTTTATCTAAGGATGCTACAATTCTATCACCGTGGACAACAATAGCATCAGCTTATTCGACAGCTTGTTCCCAAGTACATCCTTGTTCAAACATGATTTCTTCAGAAGTTTTTACAAATTCAGGAATTATATTTACCTAATTTATATTAATTATTCAAAAACCTATTTAAAATAAATGTTAAATTTACTTGTCTTGCTATAGTGGCAGCAGTTGGAGGTTGATCTCCTGTAACCATAATAACCTTAATACCAGCGCTACGGCATTCAAGAATAGCATAAGGAACTCTTGTTTTAGGGGGGTCAATAAGTGAAATAAGACCAGTGAAAATAAAGTTTTTCATTTCAAAATTAAAGTTGTTTGGATTTGAAACAACAAATTCAGATTTACCGAGAGGGAAATCAGCTCTTGGGAGGTGAAGTTTAGCAAATCCTAAAACTCTTTCACCATTTCTACCGAATTTAAGATTGACATCATTAAAAATTTTTTAGGTAGCAGAATCGATTTTTTAAGGTTATCCATTATTTTGAATAAATGAACAAAAAGTCCATATTTTTTCAGGAGCACCTTTAATATAAATGCAATAATCACTGTCTTAAGTGGGAAGTTCAACAATTGTTAATGCAAATTTAACATTTGAATTGAAGGGCATTTTTGCCTCAGTTTCTATTATTAAAAAATGTAATTTTAGTTAAATTTATTTTTAAAGCAATAAAATTTTTACTGTCTTTGTTTTAAGGAACTTTGAATTGTTTACGAGTCTCTTCAATGTCTTAAATGTATTAGAAGAATCTAACTAATCCAGTTTCAGTTGCATCACCAATGACATCACATTTCAAGTAATTAATATTATTTAAATCTGCCAATTTAGATCTATCAAATTTTGCTTCACTAGAGATCATAGCACTTTTATGTAGCTCTTTGAAATCACTACCGTTTTCATCATATTCTAATTTAGAATGATCTGTTATTAAAGATTTGTTAACAGCCCTGATTGTATTTAAACCATACCACATATGTTCAACAGTCATTACGTTTTATGTTAATGTTCCTTTTTATTAAAAATCAAATAATCAGTAATTGTCATAATTAAAAAAATTCTTTTTAAATTTGATTTCAGTTAAACTAACTTAATAATTAATTAATTAAAAAACAAGAAAAAGCAAAAATAAATATCTAAATTCTATTTATTAATTAATTAATTAATACCTGTCTTATCTGAGCAAATGCATGAAGTAGATCCTAAAGTTTCTACTGCTTCAAGGTTTTTTACTAAGACATTCTTACCGTGGAGGGCTTTAGCAGTAATTGCCAAAGAAACAGTAATGCATCCTAATAATCCTTCAGGTACATTAGCAACAAGAATACCAATACCAAAAAGAACACAAGTGATCAAGTTATAACCAATAAGTAAGTAAGCTAAACAGAAGAAGAGTATACCAAGACTTAAAGCGATAGCTACCATGACATAAATCAAACGGTTGAGCTCAATTCTTAAAGGAGTTAATTGAGTCTTTTCTTAAGATGCTAAATCTGCGATTAAACCTAAAGTAGTATTATCACCAATTTTAATGACAACTCCCTAAGCAAATCCTTCCTTGCAAAGAGTACCAAAGAAAGCGACATTTTAAGTTTCAAGAGGTGAATCAGGATGAGTGCAAATAGGAGTACGAAGTTATGGTTCACTTTCACCTGTTAAAGGAGAGTTATCAACCTTCATTTCATTTGATTAAATTATACGAATATCTGCAGGAATTCTTTCACCAGCTTTGACTTAAACTATATCACCAACGACTAATTTTTCAGCATGGATAACTTATTGTGATCCATCTCTAATTACAGTAGACTTTTATGGTAAAAAGTTTTTGAATGATTCCATCAAGGCCTCACTTTTCTTATTTTGTTAATATGTGATTTGGGCAGTAACAAAGATAACTGCTATCAAGACAAAACCTAAGTAGAGGTTAGAAGGATCTTCAGGAGAAAGATAATATGTGACAAAACAAAATATAGCAGCAACCCAAAGCATGATAGCAAAAGGATTTGTTATTTCCTTTAAATATTTTTTCCATAGAGGTTCCTTTCCCTTTTCAGTCAACTTGTTATCACCTAAATAAATTAATATTAGATTAGTAAAATGAATAAATAAAATTTAAAGTAGGAATAAATAAAATTTAAAATCACAAATCAATCAATTTTATTTAAATTAATTTACCTAGTTCTTAATTTAATTAAGCTGCTCTAGCATTAGACAAACCCTTAACAGGATTAGTTTTAAATCTGAGATAGAGTTCTTCAAGATCTATTTTATGCTCATCCATCTTCATTAATTCATTTTGTTTATCAGCCTTAGTTTTATTTTCATTATTTTCTTAGGCCTTCTGATTATTATTATTAGCTGTTGTTGCCTATCCGTTGAGGGTTTAGCTTTAATAGATGTCAGATTATCTTCTTTGAATATCAGCTGCTGATTAACGGCGTTCAGCATTTATATTTTAGATAGATTTTCTACGATGATCCTTCAGCTCGTTAAAATTCTATATAGATTATCTTAGCTCTTCAAAATTACGAACAATCTATGACTTCTGAGAGGCATCATCTCTTTACTCTTTATTTTTAGGATCTTAATGATCTTGAATTTTCATTTATTAACAGTGTTATTTATAATGTGGGTAAAAGCCTATTAATTTTTTTTATTTATTTTAAAGACTTTTGTTTTAATTAATTTTTGAAAAAGTAATTATTATTTTTAATTAAATGCCATTTAAAGTAAGAAGTAGGAGTTTTGAAATCTAAAATTAGAACAATAATTTATCATTTAGGTTTAAAAAGTAAGTTTTTTTTCATCTAATTTAATTCATATATATTAACTATATTAACTGAAAGCTCAAAAGCTAAAAATAGAAAAAAGTTAAATACCTAAATTTATGTTGAAATAACTGCAATTATTTATTTTCCATTTAAATATTTAACTATCGCTATCAGTATGAGCTATTTAATGTAAAATAATTATTTATATAAAAAAATAAAATATGGAGAAAAGTGGAGTTTTAGTGGAAAATAAATTCCATTGTTATTTATCAATTCTCTTGTCTATTAATTTTATGGCTATTTAAAGCAGTAATAATTATCATGATGGTGCAATAAAAGCAAAAATTTAGATCAATTTAATAATCTGACTAAAACTCCAGTTCTCTTTAATTTTGGTGACTTAATCTAATTAAATTTCATTAAAAAGGATTGACGTATATTTTTTATTTACAAATTCATAAATAGAATTTGGCGAGATGCCTTATTTAAACATATAGAATAGATATTTATACCAAGCTTAACCAAAAATACATTTCAAGCCAATATAATATTTATATCAAGACTTAGCTATTTCTTTTTTTAAATATTTATCTTTAGTTGAATATACAAGGTCAAAAATTTTTTTATCAAAGTCTAAAATACTGAATTGTTTATAAATCCAAATAACTTTTTCTTTCATTTTTATTTTTCAATCGCATCTATAATAGTAGCAATTTAGAAAATACTCTAAATTATATTGAACTATTAGGAGAAATAATAATTTCTTCCTGCAAATGTATTGAAGAAAGATACTGAATAAAACTCTTTAATAGCTAATTTTAGTACAAATTCATTTATCTTTAATAAACACCAATATTTGTGTGATTCTACCATAAAATAGGTTCTTTGTTAAAAATTATAAAAATTTCTTCATTTTTAAATTATGAATAAAAGTATTTCTCTATAATAATATTGTAAATAAATATTTATACTTAGAGTAGTAGAGTCAACCAATTTAGTCTAGACAAAAAATTACTTTAGTTTAAAATTAAGTATTCATAATAAAATTGTAAATAAATATTCATACTTAGATTAATGGAGTCAACCAATATAGTCTAGACATAAAATTACTTTAGTTTAAAAGTTAAGTTAATGAAAAACAAAACACATTTTATGAATATTTTATTTATATCTTAAGCTTTACATATTGATTCGAGTAAAATGATATTTACTACGCAAAAGCCCAATCAAAATATTTATTAGAAGAATATTCTTGCCATAAAAACATTAGTTTTGAATATTATTTTCACAAAAAAAAAAAATCAATCAGTTCACATTTTCATGAATTTTAAAAAATACATACTTTTTTCAAGGTTTTATTGTAAAATTATATTAAATATAGGAAAAATGTTATCATTTTATCAAAAATATAAAATTTTTTTCAAGAAAAAATAAAAAAATTTTATGTAAAGTAAAACTTTATATAAAAACTTATATTTTATTCATTCTGTACTAAAAAACAATAATACTTTTAAGTTTCGCAAACAAAATATTTTAATAAATTAGTAAGGAATGGATTAAATTCTGACAATATTTTTTTTATACTTCGAAATCATATTTTGGCTATCAAACCAAACTCTATTGCTCTAACTACTAAGAATTGAGCTTTTACAAATGTAAACATATTTTTCCAATTATTTTGATTTTTAGATTAGCAATAGTCTATAACAAATTAAAACTAATTACCTTAAAACTTTGTTATTTAATTGATATTAAACTAACTTAGTGAATTATAGCAAGTATAATCTGAAAAATCATCAATATTAAATAATAGTTTGTCATCTCAAATTGTATACAATTTTGCAGTAGCATTTTTTGATTAAATTCAACAAACAAAGTTAACATTATAGTAATAATTTGAGGTTTTATTTTGATTTATCTTTATTACACGTATTTATTTTTATCACTTATTTTTTATAAATCTCCATTTTAAGAAAATTCTTTTTCTATTAACTCTATATTTAGAAACTTTTTGATTATTATGAAATAGTGTAATTAATTAAAAATTTATATATATATTTTATTTTTTAATAATTTAATTTTCTATAAAATAGCCAATTTTTTTTATTTAATTTTATTAATGAATTTATGGATAGTAAATAATATCATAATAGGCACTTTATAGGTATTTACATAACATTAAAAAAATTATAAAAATAAATGGTCTTATCATTTTAATTTACCATACATTAAAAATGAAAAATAAATATTGATGAAATTTTTTTTACATAATATTTCAAAAAAAATTATTTTTCGATATTTATCATTATTTAATTGTAAACGAAATACTATATTATAAAAGTTAATCTTATAATAAAATAATTGCAAGAAGTAAAAAAAAAATTTAATTGCATAATGTAAAATTTTTTAAATCATTTAAAAGGATTAATAATGCAAATTGAATTTAGATAAAAGTCATATTAAATTTTTAAAATTTACAAAATTTCAAAATTTTAGTATCGTAATATATAAGATAAATAAATAAATACATCAAGAGAAATAATATGAAGAAGAAATTAAATAAAATGAACATAAATAAGGCAATAATATTCTTTTTCTTAACCTTTATATTAGTAAATAGTGCAAAAAAAAAGAATATAGTTTATAAATCCAATAGCAAGGACATTTATGAACTTAGAATGCAAAGAATTAACTAAAATAATACTATAAATGTTGGATAAATAGTGACATCGATAGCTTCGTGTGATTCATACCATCGTAATGTATTTCATAATAGTACTTGGTCAACTTTAATGTGCTTTGAAAGAGATTTATCATATCAAATTTCAGCTTCAACAGCAAAGCCAAAGCAGAAAAATCAAGAATTCCTAAATTTAGAAGTAAAATTTTAGTTTAACACATTAATATATCAGAAAATTTATTAATTTAATACTTAATATAGATAAATATAAATAGCCCTTGGAGCTGGATAGCTGGATTTGATTGTATGGAGTGTTCATAAGAGTTAGATAGTTATACTTATTAAAGTCTTTCTTAGGTATAGTGCGAAGAGAAATGCGAAATATCTAAAGTTAATAAACTATCTAAATTTAATCCTTTCAAAATCAACTAAAACTAGGAGCTAAGCAAGAATGGAGGTAAGAAAGCAGCAATAACTACATAAGATAGTGGCATATATGGAATCTTTCTAAATTATATGATTTCATTTATAGCATATAATCCTAATAGAAATATAACAATCAAAGATACTGTCAAAGAGAAACTTTCATTTGGATCATATAATGCTTTAGAAGATCTTACCACAGTCAAAAAGCTTAAAGTTTTGCATGCTCAAAAGCTTTCTAACATTTAATAAATAGCAGGACAAGGTTCGATAGGACTTGGTAGATTAGATATTGAATTCGATAGCAAAAATATAGGTAAAAAACTCAATAAAATATAATTAATTTTAGCTTATTTATTGAATTACATGAAAATAATTAATTTTTTTAATTTCATGAAATAAATAATATCAATATTTAATAAATTTATTTAAACCCTGATTATAATAGAGTAGGTTAATTTTCAAAGCTATAACTAATTTAATTTATTATGATAATAATATTACTTCAAATCCAATAACTTGAAACAAATTTAAATTATTAAAAAAAAAGAACCAGAAACTCATTTTTTGAAGTAGTTGATTGAAAGCGTTGATGTTGAAGAATAAGGAGATATGGTCTTTGGAATTTATATAAATAGATAAAATAAAGAAATTTAAGATTTTGCTTTAACATTAGGGGGATATAATGCTGAATACTCTAGTGAAGTGGATATAGAAAAATACTTTGTTGATTTAAGAATTAATAAAAAAAAGAGCAATTATCAATATATACTTCCATTAAACTCTATTAATGTTTTAGGCGAATCATTTTAATTCACTGAAGCATATATCACTCTTAGCAGTTCCTTTTTAATAATACCTTTTGAAATTCTGACCAAGATAGTTAGCTATATGAATAGCAATTATTCTATGGGTTGCTCAATAGTGGATAAAAAATACTTAATGGTTTTCTGTACTGATATTGTGCCAAGAGTCTTTAATGATAAGGAAGTTAATTTTTAATTTGATAATCTAGCAATCAGTATACCTTTTAAAGATTTTTTGCATGTTTGTAAGCATGATAAAATAGCCTTATTCAATCAAGATATCTCCTAATCAGTATCTAATTAATGTATTTTAAATATTGCATCATCTCCTGATAATAAAGTTATCCTAGGTGAAGTTTTTTTAAATAAAAGATACACAATCTTTGATATATAAAATAATCGTATTGGATTTCTTCCACCTCAGACAGTAAATTTCTTCAGTGACGAAAATGAAAAAAGAGCTTTTGTAGATCTTCTCATGAAAATAGTAACATTTATATTTATAGCTGGAATAGTAGCTCTTTATTTTATGAACACCATTTGGAAGATTTTAAAATCTTTCTTGAATTATCTAGGAAAGTTAATTGACATTTAAAAACTTCCTGCAACAAATAAATACTCTTCTACATAAAATTAGTAATTCTAGTAAATTAGTCAAACGGAGGGTATTGAGATCTAAAACAATAGCTTAAACTATTCATTTGACAATAAGTTTAATGTTAGTGATAAAAACCATCCAGTAGTGGTTCCTGCAAATGTTATTCCATCTTTTAAATTACATCCTTAAAAACGAAAGATTTTTGAAACAAAAATTCAAAAACCATAAAACAACCCAAACAATTAATAACAAAAGGAATAAAATAATTTGATAGACGATAATTCACCTAAATTAGAGAATATCGATTTGTTATGAAACAAATGTTTTAATAAAATAACCTATTAGTTAAATATTTATTTGTAGCTTAAAATAATTTTATGAACAAATAAATTTATTAATTTATAATTTCATTTTTTAAAAAAAACTAAAAAAAAGTATTTAGTATAATTAAATTTATATTTTTATTAATATTTATTCGATTTTGTAATTGTTTAGATAATAAATAAATTATATTTATTTTAGAAATGTTTACTTAACCAAAATTAGAATCTTAAAAGAATATTTTAAAATAAATATGATTATAAATAAATTTAGGATTTTGTTTGCAAAAAACTGGTTATTTCTATATTAAATTTTTAAATTTTAATTTAAGCTTATTCAAAAAGTAGAAAGATAAACAAGAATACAAAAATTTTAAAAATGTAGCCATCAAGTATAGATTAAGAACTTAAAAAAAAGGCAGGGTCAAGATAAAAATTCATACATAATGGTAATAAATTTAGAATCGTTTAAAAAATTATTAATAGTTTGTATAAATAGGTTAAACTGTTTATGAATGGGATTAAACTATAGATGATGTTAATATTTACATATAGCCACCTAAATTCGTTCTAAAAAAGTATGAAAATGAAGTTAGGAAACAATTATAACCAGGTTAACAGATGCCGAAGCTAGAAATTATTATAGAGCCAAAACATCTTAAAATAGGAATTAAAGGAAATCCTCCATTTATAAATGTATGGATTCCCTTATTCCAATTATGTATTAATAATTTTATATAAAAATAATATTAGGAAAGTTTAACTAGCTTATGTGATACTGATGATTCAACTTGGTGCATAGGTAATAAATACATTTGAATTTAATTAGGATAGGCAATTTATAAAAATTATTATATTTTTGCAGAGGATGAAGAATTACATATAATTCTACAGAAGGGACATAAAGGAGAAGTATGGTAATCAGTTTTTATAGGACATGATAAATTAGACCCTTTATTATAATAAGAAATTTAAAAGAAATTAATGTTAGAAAGATTTTAAGAAGAAGTAAATTCATAGTTAATATTATTGATCTTTTAATAATTTATTTAAAAATATGAATAATTAAGAATCCTGGTTTTGATTTTAGTGGAGCTGAATTTAATGGCTAAGCTCCAGATCCAAGGAATTTTATGGGAGGCATTAAGTATAATTGAATAAAAATTACATTTTAAACAATAAAATTGTATGAATTTTAATAATATATTAATTTATTTGTTGCATTTCAATATAATAATTATTTTATATTTCAAATATTTATTTTTTTAGTATGAATTAATAAATATTTTTTATAACATATAATATATAAATAGTAAAAAACAAAACATAAATTATAAGATGAATAAATTTGGAAATAAATTATGAAATTATGAAAAAATTAAATTGTTGGCTATAAAATTAACTTATTAATATTATAAAAAGGAAAATAATTATATTATATATACACATTAATTTTATTTAGTATAAAGTTAAAATATCAATTAAATTGAATTTACTAAATGCAATTTAAAAAAATCAGTTTAATGGTTATAATCTTTTTCTTTATAAATGCTTAGGTGAGGTCCTTTAGCTTAAAGATTATCTTTCACTTAACCTCTTATTATACGAAAAACTTGAATTATTTTTCACTAAAATAGAATCTGAGCAATTATTAATAACTTCAAGTGATTAAATTTCTGTATTATACATTTCATTAACTTTGTCTCTATTGGATTGCTAAACTTAATTTAACAAATATTTTTTCAGAGATTATTTATATTGTTAATCTTCTATTTTTGAAATAGTATTAATGCTGTTACTTCTTTTTTTTTCTTCTTTATACAACTTATTTGGAAGAATTACAGCTAAAGGATAGTTTTATTTTTAGTTATTAGATGAATTATTTACGATTTGCTATAATTTTTATTGCTATACTCCATTTTATTCATTTTATCTATAATAAAAAGCTTTTTCAATCATTATCTTTTTTTTTCTTTATAATTAATCAAAATTTCCAAAAATTTATGATCCTTTTACACCTTCATTTTATAAATCTATTTTATTATTTTAAATTTTATTTGAGCTTTCTGTTGTTTTTGTTCTTTGTATTTTTTTCAAAATGTTTTCTTATAGCTCTTAATTTTTTTGATTATGGATTTATTCCATTTTATGAGTCAGTTCCTTATTCATACTGGGAAGAAAATTTAGTATAAAGCTATCAGGGTTTTGAAGCACAAATGAGTCTAATTAATTTTTAAATATTAACATTACTTCAAAAAATTTTATATTGTCAAATAATTTACTTGGATTTTTAGAAGTGTCTGATTATTAAATAATGGAGGCTTTTACTTTTTAGTAAAGCTTGGGTAAATCACTATTTATTTCATTAACAATAGAATTTTTTTCCTTCATAGGACTTGTTTTATTTTTATAATGGCTCTATAAAGTGTCTTAGTCAATGTACATTTAGTCAGCTTCATATCCATTCAATAAAATATTAGATTCTTAGTTGATATTTTCAAGGCTATTTTATCTAGTCTACTAATAATTAAGTGATTAATTTAAATACCTTCCTTTTCTGATCACTTATTTCTTTGAAACTACAATTTTGGTATTCTTTCTGTTTGTATAAGCATCTTAAATATTGCAAACAGAATTTATTTTATTCTCATTTTTGTCTAACCTTCTTGAGCTTTTTTCAATTAAATTTTGCATTTGTCCATTTTCATCATTATTGAATTTAAGAAGAATCGTTTTGTAATTTTTAGACATTAAACTTTAATAATCATTGGTTTGCTATAATTCTTTATCTTAATTTTACTAAAGATCCTCTAACTTGACTTTAACCCTTTTTATAATTTCTTATTTAGTATTTACATTTTTGTTTAAAATATCATTTTCAAAAGTAAATATATCCATTTAGAACAGTGTTGCTTTATCTGAAATACACACTACTTTGTGGATTCTCTTATTTTAATTTTGAAATAGTTCTTCTTCACCAAATAGCTCATGAACCTACAGTAATCTTAACTAAAATATTTTTTGTTTAATTTATGATTTATATCAAACTAAATACTTTTTATTTTTGTTTCTTTATCTTTTTTTCTTTTTTCATTATATCTTCCACTGATATTGTGCAATCATCCCACTCATCTATTTCATCATTTTAGGCAATCTTTTAGATTAAATAAGACTCAATTTTAATAAAAAACTTATAATTAGAATAAATACTAAAAAAGTTCCATTCAGAACAATGAATACAGATTATATTTGCTAATTCTCTTAGTATATAATTTCCTCCTTTTTGCAATGAATAGTTTTCATTTTTTCAGCTATATTTGATATCTCTTTCATATTCCATCCTTAAAATAAACTCATATTAATAAGATTTTAGATAGTTTTTTATCTTTCTCTTTCTTCTTTTTTTTAAATGATATTCAAATAATCCTCCCTTTTGATAACCCCTAAAAATGTATCAGTGTGAGCAAAAACTGTTGAAACTCTTAAAGAATTATCTTCGTAAAGAGCCATTTCTCCGAAACTGGCACCAGCATCTAAAACCTAAAATTAGAAGACCTTTAAATTACTAAAAGAGTTAATATAAATACCTTAATAAGCTTGATATTATCATGAGTATCTTAATTCATTTCTTTATCTTGATTAAACCCATTTACAACATCTTGAATGTTTATCATTTAATTTTTTTCTGCATATATTCCTACTTTTCCAGCTAAGATTATGTAAAAGCTATCTCCTTACTATCCTGTAAATAAATAAGATGATTATTGCTAGTTTTCTTGCAATCAAAATTAAAAACCTGTTCTAAAAACAAGCTATGATGAATTATAGTATTCGTATTTAATATATTTGCAAAATAGTCTTTATGTAAATTCATCTCCTTCTTCTCTGAATTTAATGAAAAAAGGTATAATCTATAAAACATCCATTAAAAAATTAATGTGTTATTTTTTCCTCTAATTACCATTCAGCTGTAAAATTTGTATCAATTCCTAAATTAAATATGAAGTTAATTAATAAATTAAGATTACATATCATTAAATATGTTTACCCTTAATTTATCCATAGCTTGATTTGAGTCATTTGCTGTAGTATTTAGACTCATTTAAACAAATGATAATTTTAAGCTAAAATATTAATCCTTAATATAAAATTTAATTGCGGGACTGATAATTAATGATAAAAATTATGATTAAAAACATATCACTATAATAATTAAACAAATATTTTTTATATAAAAATACTTTTGTTTATTATGTAAATTGCTACTTGATAAAAAGAATAAGCTAAGATTAAATTTCGTCAAAAATAATATGAATCATTCATTCATTTATTTATTTAATAATATATTTATGCTTTCACTATGACAGAAATTGATTTCCATTAGTAAATTGTCGATTTCTATTGTAATTTGATTAAAAAAATGAAATTTTTTTAATATAATCATTTCAAAAATTATATGAAGAAATATTAAAATAAAACTTAAATTATTGGCAAACAAAATAAAATTTTTTTTTTTAATATTTATCATACAAATTTAATTATTGTAAATAATATTTTAAATACCTTCTTTAATTTATTCTTATTAGAACATCTATTATTTTTTCAAATTTTATTTTAATTATTTTCAATAAAATAAGGAAAATTTTTATTCAGTTTAAATATGGCAGAATTAAATCATAATTTTTAACATTTAAAGTATTGTGAAAAATCTATAATTTTTATAAAATATTTTTAATAAATTTTAGCAATTCAATTAAAATTTTAGAAATATCTTTTGATTCTTTCTAAAACTATAAGCTCAACGAACTTAAAATTTATACTTCAAAGATTTTATTTTACCATTTAAGTCTTTTACTATTCAAGCCTTTATTAATTTTACATAAATTTAAAATAGATTTATTGCATAAATTGTTTTATTTGATTTTAAAAATTCAAATCACAACTATTTAAAATAAAATTTAAATTAAGCGTAATGTGAATTTCTAAATCAAAATAATATTTAAGAATTTTGATTTTTTTTTATTTAAATTTTAATTAGGAAGAAATTATATTATTTTATCAAAGATTTAATTTAAAATTATGTGAAACAGTAAAAAAAATTCATAATCAGACATAGTTTTTTATATTGCTTTTATGAATTTTGTAACTAAAAGGAAGTTAATTTATTTAATATAAAATGGTAGAAGACATATCTTAGTAAACAAGTTTAAATAATCAATTTATGTTGTTCATTATATATGAATGAATTTGCTTAGGTTAATCGTAAACTATATTATGAGTAGAGTCATTAATAACAATAAATGAAGAAGGAGTTAGTTTAGCTTCAACAATCCTTTTTGCACCATCAGAACACATCCAATCTTTATCGCCATACATAAAATGAATGTGAAAATCAAATTATTTTTTCATTTCTTTTATTTCATAACTAAGAATTTCTTCAATTGAGTGGATAGCAGACATCCTTGGGAATCTTAATAAATAAAAAATCGCCTTATCGCTGCTATCAGGTAATTCAATTAATCCTGTCATATAATCATACCAGTCAGATCGTAAGTTTTCTTCAATTTATAATCTTTTTTTTAGATAGTTATTTAACATAAAATAGGTAGGGACAAGAGGCATTTTAAAGAATCTAGAAATAGTCTTTTTTTCATGCCAAGCACTTTAGAAGTAATTAAAAAATTATGATTAAATATAGCCACTTTCCTCCTGCCTCTTTTTGAACCAAAGATCTACTTCTTCTTATGTACGCTTAGTACCTCCAAGAGGACTAACTAAAAACAGTTTAACTACTCTTTATTAATGTCTTATTGCATAATTAAAACCCATGTAACCACCAAATGAGTGACCAACTATAATTAATTTGTTTATTCCTTTAGCTATTCTCCATTTTTCGATACTCTAAACAAAATATTCTATACATTCATTGATTGTAGTGTAGTGAAATTCATGATGAGATGAAAGTCCCATTCCTAAGAAATCGATGGTATATGTATCAAAACTATCTTAAAAGAGAGAACTCAACTTGTAGTAACTTAAACTTGTACCACCGTAACCATGTAAGCATAAAATACTTGGAATTTCATTTGATTATTATTGAGTTTATTTTCTTGGGTATTTTATTGTGTGTATAAATAGATCTTAGTTGCTACCATCTAATCTTATTTTAACATCTTCTATTATAGGTTGAAGAGAGCATTTCTTGTAAATTTATGTTTCGTTCAAAGTAGCTTTAATGTATCCTTTTCTCTCATCTTCAGTTAAAAGAGCTTTATAAGGTTAGCTGTTTATTATTTTTTATTCTTAAGGAGTCAGCTATTTTGTACCAAAAAGTGATGAAAACATTTTTAAATATTAGAGATTTAACTTTTGATATTATTATTATTTATATAAGCATTTGTTTCAATTTAATTAATTTAAACAACTTAATTAATTCTTCTAGAAGTATAGCAATTCTATTTGTTGCTTATATCTTACTCAATTTTTAAAAAAATAATCTTTTTTTCATCTAGATTGTTTTAATTTATCTTTCTATTTTACATTAAGAATTATCATGTAAAAAAGTAAAGAATTTTTTTTTTTATGTAAATTCTAATTAATTCTTACAAAAGAAGAAATCCATAAAAATTCGATTTTAAATTTTAAAAATAAGTTTATTTTGATAAGTATGAATTGAAATCTTTTAAATAAAAATACATTTTACTTAGTTATAAACTTAAATAAATATTATTAAATCAATAGATTAGATAAACACTTAAAATACCTTTATATTATAAATAAATAAACCTAGTTTTAAAAATTATTTTTTTTGAAATTTTGGCTGTTTAATCAAAAAATTTAATTGAATCTTCATTAAATATTTTTTCAATATTATTTTTTTTTAGAAAAAATAAATTAAAAGGTTTTTCAAAACTTTTATTTGAGAGTTCAAAACTTATAATTCTCCTTTAATCATTTGAATTAATTCTTTAAATTAAAATATTTAAAACAAAATAAAATTACAAAAAGATAAAAGTTTTTATTTTTAAACTCATAAAAATAAAATTAAATATTTTATTCTAATTTTTATAAAATAAAACCTTTTTTAGTTTAAATCTTAAATTTTTTTTTGATTTACTTTTTAACCGAAATTGATCAATATTTTTAATTTTATGTTAGATATATTGTTTATTATTTTAAAAAATGAAAATTTATTTAAAAATGATTTTTAAGAAATTAAAATATAAAACTTATTAAATAAATAAAATTAATATTTTATTTTTAATAAGCAAAGTCTGACTGACTTTCATACTAATTTAGAATCATTTAGAACATACCTTCTTCTTAAAGTTTGGTATAGCTAAAATACTAAGTAGCATACTTGTGTAAAATATATTACTAATAATTACACTGCTACAAAAATAGAGATTAAATTTTAAATAGAACTGCTTATATTTGAAATAGAGTCATTTATTGCCAATACAATAATCAAAATCATTGATGATATCATCAAAAATCTACTAGCCAAATGTAATCTTTGCTCATATTAGCTCTTATATGGTCTTAAGATTAACATCACAGTAAATTCTATGCCTACACATAGACAGCATATGTATGCTTAATTTATTGGATTAGATTAATTAAAAACAAGCTGTTGAATAACAATTGTTTTTCTAAATAAAAAGAGGAGATTCATAATTGCTTTCTTTTAATTCATCTCTATGCCGCTATAAAGATATCCATATAATGATTTTATTTTGTCATTATATATTAACTAGTATGTTTATATTCTAGTAGATTAAAGAGTCAAAATATTTAATCTAATAATTCCAAGTAAAAGAATTATAGCTGATATGACGCCAACTAATTATGAAGTTGTCATATTTGCAGAATCGTAAAATTATAGAAATACTGAGAGTAACAAATCGCAGTAAGTCAAAAAACCTAACCCAACTATAACTTAAAAGAAATACTCAGTTTAGTAACTTCTTAAAGCTTCTATTAAGAAATTTTTAGAGTGAATAAATTTTCTTACAATTAATTTGCTTATAATATAAACTAAAAAAGAGAATACCCATATTACTACTGATTAAATCAAATTTGAATATATGAATGTATCAATTTTTTCCATTCTAAACTTAAAAGGAGAGTTTGAATTGTTATTTGATATGTTTGGAATAAATTCAAAATTTGCAAAATCAAATAGTTTAATTATATTATAAAGAATACTTTGATATTACACATTTAAGTAAAGCAAATAATTTGTCAATTATAAAATATCAAAGAAACTAACAAGCATATAAAAAGGAGCTCCTAGAACTAATGCAAAGTAAGATGTACCTATTAGAGCTTACGAAATTTCTGTAGATTTAGACACTTATGGGTATTTATAGAAACCATATTCTGGTAAATCTCCTTAAAGTTTAATAATCTTTAATCCAAAATTCTAGCTTTAAACAATATTTTTTTCATTGATAAAATCAACTAAAAGTTGTTTATACTTATTATTTGAATTTTATTCAATAGTTATTGAAATTAATACTTTAAGCTTTTAAACTTATTAATTTAAATCACTTGAGTTGAATCTTGTGTTAATTTCTTATTCTTTCACAATTTCATAATTTATGTCATAATCTTGATTTTAAACTGAATCTAAATTCATGCTCCATTTAGGCTCAACAACAAAAATCTCTTCACTAAATGTAATTTTGGCTTAAATTAGAATTTTGTTATCTTTTAATTAAATTTCATCAAGTACTTGAAGTTTGGGAATTACACCGCCTGTTTATCCTATTATACACTTTTTTAGGATTTCATCAAAATACTAGTCTTAATTACAGACAATGCAAGAGTTTTTAAAGTCTAAGATTTTTCCATAAGGACATGTTTAACACTCTGTAGAAGAATTTAAGCAAGTTTAACAATCTGGCGAGCATTTAAAACATAGTCCATTCTGCAAAAAGTATCCATCCTTACATTAATCACAAATTTGAGGTTAGTTTTTGTCATAATTATTCATATAATTAGGTAAACATTTAGTGCATTAATTTTTCTAAAGACACTCTACACAGTTATCTGGACAATCAAAACATGTATTTTGAATTTAATCTAAATATTAACCTGTTTAGCAATTTTGAACACATAAATGTAATTGTTTATGTTTTCCATTAGGACAGTCTTGATAGCATTTATGATCATCTTCGTTTAAAAAATCTTCACATTCAAGACATTTTCCACCTCCTTCACATTTTAAGCATGTTTTTTAGTCACAAGATAAACATTTTTAAGAAAGTATATCCTTATATGTTTTTTATGGGCAGTCTGAATAACATTAATTTAGGGATTCATAAAAGAAATAACCTGGAACACATTTTGTGCATTTATCTTAAGTGTCAACACACTCAGCGCATGTGTTAGTATTGCACTATAAGCAACTTTTGCTATTTTGATCAGCAAAGTATCCAGACTAGTTACAACTTGAAACACATTCATTATTCTAATAGTTTTTATATGTATTCAGAGGACAGTCACTAGAACACTTTCCATTATTTAAGAAATTGTTAGGTAAACATTTCAAGCAATTATTTTGATCACAAATATCACAATTAGAAAATATACTCTTACATTAAATGCATAAATTTGAGTTAAGAGGATCTTCTACTGTGCCTTATGGGCAATTTGCTAAACACTCTAAATTATAAATTTTTTGATTACAAATCGTACATTTTTATGTAGTTTTATCAGGCACTTAATTAGAAGAAGGGCAAGATTCAACACATAATTTGTTAATATCATCGATATACTTAGGACATGTTTAGACACATTAATTTCCATTTAAGTATTACTCATGATTGCTTGTATAACAACTCAGGCAAGAACCATCAGCTTAACAAGTTTTACAAAGTGTATTTAAACATATTTCGCAAGTTTTAACACCAGTGAACTAGTCTTGATTTTTATAATATCCATCTAGACATGTATTAATACATTTTTTAGAGACAACATCAAGATAAATATCTCCAGATTAGCATTATGTGCAATACTTTGAATTGCATTTAATACAGTTAGCATCAAAATCAGAGCAAGGCTAACAAATATTATTGCTATCAGGATAAGTTCCATCAGTACAATTTAATGTACAAAAACCATTCTGTAAATAAAGAGAACTAATACATTTTGTACATTAATTAGGTTTTTAAGGATCACATATTTCGCACTCATTTTTTTAATCACAAAACTCACATTGTTATGTAAAATTTGATCCATACATTCCCTTCGGACAATTTGCTACACAACTATATGTCTATACATCTAAGTAATATCCCACATTACAGCTAAGACAATTAGATTGATTGCATGAATCACAGTTTTAAAATTTGGATTCACATTTCTAACATTTATTTTAAGAGTCAGGAAAACTGTGATCACTACAAGATAATTAGCACTGACCATTTTCTAAATATTTTGTGCTTTAAAGTTAATCGCAAATTAAACATAAGTTAGGTTAAGAAGAATCACATTAAAGGCACCTAGAATTTTGACAATATTAGCAAATAAATACTCCATTAACAGAACTTCCATATTATTTATCTGGACAAAGTGGAGTACACTATTATTTATCAATACTTAAGTAGTAATTTGAGGAGCATTATAAGCATCCATCTGTATTACAAATATTGCAATAAGGAATTTTATCGGAACATAATTTACAGCTTAAACCATCTGTGTAATATTTATTGGAACAGCTTTAAACACAATCTCCATTTTACAGATATTTATACATTCCATCTGAAAAACAATTTGTGCAATATGAAAGATCTAATTAACTGCATTGTTTGCAAGTGTTTTTTGAACAAGATTAGCAGATAAAAGACGGTAATTGAGGATTAGCACCGTACTCACATGAAACAACACACTTTTAAGCTATAGGATCATAGTATTAAGTTGAATCTAAGCATGATGTACAAGAATTACTAGTACATTTATTACAACCTTCAAATTTATTAATGCATGGTTAACAAATTGAATTATTATCAGGATACTTTCCATCTGGGCAGATGCCTTAACATAATCCTTGATTTAAATATTTACCATTTTCGCATTCTAAGCATATTGTTTTGCTATTAGCATCAGTTTGGCAGTTTACACAAAAAGTCATTAGTGGATCAATTGTGACACAATCTAACACACATTTCTTTATTGGAGTTTCTATTGGTTTTAATGATAAAGTAATACAGTCATCGACACACTTACTAGTAATTACATCTAGATATTGAGTAGAACAAGATTTACATGCAGTTTCTGTACAAGTATCACACCCTTAGGTTTTCAAAGAGCATAAAATACATTTATTAGTTGCTGATTCAACATATTCATTTGATGCACACGAGCTAATGCAAGATGTTCCAGAAAGGTAAGGTTTAATAGAATTAGGGTAGCAAGAATCACACAAATCTAAATTAGGTGATTGACAAGATTTGCAATCATTATTTGTACATGGTTTACATGTGTTATTCGTTGCAGTAGATATAGGTCCGTAACCTTAAGGGCATTAAATCTAGCATGTACTCTATCCTTCTACAAAAAAGTAAGGAAGATTACATTGAAAACATTAAGAAGCTGTGCATTATGTACAGTTAGGAAAATTTGAACTGCATATAGTACACTTCCTATCAGAGTTAGGATAATAACTTGAGTCACAGCTAGATTAACAAGCAGTTCCTTATAGATATTTATCATTATTACAACTTGTGCATTATGTGCTAACTTATTCACAAGTTTTACAATTACTATCACAAGCAGTACAAACATTTGAAGGTGGTGTTCCAGAGCTATCTTTGAATGTACTTTGAGGACATGTACTTCCGCATGAATTATTTTATTTGTCAAGATAATCAGACGAGCTAACACAAGATAAACACTATGTTGACGTGCATGAAAGGCAACCAATAAATTTAGAGGAGCACAATGTACATATTCTTGAAGAATTGGGAAACATATTAGAATCACAGTTATCAACACAATTATCTCCTTACTTATATTATAAGTTACTACAAGTTAAACATTTACTACTCAGAGATGGATCACAAGTTTGGCAAGAAGGGTTTGAGCATTTAGTGCATTTTTAAATAGATGTAGATGTGTCTTAAAAATAACCTGAAGGACATATGTTTGTGCAAGTTCCATTATATAGAAAATAGGTAGGTTAACATTAAATACATTAAGTTAAATTACACTATTAGCAATTTAAATATTTTTGGGAGCATAACTTACAAACAAAATTATCAGAATAATAGGAAGGATCACAGTATTACTGACATTTATTTCCTTGTAAATTATAATTGTTTCCGCATTTAGTACATTAATCAATCTATTACTGGCATAACTAACAATTAGAGTCTTAACAAGGTATACAAGTATAAGAATTAGAATTCTACTAATACCCTGAAGGACATGTTAGCTAACAACTTTTTTTATCTGCTGATAGATAATAATTAGGTTGACAGAATTAGCATGAAGTAGCATCTAAACAAGTTTTACAGTTTGTCAAACATGATTCGCATTTTAGAGTATTAGTATTTTTATAAGTTAATGGAGGGCAATCAGATAAGCAATTTTGATTGAAGAGATAAAAATTTGGAGGACAAGTTATACATTTGGTACTATCAGAACTATCACATGTATCGCAAGAGTTATTTTAGCAAGCTATGCAATTAGATCCATTCCAGTATTGTTTAGTAGGGCAAACACAGACTTTTGAAGAATTCAAAATTCTTCCTCCTTTACAGACAGTGCAATAAGTACCATTCTAACATTCTTAACAATCTGGTAAACATTAAGTACAAGAACCATTATTAAGATAATATCCAACATCACATTATTGACAGGCATTAGGTTACTAAGATGCACATTAAATACAAAAGTTTTGTACACACTTTTTAATAAAAATTTAAAATAATATATTTTATAATGAAATGAGATTTTATTAATTTAGTAAAAAAAATTAAATAAATAGAATAGAATAATAAATTAATATGTTAAAATAATTTAAATATTAAAGAACTACATTATAGGCATAAATCTAGAACTCTCTAATTCCAAAATATTAATGTCTGTTTGCCTTATCATATTTATCAGAATCTGAAGAAGGTGTATCAGCCATTTAATTTGTAATACTGATTGAAAATGTTCCACTAGGTACATTAAAATTATATTGAAAATCACTAATATAATCATTGTTGTTTAATCCACATATTTGCTATTATACAGCACCGCTTAATGATAAATTTTAACTTTAAGGTGCTGAACCTTATAATTAAACAGATATATTTGGATTATCATTTGAATTATAATCTATTAATATCCATTTAAAAGACACTCTTACAATCTTATAATTTGTAGTAAATTACTTTGTAGATATTTATGAACCTTAAAAATTACTAAAAAATCCTCCAAGTAGTTAATAATCTCCACAGCGCGTATATTTAGAGGTTTAAACGTTTATTTACATTTAACCTGTAAAATTGATATTATTCTTTTCAATTTCATAGCTAGAAAAAGTATACTGAAAAAAGCTATATAATAAATATTGACCTATTTATTTAATTAATCTAAATATATTAAATTTTTAAAATCAATTAAATTATTACCTGATATGTTTATTTTATTATCTATGCAAACACCACTCACATTAGTATAATCTTTTGGACAATATTTTTAACATTAAGCTTCGAAATTATCAGTTTAAACTACCATAAATCCTGCTTAGCATTACGTACAATATTTTCCTGAAGAAACAGTCTAGCAGTTTGGTATCCAAATACATTGATTGTTTATCAGAAAATGAGGTATAGTACATGTATTTACACATTTCCCTTCTTATAAGACATAAGCTTTAGAATTTAAAACACATTGTTGATTCTTTAAAGTAGCGCAAGTAGAATCGCAAGAAGAGCAACTTGAATCAGTTGAACCTGTGCATGATAGGCAAGAATTATGACAAGACTCGATATTAAATTGAATAGATCTAATTCTTAAATAAGAAGTACCAGTACCAGTACATTTATCTATAACGGAGAAAGTCGATACTGAGTTTGTAGAAGGTAAATTAGTATTAACTTAATAAACTTTATAAATTAATAAAAAACAAATTATTTTAATTTTTTAAAAATGGTTTTACAATTATAGTAGTATTCAGCTTCTCCATCAAATGAGTTACCACTATTACTTTAACACGGAATTTATAATCTAGCATAACTTGACTTGCTAAATTAAAATGAAACAGGGTTCAAATTGTCCAGTTAGAAAGAAACCTAAACACTAGATTCTTTCATATGAAAGATATCCAATCTAAGTTCTCTTCTAAAGTGTGGTGGGAGATTAGCAACTTAGAAAAAACCATACTTGGTATCCATAGTTGAAGGATGATTTTATGTACACTAAAAATTAGCATAATAATTTACCTTAAAATAGCCATAAGATATATTACATGGGACAATTTTTTTATTATATTCTGATAAATTTCCATTTTCATCATTGATTAATTTAATATTTCTATCTTTAAATAAAATAAATTTATTATTAATATTCAATTTAATTGATGATAAATAAAAATACCAGCCATAATAAAATGGAGATTTAGTAGAAAACTAAATAAATATTGAATCTTAAATTTCATTTGATTTATCAAGGTAATATCAATTTATTTGATTTTTAATAAAAATTAATTATCTGATTAGATTAATAATCATTTAATTGCAATTAATTTTCCATCCCATTATAACTTAACTCTTCATTAAAAGTGTTATGTTTCTAAATAGAGGTAATAATCTTAAATGCTTAATTTATAGATGATTTCCTTCAAAAACTTGTAACTTAAAATTTATGACAAAAATTAACCTCAAATTACTATCTTGTGATTTTAATATAAAATATTGAGTTTAATATAAAAGAATTAATCTAATCGATTTAGATTAGAATAGATTGTAAGTAACATATAATTATAAATGATATTGAATTTAAACTTAAAATATATTTATATACGACTATACATACTCTTTTTAAATAGTAAATCTATAATTAAAAATCTATATTTATATTCTGTTATTCTACTAAAAAAGTTATCATAGAAAATATTTCATATTATGATTAATTTATTTTGATCCATACAATATTTAAGTTTACTTAACATTTATTAAACCAAATAAATTATATTAAAACTTCAAAAAAGTGTAATAATTTATATCTTTTTCTTAGAAATTCATACATTATAAAAATTGTAAGAAAATCAAAGAAACTTTCATAATTATTGATAAAAATTAGTAAAAAAATTTCTTATTACTTCCTAGTCCAAATATATTTAGATTAATAATCATAATTAAATCTAAAAAATGCATAAGTTTAAAATTAATAATTCTGATTAACATACTAAATAAAAATAATAATTATCTTATTAACTACTAAATTTTACACATTTAATACTTACTTTGTTTTTGTATTCTTCTTTAAAATTATATGAATTTTAAATTAAAAATTTATGATAAATCAATAAATATTCTTTGCTTATTTTTTAATTTTACAGAGTATATAAGTAAATTAGGTTAATTATGATATAATTTTTTTAATTTTATCTACTCGGTTAATAAAAACTATAAATATTTATTGCGTTTTTAGATTACACTTTTAATAATATTAGTTTTTTTATTCAAATAAATATAATATTTTCTATTAAAAATAAATTTAATTTTAATTAAATATACTGTCTATCTATAACTACAAAATGTTAAGTTTCTGTTTTTATTATAAATATAGATTTTATTTTTTTATTTATTTAAAAATATAATCAAATTAGTGAAAATTATTTTGAGATATGATCAATAAAATAAAAAATTTATTTTATTAAAAAAATTTTTTAACAAATCTTTAAATTTTTATAAATTTAACTTTTCTCTCTGAATATTAGCAAATTAATAGTGCTCTTAATGAATATGAAAATCTTATATTATGAAAATAAATAATTTAAGAGATATTAAATACTTTCCAAAGCATTTTACAAATAATGTATATATATTAGATAAGATATATTTCTCTTTGGAAAGTTTTTGTTCATGTCTTTCTTGTCTTGTATTCTTCCTTTATTCTTGACTTCTCTTCATCTGTAATCTAAATTTTTCTTCTAACTTATTCTATCTTCATTTAATTTAAATTTAACTTTAAAATTAAAATTTTGTAATTTTAATATTATTAAAATAACAACTTATTTTTAACTTTTGAATCAAAATTAATAATAGTAATCAATTTAAAACATAGAGGTATATACGTGAAAATATTTATTTATTTTTTATTAAACTGTTTAATGTATTATGTCAAACTAATTTAGATTATTATTTTAATAGGTACTTTTTTCTCAAAATTTAGTATATTTAAGTAACCAAGTAGCATACTTGTGTAATGTAAATCACTAATAATTGTACTGATATAAAAATAGAGATACAGTTCTATGTGGAGTAGCTCAAATTTTAAACAGAATCATTAATTGCTAGAATCATAATCAAAATCATTGATAAAATCATTAAAAATCTACTACCTAGATGTAATTTTTACTCATTTAAGTTTTTATAAGGTTTAAGAATTAGCATCACTGTAAACTCAATGCCTACACATAGACAGCATATATATGTTTAATTTATTGGGTTAGACTAATTAAAAACTAACTACTGAATGACAACAGTCCTTCTGAATAAAAAGAGAAGATTCATTACTGCCTTTTTCTAATTCATTTCTATACCATTGTAAAGATATCCATATAAAGATTTTATTTTGTCATTGAATATTAACTAGTATGTTTATATTCTTGTAGACTTAAGAGTTAAAATATTTAAAGCTATAATTCCAAGTAAAAGAACTGTAGCTGATATTACACCTACTAATTACGAAGCTGTCATATTAGCAGAGTCATAGAATTACAAAAATACTGATAGCAATAAATCACAATATGTAAGAAAACCTAATCCAATTATAATTTAAAAGAAATATTAATTATGATAGCTTCTCATGGCATCTATAAAAATATTCTTTTAAATTTTATACTTTTTTATAAAAACCTTACTTAGAATGTAAGTTAAACATGAGAATAACCATATAACTATTGATTAAACCAAGTTAGAATATATGAAAGTGTCAATTTTTTCCATTCTAAACTTAAAAGGAGAGCTTGAGTTGTCTTTTTTAACATTCGGTATAAATTCAAAATTTGCAAAGTCGAATAACTTTATTACATTATATAAGTTATCTTAATACTGAACATTAAGATAAAGTAAATAATTTGTCAATTATAAAATATCAAAGAAGCTAACAAGCATATAAAAAGGAGCTCCTAAAACTAATGCAAAGTAAGATGTACCTATTAGAGCTTATGAAATTTCTGTTGATTTAGACATTTATGGGTATTTATAAAAACCATACTCTGGTAAATTTCCTTAAAGTTTAATAATCTTTAATCCGAAATTCTAGCTTTAAACTATATTTTTTTCATTCATAAAATCAACTAAAAGTTGTTTGTACTAGTTATTTGAATTTTTTTCAATTGTTATTGAAATTAATGCTTTAAGCTTTTATGCTTTTTAACCTATTTCACTTGAGTTAAATTTTAAATTGATTTCTTATTCATGGACAATATCATACCTTATTTCATAATCTTGACTTTAAACTGAATCTAAATTCATATTCCATTTAGGTTCAATAACAAAAATCTCTTCACTAAATGTAATTTTGGCTTAAATTAGAATTTTGTTATCTTTTTATTAAATTTCATCAAGTACTTGAAGTTTGGGTATTACACCACCGGTTTATTTTATCATACACTTCTTGCTAATTTCATCAAATTATTAATCTTAATTACACACAATACATTATTTTTTAAAATCTAAGTTGTATCCTTAAGGGCATGTTTAGCATTCTGAAGCTGAGTTTAAGCATGTTTGACAATCAATTGAGCATTTTATACACATTTCATTTTGTAAAAAGTATCCATCAATACATTAATCACATATTTGAGGTTAATTTTTGTCAGAGTTGTTCATATAACTAGGTAAACATTTAATGCACTCATTTTTTTGAAGACACTCTACACAGTTATCAGGGCAATCAAAACACGTGTTTTAAATTTAATCTAAATATTAACCTACTTAGCAGCTTTTAACGCATTTTTGAAGATAATAATATTTTCCATTAGGACAGTCTTGATAGCACTTATGATCATCTTCGTTTAAAAAATCTTCACATTCAAGACATTTTCCACCTCCTTCACATTTTAAGCATGTTTTTTAGTCACAAGGTAAACATTTTTAAGAAAGTATATCCTTATATGTTTTTTAAGGGCAGTCTGAATAACACTAATTTAGAGATTCATAATAGAATTTACCAGGAATACATTTTGTACATTTGTCTTTAGTATCAACACACTCAGTGCATGTATTAGTATTACACTATAAACAACTTTTGCTATTTTGATCAGCAAAATATCCAGACTAGTTACAACTTGAAACACATTCATTATTCTAATAGTTTTTATAAGTATTCAGAGGACAGTCACTAGAACACTTTCCATTATTTAAGAAATTGTTAGGCAAACATTTCAAGCAATTATTTTGATCACAAATATCACAATTAGAAAATATACTCTTACATTAAATGCATAAATTTGAGTTAAGAGGATCTTCTACTGTGCCCTATGGACAATTTGCTAAACACTCTAAATTGTAAATTTTTTGACTACAAATCGTACATTTTTATGTAGTTTTATCAGGCACTTAATTAGAAGAAGGGCAAGATTCAACACATAATTTGTTAACATCATCGATATACTTAGGGCATGTTTAGACACATTGATTACCATTTAAGTATTACTCATGATTGGTTGTATAACAACTTAGGCAAGAACCATCAGCTTAACATGTTTTACAAAGAGTATTTAAACATATTTCGCAAGTTTTAACACCAGTAAACTAGTCTTGATTTTTATAATATCCATCTAGACATGTATTAATACATTTTTTAGAGACAACATCAAGATAAATATCTCCAGCTTAGCATTATGTGCAATACTTTGAATTGCATTTAATACAATTAGCATCAAAATCAGAGCAAGGCTAACAAATATTATTGCTATCAGGATAAGTTCCATCAGTACAATTTAATGTACAAAAACCATTCTATAAATAAAGTGAACTAATACATTTTGTACATTAATTAGGTTTTTAAGGATCACATATTTCGCACTCATTTTTTTAATCACAAAACTCACATTGTTATGTAAAATTTGATCCATACATTCCCTTCGGACAATTTGCTACACAACTATATGTCTATACATCTAAGTAATATCCCACATTACAGCTAAGACAATTAGATTGATTGCATGAATCACAATTTTAAAATTTGGATTCACATTTCTTACATACATTTTAAGAGTCAGGAAAACTGTGATCACTACAAGATAATTAACACTAACCATTTTCTAAATATTTTGTGCTTTAAAGTTGATCGCAAATTAAACATAAGTTAGGTTAAGAAGAATCACATTAAAGGCACCTAGAATTTTGACAATATTAGCAAATAAATACTCCATTAATAGAACTTCCATATTATTTATCTGGACAAAGTGGAGTACACTATTATCTATCAATACTTAAGTAGTAATTTGAGGAGCATTATAAGCATCCATCTGTATTACAAATATCGCAATAAGGAATTTTATCGGAACATAATTTACAGATTAATCCATCTGTGTAATATTTATTGGAACAACTTTAAACACAATCTCCATTTTACAGATATTAATACATTCCATCTGAAAAACAACTTGTGCATTATGAAAGAACTAATTAACTGCATTGTTTGCAAGTGTTTTTTAAGCAAGATTAGCAGATTAAAGACGGTAATTGAGGATTAGCACCATACTCACATGAAACAACACACTTTTAAGCTATAGGATCATAGTATTAAGTTGAATCTAAGCATGATGTACAAGAATTACTAGTACATTTATTACAACCTTCAAATTTATTTCTGCATGGTTAACAAATTGAATTACTATCAGGATACTTTCCATCTGGACAACTGCCTTAACATAATCCTTGATCTAAATATTTACCATTTTCGCATTCTAAGCACATTGTTTTGCTAATAGCATCAGTTTGGCAGTTTACACAAAAAGTCATTAGTGGATCAATTGTGACACAATCTAACACACATTTCTTTATTGGAGTTTCTATTGGTTTTAATGATAAAGTAACACAGTCATCAACACACTTACCAGTAGTTACATCTAGATATTGAGTAGAACAAGATTTACATGCAGTTTCTGCACAAGTATCACACCCTTAAGTTTTCAAAGAGCATAAAATACATTTATTAGTTGCTGATTCAACATATTCATTTTATGCACACGAGCTAATACAAGATGTTCCAGAAAGGTAAGGCTTAATAGAATTAGGGTAGCAAGAATCACACAAATCTAAATTAGGTGATTGACAAGATTTGCAATCATTATTTGTACATGGTTTACATGTGTTATTCGTTGCAGTAGATATAGGTCCGTAACCTTAAGGGCATTAAATCTAGCATGTACTCTATCCTTCTACAAAAAAGTAAGGAAGATTACATTGAAAGCATTAAGAAGCTGTGCATTATGTACAGTTAGGATATTTTGAATTACATGTAGTACACTTCCTATCAGAGTTAGGATAATAACTTGAGTCACAGCTAGATTAACAATTAGTTCCTTATAGATATTTATCATTATTACAACTTGTGCATTATGTGCTAACTTATTCACAAGTTTTACAATTACTATCACAAGCAGTACAAATATTTGAAGGTGGTGTTCCAGAGCTATCTTTGAAAGTACTTTGAGGACATGTACTTCCACATGAATTATTTATTTTATCAAGGTAATCAGAGGAGTTAACACAAGATAAACACTATGTTGGAGTGCATAAAAAACAACCAATAAATTTAGAGGAACACAATGTACATACTCTTGAAGAATTGGGAAACATATTAGAATCACAGTTATCAACACAATTGTCTCCTTACTTATATTATAAATTACTACAAGTTAAGCATTTACTACTCAGAGATGGATCACAAGTTTGACAAGAAGTGTTTGAGCATTTAGTGCATTTTTGAATTGATGTAGAAGTGTCTTAAAAATAACCTGAAGGACATATGTTTGTGCAAGTTCCATTATATAGAAAATAGGTAGGTTAACATTAAATACATTAAGTTAAATTACACTATTAGCAATTTAAATATTTTTGGGAGCATAACTTACAAACAAAATTGTCAGAGTAATAAGAAGGATCACAGTATTACTAACATTTATTTCCTTGTAAATTATAATTGTTTCCGCATTTAGTACATTAATCAATCTATTACTGGCATAGCTAACAATTAGAGTCTTAACAAGGTATACAAGTATAAGAATTAGAATTCTACTATTATCCTTGAGGACATGTTAGCTAACAACTTTTTTTATCTGCTGATAGATAATAATTAGGTTGACAAAGTTAGCATGAAGTAGCATCTAAACAAGTTTTACAGTTTGTCAAACATGATTCGCATTTTAGAGTATTAGTATTTTTATAAGTTAATGGAGGGCAATCAGATAAGCAATTTTGATTGAAGAGATAAAAATTTGGAGGACAAGTTATACATTTGGTACTATCAGAACTATCACATGTATCGCAAGAGTTATTTTAGCAAGCTATGCAATTAGATCCATTCCAGTATTGTTTAGTAGGGCAAACACAGGCTTTTGAAGAATTCAAAATTCTTCCTCCTTTACAGACAGTGCAATAAGTACCATTCTAACATTCTTAACAATCTTTTAAACATTAAGTACAAGAACCATTATTAAGATAATATCCAATATCACATTATTGACAGGCATTAGGTAGCTAAGATGCACATTAAATACAAAAATCTTGTTAACACTTTTTAAAAAAATAATATTTATTAGATAATAGATAATATTAAAAAAAAAAATATTTAATGAAATAATTGTTAAAAATTAAATTAATAATTTCATTTGTTTATAATAATATGATAAAATACATTAAAAGTATATATTTAGAAATCTCTAATTCCAAAATACTAGTGTCTATTTGTCTAATCATATTTATCAGAATCTGCAGAAGGTATATCACTCATTTAATTTGAAATAATTATAGAAAATGTTCCTGTAGGTACATTGAAATCGTATTGAAAATCTCCAATATAATCTTGATTATTTAATCCACAAATTTATTATTATTAGGCATCTTTTAACAATATACTCTAACTTTACTATGTTTAACCTTATAATTAAACAGATATACTTGGATTATCGCTTGAATTATAATCTATTAATATCCACTTAAAAGATACTCTTATAAGCTTATAGTTAGAGGTATATTAATTTGTAGAAATTTAAGAACCTTAAATATTACTAAAAAATCCCCCAAGCAGTTAATAATCTCCACAACGTGTATATTTAGAACTCTATGCATTTATTTGCATTTAACCTGTAAAATTGATATTATTCTTTTCAATTTCAATACTCGAGAAAACATACTGATAAAAGCTTTATAATAGGTACTGACCTGTTCATATTAAAATAAATTAAATAAAAAGAATATATTAAATAATTACCTGAAATATTTTTTTTATTATCTACGCAAACTCCGTTTATTTTAGTGTAGTCTTTAGGACAATATTTTTAGCACTGAGCTTCATAATTCTTTGTTTAAACTGGGATAAAACCTGATTAGCACTATGTGCAATTATTTTCTATAGAAATAGTTTAGCAGTTTGGTATCCAAATGCATTTACTATTTATTAAAAAATGAGGTATAGAACAATTATATGCACATTTCCCTTCTTATAAGACATAATTTGAAGATTTTAAAACACATTATTGGTTCTTTAAAGTAGCACAAGTTGAATCACAAGAAGAGCAATTAGAATCAGATGGACCAGTACACGAAAGGCAAGAATTATGGCAAGACTCAATATTAAATTAAATAGATCTTATTCTTAAGTAAGATTTATCACTACATTATTCTAAAACAGAGAAAGTTGATATTGAGTTTGTCTAAGGATTGATATTAACTTAATTAACTTAAATTAAATATATTTAAATAAATTATTTTTATTTAAAATAATTAGTTTACAATTGTAATAGTATTCGGTTTCAGAATCAATATTATTACTTTTACTTTAACATGGTATTTATAGTCTTGCTAAACTACCCTTATTTAATTGAACAGAAATAGGACTTAAATTATCAAGCTAGAAAGACAGCTATATTTTACTTTCTTTATTATGAAAAATTTCTATCCTAACCTCTCTTCTGAAATGAGGTGGAAGGTCATCAATTTCAAAAATTCCATAATTGGAATCCATAGTCGGTTTTTATTTATCTACACAATTAAAATTTGCATAATAATTTGTTTGAAATTATCCATATGAATTGCTGCATGGAAGAATGTTTTTATTGTAAGCTGATAGAGTTCCATAATCGTCCATTATTAGCTAAATATTTCTATCTTTTTAAAAAATAAAAAAAATATTAATAGCAGTTGAATTAGGTGTTATATACCTGCAAAAATAAAATGAACATTTATTAAAATAAAAAATAGATATTCGATCTTAAGTATCATTTGATTTATTTTTATCATACTAAATATTTTTATTGTTATTTTATATAAATTATTTAATTTATTTGTATCAAATTTTAAAACAATAAAATATCTACAAAAGAATTTATTAGTATAATCATAATTTAATTAAATTTGAAGAATTATAAATCGAAAATCATTCAATTTTTAATAACAATATTTAAGGCTAATAATTAAAAATAATCTTTAAGGTTGAACAACTAAGCAAAATTTACCTCAAAAAATGCTTCTGATTTTGTAATTAGAGATTTCACAGTAACAATAAAAGAAAAAAGTCATAAGCATTTGTTTATTCTCAAAATTTGTAAGAAATAGTATAAATAATGTAAGTAGCTTAAAATCTTAAAAATTATTTTATATTTACTTATCTATTTAAATGCTAAATAATACAATTTAAATTTAAAAGAAATATATTTATTATCAGTTTTTCCTTTAACTAAAAATTAAATTTATTTTAGAAATATTTACTTTTTTAAGAAAAGATTAATTTAATTTAAAAATGGTAACTAACTACTTCAAAAAATAAATGCAAAATCATTAATAAAGTTTTTTCTTAGGCTACGATTACGTATTAAAAACTAAATTAAGTATATAAACCCATATAAAATCTGACTAAGATGTTTCTAAATAAAGTGGGAAGAAACAATAGGTAATTAAATCTAATAATACTCTAGATTTTTAGATTTGAAAAACAATAAAAAAAAATATGTAATTATGATTAAAATAAGAACCCTCTTTTTAAAAATTCAGATAAATAAAACCTATTTAAGCTTTATAATTTTAGAAGAATAAGAAATATGCTTTAGCAATTATTTATTGAGTGTATTATTATATGCCTATTTATTTTGGATATGCTTATAAAAGAATTAAATTATAATTATAATAAAAGATATTCATATTTGCTTATTTTTTAATTAATTGGATGATGTCAATTTAATTTTGTGTTACTAAATTAAAACTGTAACATAAAATATGTGTAACATATAATTTCATATGATGTTGATAATTTGCTTTTTTTAATGAAAGAAATATACTTAATGTTAGATCATAATATTTAATTTTATTATTATAATGAAAAATAATATTTTTTTTGATTTTTAATATTTCATCTTTAAAATACTCATTTTCATTTATTTTAGCAATTAAATTTTATTTTTAAATTTTTATTTTAATCTTAGTTTTAAAAGTGGTGCCACTAAAAAAATATCCAACGTATTATAAATTTTGTATTTTAACTTAATTAAATATTTAAAGACAATTAATAATTTATATTTTAATTCAGTTAATAAATTTAATATTTAAATACTTATGAAAATACTGTTTAAATTATGTAATTTAATGATTAAATAATAGAGTATTTTGCATTTTTTATAATAAAAATTTATTTTCAACAATAATATAGTATGAGGATATTTTGCAATAAAAAATAAAATTTTTTAGATGATTTAGTAAAATCATTGAAAATATTTGAAAATTCAGATATTTGGATTAAAAATAAAATTATTTTCTTTTCAATAAGTAAAAATGTCGATATATACTTGTAAATTGGTTAATTATAATGTAATCTAATGGAAAATTTAATAAAATGATATCAAAATAAAAAACTAAATTAAATGTAAAGAATTTAAGATATTTATTTATTTAAATGGCTACATTTTTTTTTTGTTGGAGTGCAAAAAAAACTATACAATTTACTTTAGATTATACACATTTATTAAATTAATATTCAGTAAAAAATTGTTATTAAATCAAACCAATTTAGATTAATGTCTTTACAAATATTATTTTCTAAAAATTTGGTATATCTAGAAAACTAAGTAGCATATTTATGAAATGTATATCAATAATAGCAAAATTGATATTAAAATAGAGATAAATGTCTATACAGTCTAGCTTAGATTTTGAATAGAATCATTTATTGCTAATATTATAATCATAACCATAGTTGAAATCATTAAAAATCTACTTCCTAAATGTAATCTTTACTCATTTAAGTTTTTATAGGGTTTAAGGATAAGCATCACTGTAAACTCTATGCCTACACATAGACAGCATATATATGTTTAATTTACGGGATTAGATGAATTGAAAACTAATTATTAAATGACAAAACTCCTTCTGAATAAAAAGAGAAGATTCATTACTGCCTTTTTCTAATTCATTTCTATACCACTGTAAAGATATCCATATAAAGATTTTACCTTATCATTAAATATTAACTAGTATGTTTATATTCTTGTAGACTTAAAAGTCAAAATATTTAATGCCACAATTCCAAGTAAAAGAACTGTAGCTGTTATTACACCTACTAATTACGAAGCTGTCATATTTGTAGAGTCATAGAATTACAAAAACACTGATAGCAGTAAATCGCAATATGTAAGATAACTTAATCCAATTATAATTTAAAAGAAATACTAATTATGATAGCTTCTCATGGCATCTATAAAAATATTCTTTTATTTAATAAATTTATTCGTTATTGTCTTACTTAGAATATAAGTTAAAAATGAGAATAACCATATAACTATTGATTAAACCAAGTTAGAATATATGAAAGTGTCAATTTTTTCCATTCTAAACTTAAAAGGAGAGCTTGAGTTGTCTTTTTTAATATTAGGTATAAATTCAAAATTTGCAAAGTCGAATAACTTTATTACATTATATAAGATATCTTAATACTGAACATTAAGGTAAAGTAAATAATTTGTCAATTATAAAATATCAAAGAAGCTTACAAGCATATAAAAAGGAGCTCCTAGAACTAATGCAAAGTAAGATGTACCTATTAGAGCTTACGAAATTTCTGTTGATTTAGACATTTATGGGTATTTATAGAAATCATATTCTGGTAAATTTCCTTGAAGCTTAATAATCTTTAATCCGAAATTCTAGCTTTAAACTATATTTTTTTCATTCATAAAATCAACTAAAAGTTGTTTGTACTAGTTATTTGAATTTTTTTCAATTGTTATTGAAATTAATGCTTTTAGCTTTTATGCTTTTTAACCTATTTCACTTGAGTTGAATTTGAAATTGATTTCTTATTCATGGACAATATCATAACTTATTTGATAATCTTGACTTTAAACTGAATCTAAATTCATATTCCAATTAGGTTCAATAACAAAAATCTCTTCACTAAATGTAATTTTGGCTTAAATTAGAATTTTGTTATCTTTTAATTAAATTTCATCAAGTACTTGAAGTTTGGGTATTACACCACCTGTTTATTTTATCATACACTTTTTGTTAATTTCATCAAAATATTAATCTTAATTACACACAATACATTATTTTTTAAAATCTAAGTTGTATCCTTAAGAGCATGTTTAGCATTCTGAAGCTGAGTTTAAGCATGTTTGACAATCAATTGAGCATTTTATACATATTTGATTTTGTAAAAAGTATCCATCAATACATTAATCACATATTTGAGGTTAATTTTTGTCAGAGTTGCTCATATAACTAGGTAAGCATTTAGTGCACTCATTATTTTGAAGACACTCTACACAGTTATCAGGGCAATCAAAACATGTATTTTAAACTTAATCTAAATATTAACCTGCTTAGCAGCTTTTAACACATTTTTGAAGATAATAATATTTTCCATTAGGACAGTCTTGATAGCACTTATGATCATCTTCGTTTAAAAAATCTTCACATTCAAGACATTTTCCACCTCCTTCACATTTTAAGCATGTTTTTTAGTCACAAGGTAAACATTTTTAAGAAAGTATATCCTTATATGTTTTTTAAGGGCAGTCTGAATAACACTAATTTAGAGATTCATAATAGAATTTACCAGGAATACATTTTGTACATTTGTCTTTAGTATCAACGCACTCAGAGCATGTGTTAGTATTACACTATAAACAACTTTTGCTATTTTGATCAGCAAAATATCCAGACTAGTTACAACTTGAAACACATTCATTATTCTAATAGTTTTTATAAGTATTCAAAGGACAGTCACTAGAACACTTTCCATTATTTAAGAAATTGTTAGGCAAACATTTCAAGCAATTATTTTGATCACAAATATCACAATTAGAAAATATACTCTTACATTAAACGCATAAATTTGAGTTAAGAGGATCTTCTACTGTGCCCTATGGACAATTTGCTAAACACTCTAAATTGTAAATTTTTTGACTACAAATAGTACATTTTTATGTAGTTTTATCTGGCACTTAATTAGAAGAAGGGCAAGATTCAACACATAATTTGTTAATATCATCGATATACTTAGGACATGTTTAGACACATTGATTACCATTTAAGTATTATTCAAGATTGCTTGTATAACAACTTAGGCAAGAACCATCGGCTTAACAAGTTTTACAAAGAGTATTTAAACATATTTCGCAAGTTTTAACACCAGTGAACTAGTCTTGATTTTTATAATATCCGTCTAGACATGTATTAATACATTTTTTAGAGACAACATCAAGATAAATATCTCCAGATTAGCATTATGTGCAATACTTTGAATTGCATTTAATACAGTTAGCATCAAAATCAGAGCAAGGCTAACAAATATTATTGCTATCAGGATAAGTTCCATCAGTACAATTTAATGTACAAAAACCATTCTGTAAATAAAGAGAACTTATACATTTTGTACAATTATTAGGTTTTTAAGGATCACATATTTCGCACTCATTTTTTTAATCACAAAATTCGCATTATTTTGTAAAATTTGATCCATACATTCCCTTCGGACAATTTACTACACAACTATATGTCTATACATCTAAGTAATATCCCACATTACAGCTAAGACAATTAGATTGATTGCATGAATCACAGTTTTAAAATTTGGATTCACATTTCTTACATATATTT